TAGTCTGATTAGCCGTTAATTAAGCATATATAGCGCTACACTAAGGCTTATGTTAAAAAAACATCCTAATCTACACTTTCAGAAGGATAACGCGGCGAACAGAGGTACTATAACGGACTGGATGCTGGATGCGCATGATGGGCAGTTCCACAGGCCCTTAGTAACCGGCTGTACTATGTAAAGATAGGTGCGGCTGGGTGCCAGGGAAGGTGACGACGGTTGGTGTTAGGCAACCTTGGTGGGCTTTGCCAAGACCACCAAGGTTACCACGTGACTTAGCCCTTCGGGACTAAGTCCAACCTTCGTGCTCCATAGGACTAGATAGAATGTCATGCTTTTACAACCTCACAAATCTTTGACCACCTTTGCGTGTAACAGTTGGGCTGACACGGAAGTCAATTCCAAGAAGTGAGGTGTTTTGTTGACTTCTACCTGCCGAGCTAAGTGTTGCGCGTTTGGCCCCTGTTGAGGAGCTCAATCTCCGACAATTATCCGACCGCTCGGCGGCTTCAGCCACGCAGCCACACAGCCACATAACCACACTGTCCTTGTCCTCACACCAGCCGATCGACTTTATACCTAGCCGCGTACGCGAATTACGTCGCGTCAGAGGCTGGTATAAGCACTATCGAAGACGAGAAGTAGGGTTTCAAAATTCATGCCTTGTATTCAATTTACTGAAGAAACGCTGTTATAATTGAACCGGGAACTATGGTGTTGAAAGTTAGAGTGCCTCTAAGTGGGTTTGGTGGGCCCGAGACCTTTTGAGCCTGGTTTTATGTGGTTGATGCTTCCTAGGTAATCCCAAGTCGATGGCTTCGCTGCAAAATCTAAATCATCTTCGCGGAATGGCTTTTGCTTTACAGCCACGTCACATAAGGAAAATTTGTCAACGATATACCCCCTAAAACCATAAAGGTCACTTCGGCTTCGCCAGCGCCAGCACGTGTACCTTACTACTGGCGGCTGTCGCTGACAGCGTCTGTGGATCTAGTTTTGTTGAATGGACAGACGAGACGACCCGCATTTGATTACGGAGTTGCATTGAGCAGGTGGGCTTTGTGGTGAGCCAAGTGAATGCGCAATACTTCCAAGGTTTGCTCCAATAGGAGCTACCAAGCGGATGGTAAGGTGCGCTTATGGGATGGCTGTTTCGAAGCTTGTTGGTATTGGACGAAGGTAATACTTTATCTACCGAAATACCAAAATAGAAAATTTATTAGGTCAAAGACAACGCGAGCAACACTTATGGGTCTCCTCAGAAGACGGAGGCTGATTATGATTGGAGTTCATTACTAAGTCAACGTGTAGTAGGCCACATGGCCGTCGCTGTTGTGCTATCTACATGATGCCGTTGAACGCACCATGATTTCGTAAGCTTCGTCTATGACATGTCCCCGGTGTATGTACACGAAGGTCATTCCCTTGGTGGGCTTTTCATCTCAGCGCAAACCAATTATGCTACTCATGGGGAGTGTCCCAAGTGAGTAGTGATACAATATCAACACAATAATCCAACAAATGTGGCCTGTCCGCCACACAAGATCGGCCTTTTCTGCCTTATTGCAGACTTTTCCGTTCACAAAGCCAGGATTAACTGATTAAGTCAATGATCATGGCCATTCCGATTCGCAAGTTCAGAACGCAATCTTCCAGTATTGGTTGATGCCCTCGCCAATATGGAAGCACCGCCTTTGTGCCTCTTAGGAAATACAGGGAACAATATGAGCCCCTAAAGCATCTACACTCGTTTCGCCCCCTTTAGTTTAAAGTATTCGCTCACCTAGCACACCTCCAATGTGGTAGTCCTACTTAGCTTGTAGGTGCCAAAGTACGAACAAAATTGAATGCCCAACTGAGTACCTCGGTCGAGTATTTCAACGTCACCCCCAAGACGAAAGCAGCAACTGTCAACGTCACAATGGCAATTACATGGGCAAGTTGTGCAACAGCCACCATAACGTAGACAAATGCTGTTCCGAGAGCTTCAGCATGTACCGAGGCTAGTCAATGCAGCCCGACCTGGCGACGGATCTTACCCATCGCCTGTCTGAACTTCTTGTCCACAGCGTCATGTTGCTTCTTCGCCTGAGAAAATGCAGCCTCTGCCTCTTCAACGCTCATGAGGGGCGTGCTTCCAATGGCGGGCGAGGGCCCGTCATCATCCTCTTCTTCGTCATCCCAGTTCTCGTTGGGGTTGTCGCTATTCTGCAGGCGTGAGAACATGCCATCGGAACCTCGGGAGCCAGGATTGCTCGCATCGAAGACATCACGTCCACGCGAAAGCTTCAGGCGTCGTCCGTCTCGCGCTGCCGCGTCCGGTAGATTGATCCAAGGCGCAAGTGACTGCAGATTGACACCATTGGTGTTGGGAAAAGATCCGTTGGGCTTGTAATTGCTGAGATTGAGCGAGGGCAGGACATGCTGGTTGATGCAGCCAATGGCCTCCTCGCGGTGCATCTTTCCAACCGGATCGGGAGGATAACTCTCGGGTCCGGATGGGAAGAACGACGGCATGCCATTAGGAACAGCTCGTCCCTTAATCAAGCTGAAACCCGAGCCAGATGTGTATTTCGGGGCGGTGAAGGCAGTGGGGAGGCCGTTGGCTTTTGCGACGCTAGCCTGAAGGTCGAGGAAGCGCTTTTCCTCGTCTTCATTGAGGTTAAGAATGAAATCGCCGTTAGGAGTGAGCAGAACACGGTGGCCATTGATCTCCTTGTGCACCGGCCGGAAGGCATTGAGTTCAGCTTCGTCATCTTTGGTAACAACCGACTTGACAGTAGGGGGTAATGCGGCAGGCACATTCCGCTCGAAGTCGGTACGGTAGTTGGGCAGCGTTTTGAACAGGTTGATGTCGTCAGGGTCGGGAAGCTCGCCCTCATCAATCAAGCTTTGGAGGATTTCAGCAAGGCTTGGGACCTCTCCAACAGCCCCTTCATCAATGGGCTCCTGTCGAGGCTCATTAGAATTGTGATGGATGTAATCGGGCGTCAAGACGGTGGTTTTAGTTGACTCATTGAGCTTGATGGAAGTGTCAATCGGCGCAGGGCTCCTAGGTGGGCTTCGAACTTCCTTGTCCTTCTTGTCTTTGCCCTTAGCTAAGTTTTCCGACGTTATTATATTACTCAACGAGGGAGCCTTGCGCTTCTTAGGCACACCCGCGTCGAACTCTTCCACAGCTGCAGTCTTGTCTCCGCTAACGTTTTGTGGGGAGAAAGTTTCCGCCTTTGACGCATTCCCAATGGGGGTCTCTGGCCGACTGATGACAGGGCTGGCTGTAGTCGATGTCTTTTCCTTCTTTTCCTTTTTCTGCTTCTTCTTCCGGCCCACAATGGGTGCTACCTCAACTTCCTGCTCGACTGGCTTCGCTTCAGCTATGATGGCCGCAGTGGCTTCCTTGGAGGCCTTGTGACGTTGTTTGCGCTGCTGGCTCTTCGTTGTCGCGCGAGCCGCGGCACTACCGACCTTGGACGGCGGCGGAGAGCTAGTTCGAGACGCAGACACGGATGCGCTAATGATCGAGGCGGAATCAGAAATTGCCTCACTAGCAGGAGTTCCTGGTCGATGCGTGGCTCCCTCTGCAGCCCTGATAGCTGCAGCTGCTGAAGGGGCCATACTGGGTGGAAGCTCCGTTTTGGGGGTCTGGACAAGGCGGAGTGTCTTGGGTGCAGCACGAGTGAGAGGTGATGACACGGAAGCCGTAGTGGCAGTGGGTGTGTTCAGTGCCGATGCAATCGTTTTGGGCGCTTGAGTTGAACTAGAAGGAGCCGACTCCACGCTCTTGTCTTTGCTTGGAGATCCCGTTTTTATTGCTGTCGCTGCGGCGATATCCAACACAGGCCGTTTCTCCGTCTTCGTCGTGCCCTTTTGCGCAGGCCCCTTGCTTGACAAAGACGCATCTGCTGTAGCCTTCTTTACTTGCGGGACCTTCCCTGACGTGGCCGACTTTGATGGCAGAGCAGGTGTCACCTTTGGGGGAGCAGTCGTGTTCATAGAATCCAGGGCCGGGAAATCTTCGTCCTGCAAAACAGCATTTCCTTTAGAAGCACCCGAGGATTGCGCGGCGATATCTTTGGATAAACCACTCTCCACTGCGAGTTCTTTGATAGATTTTTTGGCCTCAGAACTGCCCGGAATCAGGTCAACTTTCACTGATTTGGTGTCCACCTTTGAGACAAGTGGAGTTACGGGATGGGGAGCAACAGGCAGAGTTGGACGTGCCACTGGCGTAGCTTGAGGTGTCTGTACAGTAGGGACAGTTGTAGCCTCTCCAAACTGGACGGGAGGATGTGAGTGGCTAAACCCAAGGCCTGGCGGTACCGCCGGGGTGGTCAAGTCGTGGCTAAATCCAACGGTGTTTAACTCTTCCGGGTAAGAATCGGATACTAATGCATCGACCGAAGACGCGTCGAGAGGCAGCAACTCGTCATCTAGGAGAAGAAAAATGTCAGCTACTAGAACCGATTTAGATACGGCAATGTAAAAAGAACATTGAAGAATAGGTTGGCATCACGTCTTCGGTTCTATCGTCGTCTTCCACAGGTATATACATGATGGCGATACAGTCTAATGGAGGGAAAAAGCTATATTTGTCCAGCCTCAGTTTTCGGGCTCGATCTGCTTGTTAACATACATAGAACCTGGGTGGAAGACGACGATAGCTTGCCTGACGTAGCCCCTTGACCGAAGAATGCGAGAATGTCTGAGATGCCAGTGCCAGAACAGGTAGTGCGTCTTTTGAAAGAAAAATGCAGAGCCTCGCCGTGTTGAGCGTCTCGTCGTTTCCAAGAGCAATCGACGCCGATGCAACCCCGACCCGTCCTGAGTCGTGCCTCCGCAATAATGCTCGCTCAAACAGTTTGATGAAATATTCCGACATTCCCCTAAACCTTTCCGTGAAACCTTGACGCCCAGCTTGTACATCGTGTGGAAGCCCCCACGAAAAATCAAAAAAAAAAAAAAAAGGAAGCCCCCGTCGCGACTGCTGGTGTAGAAAGCAACTACCATCTGCCGTATCCGCCACCGGCACCGTACATCATGTTTGGATTATACCCACCTTGGCTCTGACCTCCGAACAACCCCTGTCCGACTCCGGCATTGTTACCCTGTTGCTGGTGTTGCATTCTCGCCTGCAGGATACTCGGGTCCGCAAGATCTACTAAGGCACTCCCCCCAGAGGAGGAAGTGTTAGCATGCCTGTGCTTCTTCCCCTTCTTTTTCTGTTTTGGTCCGAAGTCCTGGAAAGCTCCGGGCTGGGAAGCGTAGAGCGATGCCATGACACTGGGGCCGGAAACAGGGGCAGGGGTAGAGGAGGTAGAGGGTGGGTATTGATTTTGAAAAGAAGAAAAGTACTCACGCTTTCCTGCATCATGGGTCTGGCTCCTGCTGGCGCCTCGGCCGCCGAACAAATTCTGCAGAACGTCACTGTTGGACATGTCCTTTGAGGACCCAAAGCCCGACCCGCCAAAATTGTGACCTTGACCGTACAACCCACCGCTGACCGGCGGAGTACCCGTCGACTTCAGTCCAGGAGGCGGTCCTGGCATCGAAGAAGCGTAGAACTGACTACCAGGCTGCGAGTGAAACGTCGAAGGCATCATGGATGACTGCTGCGCCATGATTCTCGGGTTCGCCGCCAGATTCACTTTTGTCGAACTGGATGTACCCTCATTCGCAAAGCTGAATCGCGACTGCTGACGAGTGTGGCCCTGATTTTGGAAAATGGAAGACTGGGGTGTGCTCAGACCAGGTGGCATGTTCTCAATAAAACCTCCCTGAGGACGCATAAAATGTTGGGGTGTCATCGTTCGGCTGCCTATAGAACCAACGGTAGTGGACACTTGGCCGAAGCTGGATCCTAGAGCAGGTCCAAATAAGCCGTCCGCATTTGTTCGCTGAATCGGAGGCTGGGCCGGGTTACGCCGCTGGTCGAAGCTGGAACCTTCGCGTCCCTGGTCTCTGTCCTCGGGTTCCCCGCCGAGTGCAAGACTGCCGCTCTCAGGCTCACCTTCTGAAGGCTCGCCAATTTCTGCTGGGTCTTCCTGTTCACCCAGGCGGTTCTCCTCTTCTCGCATTGCACGTCTTCTCAAGCCTCCACAAAGGTCGAAAAGGGGGACGAATGAATCACCGTCACCTCTTGGGGGCGCGAAGGCACTATCAGGACACGCCGCCAGCCTTCTGAGAATATCGGCAAAATCCGGCTGGTCAAAAGGACTCTGGATAGGCGCTTTAAAAGTAGTGGCTGGCATGGGCGTGGTCTCGATGGTAGGTTGCTTCTCAGCTTTACGACTTGACAAAGCTGGAAGCGGATCCTCCGTCGTATCGATTGTTTCTTTTGGCGATTCCGCAGTAACGGGCAGCGAGTTAGAGATTGCAGGAGAAGATGTTTCACCACTCGTAGCATGACTTCCACGTCGACTTCGCTGCTGGTTCGTTCGGGCCCAGTTAGCCGATGCCGGTAAAGCGGGTCCATCGCCAGTATCTGATCCTTCCTTGCTGGAGGTGCGAGCCATGGGCTGAGAGGTAGCTGCTGGCGCTGGTTGCGGAGCACTGGTTTGCTGTCGCGAGACCGAACGCGAGGACGAACCGGCATTGTTGGAGAAGGGGCGTTGGCTTTGCACACTATTCAAAGACGAAAGCTCCTCCCGGGAATAACTGTCATCCTCGTCACCACGCTCATGTAGGAACATGCATTGGCGATTTCCACATTGTTCATGTCTGAGCCACGCGGAGCAGTACTTGGTGGTGCCAAGCTGGGCTTTCAACACGCGATCTCCATTCTGTGATCCGTTCACCGCTTGAATGCAGCGAGCAGCATCCTCCCGCTTTTCGAACGTAACATAGATTCCAAGCGACTGAGGCTGGCCATCTGGTGCCTTTCGATTACTAATCGAAATCTTCTGAATGTTACCATACTGGCCGAAGAACTCCGCCTTTCGCAGTGTCTTCAGTAGCTCATCCTCGGAAACTGAAGGTGTAAGGCCGGTGACGTATACGAGATTTTTCTGGACCACGCGAACACCAACGAGGTTCTTGCGGTTGCCCTTGTCGACTTCGCGCTTTTGCACTTCCTTCTGACGTTGTTCAGCAGCTCGCTTCTTCTGGTTCTTCTGAATGTTCGCCCTGAACTCGGCAATCCTGATATATCATTAGCCGGGCCACTTCTTATGGTTTGACAGCTGTAGGGAAGGTGTGCTCACTCTTCCTGCGTCACAACTTTCCATTGTATTGTCTTTTCGTCGTAGGGTCGTCGACATGCAGGGCAAAGTCCATTGAGATTGTTCTTCAGGTTGTTGAAGCAAAATTGGCAGATCTTAATAATTGTCAGCCTTGCGCTGGAGCGTGGGAGTAGCTGATTTTGACACGTACTTGATACCCGCAAGGACATGGCCGAAAATTTCTGTCAGAAAGGTCAAACTCTTCGATACAAAGCGGGCTGCATAGCCGAGTTAGTGGTAGAGCTATGATGGATGGGCCGGCTTTGTATACCATGTATCGTCTTCATCATCGATGAAACTGTCTTGGGGAGCCATGGTAGGCAATATGTGATGATGCAGCAAGAGGCCAAGCCGAATGAGGTTGGCGCAATATCAACTCTCAACTGTATTATTACGATGTGTTGCGAATGACGAAGAGACGATAGATAGGCAAGCCAGAACCAGTATTGCTTCTATCGGCGAAGGGTATTGAGAATTATTGATGGGTGATTATGGACAAGGAGGTCGAATGTTGGTATACTGGGGAGAAACCCATGCAAAGTCGTCGAGAAACGCCGGAGTATAATGAGAACAAGGGAACAGAGGTAGCCGTTTCCGCTCGTAATAATTTCGTCGTGAAAGGGGCTGAGAGGGAAACGGCGAAGGTTCGGGTCGAGAGAGTCAGGTGGTAGGTACTTCGTGTGTAGGCGTGTTGAGAAGTGAAGGTGCAGAGTAGAAATCAGAGCCTGCAAGAACGAGGCCCGACCGATAATTGCCCGAGCAGCGGCAAAACCGGCTAGCGCTATTTGGCAAGGGTGGGGCTAGGCCACTTACAGGCAAATCCACCATACAAATAGCTGCAGGTGGAGTGTGCAAGTGCTGGCTTCATCAGCTGAACGTGACTGAGCTGATTTGGTGGTTTGTTAGATTGAGGTTGTTTTGCTTTGATGATGCCTCCTGATGGCTCTGAGCTAAATTGCTGCCAAATGTCTGAGATATCAGAATTTGACTCCTATGACGGGGATTCTGACGCGACAACTTTTCGGTTGAAGAACACGCTTGCTTGCACGCGCTCCAATGTGCTCTTTAGGACTGAAGCTCGGACCTTTCGTTCCCTGGGCCAAGGTAGGAAGTCGCGGAGCTCGCCAAAACAATCTTCCAGATTGTAGATCTGAGCAATCACGGCCCGGGAATTTGCCATGACCAGCGGAAGGACTTGGCACTGCCAGCCCACGACATCGTGAAGACTCCATCGTGGGACTTCAACATCACAACGCGACCGATTGGTCTTCCTTACTGATCCAATCCACCATGGCGACCAAGCTCTGTCGAAGCAGGGCTTTGGCTTCAGCTCTACGACCTACCAAACCCTCTATCGGCTCCCGCAACGACCAGATAGTGCGCTGCATCAGTGCCACAAGCCGCAACAATGTCGCTATGCCCGCTGATGCGAAGAACATGAGGCATGCGCCTAGGAACCATCCCAAGGAACTTAAGGCTCCCATCGTCAACCCGGCCGACAAATACCAAACTGCGGCTGATAGCCTGCACCGCTACGGATCATGGCTCATGGGATGTATGCCCAAGTACATCCAGCAGTTTTCCGTGTGGAAGGATGAGCTGGTCATCTACATCTGCCCCTCGGGCGTCATCCCTGTCTTCTCGTTCTTGAAGTGTATGTTTTGCCCTTTCGTTGATCTTGACAGTAGCTGATAACGGCATAGATAACACGGCCGCCGAGTTCACCCAAGTCAGCACCATCACAGCAGCCGATTTCCCAACGCGAGACCAGCGATTCGAAATCGTCTACAACCTGCTCAGTGTGAGACACAACTCGCGTATCCGAGTCAAGACATACGCCGACGAGGCATCGCCTGTACCAAGCATCTGCAGTTTATATGACGGCGCCAACTGGTACGAGCGCGAGGTTTACGATCTTTTCGGTGTTTTCTTTGTCGGACACCCCGATTTGCGCAGAATCATGACCGACTACGGTTTCGAGGGCCACCCACTCCGAAAGGACTTCCCGTTGACTGGATACACTGAGATTCGGTACGATGAGGAGAAGAAGCGCATTGTCACAGAACCTCTGGAACTCACCCAAGCTTTCCGAAACTTTGAGGGAGGGTCCAGCAGCTGGGAACAAGTTGGCCCCGGTCAGGACCGGAAGCCCGACGCATTCAAGTTGCCTACGCCAAAACCCGAGGAGAAGAAGGAGGAGCCAAAGAAGTAGACCTGATGCTGCGAAGCCTGTACATAAATGTGACAAAATCAGAGTTAACTCGTTTGCTTAAAATATTTCGTGCATGCCAATCTTCGAGCACGTCACTAGCCTCTGATCTGCTCAAGTAGTTGGTCCTACCGTATAAACGACCTGGACTACAAGCGCATCGTTGAAATGAACAGGGAAGAGGTAGAAGCCATGGCATCTTGCTCAGGTGTCGATAGAAGGATGCTTGCCGCCAATTGCTTATCCCGGCAATCTTCAACCTTGTCAGGTTTAGTTACCGTGCCAGCATACATGTCCATGTAGTTCAAGGTCTGGACACCATGCTGCTACAACACCTGGACCCGATTTTTCAGAAGTACAAGTGACATACATCCATATATACTGGAGTGGGCACAACGTCCTCGAAAGCCAAATACTTGATAACTAGGTAGTTTATAGCTTAACAATTTCAAATACCAGTATGACGGATCGCATGGTTAGCCCACTCTACTAGCACCTAGAGTCTATCGCCCATCAGCCAGGTGGAGTAGTGATACATGCTCAAATGAGGCCGTTGGTTGTTTGGAAGGAAACCAATATGTTTATCTAATCCATAAGCTTCCCTCAGCACACTTCGAAAACGAAACACGACACTCTTGACATGGCTAAAATATATTAGTAGTGTAAACCCTATTTTATCCAAGCTATGCTAGTTTAGTTGGGGTTATGGATCAGTAGCAAGTCTAATTGTCGTATTCATCTGAGTCGCTAGCATCATCAGGGACAAGCGCTCTGTACCTGCGGTTCTGGAGATCTTCGACCAGTCCTCCCTCGCTCTCTGGGTCGACATAGCCTTCAGATCCGCCCACAAGGCTGAGAGCCACGGGCAAGAAGATCAGGGCATGCGAAGCGGCAAAGATGACTAGCGCAAGCCACACGCGAAAATAGTAGATCTCAAAGATCTTGGATCGCGTAAAGGCGAGGACACAGACTCCCAGGAGTTTCGTCACTGTGATGCCACTGAAGACGGAGCCGCCAACGTTGACAAGTGAGGTCCAGGCGCGGGCGTCACGGCCACGGAAGCGATTCTTAGCGCGTTCCATGACCGATGCCGAGGGGAACATGAATGCGCGAGCGATATGAGCGCAGAACTCAACCGCAATTCCAACGCAAATGATAAGGTTGACCAGTGAGACCGCGTTGAGAGAGACATTGAACACTGCCATGGCACCGATGATGTCGGTTACTGTCATCGTGACAGTGACGGTGACCACGAGTGCTGTAGCTACGGACCCCAGAAGCACCGCAGAGACGACAAAGATGATGGCGATGGCTGACCCGAGCAAGGTAGCGGTGAGATTGACGATGCTGGCGTATTGGTCAAAGAAGATGTAGAAGACGGAGTAAGGAAAAACCTCGACTCCTGTCCTGGCATGAACATCGTCGGCAATGCGACGCGCCGCTGCGTATGCTTTAATAAAGTCGTCCTGGCTGCGCAGTGGACTATGCATAGTTCTGAAGTTGCTAGCCGGCACAGTGTTTTTCTCATCGTCAACGACAACGGCCTGGCCGTAGGAAGCTTGTCCTCCAAGAGGGCAGTCTTCATCCGTCGGAGATTTCAAGAATCGCTGCAAGTAATGAACAAACTCATCACCTTCAGGCATGCCGGACAGAGTGATATTCCAGGGAGGGTCACGGCCAGCAAAGCAGGCCTGTCCCTTTTCCATACAGCATGCGTCACCCAGATCAGGGTTCAACCACAAGAAAAAGTCATCGATCCAGCTGGCCGTCGGGGAAACGATGTAGGAGACTTCTGGACGTTTGCGTTCCTGTTCAAGCTGATTCGTGAGGGACAGCTGCTCACAAGACGTGAATCGGGAGCATATTTCCTGTTGGTGTGATCTCCGGGTCGCGTTTAGATGCTTCGTGACAAAGTAAACCGGTGGGCCTGTGTCCAGGTAATTGTACATGTCGTTGAAGTAGTCGATGAGGTAGGAATCACCTGGTAATGCATCTCGCTGATCCAAGCCAAGTTTGACTTCCGGGATCAAAGCAATGCCAGCGGCCAGTACACCGGTGAAAATGACGATGACCAAAATCTTCACCTTTCTTCCCAAAAGGGCTGGGGCATAGTGCTTGCGAATAAATTGCTGCAGCCAGCTCTCCTCAGGCACGTCGTATGGCTGAGGGGCTGCGTTTCCGTTACTTCCGCTCAGGTGCACACGCGCAGCCTTGATATGAATACATGGGAAACAATCCGCTCTGTGGTCTTCGGTACGAATCTGGTTGTACGAGAGGATCGAAATAAACAAAGTCATTTGCAGAAGGGCGTTGATGAAGACGGCGCCCGCGGCGTAGATCGCAAAGTTGCGAACAGCTGGCATGCCTACGAAGGCACCAAGGGCGAAAGATACAGTCTCAGTGATGGCAGAGAAGAGGATTGACGGACCCATGCGGCCCAAGGCCTTGGCTATCCTCTCCTCAACCTCCGCATCTGGGTGGAGGACGTTGACTCGCTCAAACTCGTGAACAATGAGGAAGATGTTGTCAACTCCAACGGCCAGGACAATGAACGGGATGACTTCTGCAATGATAAGCGTTGCCTTGATTCCAGCCCAGGAAAACAGTCCAATCGATGATGTGATGGACATCAGGACAATAACAATGCCGAAAAGACCCAAGGTGAATTTGCTCTGTACCAGGCATACTGCAGGGTTCCTGACCAGCTCTCGAATGGTCATGCTGGTAGATCCCAGAGCTAAGGACGCATAAATAAACATGACCACATAGCTGATAACGACGATAGTAGCATCAGTGTTGGTGGACTTGTTGAGTTCCTGCTCCAGGCTGATCTCTGTCGAGAAAGACAGGCGGAGTCCTCGAGAGGCGGCTTCTTTCTGTGCGTCCAGCAACCGATCCTTCAAAGCCCTCTCCCAGTCCTTTGCGCGAGCAACGCGGCTTTCCTCTTGGAAGTTGTTGACAACCCAGGTTGCGGTCATAGCCGGAGCATCGGCAACGTCATCAATATTCTTGTAACCCCCAAGAACCATGTTTGGTTCAATTGGCTGACTGAAATCAGGTCTGCAATCCACTGGAGATTTTGCACAGTGGATAAGGTCTTCTCTCCAGGAGCTCTTGTCAAAGTACAAGTTGTCCCAATAGGCGGCTACCGACTGGACAACGCAAGCTGATTCGGTCGGCTTGAAACATACATCCTGCAAAGTCGCTCCAAAGTTGGAACTCTTAAGCTGCTTAACGCTCTGCTCGAGATCCATCCACCATTGGATGGTATCGGCGCTGAGGACGGGACCGCCTGTGTCGTTCACCAAGAAGACTTTCTCGGCTCTGTAGAATGGACCAAAGCTGTCATCAAAGAAGGCCTTCTCCTGAGCAGCAGCTGAAGTCGGGCTGACCCAAAGTCTTGCGGGCTCCCTCTCAATCTCAAACTTGACCCAACCAGCGCTGAGAACGACGACAACAATCAAGCTGACGGAGATAGTGATAGCCGGGAACCTTGCGCAAACGTGGCCGAGCTTGCTGAAGGCAATGTCGCACCAAGTGTTAATTCTATAGTATTTCTGCGGGCGATCGAACATGGCACCGTTTCGTACCAGGTGTCCTTCGTCCTCGTCATCATCACTTTCCACAGCGCCTTGCAGAAGGTGGAGACTTTCACTGCGTCTTTGCGCATGCTTCTTCCATGCAACATGTCCCGCGATGGCCAAGACCAAGGATAATAGCAAGACACTATAGGTGAAGATAGACGCAAAGGAAAGGCAAGGAAGAACGCCCACGCGACATGAGCCGGATTGTCCGACGGCGGGAAGCTCCGGGCAGATTGCGGGGCAATCGACACATGCGCAACGGAACGCCGGGTCCTCGTCGTTGCACTTCTTTGGCGTCATCTCACGCGGTGACATTGCAGGTTCGGAGTATTTGGGCGGGAAGTTCATCTGAAACGGCGATCCTATTGCCTTCTCGTCTCCGAGGAACTTCAAGAGTTGGGAATAGTTCTTTGCGCCGCCGCCAATGAAGTCAATGGCCTTGGAATTGGAAGGTCCAAATTTGACTTCTTTACAACTGTCGTAGAAGCCGGTTCCGTATTCTTCTGATATTAAATGGTCCAGCTCAGTCACCATGTTTTTTCCGTTCTTCTCCTGGGTCTTTGTAACATTGACGAAAAGCGACTGGTCCGGCGAGCAGGTGAAGGAGCAGAACAGGTTGTAAAAGTTGTCTTTGCACGCCGGGCAAGATCCGATGATCTGGTTGGGCGTGGACAACGCCGACTTGAGGGAATCGAGCTGTCCGGCATCACAGCAGACCTTGCTGTCCTTCCATTTGGCACCGCACAAAGCCTCGATGTCCTTGGCAAGATCCTCGTCGGGCATCGTCGCAAGGCCATTATCAACACAGGGCAACTCCTTTCCAAAGAAGCCCTTTTTGCCGCAGTGGCCTCGAACTGCGCAGCGTCCCTTCTCATGCTTTGGTGTAAGAAGCTCGGCGGAAGTCATCGCTCCTGCCAGCATCGCGCCGGCGACGAGGAAGGTTCGCAATCGAGCCATTTGGGGGCGACGCTGTGGTCGATAGCCCTAAGCTTCGAACAGATTCGTCAAGCCCAAACGGGGATATCCCGTGAGGCGGTACCCCAAAGGGACTAATTGTATTGATGTCAAGGGTCCTTCGCCGTGGGGAGCAACTACGACAATTGACTCGGATGTGACTGGCGGTAGTTTCGTAAATAAATGCCGTCAATGTAGCATGACTCCGTCGCTGAATCGAGGGTTTGGGGCAGAAACACGTAAAATGATAGATGGTTGAAGGTCGGCAGAGACGGGGACGAGTAATGATAGTTTGGGTACGCGTGGGCTCCTGGACTTCTACCTTTAGGTAAGCTCTGGTCACAGGTGGGCTGGGTGAATTGTCCTGCGTCATAAAACGTCGTCTGGTGGCGCAGGCCACAGCTTACCCGTGAGGCAGGGATTCATCAGAAGACCATTCCACACATGGCCCAAGCACTGCTTGTCCGAGAACGCAGTACTGAACACCAGCAGACTCGACGTTGTGATCACCAATGGTAACCTTGTCACACTACGTTGGGCGACCCAGCGAGGCTGATAGTGGTCTTTTTTCTAGAAGCCAGAGTCTTCACGAGACACTCAAACATCCAAACACTTTGCATGGATCGGTTGCGAAAACGTAAATATCTTGTGCCTGGCAGATAGACGCTGCATCGTCGATCCCGGTGCTCTATTCCGGAAAACCTCTTCCTGCACATAATTCAACACTCTTCAGGGGATTATTCAGAGCTGATATATTTCTTGCAACAATTTATTTCGCTTTCTAGCTCAAGCGCATCTATATGTACTCTGTTCATCATTTTCGTCGCTTCGTTTCGCATATATCATTACTAATACCGCAGACTTTGTAAGGCCTGAAAATGTATTCTTGGACGCTGAGCAAACATGGCTATTCCAATGCTGGCTTCATGTGTTCAAAAACGCCTTGCAATGCTTTGTGACTTGTCTCGCGTCCTCATCGCAATCTTCTGCCAGTTACGAGATATTGGCCCGTCAAGACTTCGATCTTCCAGCCGTCCGCAACGAGTGCCTTAAACACGTTGGCTCTGAGGCGAGATTTCCCGTCAGCGCTGTGGCGTCCCAACCCCGTGATGACGGTAAAGCCTTCCCTCGCCTTACGTGCTCGATCTTCTCCCAGGGTATTCCACCACTTCCAAACACGGGATATGGCGATGTCCACCCCGTCCTGGACAGTGACTCCGTGGAGGTCAATCATGTCGCTTGTAGCTGTTGAATCCACATGGTATCCAGCTTCGACACTACTCATCTGACGATGGATCTTGGCCTGCTCCCTCGCACGTTCTGCGTAAACGCTTCCCACTTGTCGGAAGAGCGGGTCTGAACGGGCCCTTTTGTAAGCCGACGATGCTGACGCATATAGTCGGTCTCTCGATGCGGCGAGATCTGTAGACGAATTCGTGGAAAATTGGAAGTCGAGGGGATGGGGCAGTGCTGCGGTCTTTCTGTGCGCTGCATTTGACGGATTGAGTTTTGGCGAGTTAATGCTTGTGCCGCCTTCCAGCAGACCATGATCCTTCGACGCTGCAACATTATAAGCTACTTCGTATTTAAGGTAGGCTGGCTTTTCGAAATAGTCGCCCAAGACTCCGATCAAGTCCAGCGCAAACTGGTGCTTTGGGCTGGTAATCTCAAAGATGGTCCTGAGATATTCCGCTGGGACCCAAGAATATTTGGCGGCTTGTTCTTCTGCGCCGGGAAACGTGAACAATGCTCGATCTGATGAATCCATGCCAAGTCTGAGATAGTTTTCTAGAATCTCCACGACCGTAGCCCCCATGGACGAATTGTGACGAAAGTAAATGCTAGATATTTCTATCTCAGTCGTGTTCAGGCGCTCGGCCACGTAGGCGATATCGCCTAGGCTTATTAGCTGATTGTCTGGGGTGAAGCGCCGCAATTCAATCAGTTGGACTTACGGCGGCTTGTCTCCTCGTGATTATTGGGTTCCTCTGACAAGTCCTTCAAGTTTCTGTTGCTTGACTTGGGCAGTCGCACAGGGGCTGCCTTCTTCTTCGTTCCCCTTTTTCTCTTGCTTGATGTGGCGTTATCTGGCACATAGAAGGCGTCGATGCCCTTGACTCGTTGTCCAGTCTGCTCCAAGAACTCAGTGTTGAGCAGTTCATCAATGGCAACGCTGGCGTCACCCTTTGAATTTCTCAATGCCAGCTTCACATCGATGGGTTTGAGTGAGGTGAACATCTCCAATAGCTGAGATTCTTTTTCCGCATCGGTCAATTCATCAAACACGGTGACGCGAGACGCTGAGGACTCCTCTGGAGTTGATGAAGTAGCTGAAACGCAACTCTGCGACCGGGAACTTTCGGTGGTGGTACTTAGACCGTCACTACTTTTTAGGTCACTATCAGGTTCACCGTGGACATCCAACTCATCCGGAATATCCTGAGTAATATCGACAACCTGGTTGACACCAAGACCGCTGGGATTGAACCCAGTTGCCTCTTCTACCTCTACATCTTTAGACAGACTCAGAAGAATGCTTCTGGCTTTATCGAATTGTTGAGGCTTGGCCAGGTCGTAGTCACTGCAGATTGACAATATGGTTGCCTCGTCTAGCAGGGAGCACAGCTCATCCTAAAATTCATGTTAAACTGCGTTACATCGTTTTGTTTGGTTTGCAGTGAAGCGCGCATGGCCAGCTTCCAAGCAAGAACCGCTGATCCAACGGTCTGGAGAGGGAAAAACGAACAAAATGAAACATTGAACTTACCACCAATTTTGCTGACGGATCTTCCATGTCTCATACAAACGCTCTGAGCAGACAACGTGTGAATGATGAACGAGGCAAGCTTCTTTGTACTGCAAAAATCTGGTCTGTTTGAATGGTGTAACAATAAAACGTCATGCGTCGTACAGATTGCATTTTCGGATTTGCGAATAAAAAAAATGTAGTAGAAGCGCTGAAAGAAACAAGAAATGGGCACTCCTCGTGTGATGGGTCACTCGATGAATCTGATCCAACCAAGAAGAGACTTGTTTAATGAGTCGTCGCGTCAGAGGTGGAAAGCACTGTGTTGTGTTGCACTGTTTCCTTTATTGGCCTAACTGCCCACTAGACTAGAACTCGAGGCTTGAGCGTCACCTGGCTGCATACTCACAGGTGACAAGGAGGCCCTTCGGATGGTGCCAGCTGGTATGCACCTCGAGCTCCAGGACTCCAACTTGGGACGCAGTGAGACACACACACCGTTCTCACCAAGGGTTCGACTCACAAAATCTGGTTGCGTAATAACTACAAGCCTGGGCAGGAGAAAGATGAAGCAAAGCGAATAGAACAACGGTACAAAAACCTGTTCCAAGGCGAAGCTGAGATTCTGAACCAGTCAAGTCGAGAACAGCAGTCATATCGTCAGATATTATGAATTGACGAAAAGCCCCTGTGGCCTCCTCAAACTAGTAGACTTTGACTTTGCGAAGTTCTCTCCCGGAAACAGACATTGAGGGTAGCAATATCTCGTCCCGATTTAACATCCGAGGGCTGGGCTGCGTTGTATCTTGAGTTCCTGGCCTGGTATCTGGCGGGCTGGGAAGTCGTCGACAGGGACTTTCCAGCTGTAAGAATGAGCCCCGATCACTGCGGGATCAACGCAGACACTTTCTTCACATTCAGGAATTCAGATGGCCCCGCCTCTACTTATATCATCAAGGTCAATCCAGCCGTCACGGAGTCGATCTCGAGATTGCGCAACCGCTTAAAATGCACTACTGACTTGCAAGAGTTTCTCGACACCATAGAGAAGAGAATGCAGGCCATCTCCTTTGAGAACCAGATATCGGCTTCAGCCCTAACCCAAAGTATAGAGCAGATACTCGAAAAATACCACAACCTGATGGACTTACGTCTGTTCCCTCATATCCCCAAACAACCACGATCTACTTTCGACCGGTGGCAAACTTCATGCGAACGTGGCTGGAGAATGGCACCATTGATGGGCACTCTTTTCCACCAATTAGTAGTTCTCTGAAACGACTCAACTTCAAGCTAGCTTCGAGCCTGTTTATTTGTGCTAATACAACGCTACACGTTTTCCTATAACCCCAGTTAACGACATGACGGAATAAACGGGGCACCTGGAATGCGATAGAGGATAGCCCAATATTGCGGTGTAGTAAAGTGGCGTAAGGTAGTGATTCCGACTGGGAGACACTAGGATATCGGGTCATCCCGTGTTATTCTACTGCAGGTGCGCCGTTTATTCTGTCGTCCACTTGCCTTATTTCCAATCTCAGGGGAAAGTTCTTGTTCCTGTCGTCAGTAGCTACTAGACATCAGAAGTACAGACGAGTCTGGAAGATGTCGAGACAAGGTACGCGTGGGGAAACAATACTTGCTGGCATCGAGACACCACCGGAGCTTGGACTTGGCTCGAGGACTGTCCTGGACGGCATTCCCAAATGGCTGGCACCTCCAGCGCTGGAGTGGAAGGCAACAGCTGTCAGATGGGGTTATCACGTCAAGCTTGGGCTTATGTCTGCGACGGATCCTATACAGGGTTCACGAGATCGTGCTATTTGACTTGGCATTCGTGCCTAAATGGCTAAGGGGCCGTCGACCAAGTCGATCTGCAGAATGAATTTGCTCGCGTCACATTTCCGAGCTCACTTGCTGTGGTTTGGCCGGCTGTAACAGCGCTGAGTGAGGCTCTGACATGAACACAGGAGCTTCGCGAGGCAGACGTACCGTGAAGGTACGGAGGTTCTTGTCATATGTGTCTCTTGATGTTAGGCGATCATGGGTAGCAACTAAATAAGCTCCACATCGTCGGCTGTATTTCAGATGTCGAGATTACCTAGGTATGATAAGCCAGTGGCTGCATAGTACGAACACTGTTCTCCAGAAGGACATGGCCCAGTACCGTACAGGATAACACAAAGACTTTTGATGAGAACGAACGATGACTGAGAGAAGCCGGCCTCGTATGGCGGCACTAGCTAGAGAGCTCCGGCACGTCGGATTCGAAAGGTTCACTCCGGATCAATATGGCTAATTGTGCCAACACTCAGAAAAGCTTGAGCGCAAGCTTGCATACCGGGGGCCTCACGGTGAGCTTCAACTTGCGAGAAATGATTCATCATGACCTTCCATTGGCTGTAATCTATTTATCGAAACCCTTATCTAGTCCTGGTCGGTCAGCAGTAAACCTCATCAAATGCGCCGCCAAAGGGCTAGTGAAAAGGGAGGGGAGTATAATGCAAAGCGCTAAGACGACTAAGCAGCCACCCCGTCACCATCCTACAGTCGCTTTCTCGATGCCATTCAAGGCATCACTGCAAAATAGATAAAAGACAAGAAACGCCAACGTGTTTTTAAAAAATGAAAAAATATCATTCATCCGAGGTCTGCACAGATCGACCCTCTGAAAAAGTGAGCGGTATATCACCAATTCGGTTTTCAGGGATTCGCATCAATGTCCAAGTTTGTCCAAACTCGTCGCGGCAAAGACAACCCTCTCACCCAGGAAAAGCTTGGCACTGCCAAAACGCTAAAATGCCTGTGTGCGGCTCCGTGGATCACTCGCGTCTACCTGTAGAGTTCCTCTGCGGGCAGTCTCCAAACCCATGCCATTCCGATGTCGGACGGGCGTGGTTTGCCCTGGTAGATTTAGTGAGTTGAGTTCGAGTCACAATTACAGCTTCGAAAATTGCCTATGGCCCCAGCGGGGTAGCCGTAGAAGCCTGTCCTTTGCCCCATACTACCGAGCATTGCCCTTCAGCTTGGCCGTGGCCGAACCATCTTCATCCTGGTAAAGGCCGTGCTCCTTGATGTAGTTGACGACGGTAGCCGGCACGAGGTAGTCGATGTTCATCCAGCGCTTAATTGCAAGTCGTATCTTGGTGGACGAGACCTCATTGGTGATCAACTGTGGAATATAGTAGATGTTGTCTTCCCATTCCTTGAGACTGCCTAACGCTTCTTGAATGTCGGTACCGGCTCTTTCAATCACAAACGCGCCGTACTTGCCTAGGATGTGGGCTAGGTCGTCTTGACTCCAGACTCCGGGTGCACTCATGGTCTGGATGAGGTCGCTTCCGGCGAGGAGTGCGATCCTGACTGGTTGTTTCTGGCCGTTGGTATTTTCTACACCGCCAATGACGTCGTTGATTTCATGCTCGAAGTGATCTAACACCTTTGCGGTCGGCCTTGAACATGTCAGCGAATTCCAGGGTCCCATTGTGCGCGAGCATCAGTTTGCTGTCGCTGAAGAGAAACCTACATATAGGCTGGCTGTACTGCCTCCCATTCGTCCACCATCAGGAAGTCTGTTGTGTTGTTGATCTCCTCCGCGGCCAACTCGGCCATCCGTAACCTGTGGGTTGAGGAAGCCAACCCCGCTTTCTTGTATGCATCGCTCACAGGCGACAAGTATGCGCCTACCACGGTGAAGTTCGTGTTGGCCTTAACATAGTCGTAGGCGTGCGAGAACATGCGCAGGTGCAGGATAGTGATGGGCGAGAAACTGCCGCAAGCGACGAGCACCAGCGGGATCTTGCCGGCTTCGACATCGGTGGTTTGCAGCCGCGAGGACGGGAAGTGGTAATTCTCTAGCGACATTGAGGATGATTGCACTGATGATTGCGCGTCTGAAGTTTGTGTCGTGTCGTGGCTAGATTCGGAGGCCATTGCGGTAATTGGACGGCACCTTGGAGATGCCGAGGCTGGGAAGCAAGGTATGAGATGCAATGACGATGAGGTCAGCTTCGTGGTCGGCGACATGCAAAAGCGGTTGTTGCAATGCAGTGCAATTGGCTAGATAAGATAAGGACGACCTTTCTTATTAAAGCTGTCGAATGTAGATGCACAAGTAAACTGTATGGTGATGCTGGTGTCCGCAAATTGTCTGATTTTCTCGGTTTGGGTTGGCCCTCGGAGAAATAACAGCAAGTAATAAAGACTCAGAAGGTAATAGGCAGAAGGAGGGAAAGGCCTAACGCAGTGGCTCCAGTAGAGGTAGAGGGCCCAATGTTCTGGACTATTTGTATTGCAGTGCTGTACCTGCCTGGCAAGCCTGGCAACTGGGTTGTAGCTTTTGAAGATCTGAGGCCGCACAGTCTTCTTGACAGGCCTGCCCTGTCGTGGTACGCAACAAGGTGGCGTCAGGCAGAAGAGGGGAGACAAAGAACAGCTGGTTTGGCTACCATATCAACTTTTACCGCCCCCCCCCCCCCCCCATTTTTCGCATAAGCTTACTTCAGCTCGTGTACTTAGATCTTAGATACTGTCTGGTAACAGTGATATTTCCTCTGTTAGGTAATTATTCATCATCTCAAGCAGCAATTGTCGTTGGTCACTTGCAATTCGCAACCGCAAAACGCAAGAGAACCGGCGGCAATACTGGAGAGGGGCCGCACAGAGGGGTGCAGTTGCCCCGCTTGCGTAATGGAGAAATTTGCGAGCTCTTGTCCGGGGTTGGGTTGGCTCGATGCTTGTTGGCTCAGACGGGATTTGCAGCATAATATTTTACCAGGCAATCCTGGACGTTTGGAAACACACGAAGCTCCAATACCCATACTTGGCATGGCAGTCGGCTGTTCATCGTCAATTCTGGACTGGTCGAGCCTTTGAGCTCAAGTTCGGACCATCAACCATTAGCGGCGTTCAGTATACAAAGTTGGGAATCCAAATTCCCATGCAGCACAATCAACGCTGAACAGCTTCTTGATGCTTCCCTTAGATTAGAGTTGTCACTGTCTCGCTTTATTGCGACATCCTCGTTATTGTGCGTAATGTTACATATTGCGATGCAATGAGAACCAGAGGTGGCTGTGTATCCTGAAGCAGAGTTTGTGAAGTTGTGGGTTGGCGAATCTCTTTTGATTTCTGTGTAGTCCTTCAGACTCAATTAGATCATGCGTGATTTTGTCTTGCTCCCAATTATAAGCAATGATAATGTTCAGTGGAATAGGGAACCCAAACACAAATGTCGTATTGATGGTTGGTAGCTTGTATGCATATACTCAAAAACAACCTCGCAAAAATCCCGGCATGCCAAGAAGAACTGCAAAAGTTATGGCGTTACCCGAAATCGAATCGGGGTCTACACGGTTTCACGATGCGAAACCACAACGTGTTGTACTGACCACTATACTATAACACCTATTTGCCATGTGTTTGATGGGTCTCATTTGTTGAAACTATCGCGACTTGTTGTAGCTTATGTCGTGCAAGAGGGCGGAGACTGACGAGCAAGACATAATAAACCCACTCTCGATTTGAAGCTTGCTCACGAGAAAAACTTTGCCCAGGTATGACACATAATTCAACCCGGTGCTAGACGGACCACGGCACCGGCCGGTACGCTTGTCACAGTGGAAATCAGCATTCCGGGGTCGCCGTACAGTTTACTTTAGTCAGTTACTTGAATGGCAGGAGGCAGGCATCCCGTAGCTAAGACTTTTCCTCAGCAACCTCCTCTTATAACCATTCGCCGCAAGACCTAGGGACTATTCCGGGCATCGTCGGCTGCGTACCCTAAAACCTCAAGACGTCTCTATCCCGGGAGACAGCCGTGCGCGACACTCTCAGCTGTTGAGCCTTCCGCGGAATCTGCAATGATTCGCTTGTTATGAACCAACAGCACGTGCTATGTAGTAAGACGACAACAGCCTCGACTCCACGACCAATAGGTCTACATGACCGCCAGGGCACATTGGGCCAATGCCTTACCGTTTTGCCCCAGAACAAACGGGAACAAATGTGAATGGGTCGAGGCCAAGAGAGGCGGAATGATGCGCCAATCTCGAGCGCTGTGCATCCGCTTTGGCCGCCATTTAGCGACGTTGTTGTTCACAAATGAGCGGATGGCTATGATGGATGCTCGGTCCTGTTGTGAAGATTAGGCTGTCAGCGTATACCGATACAAATGCAGACCGGCTTCCCGATGTTGTCTCATTGCTGCTATCCTAACTCCCATTTGACGGTTTACCGTACGAGGGAGTCACGCTATCCATGGAGTTGCGTGTGCGACTTCAATGGGTAAGGGTAGTTGAGTATGTAAGGGGGCGTCGGAAGAGGGTCTAAAGTATTCATTCATATCCAGATGTGAATATGGCATATCAACCAAGCATAGAGTACTTTATCGTTGCGACTGCTAATACATAACCTACCACTTACATATGGGAGCCCGGCCCTATCACTGAAGTAGTCATGGTGCTCGACTTACAGAACCCGATGGTTGCGAAATCAGGGCCATTTCTAGCTCATTGCAAGCATACCTTCACCTATAGGATCCATGTGCTTGGTTTTGGTTGGTTTTGGTCGGTTGGGGTCGTCGATAGTCCATGGTACTAAAAATGATTATTATCAGTCGCATTTCCGCGAACGGACGTCTGCAACTTACACTCAAGTCACTTTCCTTCTCTATGATCTTCTCCAATCTGCATGCTTCTGTAAATTCTCCCTGAGGACTCACACTCACAATGCATTCTCATGTCTCACAAGAGGTCGGTGCGCGTCATCAGGGCCGTCTTACCACAAACTAAGGCTGCGAGGGTGAGGCGAACCAACCGCCCGCCAGGCTGCAATGCCTGGAAGCATATCCCACAACAGCCACATCTTGGGGCGAACTCTACTTGCCCGGCTCCAGAGCCTAACACAGCCTATCAATTGAATTGAACAGATCTGCTCAATCAGCAACTCCCTCTCCAAGTTATCCGACCTCGGCGGTGAAACAAGGAACCTTGAAAGTAGAATAGATTTCCTTGAGATGCTGGATTGACTGGATACACCTGACCTGCGTCATTGAGCACACGAGCACGCTCCCAGCGCCACAACACCACTGTGGTGACCACCACGGTACAATTTCGAACAGAACTCTACACATCAACCTGGCTTTTTTCTTGTTGTTTGGCTTTGCTGCTTGCTACTTGCGTATTATCTGGTACATCGTTAGCCATGGACGGCTTCTTCAGCGACGAGGCCCTGAGCCAGGACAGTGAAGCCCTGTTTCCCGGCCTCCTGCTTGCAGAAAGCCAAATCAGCGACCTGGATATCTCTTCCAATAATATCGGCTTAGAAGAACCTCCACCAGCTTCACCAGCTTCACCAAAGCCAATACGCCGCCGCACCATTCCGCGGTTCAATCCCAGGAAGCGCTATTCCGAAGTGCCGCTCCACCCGTCATCTGACCAACACCAATCCCGACATCAAAATGAGTCTTGGGATGCCGACGCCATCGCTATCGACGCGGCCGAGGTCCCTCGGTGGCCCGACGAAAGCCAGCAGGACCTCGCGGAGCGCATCAACAACCTCAGGCGCATGATCCACAACAACGCGCAGTTCTGCCTCGAGGTGTCGGGCAAGATGATTACCCTGGCCAAGGAGAACAAGCACCTGATCGCCACGGCCGAGTCCACTCTCTCGGCCTACGTGCTACAGCCCTGCTTGAAGCTCGGCAGCTCCCTGCAGACGTACTATCCGGGTGTGAATGATGGTTTACAAGCGTTGCGCGAGTACGAGACGAATTTAAGGCGGTCGGTGGTGAATCGGGCTAAGGGGCAGGAGATGGCACGGATTGGGATGGTGGATAAGGGGAAGATGGGCGAGGTTAATAGGTTGAAGGACCGGCTGGTCGAGCAGGATGCGCTGCTGCACGATTCGAATAGTCATGTCCAGAGACTTATTCGAGAGAGGGAATTACTAAAGAAGCAGCTGGCGGCAGGGCTTCAGGGATTGAGGGACGGGGCTAGCTCGGTGGATTCTGGGTCGGGGAATAGATATAGCCCTCGCTATCCTTACAGTGTCGGGCTCGACGATGATGGCGATGAAGCAACTGCAGGTGGAGTATCTGCAACCGCGTTAGCTGACCAACTGCGAGAGTTGCGCGTGCTTGTGGACCAGCTGACTCTCCATGAAGTAAATTTCCTCTTGTTATGAAAATATCCAGGCTAACATATGATCAGGTGTCGAGTCGTGAAAGAGAAGACATCCTAACTGAAGGTCGTCCAGCACAAAACCGCAACGACGATGATGAGAACAGCGATGATGATTGGACACATTTATAACATATGAGGCTACATAGGATGTATATGACGAAACCGAGTCGATGTTTTTGTGACCCAGCTGGTGTTAATATGCGAAACGCCTCTTGAATTGGGCGGTATACAGCATAAGGCTGGTCATATTAAAGCTAGCAAGGTCGTTGGATTACCAAGTTAGAGGCGTCTGAAACAGTTAGCAAATTGGAGATGGAGGATTGAGTAAGCTAATGACTGGCGCTTGTCTGTACAATCTCATCACCGAACAAAGTGGTTTGCATTGCATGTAGCAAAAGCCCGGCAGTCTGTAAACCGCCGCCACACGAAACGATCCGGGATACCTAATCAATAAGTGTAGGAAACACAGTTAGCGGGGAAGGCGTTTAACTTCAATTACGTTAAGTTCAGATTTATTATGCGCTTCCTCTTCAATATCAGTGCTTTCCTGCTAGGGGCTGGTTAATATGGTATCATACGGCCAGTATTCTCTCCGAGAAGGGCTCATTCTTTTATATACCCAGAACTTGGAAACGTAAGGAGTCATCTGATGGGTGTTCTTTTCTCCCCGCTAACCCTCTTCTACAATGTACGCATTTTATCTAATACTCAAAGCTCTCAAACACCACATCCTCCCCTTTGGTCCACTCCAGCAGCGCTTTCATCAGGTCCGGCCCTGTACAGCAGTATAATCTCCTCTTTTCTCGCTGGCCCACTGCCAGAATATCATCTCTCGTCATCCGTCTTTCGACTAAATGAGCCCCTAAACTCTCCAGTCTATTCATCGTATCCCTACTCTTTGTATCAACATCCCCAGTAACGAAGAGTGTGGTGATCTTGCCCAAATCTTTGTTCTTCTCCACCACATGTACTGCAAGTGCTAAGTCCTCCGCCCTCAGACTCCACAGCACTTTCAAGGTTGCGCTACCACTGCTGGCCCCCGGGGCCTCCAGTACCCCCTTCAGCTGCGCCATCAACGGTGTAATCCCCACCCCGCCAGCAACGAACATATTGTCCTTCCTCGCCTCGTCTCCTATCCTGATTCTTCAACGATACCGGTATCCTAAATCCCTCCTCTCCCCAAATCCCAAAACCGGTATCTCCAGCGGGACCCTCAAATTCCACCTCCAGAGCAAACCCGTCACAGGACCGTATTTCCGGGCCGTGATCTCGATCTCCGGCTCAACGCCTTCTTTCACCATACCATTCTCATCAACAGCGTTTCTGTCAAGCGGCGCACTGACCGTAAAAGTCCTCACATAATCATCATTAAGCTCTGCGGATCAGAATCGCGCATATGCGACCACCCATAATCAAGTTCAGGGCCAAAGTCCAGGGTGACGTGCTATCCCAGATGCCAGGCCCGCAGCGGAATTATGTGGCCCCTTTTGTCGTTGGTGGGGCTGAGTTTGAAGACGAAGCGAGATATGCTGGGAGTGACGACTTCGCGCTTCATCAGTACGGCGGCCGTGATTGCAGAGGGTTCAGTCTCTGCTGGCATGGAGACAGACCCCTTTTCACTGAGTAGACGGCGGACGGGCGGATTGTAGGGCAAATAATCAATCACACTCCTCCGGAACGGCAGCCCATCTTTTACGAAGCTCGCTTCTTCAACGTCGATTTTCACAGCCAGTTTCGTGTGCGGCAAGTAAGCGGCTGCTGTGTCTGCGAAGAGGATGGTGGTGCGGCCCGTAAGGTACAGCACATTTCCGGTGTCGAAGTCGGGGAATTCGTACCGTCGAGAGGCAAAGGTCAAAGGCTGGCAGTATCGCTCTGCACTCACTGGATGAAATCTTCGACTTGCATGTTTTTCAAAAGGTCTAACACTTCATCTTCGCTATTTCCGTCATGAAGGACCCAAATATTGGTGTAAACATATATGCAAGAACTAAATCTCTACCTTTAATGACATTTTGCCCACAGCCTCCCTTCCAGCTCACAATGCACCTTGTCTCCTCTTATGTACAAAATGCCGAGTCCAAGTACTTCACATGGCTTCCGTGAAAGCAACACCTTCGGTCGTTCTTGACTTGGACAACAATGTTTCGTGCTGTCCATCTTACGAAGTGGTGAAAGTAGAGTTGATGGGTCCGAAGCGGATGTTGCTGTAGATGACGGTGTCAGAGGCCTGCTTGTCCTCGACATCGGCGGGCACGCCCGAGCCAGTGTCGCAGCTTCCACGGGGAATACCCGGGGCCGAGGCGTCTTTGTCGAGCGGGTAGGTGCTGTCGAGCCAGAGCATGTTGGCATAGTGCTGTAGTTTATCCATCAGCATTCATGTTCTGATATCAAGTCAAGAATCGCATAAGGGACGACTCACATCGTCCCAAAGAGACATAACCAAGACCATCCCGCTCGAGAGCGCCTTGCCCATCTGGGCCAGTCCGCCCTTGGCAGCGAAGTTGTCAGTGTCCCCGAACGCCTTCTTCTGGTCTGTGCAGAACTTCGAGTTGATGTTGTTGCCCGAAGTATCCGCAATGGTCGAGTCCGAGTTGGCAATAGTCTTGCCGCCCTGTTGGTAGTAGCGGTTGATGGACTCAAGGTTGCCGTCGGCGCCCTTGATAAACTGCGTGATGACGGTGAATTTCTGGGTCGTGTCGACCGTCATGCTGGGACCGTAAAAGTCGGTCACACCCTGGCGGTACGAGTTGAAATCACAGCCGTCGGGGTCGCAGTCACCCGCGTAACGGGTGGATGAGTAGGTTCCCCCGCATGCGTCCCCGTCGCAGGCGTGCTGGCCCACCGTCGTGCAAGGGTGGGGAGTGAAGGCGGTGGAGATGCTGTTGGCCTCTGTGACTTGGGTTAGTTAACAGCTTCTGCCAGAATACGGTGGCCTGCTTACCCCAGATGTCCATCTCAGAGCAGCAAGAGCCCATCTGCCCGACTCCGGCGTTCTTATCATTGGTCGAGGGGCTCCACTGTGCCGAGTTGGCCTTCCCATCGATGAACTTGAGATCACGAGGGCACTGAGCGTCACAGTAACCTGTTCCGTACTTCGCACCGGCCTTGTTGGTCGAGTACTTGGATTTGCCACCGTCCTCGTCCATGGAGACGAAGTACAGCGCCCCGTTCAGGCCGCATCCCAGCTTGGACAAGTCGACGTCGAAGGTGAACTCGTTATCAAGCAGCGTAAACATCTGGTACTTGTCGGCATCGGCCATCAAATACATGCGCGATCCGATGTTGGTGGCTAGAAACAATCAGCAAGTGCCCACACCCGCTATGGGTACGTAGGGAACTCACAATCGGTGCTCTTGGTGACAAACTTCAGCGTCAGCGCGTCGCCGCTGGTACTCGCGCCGTAGGTTCCCGTGTAGTCAGCACCGTCCACAGCGCAGTTGCTAGCACAAGATTCGGCATCAGAGCAGATGCTCGAGTTCCACTGCATGGCATCAATATTTGTGTGGCGTCTTGTTGGAGGAAAGTGTAGTATAGTGGCTTACCTCGTTGCCAGTGTAGCAGTTAGTGTAGCCTGACCCATCGTATCAGTACTATTCGAGACAGCCTTTGCTTCCGACACAGAAGAATGTTAACTTACCTGCCTTATCATGCAGCCAACGCCAGTTAGCATCGACCGTGATCTCTCCGTTGACAGTCGAGCAAGAACCAGGCGCAGTGCACTTCTTCCAAGTCATCTTGGGGTGAGTCTCCGTCTTCTGGGTACCAACCTGCTGGGCATTGCCCACAGCCAGCAAGGCGCCCAGAACTGCAATTTTGGAAAGCATGATGATGACGACAGGGGTATACAAGGTACCGAGGAACTGAGTTGGTATGCTAAGAGAGCGACATGGTTAGGAATCCAGAATCTGAAATCGTCCAACCTTCCGTTCGTATTATATAGCTAAAGATCGAGACCAACTCCCCACGGCTAACTTCTCGAACCCTTTCCCAATAGGGATTTCGGGCGTGGATATCCATGGTCCTTCTAGACGATATTGCCCCGCTGCCGTTCACGGTAAGTTGGGCCTGCTTGCCGTGACATCTCGTCTCGTCTCGCGTCGAGGGCTACAATGATCGCCTGTGACTATATGAAGTGGTGTGGATCTCGGCTATCCAACCATGCGGCACGGAAGCAAATAGCGGATCCAGCATGCGGCTTCTCCAGACCATGCAATATCGATTATGTCGCTAGGCTATATGCCGTGAGCGGCATGCGTTCCCCATGGAGAACCCTGTTACACACAAGAAATCTCCTGGGAAATCCGGTGCCTCATCAAGGGTATATAAGTTTCAGGCACCAAGTTAATATTCGTTGCACCAAGAAAGCGCCTCAAGTCTTGTCCTGAACGCATGACTGGGATCTGCTTGTCCTGTAGGTGTACTAGTATGATGAAACAATGCTTAACCTTCAATTCTAAAGCCCCGATACCAACTCGGGCGCCAGGAACAGATCTGGGAAAACCCAACGAAAGCTTCGCCTTCAAGGCATGGCTGGCCATAGAACTGGCTGAATGCGAAACCAGGAGGCAATTTCTGCACGTGTGAAATATGTCTGCCCTGGTCGCCCAACCCTATCAATGAAGTAAGTCAAGTGTATTGGATGCGCACCTGATATGTAGCTACGCAGGAACGCCGTCTGCCACGGTAATAAAGGGCCGGAAGATCGTGGGGAAATCTGAGTGGGGGCGCTCAACATATATTGTAACTGCTTATGTCCAGAAGCTGCCAAGACTGGTATAATCACTGCTGATCCTTGATGAGGAATATATGGCACGTTGCGACAAAGTTTCGCATAAAAAAAGTGCTCTTGGCATCCAGAACCGCATATCTTCTACTCCTCCTGTTTCCACCGAGGCACTGGAATCCTTTCCGCGCGGCCAGAGTATCAGGATGATCACCACGTCATAATTTCGGAATGGCCGCCGTGAAGAATCACCTTCGGAGCCTGGCTATAGCGGCTAAAGTCGCGAACCAGACGCCCACCTTGAACACTATGTCTGGGGGGCGAAGGCTGAGACTCTCGGAACCATGCAAGGATTCCCCTCACTGTAGACCTGGGGAACTAAAAGTGCCGCGAAATCAGCAGACTTGGGGATTGAGAGCAACCATCACCACTACAACAGATGAGATGGTTCTTCTCTAGAGCAGAGTGGGCCGATGTCCATGACATGTTGCTGGAGATAGGAGCATCTCGGCGCCAAGTTTCCGGATAAAGTATCGTCACTTGATGACCGAATCGGATTCACACGCTGCCGTGTTGCTTTAGTTGACGCGTACGCTGCACCGGACATGTCAGGAAATGATTTGTCGGTAGTGGCTACAGCTTCTTCGTTATCTACGCAGCTTCAATGGCGACCGACCAACGTAATCGTCCCAAGGAGGGTCTTGTGCGTTTGAGGCATATTGTACTAAGATCTGCCTTTAGCCTCTAGCTATCCGACTTTGGTTCCGTGCGATGTGGGCAAGAAATTTGCGTAGCATTCGGAACGAACAACTTTCGAACCCCTTTTGATAATAGCATGGGGAAAGAAGTGGAACAGCACATATAGCCAGTGCATCCGAAATGTGCAGGCTTGGAGCATTTGGGATGTCATGCTACAGCCAAAACGGTACGTCAAATGAGAGGTCCAAGTAGTAGCTGAGAACAAGCTCAGGCTAAGCTCTCCGAGGCGTGGAGCTTGAAACGAGGTAGCCCAAGCCAAGACTGACTGCCGACTTCCCTGAGGCTGGACAGCATGGGACATGGGGCACTAGGCGTCATGTGGTTTCCCTCGTGTTATTTCTCGATAACAACATGTTCCGACCTTCGCGACCTTTGAATGGTGTGTCCGTTGATTTATGTGTGATACGTCCAGTGGGTAGAACCATCGCACTCCCTCCTCCCTCCCCTTAAAACAGCCGGGCTCCAGTAGTAAAACCACTGGCGAAATACGCCAGTTACTACTGGTAAACAGACTATCGATAGGAGCAGCGGGTATGTTGTTGTATCATGCCCAGCTCTACCGAAATTTCAAGGTACGAGGTACAGGTATATGTTTCTCTCCGCCTTGGAAGCTCGGGATTGAGGGGCCTCGAAATTGTGAGCGATATTGAGCTGCCAAATACGAGAATATGAAAGCATATGGTTTGAATGTAGCCGTAAAAACATTTATATGGTATCTTGAACGCCTATACTCCTTGAGTGTGTGATCCGACTTGATGTTCAAGTCTCAAAGATTTGGATTTTGTGACACTCCCTCGCCCCTTCGCCCCTTAACTGAGTGAACAACAGCAGGTATTTTGACCCTGGAGGTGCTCACCAAGCAGAAAACCCAGCTCTCGTCTGTGGAAAGTCCGGAGGTGGCCATTTGTCTAGCCTCCTGCAATAACCAAGCGAGTGAATTTTTTTCATGCCCTCCTACCGTTCACCTGACACCGATATTGTGGCCCACGAGGCGTGGTGACTGAAGGCCAGTTCACTGCCTCCCTTCCATCCCGGGCCCCTCGTCAGGAATACCAAGACCCCCCAGCTTATCGTCGAGCCACCTCGCAAGTTCTTCAGTCTGCCGGCGCATCAAGACAGCTCCAGCAGTGCTGATACTGGCCGTAGTAGTGACACTGGTCGTTGTTGCAGCCCCAACACTAGTGACGCTTTCCACCTCGGACGGGGATCCCACTGTGGGTATGGGGAGTGCATCACCCGTGAGTTGTGGTGTTTGCACTGCCTGACCATGAGATTGTGTTGATGCTTCCTGCTCAGCCCCTTCCGGCGCTGGCCCAATGCAAATGAACAAGAGTCCGCAGCGAAGCTTGCGGACTACCAAAACGGCACCGGTGAGCTGTATCGTGACGGCGCTAGGCGTGGGATCCCGATGGGACATGGAGGAGAAATGCGGCGGTATTGCCTCTGGTATAGCTTCGCGCGCCGCCGGTGCTGAGTAGACTGCCCATATCGAGGATGCGATGGTGCATTGTGTTCGTAGGATGCTTACTGATTGTGCGGAGGCGTGCGCCAACAACTTGCCCGAGAGGGTGGCCAGGAGTGCCGTGTGGATCTGAGGGGAGAGATTCGATCGGAGGAAGGATGTCAATCGCTTCGTGAGAAGGAGAGGAGGCGATGGCGCAGAGAGTGACATCCTGGTGTGTAGACCGGCCAATCCGGCCCGTTGTCGATAAGTATACACCAAAGTAGTCGAGTGAGTGAATTGTGTATTGCTTGTAGGATTGGTGCAATACTTCGGATGAGTGTGTTATGCAGTCGCAATGCAGAGGTTGATCCGATGTTGTTGTATTACGGGAGTTGAAGGATAGGGTATTCGCGACCTCGATCTGATCGATTCGTTGCTTCTAATCCAATAAATGGAATGCTGCTTGCCTGGACCGAGCTGATGCCTTGGAGTGAACCTTCGAGGTGTCGAAAAGAGACGGCTCACTCAGCTGTGGCGTAGTCTCACCTTTAGTGGCCCGGGCGCTCAGTTTCAGTGGACTGGTCAAATCAAATTGGCCTAACAGAGCCAGGGCATGCGAAGCTTAATTCGTCCGACGTCCTCTACTCAGTGGGCTAAGCTCGTAAACTTAGCGGCTCACCTTTTGAAGGTCACTGATAATCTTAGTACAGCCTGTATACTCTAGTATACCTTTTATTCAAGGGCCCTATGTAAATACGTTGGTTCTCAGCATTCATGATAACGCTAATTTAAACCTCATTTCAATAAGACTAGCGTAGTTTATTGGCGAGTCGCATACTTTTCCCTAAAATACGCTCCGTGGAATGGCCGTAGCACTAGGCGGTTTCCTACTCGGAAAATGGCGGTTCCATTGCTAACTGAGGCTGCTAATCCTTGACACCCACCGGTACGTCCGTTTTCCTGTTGGTCACAAAAGTCTTGCTGTCTTCGAATCGTTCCAGAGTCTATTTTCACATCCCTTTGGTTCAATCACTCCAAGCTCACCCCCTCGGCCAGCCAGCCAGCTCGTCAAACCACGCTTCCCAATACACACACTTTATACCCCATATGCACTCGCATCAGTCATCAAAGGCTGAACTGCTGAAAATCATGGGAGACAATATGTAGTAAAATCAGCACCTACCAATATATGCTCTAGGCAATCAAATACTTCTTACAACGACTGTTTATAATCTCCAACTGATGGAAATTTTTACCTTCTAAGAACAGCTTGTAGAAGCCGCCATGAGAAAGCTAGTTTTCATATTACTTAGTTCAGAGCCATGTGGGTACATTGAAATTATTAGCTCTTACCACGACTTGACTGAAACAAGGGTTAGTGATGCGAGTGCATACGGTGTGTAAAGTGTGCGTATTGGGAAGCGTTGGTTAGCTAGCTATCTGGCTGGCCGAAGTCTTGGGCTGTCTATCTTATCTTATCTATAGCTACAGGGTGACCCCCCTTAGGGTCATGCATCAGTTAGGTTCCGTGAAGGATATGATCCTATCCTTTGAGTCCTGAGGTGTAGTCTGCTAATCCAACAGCCCTATAATATAAGGAATCGAGTGCTACATGGTATCATGCTACCCACTTCCCGCGAGGAGTGGGGAATCAACGGCTAACGATAGCCTCTGCATCACATAATTGCACGTGGCGCTTCGCCCTACAGGGAGTCTATGTTATAATGAGAATTCTTCATACCGCTCGCCTAGGGTTCCCTTAGCAGCCGTCTAGTTAGCGTAGCCGTGAAGCTTAATCTCTACTATGATATTACTTCTCTCTTATCAGTAACCAGTCCTATGTCATTATACACTTTAAACTTCTGCTGGTTAGTAAGCTCTGTTAGGGCTTCACTGTAACGTAAAAGCCGGCCTATAAAATACACGAGATCGGATTATAGGTCGCTTCCAAAGATAATAGACTATATGTCTGTATCAAGGAAATTCGATACATAGTACCGAACATATATCGACGAGTCCCTAAGGCGGTGCCCTATAAGCTTATTCCGCTCGTCCGGGGTAAGTATCCCTATGTTACGAACCGTTGGCCCTAGACCAACATTACAGGCCCGTTGGCAGGCCAGGTGGATACAGACGCTAGGATCACGGGACCCCGCATCGGAGAAAGGAAAAGACCGACAGGTCACGTGACCTACAGGGGTAGATATGTGGATCGCTACATATCCAACATATCCAAGTGGGGATCAGTGAAGGAGAGACGGATATATAAGGGACAGGACTCCCAGGCATTTCATAGATAGACAGTCTCTACTTCAGTGATCAATCTAAGCATCAATCTAACCCATTGGTGAGGCAAACTGCCTTGACGACTCTATTCCCAGTTACCCTACTCGAATACTTCAGTTACCCAGAGCCCGATACTCCATACGTCAGACCCCGATATTATTGCTAAAGGACTCCGCAGCAGGACTTACTTACTAGCACAAACCCTTACAGACTCTTTAGTGGTTTACGCAGCTAGACTATTCGAGGTTTCGTTATACCCTAGTAAATAAGTTAGTCGCTTATCGGTTTGGGTACAGGCGATAGAAATTCTTACCGATGAGTTTCTTACTAGACCTACGAAGAATATCATAGAATTCGAGCATCTTCGCATACACTAAGGGTCGACCCAGACGGATCAAATAGTTACGCCTTTTCGAATACGTAAGAGCCTTCTCTAGGGACATTTGGACGCTATATACATATTTATTATCGTAGAAGATAGGCTGGTCGGAGTCGGTTAGTATAACAATTCGTAGATTTGCTCAGGAGTATGCCATCGACTAAGACCAGGGCTATCATATAGAGCACCGGGTCGTGTAGTATTATATTATATATATTTGCGAAGTTATAGTACATAAAAATAGGGAATTTAGGTGTGAAACTAGTACCGCTTGAACCTAACAATAGTGAAATCTTTAGTCTGTACTATAGTTACGAGGGTGTCTCGAAGATATAGGTCGCTACGTTTATGTCTTGAACTATTCAGCAGATCGACTTGATTACAATGTGTGAGATTCCGATTACTCCGTGCAGTGCACGTGAGAAGATTGATCAATTTGAGCTGGCTAATAGCTCTGAGTGAATGGACATGATCCGTATGAGGTTGAACCTCCGCGTTTCAGTTCAGAAGGGGCCCGGATTGTGACCCGGACACCCGTAGAAACAAATGCAGCACTGGATGACCATGGATATACTGATGCAATGCATTGCAAACTTCATGTTAGCGCACAGTATTTGAAACATTGACGTCCAAGCTTGTAAACGACCTGACAAGGTAAAAAAACAATTGAATGCCGAAGTACGGGGGTATCCATCATACAAGAAGCGAGAAGATACAATTTCTAGTTCTCCATATTCAGACCTCAGTCGACCGGCATTGTCTCCGAGGAGGTTCGCTCTGCATACAAAAACACCGGCTCTCGAGGAAGAACAAATATTGACAAGGGATGCTACGTTGTTTACCACATGCAATCTTTGAATGATGGCAATATCCATATGGAAGCGCATTGAACTTGAATCGTCGGGAGTGGTCCAGTCAACCCATCTCATACGGCGCCTAACAACTCCACGGAGCTACCACATAAGTACACTCACTCGCTCACTTCCTCATACTGCTTCTCGAAACGATCAACGAAAGCCGCTATCTCATCCAGAATACCCTTCCGCTCCTCGTTCGGCGATTCATCCACTTTGGCGTCCTGCTTCTCGAGAACGCGACCAGTCAAGCTGTTCAACATAAGATTGTGCTCTTTTTTCCTGGCCTCCTGAAAAGACTGGGCCGACAGTACACTTTCAATCATCGCCATCGCCTGGCCCTCCTTGTCGTGCTTTCGAAAGCCAGCAAACTGGTGCCTCGCCTTTTCATAGAGGCGGGCCGTGGGCATAGGTTGACCATCATCGAACGACATTAGGTCGTAGACCATGTCCTTGAGCTGATTGCTGTAGTCGGTGTCGCGGAGCTGTTTCAAGAAGTCCCTGTCGCGCACCCACGCCACGTGTTCATCGGCACTACGAACTGGCTGTTGCATCATTGCCAGCATGACGTCTGCGAGAGCTCGGTATTCGCTGGAGATTGTATACGGCCGATGTCTCTAAATTCTCCTATCAGTGGGGCTATCCGCAGGAAGTACGAAAGAAACAGGAGTGACTTACCGTTGGCGGTTGATATCTCGGAATACCGTTGTCCAGGCAACGCAGCTGATCCAGCGGTGCGTGTCCGTCCCTGCCTGCCCGCACCATGCCTGCTGAGGCCGGCACCCTGTTGTCCGAGACGCCATTCACATGACCCGATACAAATGCCTTGCCGAAGTTGCCCAGCTTACACATGCCATACGTCTCTGTGGCGCGCGGGTGGCAGAAGAAGATGTTGGATGGCATAATGTCGCGGTGCAATATCGTCTGCCAGTCCACATCTGCACGGTGCTGCTCGGACATCCCTGTGTCTGCGTTGTATTGATCGCGGATGCCGTGATGCAACCACATCAAGGCCTTGAGGATGGAGCACACGACATGCCAGCAGAGTGACTCGGGCAAGAACACGTTCTTCTCCTTTGGCCCCTCATATTCACGCCCCTCTGCTTTGGCTTCTTCTATCTGCAGTTCGCGTTCCTCCTTTTCATCGTCCGTTAGTTCTGGTCGATATCTCGGTAGGAAGAGGTTCTCGAGTGTGCCGGCATCGCAAAAGTCCCAGACGAGGAAGTGACTTGGAGGCTTCTGCTGCATTCGCACTCCAACTCTGGCGGGGCAGCTAATGTACGTCTGGATCCAGTCGACAAAGTTGACGAGATTCTCGTGATTCAATATGGTCATGATGGGTGCGCCGATGTTGTACATTTTCGGATCGAGCAAGAACACAATGGGACTTTTCTGACCATTGGGCAGATGAAGCTCGTCAGTGGCGTCGCGCGCGATGAATTCGACCTTGTCTTGTTTGCGATAGACCTTCCATACTCCTGGGGCAAGCTGAGAAACGAAGTCATATTTGTTGGACGTGACAACGCCTTGGTCTTGGTCCTCGGAACGAAGCCCGCGATATCGATCCATTGTAGTCGCCGTTGCCATTGCCGTGGGCTTGCTGTGAATGTGTTGCTAGGAGCAGACGAGGGCGAAGGATACAGCAAAACTCTGGCAATAGTACCAGAAAAAGCCGTTTCCTTTCGAAGTCCGGAAACATAGTCGATGCCTTTCTCTTCTATTTCTAGAGGTACGTCGTGCATTCCATACGCCGCTTGCATTGTCTTGGAAACGGCTGCCAGGGGGGTTGAACTACAAGCTCTGACTCAAGGGAGGGCATAGCCAACAAAGACGAAGTCAGGACTGCAGACTTACCTGGCTGCCCGGTTGTTATGTCTAATTAAGTTGTTTAGATGACTTCTCTGAAGCCGACGTAAGACCCAACGTGTTTGTGATCAGGACAAGACACAATGACATTCACTAATTGGATAGACTATTTACAGGCCACACCGGCTCATGACCAAAGCATAGACGCAAACAGCATATTTCCCTTGTGAATATGGGTTTCAAACAAGTTCGAAATGAAAACCAATGATCCTCTCGGTGTTTGTGTCGTTCCTGTACCTCGCGTGCTCGAAGCTGCAACAAGCCGTAGAGTTGCAGTGCGACAGACTTCGTCATCTCAAGTAGACAATCCTGAAAAACCAACATTTGTCGCGCGCTATATCTGTAGCCGCCAGCAAACGAGCGCTTGATTCTCTAGTTGGCGATGCGCAGCAACTCGAGTAGACAGATTGCCATCCCACCAAGTGACAACCAGGCGGGCGGAGCCGTTTTGGTCTGAAGATCAGAGACCACCCTGCCGCAAACTGCCAAACACAATGTTTCGACGTCTCAGCTTCTTCCGCATCTTGGGACGATGATGGGTATCGTGGTCTGCCCTCGCGGCTGACTTGCCGAGCCTGAGTGAGATGGCCGCTTTGCCGCCCTCTGAAGGTTTGAATGCATCTCCGTACTTTATCAATCAATGGACGAGTGCCGTTGCATTCATTTCACCATGGTACGGGGCCCATACCTCAAATAGCCAGAGGTACCAGGGCCTCAAACTGGGTCTAAGCTGTTTTGAGCTTCATGCTCCTTCACGTCCTGCCTTGTCCTACTCAAGCCTTGCGAGGCCCCAATCAGACTCCCATCAGACTCCCATCAGACCCCAGTCCGGTATACCCGCATTTTGCGTGCTAGCCAATTGTCACGCGTGGCCATTAGTCTCCATGTCATCATCCTTGCTATCGTTTGAAGTTAGCAGTAGGATCCCTGCCACCTCTATCAGGAGTCGTTGGTGTCCTTCCACCTACATCCCTCACCCATTGCCATCGTCTGCGAGTCGCAGGAAACATCACAGGAGAACCACTCACTTAGCTTTACTTGATACTCATCGAATTGATGAAGGCGTTGCACACTCTTTCAGTTGAAAACACGACTATCGCATCTTTATTAGGGGGCTAATAACTAACCCCTCCCACACCCCTCTCTCTCTACATAGTATCATCTCTTACAGTCATTGATTTTCGCAAAACACACTGCACACGACGCCAGTGCGCTCGCCTTTCCCTCGATCCGATCGCCTGAGACACGCACCTGGTAACAGAAAGTCTGGCTCCGAGAGACGATCAAACTTCAAGACGACGACAGACCCTCCCATGATCCGAATTGGGATGTTTCCTGCATATGCTTTGACTCGTCCTTCTCCACGTCGATAGCAGCAAGAGGGATTGCCGCACAGCCAAAACGTGCTGATCAAAATCCAACATCCCGGAGTAGTGCTTTCACTGCCTGACCCGCCGCGCCTATCCACCTGGTCTGCGAACTGGAATGCCTTCCTTCTGATCAAGGACTTGAGGCCTGTCACAATTGACGGCACCACTCTTTTTTTAACGACGTCCCCATCGACCATCGACCGTCGACGCTAGGGTGACGTTCGTTTGTCCCTCCTTTAGAGCCCCTTCGCGCTTCGGCGGTCTTCTTCTCCATCATCTCACGTCCTTTGCCAGCCTTGCTCTTTCCCTACAACAAGAGCGCAGTCGATAGCTTCGCGGGCGAGCAGACGACCAGTGCAAGACGGCGGGACCGAATCGACAACAACAACAACAACAACAACAACCACAACGGCCACGGCGGCGACAACGTTCTTTTCTTGATACCATTTTGAAACTCTCGGGCTAGCTGGACTCGGTTTCTTGACGGCTCTACTCACTCTTTCCGACTAACTATCTTCTACTCTTCTCGACAGTGTCGACTTTCGGTGGTGTGTTGTGTATAGGCAGGTTCCAAAGGTCACACATTGCAATCTTTCACGATGGGCTGCTCAGGGCAGGGTCGCAAGCATGCGGAGGTGCGACCCGAACAGAAATGGGATTACATTGTACGTTACCCCTCAGCGCACATGCATTGGCCGCCACTATACTGACAATTTGATCTTCAGAGTCTCAAGGACTTCAAGTCGGGCTCGTGTCTTACGGTCATGGCCTATGGCTACCTTTTCCTCTCTCTTCTGCTGTCCATTGCGGTCTACGGTGTCGATACCTTCACAGCCGTCAACCTTCTCGTCTTCGACAAGTGGTCAGGGGCCATTGCACCGACCCAGCTCGTCCCGTTCGACGTTTCCAAGTGGATCTTCTCTATCTGTATCATTGCCTCGTTCATCAATCTGGGATTTGAGCACATCCGTGCCATGCGAATCATGAAGCGGGGTAGTGTTGCCGAGTGTTATCTCGACAACTTGGCTGTGCGGCTCGAGAGTTCTCGCATGGGCAAAGGTCAAGGATGGAGGCGTTTCCTTGTCTTCGCCGAGCTTACTAAGTCGAAGAAGGGCGCTGAGTACATTGCGCTATTCACCTACTTCAGTTTCCAGTGTATGTTTCATGCCACGAACCCTTGAGTCGTACTGACAAACTGCAGCCTGGATCCGTGTCATCTTCTGCTCTGGCCCGCGACAGGCTGTGAATGCACTGACTCTGTACGCCGTTTATAGTTCGGCGCTCATTCCTGCCGATGGCGGGTCAGTCGATAAGACCCTTCTGAACTTCTTTGGCAAGATCGAGACGCTCGCCGCCGAAGACATTCAGCAAGCCCTCATTCTCTCGGGTATGCTGTTCACCCTTGTTATTTGGATTTTCGGTGCAATTTCTCTTCTCCTGGCCGCCATGTTTTATGTCTTCTTCCTGTGGCACTACATCCCGAGACAGGATGGTGGGTTGTCGGGGTACTGCGAACGGAAGATTAACAAGCGATTGATGAAGATCGTTTCCGCCAAGGTCAACAAAGCCATCGCCAAGGAGGAGCGGGATCGCGCCAGGGCGGAACGGAAGGCTGCAATGAAGAATGGCGAGAAACTGCCCGTCGGGCGTCAAGCAACGCTGCCGACCTTTATGGATGCCGGAAAGGACGACAAGTTACCTGATATGCCTATGCTCAACCGCACCGACACCATGGGTACACTGCCTCCTTACACCTCGCGCCCCGGAACGCCGGGCAGCATTGAATTGAGTTCGTTCGATCAGAAGCGACCGTTGCCTACGCGACAAGGTACGATGAACACAATGGCCTCGCAGAGCAGCTTCTCGTCTCGCGCTCCTCTTGTGGGTGGAGCTTCTCCGATGGGCATGGATCGATCTGCATCTCCAGCTCCTACGCTACCACAGATAGACATGAGCAACTACCCGCCGGTCAGACCCGGAACGGCCCAGTCGAATCGGAGCTTCGCTGGGGGTCCCCAGATGCCACCCCTGCATCGCGTCCAGACTAGTGTTGGGTCCAGCTTTGGGGCATTCCACACGGCAAGCCCATCGACTTACTCGCCCGACTCTCTGCCTGCCATGCCGGAACGCATTCTGTCACCCGCACCGCAAGGTAGCATGGACAGCTACAACCGACCAATGCCGAGAGCTGTCAACCAGTTAGGCGGACGACCACAAATGTATGACAACAACGGGCGTTCTAGTACGGCACCGTCGATGCCCAGGTCGGTCGATCAATTCAGTGGGCGTCCTGGGCCTCCTGGCCGACCAATGTACGACGACAACATGAGTGTGCGGGATGGGCGCTCTAGTCCAGCACCATCTACCTACTCGAGTCGCGGCCCACCAGCAAATGGACCTGGCTATAACGGCCCGTCTTTCCCGCCTCCTATGCGGAGTGCTACGAACCCGATGCCTTCCCCACAAAGACAGCACTTCGGCGGCCCGCCACAGCGCAACATGACGGCGCCAATGCCCATGCCCATGCAGCAACGGCAACCGGAAAATTACTATGCTCCTCCGGCGCGTCCCGGGACTGCTTCTAGTCAGCGTAGCTTGACTCGACCTAGCTACGGCTACGGCTACAATGGTGATGTGGAAGCCCAAAGGGGACCGCAATACTGAGCATTATTATTTATTTTGTTATTTTTCATGAGACGAGGATTGGCTTCCAGCATACCCATACTCACTTTGCAGCATAGATACATACCTTTGTACATTAGATGACGCCATGCCGTCCTACTTTCGCGATTCTGGACAAGACCCTAATAATTGGGCCGAAGGGTTCCAAAATACCCCTATTGGAAATTCTAGAAAGGCAAGCTTGACGATGGAGAGGCGTTTTGGTGCTCGATAGGATATGCCGATTTTTGCATGAGAGCTGGTATGAATTCAGCATGTTTTGTATCCTTCGTTTTGCCCGTCTTGTACGTTAACACCATGATACAACTACGAGGGTAGAAGCCTGCTGTTGGATACTGATTTGAGTGAGCACTGAACCCTTATTTTGCCGAAAGAGATTTATATTCTGCTGATTCGGACTGCGGTGATTGCATACACTGTTCTTTGCTGTCCCAGTGCGTCTAGACAAGTCCGAGAAATAACGGTAATAATAAAAAATAATATTAAATACGCCGTAGGTGTTAACCCTCGGTACCTCTACAAGTACTCCCTTAAGGGGCTATAGATGATATAGCGGGCCCTTAAGCCGCGTCGGGCGGTTATACAGGTAAACTTGTAGCCAAACGACTACTAAACCTCCTGTCCCTCCCTAAGTCTGTGCTACAACCCCTGCCTGAACTACCGATAAGCGTGGTAATGTGGCACTTAAATTCGTCCTCAGGGGTGGGATGCTGCTGATGTGCAGAAGATGCTCGACTATTTTTTTGTCGCGACAAGTCGTAGTATCTGCTAATTGGGGTTCTCGTCGAGCGTATACATCTCAACCATACGCTCAAGTGGATAGACCGTAACGTGGTCTAGACGCTCGCAAGAATCGCGGCGAGGGGGCGTGCTGCGCGCCTTCTATCGTGAGGGGACGGGTTCGCCGACGAGCGTTATCGGATAGGCGAGGTCCGATAAGGGGTCGGATTAACGATTCGAATTCTGGACCGGCTGTCGAGTTATATTCCGCCAACGTAGTGCTTGACGGTCGACTGGCTAGGATGCTCGTAATCCTAAACTGCACCAATCTCCCTATTATCGCTAGGTAGGCGAAGTCAACAAGGTGGGCAGCGCGCCGTAAGGGTTGACTAAACCCCCTTGTGTGTCAGCTGCGGGATTCGAACCCGCGACTCGTCACCGACCCAAGTGGGCGAGGCTCAAATCGGGACTTATCTACCAGCGAAGTGACCAACTACACCAGCCGACACGGTAATAATTTATGCGACATGAAATGCCAGTACAGATGTAGTACTCTACATTGCTATTTACTAGTACCAATGCGTACGTCGTGGACGTGCGGGGCACTCACTTCGTGTCCAGTGCCGCGGTATTTCACTGACACGGTCTGGGAGAGTTGGCTTGATCGCCGTGGAGAGGGTCTCAAGAAACTTCCGTCATTGCTGGAGGCGAATGCGGTGGCTATGGCTACGAAGGCGCCCTCGTAGATGTCGCCCATTTGTGGATTCCACATCGCGGTCTTGGCTGAATATGTGTAATTCAGGGCTGCTCAGTCGCTGATATTTGTCGAGGCAGTTCTACTGATTTATAGGTCGCCTTGGACGATGCATAAGTAGTCAACCCACACTTACTGCATGCCCAGCTTCCGGGTGACTGGAACGGCGTCTTTGAAAGTCTCGGATAGGTTGGCCCACGCAATATCCTGCTGAACTTCGTCTAGGTTGGCTCGAGTCGTGATGAAGCTGTTGGAATCGGCCCAGCAATGACGGAATGCCGCGTACAAAGGAAAGGCGCGGATCGTACGGGCACTGGCACTGGCACAGGCGAATAGGAGGAACATAAAATAATGCAGCTGTACCGGCAGTGACGTTGTTGATATGACGGGCATGTGACATTTGCAAACGTCCTTCGTCAGAAAGGTAATGGAGGACACAACGAGGCTGTAGATGGGACACACATGATCCAATGAGCACCTGTCACTAAAGTCAAGCTTTAAACACACCATGTCAGGTGTGCTCGAATCGTAGAGTGGTAATTTGATCATTGTAAAACTCATGTCATCGACAACCGTACACTGCAAAAGGAGTCCTCTGTCTACATGTTGCATGACGTAGCAACACTTACACATATGTGAGGTATACCATCAGAACTCCGCACCAGCCCTCATTAGGACGAGATGTTCATGTAATCTGATACACCGGCCAGCGCCCAGCCCGTAGGCTCCAATTTCCTTCCCTGTATCCTTGTAGATGGTTCTGATTTTCTCTGGTATAAACGCCTTGCCGTCCGGTGAAGACATAATCCTATCCCTTGTTGCAACCCATCCCGTCCGATATCTGCAATTTTCATATATGAGGTGGTGGCACATGTAATGCTTTGACTCCCTGTCAATGTTAAGGGCCGGTACAAAGGTTTGCTGATTCTCCTAAGTGCTTCGTCATCACGGCCTTGAAGTCCTTCTCATCAACCACTGCACCACTGCCTCCACACTTGGCCTTCTTCTGCAGATCAGAGCAGAGACCGTCGAGGTCGATGTCACCAGTCTGGACCTTGGGGCAGTTTTGCAATTTCTCCCTATTCGCATATTAGCATTCGCGATACTCAAAGTGAGTGCAAAAATTTCCACGTACCAAATGTTGTTACAAGTGAGAAGTCTCCCGTTAGCACCAGCAACGATGGTATCGTCATTCTCCTTCGCCGCATCGATCTCGGCGACAAGATTCGTCTTGGGCAAATTCGGGGTTGGCGCCACGTTGAACGGAGTGGTGAAGTCAGCATCAAAGGCATCATTGAAGAAACTGTCGTCAAATGCATTATTGGAAAGAATGTTTTCCTGTGGCTCACGGTAATCCCCGAAAAGCTGGGGATCGAACTGGCCCCCGTTTTGCTGTGTGAGCCAATCAAAGTTGGTGAAGTCTACATTGCCGAACTCGCTAAAATCTGCAAGAAAGCATATTAGTACTTGCGCCCAGTTTCGAGCAACATTGAGATACAGCACTTACGACTTGGGTTATCAATTATAAGACCAAGCTGCTCTTCGCCAATGGTGGTCAACGTATCCAGGGGTTTGGAACCCAATGGTGATTGAGTGAAGGGTTCGGGTGAAGTGCCGCAAGATGAGCTGGGACCAGCGTTGGACGTGGACGAAGATGAGGGCGACCCGGAGTTTGTGCCGCCTCCAAGGCTGCAAGATGTTGAATCCAGACTGCTTCTAGACGCATTATTGTTTGCAGTGTCATAGGGCGAGTTGTTCAGCATTCCACAAAACTTGGAAAGCGCGTCTCTCTGTGCATCCGAATTCTCACGATTCGTCGTGGTTGCAGAGCTGGCCTGATCTTTCGATTTGTCCGGCGATCTCGATTGTGAGTGCGGGGTAACATTGGTTGCTGACAAAAGCAAGGACGAATGATCTTTGTTGGCGTTGGTCGTAGTTTGTGGGCCTGGAAGCATACCAAACTTGGGAAACTCAAAGTGGAAGTTGACGTCGTTCAGGTTGTTGACGAGGCCTTGGCCAAATCGTGGCGGGTTCCGTGGTAATGGGGCGGGCCGTGAGGAGTTGTTCATCATTAACAACCTCTTTTTGTATTCGTTTAGTTCCATCGTCATCTTTTCCACCTGAGCACGCAGTTGGTTGTTCTCGCTATTGGTGCTTTCAGAAGCCTTCTCAAGCTCCTTGACTTTGGTCTCCAGATCCTTCAAATGTTGTTCTTTGCGCTCACGGAAAGCACGCTGGGCAGCACGATTCTGAGCCTTCCTCTTCTGCATTGGTGGTTAGACTACCATGGCAGCGACATACGTGATGTAAGAATGTGACTCACGGAACTTGGCTCATTTGTGAGCGGCTTGCGACCGGGTTTCTTAGGGACTTTGCCCTCACTCTCCCGCCGCTTCCCGCCGCCTTCCTCCTTATCATCCGTATCTTCGTCGGGATGGCTTCTCTTATCGCCACCATCATTCTCGGGGGAACTGCCGTTGGAGCTACCGTGCGTAGTACTTGGCAGATCTCCAATCATCTTGCCAACGTTGTCGTTGGTTAAGTCAAAATCAAAGTTACCATTGGGATCGAAGTCATAATCGTAGTCCAAATAAGGGCTCTCCTGAACAACATTTGAATCGCCGGCGCTGGAATCATTTTGCTGCGGCGACGCGGTGAAGGAATGAGGAGACAGTGAAAGAGGGTTCCTCGGAGGCGATGCAGCAGTTGGCTGATTCGAAGTGAGAGCGCGGAATAACAGGTTCTGCTGTTGAGGGGTAAGGATGAAGTTTGGTGGCAAACCGTCGGTGCGAGGCGAAGCCATCGTGACGAGAGTGACAATTATAAATACGGCAAAGACAGAAGACGAAAACACAGAGTTGGTTGAGTCAGAGTCGACCAAGTTGTTGAGGTCGAGCGCTTGAAAGCAGGCGCAATCTCACTGCTCTGGCCAACTAAGGATGACAACAGTGTTGGCCAGAACTAAGAAGCCGATCGTAGTAAGTTGTGGGTGCCGTTAAGCGCGAGGTACTGACATTCGCTCCAACCACGTAATTGTCGTTGATATCGTTGCGACCGTGTCTGATCAGTTCAATCGGGCAACGACGTCGGTGGGGTTGAGGATCACGATGATGAAAAAGTCGCCTCGAACGTTCTTGAACGTGAATGTCGGAAGAGGCACACAGGGTGACGAACGTTCCGACAGGTTGTAAGAAAGTAGCTGCCTGACACTGGCAACACGCCCCTCTGATTTTAGAGGAACAAACGGAAGTGGTCACAATCTCTTGGTGCAATAGTATGCGAATGATGAAAATTCCTCGAGACGGTCACAAGCATAGAAAGAATTCGAGAGGGGCAAGGAGAACGGCCGTTTCCGATTTGTAAGCGCCGTACAGATGCTTTACGTGGAGGTTGGAGGGAGTGGCTGAAATGGATTGCACCGGTCGAATTCACGGGTTGAACGAAAGGCAAGGAATGGCATAGACAGCTTTAATTGGTGAATCGGGTTTAAATGCGGAGTTTACTAATCAAACACCCGCCTCTGCCCCTCATTCTATATTATGCACGCCCTTCAATCCCAGTCTGGCGGCGTCAGTCGGTCTGCCATCACTCCGTCTCGGCCTGTCTGAAGCCTGAGGCTAGAGGATCCATACTTCACTGGCTTCGATAAGGGCGACCTTTATGAAGATTTTTGCGTTGGTCCAAATGCTGCTATCATACCGTGAGCATGGTAAGATACCGTTCCATGCTGTGGTTCATATGGATGGCGGAACACCACGATCACTACTGACATATGCAGGATTATTACTATATGTAAAATAAATCTACTCCAAGCACATTCGATTCGGGCTGGCCGTGTACGCCCAAAAGGGATACATTGTCTGGTGGGACATGTGTACAAAAGCAGCAGGATATCATGGGTGGCGAATTCTAGCTTGATGACAGCGGTCGAGAACAAGATTGCCAAGAGGCGTTTGGCTCGCTCTTGAGGATCTGGGAACCCCCATCTTATGGTCATTGCCCCCGGCAGCCGACATCGAAATTTCACGCTGCATGGATACTTGTCGATTATCAGGGCAAGTGCTTACTCTTAAGGATACGTTGCAGTTGATCGACACAAACCTAGCCTTCCCTTAATAAAAGTTCCAAACAATTGAACAATTGAATCAGTGCCTCGTGTAAAGTGATAAGATGTCTTCGGCCGTTTATCGATGGGAAGGCTGCAGCGGAGCGAGATCTGTCTCTGAAAATCACAGATTTAAACATTAGGATGGCTATGTACTTTCCTGTAAACACTTGGTTGAGATCCAGCGACTATAAACTGGACAGAGTGTTCGCTTGTTCCAATGTGAATCTTGAAATCCTTACTATGTACATAACATCGAAAATTCCCCGCCGACTTTCCATAAGGAAAGCTCGTTGCAGTGATGCCATTGTGGCACGTGATTGGACTGGGAAGCCCCTTGCAAGCAATCCCCCGCATTTGGCATGGTGGAACCGATTTGATGACTCTAGAAAGGGAGCAGCCAACCACAACATTCACCGTCAGATCGAACTCATCAGCCTTGTCACTTGAGCCATTGCAACGCATAGTGTCTCACCGTTGCTGACCAGTGTCCAGGTACATCGGACAGTTCTCTCAATAAACCAACTAAGTCAACAGTTTTTTCCCATTGCTGACCCATGGTCTTCTTCGAGCCATGGATCTAGCATATGATCATATCGCCGAAGAGGCTCTTCCGAAGGGGATAAAAGACAACGAGAAATCATCGGAGAACACCAAGCCCGAGCAGCTGCAGTCGCCCACTCTAAATGACGAAGTACAAGATGCGTACCGTGCCTTCTCCTCGAGTCCTTGGGGCTCGAGACTTGGGGATTTCTTTGGAAATGTCGTGAAACAGGTATGTTCTAATGCCCCTCATCAATGCTGGTAATTCTAGACACTTACGCCTTCTACCACATAGGGCGAGTCCGTATACCGTGAGGCGTCGCAAGAGATTACCTCTCTGGGCGTTGATGCCGCGAAAGGCGCTGCCGATCTGCGCACTTCCCTGATCAACAGAACCCGGTCCTTGTCCCTGGTGACTCCCCCAAACGCTGCAGGACCAAGTAACCAGGCTGCTGGTGATAAGGAGAAGGAAGGGATCACACCGACTGATGCGAGGAATATGACCTCTGAGGAGGCAATCAAGGAGTCTGAGTCCGTCATCTCCCGCCTGAAGGCAGAAGCTGCCAAGCGACTGAAGGACATCCAGAAGGCTGAGGACGCTGCCGATGAGGCTCTACTTAAGTTTGGCACGAATCTGAGGGATTTTCTTAAAGAAGCCGTCAGCATCGCGCCCCCAACAACCACAGGGGATGGGCAAGGTAGTACGGTTTTATTTGAAAGCAAGGATGCATCTGGAAAGCGGGTTATCCACACGTCAAGATATGATGCTCAACTACATGTCATTCACACCACGGCCGACAGTTTCACCAACGATCCCGTTAGCGCTGAATTTGCGCCGTGGGTTAAAGACTTCAACATCGATAGCAAGACTGAGGCTATCAGTAGCGACCTGGCCAAGTATCCCGAATTGCGCAGCACGATGGAACGGGTGGTGCCCGACCAAGTACCGTATGCCAGCTTCTGGAAGAGATACTACTTCCTCAGACATAGCATCGAGACTGCCGAGGCTAGACGTCGCGATCTTTTGAAGGGTATATTGAATCGATTCCTAAAGTTGTAGCTATACTAACTTTGATACAGCTGCTTCGGCAGAGGCTGAGGATGACGGGTGGGGTGAAGACTCTGACGATGAGGCAGCAGAACCAAGCAAGCCGACGGACAAACCGATGAGACCAGCTTCGGCCGAATCCTCTACCACCATCCACCCACCCTCAGACACGAAATCAAACAAGGCTCTTCTGAAGCCTTCGGAGCCCCGCAAGTCCAACGATGAAAAGTCGCAAGCAGACAGCGACACCAGCTATGATGTTGTAGGGGCCACGTCTGGAAACCCAAGTCAGGCGCCCAATTCGCCCAAAGAATCGCCCGAGGGCGATGAGAGCGATGACAGCGAAGAAGAAGACTGGGAATAGGAACAATCCTCTAGTTGTGCACCAGTCGAAATTCAGTGGATGCTTGCTGTGTAGGTCCTCGGAGTACGTTAGGCGTTGGCACTGATTATGTTGAATGCTTTGGAAGCTTTGTACACCCCATTTAGGCATAATAATAGTCACAGAGCGCTTTTTGGTATAAAATCTTTGCAACTTTCATCGTTTCTTCCGTGTGACCTTCTCGAATCCATCTTCGTCGATTTCGGGCTGGGGTTTCTCTTTCCGTACTGGCGCCAAGGCCGGCGCCTCGTCCATCTCCACATCATCGTCGTCCTCGTCGTCATCGCTCTCCCAGTCGGTATCCTGATCCACATCCGGCGCCACCTGCAGGACAATCTTCTTCCCCTTGCGGCTCTCGAACCGCCTCCTCAGCTCGTCAACACCCTCAAACTGGTCCCTCGCGCACGCCGCCCGCAAACGTATGATCTCATTGGCCGTCTCATGGCTCGAACCGTCGTCGACTGCGACCTGGTACTCATCGGCCATAACTTGCAGCAAACGCTCCTCGACGTACTCGGCATCGGGCTCCTCATGGTCCTCGGGCTTCTCCTTGCCGGATTCGACGAGCTTGGCCAGGGCCACAAAGCTCGGAAACAGCTCGACTATGGCCCCACAGAACCAGTCGCGCACGTCTTCCGCATTCTCATCGCTCCAGTTGTTCTGCACGGCGACGGTGAGGGCGGGCCAGAGGTGGAGGGACAGGGCGACGGCTTGCTCGAAGTTTTGTTGTCGGATTTGGGCCAGTTTCGCTGTGAGCGAGGATTAGTGAATACTGCAGCATGGCTTTTTCGAACATTACTCACCAGGCGAAGACACCTTGGACTGGGAGGTGGAAGTCTGCGACGCCATTTCAGGTTGTCCAACTCAAGATCTTGGGCAATTGTCTAGCACCAACGAGATCCAATGGAGGGGTTCGTCAATATTTTTGGCAATGCTTGAATTTCGCAGGTTTCTGCCACTGGTGACCGCCTGGGCATCATCTATGGGCAGCTACAGTCGCTCGCCCTGTAAATCGCCGTATCTCAAGACGACCCAACCAGTGGAACGTTTAACATCTCCTCCAAGCCAATTTGGACCTTATTAACCCAAGTCGTCATATAATAATAGTCAAGATTTTCTCAGGAAGTGGCTATGGAATCACTGCAAAAAATATCTGCGCACCTGCAAGTTATCGTCGCATCTGCGTGGGGTCCAGACCTCAGTGGATCTGGGAGCTACTCTGAAGCACGCCCCGCCAAAACCCGTTCGCCTGCATTTGACATGGTCATTTCCGCATTTGGCAATGTGGCTGTTTCTTTGAGTGCACCTGCGATGACATCAGCGCCTCGGTGTTGCTGATGAAAATCCAAGTCGTCTTGAAGGAAGACAATGAGTGGACGACATTCCCCAAGTCATGGTCGCTTGACCAGCTATTCCGCATGGCAAAGTGCAGTACCACACAAAATGGAATGGCCTCTTCTGGGATCTACTGTCAGTCGTTTCAATGACGACCGTGCTGCCGCCCACCTGTATGGGTCCTGAATGAGATTGTCACTCTCCTTTCTGAGACCTTGAGGCTCGCGCGACGTACACAACCTTACTTGTAGACCGCAGCCATGAATACTGCAACGGTCTCCATGGCGGTTACGCCTACCGTAATTTCAACTTTCATGTCTCATGTAGGTCAACACCTGAAAGGAGTGAACATGCCTTTTTTACCTTATCCTGTCGGAATTTAGTGATCTCTGAGCTACTATACCGGAAGCCGGGTTCGGACCACTCGGGAGAGTCGAGACAACCATTTTATAGGGAATGGTCGAAGCTAACAAGCCTCCCATTCTCTAGTACCTCAATCGGAGGCCCCTGAAGCAGCGTCCAACAGCCCATCTCTCCTACGACGAAGGCCTACATCTTATTAGGTCCTTCTTAACTTTCGCGGCACAACACACTGTGGAAGAACTACAGACCTTCACGTCACAATGGGTGCCTCACCCTCAATGGGTCAAAGTCGATACCGTTGAGATTCCTGTGGAGAAGGTGGATGAAGCTGCTACAGCTATACAAGACCAACTTGGGCCAGTAGGCATCAGAAGAGTAGGCGGAAAGACGTGGTGGCAATGGCGCAAACCGAAGATACCCCTCGAAGCTGAGTGGGTGGAGATGCGGGCTGACCGACACGAGCGCAAGGAGTCGGGGGAGCCGGGAAAGCGAGTTATGCTGTACGTCCACGGAGGGGCATACTTCTTCGGGTCCGTCGACGAACATCGCTACCAACTACAGCGCCACTCGAGAAAGCTCAAAGCAAGACTGTTTGCGCCCAAGTACCGGCTCGCGCCTCAATTTCCCTTCCCTTGCGGTCTTCAGGACTGCCTAGCTGCATACTTGTATCTGCTGACGGTTCAAGATCCAACCACCGTCATCTTCGCGGGAGACTCTGCTGGTGGTGGGATGGTCTTGAGCTTACTTGTCGTCATTAGAGACAGAGGCCTTCCTCTGCCCGCGGGTGCTATTCTCATTAGCCCCTGGGTTGATCTTACACATTCTTTTCCAAGCGTGGCTAGCGAATGTCCTTTGGACTACATTCCGTCTCATGGCTTTCATCACAAGCCCTCAACATCTTGGCCACCACCCAATAGCGACGAGCATGCTATGCTCGTAGAGCAGGTAAAAATGCACGCCGACTTGAGCCAGGCAAAACTCGGGAAACAGGCTTCAGTGGAGATGCAGCAAGACGACAGAGACGCAGCTGAAGGTTCTACACCGCCTGCTCAAGATGTAGCGCCAGATCTCCTTTCGATCAATCTCGATGGCAAGGAAATATACTTGAAAGATCAAATCCAGGTAAGCCTGTTATTCTTCCATTTTTGAAACCGTAACCCCCCTGCCCAAAACAAGAATGAATGCTTACGATGGGTAGATGTACACTACTAACGATATGCTCTTTCATCCGCTTGTCAGCCCTATCATGCAACCAACCCTGGGCGGCCTTCCACCACTGCTCATTATGGTAGGTGGTGGTGAATTTCTCCGAGATGAGCAGATATACTTGGCTCATAAGTGCGCAAACCCGACCGAGTATACGCTGGATGATGCTCGGATGGATGATTTGGCGAAGGAGCAATTAGCACGCTTCAAGCCAACAGATGTGCAACTCCAAGTATGGGATGACCTCTGCCACGTAGCACCAACACTCAGTTTCACGCGTCCGGCCAAGTTTATGTATCGATCTATCGCTCAATTTGGAGCTTGGGCTCTTGCACGAGCACAGCATACCGAGATTGAAATTCTTGATGACGATGATATCTCCGTCATTTCGAGTGAAATCGGTGGCTCTCGAACGCCTACGAGGGAAGAAATGAAATCCTCTACACCGGAAGCCGTTGGCAAGGCTGGGGATGAACTTCCGGTCTTCAAGAGCCATATGATTCGCCAGCGTGTGGATCGCCACGGTATACTCACCCCTTTAGATCCGCCGACGGATCTACCTGCTTGCACCATGGATCCAGCCAAAGTCGGCACACTACAAGAAGGACCAGTTCGAAAGTGGCTCGAGGCTCGCAGGCATTTGGACCACCGCTTCGCCGCTACTCGCGCCAAGATACACAAAGCCCGTCTCAAAGAGATGATAGCTGGCTACAAGGATTTTCCGGGCGAAAAACCCCCTCCCAGCGCGCTTGCAGGTCGGCTGCACAAGGACTACGAGACTGACCCTACCAAGAAGAAGAAGAAGAAGGGCTTGGGTCTTGCGCTGTGGTCACTGTGGGGTTCAAAGCACGACGAAATGACCGTTTCTCGTAAGCAGGATACGGACGAGCCGCAACGCAGAGTCACTACTCAAGGAGGCGCTGGTGCCCGCAGTGTGGGCGATCTTCAAAGACAGGAGCAGCACGTTCGGGATGACCATCAGACAACAGCCGATGTGGCGGTAGCTGGGGCCGCACTTGATGATACGTTCGAGGAGGAGCCTGTTACTAGCAGTACCCCTCGAACCAGTCGTCAGTCCTAGGAAGTTGTAGCCACATTAAGTGTATTAAATGATTGATTGTATTATAGACTGATGTCTGTCGTAAGGTTTAATTTTAATTCAAGATACTTGAAAGAAACCAAATCAAGTAATGGTAACTTGTATGATGTTTAGCGAGATCTTCTCAAAGTTTATCAGTTTTGTTGGCAGACTTTTGATGGCTATTATGGTATTCATTCATGCGTAAATAACGGGTATGAGCAAGTTAAAGTGACGACCCTGGAGCACCTTAGTTAAGTGTGGGTTTTAGTCCTCTCTACTTCTACGATCGACACAATGCCCGCTCTTCAACCAAAGGTATTTTGGTTTATGTTATCCAGGGGTTGACCGCTAAATAATCGAAGTTCAGCTTCGCAGCAACAATTTAGGTGAAAAGTGACAGGGCTATAACTTCCCGCAGAAACAGGAAACTACAGTTTATATTGACGCTTTAGGGGCTAACTTTTCCACCACCGGTATCTTCCATGTCAACAGAGAGCTTGGCATTCCCATGGACTTATATCGTGACTAGACACTACTAGAGAAGTACCGTAGCCACAGGCTGCCTTTTGACAAGTTCAGTATGTGTATATGAGCACAATGTACAAAGTTGGTATAGTACAAGCATACGGTGCTTGAAAAAAGACAACTCGGGTATTGCTCGAAATCCGATCACCAACTTTGACGATCTGCGATTTCCCCGTCAGATCCGTATAAGCCGTTCTTGGGTGGTCAGTCAGCCAACGCCCCGACAATTTAACCCGCAAGTAAAGTATAGGCTCTCAATCCAATCCGTTCTCAGACTTCCACCGCTCCAGATACAACTCGGGACTCTTGGGACCTCCTGCTGGGCCATCGTAGGTGCCCCTTGTTCGTGGCATTCTTTGTGTTACGAACGGCGTCAACTATAAGATGATAGCATTAGCATTCATACGTGCAATGGAGCACAACCGTATTCCTTCCTCCCAGCTCTTTGAATAGAGACTACGGACTGCCAACATACTTTGAACTCGTTCAATCCCTCCGGCACAACATACGTCCGCACTTTGTTCCAATCTATAATGTATCCTCCAAACTTGGTGTGGCTACCCATAGATCCAGTGCGCGTGCCCTTGTAGAATCCCTTCTTTATATCCTTCGTCGTCAGCGGCAGCTTGCGGTAAGCGGCACGGAGCACGGTGGTGGGCTGCATGATGGGATTGATCCGTGATTTTCTGGTTTATTATATCCTCAGTCACTTGTGTGTGTGTGTTTGAGGTTGACTCTTGTCCAGGTTGCTGTCTCAATTCCGTCGCGTGAAGCTGCAAAGCTCATTGTGTATGATCCAAATCCCAAATTCTTGACAGGGGGTCTCGGTGAATGGATCCCGCCCCGATAGCCCCACCAAATATCACAAGGACCCCTGTCAACCCCCGCCACTGGCAGAAAAAAGTCAGGCACACCGCCCAAATTTGAATGGTTTACTTGATGAATAGTTTGAAACTCTTTGACGTTCAAGGTTAATTGGGACACTCGACAGCGTCAAGAGCCATATATAATCTACTATGTCTGGGCGACAATCTCACGGACGTCCTCTTCTTGGTGGACCAAGCGCCAACGCAAAGCGGAAACAGCAGACATCCAAAGCGAAATCCAACAAGAAGGCGCTCAATGCCTTCGCCATCGCGTCCGAGGAATACCAAGAAAAGCCGAAGCGTACCCCTCGTCAACGAGAACTAGAGACAGATCTTAGCGGCGGAAAGCGTCCCAGAGCAGGAGATGTTGATGATGACGAAGACGACGAGGATGGTGGGAATGAGGGGCCGCCTAGGAAGATGCGCCGCGGCGCCAAAGATGACTCCGATGTAGAATACGGAAGCGATAGCAGTGGCAACGAGTGGAAAGTTGGAGTTGATGACGATGATGACTCTGAAATCGAAAGTGACGATGCCTTCGGGGATAGCGACGAAGAGAGATTCGAGGGGTATACGTTCGGTGGAAGTAGGAAAAAAGCGACCAAGGGCGGAGAGGATTCAGAAGATGAAGCCGACGGGGCTTCACTAGGATCAGATGCGATAGATCTCGCAGCTGCCTTAGATTTGTCCATGTCCGAAGACGAGCCCGATGCCGCAGGAGATAAAGACTCAGAAGACAGCGACTCCGAATCAGACGATGGCGCGTCCAGCAGTGAGTCCTCAGATGATGACATGGAGGACGGAGAAGACGTTTCCGGAATGAAAGACTGGGTGAAGAAGTTCGCAGGAGTCGATGACGAAGACGAGGAAGTACAATTGGCCACCGCACCGAAAGCTAAGATCGGACTCAAAGATTTAGGTCTTCTAGGCATCAAAGATCCCCAACTCAAGAAGTCGCTCAAGCTCATGAGTAAGGAGGAGAAATCGAGCAAACCACAGAAACTTGATGTGCCCCTTGCGAGGAGGCAGCAAGCTCGCCTAGATCGCAGTGCTGCCTACGACAGTACCAACAAAACACTAGACAGGTGGACTGAGACGGTGAAGCAGAATCGAAGAGCGGACCATCTCGTATTCCCACTGGCCCAGACAGAAACAGGCCTTGCAAGACATGACAACACTGAAATCCAGCCCTTAAATCGGCAGGCAGCAGGGTCCGAACTGGAACGAACTATTATGTCTATCATGGAGGAGAGCGGCTTAGGTCCAAGTGCTGAGAAAGCAGCCGAAAACCCGCTCGATGATGGTGAAGAGCAAGCACTTTCCAGAAAGCTGTTGCAGCAACAGAAGCGACGCGAGAGAGAGCTTAAGTCTCGTGAAGATGCTAGGGCAAAGCGGATCAAGAAGATTAAGAGCAAAGCCTATCACCGCGTTCACCGGAAACAAAGGGAGCGAGATGAACTAAAGGAGCATGAGGCGAGGGCGGCAGCTGGTGAAATCGACTCGGATGAAGAGCGCGAAACTCAAGATCGACAGCGAGCCATGGAAAGGATGGGCGCGCGGCACAGGGAGAGCAAATGGGCCAAGATGTCTAACAAGGGAGGTCGTGCTGCTTGGGACGATGACGTTCGTGTGGGCATTGCCGACATGGCTCGTCGTGACGAAGAGCTTCGCCGCCGCATCGAAGGTAGAGCCGCCAATGATGGCTCCGATGACGATGATTCAGACTTCTCGGGCGATTCAGATGACGTAGATGACAGAAAGCGTCTCCTCAAAAAGCTCCAGGGTGTTGAAAGACCTGAAGACGACACCTCTGGATCGAAGCTTATGAATATGGCTTTCATGAAGAAAGCTGAAGCAGCCAAGAAGAAGGCCAACGATGACATGGTCGCTCAGATACGGAAAGAACTTGGATCTCATGATGAAATAGTGAACAATTCTGAATCGGAAGCCGAGGAGATTGGCAGAAGGAGCTTTGGCGTTTCTGCTATTCAGAGGGATGGGGCTTCCGCTGTTGAAAAGAAAGTCAGGGCCAACCGGAAATCCCTGGCTTCACTTGACACCCCTTCAGAAAGCAAGACAGAGCAGCCGGATTTTACGGAGCCAGCACCGAATCCTTCAGCGGGGGCGTGGGCTGCACCGAGTGCTAGTACGGCGGGGCCACGTCGAAAGCAGAGGAAGGAGAAGACAGATTCCAGCGCCGACGTACTAGATCTGGACGCTGGATTGGCCGTCATAACACAAGCAAAATCTTCTGAGCCGAAGCCCAAGTCTAAATCCAAGTCTGGTACTCAAAAAGCCGTGGCGCTCGCCGACGATATATCAGACGACGAAGACAGCCACATGCCCATCCAGTTCCATGACCAGAAACTGCTCGAAAAGGCGTTCGGCGGACTGGACGCAATCGCCGAGTTCGAGCAGGAGAAGCGCCAGATCGAGGAGGAAGACGACGAGAAAGTCATCGACAATACCCTCCCGGGCTGGGGCAGCTGGGTCGGTGAGGGCGTCAGCGCTCGCGAGAAGAAGCGAAACCAGGGCAAGTTCCTAACCACAAAGGAGGGTACCAAGCCCAAGGACCGCAAAGATGCCAGATTGCAACACGTCATTATCAACGAGAAGCGTATCAAAAAGGTGAGATTACTAACCCCCTACCAGCTCCTAAAGCGCCAAGGACGAAGATGAAAACGAACGTTATACTGACGCGCTGGTTACAGAACTCCAAATATCTCGCCTCGCAACTACCATATATCTATGAGAATACCGTGCAATATGAACGCGCTCTAAGGTTGCCTGTCGGCCCGGAGTGGGTTACGAAGGATACATTCCAGAACGCTACGAAGCCTAGGGTCATCATGAAGCAGGGAATCATCAAGCCTATGGAGAAGCCAATGCATTGAATGGTGGTGCTGTAGCCTCGGTAGATGGACTTTTGGAGAATGCCAACTGTCGAGTCGTATATATACTGGAAAAGGGGCATTTTGATGGGCCAACTAGATTAGACTGCCCTGGCTGGTCCAGAATAGACGTGTCCGTGATGTCAATCCAACGATGCAAATATGTCCGGCCTAGTAAGTGATAACCTCAGAAACTGGAGTTGCACGTTACGATTCAATGTCATCCTCCACCTCGAGTATATGTAACCCCTAATCAGGGAACCTCGAAAGGGGTCGTCAAACTTGACACAAACCTTGAGTAGCCATCTAGTGTATTGGGTATAATGATAATCAAGTTCCGTAAATGTACGGCACCATTCATTCATCATCGTCGCTACTATCTCCGAAGATAGCCTTGAGCACCGCATCTTGCGCCCGCTTTCCCTCCAGCGCTTCATTCACGCTCGCGTCTATCTCGACCTTTGCAGGTTGCAGTGGGGGTGCTGGCTCTTTGGCCCTTGCTGCATCATCTGTATTTGAGGAGGCGCTCTGAGCTTGTCTCACCAGCTCATCGAGCGTTATAGCCCCCGTACTCATCACTTCTCCCATTATCTCTCCGGCGTCGGCTGGATATGGCGAAGGATTGACGGCCGCTGCCGCCGCAGTAGCTGGGGGGGTAGTCTTCCTAACCCCGAGGTCTTGCTCCGCCTCTGGTTGTACATGTGCAGGCGGCCGTACGTTGAATCTCTTGCACAAAAGCCGCGTGGGATAGAAATCGGTCACCGATCTCGTCATAGCGCCATACATGCCCAGCCTAGCCGCCTCCTCAGACGGATCGGCCGGCTTGGGCATCGGTTTTGACAGCAGCTCCGATTCGGTTGGCGCAGCCCCTGATGAACCGCTATTGAGTTTCGACGTGGTAGATGTCGTAAACCGCGACGCCATCATGCCCGTCATGGGCTTGAAGATCTTGGCACAGCTCTGGAACTCGCGCAACTCGCGAAGCCAGTCATCTGAGCTCATCCCAGCGGATTTCGCAGGAAACGCAGCTTTGCTGAACCCGGCCGCATGTTCGAGGTACGCACGATAGCGGCTGCGCTTCGACTCGTTGTCGGCGTATGGGGCGGTGCCGCTGGCGCCGCGGGTGAGCGCGGCAATGGCGGTTTCTTTCTCGAGGACGGGCAATTGGGAGAGGAGGTCACGCTGGCGCTCTTCGGGCGTGAGGGCATATTCTTTGGGGATTTCGCCTAGTGCTGGGGGGAGGTCTGTCTTGCCGGTTGCGGCGGCAAGGTGCTCGCGGGCGGAGGCGGAGAGGAAGTCGAAGACGGATTTACCAGGCAGTTGGGCTTCGCCGAGTAGTTCTGCGCGGGATTTGGGGTCGAGGATGGATGCTTTTGCGGCTTCGGCGGTAGACACGAATTTTGCTGAGGCGGAGGGGTCGTTTTTGGGCTGCCTGGAGGACTTCCAATCTGGGGGTATTTGTGGTGGAGGGTACTTGACCTCGGAGTTGATCATGGGTGTGAGGGTGTCCGTCTCGGTGCCAAAGACGAAGCCGTCGAGGGGTAGGCGTCCATCGTGGCATTTTCGTAGATTCTTGGCTGCTTTTGCCAGTGCGCTCTTTCGTGGTATGAAGACGGGTGCGGATCGCAAACTTGGGTTTGCGGCTGTCATAGCAGCCTTCTTCTTTTTCTTGTCCCCGCCTATTACCCTGTTATATGATATTCGGGGGCCGATTTCGTAAGGATCCTCGTCGTCTGATCCATTGTCGTTCAGTATTCCGATGCCAATCCCGCCTCGAGCTGGCTTAGGCTTTTTTTTCCCTAGAGAGCTGGCCAGCCGTCTGGGCCTTGTCAACGGCCCGTCTTCGTCTGCTTCATCGGAGCTCCCACCACCATCCTTCTTCATCCCAGACACAGCAGGAGCCAATTTTGATTCTCCAAAATACCCCAAGCCCTTGCGGTCCAGCTTCTTGACGAAGGAAATCATAGAAACGTTCTCAGGCGCAAAGAGATGCGTCTCTCCGTCCTCTGCCTGCGCACCAGGCTTACTCGCAACGTCCAGCCTCGCTTTCCGACGAACTTTCGGTCCAATGCCCTGGCCATCCTTCCAGCCCATCTTCCTCAACAGCTTCACCCCCATGGTCTCTCCCCGGACCCGAAAAAGATCCGCCATGCCCCCACTTGCCCTCCTCGCAGCATCCTCCTCGGTAGACCCCAATCCCGCAAACCCCCCGGCCATCCTCACTTTCTCGCTTTCAGCCTTATCCGCCAAATCCTCCTCATCCATGAAGTCCTCTACCCTCTGCCTTCCGCCATCCTTATTACCATCAACAACGCCATTCTTGCTGGCGCGATTGCCCCTCGAGCTGACAAACGTACTTGGCGCCCACCCCTCTTTAGATCCGACCGTATTAAAGTACCCGGCGCTGAAGCCGCCTGTGAATGCACCATGCAGTCGCTTGCGTCCTCGCTCGTCCCTCACTTCCTGCTTCCACACGGGCACGTACGAGCCATCGTCGCGCGTCTCGGCGTCGAGGGGGGGCAGGGGAGTGCCGAAGACTACGTAAGGTGACTGTTGCGCTCGGAGGTCGCTTTCGAATTGCGCGCGCGTTCGTTTGGTGGACATGGACATGGGGAAGTTGGTTTCGTGGGGCGTAGGTGGTATGGAGGGTGTTATGACATGTTGGGGAAGTTGGATTGTTGTTTCTTCAACTTTCGTCAGACCTCGAGCTTCAAATGTTTGGTACGATAAAGCTTAGCTTATCGAACCGCCGTGGCGCGCTCTGGAGGGCCAAATTACAGCGCTTACAGTGGGGTCCCTGTACACTAAAGTGGCCGACACTACCCGCAACCGCAAGTTGAGAATAGGGGAGATGGCTGATGCGTATAAGTCAAAATCTACACGGTATCTGGGCAGTCAAGGTGTACAAACACAATGTTTTTACTGGTGATTCAACAGGATAGAACAGAGCCGGTTTCAACTGCTACACATCAGGTGTGATTATAGGAGCGAGGCAAGGCTAGAAATCGACATTGCCAGGTCTCATCCATTTGCCATCATAGCATCGTTAGGTACGTCGTAAATACAACCCTTCCCAAACCCAGGCAACATGCCCTATTAAATTACCGTTATTTCTCCCGCCGCATTATTTATTACGTCAAGGTGAAACTCCTACTCGTCCCCTCAAAAGCCGCAATGCCACCCCCAATCAACGCCTTTCTATCCCCATAGTACTTGATCCTATACGTGCCCGTCTCGGCATCAGACTCCGTCTCCCAGCTGATGACGACGTCGCTGTAACCCAACACGGTATTCGTCCGCGTCCAGGTGTAGACCAGGAACCAATCACTGTCATCACGTACCTCCGTCCACTCCGTACCGACCAGCTTCTCGACAGCGGCAAAGGTGCCCTCGAGCCGCAGGTTGTTCCGCGGGTTAGCTCCGACGAACGTGGCGTTCACGACGGCGCCGCGGGCGTATGTGGTGTTCGGCTGGACTTTGCAGTCGCCGAAGGACGATCCAAGGGGGGCAGCATCAAATACCACGCCCGAGATGAAACTGAGCGAGGTTTCACGGTTGTCAGGCGGCGAAGGCCCAGCGGGCGGTGCTCCTGTTGCTGTGGGGGAGAGGTAGTGCAATTTGCTGACAGTCAAGTTGATGTAGGCGGGCAGTTCCCAGGGGCCGTATAGAGTCGATGCGCCCTCGTACCGCTGGATTGCATATTCCTCTGGCGTGGCGCAGTAGTGCGCATACGTGTTTGCCGGCCCGCCGAGAACAACCATGGGCTCCTCGTCGAGGAACTCGGATACTGCCTCCTTGACTGCGGCTCTCCAGCGGCGTCCGGCCATGGTGGTTGCCTCGCTGGGACTGATGATGATGACGAACTGGCCGACGCGCAACACCTGCATATCCACGATGTTGGGGCTCCAGACGTATGGCTCAGACAGCTCGCCGACGTCGAGTAGAACCGGCTTGGGATACTGGCAAGCCTTTTGCTCTGCGGATGGCTCCCTGAGGACACCGCTTACAAGTGCCCAGAGAGGATTCGCGTCAGGGCTACCTGAATCTGCCTGCGTGAAGTCAAATGCGCCAGGGCCATCAGTGGTGCCTGCTGCAAACGAGTATCCTAAGGCAGCGGGACAGGTTTGAACCTCGGTGCCATTATCCAGGGAAAACTTGTAGTATTGCATATCCTGATAGAAATGGAACGACTTGACGCTTGCTCCCACGACAAGGGTGCCTGAAGAGCTCAAGGAGTCCTACGAACGGCGAGTTAGACACAGTCGGAATACGTTAACCTAGCACGGGGCTGTGCTTACGAAGACTGACTTCGCACCAGCGTACTGGCGCCTCCCAATTTCGTAACAGCTGGAAACTCCAAGATCCAAGTTCCCGAAGAGGGGGCCGCGACCATGGCAACTTTGAGATTTGCCATCAGCACAAGTGCTGTTCTCGTAGGAGCACATTTGACCTGATCCATCATCGCACCTAGATATGTCGTCAGTAATGAGTACTAAACATGAGAGTGAGACTGACCAAGCCCCCAAAACGTTCGGCGTGGTGTCGCCGACATTGGCCTGGGAGAAACCGGCGACGAAGCCTTCGGCAGTGCTGGCGTCACCTTGGAGCTCTTTCTCGAACATAATGGCCGCCACTCCCTTGTTGTCACCGGTCACGTGGGTATTGTTTTCCAACATGGACGTGCCGTGGACAGGGTACCATGACAGTAGACCGATGTTCTTGCTATCTGAAGCACGCTGAAATCTGAGCACGGTCATCGTTTTGTCGGTGCTGTCTGGGTACTGGGCTCGTTCGGACGCAGGATTGGCCATATACGCATATAAACTGCGGCTCAAGTTGCCATCTGTGATGTTCACAGTTCCTGTTCAATGTGAGTTACGACATTCGGCTCAGTCCAGTGTAGCACTTGGGTGCCGTACCATAATCAAGGTAGCCCTGGAACCGTGAGGTTAGCTTCAGAATAGGTCCGAGTGACACTAGGTGTGGAAACTGACCTCCTCGAGCGATGCGTGAGCTCTTTGGATAGAGAGCAGAGCGCCATCGACGACAGCCTGGTAACTCTGCTTGTCGAAGCCCAAACTGGTAATCTGAGGCAACAGATAGTTGAACCATGCTCCTGGGCCCGAGTGCGAATGAGTTCCCGTGACAGCCACATTTGACTGTCCATACATGGAGTAGTCGTCTCCAAGCGCAGCCAAGCCATCCAAGATACCATATCTCACCGCAGTGTCGCCCGATTGCGTATCCAGAATTAGATACACGAACCGATCGTCCGGGTTGTCGACATCGCCAACAATAAAAGCTCGCGAATAGATGCGTTGCCGCAACCCCGTGCCCGTCTGGGCCGAAGAGGCGTACCCAGCAAAGTTCAGCTCGACAACGGGCCCAGTTACATCAGCTTTGCCAACCCCAAGGAGGTACTTGTCCCCTATTGCCGTTGCGCGGGCTTTAGACAGCAGAGGTGTGCCGAGTTGGGGTTTATGCCGGATATCGAAGCCACGTCTCTGGACTGGCGCATTCAACTTAGATACAACAAACACACCCAGGACGAAGAAGAAAACGACCGAGAACATGGCAAATATGGAACGTCTCGGGACCCGAAGGCCGTTCTGGTGCTGAAGTGGAGCCATGCTTTCAGGGAGGGAGTCCTATCCAAGCACGGTTTTCAGTGCCAAATTTTCCTTGTTAGTTGTACGACGGGAATACGTCTACGGAGATCTGGGTGCTACACCCGGGTCCAACCAGGCGGCATCGTCAAGCCTTTTATTCTTTCCAGCTGGGTTAGGCGATCAGGCGTTTCCTATCGGAAGGTGCGAACTGCTGGCCCGCATACGTACGTTAGGTACCCAAGATAGCAAAAGCCTCGGTCATCGAGCACTCTAGGTCATAATCTCGTCTAGAGCTAGATAGGCCTCCCCTCACACGAATGCAACGTCGGCGATGACTTCTCTTTTCTTGTATCCACGGTTCAGGCCCCGTGCTGGCCGATTGTGTATGGCTATCTTTGGTAGGTCAATGATGCCTTGCTTTGTTTCTTTCCCCGCCACAACGTGCCAACCTGCAGCAAAGCTGGAATGCCGCTCTGGGAGGCACCCAGTCGGAGGACAATTTGCACAAACAGGGCAACTGTACTACGACGCGTTCTTGCCATGTTGACTGGTTGGCTGCGGCAGCACAGCTTGGCTCACATGCTGCCGCCGGCGTGGGAAATGCCAGCACGACCATACTGCTGATCCTATGCTTCACTGGACTTTGTTTTTGACTCCGTGATGCCCGTGATGGTTGGTCGTTGGAGGCCACCACCATGTAATTGCGGGGTCGTATGTCCATCGTCACTGACTGGTGTCACCCCCATTGCAGTAAATAATAGATTTGGGGTGTGCCTCCTTTTGCGAGCTCTGACGAATGACCGCCTCAGAAAGCTGGATACGAAGCCGCAGCTCCCTCGGCATCCGGCCTCTGGGTCTGGTTCGTTTTCGTCGAAAATAGTTGCTGATAGTATGGTTGGACGGTGGATGGGGAAAGCTATTGACTAGGCTTCGGCTCCAATCTCGACAATCCAGGTCACCCCTGACCTTTCCTGCTAGTGTTCCCGAGACCTGTCCCTGAAAACAAGGGTAACGTCATACCTGGGTTCGCGTGGGCGAAAGTCTATCTATCAGTCCATTCGCGTTCGATGCTACCATACCACATTTATCGTCCAGGGTTATCACATATCAAGATGATAACGGCACACATAACCTGGCACTTGGAAATTATTAATACTCCTTCTCAAAGCAGACATGCGCCCGCGCCTCGTGCACAGGCGGTGTATATTAAACCTGACTCGAATACAAGAGAAACCAGGAAACGCCTGCGACCACGGGGGTCACGTTGTGTTATCGATCCGGCTGCAGAGCGAGGTCACATTGTCTGATTCTTAGCTGCGAACCTCGACAACTTCGGTGTACGGACTGCTCGCTGTTTCCTTCACTTCCTCCCCAGTTCTTATCTTGTCGGACCAAACCGAATAGCCAACCTAGCTCTTACTGCCATTCAGTGACAGGTGATATCGGTTACGTCGTCACGGACGACCATTCCGATACATAGAAAATAATAATCTTCAGTCACGGAGCATTTCCGCATTGCTCCTAATCGGCTACTACCGAATCGAGCCCTGGATGCCAACTAGTCCAGCTACGGAGTTGTTGAAAATGACCACTACCGAAGACCTAATTATCTACCGACCAGGATTACATTACATCTATCTGTCTGCCGGTACGAAAACCCGGCAGACTTCTGCAGTCAACCAAACATACCGAGATATGATGAAACAACAGCGCACCCATGGAGAATATGTTATGTCTGTCCATTCCACTGGAATATCATGTTATCACACCCTAATACTCAGCCTTTTGATTGTGCCGTGCATGTGCATACGCATACGGACCGGGACCAAGGCATGTTCATTTTCCATATAAAAGAGTTGACATTGCTCGTACTTTTGGTCATTACCCCATGTCTAGAAGTACGACGAGGAGAGCCAAGCCATTGCGGGCCACCGTCTCCATGCAAGGAATCGACTCCCCACCCAGCTGCATCCAAGAGGCACAGCACCAGAGTCTATTTTCACCACCTTTCCTGACAGACCGCAACTGACAGCCAGCGCCCACATACTCGTCCCATTCCATATTTTGCTCGGCAACATTTTTTTCTGTCTGCCCGCTCAGTCCTGGATGACTGTTTTCCGTGTAGTATGAGCGACCAGAATTGGTCCTCCATTGCACTCCAAACGAGAGACCCCGTGGAGTTGACACGGTGCTTGAGATGGTCCCCAGGAGGCTTGGACTCTGGAATGAGACGTGGTGGGGAATGCTTTTGCCCCCTGGGCGTTGAAGATGAGGGAGGAGGTAGGGTGTGTTACGAAGGAGTTGAGAAGCCATGACAACAATTCGGTGACTTGAAGTTGTTAGGGGTAGTTATCAAGACGCAAATTTATGTGAGTGCATGAACATTTTGATAGTGACAACCAGTCCAGTCGGTAAACGAGGTAATCGCTAGGGATTTGCATTACTTCCCTCGCTTGCTTACAATATTGGCCCATCTTACCATTTCCTGGCTTTGCAAGTCACCGCCCAGAGTCCTTTGGCAGTTCCAAGTTTCCAACTGGCTGGTATTGATGCATTATAGTGGCAAATTGTTACTGGTGACCCAACGACGTCTTGCAGCTATTGTTGACAGCTTAACATGGTGAAGGCGCTCAACTTTCGGGTCAGAAGCAATGGATCAATGACTTCAATCTCACCCCTTGTGATAGCAGCTGCGGGCTGTTATGTTTCTCCGATATTTAATCAATTATGCTATTTATGCTATTTATGCTATTCGCGTTTATTCTTTTATGCGTATGACTATAGATGCTATAAGCTAATGATAACTCACCATAGTGAAGTCGTGTCAGGCTACGTATTTGACGTACGTGACTAAGTACAGGTGCAAAACAAAGCACAGGCTGCACGTTGTATACACACTCAAGTAAATTTAGTTAGGTTGACCGTGTTAGCTTGAACTTGATTCTGGCCATGCCGGTGTTTGGCACCACTCCGACTTACATCAATGACAAAGACAACATAATCAAAGCCAGTGGGGCGTTTCAGGAGACGAGTATTTATCTTTTGGCTCTCTTTTCAAGTAAAGGCTTCGGCAAGGAAGCACGAAGATGTACTGGAAATTCGGGATTTGTATGGCGCGGGTTGCCCTTGTCCTCCTGGCCTTTGGTTGCGGGGCGTGATTTTTCGACGCTTACTTCGGGGTTGTCATTGTTCTCTTCGCCTTCAATTACAATATGTAACTTGTAGACCCTCGCCTGGCCTTTATTGTTGACTGAGTTGTAGGTCTCTGGTGTGTCTGCCCTACGATTCGTTGCTGGCTTTCAGTATAGTTCCTTTGTGTCCAGCGCTCTTGGTCAATAAAACCCAGGTTTTGAGACACCACTAGAGCAAGAGAGATCTTAAACTTTGGATACGTGGGCGTTTGGAAAGCTCTTGATATTCTTGGGACAATGAGCATCTTCCTGATAGCCCTGGGTATCGGCCTTTAGAAACGGGTGTCTTGAAAGCCAATAGACCTGCTGTAAAACTATTGCTTCAATACCAGAAGGTGGCCATTGATGAGAAATGGCTCCATCCTCCTTTTGTTTCATCCCGTTCCTCTGGCGTAGTGACACAAACAGCTGGCCATTCGCGCCCGGGTCCTCTCAATGACCGCGGGGAATATCATTGTTCAATACATCCCAGGGTTTCGACCGGCGAAACGCTACTATGCACAAACGACATACCCCTGACATACGAGCAGCACGAAATATGGCGTCGTCAATGGCAATCTAGCACCGGAGATGCGATTTGAGGATATGTGGACAGGGGGAGGGCGAGGTTAGACATGTCAACAGATCACGAGACGATCAAGAGCGGCGCCAAGACGGAATTCAGCATCGAGAAGACAACGCGCCATGAGTGGTGATCAGAACGTTTGAGGAACGAGGAACCTACGAACCGAGATAGTGTAGTAGAACTCGAGGTTCCACCACCACTACCTGGGAGACGAGATGAAATCAGCTAGAGCAGAGGAACTCAAGTGAAGGAGATACACATGTTCTGTTGAGAAGCCTGTTAGATTTTAACCATGGTTCGTCAGTCAGTAGCTGTTATTAACCTTGAAACACCAGTACACATTTGATTGGTCTATGGACCTGTCATGTTAGTGTACATATGGCCAGTCACGGAAGTCAGTACTTGTGCAGGTATTTGTTTAGGATAATGAACCAGCGCTTTCTGAAACTAGAAAACACCCTCACGAGAACGCTTGATTCTTTCCGCATTCCTCGTAGATGGCCAATTTCGAACTTGTGAATAATTATATTTGCTCTCCCAAATAGATACTGTATTTTATGTCAATTTCGTGCTAACTGATGCTATGATTGGTTGTCATAGACATACCGCGATCCGTCTATTGTGCCTCTAGGGGCATGTAGGATCCCCGTCATTTCAAGGGGCGACATATGTCGGAAGGACAACAGATTGTCTTTGGCGGGTTCTCATCAGATGGCATACATAACTTATTTTTCATTCTATGCTCCAGTGTTCATTCCGTGACGTTGATACCTTTTACAATTTCCAGATTGCTCCGGCCCCTCCTCAAACTTTGCACCACCAGTTTGCCTTACGCACCGACACTGGCAACACTGGCAACGCGCTGCTGCTCGGGCTGTGGCGTTAGTCTCCTCGAGATGTTAGGTATGCCAACACGGTCGGCCATGCGATCGGGCACTAAATCTGGCGACACCGATCTGACGGGATACTCGGCCGCCGGACTCGCCTGTAGAAAACGAGACGTGACGGGTTGAGGGGCTAGGATGTTCGGGGACTGAACCTCATCTACCACGGTCTGGGGCACAGGGCTCGCACCGGTGCGGAGCTTGGACGGCAATATCTGCTCGAAGCCTTGGGTTTGGGCCACTTTCTCAATGCTCTTGAAGTACTATTTTCAGTGGTTAACAAGGCACACGTAAGCTCAAGACGTGACGTGCCCAGGGATATGTCTTACCTTGACCGTCTTCACCTGCAACTCGAGCGTCGCATCCTCATCGCAGACAATCATGGGGTGGGGATGTAACTGCAGGCTCGACAGAGTCCACATATGGTTCACACCCTGCTCAATGCACTTCTGCAACGCCAGCGCCTTGCGCGCCCCCAAAATAACGACAACGACCTCCCTGGCCTCCAGCACGGTCTGCACGCCGACGGTCAGGGCCATCTTGGGGACTTTATCCAGATCATTGCCGAAGAAGCGCGAATTGGCGAGGATGGTGTCGTAGGCAAGCGTCTTGACGCGGGTGCGCGAGGCCAGACTGGAGCCAGGCTCATTGAAGGCGATGTGGCCGTCCTCGCCGATGCCGCCGAGGAACAGGTCGATGCCGCCTGCGCGCTTGATCTTGGCCTCGTACTCGACGCACTCAGCTTCGAGGTTGGGCGCGTTGCCGTCGAGGATATGGACGTGGTTGGGGTTCACGTTGACGTGCGAGAAGAAGTGCTTCCACATGAAGGAGTGGTAGCTTTCTGGGTGGTCGCGGGGGATCCCGATGTACTCGTCCTGGGTTGATGCTTAGTGGGGTTCAAGGAGAGCACCTGCTACGGGCAATAATGTACATACCATGTTGAATGTGACGACATTTTCAAAGGAGATCTAGTGTAGCGCTGATTAATCGAGCAATACATCGACTGGTCAAAACAAGAGATCCTACCTCTCCAGCCTTGTACTTCTCAACCAGGATCCTATAGACACCGAGCGGACTTGAACCAGTCGGCAGGCCCAGCACAAAGGGATGTGCAGTTGTGGGATTGAAGTGCTTGATCCGGCTGATGATATAATTGGCTACATAAGAGCTAGCCGACTCAGAGTCGTCTCGGATGATGAGCCTCATCTTGGATATATTGGATGCAGCAGAGAATGCGCAGAGATAGACAGGGGTTGTATGGAAAGCAACACACCAGCAGCTATAGTATGGGGAATAAGAAGAAGAGGCTGCTGTTTGAGTTGTGAAAATAAGATAGGAAGCTGCGGGCACCTACCGGTATCACCGGCCTCGCAACGGGTTATGAGGGACCTGGAGGGGCTCAATTCGGCCAACGTGTAATGAGTCGCACATGTTCAAGGAAGCGAGCGGTTGGCGATAAGATGGAACGTTTGGCCGTGTCTCCACCAAACACGACGAGATCACGCTTGTGCCCCGATGAGATGGACTGAACGTTGTAGATGCCTCTCATAACGTGTGTCGGGGCATGTGCCGATTGTGGCCGCCTGGTTGGTTCGCAGTGTCGCGCCTTTTGTTCGATAAGCGTCGAGCATATCACCATGGGGGGATACGTTGTTCGACTCTGGTCACGTATCTGGAGATCTTGGACACGCCCGGTGATCGGGAGTGGGCTGGTCACAGCAGAAGCGACAATGGAATGTTGTGACAACCGGGTAGGTTTTGCCTACGCCTTAGCCGCTGTCAGCGGTCACTGGAGCTAAAGCGTTTGAGCTGCCAGAAACGAGTGGCAATCATCCAGCGCTCCAGGGATCACGAGCCTCAAGCCCGTCCGGGTTCGGAAGCGGATGTAGTGGGAAACTATATAGTCCCCGTACGTGGTAGCTCCCCGTTGCGCGACTGATAAGCGGGCCATCCGGCATTTGGCATTCGGCATTCGTTCCCCCTACATCTGCTGTGCAATTGATCCAGCTTCATGTTCAGCTGAAGCTTGGTGGTAACGGAGGTCGACGACAACGGTGCCGAGTCTATTAGATGCGCACCATATTGTCATTGTTCTCGCTGTTCGTCATGTGTCTCGGTCCTGAAGTTCCATCTGAAGCCCCCAACTTTGATGCTGGCAAATCTTATGTGGCGCTGTGGCTCGAGCGACGATCGTTTCCTTCTTAAACGGGAAGCCTCTAGCTCGCGACCACAAACCTTTTTGGTTACCCTCCCTCTACAACGTTACATCTCGACTAGTGGTTGAGCGATAGACAGCATCACCAGTCGGTAAGACCATGTCCAATTCCTCCTCTCCCCCTTGTGCGCGGGGCTGCTGCACTCCATCGGAACCTACTTGTAGCATTCTCAACCGATTGTGTTGTTACGCGCAACAAAGATCTGGTCTGGGCTCTGGATACACACTGAAGGTCGGCCACCTCTTTGCCGTCCAGCGGGTAGTCCAGCCAGTGGAGTTCAGCGTTTCTTATTGGGGTGCGGCGACGCTAAGGTGTTTCGACCTCACCTCTTGAACGCAATCCTTCCTCGTTTCGCTCTTAATTATTGATTGACAATTTGTTCCATTACAACGCTCTCTATACCCTTACTGGGTGTGCGTTGGCTTGTTGCTCACTGCCTTGTTTCCGCCGACGCACTCATTCGTTCCAACGGCACCTGTGGGCATCCTAGCTGTGGTCATTTGGTAATTGAGGCCGGCAGGTTTCATTTCTTCCGTTGCAGCCTTTCTCCCGCCCTATACGAGCCCTGACGCGACCCCTTTGGAGAAAAGCCCCGTCCTACCATTCGGCTGGGATATGGCGAATATTTCATGATCCACCGTCCGACTGTTGCCCTTTTTAAGCTGTCGTCTGTTCCTTTTCATACTTGGAGGCCATCCCCTGGTTTCCCCAGTCTCTTCACCCCCCAATGTGATGCAGCCGCTCACGTCTGCAATGACCAGCGTCAGGAAAACGTTGCTGGCGGCCTTCAAGACTTTGCTCCGGGGCCGGTCCTTCTTGCAAGCTTTATTTTCCTTTTGGGTCAGCCCGGCTACCATCAAAGAGCAATATGCCAACGGAACGGCAATATCGTCTCGGAGGAGCATGGATGACTTCCTTAAAGAGGCCGAGGAGTTGCTGTTGGGGCCTGTAGACGGTGATGGGCTACGCCGGTTTTCAAAGCAACTGAAGCTTCAGTTCCGGGAACGACTGGGTACCCATGCCGAGAGCATGCTTCCCTCGTACAGCCATCTGCTCCCGTCCGGAAAAGAGAAGGGCCAGTATGTCGCCCTCGATGTCGGAGGATCGACGTTGCGCGTGGCATTGGTGGCATTGAGGGGTCGAGAAGCCAGCGGAGAAAAGGCTGACATCGTTAGGATGAGTACCTTCAAAATAACTCCCGAGATCAAGAAGCTGGAGGGCATGTCCTTTTTTGACTGGATGGCGGCACGCATCAGCGAGGTCATCCAACAAAAACCTATTACCGGCAACCCCATACCTATGGGGTTGGCGTGGAGTTTCCCGGTAGAGTATGTACTGATGACAGTTCTTGTTGCGGACTCTTGACTCACCATCAATAGGCAAACATCGTTAGGGGGCGGTCGTTTACTAGGGATGGGGAAAGGGTTTCTTGCCACCAGCGGCTTGATGGGTCAGGATCTTGGCGAGGTACTCAAGTTGGCCTGCAAGAAACACGGTCTCGATGTTGAGCTCGGCGCTATTGTCAACGACGGCTCGGCCACTTTACTATCCCAGGCATACGTCCACGCCTCGACGCGCTTTGGCCTTATACTCGGTACTGGGACCAATATTGCCGTCCACCTGCCCGTTTCGGCTTTCAGCCGTGCAAAGTTTGGCAATCGTCCTGAAAGCTGGTTCGATTCGGCCAGCCATGTAATTGTCAACACAGAGCTGGGCATGTTTGGAAAGGACGTTCTTCCCGTATCGCGGTGGGATCGGCTGCTGAATGCGGCACACCCCTTGCCAGATTTCCAGCCACTGGAGCAACTGCTGAGCGGATATTACCTGGGGGAGGTCGTGAGATATGCCCTTGTCGAAGCGATTCAGACAACCGGTTTACTAGGGGGCATCCTGCCTCCTTCCTTGGAAAACGTCTATTCTCTTGATACGGAGACATTGTCAAGGATAGAAGCGTGAGCACATCCCGTCGCTCATGTCGTCGTTGTCAGACTTAAACTAATTCGCCCAGTGATCCTTCACCCACATTTGACACTGCGCTCCCATATTTCGCCACCATGCACCCCTCCACCGTCAAACCCACAGTCGCCGACATGGCGGCGATCCGAACTCTCGCCTCTCACGTCTCTCGACGCTCCAGCGCCTTACTCGCAGCATCCGTCTTCGCACTATGGGAGTTAAGACACGAGACCGAGGCCGAATACACCCAATCGATGCCTTCTGCCAATACCAAAGTCCAGTTCGTTGTGGAAGCCGAGGCAGAGCACGCTCTGCCGCGGACTAAAGTGGCGTTTAACGGCTCGGTGATAGAGCGGTACCCACAATACCGAGAGAATTGTCAGCAGTATATCGACAGCCTAGTGTCGGAAAGTCCGCACCCTGGGGCAGTGGACCTCGTTCCGGCGTTGGAGAGCAGCATACTCGGTGCTGCTGTGGCGTTGGCGTGTGTTTCTGACGAGAAAGTATTAGATGCGTGATAATAGAAGGATGTGGCGGCTTCCAAGTATATATGAGCACTTCTTATACATCAACCCCTCTATGTGTGGGGGTTTACATCGTAACGACAGGGAGGAATTCTTGGAAACATAGCATTTATTTTATGTGGGACACCAGCCAAGGTATTCATCCATAGATGAGCGACTTTTCACAAGGACAACTCAAAATTGTATCATACAATTCAAATGCGAGAGAAATTAAAGAGGGTATATTCCACCAAGTTCCGGTGCATCAACTACTGCAACAAATACCATAGGACACGTTGGTATCGTGTGCTCTATATCCAACCCAAATGTAATTAACGCCAAATTCATGCCTGCCGGCACGAGCCTCGACCGCGTTGTTGTTGAGGCTCATTGGAGCACCCAAGTTGCAACATGGCCGGAGTAAATCAACCAATCCACTTGCGTATCATCACATCATCATTCTGCAGAGAAATATCTCTTGGCCTTACTCCTCACTTTTTGGGCCTTGATCTCGGACGGAAGCGCAATGTGGTGTACAATGTGAGGTCTGTACACAGTATCCACGAGAGGTGTCCTGTGGAAGAGGACTCACGCGTTAGCGAACTACTTTACTTCCCAACTTCAACCCCCACGGCAAATGAGGTTGAAAACTTACCAGTCATCCACACTCAACGGGAAATATTCATACAGCTGCTCCGTCTCCTCGGACGGACTGCCGCCATACTGTGCCGCATTTGACCGGTTCAACTGCGGGCTCTGCAGCGCGTCTGCATTGGAGCGGTTGTTGGGGCTGCGCTCGTCTTCGGATAGGGATAAATTGATGGGTAGTGAAGGAACAGAGGATGAGCTCTTGGCGTGTCGCTCCAGCGTCGGCAACTTGCCAGTGAAAGATGAGGACTCCTTGCCCCAGGACGGAACGGGTGGCCTGTTCACATTGGGAGAGACGGCCATTTTCTTAGATTGATGTTGCTGGCACTGCTGGCCTTGCTGACCACCGAATGCAGGCGTTGACCAGTCACTCGAGCCGGATGAGTTCTGAGCATTCCCGAGGGAGTGATAGCGGTGCAGGTTCTGCGCTGGGTCGGTCCGCTCTTGCTTCATGTTCGGGGCGGGGGATGCCGAGACCTCGTTCTGCGGGCGGGTATTGGTGGTGCGTTCCACACTGCCCGACTTTTTGTCGGCCGACAGGGGGACGTCCTTCCTGCTGTCGAAGTTTCTCGGACTGCGGCCCCGGACAATGACGGGGCCACTGTGAATCTCTGCAATTTGCATCAGGTCGCCTCCGGCTTTCGGCTTGCCGAGGAGGTTGATCTGGACCAGATAGTGTTGCTGCAGGCCCTTCCGGCGGCCGTTATTCGCCGTGGCCGATTTGAACTGTAGGCGTTTCCAAGAAATGGGCACGCTGACTCGATCGCCGTCGACTTCCTGGCCTCCGCCGAGGTCAAGAGTAGCTTTCGGCGGCGCCTGGGGCGTCTTGGTCTCTTGCACCTCGCCCAGGGCCCCATTGCTGCTCTTCCAAGGGATGGAGATGATCTCCGTCGTCTTCCCCTCGATGGACTCGATGGCCGATATCGAAGCGTAAAACTCGACTATGGGCACGGCGCAGCCCTGCTCATCCATGACTTGTGTGCAATGCCGCGGGAGCATGATTTGGCCCGAACACTGCCACAGGTTCCGCCGGTAGCATGTCAGCTCCAGCGGCCGCCCGCTCGTCTCGCCGGGGCCGAATACGTCTTCGGCCACGAAGAACATGCCGTAGAGCTCGGCCGTCATGCTCAGCTCCGAGAAGGTGCCAGTTGTGTCGTCTAATGGCGTCGCTTTGAGCACGGGCGCAGAGAAGCCCAACAGCTTATCGTCGAGCTGCTGCGGCGACGACTCCTCATCTTGATACGTCTCTGGGTCGGGCGCGGCTTCATAAGGTCGCGAGTAGTTAAACGGGTCCTCGAATGTGGTGGAGAAGGTGTCGAAGTCGTATGATGACGTGAAAGGTATAGGTAAGCCGCCATTCACGTTATCGCTGTAGCATAGTCTCAGTACGGTTTGAGCTTTTTTTTTCTCTTTTTCTTTGTGCCTGTCGATCAAGAGCGCTGGGTTAACAACTCACAGCATCGACTCATCAAAGGTCAGTTCCTGATCGAAACCCTCGATGCCGAGGCCAGCACCCGTCATGGAGGCGACATTCAGCCCCATGGCATCGTTGGGGCTGGTGCCAGACGAGAGCCCGGCGTGGAAAGTTGCCATCGCATTGTAATTGCTAAACCCCACCGCCCGCAGTCACTTCGGTTTTGGACTTGGGAATGAAGGGGGGGTTTCCATATGACAACGAAAATATCGCGAGATAGTTTCGTTCGGTAAACGGCGCAAAGAGTACTCCAATAATTCTCGGGTTCGGATTGAAATGACAATGACGGCGACAGACGACGTGTGGTGGAGGTTAAGCTCTCAAAAGTTGTGGGGGGGAAAGCGTCGCTATCAGCCCGTTTTGACCCCTGTGGATTGGCTACTGTGGAGCTTTCCTGCACCTCGCTCGGTGCCGCCGCCTGGACTCTGGCGAAGCTGGGGATTCTCGGTGTAATTGGGGCAGGCTAGCGGGGGAATACTTCTGGGACTCTTAGAAGTTGGGGCAGAGGATTGGATCTTTGTTGTTCGGCTCGTATTGACAACTCGACATCCCTCCAACTCTGGAAGCTGCAGCTGGAATCGGAAACCTGGGAAATGGTCTCAGGCTTTCCCCTCACTTCTAGTTAAATACTTTACCCAAACATGGGTTGTTGAGACTGGGGAGCCACGAGAAAAATTCTGCAAGGATTGGAAAGGATTGGACACCGCGCAGCAGGTAGCCTATTACGGCGGCACACTGCGGGAAAGTACCGTAGGACGATGCACGGATACTATGTTAGCCACCTCAGCTACTCGAGTACCGCACACCGGTTGAGCTTTCAACAACTGCTATTTTAACACACGCATCTACTCGCATAGGGCAGAGGCGTGTTCAGCCAATCCGGTGGCCCCTGAAGCATCAGCTGAAAGCACGGCTTACTCGAGTGGGCGAGCCGTTGTGAAGACCTAGGTGTAGTTTCAATGATCCAAAGTCAGTTACGGACGTTAGTTGAGGCATTATGCAGATGTGGCTTCTCAAAAGATAGAAGCGGAAATCAGAACTCCAACGCTGAAAGTATGGGAAACCTCCCTTGGGCACATTCTGATGCTGCAGCACACAAGCAACCGAGGAGGACTACCATGCAATCGGAGTACATTAGAATTTTGAAGCTCTGCACACCAAATATTTGTTCAAAAAATGACAAAAACATCCGCATGGACATCCATACCAACTACGTAAGTACGTAAAATACGTGGCTTTATATCGTGGCCCTACCAAGTGAACTTCCAATTGCAGCGTGTCATTCCTATCATGTCAATGCAGACCACTGTGCGGACAATGATTAGCACACTGGACCACATCATACATCCATGGTAAAACTTGCATGCTCGGGAGAATTTGTGATCTCATCAAATGTTTGCTGGGCCTCGAATCCCATCGCAGCAAGAGGTTCAATAAACTCGTCGAGCACCTGTTCATCCAGTTAGCCGCTTTCATTCCGCATCAACAAACACGAAATGTCGAAACCTTGGCTTACCCAACTCAGCACACTCCGCGCCGATTTATGTCCCTTGTTCTGCCGTACACCCATGAACGCGAGGCCCTGCAGCAGCAGCACCGTTTGGGCGGTGGCAGGCACGATCGGCGCCAGGATACCGCCCACTCTCTCGTCGCCGACGGGGTGAAGAGAGGGGACATGTGTCGCCAGCTGGCTTCCGGTCGTGCAAATGATGACGGTTCCGAGGATGCTTCCGTCGGTGCTCTTGGCGCGCACGACGCCGCAGCTCTTGTGATCCAGGAGGCTGCGGGCCAGGGCAAACCGGTACAGCTCGACCACGTCCGGACTGGCGTACGTCGATACATGGGTCAGAACCGACTCGGCGTTATCGAGTCCATGGATGAGATCAAAGCTGATGAGCGCACGCTGAATGCTGCCAAGCAGACCTTCTGGCGCGGACCACGACGAGAGGTCTTCTATTGTGAGGTTCGTCATGCGCCTCGGGAATTGGGTATCCCAGCCCATGTTCGTGAACCAACTTTTGCTACTGCCGCTCTCGTCGACCGGAATTCCCAGAAACACTCCCGGAAATGAAAGTCCCAGTTGCAGCTTCTTGAGGCCCGGCTTTTGTAGCAGAACCCGGAGAGCGCGGCTGTGTAGTGACCTGCCGATGGATACGTTCCGTTTTGATGGGTCCACAAAGATGGCGCCTATAGCCCCTACTCCATGGACAAAGTACGTGGCGACGAATCCGTAGAGCGCTTGGGTGCTACTATTACGGACGACGAAATGCGTTTCTTCGATGCTGGGATTGAATAACTCGAGTGAATGAGACGTGGTTGTGAGGTATGGCAGACTCGGCGTGCTTGACCTTGCCAAAACCTTGATCAGCTCATCGAGCCCCTGACTGTCCCGGTCTCGGTTGTAACTCTCTACGAGCCACCGTTGGCGATTCTTCGAAACTTTCTTGCTTTTCCTCATCGTCCCAGGCATTGATCCTTGCGGGATGAATTCGCCGTACAGCGCCCGGACGAGAGAGGCCATGGCAGTTTCCGTAAAGTCGAATGTGCAGATATAAGTGCCGATGGATTTGTCCATGACGAAGTCATATGGCGAGCTCACAGCAACGACGATCAGGGACTTCTTTTGGCCCGTCGCTCGTAACATTTGGCACATCATGGCAACGTGCTTTGTGAAGCCAGCTTGGTATCCATTGCGGTGTGCATCTGCAGTGACGATGATAATTGCGGACGCCCTGTTGATTAAGTTCTCATGTACTTGTACAAGTCAGCGTATAACGGTGGCAGTGGTTTGGGTGAAGACAAAAGCTTTCTTACCAGGTCTCAACCCATTCGCAGTATATGAAGTATGGAGCAATTTGCCGTGACGAGTTCGTGCTATTGACCTTCCCAGCTCCCGGAACACCCCTTCGCCACTCATGATTGCTCCCCGCTCCTGGTGAACCCATCTGTCATGCGGGTTAGGGGCGCCGTTCTTTGCAGCAGACTTCTCCATCATGCTTTTAGTTGCTGCTGAGGCTGGCAGCGGCTTCACAAGCGGCGTCAGCAGCAACAGTTCCTCCTCTTGCAGAAGACTTTGAGAAAGGGGGAGCAAACCGTCCTTATCCCTGACGACCGTTATGGATTGTTCATAAGCCTTCTGAGAAAGCGCTAGGTGCGTCGGATGTATCTTGGACAGCAGTGAGAGCCCGGGCGGGTTAAGAGCCTTTTGCCAAGAAGTACATGAGTTCTTCATCCGCAGTACGCGCTTCAGTGATGTGAACACCCGCTCCTTCGAGATGATGCCGTTGTCGATTCCCAGCTTGAGGCCAGATATAGCCTCCAGTTGCACATCGTGTGCTCGGCAAAGAAGGACGAGATCGTTCCCTGCCTCAACAGCCATGACCGTGCCACCTTTGACTCCATACTCCTGGATGAGAGACTCCATCTCTAGGCACTCGGAGATGGCAACACCCTTAAACCCCAGGTCGTTTCTCAGCAGATCATCAACAACCTGCTCTGAGAGGCAGGCATGCATGACATTCATGCCCGTGTTTTGCAAACCCACGCCGCCCACAAACATGCCGTCCAGACGGCCGGAGGCAATGGCGTTGCGAAAAGGAACGAGAGCACTCAGGCTGAGCTCTTCCAGCGTTTGGGTGATTATAGGCATGTCGAGCGAGCTCCCGAGAAAGTCAAGGTTGCCATAGGATGGGAAGTGCTTGCCACAAGTGGCAACCCCAGCATCTTTGTAGCCATTCATGGCTGCGATCCCATACTGGGATGCCTCTTGCGGGTCGTCGCCAACGGCTCGCACACCCAAGGGTTGATGTCGAGCATTGGTCAAGACATCTAGGACCGGGCCGAGAATGAGATTGACGCCAACAGCCGAGACTTCGGTTGCCGTAGCCTTGGCTACTTTGTATGCCAGTTCCTGACTGCCAGTCGCAGCAATGCCCATGGCACTGGGGAACTGACAGATGTAGTCTTCATCGAAGAGACTGTTGACACCGCCATTTTCCTGGTCGAGCGCGATCAAGAGTGGGTGGGGGTGTCCAGCTTGGTGGGCTATAGTCTGAAGCTCCTGGACCAGGCTCGCAGTCTGCTGAGCGGCTATGCAGTTGAGGATCGATATTAGTTACGCGTAGGCATTTCATTCTGGCCTAAGAAGACTCCGTACATTTGAGGTTCTTAGCTGTTAATAAGATAGAGCCCAGGTGGTGGTGCTCGATAAGGTTTCTAATTTGGGGGGTGACTTCAGTGCCATCCCATCCCATAATCAGCATCTGACCAATAGCCCTGTTCCTCGCCTGTTAGCCACAACCCCGACGGACCCTTCTCCTGCGGCTTCTCCAGCAAGAGGCTCGAATACATGATTTAGTACGTACCAATTGAGATCCTGCCATAGTGGATCGGACTCGCTGTCAGACTTGGCCATGGTGGGAATCAAATGGGTCTGTTCTGTCACGTTATTCTGGCAGCGGGTCGGGCTGATGTGAAGGCTGGTGGGCGCATGAAGGGCAGATGCAGTTCGAGGGTTTCGTCACTCTGTCGTGAGCGAGTGTAACGATGGGAGAAACACCAGCCGAGTCATTTCCCTTGTAGCCGACTGATTTATGCAACGATGAACTCAGGTTGGCTGGCTTCCAGGCTTCAAACCTTCTGTCGACAACGGGAGATACCCTTGTGGAAGTCAGCGGGTGAAGGATGAGGACGCGAGATGACCATGATTGGACAGTATCTACATATATGCCAAGCCTTTTTGTGGATCTGGGTGGGTCTTTTCTAGCTTTTATGGAGCTGTGACGGGAGCACTGGCTTGAGTGTGGCGTACCTCCTCAAACTGGGGGCATCCTTCCATCCAGATAGATCCGGGCAACAATCTAGCCAGTATCGCAACGTTACAGTTATCATCCAAAAAGCTGGTGGACGGGTTTGAGCCTCCAGCGAACTGGGCCGCAATGCACCACCATCGGACGGAGCTTGCGAGTCAGACATTGTGTCTGGATCCGATAGACGCCGATAGACGGTTCTGTTGCCATCATGAGTCGGATTGTCCATGCCTACCTATCAAGCCGTCTGGTTACCCGAGATGCTGGTTCTAGGCCACGATTGTTCAACAAATAGCAGGAATCGCATGGCTCACATGTCTTGAACCACTGGTATCAGTCCATTAACCTCAAGGTTAGAGTGTCACAGTGCCCAAAGGTGCTCCAAAAAACCCCACCCTTATGTCAACGTCTTCGCACCTCTATGCTGAAATCGCTATCGTTGCTCGACGATCGCCGCCGAAGTCTCCGAGGCTCGGCCTGTCGCCGCTTTGCTTTGTAAGTCGTCGTGATATCATGATAAGTACGGTAGGTCCGAGTCTCCTTGTCCATGTTGTTCCATCTATGGAGCCCAAAATTCTTGCCCAGGGGACCATTGTCCTACTGCTCGACGGCACATAACACCTCTCTTGAGCCTTGAGGAAAATATATCTATAACGTCTCATCACTTATTTCTATCATGCCTCATTCGGTACCCTCGTCGCCAAAGTCGACGCCAAAGAATGGCGGTAACGGCCTCACCAAGTTCACCAACTGCCGTGTCTTGAAGGGCGATAAACTTGTGGATGAAGACCTTTGGGTGAATTCCGTCACGGGGAAAGTCGTCCGCAGCCAAGCTGCGTTCTACGATGACCTCTGCCTCCCCGACGAGACCATAAACCTCGGTGGTCGTATCCTGTCCCCAGGTTTCATTGAATGCCAGCTTAATGGTGCCTTCGGATTCAACTTTTCGACGTCGTTGGAGCCTGCCGTGTATGCCAAAAAGATCAAGGAGGTCAACAAACAATTGGTGAAAACAGGAGTCACCTCGTATATGCCAACTATCACAAGCCAGCGAAGCGAGCTGTATAAGAGCGCGTTGCCTTTCCTTGGGCCCTCCGGAGACTACCAGGTTGCCGAGGACGGAGCCGAGTCGTTGGGCGCACACGTAGAAGGCCCGTTCCTGAACCCAACCAAGAACGGCATTCACAGCGTGGACGTCCTCCGGGAAGCCCAAAGCTTCGAGGATTTGGTAGATTGCTACGGCTTATCCAACATCACGACAGATGAGACCGGTAGGCCCTCATCGATCAAGATGATCACAGCAGCACCAGAACTGGGTCAGATGACCCGTCTGATTCCCGAACTCACGAGCCGAGGCGTCATATACTCGATCGGCCACTCTGAGGCCACCTACGAAGAGGCGTCGGCCGCCATAGCTGCCGGGGCGACAATGATTACGCACCTATTCAATGCGATGCGCCCTTTGCACCACCGCAACCCCGGCATCTTTGGCGTCCTGGGCATAGCAGAGAGCCTGCCACGCCCCTACTTTGGCATCATCGCGGACGGCGAACACCTCCACCCGACCACTATCAAGATCGCGTTCAATTCGCACCCGGATGGCTTCATCCTCGTTACTGATGCCATGCACATGGTCGGACTGCCTGATGGCGCCTACGAATGGACGAATGGTGACTGTACGAGCCACATTGTGAAGAAGGGCCCCAAGTTAATCCTGGAGGGATCAGACAAAATCGCGGGAAGGTAAGCGGGAAAGAGACCCCATTTAGGACTTGTCTGGCTAACAGAATGGCTAGCTCGATAACACTGATTGAGTGTGTATCCAATTTTCTGAAGTGGACCGGGGCGAGTATACCGCAAGCCCTGAGAGCCGTCACAACGACGCCCGCGGCCATGCTGGGTTTGCAGGGGCTCAAAGGGTGCTTGGATAATGGCGCTGATGCTGATATGGTTGTTTTATCGGAAAGCCAAACCAATGATGGTCTTGATCTTGTTGTTGACGAGGTGTGGAAATTTGGAACGAAGGTGTTCTCCCGTCAAACATAGAGTGGAATCGTTTGGCACGTACCGGCATTGTACGGATGCCACCAAGTTTGCGATGCAGTCTTAGTAGCCTATCAGCTATAGAGGTTGTTACAGATATAGCTACACATGTTCGGTTGTGCCGTGTCATCATTCATAAATACCCTTATTCTAGGGTACGGCGTCTTATCTGCATCATCCTAGTCCTCCAGGTGGTGTCGTCCTCAATCTTCTTGTTGAGAGCGATTGATAGTTAGAGGCCTGAAAGGGTTCCTCACGGAAGGTATCGGTGCAATGCCCTCCCGTCCGAGGCCGGCAGGCTTCTTAAAACCCCTCCACCCCGGTGGTTTGTTTACAGTTGTGGCATGAAAGCACGGTGCGGGCCGCGTCTGCTCGGCCGCAGGAACTGCTTCCTCTTCATTTGCAGAACGAGTTGCTTTCTCAGGCGAAGCTTTAGGCGGGCTTGAGAAGTGAGGATATACTTTCCCGGTAGCATCTTCTTTGTGAGTACTTTTAGCTGGCGCCGGTTTGGTCAGTAGTCTCTTTGAGCCAAGTTTGTGGTTCGAAAGCTCGGGTGCTATGCTAGAAATTTGCTCCGTCTGTTTCCGTGTCGGCCCAGAGAGCTGCCTCGACCAAGGCTGAGGCGCTCGGCGCGCGGTTTGCTGGTTGCTGCTTGCATTACGTTGAATCTGAGGCAGAGCTGGAGCTTGCTCTGGCTGTGACCGGTCGTGAGACTTGATTCCGTATGAGAGCAGACTTCTCTGAACAGGTGGTCGGTTGCTCGTGGGTCTCGTTGCAAGTGGTAACGTTGGTTTCGCTGTGTTCTGAGCCACCAAGTTGACGGCATACTGTGCGCCAGCCGTTGTGAAACCGGGCAACGTGAACGTGGATGAGTTGTCCATCGTTGTTGAATATGGGGCGTTCCAACCCTCCACGGTTTCCCGGGGGGTATTGTTACTACTGCTAGTGTTGTGGTGTGTTTTTTGCCGTTTGGCGCGACCACCGTCACCAGAATACACAGTTGAGGTTTCAGCGGCCTTCGGATCGCTAGGGTCAACTGGGAAGATGTTGTCCTCCACCGCAAACATTGGCGGCAGTTTGCTGTAAATTTCACGCTCTTCAGGCAGTCTCCGCTGTAATATTCTAGCCATTTCTGTCATGACTTCCTTCCCCAATGAGGGGCCTTTTTTGAGAAAGGCGGTGGCGGATAGATCCTCGATGAATGGCGATAGCTTCAACCCTTCCCCATCGCCGTAAGAACCATGCAAAGGGGCGCTGATATACAACAATGCCTTTGCCCTTGTCATTGCTACATAGAGCAAGCGCCGTTCTTCCGACAGATCGTCGGCTCTCATGTGAGGTATGGAGCCATCGTACACGCCGGGAATGAAGACGATTGGCCACTCTAATCCTTTTGCTGCGTGTATGGTAGAGACAGTGATGACAGGGGTTCCGTCCTGACCATCGTCATGCGTCTGCTTGTCGGATGCCAAAGACACGTTGGCCAGAAAACGACCTAGAACGTCGGTGTCGAGGACTTGCTGCAGCTCCCCAACTTCCGGAAGCGCGTCCTCGTCGGTCAAGTTTTGATCCCTCATGAACTCCCCTGCGAGATTGACAAGCTCTTGGACATTTGCCCATCTCGACCCATACTCTGCACCATAAGTGTCCTCTAGGAATTTCTCGAAACGGATATCTCGAAGGAGCTGTTCGATCAACTCTACCAAGTTCGGGGGGTTCCCGTCATCACAGTCGTAATAACGTGTCCGTAGGCGCTTGATGAGCCGAATGAAGTCAACACTAATCTTTTGCTCGGTTTGTTTTCTGATTGTGGTCTTCGCCGTACGATCCCCACGGCAATGTTTGTCTAGCAAGACCCAGAGACTCATGGAGCCCCTCTCGGCCTCTTCTAGCAATGACTTGATTGTCGCATCACCAATGCCTCGCTTGGGGACGTTGATGATACGAGAAAGAGCGTCGTTGTTGCCAGGTTGATAGATTATGCGCATATAGTCCAGGACAGTCTTGATCTCCATCCTGTCGTAGAATTTGAACCCACCTTTGGAGACTTTAGCAATAGAGTACGAGTTTCGCCAGAGCAGGGGAACTAACCAATCATCCTGTAGGCTATGCCAGCCTTCCCAAGACCCGACTCAATATGCCGTGAAAGATTGGATGACCTGAGGAGAATGGCAAAGTCGTCAAAGTTGACCATACCCCCCGACATCATCCGCACCCTTTTGATTTCAGACACGATCCACTCTGCTTCGACCAGTGGATTCTTTAGCTTGCGAAGAACCGGCCGTGTGCCTTTCTCACGGACTGGCAGCAATGCCTTCTCATATCGGTCCTTATCTTGCTGGATGACCTTCAGAGATACGTCAAGAATGGAGCTTGATGACCTGTAATTCTCTTCAAGAGAGATCTCTTCGGTGCCTGAAAATTCATTGAGAAAGCGACGGAGATTCCTTATTTCTGCCGATCGCCAGCCGTAGATACTTTGGTCAGGATCACCAACAATGGTGATTCGACGTCTCTTCTGTGCAAAGAGCTTCATCAGCTCGTATTGTATTCCGTTTGTATCTTGATATTCATCAATCAAGACGGCCTGGATATTCGACACACAAGCGGGGTGAAGTCGGAGCAGCTCAACGCAGCGGACGAGGAGATCGTCATAGTCGAGTAAGTTAGCTCGGTCGAGATGTTGTTGATACTCGGCATAGCAGGTCTCGAGGGCTTGGGAGTACACCTCTTTGGCACTTTTCGATTCGCCAACCGCATCAGCCGAGGTTCCCTTTGATTTCTTCTTGCTGATCCATGCTCGGACTACTGGAACGTCGACCTTCACATCCAGCCTCTTGCAAATTCGCGCAAGAATGCCCTTGGAGTCGGTGTCATCAGCAATACTGAACTTCTGGTCTAGACCGATGCGTTGACCATAAGCAGCAAGATACCGCCGAGCAATGCTGTGAAAAGTGCCCAGGATGATTTTGTTTTCCCGTCCGTTGCGCAGCGCATGGCCAATTCGCGCCTTCATTTCACGGGAGGCTTTGACAGTGAAAGTAGCGACAACGATGTCGCAGGGCTGGTGTCCGACATGGTTTACGAGCCACACAACTCGAGAGGTCAACGTATGAGTCTTGCCGCTTCCGGGCCCTGCGAGGATTGCCACAGTTGATGCCTCGGAGCTCACAGCGCGGCGTTGTGCTTTGTTCAGCGACCCGAGGATAGCATCGCTAGTTGTGGCCGCCATAGCAGAAAACACATGTGTGCGGGTCCGTAATGCAGGGTAGCAGAGACGTTATTAGGAATCTTCTGAACCTTTTCTTGGTGCTAATGGTATGAATGGATTATGACAATGGGTTTAGTACGTCTGTTCAAGCACAGTCAACACGCGTTGAGGGCGCGTGTTTTGATAATTGACGAAGGCGGGACGCGCCAAGCCACCTTCGTTTACACGCTCTCACCTGACCTTGGACTTCCACGTTGGAGTATGGCAAGCTATTTTTCCCGCTATGCTTTTCAGGACTTCAAGGCCGTTCTTGATTTCAATTCTTGATTTCTTCGGTTTGACCTTTGCCATACAGACCATGCCCAGGTGAAATTGATTACGAACTAGTGCAAAGAGTCTTCGGCATTGGAATCACACCTTGGAAGATAACGGTACAATTGAAGCTTGCTAAATAAGGGCCTGTCCTGTCAATGGTCAACTTTTGCCGCCCGGCATCTCCGTCCGCCGACCCCAAAATCTGCCCCCCTTTGTTTCTTGTCGTCTCAACTCCCGTCAACTTCATGGTCCAATCATACAAGTATTCGAGAAACATTACTCGCAGGCTTACCTGCGCTCGGACTTGCAATGTTTCCCAAGCATTGGTCACCGCTGATCACAGAGGGCTAACGGCGCTCAAGGCGGCGTGTATCGACTCCTTCGGGATCCGCAATACTGGTGCACACTTTTCAGCCAGTCACACTCCCGTGAGAATGTTCAATCACAGTGGGGTGGAACTCGATTTGACAAACAGTGTGTTCACATTGTGACGGTGGCAGAGGAGGAGGAGGCATGATGGACTCTTTATTCAACACATCAGGACTGACAATCAACGGCCAGAAGAAGGTGCAACCTACCAGCCTGCCTAGCTGCCATGGAATGCCAGTCACACGGCAGAAATAGATCAAGTTTGCCAATCGGGGTCGAATATTGATGAATGGCAGGGAAGCGGCAGAAGCGGACGGCGGGTTGGCGGGGTCCAAGGTGTTCTTCGCATGCGGTCTTGTCCTGGCAGCCAATCAATCACCTCGCTAGCCTGTGTCCCCGGCGCTTATAATCCCCCGCCATCTCAAAGTGCTATCCAACCAGAACGATGACAAGGAATAATTGCTACAGAGATCACAGTCAAGCGATCATCACCCCCTGTGGGCTCTGTTCATGGGCCATTATGCAGTGCCTGACGGGTTGGACAAGTGAGAATGCAGTTCACATGTAGGCGCCAAGGTGGTCATGTCGGTATTGTTGTAACTGGCCAGCTTCGACACACTACCGAACTCACCAGCCGCTATATACCCTCTGTCCTCCACAAACTGCACTGTGACCTGGTCGATTCTCGATCACCATGCGTTTCGTCTCATCCGCCAGGAGGTCCGTCTAAATGAGTTGATATCTCACTTCATCCGTGCCGATCCGGGCCTTCCACAATGCAACCCGGGCTTTATAGCGCCGCCGTCTCGCCACAGTCTGTCGTGATCTTGACCTCTTCTGCCTTCATCACCCTCTGCCACTCTGCCCCTGCCACCCCCAAGAGGAACAACAATCCTTTGGGTATTGACTGGGACCCTGCGCCGGCGCCTGAAGACGGTCCCCCGGGAGCTGCTGGAGCACTTCGAGACCCGGCCTATCTCCCCGCGCAGATTGGCGGTATAGTTGGATCATACGCTCTTTCACTTGTCATTGTCGCTACGCTCCTTCTCATCCTCGCCAAGAAACGTCGCGAACATATCGAAGCAGGAGAGTTGGATCTGAACGAGTACGTCTACGACTACGAGTGCGGTTTCGAATCCGGATTCGAGCCGAACGAGCACTTCCCCTACCCCCTCGCCTTACCCAAGTCTCCCATCAAGAACTTTTCTCACCCGACGCCGATTGAGGCTCCTACACCAGTCGACAACGAGGATCTGAACCCCTATATCTACCCATCTTCCCCTCAGTCTGCCGTTGCTCTCGGCATCAATCCCTTAGTCGATCAGAACGTTGTGGCCGCGGACAGAGAAATGGCACAACAACAGCTGGAGGAGATGTACAAGTATGTGATGGAGCAGGAGGAGGCAAAGCAGGCCGGCGTTATCTTGGAAGAGCCTCCGGCCCCGATCCTCAAACAGGCCGATCATTCGGTCTCGTCTCTCCAGAGACCCCCCGAAGTGGCTCAGAGATCGGGTGGCATTCTGAGGAAGGGCCGGAATAAGCCTGCAGGTCTTGATTTGGCCAAACCTGAGCAGCCGGAAAAGACGCAGTCGCGAACGTCTACTTTCTTCTCGGCGCTCAAGTCGCCTCGAAAGAAGCCCGTCAAGGGCATCAGCATTTCGTCCCCCATCATGACGCCAATGTCGGGGACTTTCCCACGATATGAGGGAGAGGAGATGGAGACGATCCCGCCTCGTCATTATGCACCAGCACCTCCCCCGCCAGTGCCCGCGGATCAGGATCCATATGCACGGAGAACGACGCGCAACTTGGCGCCCATCACGCCTCCGGATTTTTCCCCGGAGAGCACAATGAGCATTGACGAGAGACTCGAAGCTCAACTGGGCCAGAGGTCTCACTCTCGCAACCCGTCTCAGGCGCCCACTGAACCCGATCCCGCGTCTGCCATTTCGGAAAAGTCTACGACGCCACTGGTGGGTTTGCCGTCGTCACCCAAACCCGGCGTTACTCGCTTCCCAACCTTACCATCATCACCAAAGCCTGGTGCAAGTTTCTCGCGCAACACCCCGCCGCTCTCGCCGGGTTTGCCGACGCCTAAACCCGGCTCGACGTTCACGAGAGCCAACGCTCCGTCCGCTGTTCGGACTGGTGGCGCCCTGCCGCTTCGAGCATATGAACCATCACTGGCCTCCCCGTCCATGCAAACCACGAAGCAGACGACCTTTGAGAGAGCCGACAGAGCCCCGCTCTCTCCTGGTGGACTGCGGACACCATGGACCGGTGCCCCGGTTCCCTATTCTCCCTACCAGCCTTACACGCCAGTTGTTCCCATTACTCCGTCACTAGTGACTAGACAAGACCGAAAGAGGATGAGACAACTCCAGCCCAAGACGCCGACATTGGAGATGGTGAAGAGCTCCGATGACATTTGGTGAACGGTCAAAGTGTGAGCCCGGGCATACCGAGCCTAGACTTAAGAAAACAGACGTGGCCGTCTCGCGGCGGGTCACTAGAAAAACAGTTCCTGATGAATCAATGAGTTTTCGTTTCTAGGGCTGGGGCACGATGGTTACTGCCTCCATGAAGTGTTTGTCGGCGTTCTTTCAGTTTATACCTTTATACCTATACCACGGCGAGTTCTTCCAGGCATTTAATCTTCTCTATAGCAACTCTAGAAGCAGTACACAGTACCACAGTAGGCAAAAATAGATCAGGAAAAACCTCGCTCCGAAGTAGTCCAGAATGCTCGAAATGATCGTGGTCGGAGGACCACTTCTTAAGTTCCATGTCTCGACACGGGATCCCGGTGCGTCCGTAGTCGGTTGTTTCCGCATCCACTCCGATGGACGGAAACATATGATCGTCTCTAGGTTCGTTGAGGTCATGCCGACGGGCACTTCAGCTCACAACCCAGGTACAGGGAAGCCATCTGCTAGAGGCCTCACGACATTGAGCGCCATCCAGTGTTCTATCATTGCCGACATCATGTGAAACTCAATCGACCAAAAAGAACCTTCCAAAGTTTTTCACTACAGAGTACTATATAGACGGCATAATCTCAACCGCCCAATCCGAATTCTCCTAGGCAACCCTTGAGAACCTAAATAGCAGACAGGCACAGGTTCGTTGCGTTAACCCTCTTCAACAAAGCATGGAAACCTGGAGACCCATTGTATTGCATCACCTCGGCCGCAGGCTTAGGCCAATGTGAATATTTACATATCGACGAATTGCAGCCAGTCTACAAACACAATGAATGGAAGCGTTAGAGTAATAAGTATCCTCACGACGCAGTTTGCTTTCGTCGCCCGTTGCTCGCTCGCATAGACCCAACCATTGGCACTGAGACTTATTAGGCGCCGCCCAGTGGCCCGCACCCGTCCCCCCCTAGTGGTCCCAGCGTCCCCTAGGCGATGTGGCGGTTTTGCACGTGCCCATACGGTCCAGCCCGAAACCTGGCATCGAGAAAAGGCGGGGCTAACTAGCCGAAAGTGTCTCAGACGGCCAGTTTATCGTATGATCGAATGCGCCAAGTGCCCTGTTCTGTGGAAAACAACTCGCAATTTCGCCGCAAATTTCACAGCTGAGAAGGGGTTCATCAGATCCCACAACCTGATGACATCGCATAGAGCTTGATGCTCAAGTGTGATCACGTTGTAACTTTCCCATATCCCAAGCCTGCTTTTCCCCGATCGTCCGCAGGAAACCGCCTTCGTCCGCTCCACCTACCGCGACTGCCACTTAGACACATCCGGCTCAGTCTCGCACCATAGTCAGACCACCCTAAGCCCCCCGCAACCTGCCGTGCAGATTGACGACGGTTAGAAGCCTCGCTCATGTCAGACCATTCTTACAGTCTATGAGTTCACCATGGCCTTCTTCGACGACGGCTCTGCAGGCAATGGCGAGGTGTCAGTAACAGAGGGCGAGCAATTCTTCAACGACCCCAGTTGGGCCTTCAACGACACTCCACCGTATGATGCCTATGATACCGCCCCCTTCTACGACGATGATTGGAACACCAATCAGCAACCATCAGTAGATGCCGGTGACAAACTTCCACAGCCGTCGGTAGGCGTGCCGCCATCCTCTATCGCTCCTGACATGACCAACGGCCCTGTGTTGGCATTCTCCAGCCCGGTACAGGTTCAACCGAGCCTGCCTCCCGGCGCGCTGAGCACCCTCACCGCAGCTCAGCGCCAGAAATTACAGAAAATCGCGATGCCCTCCCACCTCCAATATCACTCACCCAAGAGCGAACCGAGCCCCGAGTCGGTGGGCAGCGGACGCAAATCAGCCTCCATTTCCTCGCCCGAGGGACACAGCGAGTCCTCCAAGGCCAACTGCCGCAAGCGAAAGTCGTCGGCCGATGATGATGACGACGATCTTGATGACCTGGACGGGTTGCAACCAGTCAAGAAGACGGCTCACAACATGATCGAGAAGAGATACCGCACTAATCTCAACGATAAGATTGCGGCTCTTCGCGATAGCGTGCCTAGTTTACGTATCATGTCCAAGAGCGCCAGGGGCGAGGACACTACCGGAGACCGAGAAGAACTGCATGGCTTGACGCCGGCACACAAACTTAACAAGGCAACTGTGAGTCGACTCAAGGCGTTGTTTCTCTAGTGCGTGGCTGAACTTTCAACAGGTCCTAAGCAAGGCTACCGAATATATCCGACATCTCGAAAAGCGCAATAATCGTCTGATGGACGAGAACAATACGATGCAGGCGCGTATCGCCGCGTTCGAAAAGCTCTTCATGGCGGGTGCCATGAATGGCGGCGTCAGCCCTATCCAGCAACAATCACCAACCCCGGTGCAGTACCCTCAAGATGCCAACCGATACGTCAACTCGCCAATGTCCACGCCTACCCGGACGGATGCGCAGGGTATGATCCAGGTTCCAAAGGACATGAAGCGCATCATTGCTGCGCAGCTAGCCACTGGTCAACCTTACCCAGTGCCGCAGCAGCCCTTCAGGGCAAACCCTGCCCTTCTGCGCCAGCAGCAAATCCAACAGCAACAACAGCAGGCCCAGGGCAGGAATTGGCAAAATGCCGGTCCTTACTTCGGTAAAATAATGGTCGGATCCCTTGCGGCTCTGATGATTCTCGAGGGTGTCCAAGAGAATGAGCAGAGCAACCAGTCACCAGAGGGACGTGGCCTGTTCGCGGTGCCTGTGCACTTCCTGAGGCGCTTCATGTCATCCTTCAACGTGGACCTCATGGGTTATCACATTGCCGGCGCGGAGCTGATATTCTCTCTCAAGATCGTCATGCTGCTCTGTGGCTTTTGCTGGGTGATATATCCATACCTCTTTAAGCGCGACTCGGCCAACCCAAAGGCTTCAAAACAAGTCCAGCCATCGCTTGCGGCTGCTCCTTCTTTGGCATCTCCGATCCATGTACGACGCCAGGCATGGCTCACGGCCGTGCAAACTGTCTGGGTTCCCCGCCACAATTTCTTCCTTGAAGCTGCTGCCCTGGGCCTCAAGGCTCTCAAGCTGAGCCTCAGGAACCTAACCGGTGTCGATGGATATCAGATGCTGACTGGGCTCACTGAGGTTCAGGAGGTTGCCCGTGTCAAGGCATGGACCATTGCTCTCGATGCTCAACTAGCAGGTGGTGACGTTGAGATTAGCAAGAGTCGTCTCACGCTGACCCTGCTTGCGTCCGGCACTTTGCCGGACACTCCATTACGTCTCATGTTGAAGGCACTTCATATCCGCGTTCTGCTATGGGAAGTGGGTCTTTCGGGCATGAACCTCGGGGTATTCAACACGATGGCCATGAAAATGGCGCGGGTGAAGTGGAATGAAGCGAAGCAGTTGCACAGACTACTGACGCAACTACGTCGCGGTGGCCACGAACAGTCTGACGACAATTTACCTGACCACCTTGCCGTATTACTCGAGCAAGATGCCGATGATGTACTCAACCCCAGCATCATTCAGCGTGCCCACAACCTAGCCTGGAATCGACCAACGAGACACAACGCCATCGGAGTAACGGACGGCATGGACATGGTTGTGGATGACACCGCTGTGCGATCACCAATGGATGCCGTGGCAGCATGGTGGTCAAGCATGACGCTCCAAACCGCTCTGCAGGACAGCCTATTGAGAGATGATGAGGACGGTGAAATCAGGCAGCTGGTTGAGGATGGCGTCACACTTGCTATTAGAACAGCCCCTATCGGATCTGTAGCGCAGAATCGCGCTCTGGTTGCCCGAGCTGTCCTTTTCAACGAGAAACGAGGGGCGAACATCGCAGCTGTCATACAAGCCATCGGTCCACTGCCGGCTTCCGCGGCCACTGGAGACAGTGCTACTGTGTCAGAGCCCACGCCGCCGAGTACGCCGCATATCAACATTCCAGCTTCAATACTGACCGAGGCCGAGATTTACATGTGCCTTCAGTGTGCCAAGGCCATCGCGCACCTTCAGCGATACAGTCCGCCCGATGAGCCCACCAGTGTTTATCCGATCATTGACGAGGAGATCCATGTCAGCAACGAAATGTCCTTGCTGGGATATACGGCTGCATTCACACTCATGGAACGTCTTGCGGGGCATGAGTTCGCGGCGGAGGCGTGCAGTGGGGCCCTCGAGAGGCTCTCTGGTGGCCTTAGGATTTGGACGGGCAAGGACAGCTGGCTAGAGCCCGAGGTGAAGCAGGAGATGGTCGAGAGATGCCTTGCCGTCACTCGTGGGGTCGTCGGTATGGACGTCGAGACCGACACGGGATATGGAAGTATGTCTGGCAGCGAAGAATTCCGTGATGAGATTGTCGATGCTTCAGATGCTTCGGATGTGGCAAACGACTCGCCGTGCATGGAGTGCAGAACTTCCGTTGAAGCAAATTAACCGCTGACTCGGCCAAGTTCGGGTCTTGCAACAACACACTTCACCACTTCCAGATACACGTTATGCGGAGTAGATGTGCGACACGCGTAGGGTTATACTGCATCGGTGGAAATATGCCCACCCTGCCCTACATAGTTGTGAGAGTCAACGGCGCCTGGATGCTGCAATATGCGTTCCAAGTTTGTGAAGTCAGTTTTTTTCCTTCTTTTTTTCCTTTTTTCAGAGTGTCGACTTCACACGTGGGGGAGTTTTTTTTTATTACGGTCGAAGCAATATATATATATATCCCCTCAAGTGGTATAAGCTCACGAGGCTCAACAGATGCGAAGGTGTTCCTGGCGTACTGGGGGAAACTGGGCGAGGACAAAGGTGCCGATGGGGCCGTGGCAGATGTGCCCAGTGAGGTGGTGCGTGGTGCGTGGTGCGTGGTGATTCCAGAAGGATTTACTCCGTAATTCCTTTAGTTTCGAAACGCCACAATACTTGGTTGGCTGAAAGGCACGCTAAAGGATTCGGGCTGGGTGGACGGGGCTGTTTTTAGCTACTCGCTCTTAAACTCGAAACTCAAGTACGCATGGAAGGAATGGCTGGTTTATTAGTCGGTCGTATGGGTTTGCATAAATGGAGTTTATTAGAAGCAGCGATATATTTACCTTCCATTTAAGATTCTGTAACGTGTTCTGCTCAAGACCTATGTGTGTGTGGGTCTTGTCTTGGAGTCTTGTCCTGTCAAATCCTGGTGACGGATTTTCATAGGGGAAGCCTTGTGGCGAAGGATATATAGTACCACCAGCCCTTCTATGATTTTCCTCCCTCCTTGAGGCGTGTACTCGCCCATTCAAGCTGTTTAGTACATGGCTTGATGGTGGGCGTTGCGACTTGCCCGTCCTTGTATTCCCCTCCACTTAGCCGGAAAAGAGGAGGAATGTGCTTGGTAGAGAGGCTTATGTGTTATAGGAGGAACTAGGCAGCGTAGGGGCCTATTTGCTGTAACACGGAACCAAAATTTTGAGTCAATCATACAGATGGACGATCTGCATGTTCCATCATGCGTTGCTGCTAGTGGTAAATACGGTCCGGGTAGGCGCGAGGATTCTCGTAGGTGGCGGGGTTATCTGATGGTGTAGCGAGCAAGTGTGGACATCACTTGCGTGGTTACGTAGATAGCTGCTCATCTGCAAGACAGGCCAAGAAGATCTTGTGGTCAACGGTTCTGGGGCTCATGCTGCGCGTAAGCAGAGGATGGGAGCGAGTCGGCCAAGAGGGTGTTATCCCTGATGGGCATGCCCAGGCAGAGCTTGTTTCCAGTTGAAAAGAGGAGCCGGCCGGTGCGGACACTTAAGATGGGCTTTTGGATTATTAATCTAGAGCTTCATCCGCACGGGTAGTTTGCAAATATTGGAAGGAGGGCTGCTATGGGGGCCAGGACGAGGAGGCACGTTCGAATCTTATTACTCTTTTTGGAAGTCCCCCCTCCTCGATAACAAGACCTGACTGATCGAGTTCCGGCGCTCAAAGGCGGCAATAAGCAACCAAGCGTGTTCTCTTTGTACTGCGCATCCGCGATACACGCGACCCCTCCTTCCTTCATCTCTTTTGCCATATGTGTGCCCTGTCTCATCATGATTTGTCGGTTTTGTGAGTGAGTTCATCCGCTGGATTCCGGGGGGATTCTCTGGAGGAGAAGAGTTGCATTTCCCGTACGCCCAGGGAAAGCAAAGTATTTTACCCTCCAAGAGAGCCTAGATGCATGCGTTCCTGGGGCTTGTCGCATTATGCAGAGTGTGCCCGTTCCAAAATGAGGGAAAGGGGTCTGGAAAGTAGGTGCAGATGCAGGGTCTGAAATCGGGACAATCACATCCTATTGCTAGGTGTCATGCTGTTTCCTATGGTGTACTAAAGGAGTGTTGTTGAGTGCGATGACCGTTTCGGTTAGGTTCTTGTTGTCAGGGGCTGGCGCGCGCAGCACGGGGTGGTTAAGGTAGCGTACACATGTGCTGGTTTTTTCACGTCAGTACTGCATGATCAGGCGTTATGGTAGATTGGATACCTATTATTAACCAGTCTCCCTCATGTAAAGCCAGCTGGGATCAGATATGGATACAAGTTAACTGCCTGCCGCGAAAGCCTCAGCATGGTAAGTGGACTGGACTCGGGGTACTAAATATCAGCAGTATGCCTAGCCGAAACTAGCCATCTCTGCAAGGAGAGGAAGTGCTTCCGTTGGTGGAGGAGACGAGCACGTACTGGGTAATAGATACCCACTCCATTTCTCGTGAAAATACCGCCTGTCAACACTTAAGTTCCCGAAGAAGAATAAAGTATGAGAAGCACTAAACTGCCCTCAGATTCTAGGACCCAGTGTAAAGGAACCTCATTCAGTATTTCCGGGTTTAGAGGCCAGATAAACGCAGTGAGGTCAGCAGCTTGGCTACCCAACTAGCTGGTCAGCCTAAAGAAACCGGAATTCCAACTATTCAGAAATGGCTCCGGAGCCATTCCAAAAACCCAGAAGCCCCCTTTGATATTCCGACGGCGCGAAGGAATTGTTTTCATGGCCAGTGTCTTGTCTATCCTCTGCGAATTTGCAGACCGTTCCCCTAAATCGGAGTCGAAGTGTTCTGTTCACCCCGGAGGATATTAGTCATAGACCGGAGTTGAAGATGAGTGACGATGATTCAAGCTAATGTACCCTGAAGTATTTATTGTCGATTGAAAGTTCTGCCGTCTCGAGTGATAACATTGAAAAGCGAAAGATACTCGGGAGACTTGGTGGTCGATTGAGTATTATCAGCAGCCCAGTGAGTAAGGGATGTGGGTAGTTTGGACCGAGTAAGAACCATTTTATTACACATCATAAATCGTTGCTAAAGCCCAGCTTATTCGACCCAACGAAGATATACGATGTTTAGGCTCAGATCCTCTATTCAAGGTTCGAGACTGTCCACGAGTCTGTTTTCTTGGAGCAATTCATCAGTCTCACGTCTCCAGAGTTAAGGTACCCGGGCTTTTTTCGATGAAGACCTCGCACACGGTATTCTGCTCCAGCTTTGTACGATAACAGAGCTGCAGCTTTTGTGAGAGGTAAGACGCAGTGGGGTTAACACGTGGTGTTTGGGATGTGAAATAAGACCAATGGAGATTCCAAATCTTTAGCTCTTATCGAGGAGCAAGGACCCGCCCCGAGCTATCGGCCTTCCTTAGGGCGGGTGCTGACGGTATTTCTGCCGTTGCCGAACATGCTGTGCGCGTAGACTTGGCTGCTGACATGGGCCATACGCAGAGAATCTAGCATGCATCTAACGGCTCACTTATTGTCTTCACATTTCAACGGTCGCCAATCCATGTCACTTCACGTCGAAGACTTCTGTCCCTGAATATATGGTCTTGATGACATACTTAGGGGTGGGTCTAGCGTGTACATTGCAAGAAAGTGCCAGCCTCAAGCATCCGTCCCGTTACTTCGGTTGTAACGTGGGAAGAGCCGGTTCGAAGCGGTGTGTCTCTCATGTCTGCTTAAGCCTCAGATAGAGCATTCCTCACTGTGATGGCCGAGGAGGTAGTCAATGGTTTGAAAGCTCCCAAGACAACTCACCTATACAGGAGTGATGAGGCGCCGAGGACAACGACGGCATTGGTGAAGGTGCCCATCGGCTCACCTACTTGAAGAATCCACACATCCAGCCAAACCACGAAGACTTCACCGGCCGTTTGGTGTCCTTCTCCCCTTTTAGGTCATCCATAGAAGATAGGGAGTCTCCTGACGAACTGATGAGCGATGAAGCTTGGTGGCTCCTAGATGTGGTGGATGCCGCGATGCAGTCAATCTCGAGTCGGAACTCGCCGTGTTGGCTTCCAAAGAAGCTACTCCAATTTAGCAGATAATCGACGGAAAGGGTGGCGTATTTCACTACCTTCGCATCATGAGGCTTATACGCCGCACGTTAGCCAGGTCCAGAGCCGGGGCGTCAGCTTTGGGCCTTCCACGATATGTCGGCTTGAAGTCGTCCCAGGGCACGAAGAGCTCGCCGTGATTGCAATTAGGGACAAAGTCATATTCCCAACTTACTGTGCTCTGCTCTCTGCCATCGGGTCGCTTTGGCAGGGTCTCGTCCTTGAGGGTCAATGTGTACTTTTTGCCGTCGCTCTTGCCAGTGTGGATGGAGAGGCCGTGGTAGTCGGTCAAGTTCCAAGATTGGGTGGTCGCTGTCCGTTGAGACGCAAAGCCGGCGCCGCCTAGAGCAGTGATGTCCAAATTTCCATGGAACAGAGCCGTTGTGATGGATGAACAGTCAAGATAGGACTGGCTTTTGCCTCCCCTTACCCGATCATCGGATGACGTCCATTCGACTTCAGACCACGGCCTATCGTCCGAGTTAGATATGATTGAGCGGTACAATAACCCAGGGACTGCCTGGCGTCTTGTAGAGACTCACGTGGGTCCGCCAAACAGATATCGGTGTTGTCTAGCTGAAGTCATGGGCAGTGTCTTGCTGTAGAAACGTTTCAAGCACTAGCCGGCCTCAACAGTCTGTAGTTTGCATTGATCGTGGAGTCGGATGACTTGTAGCTGACAAATGCTTACAAACAATTGAAGGCGTAACTTAAACTTGCTGCCTCTCCTGAATCATCGTATGTGTGTCCGTCCGAGAGTCACTTGTTCGCTGGCAAGAAGCCCCAAGTGAAGCGGTTGAGGGGCTAGATTTCAACTTAATGGCTTCATTGTGGAACTAGGCCTGTTTGCGCTTGCCCAGGTGCGCTAACAATATTTCCACATAAGGTTGTATCAGCCCTGCCAGGAAGGAACAGCCACTAGGGCACGGGGCTGGCGCTGGACCTTGCAGCTAAACTATGGCTTGCGGTTTCCGAAGCCTGACGATATTTTGAGTTCACTGAGACGATGCCGTCCGCAAATTCGCAACCTCACGCATTCGGCCTTGGATCTTGGTGCTATCTTGGTTATCTCCAGCGACAAAGTCCTGTCTTAATGCCGAGTTCCGCCTTCAACCTTGCTTGCAGCTTCCACTTGATGCTCCTGTCGTGTCGCCGACGAACCAAGCAGCCAAATTTAGCAATGCAGCCGATCCCACACCAGTCCTGAGCCCGTCAGAAGTTTGATTTGACTTTCAAGAGCAAACTGCCGCATGTCCAATGCCTCTCTGTCGAAGCAATGTCCCAAAATTGCGCTAAGTGCGATGTTACCTTTGCCCTTCTTTGAACACTCCACCTTACCCGACAGACCGGCGGTGGGAACGACGACATGCGAGATTTGAAGGTCGTATCGACTAGGCGCGAGCACGAGATACCAAGCTGCTTTTCTCAGCCCTACTACGTAAGAGGAAGCCGTGTGTCAAGTCGGCCTCAGCCTGACCAGCTCCTCTACTTGCCATCCTCCAATAAACTGCGTCCTTGTATACGAAAGGCCAGTTTTCGGGGCACTGCTGTCTCCTCAAAGTCTGCCAGCACCGGTCGCAATCCCACAGCCGCAAGCCATTCAGGCCTGTTTCCTGCTTCCTGCTTCCATTATCGTGTGAGGGAATGTATCTTGGGAGTTTGCCTATATCCAGCAAAAATGCAGTTGTGTTGGGCGAGTGTGCGTCATGCGGGTGTAATGCGGCCGCTCCCAGCGCCGCCACTACGGTTATTCCCTATTCAAACAGAGGTAGTTTTACTTGACACTTTACGCCTCGAGGAGCTAACCAGCTTCGCCAAGCTTCTTATTACAGGATACGCTACGGTCAAATTAAACTGGCTCGAGACCCAACTGTCGCTTGGCTTCCAAGAAGTCTCCGGAGCCGCCATGCTCTAGTACGTTTGTGGGAAGCTTTCCCAGATACGAAAACAAACTGGCTTCAGCCGGGCGAGCGCCTTTTCACCCAAGTTCCGACGATAGCTTCAGATCGCTATGAAACAGCTCTGTGAAGATCCTGAGAGAAGCAAGCAGCCGTGACTGTTGGTTTCTGCCCAGCAGGAGGGAGCCGCTTCACCAAGTGAGCACAAACAAGCCTGAAGCTTTGGGAAGCTGCATGGAAGACGGACATAGATGATTCCCAAGTCATTTCAATTCATGTGAAAGCAAAACGTGCTCTGCCTGCTAAGATGCGTATCAATATCAATTACCCAAATGATCCTCCATCACCCAATATCCGGAGCAGGTCGAGCACTTCGCCCTATGCAATTTTGCGCCGCCACTCCGAACATGAACGCCCATTTGCAATTTGCAGTTTACACAATCAGCCATCCATTGGTTTGGTATGTGCTCGTGAGAACCGCAAGTCTAAAGCCATCCCATCGTTCCGTCATATTTGTTGGTGGATCATGCCCGGCGAGTCTGGCACAGAGAGAGGCGTTGTCGGGTATTCGTAGCCCGAATCAGAGCAGTTCGCCGAGTGATCGAAAGAGTGAGAAAGCGGTGGAGTCTAGCAACACCGATCAGCTACGGGGTTCTCGGTGGAATTGATGATGGCGCACATGACTCACATGAGGGTTCGAGTGGTCGTAGGCGTGGGGAACTTCCACCCCGGGCATGTAGCCGTAGTTCATATACGGAGATAACGTTTCGTCCGAAGGATACGTCTCTCTTTTGATGGCATCGCTAAAGTGTGTCATGGAGGGAAGAGTGCAGGGCATCGTGTAGTTTGGGTAGCCATCGGCCGTGGTCATGGGGTGATACGACTGAGCAGAACCGTAGGGAGGAATCATCATGCCCGAATCGTCGGGCGGCGGATATGAAGAATATGTGACGAAGAGAGGTGTATGCGACCTTTCGCGGTCATCGTACGTTGGTGGGAAAAGCATATCGTCGTCGTGGTGCATGGGTGGTGTAAACTGGGGCGGCTGCACCTGCTTCTGGGGAGTGGAAACCACTTTTGTTGAAGACTTGGGAGAGTGCTTCTTGGTTGTTCCTTTGCTAGGTTGTTGCCCTTGCCTTTCAGACCCCGTCGTGGATGAGCCGTCTGAAGTTCCCGCGCGTCTCTCCAAGTCTTCCAGGCGTCTCTTGAGCTTCTTACCTGCACAACCGGTTAGTAAGTACATCGTGTCGCGTCCGCCCAAGGCTGCGCCCAAGCTGATGGTACCACATACGGTAGTTACGCTGAGCAATCCGGTTCTGTATCCTTCGGCGCTCAGCAAGATCAGATATCTTGGTCCAGTCCTCGTCAGGGTTGGCGGAACTGGAAAAGGCGCTGCTGGTGCCGTGGGCTGAATATTGCCGCGGTGGTGCCTGAGCGGCGGCATATGGGTACTGCTGTTGAGACATGGCGAACATTGGTGCGAGTTGAGCTGAAGTGCCCAAGTTGCAAGGCAAGGTGTTGATGCTTGAGACGTTCAACGAATATAAGACGATGTTGGTCTAGATGGGGACTGAAGTTTGACTAGTCTTCTTCTGTCTTGTCTGAATTTGGTCCAAGTTAGTGGTATACCGGAAGAAGGGTGGGAGGAAGGCAGATAATAAATATCCAAGAAGCTTTCTTGCTTCAGCCATGAGAACGAACGGCCGGTCTTCTGCACCCCTGCCACCACGACGCACCCGATTCTACATCGATAGCCGGAGTACATACCATCCGTAGTACCTGTGTACCGGCTTGAACCCATGGTGCAAGTACGCAAGTACGTACAAGGGCGTCACGACAGGAGCCACCCCCCGGCGAACTCCAAAAAGGCGGACCTTCGAAATTCAGAACATGGCTAATGCAACGTTAGGATGGGCCAAGAAAATACCAAACCGCGCCTCAATCCAAGCAGGCTGCAGATGGTGCAAAGTGACAAGGGGAGTTGCCCAAGGGGGAAGTACCAAAGTATTTTGCCTACTTTTTTCCCTTCTAGTGTGGTAACTCGTAAAAAGTGGACAACCCGCTAAAGCGGCGGCACATCGTCCCAATCCCCCTGTCCGTAAGGCTAGCCAGCATCTAGCGAAGGATTCTGCCGCTAACGCTGTCGGGTACCAATCCCCAGAAACTGGAAACGAAGACGGCGAAGTAAGGAAACGGCCGATGTGGCAGTGGCATTGTCGCTGTTGTCATTGCACCCATTGTGCGTACAGCTCATTTATTCACAGGCCTTCGCCTGTCATTTTGTTGTTGTGATGCATCTTTGGACAACACGTTGGCATCCGACAGGCCTTACGACCAGACGGACGTGGCAGCACAGCGATGTGCAAGCGGTCCATACGAACAACAAGTTTAGAATCGAACTGGAGCACTGTCGCCAACTGTAGGTACTAGGCTTCCAGGCCGAAACGTACAGAATATTCGATAGGCTTTGACACGCCGTCCTGCAGTGTATTTGTAATAGTTGCTATCTTTGACTGCGCATGTCGCCAAATAAAGCCGCTGTAGGGAAAGTCAAAGTTCCCAAATATGGAAATGCACGATAGTAGGAATAGACGAGCGAATGCCAAGGTCAGGAAGCCCGCCCGACGTCGTAGCCCTCTAGCCTGGAGATACACACCTTTCCACTCGTCCACTTTGACCAGTTGCATGTCGCTGTTTGGCTTTCACTGCGCGACTGATGATTCGAGCTGTGAACGAGCAGCTAGAGACTGATGACTCTATTCGAATCAACTACCTCATGCAGCCCAGCAAGCCAGATTTAGCGGCATCTCGGGCGCTTTGGGAGAGAACCGCCGATCACAGCTGGAGAGCTTGCCGCTACCATAGCGATATATCAGTGATAATAATAATAATAATAATCCCGTGCTGACAGGGTAAACCATGGTAATGGAGGTCCCCCTCAGGACAGAACCACGCGAGCTGGGGCTCCTGGTTGCCGGGATTGGCGATCTCTCGTCTGATTTAGCAGGAGTTCATCAGAAAAGCCAGGACTCGGGAAGAAAGAGAACTACCCCCCTGTAACAGTTCCCCTAGGGCGGCAAATGTTCTGGAAGAAGGCACAGAACGGCAGCTTTGCTTTGATGGCGGCGGCGGCGCTGGCGGCTTGTACGGGATCGTTGAGATGAGCATCCTATGGCTCACATAGGTGTATGGTAGGTGGGAAAAGGGTGCCGGGTGGTGGTGCTTTCCCGGATCTCGCGACCCGTGGGGCAATTGGAGGTGATGGCTTGCCAAGCACGATACGGCCCCCAAATCTGGCCCAAGCAGTGCCCAGCTTGCCATCAACTGAGATTGGAGATTGTCTCCCAAAAAGAACCACAGTGCCTCTTTCGCACGTGCTTTGTAAAAGTTCTATTTTTGGTCAGGTTATTACCAAGCTCCAGTCCGAGCTTCTCATTGGGTCTCGGACTCTTGTATCCTGGAAACTGCAGATAAATCGCTAGAGATATTTCAGAGACTTGTGCAAAATTGCAGGGACCGTGAAATGGGTAGGGAAATACATTAGACGGTCAACAATTTCTTATGCGATCGTGTCGTTTGGAGAGCTCGCTTGGGGGTCATCTCCCGATGCTCTCCCTCTATTGAGTCACAGTGATGACAATCTGCTAGAGCTTGCCGGCCGCAGTAGGAAATGTAACAATGGAGCTTCCAGGGTCTCACTAACAGCCCCAAGTATTGATGTAAGTTATCGGACATCGGAACTAATAGCAATCTATTGTATAACCACAACCTCAAACCCCGCCCAAGTTTCTCAAACTACAGGGGGGCTCATCCTCGGAGTCTTCAGCCTCCCCAGATAAAAGTCCACTGCATTGGTGCTGAAATCCCAGGCTTTTTCCCCCCCCTGATTGGCTTGTTCCCGTCATTCCGCGCACTTTAGCATGGAGACCCCTTCAGCCCTATCGACAACTCGCCGGCATTGCGCCGTGCCTTAGCAGCATGCCTGGCGTCCCAGAGTGTCCTTCAATGGTTAGTTGTTGTCCCGAAGTTGAGGCTTGCGCAGTCATCCCGTACGCAGCATCTCTCTCTGCAACGTCTCATACAGTAGTACCAAGCTTCAAGCCGCAACCGATCCTGGGATGGAGAGGGTTCCACGTTTGTCCGATGGAATCTATCGACCAAAGAAATGATCGGAAATTCGCCGACAGGCTGCATACCGTCATTCAACATCGTTCGATAAACCCGTGGTTTATGCCGCGGACGGAAACCATGATTACCCCGCAATCTATCACAGTTCACTTCGTATCTAATGGACCTCAGGTTGACTATTACAAACAACCTGAACTACTGTTTGGGAATAATGATGGTAGGGATGCCGTCAGCGAATTTTGCTATACACCGCCATATTTCCGGTGTCGGTCTGCTGTGTTAACACTCAATACTGATCTGACCGTCTAAGCCCCCACGAACCTGACGGGTTATTTGGTATACAGACCGAGACTCATGAGTTGAGAAAGGCTATAATAGAAATCAGCACTGGAATCAATGGCTGAGAAAACATAAGTTAGCTGCGACTTGATTGCTGCCTTGTATCCGATCCAGAATAGACATTAGTTTCGACCTCTTTGTCATGCTGAGCAAGATTATGTGCATATAAAATCAAATTGTCGGCGATGGGCGAAACTTCAGCCTCCCCTATGCGGCGTTGTGATTGGCCGTTTCCCGTTTATTGCAAAAGGCTATCGTCCTTCCATCACAGCAATTTCGGGAACAAGATCGACCTCACTTACAGCTCTCTTTGTCCCATACTAATTGTTTGATGCCCTGAGAGGTAGGATAGCGGCAGGATAGCACCACACCTCAACGGCGGCCCACAGAGAAATTCTGCTGACAATGTCCGGCATCACCACACCTTCCTGGGCGACGAGAGGCGGGCAAGGTAAACCCTCATTAAGGTGCTTACCTCCCACACCCTTCCCACCTCGGAGACGTGAGCGTACATCCCAACGGCTGGTCACTCCAGGTCCAGGGCTACGGGTACGTGGCGTCTCATGGGGGAGGCCGCTTTCCCAGTCACTTCCCTGGATCTGGAGCCCAATGCAAGATCCCAAAATACACCCACCAGGACTGTCGTGGACGAATCCGAGCTCTGTCATGGCAATTACACTCTTCCTTGGTATCCAATTAACCAAACCTTAGCAACAGCCGGGATTGGTACCAAACGTGCTCAACCACCTTGGTCCGCTGAACGCCAGAAAGGTGACACCATTATTTTCACCACCTCTTGTTGAGCGTAGTATCCTTGCGCGTGTATACTTCGTATAGTTAGGAGGTATTTGGTTGCATAGCCTATATGAACCATATTACACGACAACGGCGGCTACCAGTCATTAACCACACGGTACATGCGTCCCTCGTTTATCACAACCACAGAAGACACGAGTTTCTTAGACTCGAGGTTAAGATGAGTTTCTCAATCATCAGTTCTCATTTCTTGCAGTGATTGGGGTAGATAATTGCCGTGAAATGGGACCACCAAGAATTAGCAACTGAAGGAACGGGTTGTGTTCGGCCGAGAACGGTATACAGACGAAGCATTGCTCGCATTTTAGCGAGGCCGGCGGGCGGGCCATGATCCTACGGCCGCGTAGTGTGGGGGCGCAGTTTGCAATCCTAAGGTGCGTGCAATGCAAATCCACTGTCGTAGGATTCTGAAGTGCGTGACTATCGTATCATTCAAATTAAAAAGAACGAGAAGCCAAGGCGCAATTGTGTGTTCCCATTCCTGAGCAGTATTTTCCAGATAGGGCATATACGACACGACAAGTGGATACTTTTGGTAGGCCGACGGACCGATGATTTGTTGAGAAGATAGCAGCGGAAACGAACGGTGGGCATCATGGCGATGCAATCGTCAGAGATTGTGCGAAATTGCCTAATACGGAAAATTGAAGTTTCTGTCACATGCGCCTTTCGCAACGTATCCCTTCTACCCTGTCACATAACGAGAAATTGCTACTTTCTATAAGTCCGGCGGTGATCGGGAATAGCGACCGAAACGCCGGAGCATATCGCAGATGCCTGCCGTCTGAAGGCGGTGATACATCAGAAACCCCCAGGGTCGGCACCCACGTCAGAGCTAAGAGCAGCGCTAAACAATGTGGGCTAAATTCTTGGGCTCCATTCAGGCCATACCCCAGTAGGAAATCCATCCAAATCGGGTAAAGTTACCTCTATCCTTTCCCGCTTTGCTTTGCATTTTCCCATCTTTTTCTTCTTCTTCAGCGACGGGCCCATACAACGCCGACCACCACCCCTGGCATCCCAGGTGGGGCCCATCTGCACTAGACTTTCGACTGGGTTAATTGCTTCGTACCTAGGCAGCTCCTTGCATTATTTGGGGATGTGCAGCCTTGACGTTGCCGAGCTTAGGACTTAGGACGACCACCTGGCATTTGGCACGGGTAATGAGACGCGTATGACAGCCAAGATATCTGTTATTATTTCATTGACGAAGGGGAACTAGGCTAAGCTCCTTAGATCCGAGCCAGCAGACCTACTTGCCTAGGCACGTAATTGCGAGCGTCACCCTAGAATCCCGCAAGTTCGACTCTTATGTCTGTCGATCAAGCATCTGAACTTTTGAGTTCCACGCCCGCGTGAACCCACCCGACTTTGTGGGATCAACTCTGAAGGAGGTCATAGGCCTCTCTCGAATCAATGAGCGAGGATTTCCATTTGCCAAGAACCTGACGCGAGCACTTTGTTTCGATATCTCTTCCTGTTCCGTCAAGCAATCTGCGTTGTTGCAGTTTCTTGGCCCCCAGCGTCCATCTGGCGTACCTCGTACATACAAAATCAGCACTCACTTTTCGTAGGGCTGGCCGTTCCGCACCTCGCGCTGGTGATCCATGCACGAAGCAGTAGCGCTATCGCTCCTCTGAGCCTTCTCCCCACCCCACAATCTCGCACTTTGTTCGTCTGGGATTCGTACAGCTCATTAGCTCGAAGCGCAAATTACGGGTTAAATCCCAGAATCCAGTGAACCCCAAAACGCCCCTCTCTGACTCCCCAAAATTTATCCACTTACTCGCAAGGTACTGCTTCAACTGACAACTTCGGGTGTCATCATGACGTCCCCCGACTTCTGTACAGCTCAACCAGCATGGCACTGGTTGGAGTTTGGTGGTGGTGCCCGACAGCAAAGCACACTGGCGGTCAAGCACTTAGTGCAAATAGATTAATTCCCCAATCCCCATCGTCGCGCAACGGTTGGAAACATGTGCTGCTTTGCTGCAGGCTTATCGGTCTCGCCGTTGCTCCTTCACGATCACGCACGACCGCTTGAAGCTCTCCCATAGGATGAAATCGGCCTTCCTTCAGCCCTACGGGCAGTAACCCCCATTCTCCTTGCTTTGCGCCACCGGCCCTCCTCCGCCTTTTCCAGGCATCATCGGTCGACTGATGAAGAAACGTGGATAGCTGCTGCAGCACCGCCGACGGCACTGCGATCTTCTTCGTCATCCATTGCAGAAGATGCAATATTATCGACTCTTTCGGGCTATAGCAAGTACGCTTGGCATGTAGATCAGAGCTGCCTGTAGGCTAACCTGGCTGTATTGCTCTGTGACCCCACTCTATCTCTACCTTTCAAGCCTCAACATATCATTCAAACCCACCCTTCAAGCCCTTCAAGCGGCACTGTTTCTCTCGTATCAGCGTTAAACTGCCAATGATCTGTCCAGCGTGGTTACTTGCGCCCTTCCGATTCATATCGGAGTTAGTGGTTCTGTCATGCGTGACATGGTCCCTTAGGCGGGGGAACCTTTTCGAACTGCGGGCCCTGGCGTCGTCATCATGGTGGAGGTGGTGCTTTACTAAGAACCCAATTCGGGATCGGGACAGTGACAAATGCGGTTCTAGATGGCGCCGCCATGTGGTGTGTCTCTCGCGAAGTCACTCCCATACTTGAACACGGTGAAAAAGAGTAACACAATGCTATCTCTCATGTCACCCGCCGGCCTGAGTCACTATTCAACAAAGGCCGAGAAATCTGCCCGGTTGTAGTCAAATTCCACTATCGTGCCTTTCTCGCATTTTCTTGCCTGCGCAGATTGGAGAGCTACCGATGCTACTCTAAACCCCGGCCGCTGGGCAGCGGGCCTGCCAGGAATGGCTAGCCGAGACAAGGTATAGATGGGACCTTGCTGTGATCAAGCTTGGCCTGCGGGTATGGCAACTTAAAGTTGTATAGATGCGAGATCGATAAATGCAAGGCGTTCTATTATGCCTCCTTGGTACTATACTATTGTCAACTATTACCAGGCGTGTTCTTTGTATATTCGTACACGTGAGGTATTAGGCCCTATGCCCATGAATCCATCGGAGCCAGGTATTTGGTTAAATCGCAGTGCTGCTACCAGTTGCGTCCTCATAGGCTCGGAAAAATATGTTCAGCCTCCTCCTCGTGGACCCTCGATATGCGCGGGCATCTGCAGCAATAGCACAGCTCATTAAACAATTTGAGCAAAGTACCCCTCCCCATGTGAAACCCATTGCCAGTTGAGAGAGGGAGAGAGGTAGCGACTTCACTGGCCAATCAGCCCGTACAGCGACCCAATGAAACCCTACATCTCCAAAAAAAAATCGGGTGCAATGGTTGGGGTTGGTGGTGCGATGGTGCCCCGTGGCCAACCTAGGTGCGCAGAGGGGGGGTTTTGTTGATCAAGACGCAGCACACAACTGCAAGCTCAAGTCAGTTTACCGCTACTTGCACTGGTGTTTGGGAGCTCCTGGCTGAGGAACAAGCGGTCGGCACTATTGCATTGCATGACAGCCGAGCGGGAGACACAAGATTCGGAACCAACTTGCACCACCCACACATGCCCACACATGCAGACACACACGCATACACACACACATGTACATGACTGACACATAATGAGTTCATTGTTTCCGACCTGTCCGCATTTGTAGCATCACCGCCCAGCAGCAACAAGCAGCGATGCAGCTTTGTCGTTTACATCGGCCGACTTTCGCGAAGCAGGACTTATTGACTTGTAAACCTCGCAACGAATCTATTCAAGGTCGCATTTCAGGCAGAAACAATTTGGTATTGCTGTTGATTCCCCGCCTTCCGCCAAGTGGTCGCCGCTTTCGATCGCCATGTGTCACCCAAACGGAGGCGTTGGTGTGGAAGACATCGTACCATCTTAATGAGCCAAGCAGTATTGACGGTACATTGGAAGGGCCTGTTGCCCTTTTGTCTGTCCTATACAAAATACGTAGATCTCACGCAGTGTCTACCATGGTGTTTGCCTAAGCTTCAGAACAGGTGATTTGTAATTTTAGCCGCTCAACGAGAAGGCGATACGGAAGACGCCGTAAATTGCTTGATAAGCTACAGGTTCGATCAAACACAACCCCACAGTCGTCCTTGAGTTCTGACAGATTTACAGGTGTCTAGGTCCTGGTCATGATGGTCCTTTCGTTCATCTAATCTGTACTCCGCATCTGTGCAAGAGGAGGAAGAAGAGGAGGAAGAGGGGGAGGATGTCGTACATGACGACGTATGGCTGGCCCAGGAAGAAGAACCTATGTTGTTGAGCTGAAACTCGCATTCGGTATGTACCCTTTCCAGAATTCAACAGCCTATTGAACCTTTCGTAATATGCACCTTGATAAAACGACGACACAACGTTGTCTGGCGCATTGCGGTCCTTCGGTTTTGGGAAGTCCGTATGCGTCGTCGTCCATGGCTTGGGCTCTTACCAACCAAGACATGAGTCCCTTGCCCTGCTAGACGATTTTAGTGCAGAGGAAATCTGGAGCCTGGCGCCACTTCATCATACTGAGAACCCGCCCACAATAAACCCCGCAATTGCCCAAATGCTTGAGCGATACTGATACTTGTACATTCATCAATGGATTGAATACTCGATAATGAACAACTTGGGATATTTGCCGCATCAGATGATCGTGAGACCTGCCCCGTCGGTGTTTAGCCGTAATTTTCAATCGCCGGGCCTGCAGATCCAATCACATCCCGGCTCCGAGTCCGACGCCGAGGGTATAGGATTGTGCTACCAATGGAGTTCAAGGCCCACGGCGTGGCAGAGTGGTGTCCATCGTCTTTGCGGCGTAGTTCAAATGCATCGTGGACCAATGCAGGAGACTTCGACCAGGGTACAGCATGGCTTATACTCGTAATCGGAATCCATTCCAATTTGGAATAATCTATATCTATTGAACAATCTGCTCCAAACCCATCCCAGAGCCTCCGCATCAAATTCAATAGTCACAGGCTTCATTATCGCATATACCTGCCAAACGAACAGAAGGCTAGGACGGACAGGCTGGGGACTATTCAGCCAATGAAAATTGATAGCGCCGGTCGTATCTTCGTGCAATCAGGATTGTCGCTTCGCGTAGATCTCGGATTCCTTGGCACATGTAGCGAAGGTCTCTGCAGCAAAGAGCCCCATCTGGACCCTGAGCACTTGCCTGCCCGCAACTTGGTACTTGGTATCGTCCATCGGTTCCAATTACGATTTCTCCACGTTCCATGCAGAGTGCTGACACTTACCTGTCTCCGGCCCTGAAAGTCAAGACTCAGACCTGAGCAAAGAGTCAAACGGTATCCTGAAAGCATCGATTCCTTCTCTGGAGTCCTTACTATCAGCGACACCGAACGGTATTTTCTATTGTCCAGCGGTGTTTACTTTCAGCCTGCGTGGCAATAATACGTTAGATACGTTAGATACCCCGATATAAACCCGCGCGAGAGTACCTACCCCTCCATCACCTTCAGCTCTGCAATCTCCACAAATATCCGCACATTTGTCCCGACAGGCAGGTCGCCTGTGCTTCGTGTCCGCCATTCTCCAACCGCTCGACCTCAAGCTTTTATCATTCCATCGAGGTTGGGATTATGTACAAGGCTCTGCAGTCTAGACCTCGCAAATGAAGAACTCGAAAAGTTAGTTTTTGGGGCTGCAATCGGGTGGGTGGTTTTAGGAAGCCCACGAGGCCAGCCTGCTGCTTCTATTGACCTAGGATTGTTGAGATACACATCATGCCATTTGAGGTTCGCTTCTGCTGGGGCTCCCGCATGGGTACCACACTATGGACCAGGTGGCCGGTTCCCCATCTAGCCCACGGTTCCCTGATTGCGACATGGATTCTCCTGCTATGGAAATTAAGTGTTCGAACGGGCCGCTCGTATGACCGTCTGTATGGGTGTTCGCGCTCGGCTTTGTCGTTGTCTCCAGCGGCACAGCTCGCATTGCAACTGCGCCCTGGGGAATCCACATTTTGTCTCCCGCCTTTGTCAAACGGACATTGTATTGTGCCGTGTGGTTTTGGCAAAATTCCCAAGTTGGGCCAGTCAAACAATATGGATCATGGAATGGCATGGGACGTGGATGGAAGGCGGTCGGGCTCCTCAGCCGGCCGCAAGCCGCCTATCGTTCTCGCCATCCCCCCCATTTACGTGTCGATATAATTATCGCTGATCTCGAGCACCTTGCGAATCCGTGTAGTTCCGTGTAATGTCCGAGCGCCGTTCTCTTTTTTTCAAATTCGGCAGTGCGACGCTGCTGCCAGCCTTGCTGAAAGGAATCTCGAGAGAATGTTTCCAGAATACCATCTGTGACGAATAGATTTCGAGCAACACTTTTCGGTCCTAGTGCGATCACCCAAAGCAGCGGCTGCGCAACCCCCTTCCCCCGGCAGTTGTACATTTCAAATCTTTGGGACACATCTCTCAGCTGGTACCATTCACACGAATGACTCCAGGGCTGTCATTGGGAGCTTTTCTTGGTGTTACCAAGTTTGGGGTCGCGTAGTGCAGCTCTAGTGTCCCCTCTCCGTTGGCGTCGCACCGCTGCTAATTTTAGCCATTGGAGTGGTTTGCTACTGCCATGTCGATTGACAGCAGGTGGGCTCGCGACCGAAATATGTGCGGTGCCTTGTTTCTTCATCAATCAATATTTATCTAAAAGTACATCATCCTATCAATGCATTGTGCGGCCGCCAGGCGGCAAAGCAGAGGACCAAGATAGCATCCATCGTCGCGAGCCGTTGATAGTTGGTGTCGTGTCATATGGGCAACGCAGCGGCGCGGCCTTGTACCCAACTTGCTGCCTTTAGAGGACGCAACGCCGCACTTTCCGGCCGCAATGGGCCAGTTCAATCATGCAGACATCTTTCGAGTTTGGAATCCTTCGAAGACGATGTACATATATCACTTCCATAAATGAGCAGCGATTTTCATCCGGGTGTTACGCAGGCGGCTGTCCTGATGCTCGAATTGACCGAATACAGACGTCACAACCTCGCATTTGGTCCCATTTGACATGTTTGGCGCTCCGCGTTTAGGAATATCGGCTGTCCCATTGGGGCAATCAAGTCTAGGCGGCATCGTAAATGATATAGTTCTTGGAATTAAATTGGTGGACGGGGGGCTCTAACATACGGACCCGGCATAAGGCGCTATTGGCGTTTCCAGAAGGCACATATGCATATGTGTACCAGCCGTCGATGAAGACTGGATTTCCCGTACGTGCGGCGATGGATTTGTGTGGCAGAGGCTGATCCTAAAAGAGCAAATTTGTGCCGAGAAGGAACATACAAATGTTACATGAGCATACATCGTGATGGAGTAAAGAATTACATGCACAGGATCATTCGCTCGCACCATATGCCGGAAAGAAAATGGCCTAGCTTTATATACAGTATCTGGATGCTTGATGTTGAAATCCAGTAGCTTGTTGCGATGGGGATTGCTTTCAGCCCTATGACCGGCCGACGAAGTATGACATGATGCGGGACGGTGCATCATGTGTGAGCGTTACCACTGCCACGGGACGCGTTTCGTGGGTTATGTAAGAACTTTAATTACTCGAGTGGTTGAGACTGGGTTTATAAGGCTGACCGTTACCATCACGATGTCTCCAGGATCTAGAATATATGGTTAGCAGTGTTGTGCCATATTCTCGGAGGAAGGATTTCTGCTGCTCGTGGGGTTTCTGACACTTGAAAGTCATGAGACACGACGACAAGCCGCCAACATTGCAACTTGAGGGCAGCTGTTGGCAATGAGGATCAAGTGATGCATGCGGCAGTGTGAGCCGGGTCTAAGAAATATGGGGCCCCATGGGGCGAGACACTTCGGATTCGACATTCATTTGCGGGCCGTATCCCAACGAACACGCAACCAACGCCATCGGATGATTAGGAAGCCAGGATTTCCCCTTCGTTGCTCAGCTGTCTTTTTGCAGCGATATACTTTTGGAGTCAAAAAAAATGTCACCTGCTTGCGGCAAGTGAGCTTGGGCGCTGTAGAAGGGCGTCCCTCTCGCCCGCCTAGAGACGTGCGCGTACGGTAGTGGAGGACTCCATGAGCATGTCGAAAGCTTCCAACCGAATGCAGGATTGCTACCTGCCAAGTTAGGTATGTGTATTGCCTGATGCGGCGGAGCCTGTGGCACAGAATTCACGCGGTCGAAAGTGATGGGCAGCATTACGCAAACCGCGGGAACCTGCGTCTAAATGCCCTCGCACTGCAGCATGTCCGCATCGAAGTGGAAATCAGAAAACTGTATTCACGTCAGAAATGAGCTGGAAATTAAAAGTTATGAAACGTGAATGCGTCCTAGTCGCATTGTTGCATCAATTTTCAATATTCATGGGGGACCTTGTTGGCAGCGTTTGAATTGTGATGAAATGCAGTCGCCTGACTCGGACACCGACTCTGAAGGGGGCAATCTCAAAACATAAACCATGAAATGCAGTCGCCTGACTCGGACACCGACTCTGAAGGGGGCAATCTCAAAACATAAACCATTCCATCGCCTGCGTTGTTTCCCGATCGTCTCTGCACATACAAAACACATACCGAGCCATCTGATAACTTCTCCACGGAAACTTTTTTCACAGACAAGAAGTTTACTTGCTTGCATTGGAGATCGAGACCCAAATCGATTCTGCAACTTCCCCGCACATAGTCGTCAGCAACGAACGGTTCGGCCTAGAGGGCCTAGACGGCTGCCTCGTGGTTTCGGTGGCGCTGAACGGAGTCTATCGCAAACTTCGAAGACGTTGAGCTGGCGCGCCGCCTAAAGTCTCTAGACCGGATCGATCCGCCAACGGCAGGTCAAGATTGATCGCCAGGTGATCTCCCTTACCACGACGAAGAGTGCTGGACTTGAAGAAGACTCTGGGAAGTTGTTTCACCGCAGGATCCATTCTCGCGGTGTGCGCTCAACAGGCTTCGACGCCAAGGCTTGGGTCGGCTGGGGTTAGGCTAGGCATTGGGAATCCTCCACGTGAACCCTTATTTCCTGTAAGTCGCTTGCCTTATCTTAACTGCCTGGCGCGTTACGGCGCTCAACCTAATTTCTTTGGGCTCACTTCAAACATCTTTAAATATCGGCTTATCATCTCATTAGTCCAGTCATCACGATCAGCGGCGAAGTGCTCGCTGAAGGGGTTTTTGCAGGTCGACGTAAAAGATGGCATCCGCTACCGTGTCTTCATATGTCGCGGCGACCTTGACGGCGGTGTCAACGGCGGCATCTGCGAGTAGCACCAACCGAGCCTCACCACAGGGAGGAGTCATCGAGGGTGTCAAGCCAAACACATACAGTACCTCAGATCCGCTCAAACTTTTCATCATTCAGGTAAGACCGTGTCGCCCTGCCAACTCGCAATCTTTTGCTTCGTTCCAACCAGCGCGCCCACGACAGCAAAACTGTTGCGACACCTAAGTAAGACTGCGGTTTGCTGACAAATTTGAATCAGGCTGGCATCATCATCATCCTATGCCGTCTGTTACACTACCCCTTGTCCCTTATTGGACAGCCTCGCGTCATCGCAGAAGTAGTGGGCGGTATCATCCTCGGTCCTTCTGTTCTGGCTCGGATCGATGGCTTCAAACCTGCCTTGTTTCCGACGGAATCTATGCCGGTTCTCAGCAATGTTGCCAACCTGGGCCTGGTTCTCTTCCTGTTTCTCATCGCGCTTGAGCTTGATATGCGCATGTTCACGTCCAACTGGCGTGTCGCTCTCAGTGTCGGTCTTGCCGGCATGATTCTCCCTTTTGGCCTCGGCGTCGCTATTGCTTGGGGACTGTACAACCAGTTCCACGGCGAGGAGGGCACCGTACCCATCAGCTTCGGCGTCTATGCGCTCTTCATTGGCACGGCCCTTGCTATCACCGCCTTCCCAGTGCTTTGTCGTATCCTGACAGAGCTCAATCTGCTAAGTACATCGGTCGGTGTCACAGTACTGGCAGCCGGAGTGGGCAACGATGTCATTGGCTGGATTCTCCTAGCCCTCTGCGTTGCCCTTGTGAACAACAGCTCTGGCCTGACGGCACTGTACGTCTTGCTCGCGTGTATTGGCTGGATTCTATTGCTCGTCTTCGCTGTGAAACCGGCCTTCCACTGGGCCCTGAGAAAAACGGGAAGTATCCAGAACGGCCCTACACAGGGTATGGTTGCTCTCACCCTCTTACTCGTCCTGACGTCGGCTTGGTTTACTGGTACGTATAAGACAACTCCCATTCGATAGGCGGGGGCTCATGACGACTGCAGACATCATCGGCGTTCACGCCATCTTCGGTGGTTTTTTGGTTGGGCTAATCTGCCCCCATGATGGTGGTTTCGCCATCAAACTGACAGAAAAAATCGAAGATTTGGTCACAGTTCTCTTCTTGCCACTATACTTTACCCTCTCCGGTCTCAACACCGATCTCAGTTTGCTGAATGATGGCACTACCTGGGGCTACACCATAGCTGTCATTGTCATTGCTTTTGCTGGGAAGATCATTGGCGGGACGCTTGCTGCTCGGGCTATGAAACTCGTGTGGAGGGAAAGTTTCACCATCGGTGCCTTGATGAGTTGCAAAGGTTTGGTCGAACTCATTGTGCTCGTAAGCCGTCCTCGTCCTCACCAAATGAACAAACAACCGCTAACAGTTGCCTAGAATATCGGTTTGCAAGCCAAGATTCTATCAAAGCGAACATTTACTCTCTTCGTGGTCATGGCTCTGGTGACTACCATCGCTACGAGCCCCATGGTAAAACTTCTCTATCCTCCGTCGTATCAGAAAAAGCTCGAGGCATGGAAGCGCGGCGAAATCGACTGGGATGGACAGCCTCTGCACAGTGAAGGTGCCAATCAGGCCGACTCGGCACAGAGGGCCCAGAATACCAAGATTCGCCGTCTCCTAGTCTACCTCCGACTGGACAGCCTTCCAAGTATCTTCACCTTTATCTCCCTTCTTGGAGAGGAAAACGTGATCGTCAAATCGTCATTGGACGCGCCCCACGACAACGATGCCGAACAAGACGCACTTGTCAGGAAACGGCCTCTCGAGGTCCATGCTCTGCGCATTCTCGAACTTACCGAGCGTACCTCATCTGTCATGCAGGTCGCTGAATCTGACGAATTCTCGCGACGCGACCCCGTTGTGAACGCGTTCAGGACATTCTCACAGCTGCATGACGTCGCCGTTTCTGGTAGTGTGGTTGTGGCGGCAGAAGACTCCTACGCCCAGGTGCTCGTCTCACATGCATCGGATCACGATTCTGACTTCGTGTTGATACCATGGAGCGAAGGCGGCAGCAACACCATAGACCAGTCCACCCCTTTCAAGGCGTCGACCGAGGATCGATTCTCTGGCCGAGCTCATCTGGAATTCATCCAAAACACCTTGAACAAGGCCGTCTGCAACACGGGTATTTTCATCGGAAACGGGTTCAGCGGTATCGCCCCAATTCATAGGCCAAGACAAGCGTTGTCACGCGTCGTCAGCGGTATCTCGTTGCGTAGTCACAAGGAGCCCGCCCTTCTCCCCATTTCCGACAAGACGCACCATCTCTTCTTTCCCTTCATTGGAGGCGTCGACGACCGAGTTGCTCTGCGTTTCGTTCTTCAATTGGCCCGAAACCCAAACATCACAGTTACCATCGCGCATCTCAATTGGACGTCGGACGGTGACGACGATGTTGCGGCTATTCCAGAGAGCCCTGGCGCAGCGGCAGAGTCGAAACAGGCAGTCATTACTGAGATCACGGCTCAGGACATGTTCCTTCTGTCATCTTTGCAATCTTCGTTAGCACCCGAGCTCGCTAGTCGGGTTGCCTTCGCCGACGTATCGGTGAACAGTTCTTCTGTGTTGAACCAAGCTGTTGATGCGGCCAATGCGAAGGTTGGCCTGAACCCGCGCAATGCCGGCGACATCATTGTAGTTGGACGTAGGCACTCCAGGCTGACTTTCAAAACGCCTGAAGACGAGTTGGCCGAGACGGTCGGGTCTCTCGGGGCGAAGTTGACGAGGGAAGGGCTCAAAGCCAGTCTTCTTGTCATACAGGCGGCTGGCCCCGGGCTGGAATGGTGATTTACTGCATTCTAAGCGGCTGGTTTTGTTGTATCTCGGCTTGAGTAATGGTTATTTCACCCTAGATCTGCGATAGGGTTGTTTGCTGCTGCCCTGGGTGGAGTGGGAGCTAGGCGCATCTCGTTTGGACATAGTTAATCTGCTATTTTTGTTGAATATATCGCAAGCTAATGTGATAACTTTTGCGACCACTGATTCTATCACACATCAGCCGTTTGTACAAGAATGAACAACGTACTAAGCAAGATGGAGTGTGCCAATGTACCACGACTCGAACCAGGCATCGTGCGGTTAGAGAGTGGCCCAGCAGCATGGCTCACCCAATGAGGGGCCGCAGAGCACACATGCTCTAGACCGAGTTCGGGTTCAGTAAAATGCTCGCCCACCTCGCCCCTGACCTAAGCAGTAGCGTTGGAGCAGGCCCAGCCGAGCCAACGTTCCGCATGTAGCAGCACCCAAATTCGCTTGCTGGAGAGGGTGGGCGGCGGACCCTTCTGGGATGTATTTGTGACCAACTATATAAATGGGACTCCCGAACCCGATGAGTTGGTTCCTCAGACCGGCATAAGGCAAACCTGTCTGCCGGATTTAAACGGCCCGCCGTATTTGACCACTTACAACCTTGATTTGGAGGATGTCCGATAGCTCGGTAGATGGGAGCTGTGCCGCCGCGCAGCTTGAGGTGGACAAGGATGAAGTACAACAACAACCGGTAGCGGGGGGACATGCTTTGGACAACCACGACGACGACGACGACGACGACGATGGCTATTCGATGGCGACGAGCGGGTCGTTGACTTCGCTCAAGATGCATGTTTATGATAATGGGAGAAGGTAGGTCCATGGTCCATTCATTCAGTTTGGTGGATGCCCAATTAAATAAACCCACTTGGCATAAGTGAGTTTTGATGCGTGATTTGGAGTATAGCACCTGACATGGAGGGACCGTGACAGATATCACGGCTACCAGCAAGGCAAGTACTTACTGCCCAACGACGACATTGAACAAGGGCGCGAGGCCATTCAGTACGACGGTACGCAGCTGGTCATGGGGGGCGCCTTGTACCACTCCCCCATCGGTCCAAGCCTGCGCAAGGTATTGGACATAGGGACTGGGCTAGGGACTTGGGCCATTGATAGTAAGTGGCGTACTTCCCGTCTCGGCAGTTCAGAGGTGGATGATGGGACTGATTGATGGTGTATTCCAGTGGGCGATCATTTCCCGGAAGCCAAGGTTTTGGGGTTGGATTTGTCGCCAATTCAACCGTCATAGTGAGTTTCATCTCTCCTCGACTTCATTGAGACGAAATAAATCGGTCGCTAATCATGGCGTAGTGTTCCTTCTAATGTGTGAGCCACTCTTAGTGCATTATAGCGCAGGTAAGAGGAGTACTAACGCGGGCTGTCGCAGTGATTTCCAAGTTGACGATGTAGAGCTGGACTGGGTACGTCTCAAAAAGATACGAGTACACGAAACAATGTGGGAATTAACAGTCCCTTTTCACAGGTTATCGACTCAGACTGGGATTTCATACATATGCGCAATGTCGCACGCTTCTTGAAAAAGCCCAGCGAGGTTCTGGAGAGGGCATTCCAGTGAGTCAAATGCCCATCTCTCCACCTGTATCCTTCGGTGAGGGACTCGATGCTAAACCTTCATTGCTCAATAGACATCTCCAGCCAGGGGGCTGGGTAGAAATGCAGGACGTGTCCATGGACTATTACTCCGACGACGGCACGCTGACGGACGATTGCCCCATCCACGAATGGTTCCGTTTGATGCACACAATTTGGCCCAACTACGACATCGCAAAGCGCGGGGGACAGGTCATGGAGGACATTGGATATGTCAACGTGCATAGCAAGGCCGTCGGTCTCCCCGTTGGGCCGTGGCCCAAAGACCCGGAACAGCGTACCGTTGGCCTAAGGATGGCTACCGCCTTCTTGGTGATCCTGGAGACTTGCAGTGCTTTGCTTCCCCAGGACCAGCGGCCCGCCGATATAGAAGTGTTGTCTGCGAGGATAAGGGAGACATTGAGGAATAATAAGATCCATAAGATGACCAAGATTTGCGCGTGGATGGGACAGAAGCCCCTGGATGGTTAGTTGGCCAGGGGAAGCGTCACACCTTTCATTTGTTGCACATTTATATCGCGATATATGGCATGTGGATCAACGTGTTTAGAAATGATGTTTGGGTAGACTAGAAGTACGTGCATTCATTCATGTACGCATATCCGAAGGCAGTTTATACAACTTGCAGAATCGTTCCACCGTTACTCGATAGTTCTCCGACCGCTATTACAATATCATCCCACTGCTATCCGAACGTATATCGTCTAGTTTTTCATCTAGCCATGGAGAACAGTGGAATCGGCTACGGCTATTGGGGTTGGATGGCGCATGCGGAACAATCAGTCCTGGGGAGGTATTTAAGATGATGTTCAGTGAAATAGCGGCTCCCAGGTTCTCCGTGAAAAAGAGGGGGCGGTACTTTGTCAGTATTTGAGGCCTCGTGACATTAATGTAAGGTTGGTCCTCTAAACCAATGTCAACAATCAGAAAGTTACATGAGTTTTGCCCGCAACCAAGAACACCTGCAATAAACAGACAGCTGACAGACAACATAACTCTACACGATGGGACGACCCACAATCCTGGCTCCAAAAGGAAACCAGTAAGTGTGATACTCATGCATGGTATTTCTTCAGACATCTAAGCCTCTAACTTACGACATATGTCTTAGTGATCGAACTCGACACTGGATGAAGTCGAAACCCAGCTACGTTAGCCAGATTCTTGGACACGGATGCGATGGCTGTGAGCTACATCACGCAGCCATATGGGTATTAATTACATAAAGTTGAGAAGAGATTTAGTTTGAGCTTCAACAAGTGAACCAACACCATTTGGCCTTTCAGTACACATTGTCCCATATTAACTCACAACTTCACGTTAGATTCCATCACAATGGGCCCGAAACACCCCTTCCGTCACCTCTTTGCCAAACGCATCGAGCCCAGCAGTGCAGCTCCCCCGCCAATGCCCCCAGAGACCGTCCCCTACCATCCCACGAATCGAACGCACCGTCGGGCCCGAGTCGCGCAGGTCGTCCAGCGCAGAAACCGTGTTCTGTCCGTGGCGCTGAAGCGGTTACTGCCTGTCCACATTGCTATGGCCAGCGTGGGAAGTCTCATCACCAAAGGCGAGGCGCGACTGGCTTCGTTGCAGCATATACGTACGGTTGAGAACGACTTGGTGGATGGGACGTGTCGTGATGGCGATGTGGTGGTTATTTTCGCCAGGGGAACTACTGAGCCTGGGAATGTGTAAGTCGACTACTGATTCAAGTAATTTCTCATCGGTTTACAAGTGGGTGCGTGGAGTGGTTTGATTCTGGAGCCAAGTTGTGCAAGAGCAAGAGCAAGAGCAAGCGCTTTGAATATGATGTACATGTTTGCCTTGACTAAGCAACCATAAAACCACCTAGAGGCCAACTCGTTGGTCCGCCATTGTTCAGGGCAATAAGGAAACAATTGCCTCACGGGCAGGGTCTATCCATCCAAGGCCTGGATCAGTACACGGCAGATGTGGCTGGCTTCTTCGAGGGGGGCGATCCCCAGGCGAGTCGACGGATGTGAGTTTACGTCCCTCCATTGTCAGCAATAACCCGCCTGTGTTCTATCCCACCATACATCCTGCCGAAACTCTGGTAAATGATTCCGAGAGTCCCGGTACTGAAAATCGCAACAACAGGGCGGAACTCGTAACCCAAACCCTCCATAAATATCCCCATTCCAAAATCGTCCTAGCAGGCTACTCCCAAGGCGCTCAAATCGTCCATAATACCGCCCGACTTCTCGACCCTGTCGAAATGGCGGCTGTGAGTTCCGTTATCCTCTTCGGCGATCCCGGTAAGATGAATATAACGTCCCCCAACAACACTTCTTCCCGGCTCTATCCCTTCCATCACCAGAACCAGAGCTGAGCTGGCCTGTGAGGACTAACAGGCTTGCAGCCAATGGTCAAGCTATCCAGAATGCCGATCCCCGAAGCGTCATGAATGTGTGTCATCATGGCGATAATATTGCTTGTGGCGGCGATTTGATCATGCTTCCCCATCTAACGTACGCTCTGGACACTGACGACGCAGCTGCGTTCGTGTATGCCAGGCTCAAGGGAGGTGGCAGTTGGGCATGTAGTTAACATCAGACTTTATTATGGCCAGACTCGAACAAAAATGGTAGATCCAATTTGATGAATGCTCGGCGATCCCGTTTGAGCAGGCCGGTGCCGCAGTTATCTTCGTTGTCATCGTAGTCGACTGAGAGTCGCTGCGCCTGGAGTAGCACTCCGCTTCTCGAGAGATTCAGAAAGGCAGATGAGCTGAAGTCTTTGTTTACACGAGTAGCTTTCGTAGTTTCTCAGGCATTTGCGGTAATAGAATAAATGGCGCACCGATTATCCCGGGGTAGTAAAATGGCATCAATACTGGCATTATCTGCCATACATGTTTTACCACCTAAATTTACATCCGTTACAGTCGTACATGCCCCCCACCCCCGACTATGTCCTCTAGTCCCTGACCCTACCGCCTTGAAGCCAGCATCAGAAAACCCAGCCAGAACCACATACATGCCGCACCAACTAAATCAACAACAGTATATCTCATATGAAACCATGGAAAAGAAAAAGAAAAGAAACATACGTCACTTTTCATGTATAGCCTCGAAAAGTCGCCAGCCAGCCGCCTTATCTACCTGATCTATCGTCGAATGCTACCTACGCAAGTATGAAACGCCTTCGCCGCCTTTGGCTTTCCTTGCAAACGCCTAGTCCATGCGAGATTGAATTTCCGTTTCGTCCTGCCCCCTGTCCAGGTCCATTTCCGGTGAACGATGCAAAAATAGCCGTCCCACAGAACAAAACATCCTGCCTCCCCCTGAGAGATGAAGAAAACAAGAACGGGAAATCGAGAGAAGCCTTGTGAACGCCGGGTTTTGTGCAACGTCTTCGCAAATCGTATCAAGGGGGTATAGAGGGTCCCAATGCAGTCAATCGAAGAAAATGAAATCCGCTGCATAGCGGTAGAAGGAAATCCCCACCATCGTCAGCCGAAAGGTGGTTGGTCAAATGATCTGAAGTAGTACTTGAGTGGACGCAAGATAAAGATAGGACGAAAGGATATTCTCGAGAGAGAAAGTCACAAGAGTTCCTAGACTCGTCCCCTCGTCGGTGACCTTTCTATTCAAGTTCCACAGTCATGTAGATTTCGTCTCATGCTCGTCGCTCTAGAATGATAGCTGGAACATCTCGAGGAGAAGAGAAACTAAATGGTGTGATAATTGATCACGCAGCTCATCACCGAAGCACGTGGATGTCCAACGAGAAGCGGAGACCGTTGTGGGATCCATATCTAGACACCTTCGCCCTAAGAGGCTGTATTGTTAAGAATGTCTGTCCTCGCACACCTGATGGGAGTGCCGTGTTCTCCAGTAAAAACCTCGAAAAGATGGACCAAAGATGATCGTCCCGTTGCACACGAGTATGCAACGGAATGGGGATAAAAAATGCAGAAAACGTAGTTTGGAATCTGGCCAGCGACGATCGCCACGGCAATGCCACAAATGCTCTCCGGAGTCTCCAACGTGACTTAAATGTGGGGAGCGTAGGCTCATTCGCAGAGGCCGAATCCATGGTGACAACGAATCATACGTCAAAGGTGACTGCTGTCTTGCTGTCGAGAGAAAGGTTTCCACGGGGAGGAGGGCTGAAGTAGTCGCGTTCTTGGGAATGTTGCGATTTACATTCCGGTAGAACCGCATCACGAAACGCAGATGAGATACAGACTCGTGGCGAAAGTACGCAACCGTTCAAGTGGTCTCGCAATTCACAAGCCGCAAGCACCAGGCGTCCACAATAGCTTATAGTCCTGGATGAGCACCGCCCGTATCCACGACGTTGTCGGAGAGGTTGATGAGCAGCTGGGCGAGGCAACGCTTGGTGGCCGCGTCGTCGCGAAGGACCGAAGAAAAGGTGGCGTCGCGCAGGGGCTCAGGCAGGCATTGCCGTAGAGCCTCACGGGCTCGGGCGTTGTCGCTGAGACGGAGGAAGCAGCGCACAACGTGCTTGAGGAGTCGCGCTGTCTGCTGCTCAACCAACTGAGCTACCATATTGCTAAGTACGGTGCCGACCGCATAGAACCGCTCGTAGGTAGCACATATGTAGTTCAGTCCACTGTCGTCAAGGAGAATCTTCTGGACGATGAAGATGGCCACTGTCTTGCTCAGCTCGGATCCCGTCTCCATGATTCTGAGGCACAGAGGGATAATCTCGGTGGTCAGCAGGAAGTTGATGACCTCGGTCGAGTCGTTCTTGACAAGCGCGCCGATGACACCAAGCGAGGTGAGACGAAGGTACTCGAAGGGCCGCGACTTGGAGGTGGTGTTCAGGAAGGGATACAGATACAGGGGAATATGGGCTATGACACGTCATTAGTATCAGCAGCGAAAAGATAGTTCCAGTGTCACTAGATAGCTTACCCTTGAGGAACAAGGTGCGGGTGTCATTGTGGGACGCGACACACTGCAGCAAGGCCAAAGCGTTGCAGACTCGGTTGGAGGCGGCCGCTGTGAGCTGACTAGGGTTCAACAGCGTATAGACAGAGATGATCTCTTGAGTCAACGAAGTCATGACGCCTATAAACACATGGCCAGTTAAGTTAGCTGCTGCTGCTGCTGCTTGCGCAGAACTCGAGGCTGAACGTACCGAACGAGTGCCACAGGATGAGGGCCAGCTCGGGGACTTGCTCGCGCTTCTTGCTGAGCTCCAGCAGAGCGGCCTCGCGCGTATTCTCGTTCAATAGATCGGCAACGTATTGCATGGTCCTCCTATTGTCCTCTGAGACATTCTCGAGGCCGTTTTCCTGAACATGAGCCACGGCCACGTTGTTGTGAGCTCCTGCAAGGCGGTTGTAGTGCTGCTGTTGGGCGGCGGCAGCGGCAGCAGCAGCTTGCTGGGCCTGGTGGCTGGGCTGTTGGTGCATCCACGATTGCTCGTGGGGATTGTACTGGTGATGACCATACATGTTCGGATTCGGTAGCATCTGACCAGGTCGAGTGACGATGGTCGAGTGGGTGCGCTAGTTGGCGAGACGAGATTGGGTTTGGACCGTGCAAGTAGAGACGCACTGGTCGCTCGCAGGCGAGTGGACTCGACAAACGAAATACGTATAGTACGGGGCTCCGTGGGATCAGCACGCCGAAACTCGTTGGCGAGGTGGAGGTCGCTCGTGAGGGTGATATGATCGGGCGGCGGTGGTGATTGACGAGCTTCTTCAATTTTGCGACCCAGTTGATTTTGGGCCAACTCCAACTCTGATCGTATAAATTTAGGTGTGGAAATGTTTGGAAGGTTCGATTGTCTCGGTAGGCACCGGAGATCTGTATCGTCTGTTTGGACCGCGCGAGGACAACGTTGTTGTCGTGGAAGCAGCGTGACGATGCGATATACCGTGGACTGGGTGGTTCCCTTCCCACGTTTCGATCGAGGGCTACGAGGGACATTGGCCAGTGCCAAAGTGCTGTCTGTTTGTGCTGCCGGCCTGCGCTTATTTGCCGGCCAAGTGGGTTGCTCCGTTTCTAGTTTCCACCTCTTGGGGCTAGTTACGGTGCTGGCTGGGGAATAAATGTTACACCGACCACCGAGCTTTAACCGCGGGGAAGTGAGGGATTCTGATAGATCTGGCAACTATCTTCGGCGCCCGCGGATTCTGATTTATGATTCGACGTTGTGTCTCTAGCTAGACTATTTACGCAAGTACATTGTACATGTGGAAACAACTCGAATTCGACTTGTTTGTTGAAGCCCAATAAATATCCAGGGATTAATCTCGACTTCTTGACTTGGTATATTGTTGGTCAATCTTTACAGAACTTACCATCCTGCACATAAAGGCTCTCGAGCTGCGTTTAGATGTGCGTTGATCAATATAGAAAACCAAGCATGTTCTAATTCTTGAGTAACTGCACACCTCTTGGCCCCCCAACCACTATACATCTCTTTATTCGCAGTAGACCAATGCCATTAAACTACGCAGAGGTGTAAACTCGCTGTAGATTAGACCCCAGTTAGTACGGATCTTTCATTATGTAGCTCGCTGCTATTCAGCAACCTGGCCATGCGCATGCAAGATCGAGGATGCAAACCACATGCACTTCCACATTGTTACTTATATTCGCTATCAGGAAACATCAAGGTCGTTATACAGCAGAAGGCCTACTCCGCACACTTTCAAAACATCCATATGCTCCATTAGGATCTACGACTACACACACACACACGCTCGCGCCCTGCCAATTTCGTCGCTCCTCCCATAACCTCTCTCGTTGCTTTTGAGTTGGCTCTGACCTCCCAAGAACTTCAACAAAATCAAAGCTACGAATTAGTAGTATGAGCATTCCTATTCAATCATTGTGACATGCCAAGTTTCCCGCGCTGTGCCCAAATCTGAATCTAATGGAAAGACGAGCAAGTCCAACGATAAAACGAGAAACGGCAGTGTCATCCGCGTTTGCCGACAACGAGCGCGTCGTTATAGGCGCACCTCCTTCAGAATTTGGTCTGCCATGTTCTTAAATTGCCACGTGTTGCCCGCGATGCGCTTGAACTGGATGCCATGCAATGAGAGCAGGGGCACCTTGACGATGAGAATGTCAAATTCCAGCAGCATGTTTCCGCCCAAGTCGCTTTGCACCTGTGTCGTGGTTTCACCAGGTACTCTTCTGGAAGAGCCACCGGGATCTCGGTCCATCGTATCCTCGTCTGAAACCTCCGAGTTCGAATCACTTCTCTCCGGGCCCTTTCCCGGTGTTCGTGGTGTCGCCGCACCTCTGTCCATCTCCCGAATCTCTTCCCGTTCCCTCTCGGCTCTAATGCCGAGGCTGAGTCGTCGGGGGCGATTGTTTGGTAGTGGCGGGCTGGCAGGCGCATTCCTGAGATCAATGCTAGGAGCGTGCTGGCAGCTGAACCCCCCGCGAATTTCCGTGTATTCCACGCCGAGTTGATTGAGTACTCTCTTCACATCTGTCCGTATCGCCGGCACCGATTTCGTGGATGTAGTCGAAACGCTGAAGAGACCCTTCAAAAAGACGGGCTTCGCCAACTCCGAGTCGTCCAGACGCTCTGCCGAAGCTCCACTGGCGTCGCCTACGTCCTGGTCAGTCTCCTCAGGCACATCAGCCGCACGTGCCCCTTCCCTCCGAAGTCTCCTCTGCTGAATGCTTTCCCTTCGAGCATGACCCAGTGACTTCGCCCTCATAGAGGTTGCCCGCGCGTTAAGCGCGGCTTTCTGCTCCGTTGTGGGCTTTTCGATCGTAGTGGACTGATCCGAGCCACTTGTGGGCGGCGGGTCCTTGGCTACTCTGTTGGCAGATCCGAATGGCCGTCTCCTGAAGTCGGCCGAGTTCACACTAGTGGAGCGCCCAAGTCCCTGTTTACTACCGGACGTGCTACCTCCGGCTGATAATGGGGGGCTCAGAAGCTCCCGGTGCTGAGGCTGGCTACTGCCGGAACGTAGACGTTGATCTTGACCCTCGTCTCGATCGCGTCGAGACCTCCGAATGCTGAAACTCTTACGTGGCGTGACCGGGGTCTCGGCAGGGGAGTGTACCTGAACAATAGGCGGGTGTGAGCGATCTTTGTCCAATCGTTCGGGTTCCCTTCGGCGTCTGGTGCTAAATCGCCTCAGAATACCGGCCGCTGTGCTCTCCTTCTTAGGCACATCCAGTTGCCCGTCGGCGGGGATGTTGGGTACAGCGGGGGTAAATTGAGCCTTCTTGACTTCTTCCGGAGCGTCGTCTTCGCCGTGCGTCCGAGCACGAGGACGCGACCTGCCACCAGTCACCTTTTCTCCAGGCATCTCGTACGTGGCCGTGTTGACATGAGCCTGCTGCGGGGCCACAATCTCGGGCATTGGTGAGTCCGCGACGTTCTTCGGCGCGTGAGACTTGGGTTCCACGTCCACTTTGTCTCGACCCTGCTTCTCTTTTACAAGATAGTAAATGGAGACAAGGGGACTGAAGGCATTCAACGGATCACTTCCAAGGGCCAGGGCTTCTGTGCTGGGAAGTGTCAGGTTGTCGCGGCTCGTTGCGGAATTCCTCCGCCTGTAAAAATCGAACCCAAAGCCTCTTTTCTTTTCAATATCCTTGGGTGGCGGTGGTAGGTCCTTTTCCTTTTGGAAGAGTTGAACAGCACGCTTGTACTCATCCGACTCGATTAGCCTGGTGAGTTGCGCCTTGATCACTTCGGGGGGCCCAAAGTTAAAGCCGGTCATTGCGTTGATGACTTCAGGTTCCAAGGGGAGCGTAAGAGGCTCGCGCAAAGGAACATGATTCTCTGGCCCCCCACCGTAACCTTTGATCATCCATGGATGGCTCATGACCTCATGCATGGTGGCTCTGGACTTAGGGTCTGTGACCAGCATGCGAGAAAGAAGATGGCGACATTCTGCCACGCGTTAGTTTGACTTCCTCCGGCCAAGTTGCACAAGACAACTTACCGTTACTCAGCCAGCCGGGATAGTCCACCAGGCCCTTCTTGATCTTTGCATGCAATGCTGGCATGCTCTGATCATCAAAGGGGACCTTTCCACAGACCAGGACGTATAGAACAATACCGAAACTCCATACGTCGACCTCAGGGCCAGTGTATGCGCGGGCTTGCAAAAGCTCCGGGGCGGCGAAGTAAAGACTGCCACAGAAGGTCTTCAGATGGCCACGGGGGGCAAACAGGTTGCTTAGCCCAAAATCGATGATCTTGATATCGCCCGTCTTGGAAATCAAAATATTCTCGATCTTCAAGTCGCGATGGACGATGCTGTTCCGGTGGCAGTAGTCCAGAGCGCTTGCAATCTGCCGGCTGAACTTGCGTGCTTGTTTCTCCTTCAGCTTTCCGTGGGAGATGATGTAGTCCAGCATTTGACCGCCATTTACGTATTCGAAAAGCATATACCAATGATAATTTGTGCGAACAACATCTCGCAGCCCACAGATGTTGGGATGGTCGAGGAGCGTCACGATAGCTGCCTCGCGCGCGGTGCGTATTTCCTTGGACTGGTCTGCCCTTTCTTTGTCGGCACGACTGTGATGGCCTTCGTCGGTCGACCCTCGCGGAATGATCTTGCAGGCGACCTGGGAGAAGGGCCATGTTAGCGACGGGTTCAAGTTGCATGGTCAATAAAAACCAACCTGTTCGGTCATGTCTTCCTTTTTAGCCAATTTGACTTTGCCCATACTACCAGCGCCAATCGTCTTGCCGAGGATCCATTTTCCCGACTGGGTTGGAATCGAGGTGCGCGTCGTCCTCTGCTTGGCGCCCGTTGCGCGTGCATCTGCTGCTGCTTGCATGACGGGTGGAATGGCAGCCGGACCTGCGTTGTTGGCAACTACAGTCGGACCAGCCATGTCGCCTGGAGGATTGGTGGCGGAGCGGGAGCTGCTTCGGCGGTGGCTACCCTTTGAATCGACACCTCGGACGGCGGAAGGCGGATGACGGTCTTTGCTCGAAGATCGCTTGGAATATTGGGCTACGTTGTTCGTTTCATAGTCCTCCCGCGGCAAAACGTCCTGAGCGGGGCGGCTGGATGCGGAGGATTGGCGATTGTGCTGATGGTCGCGGTGATGATGATGGTTGTGGGAGGTAGAGCGATGTGGAGCTGGGCCAGAACCAGAAACGGTGGTGGACGCTGTGGTTGGGCGCGAGCGGGTCGACTGCGACCTCGACGGGTGGGAATGATGGCCCGGTTGCTGCTGATGATGCTGTTGCTGTTGATGTTGGTACTCGGTGGCAGACGTTGACATTGTTGTCGGGCTTAGGTATCAAAAGCCAGGTAGGGAAAAAAGTCAAATTGATGTTCCTTCCAGTCCGTTCCGTTGGAAGCGACAACCTGCAAGGACATTCAGGAGCAGAACGATGGGTAAAGTTACCACCACCCCCTTAAGGCTGGCGACGCTTGAACTTTGGGGTCAAGCTACGTGCATATGGTGCGACTAAGGTACTCAGGGCTCTTGCAGCCGTGGGTTGGGGGGGCGGCACCCACTAGATGTTGTCCTTAATCCCGAGTGCAGATTACTCGCTACTTCAATGTGGGTAGAAAAGGAGTGACCACGGTCGTGAGCTCGTTGTCAGCAGTGGCCAGTTGACCTTCAACAGCTGATTGGAGGTCTTGCTTGCACAGTCAATATATTCTGATTGCTTGTTTGGGAAATAAGTACAAGCAGAATGGGAATGGGCTGGGCCGGCCCAGTCCACAAGCTCGCTGGTGTCCGGGGAGAGGCTTGCAGCGCGCAACTTTCGAATGAGATTGAATGTCCCACCGGCTTGGTCTGGCTGGCAAACGAACGCCAACAGTTGTCGATGGGGTCCCTGATTAATTATCCAAGATGAAACTCGACGGGCTGAAATATCGGTCGGGCGCTATAACTGCACATGTGCGGAGTGTAGGATCGTGCGTGCGTGCGTGATGTGACTGATGGATTGTGGAAGATGAGTGGTTTGCGATTCGTCTGCTGCGGCTCGCATCTTGCAGTTGGGAAGACGTAGAAGCTGTCAAGAGATGATAACAAAGGAACCAAGTGACACAAGGCTTAAATCTTACAACCAGTTTTCCCTGGGTCTGTTGTGTGATGGACGGATATGACGACAATTGATTGACGCCAGTTTATGGGCGGTTGTTTACGAGTACCATGGTACTCTGGGGCTAACCGCCAATTCATCAACGGCATGGAAGCTGGTACGAGTCGACGAGGCCAACGGGCTCTCGGTGGATTTGGAGCAATGGGCGAGCTGGAAATGCATGGCACCTTTCCCCTTTTGTCGCTTCGATATTGAGCGCAAGGAATGATACTCATTAGGAGAGCATAGGAGGAGGGCTTGGTTTGTTTTGAAGGTCATGTCCGGGGCAGGAAGCAAGGTTGCCAAAACGTCGATTACATACATCTCTCCGTGTTGGCTCCAGGCATCAATATCGCCCATGTTGAAAGTACAATTGGATCGGAATGGACAAAGGGAACTCGATAGAGTCATCCAGCCAGTCCACTCCGGTTCCCGTCGCAAAGAACAAAAAGTCGACTGCAGCACCTAAGTGTGCCGCAAGGGGACAATTCTACTAGATCTGGGCAGTCTTGCCCGATCTCCTTCCTGCCCTGTTCCTGCCTAAGCAAACTTCAGCTCGGACGGGAATGCTGTTCACCTCAAAATGAGAGTTTTACCACCAACTTGTCGGCGATCACCTGAAAGCCAATCTGCCAACTGCGTTGCTTCTGTGGTTTGAGTGCTCTACCTAATGAAGTTGCGAGATTCTAATATTGCTCTAATATTGCTAGAATGGATTTGAAATTGTTCTCTGCCTCCAAACTAAGTCATTTCATCTTTGTTTTCCTCAACGTCTGCCCCTCTTCACTACACTACCAGGTTACCAGGTTTTAGTGCTCATTTACCCCCCGCCCACACCGTCCCGAGAGTCCCACACAAACTCGGCACATCTAGGCGCGCACTAAGACAACCCATAGAGATGACACTCGTGGCTTTAGTACCTGCCTCGGTGTGCTCTCCGTCCATTCGCGGAAGCGGTTCGCACTAGTTTTTACAGTCCAATCAAGTAGGTTGATGAGTTCCAAGGGTCTGGGATAGGCTGGTCAACCATAAAAGCCATTCTCAGTGTTAGTTCCCGCCCTTATCCCGGGGCCGACTTCGGTCTGCATTATTATACATTTGGCTGGGACAGATGTATCAGACTTGGTTTGCATTGGGTAAGTTCTTCATGCTTGGGAATCCAACTTCAGATTCATCAACGGCGTCTGATGATGCCCGCAACTCCCACCAGAGCTACTTGCAACCGCCGCACCATGCCCTCTATAGACTCAAGGCGGCCAAACAGCTAAGGGCAATGACACCATATAGTCCAACTCCCATCCTCGTCCCCTGTCCTTGCACGACAGGCGTGACAGCAGTAGTGTTCGAATCACCAGAGGCTTTCTCACTCAACACCATCTCCGCGGCCACTGGCTCAGCATTGGTGCTATTAGACGTCACTGGCTTTGAAAGCTCCACCAGCGGGTCGGAGGAAGACGGCGGCCTCTCAATAGCGACAATCATGGGCTTGACCATTTCGCAGTTGAGCGCCTGCGTCGTATTCATCTGCTCCATGGCCGTGTTGTTGGTCTGGAACCGCAACCTCTCGCGCTGCCCGTCGCCATTGCCGGTCCAGGGCGTCCACTCGGGCGATCCGGCGAGGCGAAGGGTGTTGGGGTCGAGGGTAGCAACGAAGCTGGCCCAGTATGCCATGGTAACGGGTACAATGGCCGCGTTGGTGGTGAAGTAGCTCTTCGGCGGGGCACCGTCCGTATTGTTTGGCCCGAACACGCCGTTGAGCTCGACCGTGTGGTAGGCACCGAATCCGAGCTCTTCCTGCTCCTGGTCTATAACGGCGTAGCGGTAGTTGTAAGTGGGCGCTGTCGTGCTGCTCGCAGCGACAATGTCGTTCTGCAGCTGGGCGCTTACGCAGTGGGCACGGATGTCACCCATGCCGTTAGCGAGGGGTCGCCACAATGCACCGGCATCGTCGAAGATGGGGGCTGGAGGGTCGGGGTTGAGATAAGTCTCCGCCAAAAGGTCGAGTGAAGCGTTAGACAGAGACTGGGAGGCCTGGTTGTTAAAGAACGTCAGGGCATCCTCGGTAGTGTTGGTGGTCTTTGCCACGTTCTTGGTGCCCTCGTCTGTACAGGAGCCCACGATGGTGGGGATCTTCAGGAAGTTGCCCTTGGCGAATGCCGTTACAGAAGCCTCCTCGATGAGCTCCCCGTCGATGTGTGGGTTAAATTGGCATTCCTCAGTCTGGAGAGAGCTGGCAGGGAGGGCCCGCATGCAAGCCAGCGTGTCGTCCGATTCCGCACAGCCTGATGCGTTGACGAGACATGCGTACTGTTCCTGGCCTTGTTCTAGTATCCGAATGGTGGCTACGGACACTGATTCCATGATAGCACCCTTGATGAGGCTGGTGTCGTTGCGCAAGGCCATCATTAAGAGCGAAATGGAGGTAGCCCCTGACGAGTCTCCCACGGCTACCATCTGCTCAGGGTTGCCGCCAAACTAGAATGGTATGTATCAGTATGATGCTCGCCCAATGTGACCTGTGTCCTCAGGTTTGACTTACAGCAGCAATGTTGGTCTTTAGCCACTTGAGTCCTTGAATCTGGTCTTTGAGTCCGTTGTTGAGACTGCCGTTATTGATAACCTCCTGGCTCTGTAGGAAGCCGAAAGGTCCTACGCGGTAGTTCGTCTGCACCACAATCATGTTTCCAAATGCGGCCAACTCGCTCGCATTGAAATTCGCATTCGAGAGCGACTGAAAACCACCGCCCTGGATGAAATACATCACCGGGAGCTTGGAATCTGCAGTAGCGTTGGTAGGTGCGAAGATATTGACGAAGAGGCAGTCCTCGTCCACGGTGAACCTCTTGTTCGGCTGCATAGTGAAGTCTGACGCAGCTCTGGGGAGACATATCGGCTGGAACTAATTTGAAAAGATTAGCTCAACCCATCTCGACATCAAGGAGAGTTGGCTGGCAATACCTCGGTGGCTTGGACGACTTCAGTTGTCGCTGGCGGGTCGATAGGGGCAGCGAAGCGAAGGTCTCCAACCGGCGCAGCTGCGAATCTCACCCCAAGCCATTGGGTGACCCCGATCTCCTCAGGAGTCCCTTGAAGCTGGGTATAGCCGAGATCCACGAGTGAGTCGACAGCGCTGGCCCGTCTGGCGGCCGCAAATATCAGCAAGGCTGATGCCAGCAGTTGAAGGTTAAACATGATCGAATTCTCCTCGTTGGGCCGGGCCTGCTGGCGACGAAACAGAAAATCGACAATGAGATTAAATGAACGAATGAAAATAAAAATGAGTGTGTCTTGGTATGGACCAAGGGTAACACAGAGCGATTGAAACGAAAGAATAGTATGTGCGGTTGATTAATTGAACTCCAGCCTACCAACACAAACCCATCGTCTGATGTATTGAGCAATGATGGCCACTATATACTCTGGAAACCCATGCATGACAGCCGAGTAGAAACAAAAATTCCCAGGGGCTATTTGAAAGATAAAGTTCTCGCTAGTTTCAAGTTATCTGCACTGCTTGGCAGGCTCAACGTTGAAAATATGGTTATAAGTTACTGTCCTGGCCAAGGGGTGCATGTTGCGCTAGATTTACCAAACAGGGATGAGATACCCTAACCCAGGCACAACCCGAATACTCGGATTTGATCAAGTGCCCGTCTGAATGTTGGGATCGCGATATAAGAGTGTAGAGGAGTGGGGCCATGTACAACCTTGAGGGGCCTGGACCATTCCTCGTAGTCATACCATACCATATGTCATGAGTCGTGTTCGGGAGCCAAGATGTGCAAACCTTAAAAGGCAGCCCTGAAACTTGATGGGCCGAACTAAACTCCGTACCTGTGTGATCGCCTTGTTCAGGAGTAGTGATGAGCTCGCGTTCGGTTTTATAACGATTCCTCAACCTCAAAATAATATCACGGTCTTTTTAAGTGGTGTCTTGGTATATAGTGCCCACTAGTCTTGGGTTGTCTTCCGCTGAGGGTACATTCGATAACGCAGCTAATAGAAAGCAGGAAGGCCCAACCACAGCTCAGGGAGTCGAGTATATTCGATTCGATTCGATTTACTCAGCCAGACTCCACGGAGATATAAAGATAAAACCCGTCCGGTCATCAAGGGACAAACAAATAAACCTCTAATCTTCCCAGGTATCATCGAATCGCTTGATAGTTGCTTGATACCTGGTCTCGCGGTAATCGGGATTTCTGACGACTCGTCCTCGACACCTCGGACAGACGGACAAACGTTACGTTGTAACAGACGCAGGTGCGGTGACTAGACGCGATATTCTACAACAAAGCATGAAAACGGCAATATAGAAATAAACGTGCTTTTGGCTGCAGTTATAAGTGGGCATGATGACGCCAGTCCCCTATGCAAAACATCTGGGTATATACTTAATTAACCAATATCAGTAACGTCGGAGTTTCTGTGCTCAGCCTTACATTGAACGAAACCTGACTCAACCCCAAATATCAGCATTATCTCCTTTGACGAAGGCAGAAATACTGGCAGGGTCACCCTCTCCAGTTGGGAATTCAGAGGCACTAAACGAAACAATGTGGCATCGGATATAGTATATAAATAGTTTGTAATATTGTGGTCATGTTCACAGTAAAGATGGTTACCGATAGCTGCAACACACAAGACAACATAACAAGAAGCAATGCAGGTATGAGGACGATTATTAGATTAAAGACTAAGTATGTACCGAAAGCGAAGCAAGTGCTTCGGTCCCAAACTTCTACGGCGCTTAAGTAACGGTAAGGGTTGTGTTGATTCGCAGGTCCGCACTCGAACTCCCCATGAAGACGGTGAAGTCACCCGGCTCAATGACGTATCTCAGGTTGTAGTCCCATACACCAAGATTATCGACCTTGATTTCAACCTTGACGAAGAAAATGACTCGTCAGCGACTCATTACCCGAATTGCGTTTTAGGAGGGTGGAACAGGGGCGCAGTACTTACCTCGACAGTTTCTCTCTCACCAGCTTTGATGGGCACCTTGGCAAACCCTTTCAGCTGAATGTTAGGCACGACAACACTAGCGATCAAATCCTTAACGTAGAGCTGCACAACTTCGGTACCATCGCGCGTAGAGTTGTTGGTCACATCCACAGACACAATAACAGTATCGCCCTTCGCAGCCGTCGTCTGCGACAGCTGCAAGTTCGTGTAATCGAAAGTGCTGTACGATAACCCATAGCCGAACTCGTACAGAGGCAAGGGACTGTTGAGGATGTAGTTGTTGCCAAACACCAAAGTGCCATTGGGGTACTCCTTACCCGGGTTAGGGTAGGCACGTGCCGAGTTGAGGAAGTCGTAGTAAACGGGGGTGGTGCCGACGTCGTAGGGAAACCCGACGGAGAGTTTGCCAGAAGGGTTGGCGTCGCCGTACAGGATGTCGGCGAGTGCGTTACCGCCCTGTTCCGATGGGTAGAACTGCTGGACGAGGGCCGCGGCGGCGTCGCTGATCCAGGCTTCGGTGATGGGTTTGCCCGAGCTGAAGACCACCACGGTGGGCTTGCCCGCGTCAATGACGGCTTGGACGAGGCGCGGCATGGCGCCAACGAGGTTGAGGCTCGAGGTGTCGATATGTTCGCCCGTTGTGGCATTGAGTCCAGTCCAAAGCTCGCCTTGATCGCGACTCCATGTGCCTACAACCACAACGGCCACGTCGGCTGCCTCGGCCGCGGCGACGGCTTCGGCGAAGCCGGATTCGTCGTTGGACCAACGCTCGCAGCCTTGGGCGTAGGTGACGGTTCCTTCACTTGCTGCTTTGATGCCAGCAAGAGGGGTGACGCCCCTGAGCGAAGCTTTGTAAGGGACATAGTCTCCATACTAACAAATATTAGTCTAGGGCAGGTGAAGCGGAGTAGAATAGTACTTACGTTCATGAAATCAGCCATTGGCCCAATGACGGCGATGTTGGCATCCTTCCTGAGCGGCAGAATCTCTTCATGGTTCTCAAGAAGAATGATGGACTCCGTATCGAGTTCTCTGGCAAGTGCCACAGTCTCTGGAGTGTTGATGTAATCCTTCTGCTCGTCTTTTGGTACTCCGGGGAAAGGTTTCTCAAACAAGCCCATCTTGAATTTGGCCCGCAGCGTTCTCCTAACGGCCTCATCGACAACGTCAAGGGACAGCGTGCCCGCTTCAATCATCTCGGGGATCTTTTCGAAGTTGTACGAGCCACCACCCATCTCGATATCGTTGCCCGCAGGAAGAGCCTAGGTCAAGTCTCAGACATAAATAATATACCATCAATCAAACTGACTTACCAAGTTCACGACAGCTTCCGAATCAATGGGACTGCTCTCGCACATGAAGAATGCACTGCAGAGGCGGTCAGTGCCACCGGCATCACTGGTGATCTATCGACGAACATCAGCACCCTTATCTGCATTTTGTTTTGTTTTATTCCATTACTCACGTAGTATTCGTAGCCCCACTCAGTCCTCAGAATGTCGGTAAGGAGGGACTTGTCGGCGATGGTAGGAATACCATCGTAGCAGTTGTAAGAAGACATGATGGAAGTAGCTCCAGCATCTATGATGGCTCGCTTGAAGGGAGGCAGATAGGTCGTCAAGAGTTCTCGCTTTCCGCCGTGCACTGGGGCGGTGTTGACACCTTGCTCGGGTGAAGCGAAGGCAGCCTATATGGTTTAACCCCTTTTCGAGCCAGGTGAGCAGCACTTCTGGACTTACGAAATGTTTTACCATGGCCGAAACGCCACCGGATTGGAGACCCACGACGTACGAGTATCCGGTTTCGCCAACCCTACAGCAGAGATTAGCCACTTTCTCGAGTCAGATATATGGGATCATCCTACAAATAGGGATCCTCTCCGTAGGTCTCCTCAACTCGACCGAAGCGCAATTCGCGAGCCAAATCAACCTGCGGAGCAAAGAGGTTGTTGACACCAAGAGCTAGTGCTTCCTGGGCAATAGCCTGTCCCATTTTCTCGACCAAAGAGGGATTGAAGGCTGAAGCAAAGCCAATGGGCGAGTTAAAGATTGTTCCATTGGGGATCAAAAAGCCGTGGATACCCTCGCTCTGAACCCAAGCCGGTATCCCCAGCGTCGTGTTTTGCGTAATGTAGTCCTGGGCTACCTTGATGTTGTCACTGAACACACCCCAGGGCGCCGGGATGCCGACGTAGAACTGGCCGCCGCGCTTGTCGGTGCTCCATACCAGGCCAGTCTCGTTGAAGGTGTAGTCGGTCTCGTTCATCCAGTTCCGTACATCTCCCTGGACCAACTGCGAAGTCTTCTCCTCGATGGTCATACGGGATAGCAGGTCCTCTACTCGGCTGTCGATAGGAGCCTTAGGGTCCTTGTAGACTGGAATTGTGCCATTCGTGCCGTTGTAGCTTGCGGCTTGCGCCGAAGCAAGCAACAGCGGCGACAGCAGTGAGGTTGGGGCCCGCATCTTTACTCAATGACTAGGGGAGCTGGCAAGACGAGCATGGAGGCAGCTCGCTAACAGTCAAACCCGAGCCGTACATATATATAAAAGTGCACATCGAGTTCGAGAGTAGCATTGGTAGCTGCGCCATCATCTCGGCCCTGGAAAGGAATCCTTTCTCCGCATCACATAGGTTCATCATAATCTGCAGGATAGATTGCCCGTACATGAACTGCAGGCGGTCTCCCCAGGCTCAACGTGCCACCCGGACTGCTGGGCGCTGGGATTCTTGAGGAAGCCAGGCCCGGTCATCCTTTTGCTAGCTGGTTCTGGTAGCGAGCAAGGCACCAGGGTGGCCAAGAGGTTGCTTAACAGTCCACAGTCCCAGATATGCTGTAGTTGATTGAGTTCCTCGTCATTCAAAATGGTCGGCGTGAGGAGAAATCAAAACTTGGGGTAAAACGGGGAAGGAAAACCCTGTAGAAAATTCCTATTGGTGGAATGCTCATGGGGTTTCTGTTTTTTTATCAGGCACAACATCGCGGCCAACATTGGTCCGGTTACCGACTCTTGGAGCTCTTCTGTTACCGGAACTCTCCACTGAAATTCGCCAGCATCAACCCATCAACGTATAGAATTTCTTCGTTTCCGTTCCTAGTGGCCATAGACAAGTGGAACCCTCACAGTCGTACTGCACGCTTGCACGGCCAGACTGCATCGATCAGTTTCTCCGATTTTACGTCTCATGAGAGCCATCAGGTGGCTTGCCGGGCCGCGGCCCCGGGGCGAATCGCCGCCCAGATCCGATTTGAAGCATATCTGAAGGTAGCTTTAGCCAGTCATCGTGAGACGATGAATTATATCTGCGGGTCTGTCTCGCAGTTGCTCAAATTATGCTGTTGTGGAGCCCCTGTATCATGGTAACTATGCTGGCAGCCGAAGAGGCAATGGGGTTGAACTGTGTTCATCCAAGAAAGCCTCCCAGCTTCATCCTCTCTTGACCGTTTATTTGTCTCTGACCAATCGACCCCAATCGCCCATCATGAAGTTTCGCGATGGCATGTGGCTAGTCGCTGAGGGCATGCGAGTCGAGTACGCCGAAGATGTCCACGAGATCACCCCTACAGAGAACGGGTTGAGTCTGTTGTGCCCAACGCGACATATCAGGTCTCGCGGCGATGTCCTCAATCTTAGCACCATCAAACTAGTAAGCCCAAACATCAACCCCATCAAGCTCCCGTATGGCACTCTAAAACCGCTGTTCAGGATATCGAGGCGGCTTTCGATGGGGTCATCTCTGTTGAAGCTACCCATTGGTCTGGTGCTGTGAACCGAGGACCACATTTCGATTTATACCCCAATGGCCGGCCAAAAGTGGAAGCCAAGGTGACCAAGGGCCACAAGGGAACTACTCTGAATTCGGGTTCACTGTCAGCAACTATACACCCAGATCGACATAACTTCGACATCCGATTTCACAGCACAGATGATTCCAAGCAGTTGACCTCACTCCTGGGACGCAGTGTAGGCCTAGCCTACAATCCGGCACCGAGCAACCCCCGGCAGACTGGGGATATGCGAGACTTCAAGCATTACATCTTTACGCAGACCACGTTGAGCGTGGGCGAGTCGGTCCACGGCCTGGGCGAGCGTTTCGGGCCGTTCAACAAAGTTGGGCAGAACGTGTCCATGTGGAACGCCGACGGCGGCACGTCGAGTGACCAGGCCTACAAAAACGTCTCGTTCTGGCTCAGCTCCAGGGGCTACGGCGTCTTCGTAGACACGGCTGGCAAAGCTGAGCTGGAAATCGGCAGCGAACGCACGACTCGTGTACAAACAAGTATCGAGGGGCAACGGTTGAAATGGTACATCATCTACGGCAAGACTCCCAAAGAGGTTTTACAGAGATATTCTGTTCTTACAGGCAAGCCGGGCAAGGTGCCCAGTTGGAGTTTTGGATTGTGGCTGAGCACCAGCTTCACCACCAACTATGACGAAGACACGGTCAAATCGTTCCTTGAAGGCATGAAGGAGCGGGACACCCAAGTAGACGTGTTCCACTACGACTGCTACTGGATGAAGGCTTTCACCTGGACAGACTTCGTCTTCGATGCCGAGCGGTTCCCAGATCCCAAGGGCCAGATTGCACGCCTCAAGTCTTCAGGCTTGGTGAACAAGGTATGCGTATGGATCAACCCATACATCGCCCAACATGGTGCCGTATTCGAGACGGCTGCCAAGAACGGGTACTTGCTGAAGAGGAAAAATGGCGACATCTGGCAATGGGACCTATGGCACGCCGGCATGGCTTTGGTGGATTTCACCAACCCTGCCGCTGTCGACTGGTACGTCGGATGTCTGAACGGCCTGTTCGAACAAGGAGTTGATGCCATCAAAACGGACTTCGGTGAGCGTATCCCGACGTTAGACGTCGAGTGGTTCGACAAGTCGATCGACCCGCACAAGATGCACAACTATTATGCCTTCATCTACAACAAAATCGTCTACGAGGCACTGCAGAAACGCTACGGCCCCGACCAAGCCGTCCTGTTCGCCCGCTCCGCCTGCGCGGGCACGCAGCGCTTTCCCCTGCAATGGGGTGGCGACTGCGAGTCCACCCCGGAAGCCATGGCCGAGTCAGTCCGCGGTGGTCTCTCCCTGGGTCTATCAGGCTTCGCCTTCTGGTCCGTCGATATCGGCGGCTTCGAGGGCTACCCGGCCCCCTGGATCTACAAGCGCTGGGTCGCCTTCGGCCTGCTGTGCTCTCATTCCCGCCTCCACGGCAGCAGCTCGTACCGCGTGCCCTGGACCATCGACGACGACGACCGGTCCGACGAAGGCTGTTCCGCTACCCTGGCCAAGTGGACCTCACTCAAGACGCGCCTCATGCCGTACCTGTTCGCCCAGGCTGCAGAGGCCATCGAGATGGGCGTGCCGCTGTCACTGCGCGCCATGTGTCTCGAGTTCCCCGACGACCCTACGTCATGGTACCTTGACCGCCAGTTCATGGTTGGTGACAGGCTCCTGGCCGCCCCGGTATTTGAGGAGTCAGGTGAGGTCGAGTTCTATCTTCCAAAAGGCAAATGGACGTCGTTCTTCACGAACCAAACGCGCGACGGGCCCGGGTGGTTTAAGGAGAGGCACGGCTTTGGCAGTCTGCCGCTGTACGTGAGGGAGAATACGGTACTTGTGCTTGGTAAGGAGGGGGTTAGGGGCGCAAGCTATAATTATGCTGAGGATGTCGAGGTTTGTTTGTACCAGGCCAAGGAGGGGGCGAGGTCCGAAGTTGTGGACAGGGATTGGAATGTGTTGGGGGCGTTGACGGTGGGCGCGGATGGGGAGTTGAAGGGTAGTGAGATTCTGAAGGGGAAGTGGGTGAAGAGTGGAGAGGGGAGGAAGATCGAGGAGGTATTTATGAAGACTATTGAGTGGCTTTGAATGACATGACAAGGGATGGTGATGTTGATACGTGATGGGTTTATTATTATATAGGCCTGGCCGGTTGGGCTTCAGGTTAGTTCTGTAGGTACTATCTAGACCGGCAACTAAGAATGAATGCACACGTCTGCTACTTCTAGTATCACCAATCCTTGTTCTCGTCTGGTAAGATGACAGTATGAATAAGTGTGTTCACATTCAACTCTTCAGGTTAATATATGCGCTTTCGTTCTATACAAACCAATGAGAAAGGAAAATAGCAAATAGAAAAATGAATGATAGTTATGTAGGCGATGTCGCGCCATTAGCAACAGACCTTAAAAAGGTCATCAAATATACAATACATTCTTGGGGGTATACAATGCTTTTGATTTCCCAGCTACTCTCTTGCTAATTCTCTCTTTCTCTCTCTCATATCAATGTATGACATATGTTATAGAGTATATGCGTTTTTCATTTCCGACATTTCCCAAACAGACCAGTAAGCTCATCGTACTCAATACCGGAGCTCAACGCTAGAGAAACGCTTCTTCATCGTATCAACGAGCCAGTCCCTGTCTGGAATCGAGTTCTGCCGGCGGCTGAGGTTTCCACCCCCGTACTTCCACATGCCCTGAACGCCAAAATCGGCATCGAGAGTGATCTCGGTATCCGCAGACATTGCCTGGAGATGATGGCTTCGAGATTCGCTCTCGATTTCCGGGAGTTGCGGTGAAGCGGCCCGCGCTGCACGGGCTGCGGAGGGAGTCCACAGGACCTTGGGGGCTTCATTGACAGCCTGGGCGGGTTGCGACCAGAGCAGCGGCTGCGTCGTCTTGGGAAGGTTGTCTGGAGAAGGTTGTGCGAGGCCAGACATGGCAGGGTGTACATTGTCGGAGATGCTAGTTATGGAGCCGAAGAAGACGGGGTGACGCTTGGAGACATCAAAGATGGTCTGTTGCGATCGAGCTATAGCCTCCTGAAGTTCAGCGTCCCATTGCGCGGGCAGAACTTGTCCACGAGAGAACCTGTGCTGGGGGTAGCTGGCGGCGATAGCTTGGCTGAGAGCGGCCGACCATTCCTGTGGCGAAGCGGATCTACGAGTGATCTTGGGGGCTAAGTGGCTCGCCCTGATGGCCTGCTGAAGCTCGTCGTTCCACTGTGCTTTCGAAGCGTTGATGCGGACAAACTTGGTACTGGGATAGCTAGCGTTGTATGCCTCACGCAGAGCTGCGTCCCAGTCCTCCCGGTAGACTACAGCAGGTCGGTATTGTTGCCGGAGTGGGACATAAGGCGTCATTTCTGACGATGACAACTCAACGTCCAGGTCTTTACTGACAACAGGGACTTCAGGCAACTCGGGGAGTACTGCGGCCTCAGACTCGGACTGCTTCTTGCCCCACCAGCTACGGAAACTAAAGCCACTCTTGGTAGATGTAGCGGCTGACGACGTCTCCGTTGTGGGAGAAACGAGTGATGAGGGAGACGAGGGAATTGAGGCCACCGATGGGCTCTGCGGGCTGATGGTGGACATTGTGATCCAGTCCACCTCAACAGTCGTCGTACTGGCAGCCCACAACTCTGTGGATTGCAGTTTTGAAAGAGGTTCTTCAATCACTCGCGGCTTGCTGGTCATGTGCAGGGCTGCAGGCTCGGCCGAGGTCGTCCGATAGACTTTACGCTCAGAGTCAACTTTGAACAGACTTGAGACACCAATTGCTTCGCCAGAACGTTTAAACCACAAAAGTGAGCCATTGTTCAATGTCTCAACAGCCGACGTTGTCGAGAGTTTCCACAAGTTTCGTGTGCTGAGCTGCTGAAGAGGCTCCTGAGTAAGGCGAGGCGCTCTCATCATAGAGATTGCTGCAGGAATCTTTGAGGTCCTACGGTAATCCGATCTCTTGAAGCTGGTGTTGAACAAACCATCCACCTGTGGGTCGTTTTCAGAGCTTGGCTGCTCCCACAGTAATAGCCGAGGTTGAGTCTCTGTGGCTTGGCTGCTCATGTCAGGAGTGACCATCACAGCATCCTCCACTGATTTAATAGCGACATCCAGCTGCTGGGAAATACGCGACACTGTGGCAGCCCAAAGGAGTCCAGCTGGCTCGTCCATCTCTTCCATGCTAGGTTGCCATAAGTCTGTAGACTCGATAGGGGCGATCTCCTCCATGCGCGGTTGCGAACGGACAAAGTCACCAGTTGGCAAGTAGCTATTCCATACGGCCTCGTCTGGCTGGGGAAGTCCCGTACCACGTGTCTTGGTGCTTGTTCTGGCTTCCCATAGTTGAGCAATCTGTGCAATCTGCTCAGGTGTCCACATTTGCATGCTTTCGAGAGAAGCGAGCTCCTCGGGACGTGCCTGAGACCGAACCCTATCGACGTTGACCGGAATGTAGCTTGCCCAGACGGCATCGATTGGCTGTGACAGACCAAAGGACTTGGGTGCCTCAGCAACCTTGGCTACCCATAGATGGATAGTGTTTTTGGGCATCCACATCTGTGTGCTCTCTAGGGCAGAGAGTTCCTCGATGCGGGCCTGAGACCGAACCCTATCGACGTTGACCGGAATGTAGCTTGCCCAGACGGCATCAGTTGGCTGTGGCAGACCAAAGGACTTGGGTGCCTCGGCAGCCTTGGCTACCCATAGACGGATAGTGTTTTTGGGCATCCACATCTGTGTGCTCTCTAGGGCAGAGAGTTCCTCGATGCGGGCCTGAGACCGAACCCTATCGACGTTGACCGGAATGTAGCTTGCCCAGACGGCATCAGTTGGCTGTGACAGACCAAAGGACTTGGGTGCCTCGGCAGCCTTGGCTACCCATAGACGGATAGTGTTTTTGGGCATCCACATCTGTGTGCTCTCTAGGGCAGAGAGCTCCTCGATGCGTGCTTGCGTCCGGACCATATCAACGTTCGCTGGGATGTAACGCTCCCAAACGGCCTCAGCTGGTTGTGGCAGGCCGAAGCCCTTCAGTGGCTCAGTGACCTTGGCGACCCAGAGTTGCTTAATGGTTTTCGGCTGCCACATTTGAGTGCTCTGAATAGGGGTGATTTCATCGATGCGAGCCTGCGATCGGACAACGCCAGTAGCTTCCGGCAGATACGTCTCCCAAACAACGAGGGCCGGTTGTGGCAAGCCGAAGCCCCTTAATGGCTCGGCGGCCTTGGCGACCCAGAGTTGCTTAATGGTTTTCGGTTGCCACATTTGAGTGCTCTGAATAGGGGTGATTTCATCGATGCGAGCCTGCGATCGGACAATGCCAGTGGCTTCCGGCAGATACGTCTCCCAAACAGAAAGGGCCGGTTGGGGCAGACCAAAGTTGCGTACCATTGTCGTAGTCTTGGCCACCCAGAGCTGTTTAATTATCCTGGGCGTCCACAGTTGTGTGCTCTCGATAGGAACGATATCGTCGACACGGGCTTGAGATCGAACGATTTCAGCTCCTGCTGGGATATAGCTCTGCCAGACCGCCTCGTCAGGTTGGGGAAGTCCCTTGCTATGAGGCAATTCGGTCGTTTCTTTGGCTACCCATAGTGTAGGTCCGTCAGTTGTGGGAGAAACGGCAATCGTGGGAATCGGCTCCTCAACCATGATATCGAAATCTGTAGCATCCCGCTCATCAGATATATCGTCCGAGTCGAGCGCCATCTCATTGGGCTCATCATCGTCGTCGGATCGTATCTGATCCATGTACTGCTGGAGGCCATAGTTGCTCAGAGGCGCCGAAAGCAAACTGTTGTTGGAAGATATGTCTGTTTTCAGCAAGCTGGCGATCTCCCACAGAGTCGTCTCATCAAAATCGTCAGCCTCGCTGTCCTCGTAGTCGAACTCATCGAAGTTGCCGCCTTCCGCCTCTTCATCGTAGTCGTCGTAGAAGGATGACGAGTATTCATCGGCCTCAATCTGCCTCGCCCTTGCCTCCAAAGTTGCACTCATACGAGGCGCGCCAGAGGTCATAGTGCCAGGCATTGCCATGAATGTCTGCCGCGGCGGTTGGTAGGTCGCGTTCTCACTCTTTTCGCCCCAGGGGAACTGGAAGATGCCAAGAGTGCCTCGCTTGTCTGGCAGAGGTTTAGGACTCTCGACTGGTACTATGTCAGTATTATTGAGCGCGTATACATGAATCAGACAACTTACGAATATCAGGGAGGAGTGTGACACGCTTGTTCCTTCGCGGCGGGCGCTGAGTAACCGGACGCGCGGAAACCTTCGGAGGTATTGGCAAAGGTTGGGGGACATCCTTGGTCCATAGACTGCCAGCATGAGACTTCTTCGCGTCAATCGGCTTCTGCCATAAGCTGGAGCTCTCAACGACTAAGGGCTCCGAGGATTTCCTGGCCGCTGGACGAACCGACAGGCCCGTAAGAGCAGGAGACTCGCAAGTTTCGAACGGCTTCTGGGCCGGTGATGTCCACAGTGTCCCCTTGTATATCTGCTCCACGGGTCGGCTGGGCTTCCAGAGTCCGCGTACTTGGACGGGTGGCACGTAGACCTTAGGTGCCAGAGTCTGGAAGCCGGCTTCATTTTCAGAGTCGGACTCGTTTGTGTCCGGAGGAGTTGGGCTGCCCAAACCAACCTTGGAGACAGACAGGAAGTTCAAGTTGTTGCGTTTCATGAGCAAGTCTGGTGCGTTTTCCGCATACTCTAGCTGAGCTTCGGCCAAACGTGATTGCCAAGCACTGGCCCTGTTGCTGGTAGAGCTCTGTGAAGACGGCGTTTCGGCACTTTCATCGTCCTTCAGACTCGACCTGCTTCCACTTCGCATACGAGCTCGTCGAGATGCTCTCCGGTCAGCAGCAATCGATTTGATGGAGGATTGTCTCGAGAGGGAATTGGCCGCTGTCGCATTGGCCGCTGTCGCATTGGCCGCTGTCGCATTGGCCGCTGTTGCGTTGGCTGTGGAAACTGGCCGCGAACTCTGCACAGTAGACAGAGAGTCGCGATCAAGATTGTGTTGCATCAACTGCCACTTATTTTCTTGTTGACCCATCTCGAGCTCGAGGTTCTCTAGTAAAGCAATGCGTTTCCCCTGACTTTCGACAGAGTCACGGTTGGGCTGTTCAAAATTTTGCAGCTGTGCTTGTATCTTTCGATAGGCTGCTTCAGGGGACTCAACAGGCGAGGGCTCCGCGGTTGGCACAACCATGGCATTTTTGTTGCTCATCCCGTTCAGAAGTAGAGGCGTGGGAGGTGGCATCTTCCTGGCACGCAGCTTGTCTTGTCTGGCGGAAAATGTCGGGCATTCTTCTCCAACACGGTGATGCCACTGACTCGAAATTTGGTTTCCAGACTTTTCAGAATGAGGCAACTTGCTCTCATCATCTTCCAAGAAGAATTGTTGGTTGTCGGCCGCGTGTGTTAACGAAGTATCCAACATAACTGTCATTACCTCCTGACCAAATCCACCAATACCCGACGGAACTGGATGCTGCTCCGAGCTGGGTTCATTCGAGTCCTTTGAGATATAGGTTGAACGGGCGGTAAGCCACGATTGGTTTATATCGACTGGAGCAATGGGCGAGTGCACAGAGCCCCAGTTGGTCGTTGCTACCTCGTCTCGAGATTTTGCTTCACTGATTCCCGACATGTCGGAGAGCCTGCCGGCAGGTAGGACTGGAGATGACTGGCGTTTCCTATCCATGTATGATGGCTGTCGTGTCGTCTCCTGGCCAATCGGAAACCCGGGCATATACGAGTTACCGGGATCATTACCTAGATTGCGCTGACTGTTTTGTGCTTCTCTTTGGTTTGACCGGTCAACACCAAGAGTGCTTTGCGTTCGAACACTGCTTCCGTCTGTAGCCGTAGTCTTCGACCTTCTCTCATCAGCTCTACCTTCCTCCACGGTCTCCGTGGGTGCTTTTGTACTCTCTTCTAGGAATGGTAGTGGCAGCCGAGGTAGGTCTGGGACGGATGACCGCCGCTTAACGCTTGTCGTAGTTGACGATGCGCTCAGAGGCGGGAATAACAAGGCCATTTTCTCATCAAAGGTCATACTCTTGGTGTTATTTGGGAGTGGTCGCAGGGCCGTTCCAGCACTCATTGGGGGCGGTGGTAGAGGTGGTAGTTGTGTGGGGCTGCCAGGACGGGATTGAAAGAGAGACTTTCTGCTATAGATGGAGCCACCAGATTTTGAGCGCCTGTGTACGTTGTTCGGGGAGTCCATCTCGGCCTTCCTTGGGATAGGACGCGGCCGGTTGACGACAGATTTAGACGACTTCAAGGGTGAAAACGGCGTCTTGGAGGCCACTTGCATGATGCTATCGACAATGTTGGGATCATCGTACACGATGTTATTGATAAACATGACTGTCTGCTGTCTCTGTACAGTGGACTCTGAAGTCACGGTCTTCAGCGCTTGGGCACGAGGATTTGAAGGCAATCCAATAGTCGGTCGACGTTGTAACGGCGTTTTAACCGGTTCTTGTATCTTCGCTGGTGCCGTCTCTGGTGGTGTTGGCGCCCTGGGAATGGGGATGCGGATAGGCCCGCCAGGAGTAATAGGCTGGAAATTCGGCGTTTGGGTGGGCACAGCCTGTCGTGGCGACCTTCTCCTTAACTCGTCCTTATTAGGAGACAGCTGAGCAGAAGTTGACGATGCGTTTCCCTCCACGGACAAGCCACCATACGTCTGTGATGTCTTCATCGAATCGGAACGGGCAACTTCGGGAGGTGGTACTTCAGCCAGCGTCTTTCGCTTGGTACTGGCGGCTCTCTTCATTGCATCCTCCTGCGACATAGTCGGTGGTATAGGCGCCGGTCTCTGCGCGATGAGCATGGGTTCTCTCTGCGCTTGCGCTTGTTCCTCCCGTCTGTCCTTTTCGTTCTTCGCAGCTGTGGCCAGATCAATGGTTGGCATCCTGTTCAGAGGGTTCGGTCTGTCTGGGTGGTCCGACACAATGGGAGCCGAGATGGCAAACCTTCCGACGGTGATGTTTGCAGCAGGAGCCCCCCTTACGCGGTCAAAAAAGCTCGACTTGGGCTTGCTGATTTGCGCTCTGGTTCTCGGGATTTGCTGAGTGGACTCCGTTGGCTGCTCCATTGCCCGCATGGGTGGAAAGAGTTGGCCCTGGATTGGGGCTCCGCCCATGCCTATGTAACCAGTTACTGGCCTCATAATGTTGGGCAACGTTTGGTCGGCATCGTTCCTTGCGGCATAGGCAGACACAGACGTGGTGTTCATGCCCTTGACATCCTCGTATCGGGCCGGAGGATAGTCAGAGTCTGCCGACGATATGTCCCGATCTGCGTTCAAGTCCCGGGGCGTCGGTGAACCTGGTAACCGGGGTCGGTTATCTCGCATGGATACAAGAGTTCCCGAGAAGATAGTCACGAGAGCTGAGAAATTTTAGCCAGATGTCCTCCCACATTGGATCCTGGTACACGCACCAACTAAAATCGAGAGACCTATAGCTGGAATGGTCGTTCTGAACAACAAATCAATCGTGTGCAGTCCCAGGAGGAGCGTCACACTCGTCTGTTCAAAAGTCAGCACAAGAAAGCCGGCATGCTTACAGCGATCCTACCCCTAGCCAAATTGCCAGCGCAGCGATAGTTAGAAGCACAGCCTTCCTTTTAAATACGGCCTGTTGGTTTCCGCCGGCATCCTTAGGGGCGGACGAGAAGGCCCGGATGGCTAGATATGCGAGAATGACAACGTCCACCGCAATGACGACAATGGCCACGGGGACAACACTCGATACCGGTACACAGGTTGGGTTGAACTGGACCCGGGTTTCGCCCACGAACACCATGCCAATAATAAATCTCGAAAGGAGAAGTGCCTGCGGTATCATGCCAGACACCGACTTCGAACCCTGGTCCGCCACAGCCCATAATAGATATTGCTCGATGGAAACGCGGGCGACCTGGTCGAAGAGCGAGGAGAAAATCACGGTGACCTGGCATGCCGATGCGGCAGTCGGTTCGATGACGGTGGAGATGAATTCGACTTGCGCCCACAGGGCCGAAGACGCAAGAAATGTGATGAGGGCCAGCCTCAGGCCATCCCGAAAGATTGCCGAGCCATAGCCTTTGATGTAAAGAACGAGTCCTGCTGATGAAGCGTTGACCAAGATACCAAAGGAAAAGGCGGCGATCAAAGCCTGGACAGTTCCTGGAAGGGCCATTTCGGTGGTGACGGCGACGCGCTACGGCGTCGAGAGCGAGTGGAAGTGGTAAAAAGAAAAATAAGCCCAGTCAATGGGTAAGATGCAAAAAATTATTATCAACGAAGTGAACAAATCATGATGTGAGGTCAGAATCCCTATAGCGCTATCCCCGACGACATGATTGAGTATACAGAATCCGGCTCGCGATGAGGCAGTTGGCAAGAGGAAACAGCACGACCGCAACTCGACGATGTGATGGTACTCGGTAGCATCCGCAAATATCACCGGCCAGCGTGCGGCACCACTCGAACCATTACGACCACACGTCCACAATCCATCTGGTCACGCAGTCGACTCTGCGAACCAGGTCGAGGGTGCTTAGCCCGGTTGAGGTCTGTGGTCTCAAACTGGGTCCGTACAGGGCCGTGTTCGAAATGTCTCGATTGGTATATCATGCCGACGACCGAATATGGTCGTGATTGGGCAGGCGGACGGGCTGATGGGTCCAACTGGGACGACGCCCAGCGGTAGCCCTGTCTGACCTGCTGGTCTGAGTTTCACTTGAAACCCGAGACGTTCCACTCCAACGTAGAGGCGCAAGTGACTTCTTGAGGCTCAATTTTCTTCAACGGCAGCTCGCCAACAGCTTCTTGGCTGCAGACCTCCTGCATGTAGAGAATACCTAAATAGACAGAGATGTCGCGCTTGCCGGTGGGAAAAATTTGTGCGAATCGTTAGAAATGCTGTACGCAGTTCGTAACCGCGAACACGTGCGTCGAGAGAATCGGCATGAAACTGGGAGAGATGACCAAGAGAACCGATATTCACCCGATTGGGAGTTCGGAGTCTGCGCGCGGAAACAGTGGAAGAGTGGACGACATGTCTTGGCGACGGTATCAATTCGTGAAATCTTTGCTGCTATTGGAGTCCTGGCCCAACCCCTGGGTCGCACGGGTCTGACAAACTAAAGTTAGCTCGAGGGCCCCTGGAGCTCAGACGAAATGTTGAAGGTTGCAGACGTTCTACTACGGAAGCTTCCAAAATGCTGCCGCGCACAATGTACGACGCCTGCTCTTGGACTTACTACTCATCGTCATTTTGTATTTGGATGAGCTGCGTCACAGTATGATGCAGAAGTGAAAGTCATGGTTTTCAAAGAGATATATCAAGCCAGACCGGGGTGCAAAACTGGGGCCTGTTGCTTGCGCTCATCAAGTCTGGACCTGTTATTGGTGACCGCATAACCTCGTTTGCGATGCTGTCTATGACATACCGCTGTAAGGGCAAGCCGGTGGCGGCTATCGGTTGCGAAACGCCAAAGCATGATCGCCACAACTTATGACAGGCGGGTCACAAGGGATACTGGTCGATTGCCAACGATCCCAAAAGCTCTGAGAAGATAGTCAACCTTGAAAGGATGCCTCTCAAGTTTAACAGATGAAACTCATATTCAAGGCTTGGCTGCGGTCAGAAAGGGATGGGTTACGAGTCGCGTGTGGAAGTTGCCTACTCTAATTCCATCTGGTGTCGTTTGAACTCTCTTGGAATTCATCTGCGGCACATATAAGCTCGTCGAGCGCGATCAAAATATCTTGTTTCAATGACAGACAGCAAAAAGGCACTCTGCTGAAACTCGAGCGGGCTGTTGGAACGTGTCATGGAATTTGAAAGACTAATATCGGACAAGTTTAGGTGCAACGGGACACACTTTTAATGTTGCTGGTGAAACACTTCAAGTAGACTTCCTGTGAACATTTAAACTCTTTGACATCTCGACATCTACAATTTGTTTTATGCGGAAAGGTTCTTGGCCACATATGCCTATGCAATTCACACGTGGCCATCCGCACTCTGCGTTTACTTGGTGAGAAGCCTCACGCCCTGCTTGAGATCCGCTTGAATGAATTCTGTAGGTAGCAAGATATCTATATGACCAACATCTCAAACTCAATCTTCAGGATATGATTTAAGAGAACGTTCTGCTCCGTACTAGTGCAGCTCAAGATTAACACAATGAAGTTGAAATACACTGGGGATACATTGGCCCCGACGTAGTAAAGCAATATATATTGTTCCTCGAATTGTACAGCTTGGTACATTGCAAATCATCCTATGACGACCAAGAGTTGCTGAATAACATTGTTGTGATCCTGAAATACTGAACACCAAGAAGCCTGATATTGACTCTGTAGAGATTGATCAGTGATTGACCTCCATCTACCGCTCAGATGTCCTCTTCTGTTACTACACACAGATGGTCCGGTTTCTCGCAGAGCCACAAGACACGAACACCGACAGAGATTTTATGGCCTGATATGCCTTGAGAAGTTGGTATTGAGAACACTATTCATTTGAGTTGAGAACATAACTGGCAATTCCCGAAACATAACGGGAAGATGAATCATGCTCAAGAATACGGCTCATGACGACTTGGTGTTGAGTGATATTTCATGTAACAAAGAGCATGATAAACGCATCTTTGGAGTTTTCTAAGTCATATTTGCTTTTAAATCAAAGCCAAGTCCCGCGACTCGGGAAATGCTGGTTTCTGTATTTGGTCTTCCGCAGGGTGAGGAAACTCGCCTAGCCAAATGGTAGGCAGCACCAATATGGTGAATATCGTAATATCACATTGGTTATTACGTATGTAGAGAGCAATTGGAGTGTTTGGACTCTGTATCTTCAACCAGCTGCCCAAGAAGGATAACTGACGTAGGTATTACAACCTTACCTACTGGACAGAGTTTTATAACCAAACATATATAACTAACTATACCGGGCATCCTCATCCCCAAGGAACATTAAAATACCGAAAAATTACCTTTCAACTCTGATTTCCTCCCTGATACTTCTCACTCGCATCACCCTCCTGAGCGACCAACCCCTGTCCGACCACCGCCCCCGGCGGCGCATACCCTCCCAAATTCGTTACCGCAGCCGCGACCTCCCTCCAAAATTCACAAGCTGTCTTCTCATTCTTATCATCGCTCCCTGTAGTAAACCCCAAGTTCCCCACATTCACGACGCCCGCGATCCGCTCCCCCTTGCTATCAGGATGATTCCACTTTACCGTAGGCGGAATGTTTAGCACCTTCCGATTCGTATTAGGATCCCCCGTAGTAACATAGCTCGTGAAATAACTCTGCAACGCCGTGCTTATACCCGCCACCAGCGGCCCAACGACAGGCACCACTAATGCCGCCAGGCCCGAGAGGAAAGTGTCGGGCGAGAGTTTGGGGTTGAAGAAGGTCGGGATGAGGTCCGTCCCGTGCCAGCCGGGCGACACGCCGTACTGCAGGTTCCAGACTTGAGAGTCGCCGATGGCTTCGGTGAGATGTCGCACGTTGCAAGTGAAGCTACTATCGCGGAGGAGGGCTTGGACGCGGTCGGCTTGGGTCTTGTACTTGGAGGTACTGCCGATGTCCCCCACGGGTGGGTAGAAGGAGGCGATATTGTCAGTGACGCCGGCGATGCGGGTGTAATTAGGGAAAATGGCGTTGATGAATGTCGAGAACTGGTCGTTAGTTTGGACTTGGCCGCTCACGAAGACGACCGGCTCGGCGGTGGTGTGCGAGAGGATTAGAGACTCAACGTTCCAGAAGTTGCCCGTGCTGAGTTCTAGCACGGGTAGTTGACGGATCAGGTTACCGTCGGGGGTTGGGCCAACGGCGAAGGTGCCCGAGTATTGCTGCTTCATGAGTTCTGCGTTGGCCTTGGCGAGAGTGGTCGCGTCGGCGGTGCGGAGACAGGTGATTCCTTTCTCTGAACAGCCGGCGAGACTTGCGAAACTCTCAAAGGTCTTTTGGACGCCGCCCGCGCGGTCCCACATGTACTCAAAGGCTGGGGATAGCAGGATGGCCTTGGAGAAGAGAGGGTCGAGTTTGCCGCCTTGGCCCACCAAATGGTGCATGATACTGCCTGCTCCGGCCGACTGGCCCATGACGGTGACTCGAGTCGCATCGCCTTTGAAGAGGGAGATATGGTCTTGGATCCATTGCAACGCAGCTCGCTGGTCCTGGGAGTAGCATTATGTCAGTGACATCTCCAGTGGGGAATCCAGAGACGTATCAAACTTCTCTTGCTCTACAAAGAGAGGGGCCGGGCTTGATCTTCTTCTCACTGCCAATTAAAAACGTTGGTGAATTACCCAGAGCCCAGCATTAGGCGTCCCTTCCTTCTCCATCGTAGTTCCTGCCAAAAATCCATATGCCCCAACTCTGTAATTCATTGCAACGAAAATCATGTTATTCCCGGACTGGCCCATCATTCCACTTCCATCATAAAGCGGAAGCTCTGGCTGTAGAGCATCCTTGCTTCCAAACACATACGCGCCCCCGTATATGAAAGCCAAAACAGGCAGTTTCGACGCCAGGTTCCGCACTGCCTTTCCGGGGACGTATACGTCGAGAAACAAGCAATCCTCACTCCCTCCGCTAAAGAGAGGCACGGGGATACCGCCCAAACTTAATGTGTCTTAGTTGTACAGGACCAAGTTATTCACATATCGGCTACATGAGCACATACAATTGGTTGATAGCCCCACCAACGGGGGACTGGTTTCCAGCACCCAGTAGATTCAACCCATTGGGAGCGGCCTGTACGCAAGAATGGCCAACACTCCCGTCTTGAGTCCCCGTCTGCTTCAGAGGCGGAGCGGGTTTCTTCCAGCGCAAGTCTCCTACCGGTGGCGCAGCGTAACGGATGTTCTTAAAGACATATCTTGAACTCATGTAAGCAGATACTTTCACAGCTGTGTTTTGGCATGCATACATGTCACTTGCCAAGTTGTAGCTGGCGGCTCTGTAAGTGCCGTACGGCAAATCGATGACCGGCAACGAGATTCGTTCCTCTACCTTCTCTCCATCGGGGACTGGAGAAGACAAGACTACTAAGGCAAGTTGAAGGAAAACAAGGAATGACTTGATGATGCCCATCTTGAACAGACAGAAGGCGAATTCAGAGGTACGACTCGAAAGTGCGGACCGCAGCGCAAACAGACATGAAGACGATGTCGACTTCATCTTCGAGCATGATTGAGAGCGCGCAAGTGTCTGTTTTAAGATAAAGCAACATCCCCACGATGAAGGTCACGCTAGCAGTAGAATAAGAAAGCACCCAGCAAAGCCCAAGACGTGCTATGCCCCTGAATACGCTTAACCAGTATTGATTCTCCCAAGCCCAAACCAATGAGAGTCTTGGCCTTGGCTTCAGGCCAGGAAGCACAAACGTGATATAAGTTCGGAATATCTGATCATGTCCGAAGAGGAAGTCTTCTCCACGTTTAGCGCAAGCTAGACCAACAAGCAACAAGCAAGGCCAGTTCGACGGAAAGCATGAGTGACTGTGACATAAGTTATTCATTGGATCAGAGTATCCCATTCCGGGCAAATAAGAATTACCAGTCAGAGCCGTCTCAATTTCACCGTTGAGGGGAGAGGTTTGGCGGAAATGGCTTTGGGCTCGGCGCCAATGACTGGACCAATCAGGGCGCTAGGTTGGACTTCAACTTCATCACACTTGTAATTTCTTAGTTGGAACACGCAATCTTGAAAGCTGCTTCGATCGGCACGCGACTCTGCAATATCTTTGACTTTTCTTCTGGATCATCGGTAATTAATGGTCATGTTCTCATGTAAAAACTCTTCAGTCTCTCGCTGTATATTATTCAGCTCATGGACATTATCGAATTTAGGCAGCATTTCCAGTTCAGTATTGGTGCTAATATACCGCTTCCGAATGTCTTCGGCCCTAGTGGACGAATAGGCCTGCGTCGAGTCAGCTATCAGAGTGGGACACTTGGGATCCAAGCTGCAGTCCATGTAAGCTGACTTTGTTTCGGGCTTGTCATAGGCCTCGAAGAAAGGCAGCGAGGCCAATGTTTGTTTCCCTGGCACTAGCGACTATTAGCTTTTAATATTGCTTACAATTACCAATTATTACGCTTTCCAAATCTTCATCCCCTTCAGAGGCCCGTCAGATCGAGCGAGGCGGTAGGGCGCCTTTTTGTAACGTCAGTTAATGTCTCATCTAGGTACATCTTCGTAACTTGCTTTGCTCCTTCCTATCTGTTCGGTTTCAGTTTCCGAAAATAACTTCGCGTTGTTCCAGAGCAGTTGCATAGGTGACTACTACCTTGGTAGACATTTCGTGCTGAGAATTGGCACCACCAAACAGTGATTCCTGGGAGAAGTTTTGTTTCAATACCTTCTCGAGAGGCCGTTTCTTGTAAAGACTCTTGTGATACAAGTGAGAAAGTTTCTCGAATAAGGGAACCCCATTCATCTCCTCAGGAGTGAAGGCTTCTTGTGAAAGCTCCCTGAATCTTTTAGTGCATCCATCGACCGACAAATGCCTCACTCTTAGGCCGAGAGCGATGGCTCCGCCGCTATTTTGATCGTCAGCACGTTATTTCTCGTACAAGGAAACTTGCACATACTCGTTTCCCACAATTAAGTCGATGAAGGATTAAATAATGAGTTTGGAGCCGAGAAGTTTCTCAATCGCGTTGAAAGCCCGAAGTTCAATGATGCCTCGGATCCCGCCTCTGATGTTTGTCGGCGGCACACTTACCCGTCAAGACAAAGAACCCGAAGCCCTGCGTGCAGCGGTTGGGTTATAATGATCCAAGGAGTATCTGACACTATATCTCGAATATGGAGGGGGTGAGGTTGAGCTCCGCTCACTCGGGGCTAAAGACTGCCGGGTTGAAATCGGACTGATATCCGCCTGGGGCAAGTATATAACCCTGTACATTCTGGTTCTCCTTTGGGTGATGGCCAACCTCCATGTTACACCACCGAGCTGATTCTCTCGTAGAACTCGGGTTGGCAAGTCTGCGAAAGCCTGTAAGGGTGCTTCGCAAGGCTCAGCACACGCATCATCCAGCATCTGTACGGCAGTTCCTGTACGCGCCTAATGTTAGTTTCCATGGCAACCCCTGCTGTGTAGTGGCGAGGCCAAGATGATCCAGACTCACCCATCAGATTCTGGCGAACGTCATCTAACATAATTTCATGCGGTTTTACTCCCCATCTTAGGGTTAGGGTTAGAATGTGGACATCCGCACAACGTGCTTGTGTGAGAAATAGAACCAGAGCAGAAGGCGATGTTCTGCTTGACATAGCTATGGGCATCATGACATGGTGCTCAAGTTGAATCAAAGTACCACCATGTAGTTTGGACCGTTGAGGTTATATTTAGTTCTGGGTATAGACCAACAGTGGGTATCAAAGGTGTTGTCGTTGAATGTTGAGTATGGATAGATCGCACTTGCATCATCACACCGACATGACAAAGACAGCAAGCTCCAAACGTAAGTACGGCTGTTGCTTGGGAACCTAGACCACTCAATATTTTGGGAAAAAAAAAGCGTTCTTCAAAATTAGCCTCACTATGATCGATAATTCTAGTCTCTGAAATTGATGATACGCCCAAAGAAAGCTGGCCAGTGTTTCCGGTTTCGATGCCTTTCATGCGCTACCCTCAGCTTCATCTATTGCATATATGTTCTATCACAAGCATAATAATGCATAAATGCATACATATCACACAAGAGGTATACCACTTTATCAGAGCTTGCCTAGGTCGCCTTCACCTGAAGATTTTGAAGGTCTGGCTCCGCCTTCCAATGTGACTAAAGTCAGAAAACCGAACCAGATCCATGCTGCATATGGAATTCATTTTTTGAATTTTGCACCAGCCATATTCTGTTTTCATTCGTCTGCTTTCAGATTAAGTGTGGCCTGCATCGTAACGCGCTGTTTGTTCATCTGGCCCGGGGCCGCACGTCGGTAGTGGGGCTCAAGTGAGAAACCGCTGCACCCTACGCAGAAGCATCTATTACAAGCAGCGATATTGCGGTGCAAGCTATCTACTATTACGCCACAGTGCATCGTCAAATTACTCTAGCCGTCTTTTTGCGGCAAAATGGCGTCAAATGGAGTACCGGACGGTGACCCGCCCCATGCGTGGAAGCAGGACTCGATCGAAGAGAGGAACTTCGCCGCAGGGCTGATGTGCCTTGAGGGACATTATACACAGTCTCCTGTCATGGGCCCGCTCTCCATGGCCAAAGTCATGAGTGTTATTTCAAAGACTTTGGAGAAGACCCATACCTTCAAGGACGTCAGGTAAGACTACAGTTTTGCCGTCCAAGAAAGCTTACTGATAGGCGAGAACAGAGAGGTGCTCTCGAGAAATTTGAGGATTTGGATTTGGCTTCGTCGAGCTATCTCGGCTACTATCTGTGACCTGAACGAGAAGGCCTTGGGCGTACGATCTGAGCCACGGGTGCCCACTAAGTTCACAGACATCACGACACCTGAGGTCACGACTCTCATCATAAAGAATTACGCCTTTCTCAAGGAAGCGCTGCAGATGTTGAACAAGCTGATGCACATAGCTAGAAACCTCCTCGTCACAACCGACCCCGAGATACCTCAGGAGCTCTCTGCCGCCATCGTGTTTGATCACGAGGTGTATGAGGCCATCTGCATCTGCGTCAATGTTACCAGCAAGGGCATCGACGGGGAAATGCCAGAAGATGATGCATCCAGAGCCAAGCTTAATGAAATCACGGAGCTTTGTAAGTCAGCTGGACCAAGTTTGCAGCACATATCTAACACCTTTCAGTCAAAAAAGTCCTCGTAACCTCTTTGCAGCAGGCACATAATTGGATTGCCAAGAATGATCGGAATAAGATGCAATTCTGGTTTCGAGTCTTGATAGAACCACCGGACGTTGACGTCAACCCGTCGCTCGAGGACCGACATGAATCTGTTCTGGACTCCATCGGCCCCAAGGTTTTCCCCCTCCGATTCGAGATTGCCAATTGGCTGAAACGTAATTCCAAAATGTGCGACGCTGCAACTGCAATCTGCAAAGAGTATTGGGACGCCGAAGACGATCAACACCGGAATCAATGGCTCCCGCGCCACTGGCATCTTGCCTGGAACTACACACCTCCTGAGGTGTGGGCATGGAAATTACACGGCTACGACGAAACTGTGGAATCCATCTCAAAGTGGGATCCCGAGGAGCCAGACAAGTTTGAGCAAGACAGAGCATACGGCCGTGTGTCCCATGAACTAGATAAGTGGTGGGAAGATGCCCACATCCCGAGCATGAATGACCGACATCTCGAAATGCCCCCACTGGAAGGCGTACCGGAACGAATAAAGCTGTGCGAAGCCAACCTCATGCAACGATATGCAGCGGCAGAACCCTCCGAGGAACAGGAAGAAGAGGATGCGCATCACGTGGACGGCCCGACGAGCAATCCTGAGTGGCAAGGTCACGGCCAGGCAGGCCAGGCAACGTCGGGTTATGCACCAGATTACGACGAGTATGAGGAGGACCAGGATGATGATGACTCGTATGGAGAGGGCCCGATGACGGGGCTGCTCACAGAAGTGCCAAACATTCTGGATCCCAAGCAGATCGAGGCACTACACATGATTGTGAAATCTTGTATCCTCGATTCAGCTGGCTCTGGACCAACACGCTTTGGTGAGAATCTACAGCAGACGCGGTGCAGGATGTTGCTCGCGACTGATTGTGGCAAGAATCTCTTGCGCGAGATGCTCGTCTTCATCGCCGTATGGGAAAAGGATGAGCAATCTCTCATCTTCCAAATCAGCAGTCAAATTGTCCAGGCAATTCACGAAAGCTCACTTATTCCATATGCATGGAACGCTCTTCGCAGCCCCAAAGATATTATATCCCCCGCACAAACAGTACTACTCCGTCTCATTACCTACCTGTCACGTACAGCGTTCCTCCCTCCCAAAGACTACAATCCGTCGGCTAGCGCGAATGACGCATCCCAGCCACCATCCGAGGATCTCCGGCTTGCGAAAATGCTCAACTTCCTTTACACCATCTTCCGCAGTCGAATCGTTCCCGAATGCGTTGCATTGATGCAAATCCAAGGGGAGGTACGCAAAGGACAGCTGGACCCAGCCGACTTCCCCGTCGATAATTGGGACCTGGAGCGAGCTAAGGATGGCCTGGTACAATACCTCGACTTCCTGTATACCATCGCAGATATACACCCGCTCCGTCAACATTTAATTGAATATGAGGCCGTCTACGAGCTTTTGAAACTCCTCGAGGGCCTTGATGTAGGAGTCGAGAAGATCCCCTTTGCGGGCGCTCGGCCAGCTCCTCCCACGCCGTTCAACACGACGTCAAATCCTCACCAACCTTCAGCCGCAAACCCACCGCCTCCGCCACCTCCGCCGCCGCTGTCGGAACCACCACACGAGTTTCCCTGGTCTGGCATTAAAGGCCAGGTGCTCTCCATCCTTGCGGCGCTCCTTCAACCACCGCCTGGCCAATCATCCCCAGGCAACCCAACAGTTCAGTACCAAATAGTGCAACATAACGGCATTGTGGCATTGCTCAACTGCTGTCTTTATGACGACAACAATCGTTTCTGTCGCGAGCGCGTCCAGTTATGCCTAAAATGGCTCATGGACGGCTCCCCCGACGCGAGTGCCTTCTTGCAGAACTTGGTCAGCGCCAACCCAGGACCCATGGTGCGACCACCTCCCGGCTCCGGCACGATCACTCAGAGTGTGCGTGTAGATGGGGTGCCGGCGGAGGTGAGAGTCCAGGTGCGGAGCTCAAGTGCACCAGCCGGGGATGACGGTGGTGGTGCACCTCTTGTCAGTAGTAACGTGGTGACTGCGGGTAGGAGCCGCAGCGAGGAACTTGTTAATGATATTATGGCGCTGGCTGATGAGGCTGGTAAACTTGCGATGGGGCCTGAGGGAGATGAGACGGAGGATGACTTCATGTGAAATGCAGTATTACATGTGTAATTTTCGGTGGAGTCGAGGTAGGCGTGGGAACCTGTAAGATCTGCTAGGTCTTCTATTCACGAGGACTTTGAGTTATTTGCGGGAATCGCGCCAACAGGTATGTAGATTGTATTACAACCCCCATACCAGCAATTCAGGACGTTGCCTGGTGATGGAAGCTATGACAATTGACTGATATTGTTACAAAGGCTAGAAAATCCATTGGAAACTACCGCTGCTATCTCCTTCATATGTTCTAGATATTCCGCACATCACAAAGCCACATGCCAGCTACTCTAGGAAATCATCGACATGCTCCCAAACCGTCGACGCCTCATTTTTTCTCAACATTTTGCACGTCACATAGCCACATGTCAGATACTCCCGAGGAAACTCTCCACCTGTTCCCATAGAGCGTCATCGCCCACAACCCTTCGCGCCAACCAGTCCAGTGCTGAATTCTCAAAGAGCTGACTGTCTTGCATTTGCATCTTGAAAAGTTTATTAACATCCACAGACAGAAGCACTGCCGCATCCACTGTCTTCAAACTGCTCCGCTCATTGGTCATGGCGTCCTTAGATTCCTTGGTCATTCCTTCAAACTTGCTGGCTTTGATCACCGGCTGAGAAGTGACATTTCGAGGTCTTTTGGTATTTGCAGCAGCATCTTCTGTCGTGTCAGGCACCTTTCGTTTCTGCGATCCTGGCGATATGGAGGAAGTGCTTGCCGGAGCCAAAGCTCGCGGCTGCTGGTGCTGGAGCGACACCTGTGTGGCAAGAGGCGCTGAGGAATGCGGAGGTAGTTCCTCGTGGTGTTGGGAGGAAAGGGCTCTTCCCATGCCTGGTGTCGGTTGGCTCAGAGGCAGTATTCTTCCTTCTCGTACTCGACGCTCGGGGAAGACCGGAGGGCGTCGTGGAATCAACTCGGTTACGTCCGCAGTTCCTGGCCTTACGATCGGGCTTGGACCAGGGCCACTGTAGACTAAAGGTACAGACTGGCTGTGCTGAAGTCGATATGCAGATGTGTTGGCTTCTGATTGTTGGGAGCTGCTAGATGGCTCGAGACTGCGCGGGATCTCAGGTCGTCGGAATTCGGGCAGGACAGTTACTCGGCCAGATGGCTGCTGTGATCCTAGCCGTCTACTGGCCCCACGCAGCATACCCAGGTTGTGAGGAATACCGAAGTCATCGAGACTGCCCTGGAAGGAGACCTGATTCTGTGTACCGAAGCCGGGAGACGACAAGGGAAAGGTGACATGGTTGGACATGAATTTTCTGTGGGAAGGTACATTCTGGGAAGGACGGCATGCTTGCATGTATGCCGGGCGTAAGGGGGGCTGGGGCACAGGAGGACCTTTAGGTCTCGGTCTGATTCGTTGGGGATTCATCCTGAGGTACTTATGCCGCTGTTGCCCAGGTGTTTGGAGTATGGGAACAAATGAGTGACTCTGTGCAACAAATATGACCGACAGCTATGCTATGTTGGACCATGAAAAGGCCATGCTACCCACGAGGTGTCTTCTATCAAATTGGGGAAAGAGACAATGGAGAGAAAACTTCAAGTCGGAGCCAATTTCGACTTTCAAGGCTCCCGCCTTCCCATTTTTCGAAGCTGGTTGCTTAATCGGAAAGAGCATCCAGCAGAATAGTGTCTGCCTTGAAACAGATTGTACCCTTGATGGAAGGCGCGACTTGCTTGCCCATCCAATTCTCATTAAAGACATATCATGACTACAGATGGACATCTCCGTATCCATAATTTTAATGTGTAACGATTCTGTGACCTGACTTCCATGGCCCAAGAGAGATGCTCACACTTATGAATACTTCCCGGACCTATGATTGACTGTGTGAATGGGGTTCCATGTTATCCATGACTTGCATATTGCATGAGCAGATAAGAGCCTCCTCATGCGGGGTGACTTTAAAGTGGGTCCACCACCAACAGGCCAACAAGCATTCCTAAAGAGTGCACGCACCTAGCCGGCGATTGAGAGTTGGGCCTGCCGACCCGACCTCTCCAATTTAATCACGTCCAGATTCCAATCCACTGATTTTCGCGACGCAGAGGCCGTACCAGCAGCGTCAGCTCGCGGCACTCACAACCGCTTGCGCCGTTCATTGCAACTATATTGTTGCCCTCCAGTAACGATCGCGATATCAAGCGCGCCACCTCAACAATTTGATTTCAAAACCGACGCGCCCCTGATGTGCCAGTAAAGCAAGATTATAGCCAAGGTAAGTACCGTACCTACACAAGGCGCACCTTCATCGCAGACGCACACATTGAGCTAAGTACTGACAGCTAGCTTCCCAGATACAACCTTGCCTACACCGCTGGCCTAGTCGCCACCACTTTCTTTGGATTTGGACAAGATGGCGCCGAAGGGTAGCCCGGCCAAGAAGCCGTACATTCACGAGATTGACCGCACTGCCGAATATGACGACTTCATCAAGAAGCTCGCTGCCTTCCACGAGAAGCGCGGCACATCATTCGAGCCCGAGCCTCGACTTCAGACTCAATATGGGCATATCACTGTGGACCTGCTGAAGCTGTACAAAGCTGTTGTCGCAAAGGGAGGCTACGACGAGCTGGGCAAGGTGCAAAAGGCTTGGGCAGCTCTGGCAACGGAGCTGGGCATGCATTACGAGGACAGCAAGAATATGGGACAGCTGTCTTTTCAGCTCAAGCAAGACTTCTACAAGTACCTTGTTGCATTCTGGGTGAGAGACCAGTACAGCAAGGAGCCACCGCCACCCGAGATTCTCGAGCAGCAATCCTGCGCCAGCAAGTATGGTCCCGTATTGACGAGAACCTTGGAAAGCTTCAAGCTGGTCACCAAGCGCTCTGGCGATGAGACTCCAGCGAAGGAGGATCGTATCAGTGAGAACACACCAGTCTCTGGAAACAGAGCATCAGGCCGGCTTCGAGAAGCTCCTCCCCAGCGCGTACCGTTCCAGCCCGAGACTGGTCCCAGCCGCTCTACGCGTCACAGCTCTTCTCACCACGGCACTCCGTCAGCCAACACGCCACACAACTCTCAGATGTCCCATGGCCAGCACCCCCAACACTATGTACCCCAGCGCCACGACGGTAACAACATGAACATAATGCAGGCCCATCAAGCAGCCATGCACGGCGCGTCTCATTCGTTCACTCCGCCCAATTCCGAGAACGCGTCGAAATTGTCCGAAACCGTGAAGTCTCCGACACAGATCTCGGTCCCGCTGCGCCCCGTCCATCCTCCTGCGACGCTCACTACCGGCCAGGTTCAAGCGGCCAGGAATGAAGCCCGTCGCCAATTTGAGAGCAGATTCAAGCCACCCGGAGGTAAGCAGCAAACGCTTGCTATGGTTAAATACTGTAAACTAATCCTGCTGCAGCCAATTTCGACGGACCTAACATTTACGCTCGTTGTCTCCAGTCGCTACGTTCGGGTATCCCAGCTGAAGAGAAGTTTGCCTTGTACCATCTCGTGAAGATTAGCTTTGAACGTTGGGACAAGTTCAAGTTTGAAGCCTTTCATGGCTTGGCCGAAGGCCTGATCGAGATGGCCCTTCAGGTTGGCAGTTTGTTCTACAATGTTGATTGGCAGATTGGCTATTCTGGCAATGAAAGCGATCCGGATGTTCTGGACGGCACTAACGGGACGGACGACATCTTGAAGAGAATCGAGAAACTCACCCCCAAAGTTGTGTTGGACAACATGCAGCCAGCTCACTTCACAGATCGTATGACCCTAATAACTGAGGCTCTTCTTACCATTCGCAATATGGTCACTTTGCCCGACAATGCGAAGTACGCCGTCGACATCATGCCCCTCAAGGACTTGCTGTGCATTGTGCTGCACCTACCTAGCCTCGAGATGCTGGTGGAGTTGAAGCATTCTGCTCTCGACATAGCCGAACACTTGACGCCTTACATGAATATCGACTCTCAGGACCCTCTTTACCAGACGCTCCTATCTCAACTGAGCTCCACCGACCGAGGTACGGTGTTGACAGCGCTGCGTGCCATAAGTCGTATATCCATGAACTTTGACGTGGCGAACAAGCTCCAAAATGTCCCTCCCGAGATCCTGCAGAATGTCATGAACTGGCTCTTGTTGAACGACGAGGAATTGATGGACGCATGTCTCGACTTTCTTTACATGTACACTGCAGTGGTACCAAACGTCGAGTCCTTGCTTAAAGCAGTCAATGTGGAGCGCCTCGTTCCACACCTTGTGCGACTTCTCGGTTATGGGGCGAAACGAATCAAAGAGGACGTTGTTCTGGTACCTCCTCGCAAAATCCCAGCTGGCGAGGATGTCGCTGCTCTTCCACAAGATCTACTTGAGAGATTAGCGAATACAGAGGAGCCGCAACGCTGCTTCCAGTGGTTACAGAGCCTATTCGAAGAAGACTCCGACTCCCATATCACGCAAATTGCCATTTGGCATGCATACCAAAGCTCGTTCGGCTCGTTGTCTGCTCGCAACACTCTGACCGCTGCTGACTTCATCAGAAACGTCAGTCATGTTTTTGCGAATGCTAGGGCCCAGATCATCAGAGGCGCCGGCGAAGCACCGCGATTCATTATTGAGGGTATCCGTGCCCGGCTACTCCCGCTCAACTTTGAGACCAAGGAAGAATATTTGCAATGCCATTGGGTAACTGCAAGGGCTCCATTCGCACAAAAGTGTGGCAAGTTCTTCCTAGGCGGCGAGAATATGTGGAAACACATTCTGACAGCCCATCTTGGCCAAATGGTGCGAGAGGATGGTTCTGCCGAGAATAAAGAGCTTGACATCTCATGCCAATGGAGCGGTTGCAGCAAGTATACAATACCTTCGAAGATGAGCTTGCTTGAGCTTACTGGGCATGTCAAAACGCATTTCCCTTCCGGACAAAAACGCGGCTTGTCCGACGTCACCGACCCCGTGGCCAAGCGCCACCGACCGGCCCATATCGTACCTGTGAAAACTATGACACTGGCTTGGGAATGCACGCCGACGACTAAGGACGATCGGAATCCTCAGATTGAGCAAGCAGCTGGAATTCCGCTGAGCGCTGTTCTGGTACTTCGCAATATTGCACGAAATGTCGTCAAGACGGAATCGCAGGAGGAGCTCCTAAACAAGGAAGAGACGGGCGGTGAGAGCGGTGGATGGAATGAGAAATTGTTCCGACCCGTCATGGCACGCCTATTCGAGGTCATGACAGAGAACAAAGCAATGGTAAGTTACAGCTTTTTTTGACCATGACATGGCTTGGTTACTAAACGGTCTTCTAGGCTCCCTACATTGCATCTCTATTGCAGTTAGTCCAGAGGGACTACGAGGTAAATCCCGACGCCTAATTTAAGCGAGACAAAGGACTGGATGAAGTCTGAGAAAGCTACTGGCGATTCGTTTGCAACAGGACGAAACACCCTTCGCAGGGCCTCGTAGAGTCTCGCAGGGGGATAAGGTCTACTAGGAGCTACTGTCGAGTGAGGAAAACCGGGTCTCGCGTTGTTGATTTTATAACGTCCCTCACAGCGTTGTAGAGTTAACTCATGGTTCGAAACAGGCTCTTCTTGACGAGTTTGATTCATCTTGAGATAGGACGACGACGCTCGTCACAGGTATGGATGGGGTCTATTTGCCGTTGCTGCTGATAGAGAAAACCGGATGTCGTTATTAACGCGGCTGATTTGTCTTGCAATAGGACGACAACATCCTTGTTAGGGATGAGGTCTCTAATGATTCCTGTTGAGAGCAAGAAAGGTCGCCTCATAGATCTTGAGGTCACCTCAGGCGGATACCCAGGCGTTTTGAGGATGGACACAGGACCAGAGACGAGGCAATTGAGTTCCTACAGGCTGGAGCTAGCATTGTTGTACTAGTAGTGTATTTGCTCACTGGAAAAGCACCCATTGTCTACCAGGTAGACGGATTCACTTTTACGTGCAAGTATCCCGAGTTTCTTTCACGGTCAGGAAAATGACGTTGAATACCGGACCACCATAATCTTCCAGGTGGGTGGTTGACGTATTGGCCAGCGAATTATAAAGCCACCGCCCAAAACAGCTTCCGCATTCACAGTAGTGTGTCCGCATGCTCCACCAGCGGATTTCATGCGTCTTGCCACTGCGCTGGAGCCGGTGGAAGGAAGCGGGTCGCGATGCAGAGAAGTGGAAAAGTCATGGCGAAACTTCCTTGCCTTGAAGATGGATAGGTAGGTGTAGATCGCCCAGTGGGCCGGCCGGCGGTCTATGCAGCCCAGACTAGTGTAGGGTAGCCTTTCAGGCAGAGCCGCTACGAACTTCGCAATGGTGATCACTTTGCTCTTGGCAACGGGTGCTTATCGGTTGTGTCCACTTTGGCATCTCGAATTGAGGAGCTCGGTACGTCTAGTAGAGTGCTGGCATCGTTTTCTTCGGACGGGGGAACTATGTACGTAGCAGAGTGCAGAGTGGATGCTGGGTTGGCATATTGGCCATGATCTTGACTGTCATCAGATGGACTGGGCGAGGTTACTAATACCGCACCGCGATATTGCTTGTCGCTGCTTTGTGTGTGTGAGCATTGCCTCGATGAGCTGATCAGGTTACCTCGGAAGTGTTCCTGCCCGCGGTGAGTTGCCTTGGCTGAGTAATTGGCGACAAGGTGGTATGGTTGTTGACAGGCAAACAGGATGTATACCTCGGAGTGACATGTATAGTCTCGGGCACCTAGTTTGGTGGAGAAGATTTACGTTGACCTGTCACATTTACTTGCAGGATGGGAATAAGACGCTACAGTTGATCTCTTAAATTAACGAATACTACCTACGTTTCACGCAAGCCTATTATTCAGTAGGCATGTTTCTGACCACCACAGGAGAAGAAAATACAAGGATATTGCTCGAGGCATATCTTGCAAACTCATCAAGTAACACCCAAGGACCAGATACCCCAAGAATTGAGCCGTCTTTCACGTCCACATGAACAGCGATACATACGTCATACGCCGCCGCAACTGTGTGATGGGTTGCTGTCCTCCATGGCCGCTCTGAGGGTTTCCGTAAGGAAAACTTCTTCATTCAACCATCTCGAGTTCTATTTGAACGAGTCAGGTCCATTTTAAGAGCATTTCCTTCCTTTCTTATATCATCCAGACCTTGAACTATGGGCACGAGATGGGTAAGAGCTGTCCTTATAATATCATCCTGCGGACTACCTGCGCGCGGCAACGGGTCATGTCAAGCCACCCGTATTGCACCAACAAGTCCTTGTTGATATCGTGCCTGGGCAGAAAATCGAGGATAGAAAGCATTAGTTGACATGTCGTGACAGAAGGGTCCCCCATGCTGTAGCATGACATGTTCGGTCTGCTCACCGCCACCCCTTCGGGAGCTTGAACCCGTCCCGTCATGTGGAGTTACCATGTTTTTCCATTTCTAGAATCCATCGTGAGGCCCCTCGTGCCCCCAGTCGTCCCCGCGAAACCCCACAAAGACACGAAGACTTGGTCTGAGCCAAACATCAGAGAGCAATAAGTACATATGAGGAAATCCGAAGATGAAGAAAAACATGTAGCGTTCGTTTTTTATCCACTCTCTGCGCTCTGATCAAAGGCCACCCCGCGCTCCACGGCTCCAAAGAATCCGTTACCCGCGGGGGTCAAACACGCGCCCCTAATATGCAGGTAGATAAGCTTGACCTTCTAGTGTATGGTAGGTCAGCCCCTGCATCGTGCCATTTGTAAGGATGACAGCTGGATGGTGAGCGGGATAAGACGCATGGATTGCGTGTCTCAAACTTTTCTGACAGGATCTGCGATTAAGCGTGTTCTGCGTTGCGAGCGTCAGATTATCTGCCTTGTCTGGGCAGATCTTTCTCGCCAGCCATCAGATGCGAGATATGCGCAAGTTATGCCAGGCGTTAAGATCAGGTGACGACATGCAAGATGTTTTGCGTGTAGGTCGAGCCTCACCTCATAGTCTTGTTCTGTCGCAGCACATGTTAGGGTTTTCAGTTGTGAGTGGAAGCACGGCTGTCACATTATCGCCAGTATGTCTCCTTGGCGAATGCTAGCTTGTTGACACGGGATGAGATTTATAGATCCTGGCAAAACTGTAGGATCATTTCCACTCGCTAGAACCTCATGCGAATCGGGCTTTCATCGCGTTTTGTCCCGCATGGGCTGTTATGGTGAGACAATAGGACTTCCAGCTCCCGTTCATAATATATGTGGTGTCAGACGTCCGTCCATACGATGCCGAAACGTGCAAAACCTGGATCTGAAAAAGTTGTCTTTAGGAATTGTGGAATTGAGATGGATTCCAGGGTCCTCCAGGGTCCTCCAGGGTCCAAGGTTCAAGGAATCTAAAATTGATTCGTGCCATAATCTCGATACTAGGGCCCATCCTTGTCACGACTCACGTTCAGTCTGGGTCTTCTTCACCTTGTTGGAATGTACTCGTACTAAGCAAGTATCATCGTGACCTTGTTGCGGTGTGGCATGTGGGAGGTGGAGGAGAGTCAATAATAGCCTCAATAGCCTCAATAGCCTACCTGCGGTACGGGGGGGTATGTGGGGGATCATTGGTGATCCCCGTTTCTCCCGCTCACAAGATCAATTGTTCATAACAATCTTCAATGGCTTGCAAGGCTTGCTTCCCGGGCTGAAGATTCCGAAATGGCAAGAGCAATTCCCTGGCCATTGGCCATTGCCGAACGGTTCCTGCAGACCACATGATCGGAATACTGTACAGGTCTCCGGTGGCTCGATGGCTGATCCAAAGTCTTGCCACTGTGTGACGGTGGGCACAACGCGCGTTTCTGGTGCTCGGGTAGCTCTTACCTTGCCTCCGACTTAGTACTATAGTATGCAGTCGCAGACCCTGAATCAGGAATTGTGGAAAACGTGACAAGGGCAAATCGAGTTTTTCATCTGATCCAGGATGCGAAGATGTGAATGATTCGCGTTGCTGCCAGACCTGGAAAATCCGGCAGGTGCAAAGCGGACTGGCTCGTCAGACAGTCACAGCAGCGGCCGAAGTGCGGCATTGCTGAATTGACCTGCAATACATGTGTGATCGATGGCGCATGTCCTTATCAACTGTGGGCTATTTCGAACTGAGAGCTGCATGCTGTGTCGTTTCTTGCATCGTATATGCACAAACTACCGAGTTTTCCAATTCAATTGGCAACTTGCGACTTCCCTGTCCGAATATTCCGAATATCTAACAATACTCAACTTGCGGGAGCGTTGGAGGGAGAGCTTATTGAAGTGGGGCTGCCAAAACCATTATTATGTTTGCTGGCCAATCTTCGTGGATCTGCCCCTTTTCTGATACTCACCGCTTCACCAACCACTTTATGACATCCATGGTCTGTGATGTACTCCGTACGGAACACAGACTGACCGGTATCGCCTTACCTGCGAGCTGCCACAGGATTCTTTGTTGACAGTGGTAACGGCACAACAGGTGATATTGAACAGCTGCAAGCCCTGGGACATGCGCATCCGTCAAGTGCGTCAGCAGCATGTCGGGTTACGAGCCCGTGGCTGGTCCAACTTCCCCAACTTGCCGAACTTCGAATTCGTGCCTAAAATGCTGGATCTCTTGTCGTCCGAAACTCTTCAAGTTTTTACTTCAAGCCCTCAAGCCCAACGACCCTGTTGGCGTTCAGTGCTGCCCCCACACAAAAGGGAGCCCCACGAGTCCACCCTTTGGAACATTCTCTGCTGGGACGCTCAGTAGGACCCTGGGCCACCATGGCCGGCCAACACCAGCCGGTGCATGCCGGCGCCGCCGTGTCTTGCACTACGACCTCGCAGTACCCACCGACAAGATTAGCATGCATTCGCAATATGGTCACTGGTGATCGCACCGACTGGTCAAGCTTGCTGTCTCTGCGCTTGGCTTTTCTGCATTTGGATGGCGAAGGGCTAGCTGGCCTAGGGTGTGACGGGCCCTGGGGGCTCCGGGTCTTGAGGTCCCTTGTGGACCATGCGAGTTCACGTAGCTACCCTTGACTAGAGAGCCTTTGCCCAAGAAGGATTTGCATAGTTCTCCGCCACCACCACCAAGTCCATTTTCTGTCTGATACGAGCGGACAAGATGGGAATAAGACAGAGTTTGGAGACGGCTCCGTCCCATTACTCAGACACATTTGTACTATCGTACCAGCCAGATCTACAAAGGTTTCGGCGTGAGCGGCTGGCCTAGATCCAAGAGCTACGATGCTAATGTTAAGGCAGACGAGACAGCACGATTATCTCCTGGCCGGTGGACAGCCACTATCCTTTCAGTTTCAGTAGAAAAGGCACCCTCCAGCGACTCGTAGGATCCACTACATCTTTCCATCTCCTCTTCCCCCTCCGACTTTGAATCTATCAACTCTGCTGTGACCAACCCTCACCGTGTCATCCTGCGAATATTCCTCACTTGACGCTGTCTTCTGACCTTCCTCAACTAAACTAGCACGATTGGTCTCACTGCACAATTCAGCACAACTATCGTGATCTTGCGGCCCTGGTCGAACCGAGACGTTATACCAACCCCTAACCTCTTGGACCCCCCACTCTCTAGAGGTTGGGTAGACAGACAGACCAGCGGATCCTGCGCTTTGCTTGGGTAGAGGAGCGCGCCCCGGAACGCATCGCACTTCCGGTTACCAAAGCTCTAACGGCATCGCTTGCAAGCAACAATTTCATAGCTCGCCATCTTTTGTGGTGACGGAACCACAAATACGGGTCGTAAAAGAAATCTCGTCCCTAACCCCGACATCGGTACGCATATTTATATATCAAGCCGTTCCCCCAAGCCCATTCTTACATCGTCAACTACCTGCGTTCTTGTATACTACGTATCAAATTTCTCTGCGGAACCATCTGTGCCGGTACAAAAGCCCTTCCCCTTCCCCTTTGGCCACTTGACCGCTGCCCTCGTACTGCCTTAATCATCAGCTTGGAAGCTAATGAATCGCGCATTAACAGATCGATCTAACGTTACACAACATTTCAATATTACACCAATCAGAGTTCCGCATAATAGCTGGATTCATCTACTGTTTTGAACTTGTCAAAGAGTATTTGTAATTTTAAGAAATCGCCAACATCCTTCACGGTTTCTCATCAATATCCTCGAGTCGCACTCAACCCGCACAATGGCTTCCAGAACCGCTTTCCGCCTCACTCGGGCCGCAGCGCCTCTGCTGTCGACATCCCGAGCAGGCCAAAAAGCAATTCCTGCCGCTGCACGAGCTTTCAACAGCTCCTCCGTCCGAATGAAGAGCGACGTTGTCCGCGAGACCGAAGTACCCGTCTCGGTCTACGCGCCAGATTCCAAGGGAGGAGCGTCTAGCAGCGACCACTTCTCAATCCCCGTCTCGCGAGAAAACGCCAAGCCCACACCCATCCCCACAGCTGAGAACGAGGACGTCCATCCTCTCAACCAGAAGGTGTTCAACACAATGACCCCCACGATGCAGAAGATGACCGTGATGGACAAAGTGGTCATCATTACTGGGTAAGCCAGATTTCCCCTTTGGCCCACTGATTCACATTGGGGTCAATGCAAGCCACGAGCGCAGTCGCTAATTCTCATGCAGTGGTGCTCGCGGTCTTGGTAACCACATGGCTCGCGCTTGCGCTGAGGCTGGCGCCAAGGCACTGATCATCTTCGACGCCAACCAAGAACTGGGCGACGAGTCGGCTGCTGAACTGCACCAGAAGACGGGCCTTCCGGTGACCTTCTTCAAGGTGGATGTGCGTGATGGTGCTGCCATCAACGCCGCCGTCGATAGCGTCGTTCAACTGTACGGTGCCCCCGATGTGCTCGTTAACAGTGCCGGCATTGCCGATTCCAACATCAAGGCCGAGACCTACGACCCGGCTATGTTCCGCCGCCTCATCGATATCAACCTGACTGGTTCTTTCCTCATGTCCCAGGCCGTCGGTCGCGCCATGATGGCTGCTGGCAAGCCTGGCTCCATCGTGCTGGTGGCGTCCATGAGCGGTAGTATCGTCAACTACCCCCAGGAGCAGAGCTGCTACAACGCCAGCAAGGCTGGTGTCATCCAGTTCGGCAAGAGTTTGGCCGCCGAGTGGGCTAAGTACAACATCCGCGTCAACTGCATCTCTCCTGGCTACATGGACACTGCTCTCAACCGCGTCCCCGCTCTCGAGGCCCAGAAGAAGATCTGGAAGAGCATGACTCCCCAGAACCGCCTCGGTGCTGTTGACGATCTCAACGGTCTCTGTGTCTTCCTGGCTTCCGACTCCAGCGCCTTCATGACCGGTGCCAATGTCATCATTGACGGTGGCTACACCTGCTACTAAGCGCAAACTGCTTCAGTATCATGATGCTGAGCTTATGACGTCAATGGGAATTGGAAACTCAAAATTGGACGGAGATGAGGTGTGTTGGGCGAATGATGGGCTGTTGCCATCATAGCAGGGCGCCCTTTTGGGGAAGCCTAGATTTGTTTGTTTGATTTTTTTTTTTTTGATTGCAGACGTGGCATCACCAATACCCCCAAGCTCACGCACATACTTGCTTGGTGTAGACCTTTTCGCTTAGTCGCCTCAACGACAAGTTGTCGACGGCGTACTCGACGGAACCAGAGTCAAATAATGGAGGTGGATTTGGTCTTTGGCGAGCGCGGATTGAGCAGAGCGTTTCATGTCTTGATTTTCCGAGCACCTTATGGAACCCGGTCTGGATTTGTTTTACGGCTCATCGTCATGGCCTACTGCATTTTTTATACTAATAGCATGGGATTGGAGCGAACGCCACGCCCAACAGTCACGGAGGGATGGATGGTTTGAGCAAGAGGGATGATACCATCGTATAGAGAGAATGTTTAGAGCGCAAGACAATAGAGCTCTAGCTATATCTAGAGACAATAGAGGGCTTGGTCTCGTTCGCTAAATAGGCGGATGCCGGAACCTGGTGTTTAGATAGGTTTATACTCGCAATCTTATGACTTTGTCATTTTGGTCGTACTAAGCTTCCCAAATATTGAGGAGTAGACAGTGATAGCAACTTAGCAAGTGAACATGCCCCAGGTTTACTAGTAGAAGTAGGAGCTAAAACTTTAGAATCGTTGTCGCTGTAGTTGTTTCGATGATATGTTTGACATTTTCTCGAGGCATTTATCATGCAGCTAGACATAATAACCCTTGGGAACTCGCTCCCATTATAGGTGCCGGGTGGCTTCATTCCTGGTGGATCTAACCCCTTAGTCTCTAGCAGTAACTCCCGCCGTATAGATGGATAACGAGGGTCATTGGCAACACTATGATATATGCCCTTGAGAAGAAGCTACATGCTTCTTTATGGTCACTATAATACGTTGACATATCAACAACGTTTGTGAGACTACCACTCAAGTTGGATAAAAGGTTTTATCTACGCGGATGCCTACACATCAGTTTGATAGGCTTTCTCTAGGTCGTCTTGATTCATCAGTTATCGGGGGGGAGAGAGAAAGTATCCTCCCAATGTTGCCATCTCTACCTCCACCTCTGCCCACCACCAGCGTGCCCATCCGTGGCCAAGGATGACATGTTCACGATAAATCACATCTCCATCTTCGCCGGGTGACCAGGTAGTAGCATCGAGGGATCCTATTTCCTAACTTATCTAGAATTTGGAAGCATGTCGTGAATAAGCTGACCTACCGAGAACCTGCTCCAGCGGCGTCAGGACTATTACTAGATAGGCAGACGACATTTTTTGAATTACTGGGACATGCAATGGTCGAGAATGATCGTCAAGATATCTTAGTCCAATTTCATATTACTACTACCTAAACAAGAAACAGATGATAAAGTGCCTGTGAATAGAGGGGCACTCTCTCTGTGTATAGGAGTATTTGCATTACTATCAGCAAGGTACATCGCAACATCTTTAACTTATCACATCGGTTTAACAATATCCTAGCGAGTATTAAAAGGTCTTGAGTCTTGACCACTAAACCAATATCACAAAGTGATAGTCTTGGCCATAGCGCGAAGGCTATCACCGACTCTCGCATTCACTTCCAACTATCAAGTGATTGAAGACTGCAGTTTTCGTTTCTAACTCATACGGGCATCTCTCATTCAGGGCTCCGTATTGAAGGATAAACTCTGTTCGCAGCCAAATCGAATCAAGTCGAGATCTCTTCTTCTGGTGAACAGCAACCAGGGGCCAGCAGGTGACTGATGATATTGTCAAAAACATCATCCCTTGGAGTGTCCAATCACTACTATCCATCTAAGCGGTCGGTCCCCCAGTACACAACGAGTGTGGGTGAACGACGACGCATCGCTATTTACGAGAATGTTTAGGTTGTTTTTTCGCGAATTCATGTTTCCCCCCGAAATCTTCTCGTTTTGTACAGCTAGATGGACCCAACTGGGAAGCCGCGCACCCACCTTCCAAGGTAGCAACTCGCATGCGAACGAAGATTGCTTGGAAACTCCTATCGTCATTCTCAAAATGCCGATCTTCCCAATTTTCAAAGAAGCGATGCCCTTCTATACCATAAACCTCTGATCTTGGGTGGGGAGTGTTCAAGACTTGAAAAATCGCAGGCCGCTATGATGTAATTATATGCAATGCAAGTTGGACGTGCCATCGCCCATGTGTGGGTCTTTCATTGACCCTTACGGGCCTTCTCTTGTTGGCGAGCTTCTCTGGCGGCTCGAACCAATGGGGACAACGATGCGAGGTCGACACACGATCGCATGAAGTCGTGCTGAAAACACCAAATTAGCATGATGAGTGACCGGCCCAAGAAATGGAAACAAGAAATTGTACACACCCGAAGCAAGTCGTGGGCACTTGCTCTCTTCTCTGGATCGACCTTAAGAGCAAAGTAGAGGAAATCCCTGAAGACCGCAGACAAGTTTTGTTCATCTTTGATAGTTGGCGTACCGTTTGTAGCAATAAGCCACAAAGCCCGAAGTGGTGACTCGGTGAGGTAAGGGGGTTCGCCTTCAATCATCTCAATCGCCATGATACCAAGAGACCAGATATCGACCTTTCGGCCGTACTCTTTTCTAGTAACCACTTCTGGGGCCATCCAATAAGGTGTGCCAACCATTGTGGTGCGCTTGTTGTGTGCCTCGTTGATCTGAGCACAGAACCCAAAATCGGCTGGTTGTACAGGTCAATATTTGCTGAAGTCGGTTTGGGAATCGCATATGCTTACTGAGCTTAATGTTGCCTTCTAATGAAAGCAGTATGTTGTCGGACTTGATGTCTCGATGGATTACCCCCTTGGAGTGCAAATGTTGCAGTCCCTTTAATGTCTCTCTGCAAACCGAAGCTATTTGACCCTCTGTCATTATGTTGAAAGTAACGACGTCCGTCAGACTGCCACCTTCCATAAACTCCATGACAACCCACAGCTCGCCCCCGCATAGATAGCTGTCAATGAAGTTGACGATGTTGGGATGCAAGCTTTCCTTCATGACCAGGATCTCATTGATGATCAGATCCTTCTTAGGTTGCTGCTCGAGATTCATCTGCTTGATCGCCACCAAGCGATTCGAGCCTCGCTCGTGACCGGTGTATACCCCACCCGAAGCACCTTGACCAATCTTGGTGAATGATCGATAGATGTCGCGCGGGTCGCCTTCTGAGCAGATTCTCTTCAGCGCGGCTACAACGTCTATGCTGTTGCTTTGGCGCTGACGGTGACGAGGTCTGGCTTGCGGCCCTGGTCCAACGGGTGGTTGGCCACGACCGGCTCCGTTTGCCTCCGGAGGGCGACTGAACTGGTTCTGCGTGCTCGTCGACGCTGGATGGCCTGAAGGCGGCTGCTTCTGACTTACTGATCGACCCAATTGTCCCTTCATCGCCGCTTGTGCCTGTGCCATGGCTTGTTGCTGCTGTTGCTCCATCAATTGTTGTTGGTAAGCTTGCTGCACTGCCGGCGATGGTTGGGTAGGAGTATACGGCGAGCTGCCATTTGCTCGCGAGTTCGATCTCGATCGGTGCTCTTCCGGAAGCATGGGGACGGTGTTCTCTTTGGGTGGTACGTAAGCCGCCGAGGGTAGCTCTTCGCCGCCTTGAGCAATACCGATGCCGGAATCCTTGCCTGGATATGGCGGTTGCGGGGCAGCCCTCGATGGCAACGACACGGGGGGTCTCGGCGCGGGTCGACTGGGCATGAGGTTGATGTCCTTTTGCGGCAATAGGCCAAGACCCTTTCCAGGAACGGGCGGAGGGGCGCGGGGGTTCTCGAAGGTGCCTTCATTATTCACGATTGGAAATCTTGGACTTGCTGGTGGACTGATCATAGGTGACATACCGGCATAGTTTGGTGCATAGATTCCGGGAGACGCTCCTCCTGACGGGGTACGTAGCTCTGGAGCCCTGACATCATGGAACTTTTCAAGAACCTGGTCCTCGTGTGGCTTTTCTGTAGTTTCTTTGTAGAAAGTCACGATGTCTGCAATCATCTGGGGATTTTCCCGTCGAGCATTCTCGGGAATGCCGCTCTCGTTGATGAGTCGTTGCCATTCTTTCGGGAGGCCCTATGAGGAACATGAGCACTATGTATCGAAGGACACACACACACACCTGAGTTACGTGGAGAGGGGAAGGGGGCACGCGAGGCGGAAATATTATGGACACGACATGAGATCAGCGTGATCGCACAGGAAGGAAGGATGCGGCGGGCAAGGAGGGACAACGAGAAGAGGGACTTGAACAGCAAACAGGGTCCGACGAACCGTAAATTGGCCAGTAGAGCTGTCGTAGCCGACATGTGTTACGTGAACGGGGTTCTCTGGGGCCGAGATGACGGGTTTCTTGGGCGACCCCACCAACGTGCTCATGAGTCCTGAGAAGCCCGACTTTTTCCTCAGCACGCCGGGGGGCTTGGGATCTTTGCTCTCGTCTGAGTACCGTTTCGGACTGATCAATTGGTTTTCCCCAATGCGCGCGCCGGGTGGCGCCTTTTCCGACATGGCCATGGAGGTATCGGCGGCCGTGGAGTTCGCCGACTGACGGAGGTCGTGGGCGTTCTTGCTGTAGGCAGGATGAGGAGCGAAAGGACTCGTGTGGGAGAGCGGGGGAGGAGCAGGTCGGCGGCTGGCGAACGAGGGTGATTTGGTGGCTTCGAAATGGTTGATGAGGGAGGTGCCGTCAAAAGGCGCACCGACGAATTCCTCGGATGTCTTGGTGCTGAGGGGTCGGAGGTGCGAATCCGACAAACGGTGGTCTCGTGGTTGTGAGTGTTGATAATTCGTGGTGTTGTCTCTGCTTCGCGTCGCACTCGGGCCGGTGCTGATGCCAATGCCAATACCAATGTTCGCTGCACCACCTTGCCCAAAACCAAATGCTGGGCGACTTCCTTCGCCGGGACCTGCAATGGGCGACGCGGGATACGGCCTGCTGCTGGCTGCTGCTTGCTGGTGGGCGGGCGAAAATGTCGATGGTAAGAATTCGCCGCTCTGCAGGATGGGCGAGGGATTGGATCTCTGGGAATTGTTTGGAGGATGACGGGGAGACGAGTTGTTAGACGCGTTGGATCTGGCACTGGTTGGCGTTCGCTGGGGCGGAGCGCTTGGAGCACGCTTCAGACTCGTCGAGCTGCGTTTGCTCCCCAGAGATTGAGCGTCAAAGCGACTGCCACCATCGATGGAGTAGGCGTTTTTGTGGTGAAAGTGTTGTTGGATCGAAGGCGGCGGTTTTTTGGTCAGCCTGCGACGTTGGGAATTGCCGTTAGAGTTGCTGTTTTGGCTTTCCATGGTCTGGTCCGCCCGGCACAGGCAGACTGGAGCGGGATGGTGCAAGTGCAAGTGCAAGTGCAGGTGGTGCGCTGGTAGTAAGCTCGCAGAGCTGGCAAGCTGGGTTTAGTACGGAGTACGGAGTACGGGAAAGCTGGACCAAGACTGGGACTGCAAGCGCAGGCAGGGCGGACAGGCGGTCGAAACGATGCCTGTAACCAGTGTCTCTTCACTTGCAGGCGCGGCGCCCAAGATCAAATCCGGCCCTTGGGGGCTGCAATCAATCTATCAATCGAATGACGACCAGATTCCTTTTTTTTTTGAGGGGGGGAGGGGGGGTAGGGGGTGTGGCAGGGAAAAAAGTCGTAAAATGAAAAATTCCTGTCTGAAATAGTATCCAACGGGTAAGTTGTTGATCGCATCAACGGGCCTGCACAAAAGCGTTGAAGGCGGGCGGCCAGGTTAATTGGGCCGCACAACGTGTACAACACACTGCCGTTGCTGGTAACAACTCGAGTTGGACGTCACGAGTGCTGGCTCTGCTTTGCCAACTATCGACCTGGATCTTGGACTTTGGGGACCCGTTTTTTCTTCTTATCTTCAACATCTTCAACATCTTCCCTCGCACGACGAGTATACTCGTAAACCCGTTGTCGCTATCCCGACGCCTGTTCGCGACACCCTAGCACTGCACTGGTACTTCGTAAGTTATTTTGTACTACCGGTATGTAATATGTGTCTTAGTGTAGGTGATCGAGCCCGGCTCCTCGTTACGGAAGATCGCCCAGAGTGCCGCCGTCTCACGTCAACCGCAAGTCAACTAGCAGAACCTTCTTCGATGGGCTTGCAACCGCCGGCACAGACGCGAAAGTGGGCGTCTCAACTCGCCGCCGTGGTCCGTCAACCGTCTGAGGTAGACCATTGTCTGCTACGTTATATGGTTGAAGTTTATGGATGGGTCCAAGGGCTGTTGGATGAACCCTGTGTTCGTAATAATAATAATAATAATATTAAATAACATTCGTATCGACATTGCTTCGCATTCGCAAGCTTTGGCTGTGAACGCATTGGGTATATGTATAGAGATCATGAAGCTGCATCCAAAGAGAGCAACAGCAACTATCTGGTGGTAGCATCAATGCTTCTGGTTGATGACGTCTTCAATCCCTTTCCTCTCTTCATCCCATCAGGCTAGTCGGCTGTTGCTTTTCCTCGACGCAGCCGGCGTGTGGAGACTGCTCAGACCTTGCGTCGAGAAGCCACAACGAGCATTGCTAACACCTACAAGAGAGGAGTGGCACAATCAGTCCAATACACGAGTACTTGTGCATATGAGGGGGCTACGTCGAAGGTTACAGAGGCAGTATGCAGGCCGGTCAGGTCAATTGCGCATCAATTGGGTTCAATGTGGCTATGTCGAGCCCAAGCTCCAAGCTACAAGCTACAAGCTACGAGCTACCCACCACGAGAGAAACATCGGATCTTACATCAAGTGACAAAGAACTGAGCCGAGACGTCCTTCCTGTCGTCAAGGGGCGAAGGAGGGTCCGTTTCTGACTTGCGGCTAGTGACACCTGCAGCATCAACCGAGTTCGACCAATCGACAGAGCTCAACCTTGGTGTGGTCAGGCGACAGTCTGCATCTCAATTGGGAGCATTTCTACAGCCTCTATGCCGGAAACTGTTTCAATGCCCACCCGAGACCGTTGGAAAGCTGGTATATCGTCAATCAAATCTACATATCAGGGATACGCATGGACCCTTTTTGATAAGGCTCTGTGAACGGTCTGAGGGAGTCGAGGGATGTCGGAGGTGTGGGAGTAGAAAAGCTGTCCCTTGCGAATCAATCCTAGACATTTCGAGTCGCACTCAACGCAATCATAGCGTCCCTGACTTTGCCAGGATCGCAAGGCCAGTCTGTCAGTTATCAGTAAATATAACGATGCCAAGTCAGGTTTGCCCGATGAATTTGCCGCTGATTAAAGCAGGCAAACCTGGAAATACTCTTGGTGCATTCCGTCCTCGAAAATGGAAAGTTTACATGGCGTGGAAGCTTTTCGGCATTGTTGGTCGCCATTGGCTCGCTCCTCCCAAGTCTATCCCAGTGAGCTTGAGATTTTCACGGGCGGGTACTTTTGTTTTATGCGACCCAAACAAGAAAGGCAGACGCAATGCATTGCTTCGAAGTTCCTAGGTCGGCCATTGAGGATTGGTCAATGGGATACATTTGATAGATGAAGGGGGGTGAACAATGAGAGCCCTGCAGCAGCTCGCTCCCTACCGCTTGGAATTCGAAAATGAGTTGCTGAGGAGGGTGTACAAGTACTGGGCAAGCAACTTGCAAGCAGGTTTTCAAAAGACTCCACCTGGTTACAAGTTTCTGGTAACGCGTTACATCATTTCAACAACCTGAGATCTATTCAGATACGATCGCATCGCCGCCCACCTGAAAATGGGCCCCTCGACCTGCAAACCAGCCTGCGCCTGTCCTGTCTCTTTGCATGTGGTGTGCGGCTCGCATCACGTATCTGCAGAGGAGCCTGAACGGGGCCGGGTAAATCGGCCTGCCCTTCCAATGCTGGGGCTGTTGCGATCCGCTTGCAGCCGACAAGGAAGCTCGCAACCAAGGTTTGGTCTTGATGCTTACTTAAGTAATGACGACAGCCAAATTGTCGAAATTCCGTCTGGTGTCAATGTCTCGTGTTTGGTACTTGACATTGGCGTTCATTACAAAACTTTGAGATTGGCAAGGTGGTACATAGCTTCACAGTTCACGGTGTAATGGGTAGTTTGATTTGTTCTTATTAATTGCACTTCGAGATTGTATGACACCTTCTATTAGCAGCAACCCGATATGTTGCATCCATGAAATTCAACATGCAATACTTGGCCATCGGAACTTCTCTTGTTGCCAACATCCGAGTGTGTTCAGGTGGTTGTCCAGAACAGGCACAGCACCGTTTCCTTTGGTTTCTAAGCTCACTTTCATAGCAGTGGCAACCAAACAAAGTCCAGGAATTGTGCCTTTTTACCCTTTCTCTAGGATAGTCGATAAGCCCGCACCCAATCCCCCAATTGCTAAACTAGCAACGCGAAGCTCGCGGTCGAAGATTGTAGCATTAGAAGTCAATAGGTTGATAAGAGAAAGATCAACCATCAAAGTTAGATGAGACAACGGCGGGTGGCGTACTTTGACATCGAGCAGCTTGATATCATACTCCTCGCAGTTTCCGTAGCATCGACCTACTTCAATGGCCGACTGAATTTTATCTGCCTATCATCTCCAATATCATGTATGTTCTTGGCTGCTTTGTGCTCGCTATTCGGAGCCGGCATGATGTAACCCCATTGAGATGAGGGTGAAGGTCTTTATGAGCTGGGTTGTTGCCCTTCTTAGCATAGAAAACATTGGCTGCAAACTATACCGGCAAGATTGACAGCGACAGTGGTCGTTGCCTGTGGCAAGCAATGGATCGGTACTTACTGACTTTATCTGGTAGTATATCATTGATGTAATCTGTTTGCCAGCCAGGATGGGAATTCCCTCCGTAAATAGCAGGAAGTACATGTTTAGTGACCACACGTAGATCCTGAAGGGAAAGCAGACTATTTCAAGTGAGAGAAATCTCCGAATGAGAAAGTCAGCATAGTGTTTCAATTACATCAGAAATGCATCTGATACTGAGCAGTATCGTCATTGTGGCCGTGTTGCCCGAGCGACTTTCAGAGACGTCGGAATACTGTGCTCGATTTTACACAATTCGATGAAGTTAACACTATATTCTGTTCCATTTAAAAGAAAAGGCACACTATAAAGCCTCTGGGGGCAACGAAATATATCGTTCCCTACGGAAACATCATCGAGGGAGAAAAGTTTGGCCTTGGTGCGATGTCAGGCATTGGCAAGTGAAAGACAGGTTTCAAAAGGGGGAAGAGAAGTAATAATTCAACACATAGTGTTTCCAAAAGTGAGAAGTCAATAATAAATGACTGGACCACCCAGTCAAAAGGAGTGATAGGCACCAATCCGCTCTGCAGGAGTAACTCGCCGAGCAGGCACCACCATCCAGGAAAAGCGAAATGCTACAACCAGATTTCCTGAACCGTTACATGTGTTCTGACAGAAAACACGGCCATAGCCTTGTTCTGATACTTGCTAGCATTATAGCGAAGCTGCGGAAGTTCGGTCATCTAGCCAGCACTCAGAAGCCGGCTACAACCGGGCGTAGCGAGGTCCTGGCGATCCATTGAGAAATTTTGGTGGCAATTGAAATTATAAGGGGAAGAGGTTCGGAATCGGTGGATTTGAATGTTCTGGGTGCTTGTTTGTAGGAGCCATTTTGAAGTACAGAGGTAATCACTAAAATGTTGTTTGACGTCGCGGGTGCCCTTATTCTGGACCCTTTATTCTTATGCCACTATTTTCAAACTCACAACTGCCTATATTCGTTGATTTCGTTGTCCATAACATTCGGGATGGGTTGTATGCAATTGTATTGCTGGCATACACTTTCGAGATGCCATGTTTGTGATCTCTGCGGCAAAGCACTGCCTGCTTGCTCCAAGGCCTCCAGACGGAGGCAACCAGATCTAGCAAGTCGAATGTCAGGAACAGACGATGGGACATATTTCTATACCTTCCTGGCCATGATTATATTTCCAATACGAAATATTCGTAGGATAAACTTCTCATTGGTCAACACTTAAGCAATGCGGCTAGGAGAATATGATTGTTCCACTAGTGTCGGGTTTTGGCTAGTGTTAATGGAAGAAATGATATAAGACACATATAGTAAAGGAGATACATGACAGAGTGATTGCTCGGTTACTAGGACCCGACATGAATGACGATGACAATTACATGAGCACTGGCAGGGACGCCGTAATATGGCACAGGGACGAGACGAATGGATGGTCATGCCTCGCCATCACGAACAGATCCCCGAGACTATGACAGTCTCAATCACAGCAATTTCCAACTTTTATAATCCCTGACACAAGAACCTTTGGGCAATGCTCCCCGCCGCACTAGATAAGCCATATCAGTTCTAATGACCAGTTTTGGTTACTTTCACGGCCCACCAAATCCTTTGGCGTCGACCACCTTGTACTGAAAATGGTTCTACCGTTACACGTCGACACGCATCAGTTGAATTCCCATCCCTTCAGCCACGGATCCCAAAAATCAACTCAGGTCACTGAATAATCGCATCTGTACCTTTTACGTTCATCAAATAAGGAATATGGGGTCGGTGAATACAACAGATCTTTTCCAGTTTCTGTCACGCCCTATAACTCTGCTTCGACAGAAGTGCCTTTTGATACAAGATACTAAGAGTCCCTGAAGGAAGCTGCCAACTTTTTTTTTCTTTTTTTCCCCAAGTCAGACAATGTTCGAAGCAAGTCATTGTTGCAACGGAAAGGGTTACAATTTCCTGCCATTATGAAAATGACGTTGGTCTGGCCTTCAAAACTTTGTCCAATACCAGAGCTTTTAAACCTGGTACAAAGACATGACCTAGGCTGTAGGTAACCGTGATAGGAGAAATTACGGTTACATCATTCGTATAACGCAACTTTAGAACATCGGAAACCGTCTTGATGAGTTGTCGGGCCGGCTCTAGTACACAGCGTCCTTAAAATGAACCGTGGTGGATTGAAGGAAAAAGGCAAACCCCTAGAATCTGATGTAGATATGACAATTCCTCGAGAAAACTTCAGGCTTCAAGTCTCTATATCGTAAGTAGAAATTGTATATCATGAAGAGGACTAGTAATCAAGGTTGGGTTCAAGTGTTCACCTGAGATGTACATCGGATTTTGCGAATTTGAGGGGATTCAAATAACATTGACACCTGTCATCCTTAAAATACCCCTCTGGATTTACCATTCATCAAGGCTTGAATTTCCCAATTTTCTCTTTCCCTTCATACATCAGCTGAAGGTCGGAGTTCACTTAATTAAATCAACGATAAAGGGAACTTTGGACTTCACTTCCTCAGGTCGTGGCAGCATCACCGTCCCGTCAAACCAATTGAACCCCTGTTATCAGCTCTGAGTGGCCCAAGCGCTAGTTCTCCTCAAAATCTACGACTGTGGGGCTCAACATTGGAGAAGTGCACGTCTAGCACCATCCAGTGGGTTCCTAGGTTCTCAGCGCCGAGCTAGTGTCGAACCACCAGACCCTGGAGCGGAATTTTGGAGGATCGCGAGAAACTTCCACATCACCCTCTTCTATCTCGGCGCCTCTTGTCTTCGAATTCCATCTCGCCCTCCTCCTCTGTCGAATTCTATTCAACTCGGCCAGCGATCAGTTGTCCTTCTTGACCTACAGTACATCGCTAGCGGCTAATTCCTGTGTGACGATGTGCTAGAACCCGTAGCCGCCATTTTATCCTTCCCCACAGTACCGCCGCCTGCCAGACTTACCTAGTTATCTACACTCCACGTGCAAGTACACATCGCACCGGACTTCAGGAAGCTCTGCATCACCTCAATCTTGAACCCCAAGCATTCACTTGGTCATTGGGGTATCAATTCGACCGCAAGCTTTCGTATATACTGGACGTAAGTGAATTTTCTTGCCTCGTGGTCGCCTGTCCACCAGTTAGCATTGGTGCCCTGACTTTGCCAATTCCACCATCTTTTCAAGTCCGTCGTCTCGATGGTGATAAATGGATTCACAGCAATCGGAGAAGGCTTCCTGAAGCACTCCAGACTGCTACTGGCTCTAACGAGTCCCTGACCGCCTTTCTATATTTCGTGAATCGACTCTAACACAGCTTCCAGTTCCTAGTCTCTCCAACTCCTTAGCAACAATGGCTGCCTCCGAAGCTGAAAGCTCTGCTGCCGAGCGACTCCTGCAGAAGCACACGGAAAACCACCAACCGACTGTTGAAGATGTCCCTGACGAAGAGCTCAAGCCCACAGCCAAGGCGAAGGGCCTCAACATGGAATCCGAGGAGGCCTTTCCTGGACTCGGTGGCTCCTCCTCCTCCTCCTCCAAAGGCAAAGCACCAGTGAACAACATTCCCATTTGGGGCGCAAAGCTGAATGGCAAGTCGAATGGAACAACACCGGCCAATGGCACCCCGGGTACCTCTACCCCAGTCTCCCACACCTCGACGCCTGCTCCTGGCAATGCACCTACGCCGAATGTCTTCATCCCCGGTCGTTACGTGGAATCAATAGAATTAGATCCCAACGACATCATGCCCCGAGCCCAGCTCAAGCGACCGATTGCCGATATCGTGAAGGATCTCAATCGCAAGTCTCGTGCTGTCCTCACCATTTCTACCAAGGACAGGGGGAAGCTGAAGATCGAAGCTCAAGGCCCTCAGGACCCGGCGCAACAAGCCCTTCGCGATCTCGTCGCTCAAATCGGCGCCAAGCAGGTCATTACGATCCAAATTCCGAAATCAGCAAGAGCACACATCATTGGCAGGCAGGGCGCTACCATTAAGTCGATTCAGGAGAAGTCAGGGGCGAGGATAACACTGCCCAAAGATGATGGCCAAAGTCCCGTTGACGACGATGACGATAGTCTCATCAACATCACTATCGAGGGCAACACCATTGCTGCTGCCTCTGCTGAAGACTCCATTCGGAAGATTGTCAATAGCCGGTCGGCCAATGTGGCAACAAAGCTAAGGAATATCCCTGCCGAATTTTACCCGTTCATTGCTGGCCCCAACAACAGCCGTGTCAATGCTCTCGAGTCCGACCATGGCGTGCAGATTCGCGTACCTCCGCATCAGCCTTGGTCTCATTCCGTTCCGGAGGTGCCGGCCTCAGGAGAACGACCGTTGTTCGCCCCTGCCAACTATGAGAACCATATCCAACTTGCGGGTGACCGGGCCGCCGCTGCCGCCGCTCGTGCTGAAATCGATAGGCGTGTCCGAGAGCTCCAGAACCAACTGCAGATGGATCAGTGCGAAATTCCTCGAGGACGCCACCAGTTCATCGTTGGCGATCGAGGTATGCCCATGGACGACTTCTTTGCTGATACCAACTGTGTCATCATTCTCCCCCGAGAAGAAGGTATCGAAACTGTCACTGTAATTGGCTTGGAAGACGATGTCAATCGTGGACTTGAGAAGGCCATGGATCTGGCTATGAATTTGAATACAGCAAACTTTCATGTTGCCCGAAACCACAAGCATGTCAGCGGCGGAGCGCCCACTTATTGCCGGGATGTGTCACGCTACCTGAGACAGCGCAAGGAAATCGAGCGTCTGGAGCAGCATCATCATGTTCACATCAACACGCCCTTCATGGAAGGTATCGAGTCACCCTGGGAGCTGTATGCACGAGATGGCAAGAACCTTCTCAAGGCACAGAAAGAGGTGCAGTCAATTATCGGTGGCCACCCCCCATCCCGTCTGGCATCCGTGCCTGTTGACCCCTTCTTCCATGCGTACCTTCGAAGTGATGTCAAGCCACGGCTTCAAAGCGACTATGGCGTCCACCTAGTTGTGCCGGAAGCCGCTGAAGCTCAACTTCCCGTGATTCTCGTCTACGAAGGGCAATCAGGCCCTGATGAAGACTACCAGATCCCGCAAAAGGCCCCCAATGCCGAAGAGCTTCGGGCATTCCAGCAAGGCTTGGATGGTGCTCGGACGCACATTCTCGACCTCATCAACAAGCAAGAGCAGATTAAGACCGAGACGCTTGACGTTCCGGCCAAGTATCACGAGAAACTGCGAAGATTCATCAAGAAGGAGCAGGACATCACGACGCGCACTGCTGGTGGAATTCCTGTCCGCGTGAGCGTAAAGGGCATCACAGTCACAATGCGTGGGCCTGCATCAGCTGTAGCGTCGCTTGCTGAGAAGGCCAGAGCATTTGTCCAGCAAGAGCAGGAAGACGACAAGGAGCGTGGCTTTACATTGTCGTTCGAGTTCCCTCAGAAATTCGCGAACCATCTCATTGGCAAAGGCGGCAGCCACATCAAGGAGCTGCGCGACAAGTTCGACGTGGAAATCCAAGTTGATAAGGGCATGGTTGAGTTGAAGGGTCCCAAGGCCAAGGCCGAGAAGGCAAAGGCTCACATACTTTCATTGAGTCGGACATGGGCTGATGAAACGACACACACCCTGAAGATTGAGCCCAAATACCACCGAGAGCTGATCGGTGCCCAAGGCGGCCAGATTGGCCGACTTCAGAACCGCTACGGAGTCCACATAAATTTCCCGCGAAGTGCGCGCCCGGCTAAAGAGGATGAATCAGCCGCGGCGGACGCTGCCAGTGAGGCTGGTAAGCCGCGTCGCCAACAAGGTCCTGACGAGGTTGTCATCAGAGGTTCCAAGAAAGGTGCCGACGAGGCTCGTGATGAGATCTTCTCATTGTACCAATACCTGAAGGACAACTCTTTCACTGCCAATGTGTCGGTGCAACAGAAACAGCTCCCATCCCTGATTGGGTCTGGCGGCTCTGGCATGGATGAGCTTCGCCAGGTGACGGGTGCCAAGATTGATATTCCTAACGAGCGCAATGAGGCTGAAGATGCCATTGTCGACATCCAGATCAAAGGCACTAAGTCTCAAGTTGCTGCAGCCAAGAAGATCATTGAGGAGAAGAAGGCTGTTTTCGAGGACACTGTGGTCAAAACCATTGATGTCGACCGCAAATGGCACAAGATTCTAATTGGACCTCAAGGTATGTCACTAGTTTTCTTGATGATAAGCTTTGGTTTCAAGCGGCTAACAACCGATTTTAGGTTCCACCCTTCGGGACATCATTATCAAGGCTGGAGGACCCGAGGACCGCCGGCTGCAAGCCCGATGTATCCAATTCCCCAAGCAAGACACTGACGGCAATGCCATCACGGTGGAGGGCCGCCAGGATGTTGTCAGCAAAATCATTGCCAGCATCGAGGCTGCCGTCTCAGAACGAGCTAGCCAAGTGACAGAGACCATAGAAGTATCTACCGAGAAGCACCGCACGCTCATTGGACGTGGTGGTGATGCGAAGCGCAAGTTGGAAGCCGAGTTCAACGTCTCGATTGATATACCACGCCAAGGCAGTGGCCAGACCGGGGTCAAGCTCGTTGGTAAGCCTGCCGACGTGGAGAAGGCCAAGGATCATATCTCGACTTTGATCAAGGAGCAACAAGGCGAGACGGTCCAGGTGCCACGAAAGCTGCACAACGCCATATCTGACAATGGCCAATTCTTCCGCAAGCTCCGAAACGATCACAAGGTGACTGTTGATCACGCTGGCCAACCGACACCACCCAAGTCAAAGCCTGTGAGCACTCGTGCCGGCAACAACGGCGCGATGCCGTTGATAACCGACGATCCAGAGCAAGCAGCAGACGCTCACTCTTGGAACATTGTCGACAACATTTCCACCGAGGAAGGCGACATACCGTGGGTCCTCAGGGGAAGCCCGGAGAACATCGAGCGGGCTAAGAAGGCAATTTCTGCCGCGCTTGAGCAGGCGCAGAGGAGCAATTCGACGGGCTATCTTGTTCTCCCCGACCCTTCGACCTACCGTTACGTGATTGGCCAGGGAGGTTCCAAGGTCACCTCGATCAGGAAACAGAGCGGTTGCAAGATCACAGTGCCCCGAGACCAGAACGGGGATGCCATCGAGATCAACGGATCGCGAGAGGGCTGCGAGAAGGCGAAGGACCTGATTCTCGAGGCTGTCCGTGATGGGCTGGCTTCCCGTCAGCGGGATTAGAAGTCTCGCGGGGCAGGCCCAGTCTTTTTGCAGGTATTTCCTGATACCGAGGCACTCATAGAGGGACCCTCGGATTACGTCGATCCCTGGTGATTTTTCATCTGGTACAGTCATGGATTTGTCCGAACAACAACGGCTACATCGGTGTGAAGCCACGGAATAGCAAAGTAGAATAATCTTGGGCGAGTATTGCTGCTTGAGCACGTCCTCGGTGCTGCGGTCTGCAAAAGTTCGCTTTTTAAAAGGTTGTAAACTTTGGGGAGCTGGGGCGGGGCAAAACACCATTTTCTTAGCTATAGTTATCTGTACCTAGGTAAAGAAAAATTCTTACTTTGACATTATTGAAATATTCATTTAGAACCCGACAGTCGTGATCTGTCTTGTGATCTGTCAGTAATGCTGGTGTCTAGTCCCAGAGATTTCCTCCCAGTCAAATCGTGTTAACCACGGGAGACTAGCTACAAGTAGATTATGAAGCCGACATAATCTATGATTACTCGGTAGGGAATAGTTTCATGTACTCATGATGAACTAGGATGCAGCGGTGATATCGTCCATCGTCTCTATCTCCAGATGCTGCTCTCACCCATCTAACAGATGCTACCACTAATGGAACTTTTGAATAGATACAAAACGAATTTCAGTGAGATGGTTGCGGATAAGAGCAGAATCTTCTTGGGCAGATCACTTAGCATTCATTGGCTTGTTGTTCAGGGTGTACTGTGATGTTGATTTGTCGGTTCAATATTTGTGAAGAAGATTATGTTTCGTGGCGGATATGAGTGTCCTGTTTTGCACAGCTGAGAGGCTTGTATTTCAAAGTTTTCTTTCAAGGAGAGTGGTGATTCTTGCCCGACGAGGATAACATAATGGATGCTTGTGTTGTTTGCCACGATAAGAATGACCGGTTACAGGGGCCAGAGAGAACAAAGAACATGCGACATTGTCTACTACATTGGAGTCAACAGTCGAGACCCAGTTTGATGAACCAAGCAATACAGTGAATTCTGATAATCTCTCAGCTGTCTATGGCATTCACAAATTGCTCTTCGGCTGGCTCATAGGCCTCACGCCACCAGTTGGTTTGAGAGATGCTAAAATCCAGTGTATCTAACAACGAACACTATAGCCACCCATCGGGGAAATATGGGGCAGTACTGATATCGATATTCCAAGACATTGCTAGAAGGTCGGATACGAAGTATCTGGCGCCATGGCCCCGGTGATCATCCCCAACTGTACTTAGGCAAACTATGGCCTCATGACCTCAATACTCACATCCCCAGCCTACACATTTGAAAGTTAGCCAGAAGAAAATGCCTAGAAGTCTGCGTAGATCGAAGGATTGAATAAGGTTAAAAGCTAGCGGAAGATATATGAAAGTTCGTCTGAACCGAGGGGTAGTTCAGATGGCTTGGCGCCAGACTCGGGGGTAAAAACGTGGAATAGGCCAGAACCTGCTTACTTCAGATCGATAAGCAGAGTTTCTGATCTCACTAAATACCCAATCTGTCAAATTTCGATCTCTTCTCAACTATATATTCGGGCTTTTGGCTTGTGGAGAGCCAGCACATCAGGATGCACCCATTGCATAGCCACTGTGGATAATAGTCTCCCCACCACTTGGCTTCGATACTCATTCACTGTCTATAACCCTCAAGCTTGTGCCAATTTCTCTGATGTTCAATCGTAGCCATTGGACAAAAGTATTCACATTTGGATAATCGACGACCCAGCATTCGCAACTCTAGCTGATTGGCTTCGCTCGAGGTCGGCATTATTTACCGGGTTCGTCTCGACCACTTATGCCAGCCCCGTTCTTAACACAGTGATCCCTACAGCCTCGGTTTCTCAGAAACTGTATCTTCATTTATAGTCTTGTCTCTACCCTCCCACCGTTGTTGGGAGATCAGGAGTTGAAGCGACGGGACCTCAATATAGTTGAGGTTGGCTATAATCATGGCGATGGTTTTGCATTCGATTGATTACCGCCAGATGACTTTACAATGTGAGATATTTTGATGGTATAAGTCCTGACAGCCTTCTCAGTTCAACTTACTTTTCTTCCATCACCATCATCTTCATCACCAAACCACAACTCACCTTCAAACCAAACATGCTTACAAAATGCCTTCCCTCCTATCCCCTAGAAAACTGTCTTCCAACTTCTCTGCCCTGGCCGCCACGGCCGCCGGGCTCCAGAGCCATAACACCCTCTTCCCAACCAACATCACCACTGGTGGCGGCGGTGGAACCAGAGAGCTACAAATCACCTTTGCCGAGCCAGCAGGGACCAGCGACCTCCCAGCTGTGCAGACCATTGTGGCGGGCAACTCGTTCTATGGCGGCATGTTCCTCTTTGACCGCTCACCCAGGACGCCGCTGCCTTTATCCACGCGGTCGAATGTCATGCTGGGTGCTACTCACAGGGAGGTGGTGCAGTGCTTGGGGACCTGTCAGTTGAATGATGTGTAAGTATTGTTTTCATTGCTCTCCACCTCATCCAGGGTTTCACTCATTTGTGGAGATGGAGTTGGTGGACAGACGTCTGTGAAGACGCAGCCACATTCCCACAAACGAGCGGACCATCAACAGTCAACGACGGCGGGGCCAAGGATGCCGAGGACAAGGTGTTCCAGCACAATGGCGGTGGGCTGCTGGAAGTTAAGAACTTGTATGTCGAGAACATGGGCTGCATGTACCAACCTGGCGGGACCTGCGGTGAGATGCCTGCCCGGGCATCAACGTTTGATGACATTGTAGTCAATGGGGCGAACATGGTCACGGGCATGAATGGGAACTTTGAGGATACTACGACAGTTTTAAATTCTTATGTTGTTTCGGAGAGCATTTGTGAGTTGTTTGAGGGGTCCAGGGGAGTGAGGAGCCGAGTGTTACGACTATGGTGCTGGATGGGAAGACTTGTGCGACTAGTAATGTTACTACTAGTGGTTGTTAAGAATGGGACTTGGTGTTTGGTCATGGGATATGAGGAGCTTGATATTCGTTCAACTGGATAGTCCATGCGATAGTGGAGTTTTGTTGTATTATTTGTAACCGTTACCTTGAGAACTTGGTCCGCGTGTTTCTAAATGTGTCTTGAACGGTGTGAGTGTGTGGCATTAGGAAAACTTCGTACTTGACAGAATTGATGTACTGTGCAGCTCAGAGCAGCCCTGCCTTGTTTCAATGGATGTGATCATTGAAGTGCATGAGAACCAAGTCGTGTACAAAAAGGGTCTCAATGTCAAGTATGCTTAGGGTAACCCCATGTCGCTCCTGGGTAGCTCCCGGGTAGCTCTCGAGCAAAATTCTGGTGGGGTCCTGGTATCAGTGGTATCCCATCGCGACATCGAGGTTGCGGGCAGATCACTTTCAGAAGGCTTCCAAAAATTTGTTACTCCTTACAGCTGCTCCGAGGTCGTATATCTCAGTTGGTCCCACCCTTGAATTTTGAGCCGAGTCTTAATCTTGATAATGGCTTCCCTCCCACAAACCTTCGACCGTAAGTGGTTACTGCCCTCATCTGAATGAAAGCCTCGAAAATTTACCCCGCCAAAGTTGGCGATAACAAAAACTTGACCGGCCAAATGTGCTGACATTTCCGTCAACACCAGGACCGGTCCATATCGCCGTCATTGGCGGCACCGGCCTCTACAAGATCGACGGCTACACACCGGTCGCCGTGGTGAACCCCGAGACACCTTGGGGCAAACCCTCGTCGCCGATCCACATCCTCGAGCATAACGGCGTGCCCATCGCTTTCCTTGCGCGCCACGGCGAACACCACCAGTATGCGCCGCATGAGGTGCCCGCGCGCGCCAACATAGCCGCCCTCCGCCACATCGGTGTGCGGTGCGTCATCGCTTTCAGTGCGGTCGGCTCCCTGCAGGAGGAGATCAAGCCCATGGACTTCGTCGTGCCCGACCAAATCATCGACCGCACCAAGGGCATCCGGCCATTTACTTTCTTCGAAGGCGGGCTTGTTGGCCATGTTCCCTTTGGCGATCCCTTCGATAGCAAGATAGTGAATGTGGTCAAGGGCTGTGCGGCCGCTATGAAAGGCGAGGGCGTCACGCTACATGATAAGGGGACGGTGATCTGCATGGGTACGTACAAAATCTTGCATGACTGGATTTACGACCTGGACTAGACTGACGAGACATACTTTCTACAGAGGGGCCTCAATTCTCTACTCGCGCCGAATCAAATCTCTACCGCTCCTGGGGTGGCTCCGTCATCAACATGTCGGCACTGCCCGAGGCCAAGCTTGCCCGCGAGGCCGAGATGGCGTACCAGATGATCTGCATGGCTACTGACTACGACTGCTGGCACAGCACTGAGGACGTGGATGTTGCCATGGTTATGCACCACATGTCGACCAACGGTCAGAACGCGAAACATCTGGTTGGTGCTGTACTCGACGAACTCTCCAAACAGGAGAACAGCGACTTGGTCACGGCTAAGCACTGGGAAGGGGCGAGCAAGGGCGCTGTCATGTACTGCACTATGCCTGAGGGTCGTAGCCCGGAGGCTTTGAAGAAGGTCCAGTATCTGTTCCCAGGGTTCCTCAAGGAATAGGAATATTATCTATCACGACCCAAAGGCCGACGGAGATCAAATCAAAGCGTGGCACGAGTTGGATGAGGCCTTGCCGTGCGGGTGAGGAAACCTCTAGATGTATATCATTCTCCTATCTATGGGGTATATGCAGCCATATCCAGGGGCTAAACGGCCTTCGAAACCACGCTTCCTGACACAAAATACAACAAATATTCTTGAACTTAGCATTGCCCATACTCTAGCCCTTTTCCAGCCTCCCTTGCCTCTACTCGATTCTGAATCGTTTCTGACCTCCACAGATCAAGGTTTGTCATCCTTTGAACGTAATCGTATTCCAACGCTGATCTCAGCCTGTTGCCGCGTATCGAGGCCTCAAATTGGGCAGCCGCATAACACACATCTCTTTTGTATACCGTGACATCGGGAGTACCCCTGTCCGGCAAAAATACGTTTTCTATCTTTGCCCAGTTGCGAACTCGCCCGTAGCTGTGTTGACCATCTGTTCCCTGGCCTCTTACCGGATCTGTTCCCAGAATATCAGCATCCCTTTGAGTAGCGGATGCAGACTTTTCACCTTATCCTACGTGACTTTCGTCATACCGGAACCTTGAGATGAGGTTAGAACTGCCGGTAAATTCCCATATATTTCAAGGGGTCGCTGTGGTGTTCCACGACCACCGCTCGCGTTAGAAGAGGTTTCCTGCCGACAAACTCCTCGACTCGTGACAATCCTGACTCAACGATACTGTTATACTGGCGCTTCTAGTCCTCGGGCAGAGTATCGCGCAACCGGGTAGCATCAGACCCAGCCCAGAGCGAACTGCACAAGCAGTCTTTGGGGCATTCCCAGCACGCCTTTAGGCTCCCTGGGCCAAGCTCATCGGGGCCATGGGATGCAAAGGCCTCTCGTCGGTGGCAGACGCAGCAGCATGGCATCCATCATACGCTCAGCCATTCGGGGTGGTAGATGTGCGTGCATTGGAAGACTATGAGGTTGCCGATTTCGTCTTCCACGTGGCAGATGACGCATTGTTTTAGGGGTGAGAGTCGTAGGGTGGAACGAGTGGGCAGCTTGCACTACCATAGCTTTAGGACCTGCGTTGCTGGCCGCTTATTGACCATAGTGTGAGTTTCGAGCAATTATGATCTCCGTTGGCGGCTGAATGTATAGTGCTGCTGGATTCTCAATTGGCATGTGTCTTAGCGTGGGGTAGGTTTAGAGTTGATGGGGTACCAGAATCAGTATGGTCAGTTGTGAAAGTGCTGGAGCATGTGAAGTTCTTACAATGCTTTGTCGTTGCCCCTGACGATCTATACTCCGGCTTATTCGCGTCGAGGTCATATGCGGTTGCTATTTGAGTAGATATGGTGACATTTACTCAACTCCCTGTCTTCAAGTTTGTTCTAAATTATGTATCTTGCATAATTCGGACGTAAGAATATTGACTTTACTTCCATCTCAAGTCGCCTAGAAGATTATACTCCATACTGTCGGGTCTAGAGAATTTCCTGAATCGGTTAGATTTGATTCCCGACTCGACTATGCGCCGCTGTGGATTTAGAGGGACAGCTGTGACGGCATGTACATGTATGGTGGGGTTGGGTTGATCCACGCTGCCACGATAATCGGACGCAAGTCGTCAGCTCCTCAGCACTTTAGATCAGGGTTTTCCGTTCGCCTTTTCGTCCCCTCGTTTCATTTTTTGAACTAATGCCATCTGACTCGGAAACCAGACCCAATTCCTCCCGCAGACACATACTTCTGCTCTCGCTCGTCGTCGTGATCCTGGCGTCGTTTCTCACCACAGCTTTGCCCCGCCTGTTCCTCCTCGCAACCCAAGTTTCCATACCTCTATCTTCCAACATCCGCCAATTCACCACCAACCCCCCCAAGATGTCGTTCGCGAAAGAACTCGAAGTGGCCCAGCTGGCGGTGCAGCGCGCCGCCATCCTTACGAAGCGCGTCTTCCACGAGAAGGCCAAGGGCACGTTGAACAAAGACGACAAGTCGCCCGTCACCATCGGCGACTTCGGCGCGCAGGCCCTCATTATTTCCTCGCTCAAGGCTAGCTTCCCCGCGGATGAGATCGTGGCAGAGGAGGAGGCGAGCACTCTGCGCGATGACGCCAACCTGCGCGCGCAGATCTGGGACGTGGTCAAGAACACAAGCCTGTCGGATCCGGCTGCTGAGGACATCCTGGGCGGGCCTGTCAAGGACGAGGAGACCATGTTGACCATGATCGACTATGGAAACTCCAAGGGCGGCGCCAAGGGCAGGATATGGGCCATTGACCCCATTGATGGCACCAAGGGCTTCCTGCGCGGTGGGCAGTACGCTGTCTGTTTGGCCCTCATGGTGGATGGAGATGTCAAGGTCGGCGTGCTTGGGTGCCCGAACCTGCCTATCGACGATGCAACGCAGTTGACCGCCGAGATCGGCAAGGACCAGACGGATGAAGGGAACGGTGCCTTGTTCTCGGCTGTGCTGGGACAGGGGGCTACGAGCCGGCCCATGAGCACTGGTGGTTTGGAGAAGGAGAGGAGCATCAGCATGCGGCCCATCACCGATATCAAGAAGGCAACATTCTGTGAGAGTGTCGAGGCCGGCCACTCGAGCCACGGCGACCAGGCTGAGATTGCGAAGAAGCTGGGCATCAACAACCCCAGCGTGAGGATGGACTCGCAAGCCAAGTATGCCAGCATAGCGAGAGGCGCGGGAGATATCTACCTGAGGTTACCGGTTAGTGCTACTTACCAGGAGAAGATCTGGGACCATGCCGCTGGAGACTTGATTGTGAGGGAGGCTGGGGGCCAGGTGACAGATATCCATGGAAAGAGGTTAGACTTTACGGTTGGCCGGACGTTGGCGAACAATAAGGGTGTGGTGGCTGCGCCGGCTGGCGGACATGCTGAGGTCCTTGCTGTGGTCCAGGAGGTCTTGGGCAAGAAATAAGGGGCTGCCATAGAATCGGCATGTTTGGTAGCATCGGCAATACTCGGCCAGTAATCGATGTTAGCCACAACGGGTTGAATCTAAACTTTATCGCCTCCGCGTTTCTGGCCTTTCAACCTGAAGCCTGTTGTTAGTAGTTGCATCTGCAGCGATTTATACGAAATTATGTAATGCTCACACACGGACCTGAAATTGTAGAAGTATACCACTATTTCCAAGCGGAAGATAGTATCAACGGCGCACCGAGGCGGAATGCACGATTTGTTTTCATTTACTACACTGGAATCCCGTGGTACACCTACATCATTTTACACTTGGTGCGCTATTGATTCTGTCCTCCGCTTGACTTCCTCACTGGTATCCTAGCCCGAATGATGAAAATAGGGAATCCAAATTATATTTTTCTTTTTCTTTTCTTCTTTTATTTCGAATGCTACTACCCTAAACTAAGCTGTGACCTTTAAAACCAAAATTGATAACAAGACCGGAAGGGGAAGAGGAAGAGAAGAGAGGAGAAAGAAACCGAGGATCGGATGAGGGCGAAAAGGGGGAGGAACAAACCTGAGAGGTCGGAGAAAAGGGAGGAATTATTGAAAAGAATTCAAAATAGTTAATCAGAAAACTATCAACGATGACTCTAATCTAGTCTCGTAGCCCTTGCTCGAGTTTCCTAGGTGGCCCTGAAGAGGAAAAAAGAGAGAGAGGGAAATGAAGTGACGGAGGAATGGTGCCTCATATATATCCAGTGAGGAGACTGTTGGACAGTGTGAGTCAGCAGTCGCCATAGAGTAGTTGGTTGATTCCGAGGGCTGAAGAAGTGTGAAAGTGTTCAGTACCTGGGATTGAAAGAGTCCCCTACATGGAAACGCGGCAAGTGTCGGGGCGAAAGAAAAAAGGTCTTGAGAATCCTTATTCTTCTCTTTTTTCCCTTTTATAATATGGATGTGACACTGCTAAGTCATTGTCGCCTTTTCGCCAATTTGGCAACCTGTAGCTTCAGCCCGCATTCGTAGTACACTCACCCCTCCCTTTGGTACAAGGACACTTTGGAGTGTATACTGCTATTCCTGAATGCATGTTGCAATCAACCACCCAGCCACGTAGGAAATTAGTGTAGCTTACACGAGCATCGTCTGACCAAGGGCATGTTAGGCCATTTGTCCTTATGAAATTGTTTGTCCCCGGTATTCCGGTGTAATATGATGATGTAACCAAGTTATCCCACCTGGATGCGCGCCTTACTTATTTTGCCACGTTACGCTGGGCCACGTTCGTGCTGGAGCTTGGAGTGATTGCCAGAGTAGTAGAATTGAAGATCTGTTAGCCATGGGTGTGAATACAGACATTGTTACAACTTCAGAGACGAAACATCGACAAATACTGCACACGGAGGCTGGAGATGCATGTTGAAATACGAACGCGGACATGAAAGTTATCACTAGGTATTCAGCCTACAGATTTCCGATTTGATCACCATCGATTGCTAAAAGACGATGAAGCGTTGAGTCTCAGCGGGGAATGTCACTGCGAATGCGATTTAAGGTCTAGTTTGGAAGTACACCGCCCGCAACTTCCTCCAAACCAGTCTGAAGCCCTGGTCCATTCCATGTATGCTCTCGACGTCCGCAAATTGGACGACGTTACTATAAACCTGTGCGCCACCTCTGCAAAAGACTCGCAGATCATACTTCGACAGATATCAGGTCACATCAACAGATACAGCGCCCTAACCCCCTTCTCCGCCGCGGCAATATGCCATGGCCGTACATCGACCTCCTTTTCCACCATGCCCCTGGCGCGCGCCAGTGTCCCCAGACCACGGAAGTACGTCAACATCTCCCTTAGCAGAGTCTCGTAAGCGCGTGGGTTGCCCTCGCTATGCACAATGTTAACCTCCATTACGACGGGCGGGTCTTCGACTCGCGTCCCGCTCCGCTTGACTAGGTATCCACTCGCTATGGCTGGGTTGAGCTCCGTCAGCGAGTTGGAGTTATTGAGTCGGTGCGAGAGTACGGCGCCCCAGGTCTGATCCGTCACGTCGACGAGTGTCGCATCGGCATCTGACTCTGGCGCCACCGCAGAGTCACCGCCGCCCGGGGTTGGAGCACTGGTCGCCGTGTCACGCAGGGACGGGGTAGGCGGATTCCCCGACTGCTCGGGGGAGACCATAGACGCTTGGGGTGTGGAGACAGGCGTGGTGTAGAGGGCACCCAGCGCGTTGTAGGGCACTTTGACCGCCGGGGGGATGAGTTGCAGTGACGGATCCGTGTCGACGGTGAGCAGCGTCAGGGTGATTGATTTGGGGTCTGACTGCGCCAATATGGACCAAAGCTCAATTTCCGACTGCTCCATCACGCCACATTTGGTGATGATTATACGCCAATGCACTTTCCAGACGCTGATGAGGTCACGCGTTGTTTGCCAGATCTCGTGGGCCACGTCCGCCAGTGGGGTCGCTATAGATTTGCCCTTTCTCCCGAGACAGTATGAAGCTGTCATCTGCTTGCTGCCTCGGTTGTCTGTCCACGCGGCAGTGACCCAACGTTCGTCTATGCTTTGAGCATAGGCGATATGAAGACACGTGTTCTCGTGCAGAAGTGACGCAGATGGTGACGCAGACAGTTTGAAGTCTATCATCCGTGGTAGGGGCTTCTCAAGCACGATTGCAGGTGACGGTACGGGTCCACCAAAGAAAGTGCATCGGTCGTAGGTTTCGATCGCTAGTCGGATAAAGTCGACAGGTGACGGTGTTGCCAGGGAACTTGCCGAGGCAATGAAATCAATTGGAACAAGTTGCAGAGCCATCTCGTTCTCAGCCGGTCTGCGGCTGGCAGCTACGAGTTTCTTGTACCTCTCGAAGAGTTGATGGAAGGAATAGCACGATTCCACGACAGCCCCAGGCGTGTCCGCAGGATATAGAAAGAACACAACGAAATTTGTCTCCTTGGCTGTTAGCTGGAACAATTCGTCACTGAGTTTTGACAATCCTGCTAGCTGCGCAGAGCCCAAAATGGATGGAATGCTCTGCAACGTTTCACTGGGGTTGTCGACTTGATACGGTAGCAAACCACCGGGAATTTTGACAGATTCTGTTAAGCGACTGAAGGAGCCCAATTTCAAGGATTCGTAGATACTCTGCATCCTGTCTAGAAAGCAGTCTACATCGTCCTTGAGGCCAGCAAAGTCCGGATATATGCATATGGCGTTGATATCCTTGTTCCCATTGGAAGGACCAAGACCCAAGCTCTCCCAGAACGAGATCGCAGACGGCAGTACCGACAGTTTTGATTCATACCGTCGTAACTCAAAGTGAGGGGACGGTATCTGGAACAAGTTGTTGGGTTTCAACTGATCTACCCCGGGTGGCCGGGGCTGCATTCTCGTAGGCTGGCCCAAGAGAGGAATATCTTGAATCTCCATGAATGGCCTGAATTGGGAGTCAACGGGTTCGCCGAAACATGTTGGGAGCATCGACTTGAGGTCTTGAACTGATTGATTTGTGATGCTGAGCAAGTCGCGCCGGCGATCAAGTTGTGTCTGAAGGGACCGGTGTGCTTCGTTCGTTAGATGTAGCGTGCTAGTTGATGCTTGTTCCATCAGAATCTGCGCGGCCATGACGAAGTCTTGATCGGCAAGTGACACCTCGAACGACGGCGGTTCTGGGTCGGCAAAGTACTTTGCCAGTGAAAGTTCAACTTCCGACTTGGAGAACCTAGGCAGGTCGAGCGACAATTGGGGCGAGGCTGCATCGAGGCATTCGAGTTCCTTGAACGAGGTAGCCAAAGATTCTCCATCATCGTCTCCTCGCCGCCGCCTGACACTGGTGGGCTTCGCTGGAGACAGGGGTTCGTCGCTCTCGTAACTTGAATCATCCAGATCAGACACAAGACTGATCTCGTCAGCATCTGATGGGGGATCATCCAGTTTTGTGGGACTGGGATGCTGCGAGGTAGAGCCTTGCCCGTTGACCATTCGAACAAAAATCTCACTGATATTGGCTGGCGGCTCCTTGAGGCCCTTGCGACCTCTGTTATGGCGTCGGAGATATTCGGTGGTGGGGGGTGCATTGAATGTGGACGGGCCGGGTCCCTGACTGAAGGAGACGTCAAAACGACCGTTTCCCTGGTATTTGCTGTTAACAACAGATAGACTAGGCCCGAAATCGACCTTGTCAAATATGCTACCGGGTTGTGATATTTGTATTTGGGAATTTTGTTGGAATGCCTTGCGATTATCCAGGGACGCCCGGATCCGCTTGAAAACCGTATCTGGATTGAAAGGGCTCGCCTGCCTTTTTGTACCGCTTGATTGCTGGTGCTGATCTGGCTGTGTTTCAACAGGACGGCGAGCATCTTCAGTCAAAGAACTTCGGGCATGCTTCAGCTCTGGTTTTGCGAACACAGGCGACAGAGGAACAATGTGAGGTGGTGGTTGAGGAGATTCGACCTTGAGTTCAGTTGCTGCTGGAGCGTCGAGATTTGGATGCAAATTGAGGTTTGTATCCGCGCCTGTCATGTCTTGTAGATCGAGTGTCAGTTCCATGCCGTCGGGTTGTTCATCAAAGAAATTGAAATCAGCATCCGTGATATCGTTGTCACCAAACATGTCAGGGCCAAGGTCACCAAATAGGTTCTCCGATTCGAACGAACCGGTGGCACGTTCGCGCTTAACGCCCGTGTTCTCCCAACCATCATGATATGTGTCCCCGGGTATAGTTATGACAGTGTCGATGTCAACCATCGCCATCGCACTTGGGTTATTTCCCGGGCTAGATACCGTTCCATCCATGGAAGGCGTAACGCCTACTGGGATTTGTACGCCATCGGGCGGCGTGGGATACATTGCACCCGCTGGTGGTCCTGTGTTGCCCAGCCGTTGTAATGCCAAGGGAGACAGCCCAGCTGTGTTCTGTATCTGTCCATCCGACAAGGCAGTCTCACGCGCGGCTGCGGCCTCCCTCTCTTGGCGCTTCTTGGCCATTTCCTCATCTCGCTTATCACTGCCCAGGAACCACGTTTTGGCAAGAGTGAGAGGATCATAGGACTTGTGTGGTTCCGAAGGAGGGGGCTCTTCAGCACCGCCTTTTAAAGATAGCTTGGAGAGTGCCTTGCAGAAGCAGAGACTGGAAGGCCATGATATGTTCGGGGACGCATGCGGTAATGGCGTGCGCTTACCGTCGAATTTCGGCTCTGTAGGTTTTCGACGAATTTGCTGAAGGTTGAGCCATTTTTGCGACCCACTGACTGGACATGAACCGTTCCGAGCTTCTAAGAGCTTCGTGCATATGCTCCTCCACGGGTGTGATCTCTCATCCCTCTCGGACCGCAATCGAAGAGTCTGCGTATCTGGTGATTGTCCAACGGCGCTCTCTACCGAAGAGCGTTCGCTGTCAGCAGGAATTTGGCAAGTCGCGAATACACCTAGAGGGGCAGCTAGGACGGTGATTCCTATTGAAGGTAGGGTGGCATAGTCGGACAATGTGTCTAGACCTTCCACTGTTGAGAGGCTGATTTCAGCGACCAAAACACCCGTGGTTGTTAGGTAGGCTCGCAACGAAGCAAGAATGGGTGCATTTGCGCTACCTTCGTCTTCCATAACTTTGGGAAGCAGCATAGTCCGCGGGTTCATTGGAGTAGCGCCTGTCTTCGCACAGAAGGCTGTCGATAGCGCCGAAAGAACAGCAGATATGAAGTGCCCATGGGTATCCCGTATTGAGGTTGGCGCAGAGTTTGCAGCATCATTGCTGGTCCCCAGCTTCGGTTCTTGTTCGACGGAAAGACCAAGAGTAGGTTGTGTAGACGGTGCTGTGGCTGATGAAGGATTCCTGAAATTCAGGTCTAGAATAGCAGAACCGCTGGATGAGGAGCTACTCGGGGTATTTGCCGCATTTGGTCCAAAACCTCGAGTTTTCGCCAGTGCCGCGGGCTCGTATGCTCCCTCCTCGGCTAACGATAGTGTGTATCCCGATTTCTGAACCGATTTCGCAAAACCAGAGGTCTCGGGCTGGGTGCCGGGAGCTCCATCTTTGCGCCAGACCCGAAAACACCATAACCCACGGCGAGTACCATCGACATATGCCAAGCAACCGTCATTCTTCAATGCGCTTTCGAGTTCAAGTGCTCCTGGCCCAAAGAAGGTCGCCGGCGGGGAGACGGGTTCGTAGAATGCATAGCCAATGAATGAAATATTGTTCTAACAAAAGACCATTAGTCATGTCAAGGCCAGTGAAAATATTCGCTTTTTGTACGCACAACCACTAAAGCATTAGTCTGATATTCCGCAGCGTCCATATCGTAAGCCGGATCGTGGCAATCACTGTATCGCCTGGCAGATATGCCTTCCTGCCTGCGCTTTGGATAGACACACGCTCGAGAGGTTACCGGGCGCCCAAGGCAGTCGTAAATCGACGCGTGTGAGTCAGCGTACCTGGCGCTGCATTCGATACGCTGCAGTCGCAATCGCAGTCGGAGGTTATGGTTCGTACTGTCGTGGTGCTCGAATCCATCTCAACAGCGCCTGGCGAATGGCGCGACTTGGAGACTTTGACCGGGATCCGTCACCGTGAGACTAAGGATCGACGCGTCGCGAGAAGGTTATGCCCATTCGTGGTGATGGTGATCGTAGTTGGGTCTGGATAAGTGACAACGCGAGGCTGCGGTCTGTTGGGGCTTATACCTGAGCAGTCTAGGTTAGATGCCGTCGTGTTCGTCGTCGTCGCAAACCCGCAAAGCGTCCGGTACTCCCGTACCCCGAATATCCATTAATAACAGGCTCAATGTGAATTGGCTGGGGTGATAAGCCTGCTGTGGCTCACGGAGAGGCATCCAATCCCTTGCGTTGTTAGTGCAGATTTCGGGCTGGGCCGGGGCTTCCGACGCATTGGTGCGGCGTGGGTACCCCAGCCCAGCCAGTTCACGAAACTCGCTGGAACCGCTTCAGGTGGGTCCGAGTGTGGATCACCCAAGCTAACCTTGAGCTTCTTATCCAACATTTTTTCTCTTATCGCCCCTCCAGCGGATTTTTCTTCAACGCCAAAAGCTACATCTGGAACCGCGTCTCACTCATCTCAGGCGGCAATAGTCCAGTGTTGATTTACTCTAGACGTCGCTATGAAGGCCGAAAAGCTTGGAGATGTTTCCGTGTACACTGTCGCGGGCGCAGAGACAGCGCGTCCGCTTCCCGAATGGGTCAGTTTAAGATCGCGAAGATCAAGGTATCTAGTGATCGCAATCGCTAACTTTGATATAATATAGCTTGCCAGGAGACGAAAGCGCAGTCTCAAGACCAATTCGGAATACCAGAACAGGGTGGAACTCCTGCAGGATTTTGAATTGTGAGTTGCTCCAAAAACCCATACCTATTACTTTGAAGCCTTACTGACATGTCACAGCGAAGAGGCGAGCCAATGTATTCGTGTTAGTGAGGATGGCGACTGGATTATGGTTAGTATTCGGCTTTCCGCTTGATTTTGTCTCCCTCCTTTGCGGAGAACTGCAACATCCTTCTTGAAGATGCACATGCCCTGGCAGATGGGCATCAGACTTCCGACTTAGCTCAAGCTTGTTTGGGAAATCATGACTAACAACCCTTCGCATTTAGTCCACAGGCACATACAAGCCTCAAATGCATGTGCACTATACGCCTCACCTGTCTCTCTCCTTCGCAAGACACACGACGTCTCTAAATACGACGTTTCGTTTGCTCTCTTCAGACTACACCAAGTCTCTGCACCTCCAGAGTGATCGCTCATTAGAGTTCCACGTACGTTGACACTGGTACCATCCTTTCCGTTCTTGTTCTATTTCATGAGCAGCCAACTCGGAATAGTCAGTTGCTGCTCCTGAGGCTTCATGCAAGCTTCCCAAGGGACTTTACAAGTTGCAATTGCTGATTTATGGGCCGTAGACGAAAGGGGGTTGTCATTACGCGACTCGCATTCCCCGCTATGGCCGCGACTTGGTCTACGATAGACATTCAACAGAGGCTCTGATACCATCCGTGGGGCTTGATGCAGAGGGTAGTGGCGAAGTGTTTCGCATGTGAGTAACTTTCGTCTTGTGCCGGTAATTTACACACACAGCTATGCAACTGCGCCTCTCGGACTTTGAATACTTCACCACGGACCTTCCACAGTAACTAACATGCATTGGTATAGGAATCTTGAATTAGGGAGATTTATGAAGTCGTATCAGATCGACGTTGGTCGCGATGATTCTGTTGAGACTGGTTTGCAGGGCGGCATCAACGTAGGTAGCGTTAACACTGGTGCTATTGCAGAAGACAGGTCAGTTGATTTCTCCCAATGACCACACGTCAGGGGTGAACCAGTTCAACATAACGGGATTCGCTGACTTAAGTTTTTTCCAAGTCATAACCTTTTAGCCTTTGGAACCAGCGTCGGCACCGTCGAGTTTTGGGACCCTCGTTCAAAGAGTCGAGTGGCTATTATCGGTGGCCAAGAAGAAATTACTGCACTTGATTTCAACCCGACTGGATTGTCAATAGCCACCGGCACGTCAACAGGCTTGGTCAAGATATTTGACCTGAGAAGCCCGGTCCCATTATTTCACAAGGATCAAGGCAACGGATTCCCAATCAAGGAATTGATACACTTGACTACTGCCTCGCAGGAGAAGAAGATTCTATCTGCCGACAAGAAGACGATCAAGATATGGGCCGAGGACGACGGCAAGCACTGGACATCGGTCGAGCCCCTTGTCGACATCAACTCGGTCGCTTGGTGTAAAGGCAGTGGCATGATACTTACGGCGAACGAAGGCAGAGCTCAGCACAGCTTTCTTATACCACAGCTGGGCCCCGCCCCGAGGTGGTGCTCCTTCTTGGACAATATGGTTGAAGAAATGGCGGAAGAGGTTCAGACCACCACATACGACAACTACAAGTTCTGTACCCTGCCAGATCTCAAGTCGCTGGGGTTGGATCACCTCATTGGGAAGTCCAATCTGCTGCGGCCTTATATGCACGGTTACTTCGTTGCCTCCAAATTCTATGATCAAGCCAAGTTGATCGCAAACCCATACGCTTGGGAAGAGGAGCGAGCTAAGCGCGTCAAGGAGAAGGTTGACAAGGAGCGCGCCAGCAGAATCCGTGGAAACAAGAAGGTCAAGATCAATCAGAAGTTGGTTGACAAGCTTCTCAAGCGACAAGAAAATAGAGCCCAGGTCGACACCAATGCTGGACTACTTGGTGACGACCGTTTTGGCAAACTATTCGAGGATGAAGAGTTTGTGGTCGACGAAAACAGTCGCGAATTCCAAGTTCTCAACCCGAGCACAAAGATTGACCCTAACAGTGGCGCTACGAATAAGCCTGCTGTAGAGTCCCCAGCGGAAGAAGACACCGACATGGATGGCTCTGACGAAAGTGAGGATGAAATTGTCCCTCAACGGAAGTTGAAGGACGTGGTGGAGATGCGAGTCTCTTCGTCGAATGCGGGTAGCGGTCGTCATTTCAAGGACACAACGCTGGGTTCCCGAGCTCAGATTGCCGTTCGGAGCAGCAAAACACGGCCCGGTGAAGTGGTCGGGGAACAGTCCATGTCGTTCGTTCCAGAAAGAAAGAAGAAGCAGAACAACCAAGATGTCCCCGAGCAACAGACCACGAAAGACAGGAGGAAATCGGATGCTAGACGAAGTGCGAGCGGAAATACTTTCAGGCAAATGTGATACCCAGACGATGCACACGAAACGTCGAGTCATTGATAACCTATTTATACATACAAGCGAGAAGACCAACCAGCCAAGTGGGCTCATTATACCAGAACACCGAAGGCAAACGCTGACGCAAGTCAAATACCCAATAGAAGTCATGTCGACATTCACACATAACAATATCCTCAAGTCCTCCCAATATGGTTCATAACCTCCAGGGCACAGGTGGGCCTTACTTCTTTGGCCACTTGCTTCGTTTGCTCCGTCCTTCTGGGCTCTGTCGAGTACTTGGCTGCGCATAGCCCTTTTCAAGATCCTCGGGCCGCAGACGTGGGGTCGGTGGCACATCGTCAAGGCGAACACGATTTCGGGATGATCTCCCCGACAACTCTTTGACGGATTTGGGAAACTCGGAGCGGCGAGGTGTCAGGGCAGTGACCACTTTCTTAGCCGACTTGCGGATAGTCTCTTTGATCTTCCACTCCCGCTTCTTAGCAATATAGAAGAGAACAGCCATTGAGACTAGATATGAGTTAGCTTTGCTGAAGCGCGTTCCAAAGGCGAAAGAGAACATACTGCCGAGCACAGCGACGACACAGACGACCACAATGATGGCAACCATGGCCCCATGCGATAATTGAACACCTCCAGAGCTGGTACCGGATGCTCCTGCATCACTATCGATTGCACCACCAGAGTTTGCCGAACCGGAACCGCTGTCATTGCCTCGGGTGGCTGGGTCCTCCGTCGCTAGAGGAAAGTATGACGAAGTGGTAGTCGCCATGACGACCTGCAGTGAAGAATCTCGGTGGGTGTGGAGATGGGTCTTTGTTTATGTTTAGTAATGCAAGCGTTGAATGTTCAATTCAACCCAGTCGAAGGCTCGGATGCCAGGAATAATAGAAGAAGAGCCAAACGTGTACTACAGTCCGTCAGATTATCTACCGGTAACTATATATGTGAGTAATAGACCACTACCGGCCAGGAATCTAACGTCCCCACTGTCTGTCCAGCCGCCCAAGAGGGGCCGCTCCGTGAAGCCATCCCACTGATGTGACATGGCAAGTCGGGTCTGCAAGGTAGCAAGTGCTGGGTACAATTTTCGGCACTCGTCAACTGTGTCTCATGCAAGCCCTGCACCTCTGATGCCGTTCAAGACCCCGCTGCGCCCCGTAGACTCATTGGGCATGCAAGGAACAGCACCGTGAAAGGAGTCTTAAATCAGAATACATTCAGAAGCTTGGCCAAGGTGATTGGTACAGCTCCTGAGCGAAGCGCTGACCAAAAAAGCACTTCACATTTGGAACGTGGGGACTGACCAATGAAGGAAGAGGAGACTAGGATCATCGCTTCCTGCAGGTGCATCATGGCCCGTGCATATCGACTCCATCGCTCTCGACATCCGTCACATCCATAGGGCGGGCACCTGCTCCAAAGATTTCTAACTGTGCAATGAGCATCGCGAAATCATCGTTGGCCTTGACGCAGATTCTTTGCCGAACGGCCCTATCGAACTTATCACCCTATTGACTTGACCGCTTCCATGCAGAACATGACGAGAAATGAGTCGATGTTCCCACGTTCGGCAGTGCTGCGACTCTTGCAACCTTGTCAGCGTATTTTGGAATGAGTCTTCACCAAGACATCTTCCAAGACCCGACAAGACCCATCCGTCTCACTTGCCGCCCATGAGAATAGCATCACTTGTCCCCATGGCCCAAGGCCGGGACGGACTCTGCATGCCATACTGCGGCAGAAAGCTCGGCGATCTTGGTCAAGAATATTTTTGGAACTCACGTGGTTCTATTTGTGGCTCGAAACATGTGGCGCCGACATTTGTTTGCACCCAGACCAAGCGTTTTTACACTCGGAAGTCGCTATTCTTGAAAACTAACATGGGAAGTCTCAATTTTCTTAAGTTGAATGCACTTGACGACAGCGGAAATAGCCTCACCAAATTACAAATAAGGCCAAGGACCATTGACGTCTTGGACCAGCATCTCGAACCACGTTTTCGAGCTCGTGCTTCCCGCAGCGTGGTGTTATCCAATGCTACCCCGTGAGTGGGACTCGCACGGCAATCATTATCTTACGCAGTCGCACAATAGGAATGCCGACGCAAGGATGCATATCTCCGACTGTCAATTTCCCCATGCACGCTGCAAAGGCTATTTTCGACATAAACGACCAAACTCTATGCCGAAGACCACGGGCAGGAGAATCCTCGTAGGCGCTATAGTCAAGCTCACAACTGGTTCATGACAGGTTTTGTTGCAACACGCTTAACCAAACAAATCAGCCTGACTTGTGCTACATATTACCCCATCATTGGAGTATTGCAGCATCCGAGCATATCATGTGGCTATAAACAGAAGCAGTTGCTGACCACCACCTGTCAGAATTGCAACGTGGATATCACTCGTGGCAGGACTGCGTGAATCCAAATAATCTACGCAAACACCCATCGTCGTCGTCAATTGTTGGACTTCATGTCTTGTAGAAAACTGACCGGGCTAGTTTTTCCATTGCTGAGCCGGAAGGGTTACTGTTCAAAGCAAGGAGGTTGACGGTGCCGGACGGAATGCCAGTAGAGGCATCTGAGGTTTCAATGTTTTGCATGTACGAGCTCAAGGAAGTGGGGGACTACTTCTTGCACCATAAGAGGGCGGGATGGTAGGCACCGAGTCCGGTGATTGGAGAGATACCATCGACGTACCGGAGATGTTGTTGGTAGCCGCAGTGCTGTCGATCCAGGAGCTCAGAATGCTGGAGCTTGGGGCGAAGATGTCGAAGACGGCACCGTAGCTGGAGTAGCTGGCTCGGGCGTTGGCCGATGTTGTAGCACCGATAGTGCAGGCGTTGGCGTTATTGTTGCCAGTGGCGACGGCCAGGAAGACGCCAGCACCGACCATTTTGGCGGCTGCGGTGTTCACGGCGAGGGAGGCAGCGCCGCCGAGCGACGTATTGGCAACAGTGCCGTTGGGGCAAGATCGCGTATGCCAGTCAGTTGTGACAAAGTACATGCCAGCAATGACACCCGAGTTCGTTCCCGAACCATAAGCGTCTGGCACCTTGACAGTGTATAGCTTGGTCTGCTTTGCAACACCGGAGGTGGTGCCACCTGTAGTTCCAGACACGTGGATATCGTGGTCGTTGCTGTCTCCGGCGTAGTTTGCCAATCAAGTTGCACGGCCTCCGAACCGCGAGTGGGCCGTGTACTATATATCTCGAGGTATTAGTGATTCACTTCTCGAGGCTTGTTGTAGGACTCCCCGTAGAGTCCAACGTCTATATGGCATAATAAGAAAGGAGGTAAAGGGCACTGACGATTTCAGTGTTGATGACATAGGCGCATGTTTCCGCGCCAGCACTGCTGTCGTACACGTAGGTAATGCTTCCCACCGCCCGATGCGTTATGCGAGCAATACCCCAAGGAGCTCCAGTTTGTGAAACAGGCGTTGATGTTCACAAAAGCGTCCTGCTCCATATATTCGACCGGCAAATGGTTAGCTTAAAGTTGATACGACGGTCGACCGCTACTTACATCAGCATGGTTCTGGACAGCCTCCAGAGAGAGCCTCTTGAAACCCTTGATGGTGTAGACATGATCGGTCTCTCCCCCAAAAGGTTATGAACGTCACTGACCACTGCAGTACTGAACCCCTCCTTGAGCTTGACGATGTAATTGCCAGCCATGGGTTTGAACCCCTGGAGACAAGAAGTGGCGCTGGGCCACCTTCTCGCTGCTTCAGAGTAGCCGGATCAGCGAGGGCCAAAGGCAACAAGGACAGAACTACGGTAGCCTTCACTTTTGAGAGTAACAGTATGGGTACTGGAGTGAAGGTGGCATAGTGGCGGTCTGAGTCTGATGGGGCAGATTCTCCGTAACTTGTGCAAAACGAAAACCTTTCTCTGAGGGCATCGTGGCTATTTATCGACAGAGGCTCATGCCCCAGCCCGAGTCAAGCTATTAATTGTAATCTATGCCTTGCTCATATGCAATCACACCATAGTGTCGTCTGTTGCACTTTGTCAGCTGTGAAGCTGGATTGAGGCCAGCTGGTCCAAGTCACGATAGGTTGCGAAGCTGTGATTTGGAAGGAGGTTAATAAGATGCATACGCCCCTTGAACTCTTATCTGCGTCCCGGCTCCATCCAATGGTTTTATACACAGCACTAAAACACTGACCGGCTGCCTATCGCATCCAGAACTTCATGAGGGGTTAGGCAGTGTAACTCTTTCTTATTGTAGATGGATGTGTGCACCTAGGATGAAGCTTGCTCCGGTTTTTCAGGACCCAATAAGGCCTACTAACCTTCTTTTGCCTCCGTTATACCAAGTTAGACATGCTGACAATCAAGGCAATTGACATGGGCATCGGTTTGGGCGGCTGAAGATCCTGATCGCCCGCAAGAACTGAGACGTCACTGCTAGGCTGGAGCTGTTGCTGATCCGTACGATCAGCCAAGAACTATGATGTGCAGTTGCCAGGAACAAAAAACTCTATATATGTCTGTCATCGCAAGGCTGCACAAACACTGACTGCTCTTAACTGGCCGTACATGCAGTTTCTGGTGACGCGTTGTCTATGCACGTGGCTCAACGGTTTGAAGCTGCGCCCTTACAACCATCTTGTGTAAGGGATCACTCGACGGCGCAATAGATTGGGCACCCTCAAGCTTCTCGCTGGTCCCTTGGTGCAACTGGGGTCACGAGGACAACAATTTTCTTATATCGACACTGGTTGCTACTCGAGGAGAATTCCGGTCAGGTCTATGTATCCTTACAATAATTTATTGACCAACTGTACAACTGTATAGTTAGTGGCGACCATTGATCTATAAGAGCCCTACAAGGGATTGTCCCGAACATCACCCACCATGACCCGGCTCTGGACAGTATGAAGGAGGCGACCGCTGGTCGCTTTCGACTTCAGGCATTGCGGCTCTTACTAATTGAACGTCTCTCGACAGATTCGAACTGAAGGCGTGGCATACTTCTATATACAGTTCGTCGATTAACATGCTCCCTTCGCCATCCTCGTAAAGATGAACTGGAATATACTCCAGCCTGAGGTCCTCATTGAAGCTTCATCCGTGACTATTCACTGGTGGCTTCGGAAACGACTTTCACTACGTTGGCGTGCCAATAATACAGATATCACTGAAGAGTTCTCATTACCAAGGAAGGTTGAGATAGCTGGTTTAAGTGGTTTCATTTATGATGGTATTGATCAAAGACTTGGTGCTACTCTTTTGCCTTCTCGGGTTTCCTCCAAGTAGTTTCCTAGCTCGCTTCACTTCTGGTGCCTAATATGCTGTTACTATCTCCCTGGCGAATAGAGACCACTTGTCTACTATGACCTCAAGTCCTTTGTCTGAGTTTTGCCGGAACCATGCGTCTTTGATGGATATAATGTATTGAGTCCAGCCAACCATGGTCAAGCTAAAGTTAGGAGTACAGTTTTCTGGTCCCAAGTGCTTCAGGAGTTCGTGCGGGCAACAATGGCATTTGTATCGATATTTACTGCCCTAATTATATTGGGATAGAAATTCCTTCAAGGGGGCCTTTAAAGCTAGATCTCAGTTCTAGTCAAGACATGAGAGACAAACCACACTATGCTCAGACTGGGGTTTCAGTCTGCGTTTCTTGAAACGTGAGAGTTGCCAATATACCTTCGCTCCCCTCAATCCTATCACCATAGCGTGGAAAGAGTGGAAAGATCCGGAAAGATCTGTAACTTGCCTATCTGGTATATTTGTGTTGTGGTACCTTAAAATACTGAGAGACAGTGGATGTGATGACTCAGCAAGCTGCTTTAGTACCTGAAAGGGTCCTTGTGAATAATGTGAAAGAGAAGATACTTACCTGAGAAACTTACTTGGACCTTTGGGGTGGCTTATTGCAAACATCCCAAATATAATTCCATGTCATACAGGTTAGTGTCACATAAAACCCGTGCGCTGCACCACCTCATTTCAGTTCATCACCAGACGTGTGATAATATAGCATCGACTTTGAGAATTTGGCATTTGGGTGTCAGGCAATTTGAACTTCAATTTCTCGTTCCCTTCTTGATACCGGAAGTCGCTGCTGAGCCTCCTCGAGTAAATTAATTGCCTAAATAAACTTCAGGTATTTTTAAAGGGGCAATCATTGTGGTCCTGTGGTTAAGGAAAGTGCGACGACTGGCTTGGGTCTCTATGGTCGCTTCTCATGTTGGACGGGAAGTCACAACCCAAGCATGCAGGCAGCAATCCTCAGCCATAAATTTTCGGATAATTGAGAAGTTCCAGGACATTGTCATCACAAAATTTACCTGAAGAGTTCCCTTGCATATTCATGTACTTCAAAGAGTTTTCCTCCTTTCGCATGTCTGCTGCCTGGAGGCTTTTCAATCTGATTAGTCTCGAGGGACACTTGTCGCTGCCTTACTCTCTCCTGAATCAATTGCGCGAGTTTCGGGGTGAAAGACCAACAATAACATTGACTCGACCTATATGACCAACATTGTGCCCAAGAGTTGACTGATTCTCTCTGTCCGGTTATCCCGGTACGAAATGTCACTACCATCATGATGCCCCAACCAAGGTCTGCCAACACGAGCTGGCGTAATCCTCCAGCCTTGGAAGACCAGTCACACTCCCAAGGTAGCATGTGTCTTTCTTCCCAAGAAAATTTCCTCCGAGTTCTGGAGGATTTGCAGGACGTCGATTTTCAGTCTACCAAAAACAACCGCTTGTCTCCTATAATGGAAGCATTACACCCTCGAGATCCGTTGCAGCACCCCACAGACATAGCAGACCCCGGAGACTTACATTCCCAGCTGGTGTTTGAAGATCCACCACTGCTACAGCATAGGAGCCCCACAGAGCACGCAATTGCATCCGCGTCCCAAGAACCTCCTGTCCAAAGCCACGGAGTATTCACTCGTCCTGACTATGAGAATCCAACCGACATGATGGCTCAAAACTTTCGATTTAAAGCCAAAAGCCAGAACCCACCCCCAAAGTCCATGCACATGGGTATAAGAGCAGATGGGGATCCAGCTTCCCACGGTCCAGTTTCTTACACACAAACCGATGCCATAACCGGGGAGATGCAGCCCAATCAGTCTCCTAGAATGTCACTTCCACTACCAAAGAGACTTGGCCCGATACAGTCTGGTGAAATCAACTTGCAGCCTCATTCATCCACCAAAGAGAAGCAGCCAGGCCCCGTTGTCGCTCAGACAAAACCACACAAGGATGCTCCCAAAATGCAGCCCACTGCAGTCTCCCACAAGCAGAGCCCAGACTCGAGACCAAATCGTTCTTCAACGGCGCCTGAAGCTTTGAGATGTAATCAAAAGCAAGTTATTCAAGAAAGAGAACAGCTGGAGACGACTGACCTGGATGAACCCCGTCCCATAGGGGTCAACGCTCAGAGCATTGAAGAGGCGCCCATTTCCGATGATTCTGACGGGGCCACCCAGCAGGTCACGCAGTATCAGCAAGATGCTCAAGATCAGGCGCAATTTCCTGAAGAGAAAGCGATACCTGATCAAGTCTCTACCGCAGGTTATCAGTCCGAGGATGATGTTGCGGGTTTGCCATTTCCGAATCACGGCGATGGTGAAGCCATGTGTACGGCTGAGCAGCACCACCCGCCTCCTCCAATCACCAACTCGCAGAACCAAATGCATCCGCATCTATCGACTCAGAACCACTCAAGTATCCAGCCGAGACAAGTTCAAAACACTCCGCCAAATATTGGCGTGGCTCGTTCAGTTTATAAGTCGAAGACATCATCACACGGCAGACCAACTTCTGCTGCTGCGCATTCCTCAGCCAATGTTACCCCCAGCCATGCGAGCACTGTTGATGAACCCGTAACAGCCTCACGTGGGACCAGACGACAGGAAGCTCGACCCACGGTCGATTCTGCCTTCTTGGCCCCCAGTCCCAGCGCGGCTCCATCTCGTCGAGCGCAAAGGAAGGCCCAGCATTTGCGCCGACCCCTGAGAAACGAGGTCGAGAGTGTAAGGGAAGAATCAGTTCTGCGGCCAAGGTCTCGCGAGTCAAACATTTCGAAGCAACGAGGCATCTCCCCCAGAGAGCATAGGAGGTTGTCTCCCGGGGCTAAACAGTCGGCCGAGAATTTCAAAATGCTGGGGAACTCTTGGAATCATTATTTTACTTTCGAACAAGGGCGTCAAGCTAAGGTCAGCAACAGAATTGATAGAATGGAGAAAGTCATTGCCGAACAAGCAGAGTCAATTCGGGAACTTGAGAACGACCTCGACGCTCGAGACAGTTATGCTGACCATTTGGAGGGCGAGAAGAACCAGCTCATAGCAGACATTGAAGAAATGGAGACAAGGATGCAAGAATCTTCATCCAAAATCAAGAAGTTGGATGAAAAATGCCGATCATACAGAGATCGTCTGAATGAGGCTACAACAGAGCAGCAGGCCCTCTATTTGAAGATGAAGAATTCCTATCAAACTGCTCTTGCTGCGATTCGAGAAGAAGATCAAAGCAGGAAGAAGTCCACGGAACATGCCTTGAAAGTGTCGGAATCAGTCAGAGCTGAGATTCACAGCAAGGTTACTTCTGTCGTAAATGAAGCCCGGCAGCGAGCTGAAAAAAGTAAGTCAAGTGCCTATCCGCTATTTCCTGTCTTATGTTGACGAGGCCTACAGTGGACAGCACCATCACAACTCTGAGTGTCCAGCTAGAGGAGCGTAACCGTGAATTGTCTCAGGAGAAGCAGACCATCAAAACTCTGCGAAAGGAGCTCGACGAGTCTCGACAGATGAACACCCACAACTTGCAGACATTGACCAGCCAGAATGAGCAGATTCTGAAGACGATGCAGCAACATCGAAGTCATGCCGCCGATGCTGAAATCTCTGCCTGTAAACAAAACGAGAATCTGGACTTGATTGTAAAGACCCTTAACGAAGTGAAAGCCACCGCATCTGATCAAACAGCTGTCATTGCCCAGATGCGCACTCTCAAAGACGAAGGAGTGAACAGCGTCCTTGAAGAGATCCAGAAACTGGCGTCAAGCCACTCGGCCCATGATGAAGACAAAAAGTTGTTGTCAGCAAATTTGCTCTCGATTCATGGTATGTGTGAAGGAATTCAACAGCAAGTGAACGAAGGTCAGCAGGCTGCTGCTCAGTGGCATAATCGCTACGAAGAGGCATTTCACCAGTTTGAGTCTTCAGAAGAAGCTAGAAAAGAAGCGGAGGAAAAGCTTGAGGAGGCCAATGAATGGTGTGCGGAGTATCACACAGAGAACGAACAGTTTCGTATGCAAGTCGAGGTCCTTGAAACCCAGGTTGCCATACTTCAGGGCCAAATTGGCCTTAGCGAAGCCAACAAAGCAGAAGTTTCTCGTCTGCAGCAACTGGTTACAGAAAAGACCGCGGAGTTTGCCCAGTCCGATGAGAAAGTCCAATCATTGTCGGAACAACTGTTTGCCCAGAACGGACAGTTGAATGAGAGGAAGGCTCAAATTTCTCACCTTCAGCAGTTGTTCACAGAGAAGAATGCAGAGTTTATTCAATCTGACCAGAGGGCCAAAGCGTTGGAGGAGAAATTGCTTGCTCAGACCAATCAGCTGAAGGAGCAAGACTCCCAGGCACGCACAGATCGTGAGAGACTCAAGCATGCACTTGACGACGCAGCCCAACAGCAGCGGCAGGCAATCGAGCAAGCCGTTCTAAATGAGAGAACACGGGTGCAGGAGGTGCAGCGAGACACAGAACAACGTCTTGCTGCATCCGAAAAATCGCGGTCTCAAATGGAGCAAGAACTCGAGAAGGCCAATGAGACTATCGAGCAACTGTCGATGGGTCGTGATTCCGTCATCGAGGAGTTAAGAAGCCTTAGAGATGGCATCACGCACCAGATACAGAAGGTGAACGAACTGACCAGTGAAGTTGAAGATGCAGGAGAGAGCCAGAACCGCTTACGAACTCAATTGGGCGAGTTGGCTCAGGATCGAGTCCAGATCTCTTACCTGGAAACTATGTTCCAGAGGATGCAACGAGAAAACCACAGCGTTCTCGAGGCCATCACCACGGAGAAAAAACGCCTCGCTGCGGATATAACTGATGATCAGGGCTTGACAATAGGGTTAAGAACACCGACGAGCACGATGAAGGGTCACACTGGAACTGATATCTCCTCCAGTCCTCTCAGTGAACCGCCATCTTCTCCTTTGCTGTCGCAACAGGAGTCCCAGGTGCGAACCAGACGTGTCTCCATGAAATCGCCCATGGAAGAAGAGGGTGTTCTCGCCCCCTCAATATTACAAGAGCGCGAATCCAGGAGACTTGCTCAACCGCCTCGACCAATCATCAAGCCAACCACCCGTTCGACTGACTCGGAGAACCAAAATTCGACGAAAGATGCGTCACGTACTACTTCGAAAGCACAAAATACTCCCGACTCTGTGCCATCTCAAAGCAACACGTCCAAATCTTCCGCATTGACTCACAGCAGTTACAATCGGCCTGTTCTCGGAGGCTTGGCTAGCAATGGCGGAAACAGCGAAGTCGAAGGTCAGCGTGCGGTTCAAAGAGATCCTCGGGCTCGTCGAGCATCTACGAGAGAAGAAAACCAGGACAGCCAAGAAAAGCCCCCCAAGCGACAGAGGACATCAGAAATCAGTCATCAAAGTGGTGCGGCCGCAGATACGACTGCATCAAGCAAGATGCCCCGTTCCTCTTCTCGATATTTCTCTCACAATGCCAATGATAACGATTCAGAGATTGCTGAAGAGGACATGTCGACTGTGAAAATGACGTCGTCTCGCCTCCCAACGGTGGGCCAGCGTGGAGGACCTCTTGAAAGACCGGCATCTAACCTTGCTCGCACGTACGGATCTCAGTCATCCCAGAGTGCGACCAGTCAGGTTTCCACGGCATCTACCAGGACTATGCAGTCCACCGGCAGTCAGGCTTCAGAGGTTTCAGCATCTGCCGTGAAGTCTAGCCAGAGCCAAAACCGAGCCAAGATGGCCGAGACTGCAACTCAGAATACATTCAAATTAAGCCGAAACCAAGGTACCTCGGTCAGTAGCAACCAGAGTCAACACAACAAAGCAAAGAGCCTCCAGAACACTCTGAAGTCAAGTCAGTCCCAAGGGCGAACGCTGCCTGTCAAGCACCGACGTGAGATTGCTGCCAAATAGATGGCCCAAGGTTTGACAGAACCGTTACTAGCCGGGAGTATTCAAATGCATGGGAAGAAACATGGGCAAAGGATCAATATGAGAAACGAATTGTTTGACATCTTGTCATATTTGAAAAACCAGCGGCTAATAGTTGCTTGAGAGATAGACTTTGGTAGAAGATATGACGGGATTTATGTACGTGCTGTCGCTCCAAAATTGGTGTGAAGCAGGTAGGGCGACGAATGATGGAATCATGGCAAGTATACAGAGATTACTGAAGATAGGAAATGTATACTCGTAGCAATCAAAACTTGCTCTCATAAGTGCGCCGCTCTATGCCATGAATACCGTTCATTGCCCCCATTCCATACACTGATATACACTTATATACCATTCCAGTGGTCTCAAATCGGCCATCTGGGCCTATCCAGTCCAAGCTGCAATGCCTTGATTGGCCTCCGAACGAGCAATGCCGTACGCTCCCTCCAAGTCTCTCGTACAGAGACGTCTTGAAGGTTTGCTTTGGTCCGTTGTCTCTGAGCCCTCCTGCCAACACCATTCGTATGCCGGGTTCACTTGCCCTTTCGTTTCTGCTCAAGGAATAGGACCTTTTTCCGTACTGCAATAAAGCCAAGTCGGATCAGCTACCATCCACTGCGAAAGAACACCACAGGTCGCGAGAGGGTGGAAAAGGAAGTCGCATACCGATTGGATCGTATTTCAACATGCTCATAGGCTGGGCCGTCCGGGGTCGCTTAAACGTGTAGAAGAAGCCCGTCATGGCCATGGAGATGAGGCGCGCATTGATGATGCGGGATCTCGCTTGAGGGGTCCAATGAGTTAGCACATGGACGAAGTAGAACGGTATAAAGGATGTGCCGGCACGTACGTTTCTTCGCCATGTTGGGCCGCCACTTCTTGGTTTGACGCTGCGGCTTCGAGATGCGACGTTCGGCTTCGTGATGGGAAATTTCTGGTGGAGCTCAAACCCGAAGCTCCAAGTCAAACGATCCGGTTGTCCCAAGCTCCGAATTGTCGGCATCGGGTAGCGAGGAGGAGCGGTGGCTGGTGCAACGTCAAGCCACGGGAGATTCGAATCGACTTTAATTGATGAAACATGAAACGGAGACCCTTTTCAAGGCTCTTCAAGGATCCACCTGCTGCACATCATCCCTGCCTGAGCGGACGTCGCACCACTCAAACGACTCCTGGATGCACCTGGCCATTTTGGCTGTAATGTATTTAAAGACACGCATCATGAAGCAAAACGACTCGACAGCAGGCTGTTGAGAACATCGAGCTTGCCATTTTTGACTGTGGTTTTCGCTGGCCAGCCTGATCCTGATGAATTCGTTCACTTAATTATATTTTATTATCCCCCCGCGACCACGGGTTTGACAGCATCATGCCTCCACGCAAGCAGGCGTCTAAGAAGAGCCTCAAAACGGAGCCGCAAATCGATCAGAACTCATCCTTTACGCCACAAAACTTCGAGGATGAACTCAAGAAGCTCGCCAAACAAGCCAAAGGCGAGACTTGGCTGAAGCGGGCTCTGGAGCAGGTCCGCGTCTATGGCAAGGCCGCCTCCATACTCGCCATCATCGGCGTATATGCCAACGTATCGCTGCTATCGCTGTCGCCCGTCTACGGTGGCATACCGGCTGCAGTATGGCATTCGAAGGTTATTATGGCGGCTTGCTTTCTAGGCTGGTCAGCCAATCTGGCCTTCAGACGGCTCCTACCAACCAAGACCACGCTGCTTCTCCCTTTGATTGCCGCTTATATCCCCATGGTGCAGTTCTACTTGTTCAAGTTCAGCGGCTCTTTCACGGCTAACTGGGGGCCCTTGATAACCGAGCTACTCACACTGTTCCCACTCATGGTTCTCTCCGTGTCGTGTGTGGCTGACATCCTGGAGGAAGGCGATCTGTCTGGCCTGCCTAAGTGGGTTGCGGACTGCGCACCTGGGCTTGGCTCATATTCGTTCTACAAGTTCATCGAGCTGCTGTCGGCCGACCAGCTGCAGGCCCAGATTGGAAGATCTTTCTTACAGACCCGGGTCGGCTTGGAGTTGGTACTGGCTGGGACATATACCATCATGGCCCCGTCGAAGCTGCTCCTTTTTGTCATCCCTGGGCTTTTGCATGCTGCATTTTTCAATACCCACGTCATGACTCCCATGGCGACGCAAGCGCTCAACTCGACACTACTCTCTCAGGGGTGGTCCTTGGTTGATCGTTGGGAATCAGTCACTGGTTATATCTCCATTCTGGACAGCCATAAGGATGGCTTTAGAGTTATGAGATGTGATCACAGTCTGTTGGGCGGCGAGTGGACAAAATTGCCCAAGTACATTGTCGGAGAGCCTATTTACAGTGTGTTTACCATGCTTGAGGCCGTGCGCCTTGTGGAGGTTGCTGAAAAGGTGCCTGATAATGAAGCCAAGGCGTTGAACATGTACGACCCCTGTTTATCCCACCTGAAGACAAGAAGTGCTGACACCGAAGCAGTGGATTGGGAATCGGGACTACACCATCGGCTCTCATCGCGCACGGGATTGATACTACCATTGTAGAGATCGATCCCGTCGTTTACGATTTTGCTGTGAAGTATTTCGGTTTGCCCTCAAACCACACGGCAGTCATCGAAGACGCAGTCGGTTACACTGCTCGCATTGCAGAGGAGGAATCACAGAAGTTTGACTACATCATCCACGACGTGTTCACGGGAGGCGCTGAGCCGATTCCCCTCTTTACGCTCGAATTTCTGCAATCCCTGAACACCCTGCTGAAGCCAGATGGAGTCATTGCACTGGTAAGACGTGTCTGTTTGTTATACAAACTATTCGAGACTAACGTTTTCAGAACTACGCCGGCGACTTCACGCTACCTCCGCTTAGCACCGTCGTCCGCACGGTTAAGGAAGTTTTCCCTTCGTGCCGCATCTTCCGGGAGAACCCAGCGCCGTCCGAGGAGCAACTTAAGAAAGAGGGCCGCGACTTTGACAACATGGTGATCTTCTGTCGGAAGACCACAGACGGTATCGCATTCAGGCGAACCGTGGAGCAGGATTTCTTGCGCAGCAGATCAAGGCAGCACTTCCTGGCGCCCAAGTACGAGGTTGACAACAAAGTTTTTCTCACCGGAGACGATGTAGGGATTGTGCGCAAGAACGATACCTCGAAGCTGGGTAACTGGCATGATCAGACGGGATTGGGACATTGGGCGGTTATGCGGACTGTGCTGCCGAAGGAGGTGTGGGAGAATTGGTGAGTTTCAAGGGTCACAATATGTGTTGTATCGAAGATGCCGTGCTTTGGATATTGTGGAATGATACAATGTACTATCTTCAGCCTCACACCGTGATAGAGCCACAAAGAGCTGAAGCTTTGTTTCACCTCTGGCTGAGCCATTTGGTAGCCCATTTAGCCTGTAGTTTCTCCAGCTGATGGACCCTACCAGAATTTTATCATTCATGCCTAATCTCCTTTTCGGCCTTGAAGATATTATTTATGAACTGAGATGCGTGGCCTCCCAAATTGGCTGGGGGGCCTCTGTCAGTCCAAAAGCCACCCAGAAAATGATGTATACTCACAGTAATAGCTAAATGAGATTTCCGTGGTCTATTGTCAGGGATTGAATTCAAGTTGCTAATCTTGGCCGAGTGTACATCATGCTTCTCAATCATAGACACAAGCCAGAACCCCCACTTTACGTGAATGTTGTCCACGGGCACGTTGTAACTGACTGGGAAACCATGCAGAACAAAGTCTTCGTACCGTATATTCGTACACAAGATAATAACCTGCAAGTCTTGTATATATCAGCTCATTCTACACGGGAACCTGAAACTTTTATTTACAACAGGGTGAGCGTTGGAACTGCTTAAGATCCTATTTGAATTTGCATTCCTTGGGGTCCACCAGTTGCAAAGCTTGTAAACTGGAACTCTACTTGTATTGTTGCCCTCAGCTGGCATCAGACTTCGGGGCTCCCCTTATCCGTTCCAATCCTTAGATTGTAAGACTGTGACTTGGTGGAAAGTGCGACAATTGGGAGATCCAATTACTTAAATCCCGTTGGATTACATTGCAGAAGCGGCGAGTTGTACCGGTTGCGAATCATGCCACAGCTTCATTCAATTTGCCGATACAGCTTCGGAACTGCGAGTGAAAGAGGTGCAATTCAGGGGGTAGCATGATGTTGGTGCACCTTCGTACTTGTGTTAAGATCATGTGATTTTGTTCAGGTTGGACTTTTCTCATCATCAAGTTGCCGACTGTGAAAATGAGTCGTTGTCCAATCAGGTCATTCAAGCGCTACTTTGAAGCAAGAGTTACTCCGAAGTGAATATACTCAGGCCCAACGAGGCTACCAAATGCTTGAATATAACTCAAGCATGGTCACATCTGAATGGATACCATTCTCAGATGTGCCCTATCTCCTATTCAAGGTTACCAAGGTATATGGTGATCTCAAAAGCCACGTGGAGTTGAACCGGTTGACGCAGACAAATCCTCGATGCCGATTTCCCTTCGACTATTTCAACCTAGGCCTGGTTCACGCCCACAACCATCAAAATGCCCTTTATTTTCGTCTAGAAATGGACGTGGTTGAGTACGTTGCATACAAGGGCTTTGGGGAAACAACCAAGCTGTGAAACTGTTCAATGGCAATTTGAGCAGCCAGAACTTGATCAATAGACCTGCCAGGAAATCCGTGCTTATTGAAGTCTTGATAATTAATTCTCTGGTTTTTATTCCACTCTGAGCTGATAAAAAGTACCATTCCGACTGAGTGTAGTCCACCGGGCAGGTCTGGCTCGAGTCCACAGATGGATTCTGAAGACACAGAGAAAACCAGAGGATATGGTCCAGTACAGCGACAAGGTTTGACCGAAAGAAATCAATATAATGAAGAGAGAGAAAGAGAATGAAGAAGTGACAAGCCAAATGAGAAACTGCACGGTTGGCGTCTGGAAGCACCGATACGAGACGTCTTGGGAGCGCAGGTTAGGGCTTGCAAGACGATGGCACCCCTGGCAACACCGAAATTCAACAAGCAAATGTTGTCAAGAACACCAACAATGAGGTTGAACACAAGAATCCTAAAACAGCGAAAGGCCATATTATAGTTCAGTCATCACATACGGCCTCTGGAAGAGGTAACTTGGATGAGTTGAGATATCACATCGGTGCCTACTGGACTGGCGCAGGAGTACAAGTAACAGCAGCTTCGAAGCGAGGTACAGGGAGATGGTGCCTAGATAGAAAATTATACTAGGATATTTCATGGCGACTCGCGCAAAATCCAACACCCTCAGCGATATTTGCTCAGTCGGATAACTGGCGATAGGGTGGGCTCAGGAGACGACGTGGCTTCCAGCGTCTACACAACACCATTATTACTTTTATCCAGAAGGGAAGTTGGTTGCTGTCGAAGATTTAGCATTTCATTTTAACAATAGAGTACGTTATTTCCGGAATTCATGTAATTGCTGTGACTGCCTACATTATGAGCGAGAGTGGTTTCGTCCTTCTTGCAACCCGGCATTGCCATGCATCAAAAGACTGCAGCCTGTTTAAAGTCCCAAATTAGTGCAAGATGCGAACCAGTATGCAGGGAGTATTAGTTTTACACATAAAGTGTTTGTTCTGAAAAATTGGACCCTTTCCATAACCGGGCTATCGTTGTTACTATCGTTTATACCTTTATTTGTGTGGTGTTTGTGACATCCACATTGAGTAACCTGCTCCGCCTGGCGAGTCTATCCGTGATATACAATACGGAGGCAAGGGATCGGTGGACAAAGGAGATACGCTACCGTATTAAGTCGAACACACATTCGGACTGTCCGATGGAGGGCCAACACACAACGTCGGGACAACAGTTGGCCATTGCTGAAGGAAACTTATAAAAGTATGCGTGCTGCACTAAAAACTTCATACATAGATAGTAAGCTTTTATATCTCTCAATAGCTCGTAATCGGCTGTCTGTTGCAGGTCATGGTCGACGCGTGAAGAGAGCCGGATGCAGCTCATATCTTGAAAATACTCGACATATGTCAACTAGTCTTTTCCAAATCCCAAGCCTTAACTTCCGCCACAAGCCCTCATATAACTCTTCGATGTGCTTTGTATAGGCTTATCCGAGACATAGGAGACCTCCACAACCAACTATGGTGTCTTACAGGAAATCGTCATTGCAGCACCGCGTTCAATTTGTGTTGGCAATGATCATCGTTTTGGGTGAGTCAGGAAATACCATCATGCCAAGTTACGTGACATACGATAACTAACACGTCTGGCCAAAGTTCTTGTCACAGGCGCCTGCAGCCTCGGCATATCAATAGAGCTGGGAAAGGTGCCACCTGCAAATGACACGCAGGTAGACAATAGCATCAGTTAATTGGTCAGCACCTGGAGAGCAGACTGGATCTGTCTGAGGTGGCTGGGTCAAGGTTGAGAACTCTGCTTAATGAGGGGATGATTATCTATAATGTGGCCTTGAAATTCTGAGCCCGATGCTGCATTTTGCGTTTGGCCGAGAAACTTTGAAAAGAGCGGCGGCAGCAGCAGCAGCATTATTGTCCTGCCCTTTTTCGGTGAGCAGTTGGTATGTGTAAATATCGACATTGGAATGACAGTATTGACATCTTTAATCAGGCAACGAACATCGGGGAATCCTCGAGAGCAGAGTGTCAACAAGAAATCAACGAAGTCGAAACAACAGATTTGATCTGTCCACCAAAATATCGAAAAACTCAAAACATGCTCTGTGTTTGGTCAAAGTCAATCGTCTTGCTTGCTCTTGGCCCCCTTCGTCGGTTTGCTAGCAGCCTCCATAGCAGTCATCTTGGAGTCCTCGCTGTAATCCTTGACGTAGTCGCTCAAGTAACTTGGTACTTTCTCGACTCGCACTGGAATAACGCCCGTCCAGACTCTGCTCAAGAGCTCCTTGTTTGAAGTGTCTACCTTGTCGTCATTCGGCATCCCGCTGCGAATCTTGGCACTCCCTGCACTGATATTGACTCGCAATACGCTGGTGCTCTGCATCTCTCCGTTGTTGGGCGGTACGCGGGTGTTCCTCCAGCGATCAGGCACCACACCGTTCGTGATCAGTTCCATGGCGTACAGCTTCTCCTCCACACCAGTCACGACAGTTGCGTGGCCGAACAGAACGGCGGAACGGTAGTTGTACGAGCGCGAGTTGGGGGTGAGTGCCAGAACAAGACCATCAACATGGCTTGCAGCTACAGTGACGGGCAGACCTTCTATTTCCGATCACGATGACGACGATGAGTTGGGATCTCGTGAAAGATTCATTATGCGTGAAGATACGTAGCCGTGCAGATAAAGGTCCAGAACAGCGCCAGTGTCGGCGCTTGGGCGAGAGAAGGAACCCATCTGACCAATCATGGGTAGCATCATTGGAAATGGAGAGTCAGGCACCGCAAAGGAGACATGGACAAGTTGCGCCGAGTTGATAATGTGATGGATTGTCTCCAATGCGTATGAAGCTGGCCCCTTGTCAGTAGGTGTAGTGGCAGTGCAGATTTGGATGACTTACCCCGGATTCCATAGCGATTGACTGTGCTGAATGGCTGCTTGGGATATTCAAGCTCGTACGAAGGCATAGTGACGGTGTGGATGGGTTTATTCAATAACACTCACTATCCTAGCTCGTGATAGAAGCTTTACATGGCATATGGTGTCCAGCGATGAGCGGACGTCGGGGAAGCGATTTCCATCTTACGACACTTCCTTTGCGTTGCTGAATCACTCAAATAACTGGGTCACAGATAGGAATAAAGAAAGCGTCTCTAAGATGAAATCGCACAGCGGATGTTGGGGTCGGCGATTGGCTGATTGCAGCTCCCCTCCAAAGACCTTTCCCCAGCCCAGTGGCTCTCCGTATACGTAGTTTTAGATAGTATCGATATGAAAAAGCTGAAGGGCATGCTAAGGCCAACTGGTTCCTTGGTACAAGCCAACAACTTGTTGCAAAACTGGTGCACTTTTTGATGAACTTAGGGTTCAATGTTCTTCATTTGTGCGTGGGAGATAGACTTATTCATGGCGCCCCGACACACACACACACATACACACGGTGTGTCCCGTGGTCTCCTGTACCAAGGAGGCATATGAAACGATACCGGTGTTCGAGTGAAGCTCCTCCGAGTTAATTCATACAATGGGTCCTTGAGAAAAACAGGACTTAGCTATGACAGCGACGAAGATAAGAAACCATGGCTAACCATATTTCTCATGCATTCGTGTGATTGCACAGGTTATCTTTCGAAAAGAAGAGCATCATGCCAAAACCATACAGAAAGTGGCACCAGCGAGTTTCGGCACTGGGAATTGATGTAATGGATGAAAGGGGGAAATGCTATAAAAGACGAGGGTCACGCGGTACACAAACCAAAGGCCAAGTAGACGGCCAAACGTCGTACTCAGGCCAGCTGTTAGGCTCTGTTGATTGCCAGATATGAAGCCTGTCGTTGAGCCATGTTAGATACAAGTTACTCTAGTGGCCCCAACTTGACAAGAGAAGAGAGGGCGTCCGATATCCGTACTACTCGCAAAGGTGTAGTGAGCCGATAGGAGACCAAGACAGGACCAGGAGTTTACGGAAGCCATGAGCTGTAATGAAGACTGCGTCTATCGCGCATCCAATTCGTTTCGGCGAAGGGTGACATCGTCGTAGCCTGGTTAAGATGATCGATTATCGGTTGACAATGCCATATAGAGTCTTATTCCCAGTAGGGACACAAGGATCGGCCCGGCGGGAAAGTATTTTGACTGGGCGTTTTGACTGGGCGATTCGCAGCACGCCCATAGGGAACCAGACTGGCGGGACATTGGGTATATCGAATCGCCTCACTCAAGGCTGGCGTTCTGTGTTTCTATCTTCGGGTGTTCGTCAACAAATTAATCGTCAAGGGAACCAAAGCAAAACCCAGAATGGTGGTAAATAAGACTATCAGCACCTCCCTTGGCATGATACGCGTCTGCAGCCCCAAGAGACCAACTGGAGCACTGGGGCTGGCAAATGTGGCAAACTGAACTCCATGAACAATCCCTTGTCATCGCGAACATCACCTCACAGCGCTGCCCATATCACCAATTCGCACTTGCAGATGCGGACCACGAAGGCCGCCCTGGTGTGTCAAGCGATATGTCTGTGCAGGGCCATGCCCCTTGCAACGACGGCAGCTTAGAAAAGAGGTTTCATCACGTTTTGGGAGATGGATTAGTGGGAGGGCGTATCGAACCCTTAGAAAGGTTGCGGGTAGCTTCGGGGCATATCTAGGCCACATACATTATAGTGCAACATTGCTGACGTTCCGATCCACGAACTGAAGATTAAAGTTTCGGTATTGTCTTCGTGTCAGACATTCTCCTCAATCTGCAGTAGTAGTTTCACCGACTTTGCGATATAGACTTATAGACTTACTTTACTGTACCTGATGAACTTGCAATCTGAGGAACCTGCAGTGGGTCCAGAGCTTCAGGCAGCCGGGACCTAGACCCGACATAACAGCATTCCACCCCGCGCCAACTCATAATCCGTGTCGCGACGTGCCGTGGTCCAAAATCGCCATCAACGCAACACAACCATGGATGATGATGATTTTGGGGCCGACCCGGACTTCTTGAGTGCTCTGGCGTCCGCATCTGGTGCTCCGAGTTCATCTGGCCAGAATCGACAGCAAGAAGAGCCGGCAAAGCGAGTTCAGCAGCCCATCCCACAGAGGCTACAACAACCAACGCCCCAAAGAATACAACAGCCTACACCACAACGACTCGACAAAGCTCCACCAGCCTCCAATGCCTGGGGCCCCAAAGTTGTCCAGCCTACACCACAAGCACTTCCACAACGTTCGTCGGGTTCGTCCATTCTTGTATCGCCACGTCAGAAAGGCAACCCAGTGCTTGCATCTCTCAAGTCGGTGCCATGGGAGTACAGCGACATTCCAGCCGATTACGGGTTGGGGTTGACGACATGTGCCTTGTTCTTGAGCCTAAAGTACCACCGCCTGCACCCTGAGTACATATACACGAGAATACGCAACTTGCAAGGGAAATACAATCTCCGCATTGTCCTGACTATGGTCGACATTCCCAACCACGAAGACTCCTTGCGTGAGTTGTCTAAGACATCGCTTGTCAACAATGTCACCGTCATTCTGTGCTGGTCTGCCGCCGAGGCTGCCCACTATCTCGAACTCTATAAGTCTTACGAACATGCAAACTTCGCCGCCATCAAGGGGCAACAGGCCACAAGCTACACCGAGAAGCTGGTCGAGTTTGTCACTGTTCCCAGGGGAATAAACAAGGCGGATGCAATCTCACTCGTCAGCGCCTTTGGAAGCATAAAAAATGCCGTCAATGCCGATCCTGAAGCCGTCGCCGTCATCGGCGGCTGGGGTGAAAAGAAGGTCAAGAGATGGTGCAGCGTGGTTGAGGAGCCGTTTCGAACCCAGCAGGCGTCGAAGCGGCGTCTCATCACCAACGAGAGTATTGCCCTTGATGAGGCAATTCCTCTCAGTCGGGTGCCTTTGAGAGATATGCCGACCCTCTCTGCCAGTGCATCGCGAGACAGCGCAACTCCCCAGCCACAATTAAAAGAGAAGCCTCAAAGGAAACCTAGGCAGCCTCAGACATGGGATCCTCTAGACGACGAGGAGGCCATGATCGCACATGCTATAGAAGAGTCCAAGAAGACTGCGACACAAGAAAAGGCGGCAGCAGCAACAACACGAGAAAAAGGTGCTCCAAACGAAGAACAACTCAGCGACGGGATAGCTGCTGCATTAGCCAAGCTGAGAGATGAAGGATGATGTCAACTCGTGGAATATTTCTTCTGCCTTTCAATCTGCATAGATTGCCTGCAGGATGCAAGGCACTACTACTGGATGCACTATTAGACTCTGTGTAATACCCCTCATCAACATCCAAGATGCTCGTAACGCTACGGACTTCTGAAACCCAATACTTATTTTTGTTAGGAATTGGGCATATACATGTGTGTAAGCAGAATTGCCAAGCTGACGCTTCTAGAACGGGCAACAGCTGTGGATTGCCATCTGCGAAGAATAGCCTTGCATCCTCACCAACCTGCCTATTGGACGTCCTCAACTGGTTCAATTTCCCGCTATTTGTGGCGAAGGCACTGCGGATCGGCGCATCTTGAGTTACAAGCGCCACGAGCCGTGGATATGTGTGCTCGGATCGGTGGTTGGTTTCCTATTCGTATTCAAGGACGCTTGTGCCGTGCCCAGTGGGCTACTGCAAACTCGTGCATGACGTCGTGAGATACAGACCGAAAACCTGAAGCTGGACGGCGTAAGGCCACTAAGAACCAGGATCTTTTTTCTAAGTTGTACCAACTACACGAGCAAATCTCATCCGCCACGAGGTCTGGCAGCACAATGTTGCTCCTCACCATTTTGCAGAGAAATGCGAGCCCCGTTATGTCCGAAGCCAAACTTTGAATTCACCAAAGACTTGTCTGAATTATTCTTCTTTTGACAACAAGAGTCAATATGGGACGTGAGACCTACCGCCTGTGCTCCCCCGCAAAAGTGGCATCGACCTTAATGAGATCGCAACGACTCTATATTCTCCACACCAGTCAAAGTCCCTGAGAGCATATCCGAGGCTTGGGGTAATCTTGGGGTCAGACCAATGTTCTGCAAGGGATGTCTTAACGACAATCACAATACCCCTCCCCGGAGCTTTTCGCGTGTGGTCATTAGACAGGTACTCGTGGTTGATTCGAGCAGCAGCGAAGTTCGGGAACGGAACACATCTTATCTCGATGCGCGTGGAATCCTGAAGTCATGACTGCAGGTCATTTCCCCATGAAGGTTACGTACTTGCAATAATGGTGCAGTCGGTCTAATGCTCATGCGGAAGGCCCGTACACTCGCTGCCAAGGTTTTCTCGACCAGGGATGCCCCTTGGGCCGATATCATCGAGTTAGAGTCGATATTCCCAGGCCATAGTTGCCCACTTCGGCAGTCTTAAGGTCCATATGTGGGGTGTGATCTTCACTCGTGCCGCCGGAGATGACAACGTCTGCAGCTGACCGGTCCAAGCTGTGCCGACCTCTTGCAGCGTGGTCCACAGCAGCTACCTATTCCCAAAGACGGTCATATCACGCTCACTTATCGCGGCCAAGAACATGTCGAAAGTCGCATCATCAGTTGCTCGCACCAGTCCAATTTATGCCACATGTTGGTCATATCAAATCTCGTGGCTACATTCCACTGCCGCTTAATGGCACAAGATGCCACGGCGCCTTGTCATGAACCACTCCCGGCACTAGTCTCGGCCGTTGGTCGATAACCCTAGGAGCCTCAAATTACTGCATTACATGAACAGGTAGTTCAAGATGCAGAGCTAATGGGTAGTAGGTATGTGCTTGCCATACAGATCATGAACCCTGTCTGGCGGTCAGTGGGTCTCGACCTAACCGCCCAGTCCACACTCCTCGTGTACGCAGTTCAAAACAGCTCTCTCGATGCGTGATATGTCGATTTTTTCTTCTTTTTTTCTGGATGGAGTGTTGGAGGTTTCCTGGTTGGCCATGCTCATGATTCCGTAAGTCTACTGCAACAATGGTGCTTTACAAACCTTATAATCTTCTGGGATTCGCAACTCCCATTCTTGTCTCTCTATACCTTGGCTTTTGCTAACCTTACTAAGGGGTTTCGGAGACATACTTGTTGATCACTTGTATTTGATTCAAATCTACCTCTGTCATTAATGGAAGGACATTCTTTACCCTTTCATTGATATCCAAGACACTCAGTCACCAGTCTTCGAAACCCCACGATCAACTTTCCCTTGTCTGCCACTTAGCAGATTCTACGCATGAGCTACTGATCAACTACCTTTGCTGTCTTGATCATCCCATTTGGCGGCCATGGCTTCCTTTACGAGCCTTCTGGTCGGTGGCCTTGCCGTCTTAGGCTGCATATCACCTGCCAATGCGGGTCCGGCACAAGCAAGACCCCGTGCGCCTAGCTACCAAGCATACCCAGAGAGAGCAGCCGCTGTCATGGAAGCGTTTGATAGGGCCTGGGATGGCTACTACCAATATGCCTTTCCGAATGACTCGCTCAAGCCCATTTCAAAGTCGTTCGAGAACGACAGGAATGGTTGGGGAGCCAGCGCCATCGACGCCCTTTCCACGGCCTTGATCATGGGCGACAAGAAAGTGATCGACCAGATCGTAGACTACATTCCAACGATCAACTTTAACAAGACCAACGACGATTCGGTGCCCGTCTCTCTTTTTGAAACCACCATTCGTTATTTGGGCGGTCTGCTTTCAGGTGAGTAACTTTTCCATGCAGTGACGAGTGAAAGAACTTGGAATTATAAGCTGGGATGATGATGAGCAGTTGAAGGTTACTATGTGGAGAGGGATGAAACATTTGCGATATTTCTACTTACGTTTCAAACATGATTACTTGTGAGAACCAAGCTAACAAATGGTCTAGCGCATGATCTCCTGAGTGGTCCTCTCAACAATTATGTTGGCAGCGAAGAGAAGCTGGCGGCCATTCTGGACCAGGCTGAGCATCTGGCCGAAAATCTGAAAGTTGCGTTCAATACTAAATCCGGAATTCCGATTAACGACGTGCTCTTTGGACCACCCCGGGTAACGGACGAAAAGACCAATGGTCTCGCCACAATCGGCACCCTGATCCTCGAATGGACGCGCCTGAGCGACAAGACGGGCAACAAAGAGTACGCCGAGCTAGCCCAGCGAGCTGAGTCGCAACTCCTGCTACCTCAGCCCCGAGCACTCGCCGAACCATACCCGGGTCTACTGGGTACAAACGTCGACGTGGAAACGGGCGAGTTCGTGGACTCAGTCGGTGGCTGGAATGGTGGCACCGACAGCTTCTACGAATATCTAATCAAGATATACATTTACGACACGTCAAGGTTCACGAAACACAAGAACCGCTGGGTCGACGCCATCGACTCCAGTATCAAGTACCTGGCCTCGCACCCCACGTCGCGTCCCGACCTGACCTTCCTGGCCGCCTACCAAGGAAATAACAACTTGACGTTCCGGTCGGGGCACCTCGCGTGCTTCGATGGCGGCAACTTCATCTTGGGCGGCTTGGTGCTCGACCGCCAGGACTATGTCAACTTCGGCCTCGCTCTCGTCGACAGCTGCCACGAAACGTACGCCACGACGGCGACTGGCATCGGCCCCGAGGGCTTCGCCTGGCAGGACAACAAGGTTGGATTCAACGCGACCAACAATCCCGGTCCGCCCGCGGAACAGAGCGACTTCTACGCCGACGCCGGCTACTGGATTACCAGCTCCTACTACATTCTGCGCCCCGAGGTCATCGAGAGCATCTACTATGCCTACCGTGCCACCGGCGACTCCAAGTACCAGGACTGGGCTTGGGAGGCCTTCAAGGCTATCAATGAGACGTGCTCCGTTGGCGCTGGGTTCTCCGAAATTGAGAACGTCAATGTGAAGGGGGGAGGCAACTTCACTGATTTCCAGGATAGCTTCTGGTTTGCTGAAGTATTGAAGTACAGTTATTTGATCCAGGCAGAGGAGGCGCCGTGGCAGATTTCGGCTGACCATGATAATGAATGGGTATTCAATACGGAGGCGCATCCCATGAAGGTTGTCGGCAAGCATATCTAGTTGATAGGAGTTATTGGTTGTTTGGCTAAGGGTTGAGATGATTTTGTATAGTCCCGCTATTTCATCAAAATGCTATCTAATTATCTCTGTCTTCCAGTTTACATTGGATTTTGGTATGATATACTGGGATTCAACAGCTGTGTCGAATTATTCTGCACAGTGGCTCCATTTACAAGATCAGTTATCTTCGTCGTTTCTCGTCTTCTGGGAACCGGCGTTCTTCCCTGGCTGAGTAGTCTGGTTGTCGGCACCAGCCTGGTCGTTGGCATTATTCCGACCGTTCGTGGCCTGGGCATTGCTGTTCTTCCCACCCTTGGTATTCTGGGCAGTATCATCATCTTGACGGTTGCGTTTCCCGTTGCCGTTGTTTCTCTTCCCGCCCTTTGTGGCTTGAGCGTTGCCGCCATTCTGTCCTCCGCCAAACGCCAAAAGAGCCGTAATCGCTTGCGTGCCGGTAGTAGGCTGAAAATTCTTCGCGGCCGCGTTGACCCCTGTAGCCTGGAATGCGGAGTTGGTCAACGCGGTGATGCTGGGCAGGATATTGGCGTTTCTATCATCCAATTAGTCAACACCGGTCCACACGCTTCAGCAAAGCTTGCGTCTGAGTAACTAACCTCGCCGTCTCCATCGTCTGCAGCTGCTTTGCCGTATTGGCATCAGATGGGTTCTCCATGATGGACTGCAACCCATCAAGCACGATCGGGGTGTTGACCACAATCTTCTGATTCGCCACTACATTATTTCCGGCCGCGAAGAGTACAGCCCTCTGCGCATCTTCGTCTGTCTCAGCATCGAAGCCAGCTTTTGCTAGTTTCTTCCTCTGTGCAGTATCTGTAGTGATGCCAAGGGTATTCAAAGAATTGGACACCGTCGCGACGTCTCCGGCGAAGTTGTCAGCAGCCTGCTGGACGTCATCCGCATTGGGCTTGCTGATACCGCTGAACCCGCCCCCTCCGACCGTGGAGAATTGCCGCTCGACGAGGCCGTGGGTGGAGAAGCCAGTCTGTGCTGTTCGTCCAGCGATCCCCCGGGAATTAGTGGGCGCACAGAGAGAAATGGTGGTCTGGAGGCAGACCAGAATGATAAATGTGAAGAAGTTCATCTTGAATATCGTATTGCGGATCAGGTAAGCTGGGTTCGGAATGGATGGGGTCCCGCCGAGCATCTATCAAAGCCATGAACTTGAAATGGGAATTGACGCATTTCATAGTAGTGAGATTGATATGAAGCTTGTTAAGTCCACTCTTGTCAAGCATTGCATGCCGAGGCTGAAGATGTGAATGAGCTTGGTTCCATCTAATGCTTCATCAAATCTTGAAACGTTGCAACTTTAACCATCTTTGCAACCATCTTATACCCGTAACTCGCTTGGACATTGCGGTTATCAGATGATTGTTCCATTCCAATGAAATCCCAATCTTTTGTCTCTCATTTTGCTTTTCGGATATTTCAAGATGCTGCGAGCATATCTACAGATAACTAACCATTGCAGGACTGAGTCCTACGCGTGAGAGCTCAGCCATGACTTTGAGACCAGAACCGTCGAAATACCTCAAATACCTTTGATGTCATATTCAAGCTGCCTCAACTGATCTATGGTGAGATTCCATGTTCGAGCACACAACAGTCTCGCACATATGCCAATCTCACCCTCATGTTCGTACGGGCATTTTAGAAACGCCGAGTCCTGGCGAGGCCATTGACCAATCATTTCACCACTTTCAGAACATTCCAGAACATCTTCACCATCTTTTCGCCTCATGGAATTGGGATGGTGCTCGCGAGTCATTCTCGATCGGGACGACCCAGGGATCACTCTCCCACCATCAACCATGTCCCATCTATTCCACATCGAACGACGCCTTACATCACCCCAACACATCGAGTAAATCAACTTCCACTGGTCCACTTACCTCGGAGGATTGTCCGACGAGGATAAATCGGCTGCAGATGCCCATAACCATCGAGTCGCTGGTTGCCACTCTTCAAATCCCATGGGGATACGACGGAAAACCTGAAGAGTCTCATGTATCGTGTAACAGACAGAGACAATATGCGGAGTTGTGTCACTTGGCGTGTTACTCCGACACAGGAGGCTCTCGTTGGGTTGATGCAGTAAAAAGTGAGACCCTGCATCAAAGGTGAGCACAGAGTTCGACCGTGCTGGAGTTCGAAAGGGCACGGTGTTGAGTCGTCTTATAACCTTACGATACGGAGGGAAATTACGCCACATCATGCTTCTCGAATGGCATATATTCCTGCTTTAATCCCCTTATGTCTCATCACGTCGGCGTAAATAAGTGCCAAACCCTTATATTTGCAATGAATATCGAATTCTACCTTGAAACTTGTACGCGAGGGTATTTAGTTATTGGGTGAGGCACATATTTCGACTCGTTTGTTGATGTGTAGGCATAACTGACTTGAGTGTTTTCGAAATTAGGAGAATAATTACTCTTCAATTTCCAAGTACGTCACGGAAATTCCCCAAAGAAAAGTGTACGAGGACTTCGTTCAAGCATTTGAAGATGGGGCTTCGTGATCCTAAGGAGTAGCAAAGAGGAGCTGGCGATTCAAGGCTTGCATCATTTTTTTGGTACAGCACCAAACCCTTTCCTTTGCTAGTCTGTTGCAAAAGTTCAATCATACGTCACGTCAGTAGTCAATTTCGAATTTGAATCATTGTCAGAGATTTACTTTCGAGTTTCCGCAACAACTTGGTTAGGCTTAGCTACTATCCCTTGACCCCTTTCACTCTTTACAGTGTTCTGTCTATACACAGTCGGTATCTAGTCGCTAATACTGTTTCTGAGGACATTTTCAAGATCCGAGTATAGCCAGGGGTTGATTTCGTCGTCTGAATATGTCGCCAAATTTACCTCTATTGATCTGTCAGTATTGTCGAGGCTGTGCACCAGACATGTCGCCGTATGGTGACTCAATAATCTGGGTCGCTTCTTTGAGAGCTAGGTACGATCCGGTAAAAAGCCTGGTCCGCTTCTAGTCTCCCAAGCTCAATATCTAGGACAAATTTCTTGACCATACGAGTGCTCATAGTAGCATGACCGACTAATCCCTTTCTTACTTAAGTAGAGAATGAGAATGCATGTAACCAAACACCTGCTGCCTATACTAGTTGGTATCAACATAAAGGGCTGCACAAAAGCCTCTAGATAGCTTTAATTGCCGCTAAATCGTTTAAGGCGTCTTGTAACAAGGCCTTAGCAGAGTCGTCTAACCACTCGACCTATGTGACTAGTTCAACTCTGTCGTGTTGCACACATGGTAGTTATCGTCGACGAAAATACTGGCAAACCTGTAATGAAAACAACTCAGTAGAATTCTATGCTAACACAACTGCAAACCAGCATAGGTATGGATATTTCGGGCCGTGCCTGGATGCCGGCCACATTCGTAAGTCAGCAAATTTGTAATGGTTAGCTGGGTCGTCTGTGATGCAGGGGGGTAAAGAATCCTTCTGAAGATAAGGAAACCGGGACAAGAGTCGTTGGATAGGGGAAACCCTCCTTAGCAAGCTTCATTGCTTCTGCGGGTATACATGCCTATCTAGGTATACTAGAACTGCGTGCGGGGTATGTCATCATCAGCACACTAAGTCCATGCTTTGGCGTACTCCCTTCCTGCGTTGAACTTCTTCCAAAATTTGCCAGATATATGAACCTACAGCGATTACCAATCAATAAAACATGGTGTCTATGTCAGCCCCGGAACAATACCATATCAAGCCAACTCCACACTGCCCAAACAACCGTCTCCCAGTTTTAGTGTATCGCGGTGTATTACCCACGCCATTGGATGAAGGAACTGCATCAGAAGCGCTGCAGCTAAATGGGTGGGTAAAGAAGGTACCTTCTCAACACATCCAACTACTCGCACGAAGGCTGACTTGTTCCACTAGGGGACTTGGGGTACTATCACGGTTAAACATTTTCATCCCAACACTCATGAATGGTCAGTCTTTTCATTATACCCCAAACTTCCCCTGACGAGACTAGCACTGACTTGTACACAGTTACGGTGGGCCTAGCATCTTGACCCCGATACCCCAAAAGCGTAGTACTAAACCACACTTTCCACCCTAGGGATCTTCCAAGGAGCTTCCGAGTTAGTGTTCGGTGAGGGTGGAGCCGATGAAAGCGGGAAAGGGATAAGATGCCATGTTCGCGCCGGCGACGTGGTTGTCGTCCCCGCAGGCGTTGCCCACGCCTCGGTAGCTACGGAAGAGGAGGGGGGTACCCAGAACGAGTCCGGTGATGGCCACAAGCCTTATAAGTACATAGGTGTCTACCCAGAGGGGGCGCCGCATTGGCGTAGTGAGCTCGGGAACCGCATGCTGTCGAGCGAGGACGAGGATTTGACGAACGAGGTTGCATCAGTCGCCGCTCCTAGTGCGGATCCGGTGTATGGGCCCCATGGGCCTTTGATGGATATCTGGGGGAAGGTTACTAAACAATGATTTGCATATTCTGAGGTTCTAAGAAGCTTCTATTCTGCAGGATGATGAGCTGCTGAGCCCCTGAAACTGCGATCCGTGGTTGATGGACAAGTGAACATTGAATAACTTGGCACAGCCGAGACCCAGGATTGAAGAACTCCACATATGTCAGTACGTAAAGGGTTCACCGAATGTCTTATCAACGTAAGTTAATGTTGATAATTGTTGGATACCTCAGGCCATGGTACCCGGAAGCCTTGTTAGGAAAACCCTCGCCGCAAATGCCAGATAAAATTATATCTATATTTGTTTCTTGATACATTTACCTCATCTGTGTACATCTTGAAAGTTTCCTCAATAACCATCGACCAAGCATCTGTCTCAACCTTCTATTACCATCACACTTTCAAGATGGCAATCGTCCGCACAACTCCATCATACAAGCCAAAACCATACTTATTGCGAATCGACTGAGATACCAACACCAGCACATATATCTCTGTCAAAAACTACTCCAATCTATTTTAAGTCTCCCTTCAACGCCTCTCTATGCGGCGTTCTTTGACTTTTGAGCAGCACTGCATTCGCTGCCCGGGATAATAACCCTTTCTACTTGTTTCTAGCCCTCATCTCAGCTCTGCTGACTATGACGTACATCACTGTCTCTATAAACGCCATGTTAAAGACTTTCCCTATCCAGAAAATGACATTCAGAATCATCTTGATGCTCCTCTTCCACTGGTTGGGAGCAATCGTTCCGGTCTCGTCGGTTCAGAGACTGCTTGTCCCAGAACCGGAGCCTGGTTGGCCCCCGCGGTTTCCCTTTGGAGTCAGGTTTATGGATGAAAATGCGGTGCGGCGTCTACTGTGACCTTACTGAGTAGAACTTTGAATGAACGGGAGCAAATTAGACGATATATAGACAAATACGACTGTAATAGGCTTGCCTAAACAACGATCAAGGCTTTGAGGGGGTGCAAATAGATCGAAGGCATTTTGTTTACAGAGCATATCAAATACACACAATTGCGCTGCATTGACCCCCTGCCTTCTACATCAGCCTCTTTGCACAACATCCTGCCAAGTGAAGCAATCAACAGCGCAACGAAAGCAGGGACAATATTCCAGTGCGGTAAAATGAAATGGCGGGATTATCCCGCCAGGCCATTTGTTTTGCCATCCACTTGCCCTTCGCATCCATTTGCCAGTCATGCTACGGTCCGCTTGGAAACAGAGAAATCAGCTACTTTTGGAGTGTGCTGGCGGTGTCGCATCTCAATGCAAGTATATCCCCTCGAGGAACTGCAGAAGTCATAACGTGTTTGCTTAGCACTGCATATTTACGAGCCAGTTCGGTAGCATACATCCATATACTCGATTTCTGTGTAACGGGTGCAACAATCTGAGATTAGTTTATCGCTTGCTCTCTCGCTTGCTCCCTGTAGTTTGCCGAAGTATATGTATCGAGGATGCCGATTGCTAGCTTGCCCTTGACATGGCGGACAATCATCAAACATGTCCAACCGTCATTATATAATAGTATGTCTTATATTTCATTCTGTCACACGGTTCAGTATGCTCTATCGTAACCCTTGGAAACCTTAATAAACCGCATAGTTCAAAGACATCGACCTCACAATGGCTCATGATCCTCGATACACCCTGAACCCATGGGTTTGGATCCTCACTCTACTGGCCACGGCGGCCCTGTGTCTCCGCCTATGGTGCCGAAAATTCCGCCACCGCGGTCTCTGGTGGGACGACTACATCTTCGTCGTATCATGGGTACAGTCCACCCACGCACCTGCCATCAATCTGCTGTCCAAGCTCACTCATTCTCTTTCGACAGGCCCTCCTTTTTTCCGCCTCGGCGGTCTTCACTGCCGACTTAAACGCCGGTATGGGCCGCCTCGACTACGAAAAGCAAGATGTTCACATCCTCTTCCGGACGTGTTTCGACCTGAACACGCTCTGCTCAGCCTTGTCCAAGACTGCCTTCGCGGTGACGCTGCTCCGGCTCGTGGAGGCCAGCTGGCAGAAGCGCATGATCTGGTTCATCATCGTCACCATCAGCTTGCTCAACGTCGCCAACGCAATCGTGTGGTGGGCTTCGGTGTGCGGTAGACCCAGGTCCCTTGCTGCGCTGCCGGGGCATTGCCTTAGCCAGGCGGCGTTTGGGTTGCTTTCTACTGCTTGTGGAGGTGGGTCATTGATGTGGCTGTTTCATCCTGACTTGATTTCGCTGTCTGGGTGTATGGTAGTTGGTCGTCGTAAAGCCTTGATTGCTAATCGGTGGGATAAATGAATAGCGTACGGAGCCCTGATCGACTTCATCCTCGCCTTACTACCCTGGGGTTACGTCTGGAAACTCCGGACATACAGGCGTGAGCGACTGGCAATCAGTGTAGCAATGTCTCTCGGAGTGGTGTACGTTTTATTCCGCCTGTATGCATGAAGCAGGTTAATAACTTACGTTGGGTGTAGTGCCGGCGTGACAGCTATCGCTCGAATTGCGTACTCAGTCGCCATGGAAAGTAGCGGAACCGACTACGAAATCTCAGCTGGCCGTATCGAATATTCCTGTGAGTGTCCTCCACACAATTAATTTCTAGAATGAGAACTGATGATGGTTGTGCGTATAGATCAGACGTGTGTCATATTCGTCTTCCTCCAGGCCGAGCCGGCCGTGACCATCATCGCAGCAACCATTCCCGTCATCCGAGTCTTGGTTCGCGACGCTATCTCTGCTCCCGATGACGAGTGGGAAGACACAACGATGCAGGGGCTTAAAGAAACATCGGGAAATGCCTCTGGTTTGTTATCGGCGGCGACTCGAGATGTAGAGGAGATGGGGTCGTTTCACGTTCCCAAAAGCGCACCGTAGGAACCCTCTGCTCATGTTGAGATGTGTCGGAGTCCCCGAGGCCGCCGCCATGTTAGCCAGAGTAAAGGGCGCCACGTTAGCTTTAAATTTTCTCGTCGAAGTTGACGGCGATGGTTTGGGGCGTCACTAGGTATACCAACCTGTTGACTCGTGATCAAATCGAAATGTACAATACTGCACTGACACCTCTTGCATGCTGAACACTCGCAGTTGAAACCACTGCCATTTTGTTGGCCCTTAACCCAACCTAACTGTCTTCCACATCTTCATACACTCTTGCAAATCCATCGAAAGTGTTCCCTCCTGCGCCGTCGTCGTGTCCTTGATTGTAGCAATCAATAGACTGGCCTCGGCAAATACCAGCGGAGACTCCTGTAAATAATGGAAGTCTGACTTCCTCATTCCTCCGTTATCTGCCCAAGCCTTCCACAAGTTCAACATCTTGCAGACGGATGATGCGAGCCGACCATCCAGAATTATGCGGTGAAGTAACATCCCGACTGTATCTTTCAGGGCGATCGACTCATCAATATGACCTTGGGCTTTTAACCAGCAAAGATTGTGCTCCGCAACAAGTTTTGTGTCCCATTTGGGACTCTGCAGTGCCTCGACAGTACGTGCCTCACGGCGCTGAGCTTTGAGGCGAGTTTTGTCACGCACTTTGAACTATCAACACCATGATCCTGCTCCTACTTTCGGATGTTCAACTTACTATCCTGCATACGTTGCGTCATCTCACGCTGCATTCGATCTCGTGACGCAATCTGCTGTTGCTCATGTGTCATCTTGGCCTCAGCCTGCAGTGCGAGTCGCTGTTCTGTACTTGGTTTGACGAACTCATGTCCCTCCTCATGTGTATTATACGTCATTGCCCATTGTGGGGTTTGTGACTCTTCCACCACGTCCAGCAAGACGAGTATACCACATGGCAAAGTGTCTGTTCTTGCAAAGTTGAGGATCTCGTCAGGGATCTTGTAGTTCCACAACACGGTCTGGCTGGTTGTTCCGTAAGCCGTAGCAGCGCTCGCAAACCACACACCATCCATCCTGCCACTCCGGGTGCAAAGATGTTCTATGTAAAGACTCTGGATATTTGAGCTTGAGGTGAAAATCTCTGTCTCCTGCGTCAAAGCGGCGACCAGGCCATCGACGGATATTTGACAGGTGATGACTGTACTTGCGTTGGCTTGACCCGGCTTTTGGATCGAGTCCAACGATTCTTTGCACAGGCTGTTATTTTCGACCTCGGGTTCGGCGCCCTCTTCCGTTTCCACGGGTCCCGGCGAAGTTGAGTTCTCAGACTTTGGCGTTGCTGGCTTCATGGGGGGTGGCGGCAAGCGAACCCAGTACGGCGGTAAAGACGAGAAGTCCCGTGTGGTCCACGACGACGACCAATTGACAGCAAGCGAGAGGTGTCCGTCCGAGTCATCCAGCGGCGCAATGGTCAGCGCCATCTGTCCCCCAGGTGCGGTCATCAAAGAGCATCCCATCGGAGTCCACAGACCAGCGGACCGCAATAGCTTCCAGCCATGGGCATCAGGGACCGCACCTAGATCAAGAAGATACGAGACAAGCTCATCGAAAGCGACCTCAACCTGGGGTTGCCGAAGCTGATCGGCGTATTCGATCCGTTGAGTTTTGAACCCAATTGTGTTCGTTTTCCAGTGGAAAGTTGTCCACGAACCGCCCGGTATCTGGCTTGGCTGTCTCGCAAGTTGCCAGTATTCCGACCTCTAGCTGAAGCGGTCCCAGGGAGTCACTGCGTATCTCGGTAATTCTACTTCGATGACTCGATTAACAACATCGTTGCGAGGGTCACTACCGTGTTATACAAGATGGGCAGGACTCCGAGAACCGCCAGGGGTACACCAATGTACGTGATGATATCCATGGCCATGTATTCGGCATTTGAAGACGACATTGTAGAAATGGCACCCAGGCGATGTTTGTGACAAGAAGAAACGAAAGAAAACGCGGCCTACATCAAAGGATTGACAGGCGACACGAGCAGTCCGCACAACAATTGAGGAAGAATTCGCACATCCACAGAGCTCTTCGAACCCTTTTCAGCCTCATTAGAGACAACTAGTGCAGCGCATTGCAGTCAGCGCTGCATGTTCAACTCGTGGCGTCCGCCCGACTGGGCGGAGCCTTGATCATCGGCAAGATTAGGGCGCCCCATCGCTTCGGACTCTCGTTTTGAGCTTTTTCGGTCGAAGGACTGCTCAACAGTGTTTAACAGAAGCGATCGGGAGAGGGCACTGCTCTTTATATTGATGGTCATTCACGCGTCAGCAGAAGAACTGTCGTTGCCAATCTGGAATCATGGATCGACCTTGTTCATGTTTTGCGTTTTATGCAGGTACAAGTAGCGGCGGCCTAAGACGGTGCTAAAGTTGGCTGGGGCGGTTGTTTTTCGTGATTGATTGGCTGGGAAGCAGCCGAGAAGATTGAACGGCGCAGCTCCAGCAACGAAGTATGATGCCCTTTCAACAGAGCAACCACCGGTGCAGTTGTCCGTGGCGAGATTAGATTGATGTTTGTGACAGTCGTTTCCTCAGAAAAGTTTATTTGCTTCTTCTTCCGTTGGTCCTGTAAATTTACAGATACTAAAGCCAATCCATGTGCAACTTCACCTCGGCATAAGCCATCACCTGTTCCACCAACCTGTGCACCTCGAGCGTTTGGCGCACCTCGAAGCCATCCCGACGGCTCGCGACATTCACCATGAAGAGCATCGACCGACGACGATGAAGCTTTTCCTTGGCCTAGTCCTCTACGCCGCCGCCAAAGTACTAGCCCAATTCCCCACTATTGTGCCCAACTTGACCACGATATCCTCGCCCGTCGATCCATCCATCAAGATCAGCTACAAAGTGCCCAATGGCGCCTGCACCACCGCGTTCGACACGCAGGAACAGTATACCGGCTGGGTGAATGTGCCAGGCGACTATCCCACCAATCTCTTCTTCTGGTTCGTGGGCGCACGCGAGCCCTCTTCCATCCTCACGATATGGCTCAACGGCGGGCCCGGGTCGAGCAGCATGTTTGGATTCTTCACAGAGACTGGGCCATGCGAGGTGGTTGATAGCGCGGCGGAGGACAAATATGTGACGATTGCCAAGGAATGGGGCTGGGATAGGGCGTCGAACATGTTGTTCATCGACCAGCCGAACCAGGTGGGCTTTTCCTACGACACGCCCACCAACGGCTCGCTCGACCTCCTGACGAACAACATCTATAGTCCTCCTGAAAGACGCCCTAATTCGCGGACGCCGATGGTTTTCCTCAATGGCACTTTCAGTTCCTTGAATGCGAATCACACGGCCAATACGACCGAGACGGCAGCAGCAGCAGTATGGCACATGCTTCAAGGGTTCTTGGGGGCCTTTCCCCAGTTCAATCCGCCAGACAATGGTTCCCTGGGTGTTAATCTATTCTCCGAGAGCTACGGTGGGAAATACGGCCCGGTGTTTGCCTCCAAGTGGAAGGACATGAACGCTGCACGTGCTAATGGCACTGTTTCAAACAGTACGACGCTCGACATCCACTTGACAGCCCTTGGCATTGTCAACGGCTGCGTCGACGACCTGATCCAGGCGCCCTACTACCCCGTTATGGCCGTGGACAATTCTTACGGCCTCGTCACCATCAACTCCATTCGCGCTCAGATGGCCAACGCAAGCTTCTACAAGGAAGGTGGTTGCCAGGACCTGATCCGACAGTGCCGCGCCGCAGTGTCCACCAGGGACGTAGCGAACAGCGGCGCAGTTTCCAGCGTTAACGATCTTTGCAACCGCGCATACACAAATTGCTTGACCAATGTCGTGCAGCCGTACTCTGACGCCGGCCGTAGCGTGTACGACATCGCGGCCCTGCTCCCGGACTCCTTCCCGCCGTCTCGCTACCTGTCGTACCTCAACAGCGCATCTTTCCAATCCGCCATCGGTACGACGATGAACTATACCGAGACCAATACGCAGGTAGTTGCCGCTTTTCTTGCCACTGGCGACTATGAGCGCCAAGCTCTAATCCCAGAACTCGCTTCTCTCCTGGACGCGGGCATTCGCGTAGGTTTCATGTACGGCGATCGCGACTACATCTGCAACTGGCTGGGCGGTGAAGCCGTCTCCCTGTCTGTCGCCTCGGCTGCCTCGACATCGTCCTACTCGTCCTCCTTCCCCGACGCTGGCTACGCCCCCATCATTGTGAACGAGTCCTACATTGGCGGCGTGGTCCGGCAATTCGGCAATCTCTCCTTCAGTCGCATCTACCAAGCCGGGCATTTCGTGCCCGCCTATCAACCCGAGACCGCGTTTCAGGTCTTCGCCCGCATCATCATGGGGACCTCTGTATCGGACGGCAAACCCATCGACCTGTCGAGCTACAACACGAGCGGCCCTGCTAATGCCATGAGCAAGCTCGACTTGCCGCCCAGCCCGACTCCGACGTGTTGGCTACGCAACATTCCCGGCAGCTGCAGCGAGGAGCAGCAGAACCAGCTGCTCAGCGGTGAGGCGGCCAAGGATTGGAGCTCCGTCAACATCTTGAATGGAGCTCTCGTCACGGGGACCGAGACGCTACCGATTTCGACAGTTATTAGCACAGCGACTGAGACGGAACCGCTTACTGGGCTGTTTACCGCAACCTCAACACCGCGCAGTGCTGCATCGTCTCTCGGTGTTGATGGGTCGTTGCTCAGAGTGGTGGGCTTGTTATGGGTATCGTCCGTCATGCCCCTGCTATACGTATACTAAAGTGTATAATTATTCTGAATGATACCCCTTACAAATTAGTACTGCTCTCTTGGTAGTCATGGATGGCCATGTTCGAAGTCTTTCAGAAGCCAGATACAGTTGCAAGCTGCATGTCAAGATCCAAGTCATGCGAATTATGTATCCAAGTACTTCACATGTATGTGCTAAGGTGTAGTGATGAACGAGATACCGTACGGAATTTGCTTGTTCATTATTCATGTTTTATGTGGAATTGACTATTTACTAGCTGTCTATAATTTTGATTTTATAAGGCTCTTATTCATGAACACAATATGCTAGCTCCATCATTCACTGAATGACAACCAACTCACGCTGGCCTCTACATCAGATGGCTGTTTCGCCAGCAAGGCCATGATGCATATGATCACGTCGGAGGTGACATGGTTCGAAATATACTAGGTGGTTTGGTATAACTTTGAAACTTGTTAGCGAGGTTTGATGAGTAGAACAAACAAGTTTGAAATGTGTTTCGTATCAGATCGAAGCCTTGTCAAAGGCGATGTCATCAATGCCCATAGAGCTATGTTGACCGTCGTGAATTATTGGATCATCATTTAAGGGGCGTTGTAGGGAGTGAGAGAGTTGTTCTTTACCTTACTGTGTGGCACAATGTAGTTACCATTGTATGGCTTAGCTGACTATGTCTATCTTGGGATGGTCAGCTGAAGTACACTGATCGGCGGCGAGAATGACAGGAAGTTTTGTCCAGCTAAGTCAGACATGACAGTTCTCATCAACGCTGTGAGGCTCTGACATATGCTTGTCTATTTGGTTAAGTCGCTTCATCATATAGTGGAGTGGAATGCAAGGAGTGATTTAATGATAGACCTACCAATAAAAGTATTGTTGGACGACAGGACCTCAGCAATCTACATTGATAAAATCTGGTCATATTCTTGGAAAATGTCAGCCGTAGCTCTGCAATGGATACCATTAAATATGGAGGCGATCTTCAAAATCAGTTAGGCATGAATGGTATAAAGAAATATGTTGTCTGCATCGGTAACCCGAATAAGACTCGTCATCTGTGTTCATCACATGAAGATAATCAGGGCGTTAAACAGAGGTCTCTACTCACATTGATGGAAGCTGGGGATGACCCTCAGGGGACCGATTACTGTACCAAACAACATATTAGGAGTGTTTCCTAACAGGTGATGCATATTTGATATTTTGATGTTCGATCAGTGGGCGAGGTTTTCTAGGCCTGCCACAAATTGGCTTATCGACTCATGTGAATTTTTGTTTCGGAGCCCAGTGCCACTTCATCATGTCGAGGGTTGGAGGAGAATATTCGAGATCAGGGTAACATACCCATTGTTAAATATCACCTGTGCTTGAGGGATGTCAGTCAAAGATCCTGCCCAGGAAGTGCTTGGAGAAAATATGACCAGGTTGTGTAATCAGAAAACAGCCAGGTTTTTTCGTCAAGGAGAAATCTCAGACGGTAATTTCCAGCTATGCCGAAGCATAGAGTTGCTCATCAGGGAAACCAGAGAGGAAGTGGGGGAAAGGGGACAACCTACAAGATGTATTGGAATCTGATGGCCAAGGACGATTCCCTGGCCAGCTACATTAGTTGCATTCGAACCATTCTCAATACGATCTAGCAGACAAATTGTTAGCTGGGTGAAGCTTCTGGTGCGAAAGCTATAAAAATTCTCGATGTTGTAGTCTCAGACTGACGTGTAAAACAGTTTCATTCCCGGAGGTCAAAGACTCTAGTTTGCGGTTTACAACTTGTCATCAATGGAAGGGAAGTCAATGGAATGCAGAAGGGGAATACTCACTCGATATGCAGCCTCAAGATTCGTTGCCGAGAGCTCGAGGCAATCATGTTGAAGATTGAAGCTGGGAGCTTGAAGTGTAGAAATAAATTTTTGTCAAGAGCTTTCTAGTCAAAATTTCCTGTTACTGTGGAGTCGCAAGAAAAGGAACGACCGATGTTCCGGCTCCGACTTTCTTGAGTGTGCCCCTCCTGATCCGTGCAGTGACATAATTACTCTATAAGGATACATTGACCTTGGCAGCTGTCTACGGTCAAGTAAGGTTTCCCACACTGCAAGCTTTGAGACAAGGTTCGGGCAGAGTTGCGGGGTCAATTGCATAGCGGAAAAAGCCAACGTCGGATGATGCAGCTCTGGCGGGGCTTTTAGTTGAAGTGGTCATGCTGCAAGATCTAGATGGACTATCATAGTGTTCACCAACAGTATTGGCGCAATTACTGTGAGTGGCTTTTCAGCAGATTTCCTCTTGGCTCTTCCGTAAGACTATTGGAACGGACGAAGGGCTGGAAATTGATTGCTCTCACATTGCATGGGCTGCACGTCCTCGACGACCCAAAGAGCTCGAGGAACCAGCAGAAGCTGTGTTCAACGTTAGTAAAAGGAGGCAAAAAGTGCCAGAGTGCCCCAGTTCCGCCCGACCTTACCGAGTTCTCCCGCCTCGGTACAAGTCAACGCGGATTTCTGCCAGGACCCGGAAAATCCTCTTTCGTGCCTCTTCTTTGCTCGTCCTCGTCGGCAATGTCGTTCACGGTTACGAAATACATGAGGCGCAATTTGACTTTCGGCATCAAGCCCGAGTCTCATTTATGCCCTTTGCCGAGCATGCCAGTCAGTGTCTGAGGAGAGGTGTGGGGTTGAGCAAGCTACTCCTGTCGCTCATAAATCCATACTTCCCCACGGGAGATCCCTCAACTATCGTCATTTTGACATTTGTCACAGATCCATATTTACGTAGTTGGCATTTCCCTAACCTTCCAAGGTTGCTGGGTGATCTACCGTACTATTGATAAGCACGAACAGTTACTGTACCCTACTACCGTCACACTCCTCAGCTTCCTACTTAACTAGCATACCTTCCTCTCAACCTCCTTTCTACAGATAGTCTTCAGCAATAATTCCCACGATGGCTTCAAACGGCGGCAATGGCATTCCTCCGGCCGAATCGGCAACGGTCAATACGAGTATTGTTACTTTGACTCGATTCCTGACGGAAGAGCAAGCAAAGTTCAAGGAAGCAACTGGAGACTTCACGTAAGTGACACTGGCTTTTCCCCATGCAACATAGAACTGTATAGCTGACTCGAGTGGTAGAGCAGTCTCCTCTGCCACGCGCTCCAATTCTCCTTCAAAGCCATCTCATACTACATTCGCCGAGCCACATTAGTAAACCTGACGGGTTTAGCTGGCACATCAAACACAACCGGCGATGACCAGAAGAAGCTCGACGTGATCGGCAATGACATCTTCGTGGAGGCCATGCGATCGTCAGGCAAGTGCGCGTTGGTCGTGTCCGAGGAAGAGGAGGAAGTGATATTCTTCAAGGACAAGACGAACGCACGGTATGCGGTGGCATGTGACCCTATTGACGGTAGCTCCAACTTGGATGCCGGTGTGTCGGTGGGAACCATCTTCGGTATCCACAAACTCGCCGAGGGCTCCACAGGCACGAAAGAGGACATACTGAAGCCGGGAAGCGAACTATTGGCTGCCGGCTTCACCATGTACGGTGCGTCTGCGCAATTGGTTATCACGATGAAGGGTGGCACCGTCAATGGCTTCACCCTGGACAATTCGTTTGGCGAGTTCATCCTGACCCACCCCAACATGAAGATCCCCAAGAGCCGGGCAATCTACTCGGTCAACGAGGGTAACTCGCTATACTGGGAGGAGACGACCAAGGACTATTTCAACTCGTTGAAGTTTGCGCAAGAAGATGGCAAGCCCTACAGCTCCAGATACATCGGGTCCATGGTTGCTGATGCGTATCGAACCCTATTGTATGGTGGAATCTTCGCCTACCCGGCGGATAAGAAGAGTCCTAAGGGAAAGTTGCGAATCTTATACGAGTGTGCGCCAATGGCTATGGTCTTTGAAAATGGTAAATCTCCCCTGAAACCGCTTTACTGTTCATTATTTACTAACTGAGTACAGCTGGGGGTCAAGCGGTTGACAGTAAAATGAACCGCATGATGGAAGTTGTGCCGGAACACATCCACGACCGCGCTGGAATCTTCATGGGCAGCCATGACGAGGTCGAGAAGGTGAAGAAATTCTACAAACAGTAAAAGTTGGGCACTTGATTTGAATCGTGGATTGGTTTACATGCTGGCGCACATTCGCATGAGCGTTAATTGGACTTCATAACGTGAGTGCCACAAGTGGTATGCACTCTACGGTGCGTTGGGCGAACAGTTCTATCAACTTGATCAGTTGTAAATGCACCTGGTAGATTGTACATGAACTAGATTGAATACACGAGGTGGTGTCACAACCTTGGGAAGAATTTGGGTGTGTTCTTCTTCCATTCCTGGTAATCCTTCCGGTCACCGTAACGCTTGTCGTATTTCTTCTCACTCAGGGGAACACCGCTCACCTTCAGCAACAGGAACGTCACAAATGCAGGGCTGATAGATGAGAGACCAAGTGCAAGCATTTGACCAGGCAAACCACCGGATAGACCCAATCCTACCTGCGCAGGACGAGTTACAAGCACACCCGCAGCTGTTGTGGCAATGCCGGTCCACAATGTGCATTCGCCAAAGTAGTTGGGATATTGACTGAGGATTGGTCAGTTTCCACTTCGGTACACAGCAACTCAACTCACCTCTTGCTCCAAAGGCCCCGAGTAATGAACTGCTCCTCATGCACCTTCTCTCGCCTTTCTTGCATCCATTTGCTCTTCTGGCGATCCGCCACCATTTCAAACGCGAAGCCACCGACATATAGCGCCAAGCCAAGAACATCAGTAGGCTTCAGTCGGGGCAGAGCAGAGAAGGCAGCGGGCGGGATAGCGCTGATGGCAATCACGGGCATGAGACACAATGAAACCCAGGTCGCCTGTGCTATCCACGCCACGAGGAACTTGGCCGGAGATTTTTTTATCTTATCGAAGCGGGAGTCTGAACCAGTTTGCAGCACGCGTTGGAAGAGGTAGGAACCCACTGTGGCGTGTTAGTCCAGTTGTGCCCAAGATGAGCTATTTATCAAAGGCCTACATCGAATAGACCAGAACGCAACGGCTGCGCCCAGGGCGACTTGTCGCCAGTTAAAACCTCCAGAAGCACCTCCGCCTGTGAATGCCGACATCAAGCTCGGCAGTTTGATATCGGTCCCCTTCAACGCGGCTGCGGATCTGGTGCGGAGGCTGGGCAGGTACATACTCAAAAGCGTGACGGATAGGAAGGTCATTGCACCAGAGGCATCATAAAACCGGTCAGATTGAGCGAGAATAGAAGGGACGGCAAAGGCAGTTTGAATCGCGAACGCGGCCGACACACTCGGCACCAACGTCCGCAGTAAGGGATTACGGAAATTGGTGAGACCAAGGAAGTTCTGCAAGAGTCCCATTATGAAAGATATGATGGGGGCGAATGGCATGCGAAGGTCGATCAGTCGAAGCAGAGGATTAGTGTGCCTTTATGAGTTGAGAATACACTATGTTGAAATGGCACCAGTCTGAAAGCGATCAAAATCATGACGACATCAATTCGGACAACTGTGAAGACCACGGTCCGCAGAGCGAAGCTGACTTCGAAGCGGGACTGGTAGTGCTAAGGACTTTTTTGTGGGCCTGCTCAGCCCTACGGCGCTAATGTGTCAGATCTCAGATCAAGTCAGCGATGTCGTTCATCAATCTTTTGTTACAGAAGATCAAGATATCTACTGGCCACAATCTCATGTGAAGAACCTCCCATCCGCTTTTCGTGCGAACGGGATGCACTCGCCTGCTTAAGTCAATAGCACTCCGGACTCCACAAGCTTGGACTGAACCCCTTATCTTTGGTCCGCTGGTCGACCTCCTGGCTAAAAAATGTCGAGTCATTTCCTATGTGTGGTATGGTGAGAAATCTGGGGTAACGTAAACTTCTATCACTCATATAAGTGCCTTAGTATAATAACTGCGATACGAGCTGGGGCATATCAAAGCGTAAGTAGTTATGAGTTAAGTAGCATCTCGACCATCTTGGGGGCTACCAGCCGAAATTGCATGCTTTGGAAATGATAGAGGCAGCCATTTATCGCAGAAAAACGGCCTGTACTCGGGTATTGAACAATTAACTCCGTCTCGTTCAGTGGTTGACGATGACACAGGTGGTATATCAAGCTTTAAAATCTTAGGTCGTGATGAGAACCTGCCGCACTTTCGAGACTTCGTGGGGGTACATAAGATGATGAATGTCTCATGAGCCGATACAAAATCTCAAGAAGTCGCCTCCCGTATACTATGGCGATGCAAGTAGTAGCTTCGACCAACGCGGCGGGCATGTCGCAGTGGATTACTTCGTGCTCCTGTGCCTTCGGGGGCGATTTCCAATGGGAAGGTGTTCTTGCGACGTCGCTCGCGACTTCAATGCGTTGCCCACAAAAAGACACGTCATCAACCATGCTAATAACTTTATCTGGTGGCCCCAAAACTGAAGGCACACTTCCATTACAGCTGCGGACTGCTTATGATTTCCAACTTCGTGCCTTCCATTCAAGCGCTTCTTGGTTGAGGCAGGAACACTCCCTGGAAAACATGTCGAGGTTCGACGGGGGGGTTCTCAAGTAGTAACAGGGAAATACAGTAAACCGTTCGCCGGGCCAGGTTGTTGATGGTCCCCTATCTAGTATTAAACTCCTCCTTCAAGGTGCTGTATGCAAAGAGCATTTCTATTGTTTATACCAGTCATCTCATAAGTCCCGAGGTCATTGCCCCTGATTCATTCTCTCCATCCGGTTGATCTCAACAACATTTAATCCATCAAGTCCGGTAAGAACGGAAACGGCATTCAACAAGGCCCCTGCCAACTTTGAAAACAAGATGTTCCTGTACAGGGCGCGGCAGCTCCTGCCAGTTAGCAGTACACACCACATTGGACCTTCCCTTTCAACCATGCCATGCAGACAGTCACCCAACGTAAAACCAAATCTCCTCCCGGAACTTCAGTGCTTAAATCCACGTCTTCTCTTCTTCTCCAGTTTCACACCACAATTTTCTACTTTGGATTCCATCATTAACTATCACGTTCATTATTCGTATCATCCATCCATCCAAAAACCATCACGATGTCCCTCCCAGCAACCAACTTGCCCGACACCACGGCCGACACCTCGGCTTCTGTCAACGGTGACCTCGAGGCTTCAGCACCAGGACTCACAGACAGTCCTACCAAGGGCCGATAGGAAAAGGCTCCAATTTGGGTTCGAGCCCTCGACGTCGGTATCACGCTCTTCACAGCTAGCGTCATTCTCGCTTCCATAATTCCGCGAAGAAACACGATCCCGTGGATATATGCGGTTCTCATCATCGTTTTGTGGTATGTACTCTTCACATATTGCCACAGTCTCTGCTTTTTCTGACAATTTTGCAAGGTGGCAACTCACGGTCCAGAGATATCTTCCACGATTTTGGGCAGGCCTCGGCCATGTCTGGGCTTTGGCTACGAGTGCTGTGGCTATCTACACCGTGCACGAGCAGCAAAAACTCCTCGGCCTCTTTGACGTCTCTACCGGCAGAAATGGCGTCGATAGGCAATACGAGAACTTCCGTAACCTTTTCGTTCATGAGCACGGTTCTTACTATGCCCCATTGGCATACTTCCTTGCTGCATTGGCGATCAGCGTCACGCTCGCCTTGGTTCTTTTCGACGTGATGAGGGAATTGAGAAGCTGAGCAAGACTGGAAGCAAAGACGTGAATACCAATGGATCAGGACATGTGTGGTTGGAGGCAACAGAATGGTGAACTCGGCGAAACGCATGCACAGGACTGCGTTGATGAAGCATAGGTGGTTTGAGCAACAGATGGATGAACCTCCAACCCTAATGAACAGCAGATTAGACCTTAATTGATATCTCTCACCATTCGAAAACAATGAGTCTTCGAGTAAACTGTACTGAACATCATATGCTTAATCATTTCGTTGCTAGTGGCCCACGGTGATTTGCGGTATTGAGGTGATGCTCGTCAGTTGCCTACACTGCTGCGCCAGCTGTAGCTGAAGAGCAGCATCAACATCAAAATGAGCCACCAAACAACACAGACTTGGGAGGATTCCTAGATGCAAGTTCCCTTGTAAATGGTGGGGTCACCCGGAGAATGCATAACCGCCCAAGGCTCAACGCAGCTGGTCCCACGGCGGGAATAAGTTTGGCAAGGGCAATGTATGACACTTGTTATCCTGAATGAATGATTCTGTGTAATCAGTCCGAAGATAGGATAACGCAAGTCTATATGGAGAAGCTGCCAAAACTACTGGACCCAAAGGACTATCATTTGTGAGAGTTGTAAGACTACCTATGCCATGGAAGTGGGCATGCCCTAAAATAACCCACAACACCTTGTTCAGCTTCCAAAGAAACTATAAGGAAGGTAACCTGCAGTGGTGTTGTACTCATCGCGTTGCGCGGTAACTGCCCGCTGCGCATTCTGCCGACAGGATAACACACTCGATAAATGGCAGCCACATAAGTAGAATATGAGCAAGTGGTCAATACATCTTACACTAGCGCTCCGCAAGAGAACCAAATGACTCTTGAAGCCTCAATCATGCCATTCATTCCTATCCAGTATACAACGTTTATACACCGTCATGCCGCCTTCCCCTGAGAGAAACCCCCAGCGAGTCCTCGCTCACGCACTACCGACCCGCAAAAGCGCTCTTAACCTCCGCTCTAGGCCACTCAAACAGTACGTCGCCACCGTACACGCTCGCAGTCACCGTACTGATCCTGATTTCGATATCGCCGTAGAACCTCTCGCACTCCTTCAACGCGCGATTCACCAGCACTCTGCTCTTGTTCGGTTCGTCGTCATCGCCGAAGTGCTTCTCGACCCTCTTCTTCAGTGCCTCAACGCCCTTCTTGACTTCACGTCCGTCGTATCCAGACAACACCTTGTTGAATGTGCCCTTGGAATTCGACGGCTGAGCGGCAATTGTGGGCGCCGACTTTCCGGATGTGAGCTGCGCTTCAATATTTTCGAGGTACTCGAGAAGCTTGCCCAGTGGACGGCGCATGACGGCATTGAGGTACAGGCTCATGTGCTCCGCCAGTTCACTGCTTGCTGCTTCCTTCCAGTCCTCGAGGATCTCGATGCTGTGAGTGTCAACCTCTTCGACAAAGTGATTCATGTTCTCGATTAATAAGATGTGATAGTTCAGTGCCTCTTTGTCTTCGGGATCCGCGCTGCTCGAAGTGAGCGTCGCAGGATTCTCTCGCGCAATCACCTTAAGTGAGTCGAACATGGATTTGATGATGCGATCGTATTCACGGTCGACAGCGCGACGTGCCGTCGAATTGGCTGATGCACCTGCAGTAGACATCATATTCTCGATGGCCGAGCTGAACTGCGGGAATACGCGGAAGAATGAAATAATGCCCTTGCGCTTCTTTATCTTGACTTTGGTATCTTCTATGGCGCGGATCTGCTCCTCGACAAACTTGGAGAAGCGAGCTTCAAGATTGCTGTGTAATTTCTGCAGGACGTTGTTCAAGAAGTCTTGGTTAGATTGGGACATTTCTGAGTGTTTCCGCTCGAGAATCGCGAGCACACCAACTCCTTGTCTATAAAAATATTAGCATTGACAGGAATGGGAACGGCGAGACAGCGGACTTACAAGGGGTCTTGGAACAAAACCCAATCCACCGAGCTCTGGAGATCCTGTTCCAGGAAAGAGAATATGACTTCCATGGCTCGAGTGACTCGCCTAGCCAGCTCTCGGTCGGGTTCCATCAGCCTATGCCGTCTCAGATCGCCACTGCGTCGGTCTTGTGGCCTTGTAGCCGCCACTGCTTCGGGGAAATCGATATTCTCCAAGGTAGTGGCATGGAAGAAGTCGATGATAAAATTTTGCTCGATCTCCACAAGAGGAAGCAAGTCGTCTACAATACCTGCAAGTACCTCGTATGGGAGACTGCGACCATCTGATGTTTTATCGGGGTTTGTCCTACTGCCATCGCCCAACGGGGAGCGCAAACTCCTTGCCAAAGTTTGACTTCGTTTGACGGTAAGCTTTCGCGCCGTCGCCATGGTGCTTTCTTGCTGCTTCTCTGCATGCGCCGTGAATAAAAGTTCGGCCTCTTCGCCCGTAGGTTTCCTGGCATTTCGCCTCCAGGCGCCAACGACTTCCCTGAATTCCTCTTTGTAAAGAGGGAAGTTTTTGCCTTGATATGTTTGGATAAATGTATTCCATCCAGTAAGGTCCAAATCTCTGGCATAGACCATGAGTGGACTGTAACGCCAGAGAAGTTCTCGACCAACATCGTGGTGTTTGTGGTCGACTTTCTTGGAAAGAGCTCCATCCAAGGACTGTTTTACTTCTCGCGCTGCAAGATCAAATTGCCGATCCATAAATTCCCCGAATCGCTTCAGGAATTGTGCACTACTAGCAGTGTACAGGACCTTTTTCTCCTGCACTATACGCATTTGACCGTAGTCTGAATTGAAACCCGACTGTTGGTCACTGGAAATAGCGTCGCTATTGATGGCCTCATCCATGGTAGGGTCAATTTTCATCATCGCCTTGTACAAGGTGACTAGTGTCCCTTCGATTTCATCAAGCCCAGACAGGGAATCTAGGGGAGCAACCTCAAGGGCTTGAAGATCCTCGCCCTGAATAGCGCAAGTATCGAGCAAGGACTCAAGCTCCTTTTTGAGAAGTTTCTGGTTTGCAGCTTGCACCTGGAGACCTTGACCTTGTGCTTCTATATATGCGATATCATCTGAAAGCGTCTGTATAAGATTAGAGGTGGTGAATTCAACATGGGAGACACTCGACTTACGGATAATTCGACGCTATATAATGTGAGAAGATTATCAAGCTCCTCACATTCATTGACGGCGAGGTCAAGTCCCCGCTTGATCGCGTCTACCCTCTCATCTTCATCTTGAAATCGTACAACCCAGCCCCCTGCCTGGGCCTTGTTCAGCTCGCGGTCAATGTCCATTTTCATCTCTTCAAAGTTGCGGGTTCGCATCTTGTCACCAGGCACCCAGCCGAAATGGTCAAGCCACTTGGCGAACTCAGTCGTCTGGGTGTCCAATAACCCAGTATCTACGCCGAGTGTAGTGAGATACTTGCCATCATTCCCAGAGGTATTAGTGTCCTTCACGTCGCCCGCTTTTTTGACAGATTCCCCGCTCTTCCTCTTCTCCTTCGATAGTTGTAAACTACTTGGGCGGCTAGAATTGGGAACTGTGATCTTGACTTCGGGTAAGCCAGAGTTCCTGTCGGAGGATTTCTCTGGCTCGACAAGTTTGGGTGTTTCAGGCTTCGGTGTCGGCCGAGATGGTGCCGGAACGACACTCGTGATGCCATCTGGGCCCTCCGCACTGTCTTTACGTACCAATTCCCGTAATCGTTCACCTGCGCCACCTGGGCGTGGTTTGAAAACCGCTGCGGCCGACGCGGCTTTCCATAACGCGCCTGCAAGTTCTCCCTTGGATTTCTTGGCTTTGATCATGGGGCCAAGACCCGGGCGGCTGTCCACAGGTGATTCGATGGGGCCCTCGACCGGAGACTCTGTTGTTTCTGGCGGTGGACTCGACACGGCACTGGCAAAAGGAGTGTCGCCATTTGTTACCAGCGGAGGAGGCGTGGGAGCAGGCACAGTTACAGGTGCAGGGGCAGGAGCGAGTGTAGGGGGTTCCGGCGCTGTCGAAAGTTCTTCCCTCAGTGAGCTGGCTACTGATCTGGCGCCAACTGAGTTTTTCCTAGGGGACATTCTCTCCATACTTCGTGGTGGTGGTTGGGGTTCCCGTGATTGGGGTTCCCGTCTCATTCCCGGACTTATCAATGGGGCGGGTACCAGATCCCTATCAACGGAACCCTGAGGTCTGCCGGGGTCCATGGGAGGGCGTCTTCGATCGGGCAAGTCTAGTGCTGCCGCTGGTTGAGGTTGCGATTGGGGCTGCGGCGGCTGGGCTTGAGCCTGAGCTTGTGGGGGCGGAGGTGGAGGCGGCTCTGCTGCCGTGTCACCAAATCTGCCCAGTGCGCCTGGTCCGTTCATCCCTCCTCTCGACCGGGGCGGTAAGCTGTTTGCATCATCACTCCTCGCGGTTGAGAAGGACGCAGCAACAGAGTCTTGACTTTTATTATTCGCGGCCAGCCGACGAAGTGGTGGTGCCGCCTGGTTGTTCACACGGCCCGAATCAACACTGGGGGATGGAGAAGCCGAGGCACCGGTCGGTGGAACAAGGTTGCGAGCAGGAGATGCAGGTGGCCTTGAAGGTAGTTGATATGCCTGTGTACCAGCGGTGTTGGATGCGAGAGAAACGTTGCTTGGAGCGCCCGGCAGTGGCTCTGGACGTGACGGCATCGATTCGGACGCCGGGGGAGTGCGCCCAGCTGGTTTTCGCGAGCCAAGAACCTGATCTAGTTCACGAGGATCAAAACCGATCAAGTCGGGTGTTCTACCACCAGTGTATTTGCCATAGATCTTGATCAGGCTGGCAATGAAGAATTTCTTCTCCTTATCGGCCTGAGCTTGCCAGTAGTAAGGCTTCCCGATGTTGATAACGAACCCTGTATCGCTAGCCCATTGCCTTTTCTGTGCGTCGGCGGTTGTGCCAGTGAAAGATTCGATACCCGTCAGATCATTCAGATCCCATGTCTTTCCGATGGAAAATGTGCCATTCGCATTCTCCTTGGACTTGTGCATGCGAACACGCCCTGACTTACGGACCGCAACAATGATGACTCGCGGCTTTTCGGACTGCGGTGTTCTGGATTCTGGAGGAGGCGGCGAAGACGGATGGGAGCTGTATTCGGTGATCTTGATGTGGGTGATGTATGTTTCAAGTACTGTCGGTCGAACATGTATGTTAGCAGGCATGGAATTGGCCAACATGGCCAACATAGCCAGCATCCCATGGATACCACAACCACCACATGATGCGCAGGTGGAAGTGAAAACTTACATGATCCATCGACATCTGTCTTGTTGAAGCAACTGTCGACGATGCGCCGCTTCTCCTCCTCGAACCTTTCTGCGCGGCTTAACTCACGGCCCCTCGGGTAGCCCCCTCTCGAGGCGTCCATGACTGCCAGCACTCAAGATGCAAAGAAAATTGATGGCTCATGAACGGAATCGATTGGGGCAAGTCGAGACTGCCCATGCAGCATCTTCGTGTTGGTCTCGATGTCGGATGGCTTCAGCTCAGCACAGGCGTCGGCGATCGGCCCTCTTCGCTCGGGGCTGGCTAGAAATGCTCATGAAACCGTCGCCCACAAGAGCAGTTGGCAGATAGATGGAAAGTTCTGTTGGAAGCACTTCTGGTAGTTGTAGGTGCAAATAGAGATCGGTTCAATTGAATGAGATGAGGTGCGATGATTACCTACAAAGCTGTCTCCTTCAGCGGCCTGTGCATCATTGCAGTCGCCCAATGCAATGTGCAGCATGGATCCTTGTTGTCTTCAAATATCTTTGGGGTGGATTCAAGCAGGTCCCACAATGGTGACTTGGAATGTAAGCTTGTTTAAGGCTTTGACGCAACCTCAGCCACAAGCAGATGATGAAGAATTATTGAATAAATGGTGCTCATGGCAGATATGCTTCGCATAATTCAATATCGAAGGAATAAACCTCTTGTCAGAATTTTAACTTGGAAAGTCCAAGTAAAATCCATCCAATTGCAGCTTCCAACACCTAACTGTACTACACTCACGAACATAAGCCTCACATGACAACGGCAGCCCAATGGGTCTATATTTCATCCAGTTACGACCACGTTCACCTGAAAAGCTTCCGGGAAGTATTTGACCTTTCCCAGCAGTACTCCCTTGTTTGCAAGCCTGGACTGGCTATCTTTGGCTCTTGTCACAACTCTAGATCCATATCTACGCACAGCTTGGTCATAATTCATTTATTTGTCTATGTTGTGTAAAAAAATACTTAGAACAACACGGGTCATGCTACTCATTACGCTGCTATTAGGCAAAGAGGTAACTAGTACAGGTTAGGAAGGAGCGGTCGTGACTGCACGATATAATTGAACTCAGCCGATAAGGTAACTTGTAGCTGCATTTCGCATTTATATATGAACCTCCCATGCCACGTAGGTGAGGAACTTGAACTCTGTATTCCTCATTATACTAGTTATGTGGCAAGTTTGTATATATCACAATGTACATTGCTAGTTATAAAGGCATACGTAGTGACATAGAATAATCACCACTAACAACTGTTAAATACTTCAAAATCTAAGTACATCGTAGAGTTTATCAATAACTACTACAAACTCATTTTGCCAATACCCAACCCCCTGAACAAAGTTCTCTCGCTGAGTTATTCACGTGTCGCCTCCTTTGCAGCCCATCTGCTGATGATTGGCATGCAGACCCCAGCTGGACCTGCAGAAGCCGACGGTAGAATGAAGGCAACACCGTCTGAGGACTGTCAAGGTTATGGTTATGGGGCCAAACCTTCACAATTACTGAACAGTTATTAGGGTTTGTTGAATGGCTGGTCTCCATGATCCCGCCAAAATAATTTGGTCCTCAAGGTTATATTTTGCAGCCTTTATAGCCGTAGGTCGTCCCATTAGCAGAATCAATCAAGCCGTCAATCAAGCCGTCATTCATTCCATCATTCCATCATTACAAACAAGGACTGGGCGTGGTCGGCTGCAGATTGCCAGTAGGAAGTGTCTCGCCGTTCCTCGCAGTCTAGGGGGACTCAGGGCCCAGTCTGTCTCAGTGAAGAGGATGGAAATAAGTGCAACCGCCAAGAGAAGATATTAGATTTATGCGGTACCTCCCTTCGTTACAGCCAGAAATGCAACCCGAAGGACAAGTAGTAGATGGTGAACAGCAATCAGACCTCAGGCTTCTTCCCGTGGGCCTTGGGCATAGGCCCGTCTCTGTTGCTAAATTTCATGAACACGAAGAACAGGAGCATGTGTCTGCCATATTCTGAGAGTCTCGCCAGCCAGAAAACATGATGGATACGCGGTACGGGATGAAAATCCCAGCTACATTGCGGGCGATACCAGTTCTGGGATCGTGAACGTCGTTGTGACTCCATAATGAATCAATGCTATGTCCTATGCACAACTGAACTGCTTCTTGTGGTGCTTCTGTGGAATTTCGGGTAGATTCAAAGAGCGGAAAATTTGCTGTAACGAATCACAAAACAGCGCAGTTTGACTCTTCATGTCGCACAGTACCCTGCCAGCACACTTTTCAACGCAGGCTATGTACTTGCCACGATGAACGAGTCGTCCAGAAAACCACACACAATCAAGCTTCTTCTAGAGATTGGTGCCGAACCAAGAACACAGATCCCCATTCCAGGCTTGTAGCGGGTTCCCTGGCTACAGCATTAGCAATCAACGTGAATTGTACGGAACGGCTTGACTACACCTTGAGCCTCCTTGCCAAAGGAGCAGATATATAGTCACTTCCAAATGAAAAAATAAGTTTTTGTAGTGCTGGAAGGACAAGAGGGCGGGTGGCACTTTATTTAGAGTCGACAATATTGGCGGCTTAATAGGTCTGCCCGTAGTCGAGCTGTTTTTGCTGATGAGGGAGTCAGGAGAAGATCGAATTGTGGGCGCTTGCCAACCTCATCTCTGACCATCGTTTTTCGACTGGCAAAATAACCATCCTTTCCTAGGAGGTTCGTGCTGTCTAGTCAACAGAGAAACATTGTAGCCTCACTAGAGCGCCTTTAGACCGACGACGAGAAATGAAGTTGCTCGGGGCTTTGCGTGTTTGTTTCCGTGTTCAGCTTCTGGAATTCTGTGTCATGAAAGCCCTGCCATATGGGCCGAGAAACCATCTAGGTTTGAGAGTACTTAAGCCACTTATTATTATCTTGACTTTACTAACTGTGGCAATTCATAGCCTTCTAGTGCATACTTGCATTAAGATTTAGCGGCCCCTTTTCTGCTAGTCAAGACTGAAGTGGCTTAATAATCTGAAAAAGCCCCAGGTAAGCGTGGATTCTCCTCTGATACTTATCATGACCGCTTTTTCAGCATACCAATAGACAGTTGACATGAGCAGAGAGTCGGGGAAACATGTTGACATACTATAGCCTCATACGTAAAATTTTGACCATAAAGAACTATACACCTGCCTTGTTCAGGCTTCAAAATATGAAGCATGGCATCAGTGAGGAAAGGCGAGATAGACCTGAGGTAAGGGCTGCGTTCCGCAAACGGTCATTTAGATGGCCGGTTCAAACCCGACAAGCATCGACAAAATATAGGCCCTGTCACTTTATGTAGAATGCGCCTTGAATTATTAAAATACTGGCCTGATAATAAGCATTGTGTTTTGCAGCGAGGCCAGATCCGAATTAGGCCAGCTCTGTTGTAGTTAGCTACTAGTTTGAAAGCAGTCTTATGAATCTATTCTCATCACCCACCAAGCGAATAACGGGCTCTTCTGATCTCGTTTGTACTACGGATAAAATGTGGTTGGATATTTCCGGAGAGCCACTCTAGTCACGCTAATTTCTGAGTTATGATATTTGGTTTCTAGAGAGACAGCTGAGAAATCCACTATCTGTGTGTGCCCCTGCCTTCCTACCCCATGGCTTACTACATACACTCTGTAAAAGTGACTGCTCTGGAAAATTTTGTAGAAACGGTAGGAACCTTATGTGCTTCCACAGCGTCTTCTTATGCCAACCCAAGCTTAACGCCGTCGATATATTCCCCTGCTCACTTGTGATGGCCAGCTAGAATGTTACTCGCTCACTAACATGTACTTGGTCATGATCTCCTTCAACCTTTCCAAAGGCAGAGCTTCAATGAAATGCCCCTGATTACCAACCATATCTTCTGCCATGCACAACGCGTTATAAATGGCTTCCTCGGTAGCATCAGCAGCTGCCTCAAACAGCCCATTGATAGACGAGTCATTAACGACATCGATATTGACCGGTGTTGGCTTCCACGGATCATAAGCCTTACGATCCTTCAATACTGGGATTTCATTTCCGGTTGAGAAGGCGAGGAATATATCACCAGACGGGTTGTGCCCTTGACCACCAACACGGGCAAGTCCAACGGTGGCTCGCTTCGCAATACGTTGCAACTGCGTAGGGTGAAGCGGGGCATCGGTTGCCAGAATCACAATGATACTGCCGTCCTTGCGATTCTTTTCTTGTACAAGCTCCTCTTGGGCTGCCTTTACTGCCGTGTCTGCCTCTGCAGCTTTCGCATCATCCGCAGCCAAGACGCGTCCAACTGGTACGCCAGATATGCGTAGGTCAGACTTCTTTCCATAATTGGCTTGAACGAGTGCCGCCATGGTGTACGACTTTGGTTCTCCTTTGATGTCATATCCTTCGACGATTCTGCTGCTACTGCCGGTTCCGCCTTTGAAGTAATGGCAGAGCATCTGCAAGATCAGATGTCAGTAATTGCCAACAAAACAACAACACGAGACCGATGTTCGGACGGACAATCAGACTAAACTAATAGGTCTCCTTTCCAAGGTCTCATTCCCAAAAGAAACATGAAAGAACCACCCAATGCCGTCTTTGTGCTCACCCCAAAAGAAAACAGGATGAAGTCATCTGAAAATTACTCACACCAGTACCTCCACCCACATTTCCCTCGCGCACCCGCCCACTGGACACATTCTCCAGTCCATGCACAATATGCTCCGGTTTGACCGCAAACTGGGTCAAATCATTCATATACCCATCGAACGTCTCAGCAACAACAGGCAACAAGAACCAATCCACCTTACCCTTCGTGGTGCCCTGTTTCTTGAGAGTGTACTCATAGATCCCCTGGTACGCCGCTCCGACCGCAAAGGAGTTGGTTAGGACGATGGGTGTATGCAATAGCCCTGTCTCGTTGATCCAGTGGCTGCCTGTCATTTCACCCGACCCGTTGAACTTGAAGATGCCTGAGTAGCAGGCAGTGTCGAACCAGTCCTCGCGTGGCAGAATGGAAGTCACGCCCGTGTTGACGAAACCATTGTCGGCAAAGATTTCCTGGGTGTGCACCTTAACGCCTGGTACGTCGGTCAGTGAGTTGAGCGGGCCTGGCTTGTAGTTTCCAAGATGCAGATCCGGGAGGAGCTCCCGTATGCGCATGCGAGGTGCCTTGGCGCCAGACGTAGAAGCTGATGACATATTGAACGAGCAAAGAAGTTGAGACTTTGTAAGTGAAAGATTGGATGAGATTTTGGTTCTTGAGTGAAGTCTTGAATTGAGGATTCCTTGGTTTCATACAGCCATTCTCACCAATAGGGCGGGGATTCCTAGTCTTTCTTATACAAGTCGCTGAGAGTCTGGTCATTTTACAGAAATATGACGCTCTTGCAACCATGCAACGTTGCCAGCTTCTCTCATCCTGTTGCTTGCTGGCAACTCCGCAATAGAATATTCTCAATCTCTCGTCTCACACCTTCACAACCCGATGATAGGTTGCAAATGGGCGCACCTTTCCTTAGCGTTGCCTCCGTTGAGTCACACCGGGCAGCCTCATTTCCCGCTGTTCCACCACCGGCGGCGTAGTGCAGTGCAACCGGGGGTTCGCGCCTCCGGTATTTCCTGGGACGTATACATCTACAGAGACTTGTACCTTCTTCTTTGAGTTGCAAGTCGACCTTAGTTCTCCACTCCAGTCCAGGGGGTCTCTGACTGTTGACTTGACCGTTTTGAGTAAGCAAGAGGCGGCTAGTCCCGACTATTGTAGCAGCTTGACTGGATTCAAATCAGATTCTCTGTGCTTGGACAAGCACATGGCTGGTGAGCTTGAGAATTAACGGTGCGCTACGGGAATCGCGCTTCGCAAGTCACCAATGTCCTACGATCTGTTCCCTTGCATGGTGGAATGGGTGACATCATTATCAATGCACGACGGAACAACCGTCTGTCGGATACTATAGTTTGACGGCGACGTAGCCGAACTCCACACTGGGGTTTACCCCACATACTTCTCCAACCTCGGGATCAAAGGAGCCGATAAGGATGCCGTGGTTGTTTGGGGATATCCTTATTCCAGTCCCGGTTTCTGGGACTTCTGTTGCTGCCGGCTTCTGTTGAATTTGGCAGCTCGTTTCTTACAGGATCTCAGTACTTCAGCAAGTCGTTCGTGCCTTCCTGAACCCAAGGTGTAGTCTGCCTGTAGCCGTTTCCCCACCTCCGCACAATGGTCGCCGCAATTCGAGCAGCGCCAAGTGTAAGTACTTCTTACACCAGTTCGAGATAAAATTTGCTCTGACATCTAACCAGGCGGCAACAAGAGCAGTGAGTCTTCTCCGGACTGTCCAATATGCTCATCCGCCAAACTGCCCATGTCACTCCAACCCGGGCCACCACCACCATGCAAGACCACAGGTTGACCGCTATGCGCAACACACCGGCAGGCGCGGTTTCGCCTCACCTGTGGACCTGTCTCAGCAGAAAGAATATGCTTTTGAGATGGCTGCATCTTCTATCCGGTTCGGTCCGGGTGTGACTCAAGAAGTGGGCATGGACTTCAAGAACATGGGCGCCAAGCGCGTCTGTGTTGTGACCGACTCGACCGTTAGGCACTTGACGGCAACCAAACAGGTGGAAGAGGCGCTGTCAAGGGAGGGTATCGAGTTTACTATCTTCGACAAAGTGAGAGTGGAACCTAAGGATAGTTCGTGAGTGAAACTGCACTTTCAGAGTGGGAATTCCGACTCACGAGTTGCCGGTTGCAGAATCAAGGAGGCCATCGACTTCGCCAAGCCCTATAACCCAGATGCATTCTTGGCTGTTGGCGGAGGTTCCGTTATTGACACGGCCAAGTTGATGAATCTCTATACTGAGTATCCAGAGGCCGACTTCTTGGATTTCGTCAACGCCCCCTTGGGCAACGGTAGGCCTATCGATAAGAAGCTTAAGCCTCTTGTGGCTATTCCAACCACCGCTGGAACCGGCTCTGAAACAACTGGGACGGCCATCTTCGACTTGGTAGCCAAGAAGGCGAAAACAGGCATTGCCCACCGTAATCTGAAGCCGACTCTGGGTATAATCGACCCTCTCAACACGAAGACAATGCCTTCAGCTGTCAAGGCCAGCTCTGGTCTGGATGTACTCTGTCATTCTCTTGAATCATGGACGGCGATCCCTTATAATCAGAGAGTTCCCCGGCCCACTAACCCCATTTTGCGGCCGGCGTATCAGGGTGCCAACCCCATCAGTGACATTTTCTCGCTCAGTGCCCTCCGCAGCACGGTGAAGTACCTTCCAAGAGCAGTCAAGGATCCGGAAGACTTTGAGGCCCAGAGCGAGATGCTTCTTGCGGCCACACTGGCTGGTGTTGGTTTTGGCAACGCTGGTGTACACCTGTGTCACGGTAAGATGAGTCAACCCAATGCTCTAGAGTAATGAACTATCGATGCTAGAAACGAAACTCACAAGGAGGTTAGGCATGTCTTATCCCATCTCGGGCCAGAACCCGGGCTACAAACACGCTGGATACGAAGTAGCCCACTCCATCATTCCCCATGGTGTGTCCGTTGCCGTCTCAGCGCCCGCTGTCTTCCGCTTCACGGGCCCATCGAATCCTGAACGGCACTTGGCCGCTGCTGAGGCCTTCGGTGTTGATATTTCCAACGTGAAGTGCGAAGATGCTGGCGCTGTGCTCGCAGATGCCATCGCTGCTTTCTTGACCGACCTTGGTGACCAGCCAAAAGGCTTGAAGGACCTTGGGTTTACCAGCGAGCACATTGACGCGTTGGTCGAAGGGACGATCCCGCAGGCTAGGGTGTTGATGCTGGCGCCTGGTCTGCAGACTGAGTTGGAGAAGGAAAGGGAACAACTGAGGGCGCTTTTTGAAGATTCTATGGCGTATTAGTTGTGTTGCATCTGCTTGATAACGATCAGGGTAGACTTGGTTATTGATTATTGGATGTTGAAAGCAGTACATATTAGAAATTGCACGAGCATGGTATTATAATTGTATAGATGTGACCGCTTAACCGCTTAGTTGCCCGGGTCCTGAGAATGACCTTCAAATGCTTCAGCCGAACAGTTCTTGCCAGATCATCACCTGGTCAACAATACACACATCTTATCGTAGACCTCACAACCTACCTCACGTCACGGTCTAACCTGCACGGTTCAAAAAGGAGGACCATCTCAAAATTATTGATCTCGATGCTTTCAGACACAGCAGATCTTCATCGTGAAGCGCAACACAGTAATCTTTATGTCCCCTCCATACATTTCATGCCGTCCTCGGAGCTGTCGTACCCACGAACGGACCCGCGATCTTTTCCGGCGCCTGCCGCACTCCCTAATGCACCTCGTCTTTATTTCCACCATTGAGAGAGCTGACATTGTCATAATCAGAAAAAGAATGGCTAGCAGAGCAAAGAAGCTACTTGGGTTCTTGCGTTTGGTCTCTAAGAAGAAGGATGGCAGTGTGAAGGCATCAAGTATTGGCGGAGACAAGTATTGCGTCCAATGCGAGACCACTGAAGCTATGGCGACCGTGATGCCGCGTCGGCTTCCGTAACCTGGACCCGGCGCCCACGATGATCGGCGCCGTGCCCATGGCCCTATTTCCTCTTCACGAGTTCGTCTGAGTACAGGTCTAAAGAGCAGAAGTCGAAGCAGGGGAGGTCGAAGATGGAGAATACCAAGGGGGCGAAAGCTCAGGAGGCAAAGGCTAAGGAGCCGGCTAAGAAGCAGAAGGGCAGGCAGGAGAAACTCATCAAGGTGCTGCCAAGTGTTCCCGCTGGTGTGTATCGACCTACTTAGACTGGAGAGGTTATTAAGAGTGCCCCTCCGAAGCTCGGACAAAAACTTGGGAATTTCGTAGAGAGAGGAGAATTACGACTTGATTTGCGTGGGGGACGCATCCGAAGAAGCGCGTCTACGGCGCGCTTTTTGCTTTGTTGCAGCGTTTGTAAGGGATGCATTTGGATGATGTATGTGAAGGATTCAACCCTCAGATGATGACTCTGTACAGATCCTGTATTGGTTACGATGCTCGATGCGCAGTGTGATGTGTGTATTGACTGCTCGGAGTGCTCTGTAAGAAGTTACATCTAAGGTAGGTAGGCAGGTGCCGACCTTTTTATCTACACAAGCGATTTCACTGCCTTAGGCACCACCTCAGGCACCACCTCAGGCACACATATGGCGCTCAATCCCACAGTATGGTCAAATTTGGGATTATCGAAAAGGAAATACCCGACTGGCTTGTACATGGGATGGCATCGAAGTATCGAAGATAGCAATGCAATTTCTGACATCATGATTTCTTGCATAATGTGCTTGAATTGTGACTACTGGACGGATCATTTGCCCTCGTCTCACTGGAGTAGGGAGTTTCAATGTAGTTATTTTACTGGGAATTTCTACTGAAGGGAGATTTCTGACTTTCATCGATAACTTCTTCGAACAGCGTCAAATCATCAAACCGATTGCGGCATTCGATTCCTAACGACCGTTTACGTCGGACAGTGACCTCGCATCGCACGCGAAGCGAGGACGCAAGCGATGGCGGCGCCGATGGTGATCGACGGGGGACGGGCGGGACTCGAACAGAGTTTTCACCACCCCCACGCCAACGAAAGTGCCCACGCACCGAACGTGGAGCGCACCAGCAGAAAGAACGCAGAGAGGGAAGGGATCGGAAGAGAACTACAAAAGGTAGAACAAGAGATTGCCGACTTGGTCCCACGTGAGAAGATTGAGGTCATGGGGGGTTTGATGGAGCGTTGGCTGGGGTTGAAACTAGCCGGCAGGACGCTGGAGGAGGGGGGCGACAGACCCGCCACACATGCCGACGTACTGGCAGTGACTCTGGCCCTTGCCGAAATTCCTGCGGCGATCCAGACGCCTTGCCTACAACTCGATCCTGGGCCTCAATCGCCTCAGGATCGGCCCAGGGACGGGGACCCGGTGAAGCCCCAGTGTGGCAGCAGCGGGTTGTAGTGCCCCAGCGAAGGGAGAGAGAGGTAGTGATCCGGGGGACAGAGGACCCTAATATGAAGAACAGATCGGCGGCTGAGGTCGTAAAAGCGGTGAACAGTGCACGCGGCAGCACCGATGCAGTGGCGGCCCGCAGGCTGCGCAGTGGCGATACCGTAGTGACGTTTAAGCAGTCGGCCTCAGCGGCGACCACGGACAGCAGGTGGGTGCGTAGTGCCTTCGGCGATAAGGCACTTCTCAACCGCAGAGAAGTTGCAGTGATCGCGAAGGGGCTGCCTGCGAAACGGCTGCGAGAGGTCCACGACGAGAGCCAGCTACTTAAAGACCTGAAGCGGGACAATACAAAGCACCTCTCTAAGGCTAAAAGAAACCTCCCCCGGGCGCCGCAAGCACCGTATGCGGCCCTGATACTACACGTGGATAGCGTGGAGGCGGCAAGAAGACGGCGCGTTGCGGCGTCTGCGCTGCAACGGCACACCCAGGGGGTGAAAAAGACTGCCCCGAGAAGGCACCTAGCGGCAAAAAACGTTGTGTGAACTGCAAAGGGAAGCACACGGCGTGGGACAGGGACTGCCCTACGGCAGAACAGCAGCGGCTACGCGTACGCGAGGCGTACGCTCACCGCCCCCGACAATTTGAGGTCCGCAGCTACTCGGACGGGTTATCTAGTGAGGGCAGGCTCACACCACCTAGCTCATTGACCAGCGACGGGTTTACAGTTGTACGACCCCGGGGCCGCCCCCTGGGCGGATCGCGAGTGGAGCAGAAGCGAACCGAACGGTCTGCGTCAGCAATGCGTAGCTTCCTCACTAAGGGACGTACGAACGAAGATATACCATCGACAGCTTAATGGTAGTCTCTATTCTCTACTGGAATATCGCAGATTCAAAGGCGAACGCAACGCTAGCGCTGGATAAGGGGGGTGACTATGATATAATAGCGGTTCAAGAGCCATGGATCAACCGGCAGACGAAGGCGATTTATTGCCCGAAGTCGTCCAGGTACGAAGTAGTGTACAGCAGCGGCAGAGCTGCGCTATACGTCCATAAACGATACGACGTGGCTACGTTGCGACCCCGTACCGGGATGGACTGGAGCAGTATTACGTTCGGGGCAGGCCCGGACGCCCTTACAATCTGGTCTATCTATTCACCAAGCCAGACCGGGAGCCGCTGGGTCAGCCCGCTCCAAGACCTCCCTAATGGGGCGCCGGAGGGGACACAGGTCCTCGTAGGGGACTTCAATACACATCACCCGCTGTGGGACGTCCACGGACGGTCATCACGGGGCAGCGACAACGTAGTGGAGTTTGCGCGACGCTGGCGATTAGAGCTCGTTACGCCGTTCGGGGAAATCACACGGCAAAGGCACAAACAACGAGACTCAACTATCGACCTAGCCTGGGTGACGAAAGGGGCTAGGATTGATTACGATGGGGACCCGGGCCTAGAGGGCTCAGACCACAGAGCGCAAGTGATTAGGGTAATATCCAACGGGGAAGCAGTCAAGGAGGGCCGCCGCAGTGTTGAAGGGTGGAACTGGGCGATGGCGGATAAGTGGCTCATCGTAGCCGAATCAAGCCAGAGATTTATGAATTATTTGCCGGTTGAGACGATAACGGAGTTGGACCAGGCTGTTGACTGGGTTATCCGGAACCTCCAAGAGATCGCCGACGTGGCGGTCCCGAGACGCACCGTTGGCCGAGGCGCTGGGGTCCCGTGGTGGTGCCCGCAGGTTAGCAAGGCTTGCGCTGAGACGAAGAGACGACGGCGGGACTACCTCCAGGCAAGGTCGCAGACCAACTGGGACGAATATACAAGAGCCGGCCAAAAACAACGGCTCGAAATCAGCGAAGCGCAGACGCGTAGCTGGCACGAGAAGCTCGAGGGGACGGCGAAGGATCACAAAAGCCTGTGGGCACTGCAGAGGTGGGCTAGGCTACGGAGCTGGGCCCCCCCTGAGGCCCACGGCTTGCCAGATCTCCGGAGGGACGCCGGCGACACACTTACGGCACGTACACATGATGAGAAGGCAAAATTACTAGCTGAGAGGTTCTTCCCAGACCCGTGTATAGATCTATCGGACCTCGATCGCGGCCTATTACAGACGAGACCAGAGCTGAACGTCCCTAGGGAGGTGACCACAATGGATATCGAGTCTATCATCAAAGGAACGGCTGCTCGGAAGGCTCCCGGCGACGACCTGATCCCCACTGGCCTGCTAAAGGCCTGCGGTGAACCCCTATGGGAGATCCTAGCGGATCTGGCAACAGCTAGCTTTAGGCTGGGGTACTACCCGGAGCGCTTCCGCTCAGCGAGGGTGGTTGTTATCCCTAAGCCTAATAAAACGACAGCTCAGAAGCAGACCCCTGGCGGCTGGCGCCCCATTGCCCTGCTTAGCACGGTAGGGAAGGTAATAGAGACGGCGATGAGCCAGCGTATCACCAAAGTAGCTGAGGCGGCCGGCCTACTACCAAACGGCCAAATGGGTAACCGCGCTGGGAGGTCCACCGAACTGGCAATACGTATAGTTGAGGACGTGGTCTATACGGCGTGGAGACGCGGGGGCATCGCCTCGCTGCTACAGCTAGACATCAAGGGGGCATTCGATACGGTCAATTACAGACGGCTGATTTCCATATTAGCCCGGAAAGGCTACCCGGAGTGGGTTCAGGAGTGGGTACGCAGCTTCGTGGAGGATAGGACGGTACGCCTCCGGTTCGATGGCAAGGAGTCAGAGCCAATCCCCCTACGAGCTGGCGTCCCCCAGGGGTCACCGCTATCCCCGATACTGTTTATATTATACATTTCAACGCTGTACGAGGAGCTAGCGGAGCAGCACCCACTACTTTTAGTAGTCGGGTTCGCGGACGACACGAACCTGCTAAGCGTCGGCACCGATCCAGACACGACCTGCCGCCGGTTGGAGAGCGCATGGGCTACGTGTCAGCGGTGGGCAGTGAGGCACGGGATGGAGTTCGCTCCTGACAAGAGTGAGCTAATGCACTTTACTAGGGCCCGAGAGCCCTTGCCGCAAAGTATTCGCCTTGGGGACGCCACAGTGTCGCCGGTAGTCTCAGCCAGGTTCCTAGGAGTCTGGTTCGACCGCAAACTGACGTGGCACGCCCATGTTGAGCGTGTTAAAACAAAAATGGCAACTCAAAAGCTAGCCCTGACAAAGCTAGTCAATATGTCGTGGGGCTGCGATCTTATACGGGCGAGGCTGTTATATACGGTGGTTATCCGTAGCGCGATTGCCTTCGGGGCGACTGCGTGGCATACTATAAGTGAGGAACCGGCAGGGCCAGCTAAGAGCCTGATGGGGATACAGAACGAGTGCCTCCGGGTAGTCTGTGGTGCCCACAAAGCGACGCCGGTTCGCCACCTGGAAGCAGAAGCAGCAATCCCGCCACTAGACCTCTATCTTAGTGCCCGGGCTGCTAAGTTTGAAGAACGGCTACGGCTTAGCGGGAAGAGAAATCTGCTTCGCAGCGCGAGCGCTAAAGCGTCACATATACTCCGGCAGGATAGGCCGGCGAAGAGGAAGCAGGCGTCGCAGCTACTCCGACCGGCAGGGTACACTATGGAGAAGGAGGCCCGGGGCTCCGAGTGGATGAGTGAGGAAAAGGAGGTCCCGGCTGCCCTCCTCGACCACTGGAGGAAGAGATGGCTCACCGGAGCAGAGCATCACGATCGCCAGCGACGCGCTATCGCTGAGGAACCGGAGGGCCCTTCGATGCAGATACCGAAAGGGGGCAAGTATTTCGGCCTGAACCGACTGGAGGCGTCTACGCTGTGCCAGATCAGGACGGAAAAAATAGGACTAGCAGCCTTCTTATTCAAGACAGGGGCTTTTGGCGTGTACTCGCCGCTATGCCGCTGTGGCGATGCCCCTGAGACGGCAGAGCACGTAATCCTCTTTTGCGGGCTGTTGGAAGGACCGAGGGAACGATTACGGGCCGCCATCGCACCACGGCCACTATACTCTCGCAGAGACCTCGCAACGGCAACAGGAGAACCAGTAGTTAGTGGGACTATTGTAAGATGGCTGCTAGGGACGGGTCGGACAGCTTCAAGGCCCAGATAGCATCGATCTTCTCAGGGGGGACTTTGTTGGTAGGTTGAGAACCAACGTAGTATGGTAGTGAACGCAACGCAGTCGCCAATAGGGCGAACCGACGACGCAGCGTATGTATTTAGTCCAGCCATTAGGGCACGGTTTGACATACGGGAGTACTAGTAGAGGTACCGGGGGCTTCGAGCCTACGGCGTATTTAATAATAATATAAATATTTTACTGGGATTTGGTAGGATAATGATATTAACTAGCAGCAGATTTAAGCTCGTATGCAAATACTTCTAATGGTATTAAAAACGGAACAAGATGGGCTTCACAATGTAAGCTAGCGATACATGTATAATCGCGCGTTATATTTAACAGGTGTTGCGCTCTACCGTTCTCTATGCCTTACATGAGGGATATTGGAGACGCCACAGTTCTGTAAGGGGTAAGTTGGAATGACAGCTTGTTGTGGGTGGCAGTCAACATTTCAGCTTAAACGCTGCACTATTGAGTGCTCTGCCAGGTCTGCGGCTACAGTCACGGGATATCTTGACATTTGGCAGCGCCTATCTAAGATTATTGCGGAATCTACCGTACATCAGATAGGGCGAAGTCTATATTCTAAGCCTAGTTAATTTTGCCCTTGGTCAACTCCTGTTCTCGACGAAGGCTCCATTACAGCATCGGATATGGAGCCTGGCTTTTTATCCAGTCCTGGTGTGTGCCATAGTAATGATTCATTGTGACACCAAAGGACTGTTTTATCATAGGGTACAGGTTAAAGAGAGAATGTGCTGTTATGCAGTCTGAAATAGGCTGGCGCGGATTCCCGTTTTTTAATGGTACGACAGTCAGGCATGAGATGGATGGTGGTTGCTCGCGTGTCCTAGGTCATTGTGGCCCACCCTGTTTATTGGCCTTCGGCCAACTCAATGCAGCCGCTCAGCTGATGCGCCTTAACAATCCCCTGTCCGGGGGCTCAAGCATCTTGACAGACTCAAGGAATCAGTTTTCTCCCTCCTCAGCCACGCCCATTCGGCTCCCTGAAAGCCATTGTCGTCGTTGGTTCAAGTCAGAATGGGCCTTTCTCTTCGAGACTATATAGACGCCCAAGCATGGTCTGCAATCTGGCGTAAAGCGCAAGGAACCTCTTGATTAAAATTTTTTCAGTTCACGTTCATTTCCTCAGGCTAGCGTGGGTTGATGCCACCAAGGTCAACGTGGCGGGCTTCTTGCAAAAACGGCAAAGGTAGGTATTTCTTCCACCTGGCTTCAAACTTTCAGGTGCAGCTCAGCTCACCAAATGACAGATACTGCAAGATAAGGTGTTTAGGAGCCCGAAAAGCTGCTATGGAGAAATCAGACCAGGCAATGACTATCAGCTTCTTATATCACATGCGCGAGATTAATAAGATCAGTTTTTAGGGCACCTCATGGTATTATTATCCACAATAAAAGCATTTGTATGCCAGTGTCAACGATCATTCTGTCGAGACGAACGAAAACCGGGAGACACAAAAGGCACGTCTAAAGTAAGGAATCATTCATTTACTAACGTGTCGGTTAGTGCATTATGACACCATGTTGCCCCTCTTCCGGCTTCGACTATTGCTCAGGCTCTGACACGTAAACAGCTCTTCCCACGATCCATCTTTCGGTTGGGCTTTCTCATGATCGACGAGCTCGCCTGGCCGGGTGCCTGTGTACCCAAGTCCAAGGTACATAAACAACTAGCAATTGGATACCATGGTGCTCCGTGGGGAAGACTGTGACCTCGTAGGCAACATTGAAAACCTGAAGAGCCAGAAGCTTATCCGAGCTGATTAGTGGCTACCCTCCGACGCTTAGGGTTGAAGATGATATTAGTCAGTGCCCTGGCTACTGAGCCTTGCAATGAAGCCTGTTCTAGTCATACATACAGGGGCTGTTTGCCCCATCTTAGGTAGTGAATACACCAACGGTTTCCATGCGTTCCTTACGAGCCACTTCTTGCACTGGATGTAGGCCGAATTCCCGACGGGACCTGTAATAAATCGAAAATCGTAAAGAGGGTTTTGGAAAAAAAAGATAATATACGTAAATACTCCTGGACCAAGATTACTCGATTTTCTTTTACAGTTCTCTGGGCACTTCAGTGATACGTGACGCCAGGGGGGTTACCCTGTAGCATTAGGATAAGATAGCATCACCCTGTTAGCCCAAAGGGGCGGGCCGTCAGCCAGCCAATCGGCTAGCCAAACCACCCTCAATACACACAACTTCAACCCCACATGCACTCGCATCAACCAGCTATACGTTACTACGTAATATAAGTATTAAATCTTGCTATATAAGGATTGATAATTTCGTTTGCAGCTGAATTACGTATTTGTCTGCTTGAGATACCCAAGCAGGGCAGAAGTTCACCTTGTCTCGGCGAATGACAAAGCGTACTACGGCTCAGCTTAGTGTTTATTTATGTGAATGTGCATAGTTAGTACCCGTTCAGCCTAACAGATTGTGACAAGCGTAATTGCAGACGATGAAGGCTTTGCCTAGCCACTGGAAGCCGGTCACAGGTCTTTATTGGCTCTGGATACTTTCTCGGCACTTTCCCTTACCTCGCCAAGTTTCCGCCAACCAATCCTATAGCCGCTGTATAGTGCGTCACATCTTGCATGCATATACAGGGCGCAGCCTTTAAATTCGAGATTAGTTTGGAAGAATTTGGGCATAGACGCAGAGGCTCAATTACCAGCGACCAATACGAACGCGGCCACGACTATATATTCATTGCCGGCGAGATGCATGAGCATAATGTGGTCATTGCAACTCTTTTCGAGGGACGAGAATACGGCACTGGCTCCGCTGCCGGCTTGGCCAGCCAAGTTAAAAGTTTCTTCCCGAATCTCTGGTTCGGCCTATTCGTTGGCGTAACGGCTGGGCTACCTAATCTCACCAAAGCTCAACCGCTCGATATCCGTCTCAGCGGCGTTCTCGTTGCAGTCTCAGATGGCGATAATCCTGGCCTCGTTGCGTACGAGCTGGGTCGGGAAACAGGCACTGATGGAATACAACTTATACGCAAGGGCCATCTCCCACCTAATACAGAAGCCGCCGTTATATCCGCAATCCGATCTATTAAGCTCCGTCTACGAAGAAACCCGCAACTGTTCCTACAATATTACGACAAAATAAAACACGAAAAGCATGATTACGGTAAATACAGCGATCCCGGTCAAGAGCTGGACAAGCTCTACGAGCTGGGCGATGGCGGTATAGAACACCTGGTCTCACGGGAAAAACGACCGGACTTGGAGCGCACCCGGGTTTGGTACGGATCAATTGGTTCAGGAGATAAGCTGATAAAGGATCGGCGGAAGCGAGACGAGTTGAGAGACAAGTTTGGTATTAACGGCTTAGAGATGGAAGCCGCTGGGACGATGAATCACATACCAGTTGGTGTGATTCGGGGAGTGTGTGACTACGCAGATGAACACCAGAATCAAGACTGGCAACCTTACGCTGCTGCTATGGCTGCTGCGTATGCTAAGGCGATCCTGCTTGAGATACTGCTAAAGCCCCAGAAAACAATACAGGTAATCTGCGGGATAGTAAGTGAAATTATCGACTTAATTTATTTAAAGCTAACGTTACTCTAATATTTCCAAGATTTACCGACTTTTTGTTTTCTCGTACCATTTGGACTGAACGAGGGCTTCGTCGGACGTGAATCCCTCCTGAAACAGCTTTTTCAGAGAATCCCCCCGAGTGCAAACATGGACGACTGCTAGAGAACCGCTATCGAGGGCCTCGGAGGCATTGAAAAGACCCAGATTGCCCTCGAAGCCGCCTACCTGGTCCGGGATAACCATAAGGACTGCTCATTCTTCTTGGTCCCGGCCACAGACACCACCAGCTTTGAGAACGCGTATCGTGATATTGGTCAAGCACTCGGCGTCAAAGGGCTCGAAGACGATAAGGCTGACGTTCAGCTGCTCGTAAAGGCCGCCCTCGAAAACGAGAGTATTAGCAGCTGGTTCCTAATTATCGATAACGCCGACGATTCGGAGCTAATAGCAGCACTTTCCAATTATCTCCCATCTAGCCGGAAAGGTTCCATCCTATTCACGACTAGGAATCACGCCGTGGTATCAAGGCTTGACATCCAGCCGAAGAATGTGATACAGGTCGGGGAAATGAGCCGAAAAGACGCCTTCAGAATGTTGAAAGTTAACGCGGGAGAAGACCAGTGCCGCGACACTGCAAGGACGGAAAGGTTACTCGACTTCCTTGCGGATTTACCTCTGGCTATTAAATAAGTAGCTGTATATATGTTTTAGAACGGGACATTAACCAAGTAATATCTTGATTACTGCCAGTTGAGTGAGGAGACATTTATCGAACTGCTTAGTGAGCACTTCGAGGATCGCGGACGCTATAAGACAATGACAGTGAAAACCCCAGTGGCGACGACCTGGCTAATTTCGTTTGACCACATCGCACGAGATCAGCCTCTCGCTGCACAGTACCTAGGTTTTATATGTTTCCTTCGCAGAGAAAGACATCTCTATATCGCTACTTCCCTGAGGAGAGGGTGAGATAAAATCCAACAAAGCTATCGGCACCCTGAAGGGATATGCATTTATTACCCAACGGGATAACGCAGACTCGTACGATATTCGTCGGCTCGTTCGAATAGCCATGCGTAACTGGCTACAGGTACAGGGGAAGTTTCAAAAAAGTGCTGAATGCAATACAGCAACTATCAAGTGTATACCCCTTCCCTATGCACGAGAACAGGGGTGTCTGGATATGTTATGTACCGCATGGGCAGTCGGCACTAGACCTTCGAGAGGAATATTCTGATCAGATATCTAAAGAGACTCTTCTAGATACTATTGGGATCAGTTATTATATACTTGGAAAGTATAAGGAGGCCGAGCAGTTACATCGGCAGACCCTAGAGCTAAGAGAGAAGGTACTAGGCCGCGAGCATCCCTCTACGCTTACTATTATGAACAACCTCGCAGGAGTCCTAAGTATCCAGGGGAAGCACAACGAGGCCGAGCAGATACATCGGCAGACCCTCGAGCTAAGGGAGAAGATACTAGGCCGCGAGTATCCTAATACGCTTACTAGTATGAATAACCTCGCACTCGTCCTAGGTAGCCAAGGGAAGTACGAGGAGGCCGAGCAGATACATCGGCAGACCCTCGAACTAATAGAGAAGGTACTAGGTAGCGAGCATCCCGATACGCTTACTAGTATGAACAACCTCGCATTCGTCCTAGGTAACCAGGGAAAGTACGAGGAGGCCGAGCAGATACATCGGTAGACCCTCGAGCTAAGGGAGACGGTACTAGGCCGCGAGCATCCCGATACTCTTACTAGTATGAACAACCTCGCATTCGTCCTAGGTAACCAGGGAAAGTACGAGGAGGCCGAGCAGATACATCGGCAGACCCTCGAGCTAAGGGAGAAGGTACTAGGCCGCGAGCATCCCGATACGCTTACTAGTATGAAAAACCTTGTAAGAGTCCGAGGTAGCCAGGGGAAGCACGAGGAGGCTAAGCAGTGTCACGACCTGGGTTGCATCGCATTGGTAGAGACCTCGATTAGGTGCTATCGACGAAGATTCTACTCTAAGGAGCGAAGGAAAGAAGATGACAACTTAGGTTTGAGGGAGCGCGACTAAGTCATCCACGCTTGGCGGGGCTCCTACAAGGGTTATGATTGGCTTCCCACCTGGCACTGCCATGGCAGGTGTTCCAGCTGTACCTCACCTGGTTGTAGTGAGTCTGCGAGGGTTGACCTTCACAGGGATTTAACGGCCAGATTCGTTCGAAAGAAGTCGCACTCTTGACTTTCACCCATGGCATACCGATAGGATATAATAGCAGTGAGGCTGCCGGCAGTGATGTAAGCATGCGATACTGTGGAAATGTCAAGAGGAACAAGGGACCCGCTAACGACACCTTGTATTGAGTCAAAGTGTGAAAGCTTATTGGGGCGGCCACATTCCTCTTCCCGCCCATAGCATCATTATGAGATTTAATTCGCTAGTCATCGCACATCCAGTGTCTTGTTGTCTCTATGATGCAATCAAATACTGAAACTAAGCAGTCATGCGCGTGCAAATATAATATTTTTTTTATTATTAAATACGCCGTAGGCTCGAAGCCCCCGGTACCTCTACTAGTACTCCCGTATGTCAAACCGTGCCCTAATGGCTGGACTAAATACATACGCTGCGTCGTCGGTTCGCCCTATTGGCGACTGCGTTGCGTTCACTACCATACTACGTTGGTTCTCAACCTACCAACAAAGTCCCCCCTGAGAAGATCGATGCTATCTGGGCCTTGAAGCTGTCCGACCCGTCCCTAACAGCCACCTTACAATAGTCCCACTAACTACTGGTTCTCCTGTTGCCGTTGTGAGGTCTCTGCGAGAGTATAGTGGCCGTGGTGCGATGGCGGCCCGTAATCGTTCCCTCGGTCCTTCCAACAGCCCGCAAAAGAGGATTACGTGCTCTGCCGTCTCAGGGGCGTCGCCACAGCGGCATAGCGGCGAGTACACGCCAAAAGCCCCTATCTTGAATAAGAAGGCTGCTAGTCCTATTTCTTCCGTCCTGATCTGGCACAGCGTAGACGCCTCCAGTCGGTTCAGGCCGAAATACTTGCCCCCTTTCGGTATCTGCATCGAAGGGCCCTCCGGTTCCTCAGCGATAGCGCGTCGCTGGCGATCGTGATGCTCTGCTCCGGTGAGCCATCTCTTCCTCCAGTGGCCGAGGAGGGCAGCCGGGACCTCCTTTACCTCACTCATCCACTCGGAGCCCCGGGCCTCCTTCTCCATAGTGTACCCTGCCGGAGTATATGTGACGCTTTAGCGCTCGCGCTGCGAAGCAGATTTCTCTTCCCGCTAAGCCGTAGCCGTTCTTCAAACTTAGCAGCCCGGGCACTAAGATAGAGGTCTAGTGGCGGGATTGCTGCTTCTGCTTCCAGGTGGCGAACCGGCGTCGCTTTGTGGGCGCCACAGACTACCCGGAGGCACTCGTTCTGTATCCCCATCAGGCTCTTAGCTGGCCCTGCCGGTTCCTCACTTATAGTATGCCACGCAGTCGCCCCGAAGGCGATCGCGCTACGGATAACCACCGTATATAACAGCCTCGCCCGTATAAGATCGCAGCCCCACGACATATTGACTAGCTTTGTCAGGGCTAGCTTTTGAGTTGCCATTTTTGTTTTAACACGCTCAACACGGGCGTGCCACGTCAGTTTGCGGTCGAACCAGACTCCTAGGAACCTCGCTGAGACTACCGGCGACACTGTGGCGTCCCCAAGGCGAATACTTTGCGGCAAGGGCTCTCTGGCCCTAGTACAAATATAATAACAATTCCAACCAGCACAGGCCTCTAGACAGAGGACGTAACATGATATTTTCGGAGTTCCGCAACCGGGGTTACCTACGTTGATCTTCAGGGACGGGAAAAGCGTCATGTGGTTCCGTTTTAGCTACTGGGTAGCGACAGATGTCTGACTCGGAGTCTAACTTAGTATACTTGTAGGAAATGATGCAGGCAACGCGGGGAACGAACTAGGCCTCTTTCTGCATCCCACCCGCACACCCTTGCGCCGTATCGAGACCAGCAAGAAAGATGACTGAAGTGGCCAATCACTTGTGAATGAAGCCCTGGTGTTCCATTGGAGAGAACTTCCTCTTGATGGCATAATCATGAACTGTGATGCCGACTGCCTCGCTTCCCTTGTTGGGGTTATGCCAAGATATGACGTTATTTGTTATGGTGATGGTGTATTTGGGTGAATGCGGATAAATATTGACTTATGGCAGCAGGGATGACGCTGTATTGGATGGCATCTTGCATGCGATGGCGCCAAAAGTGCTGCCTGGCTTGAGATCAGCAAATATAGTCGAGTAAATTGCTTCCTGCTGAGAGGGTGGTATGCTCATGCTAGCCTTGTTGTATTGTGCCGTGCGAACTAGCGAGACTGACGCAACGCTGAGTTGTAACTTTGTAGATCTCCAATATGAGGGGTTCATATAATACCGGGAGGCGCATTTTTGGGTAGAAATCCTGCACGGTTTATTCATCTCCCATTACTTTGATATTTCAAACAGATTACCGCTTTACTTGTCGCCATTGGTGGGACAGAGGCACTCGTTGTCCAGCGAGACGGTGGGTTCTCCAGTGGACAACCCATAGATGGGAAGGGTAAATGGGCAGCTATATTCGGTTGGTTTCTTTCTTCATTGCGAGTCTAGTCATTGGCGATATCGCTAAACTTGAAAAGGCGGCACCAATCACGAACTCGATATCCAAAAACCCGATAACCTTGGCCAACAGAGCACCGACAATGGTGTAGTGCCAAACCTGAAATGGAGCTTTTCGGATTCCAGGACGAGGATCTTGAAAGGGGGCGTACGTAGTTCGAAAGTTATATCCTTCCTCTCTGGTCTATCTCCAGAGCAAAAGTTGTAAATAGACCTTTCTGAGGCGTTTATTCTCTTGTGATATGACTTATTCCTCTGAAATTATGGCCTGGATATCCGTAAGTGGTAAATACTAACTCTTGTTGCAGTGGGTTCGAGAATCTGTCATCACAGATCTCCCGTCCAGCCACGACATTTCTGCAGCTCAACAGCACCTTACCAAGGGCTCAATTCGTGAGCTACACTGGCATCGCGTTGTCCGTATTTCCGGCATTGTCATCACATGAGGCTGATAACTAACAGTTTCATAGGCCGAGTGGGGATACGTGTACGCTGGGGCGATTCTGGTCTCGGCTGTTGACGAAAACGGAAAGTTTCAAGTAGCCCGCCTCGAAGTTGGCGACATTTGGTGTAAGTAACTTCTTAATCTTTTCAGTCCCTATCCTTGTGACCAGGAACTACGATGTAGAAAGCGGGAGGCCGCAAGAAGAATTTGTTGACATATAGGGTCCGACAGATTTCCCGAAAGGTGAAGCTCACACCGTTCAGGGCCTCGAGAATGAAAATGAGTATCTCCTGGTATTCGACGACGGCAACTTTGATGCAACTGGGTAAGTGACGGAGCTGTTTCAGAGATTGGGCTCAGCTGAGTTGTTTGAATACAGGACCACATTCAGCGTAGATGACTGGATCTCTCACACGCCGAAACATATTCTAGCCAAGAACTTCGGACTAGACGAGTCCGTCTTTGAAACTGTCCCATCACCGAATCCCTACATCACAAATGCAACCATCGACACCCACAGCGTGACCGGACCTAATGGTGAGCTTTCTGGGAACAACTCATACGTCTACTTTGCCAAGGACCATCCGCTCGAAGAGGTCCCAGGAGGAGGAGGTACCCTGCGGATCGTCGACTCGAACACATTTCCAATTTCAACGACGATTGCTGCCACCATTGTGACCCTAAATCCAAAAGGTCTGAGAGAACTACATTGGCATCCGAATGTGCGTATATCGAGTATTTCCGGTGTTATTTTGTGACAGGAACCTCTATACTGACCCCTAATAGGCAGAGGAATGGCTATACTTCCACCAAGGTCAAGCCCGAGAGACGGTATTCATTGGCGACGCCAAAGCCCGTACCTTTGACTTCCGTGCTGGTGATACGGGTGTGTTTCCGGATAACAGTGGTGAGTTACCTTCAAATGCTGTCATACACATGTTGTGAGCTGACGGCCTCCAGGTCATTATATCGAGAATATCGGAGCTGAAGATCTGATTTGGATCGAGATATACAAAAGTGACAGAGCCAAGGATGTCTCGCTTACGCAGTGGCTCGCCTTAACGCCAGCTGACATTGTGGCTAATGTTCTCAAGATTCCCCTTGAGACTGCGGAGGGGCTCAAAAAGGTGAAGCAGTTGCTCGTTAAGGGAAATTAGTATTCTAGAAGGCTCGCATGCAGTCACTGAATGGTATGGATGTGTTCAAATATTTCGGATGTCTCAACTTGATCGAATACTAGTCTCCGGCGTAAATGTAGGACGAATTAGGTGGTTTAGGGCATTGTTGATCTGGCTGTTTCATACTTAGTTTGGGATTTTTCATTTTCAAGTTCAATCAAATTTATTATTGATATACGTCTTAGAAAGCGTAAAAGCATCAAGTAACTGCTATAAGGTTGTAAGCAAGCGGTAATAGGATTGTGACCCTTTGTCTGTCAGATATGACCCGTGCGTGGCCACCACTACTAGCCTAGCTTTCCTCAATAGACCACACTTCTATCTCTCTCTACGTACCCCAATATCGCCCCAGAATGTTGCTTGAGCTTTTCTGATAGTACTTATGTCAACAGATTTGTAGCTTTTCTGATAGTACTTATGTCAACAGATTTGTAGCTTCCCTGTTGACAGAATAAACGGTGCATCCAGATATGATTACATTATCTCTATTCTACTACCCGGGAATACCGAGTTATCCCGCACTATCCCATATTATGCTACAGTATTCCACCATGTTCTCAATTACCGTGAGATTCTGATCACCAGAATACTGAATTTGAGAGGATGGTTATATTGAAGCTATTGCTAATCCTATGATTAAGAAACGGAAACTTGGTATAGTGGTTTGCTCCCCACATTTCAGGGATAAAAGTTCCCAGAATAGGGTCAGGATACCAATAAAAGCAAATGTAGTCTTCTGGTGATTGGAATCACACACAGTTGCTGATAGTTACCTTGATTGACTGTAGCAACCAAACAAAAAGGAAATCTTACGCAATCAGGCTTCATGAAGTGAAAGCTGGGGCAGTCCTCTTGAGACCCGCTGCTCCCGTTGGCAGGGGCCAAAGAGTCTGTTTAGGATGAAGTCAAGGCGATGGGCAAGAGATGGAAGGTCCACTGGCGTATGTTAAGTAACTTGCCAAATCTTTAGTATGAAATGCGGATCGGAGTCATTTTGGCAAGCGGGTAGTATGATGGGCGCTGATAGAGGCTAGATGTTTAGTATCTACTGCGTCTTAGCAAACTGCAATGTTGTTCTGTTCTTCAAGTTTCCTAGTCAACCAACAAAAATTTTCATTCATATTAAAAAGTGGCATATGTTATCGCTCAAGTCAAATCTAGTAGACCTCCAAGACATATCGTCCATCCTCCTTCAGTTTGTCAATTTCCTTCTTCGAGTCGACCTTACGCCCGCTCATCTTCGCCTCCGTCTCAATAGCCTCCTGCAGCACCTCCGTGACATCAGGTACAGGCCAGGTCGGACCACACAGGTAGAAAGACCCTTCCTGGGTGATGTAGGCCTTGACAATGTTGTTCATGGTCTGCCGCATTCTGTCCTGGATGTAGATCTTCTGCGGCTGGTCGCGAGAGAATGCAGCACCGAGCAAGGTAATGACGCCGGCGTCGAGGTAGGCTTCCCATTCCTCGCCGTACAGGTATTCTTCGCGCTTGTGACGAGAGCCGAGGTAGAGAAGGATGGCGCCGATCTCCTTGCCTTGTGCCTTCTGCATGGCTCGGTACTGAACAAAGGCACGGAAGGGGGCCAGACCAGTACCAAGACCAGCCATGATGAGGGGCGCATCGTCGCGTGTCGGGAGCTTCATGACCGAAGGCTTCACTGACGCGGTGATAGCAGTGCCAACCGGTAGGCCGCTGAGATAGCGGGTGGCTTGACCGTAGCGTGTTCGACCCTTGGTGTCAACCCAGTCGACAACAACAATCATGAGTGCAACCGCATTTGGGGAAACAGCTTGAGCGGAAGCAATCGAATACTCACGACGCTTCAATGGACCAACAATACGCACTAGGTCGGAGAAACTCGGGTGAGCCGACTTGAACTCCTCCAGGATGTCGACATACGTAACAGTATCGACTTCGTTGCGTCTCTTAAACTCGTCAGCTCCCTCTTGCGCGCCAAGAGAAGCCAGCTTCTTCTTCTCCAACTCGTCGGTCGCAAACTCGGAAAGAGATTCGTAGAAGCGCTTAGGTGGCTTTCCGAGGATGTCAATGTTCTGCACCAAAGACTGGAAGATCGTCCGAGTTTCGAAGGCATTTCCATCCCTAGTTGGAACCAGCACAAGCTCGTCCGCGTTGAGGCCGTAAGAGTTAATGAATTCTTCAACCAATTCAGGATCATTGTCCGCATGAATGCCGAGAGCCTCGCCAATCTTGTAGGTAAGGCCCGAGTTTCCAAGGTCAAACTCGATGTGGAAGATGTTGCGGTCATATGTGGCTGGAGTAAGACGGCGGTTCTCCTTGACATGGATTGTGTAAGTCTTGACAGTCTGATCGGGCCGCAAGGTGGTCTGGGTGGCGTAGGCCTCCTTAAAAACGAGACCTTTGGCTGCCGCCTGCCAGTCGCTGATTTGGAGGTCTTGCTCTGACTCTTGCTTCTCGAACGGAACGAAACTGTTCGTCTTGAGTGTTACGGGCAGCACAGGCGCGGAGGCCTCCTCGGCCCACGTCGCGGGAATCTCGAATTTCATCAAGCTCCTGTCCAGCTCGTCAATGCATTCTTCGACAGTTGGAGTGTTGCCTTCCATTTGGCCAAGTCTCAGCATAACCTCATGCTTGGTGCCGGGGCGGGCAACTTTGAGGAAGGCCAGCTCAACCAGCAGCCTGGCAGCACTTGCATCAGTCTCAAATGCAGGTGACGAGCTCGAGTCAAGGATATAGAGCTCGATGCCTTTGGAGTAAATTTCCTTGCGAACGTGGGACGGGATTCGCTTCTCGATATCTTCTTCCTTGAAGTTCGGGAGCTTCAGCAATAACGTGCCTCCAGACTTGACGCTTTGGGAGGGCGAGACTTCCTTCAGCAACTTCTCCTCGACAACAAAGGCAACATCGGCCTCCTCAATAGCATAAGGAGCATCAATAGCGTTCTTTGAAATTCTTAAGTCGGTACGCACAACGCCTCCCTGGACCAAATTGTCGTGAGACTCATCGAGGTATATGTTGTTGGTCGAGTCTTTCGATAGCAAGCCACCAACAACGGCGGGGGCACAGAGGGCAACGGAGTCATCGACGTCCCAGAAGATGTACTGACCGGCGTTCTCGAGTTGGGGTAGTTGTAGCTTACTGCCAGTGGGGTTGTCTTTGGTGGCGATCTTAAGAACGGTCGAAGCAAAGCTGGTGGGGGTGAAGACCTCGGCAGCAGCGTATTTCATATCTTCCACTCTGGGAACCGACGGCCACTTGCTCGAGAAAGACACCGAGGTCAAAACGTCTGAGTAGAGCAAAGACTGAACAGCAGCATCGGCAACAGCAAGCTCGTCGCTGACCTGGCCAAGAACAGCGATGTTCATCACCGATTCAGGAAGAACATTGAGGAAGGCTTCCTCAACGAAAGGCCGATAGACTCGTACGCTTACGGCACCGACCTTGACGCCCTTGGCTGCCAGGTGGCCAATAACCTGCTTGGCAAGTTGAGACTCGGCGCTACCGAAGACCACAAAAACGGTCTCGGCAGCCTCATGACCGCTGTATTCGAAGAGTTCGTAATCCGTGCCCAGCTCTCCGTTGAAAGCTTTAAGAAGTTCCACGATTTTGCCAGCCGAGTCAAGGCGCTTGTTCAAGACATCTGCGACCTTGGACACGTCATTAAAGACCTCTGTGATGCCAACTTCGCCCAAGACGTCAATGACGCGCACGGTCTCCCGGGAGGTTCGCACGCCATCATAGATGTGGAGAGTCGGGATAATCTTGGCCATCAAAGTGGCAAAGATTGACATGTGCTGGGTGTCATACGGCGACGAGCTTGATACGAGTCCAAGCCCAAGTTCCTCAGAAAGCTGCATTGCGGTGCCGTATTCAGTGACGAAGCCAGCATTCGCAGAATAGTCCGCAGCAGCGACATGCGCAACAAAGGGGCTTGCGACTCCGTAGAGCAACGCAAGCTGGTCCAAAGAGTTGCGCAGATGGCGCAAGCTCAGAGAGGGTGCCAACAGCGTCTGCGGGACATGTCTTTTGCTCAAGTCGAAGTCGTTCGAGAAGATATAGCCCAGCGCGAAAGCACCAGCCCCAGTACGAGTCTGGAGGGACACAACGCTCGTCGTATATCCATGGATGTTCTTCTCTTCCTCCTTGGACCAACCCTTCACAGCAACATCGAGATCGAATGTCTCGGGAGAGTACGAGAAGATCTTGTCAGAAAGCTTGTAGGCGACCTGCTGGACGAGCAGTTGACCCGTGACGTAGGTAGGACCCGATATCGAGTTCAGCGCTACGGGCTGGCCGAACGGCAGGCTCGCCGACTGCTTGGTGAACTCGGCGCGTTCTGTCTTGGACGCAGGCATGGTCATCTGGTTCGCAAGAGCACCTCCACCACTTTCTTGTTGTTTCAGTTGCATCGCAGCGAATTACCCAATTGAGCAGACTTCTGGAAGGGCTGAATATCTACACCGCACCCGGGCTGACGCAAAATAAAAATGAGTTGAAAATCAGATTGGGCTCTGTGAATCCCAGGAACAAGCCCACGTTTTCAAAGAGAGGTCAGACACTTGGTCAATCAGACGAAACCGAGACCTGGTCAGGGCAGTCGCTGTCTCTGAATGCAAGGAGCGCGCGAACAAGCAGTACCGGGCATCAGGTACAAAAATGACAGTAGGAACAGACGTGGAACTGAGAAAACACACCTACCTGGCGGTCGAGTACGGGATACACTTTTCATCGCGGCCATTTTTTACGGCACGGTTGTCGGTGACCGTGGCTCTGGCCGTGGATGAAGTTGGATTTGCAATTCGCCTTGAAGAAGGTCGATCACGCAATATCTACTTAGACCCGAAACGGCTTAGCATGACTCTGTATGGGTACTTCCCGGAAATCTAGATCCCATCAATTACTAATGCCGATATATATCCACCACTTTTCAAATTGCCAGCGACGGCGTCCAACGTTTAATGCCAAGTTTGAATCATCAAGCTATTGGGTTGTAAACGTGACACGCTTGCATGTATACCTTAGTAGAATGCAACCGCCTTGATGAGTCATATATTTTACGTGGCTGCCGATCGACAACTTGTGACTGTTATGCAATGTTTGAACTTCATAAAATAATATTTTGGTCCACAAAACCTGAACTACATAACCCGATATTTCTCAAAGCTCTAGATTTCGGTAGTGACTACGTTTAGCAATGAAAGCAAATACTAACTACATCATGCCGCTGTAGTAAATTGGTATGGAGGGCGGAGTAAAACTAGGATAATTCAATATTCTAGTGTTATTTTGGTGTGTCGAAATACAGCAGATTATTCTACTTGGAAGTTGAGGCAGGCCCTTCCCGGATGGAATTGTTTCTTCCGATAGCATTCACCCAGTTGCCCGCTCACAGGTATAGAGGTGAGATATTGCTCAATAGGGAAAGTCTATGCGCAATGACGTTCCCTGTCAGCCCTGTACGATGAACAGGTGCCACCCCACTTCTCTCCCAGATCCACCCAAGCCATTGGTAGTGGCATCTCTAAAGATGACGACGGACATCCTACCCTACCCTGACTGTCACCAGCAATACTTACATACTCAACTAGACAATCCTATACCCTCTACCCCCCGAGAAAAGCGGAATAATCCACCGTAAGTCGACAATGGCGCCAGTTCACAAGATCGCATTGATCCAAACACACCCCAAGGCAAGTAATACGACCTTTTCCTCTGTTCGGATGACAACTATACAATCTGAGCGAGTCATTTGATGTCCAAGCACTCGCCGATTTGTTGCAGCAGGCATCAAATTCTTCCGTGTATTCTCGGCTTGTGGGTATTTGTTTAACTTCTCTGGACAGCCCGTAGCACCTACCGAAAACTTCGCCAAGGCATCAGCATTTATCAAGGATGCAGCTTCGAAGGGTTGCAAGTTAGCCGTCCTGCCGGAATATCATCTCACTTCATGGATACCCGAGGATCCTTCATTTAAAGAATCGTGCGCCGACTCAGCAGACTACCTGGTCAAATATCAGGAACTCGCCAGAGAACTCAACATCTGCATTGTACCGGGCACCATCGTTGAAATACACCAAGATGATAATGGAGAAGCGCTGCTCAATGTCGCATACTTCATCTCATCCACCGGTGAGATACTCGGACGGTACCAGAAGAAGAACCTGTGGCACCCGGAGCGGCATCACCTTATGGGTTCGGCACATGAACCACACGCAGCTTTCGATACGCCCTTTGGTCGAGTGGGCATGCTGGTGTGCTGGGACCTCGCCTTCCCTGAAGCGTTCAGGGAGCTCATCTCAGACGGCGCAGAGATCATCTGCCTGCCCTGCTTCTGGACAATGAAGGATATCAGTGATGAAGGGTACGCGCTCAATGCAGACGGCGAGGCATTATTTTTAAACAGCACGGTCGTTACTCGCGCATTTGAGAACACCTGCGCCGTGGTGTTCGTGAACGCCGGAGGACCTGCGGATAAAGGGGAAGATACTAACCATGCTGGGCTGAGTCAGTTGTCGGTACCCCATGTTGGGTCTGTGGGCAGACTCGGCCGCGCAGAGGACATGTCGATTGTTGATTTAGACATGAATATCCTCAAAATCGCCGAGGATAATTACAAGGTCAGAGAGGACATGAAGACGGAAGGCTGGCATTATGCGTACACACAGATCAGGGACGGAGCCAAGCTCTAAGGGGCTGCTACGGGTTGGGATAGATCGTGGATGTGAGTCAATGGCGTAACCAGGGATAGCAACGGGAGAACTGGAATAATTGATCATGCTCACGGCGTGCAACGTCACACAATCCACATCTGCCGTGTACTCATACACGACCTCTCGCTGCACGCCACTCCTTAAACCGGTCATTTCTGCGTCATAAAAGCTCCCCTCACCGCATCCGACGACCAAGACCCTCGACATCCTCTAGCCACCATGGTAGACATCGCAGCCCTAACAACAATCTTCACGCCGTCGCCAGGGTGCACCGGCCGATACGCGATCTTCATCGATCACGGCGGCCCCATTGACGGCACCCGCTCCGAACCTCCCACCAGCGGTTGGATCGATCCCTCATTCACATCATGCATCCCAGCCCAATACACCAACACTTTCCCCACGTTCAGCCCAGGAGTATGTCCCGATCACATGAGCATCGCCTCCTATACATCCAGCGTTGATGGCGCCAGCGCCAGAACGGTCTGGACTGGCGCGTGCTGCCAAAGCGGGTTTTCAACCATGGAGATCGACCCGCGATTCTACTGCACGTCGTCCGTGACGACACAGATGGCTTTTCTTCTCGATCCCAACATCTCGACTACCGATATCTACACCACTTTGTCGAATCTCTGGATCGAGCATGACCAGGTCACAGTAGAGTGGGAACAGGCCGATCTTGCGATTTTGCCCGGCACCGTTGCCACCCAGTACGCCTCGATCATGGGAATTGGGCCGCCGATGTCGCAGCCTGAATCAACAGCACCAACTTCGAGTTCGCTTGAAGCAAGTGCTCTGCCTAGCACGCAGCAACCACCGGTCACTTCGCTGGCAGGGTCGAGTACCACAAGCGCTACGTCGCTTCAAACAACTGCAGCGCCTAGGACTACGCAAGATACTTTGGTTTCCAGTGCGCCCGGTGCAGGTACCGTTGGAAGCTCTGACTGGACGGTCGAGATATCTTCAACGGAATCGCCCACACTAACTCAATCATTAGCTCAAGCTTCTCAGTCAACTTCTAAGTCCCCTGCACGCAGTTTACTGCCCTTAGGTTGGATGAGATGGATGGCATGTGCAATAATCCTGGCATTCAATGCTTAGTTTGTGGATAGTGGCTATGTTATCCACCAGTGTCTCAATTCATACACGGTAGAGTTCGCCTCTTTTCCCCTTCTACTGTGAATCGGCCGAAACCTCGTGTTCTCCTTAGATCCCATACCGCTTCCCAACGCTCCTTCCAATTCGGGTTTTCTACTGAAGTAGACTCGATGATGTGCTTGAGTCTTCACCAAAGCTCCCATCCCGACAGCCTTATCAAATTCTCTGCATACAAACGAGGCAACCAAGGTGGAAGATCGTCACACTTCCCCGCTTAATGACTACATGGGCTTCACAGCTGCCACTCTAGATAATTTCCCACCATCTCCAACATCTTCTGGCACACGGGACAACATCTCTGCGAAAAGGCCTGCTGAGTTGCCCACTCCTTTACCCGCTCGTCAAACTTCCACTCTGTAAGAACGATTTGGGCTGAGTTTTCCCGTGGCAACTGCCATTGGCCTTTGAAATCCCCCTTTCTGGTCGATGGGTGGGTGAAATTTCGCGTTGCATCCTATCGAGGACATCCAGAGTTCAAGATCGTTTCGGAGTGGCATCGGCCAATACCGCGTTTCTATCAGTAACTACCTTGAAGTGAGGAAGGTAACTCATCATAAATGACCCTTCTCTAATCTCTCCAGCATTTTCGGGGGGCTTAAGATTTCTCTATCCATGACAGCAGCTTCTTCACGTCAGCTCATGGAGGCTTGTCGGCGCAATATCCTCTTCTTGGTCAATCGTGAGTGTCGAGGTGGGGCCAAGCGTCTCTATCCAATACAACTAGCTGTACTTCCCACATTCTCCGAGGCACGTAACAACCGGGGAAGGAAAGTGAACTGACCGACACGAGATTTTCTACAATGGATTGATATACATCCGCCCTCAGCACGACACCTTTTTCATGGGCGTTGACTAGGACATTCATGGCGGGGTGCGTGATGACATTTACGATGAGTATGAGCCCAAGAAGGAATGCTTCTCCACAATGAAGGCAGAGCATTTGGCGCAGCTGAAGAAGATCCTGAAGGTTTAGTTTGGGTATTGGTGGGAATGGTCGGTGGGAATATTGCTCCTTCGACGAGGATGGCTGCTACAACAAAAGGTGTCTCCGCGATGAAAAGCTATATTGTCGACAAGCCTGAGAAAACTATGACCCATACATACAATCAGAAGTTGTTGTGATGTCGTTTCAGCATCTTGTTGAGAAATTGGGCGAAGCCCAGAAGATAAGTTACCGTCCCAAATGATAAAACATGAAATCCATATGCCGACGTCCCACGCCCAACAGTTAACCCATAGCCATTTTGTTGTAGTGAAGATTCTAGGACAACTACATGCCCTCTTGGTTCGCATGGCCATCCATCTTAGTAGCTGACGTATAGATTGATGGCGATGCGAAAGAGGACAATACACCCCAGAGCGAAAACGAAGAAATCTCCAACGAAATGGACGGTACAAAGGAGACCACGAATCCAGCAGCCTCACCTGATACTCAGCCGGTCAATACACATACCAAGAAGCTGGAGTAAAATAAGGTCACTTACCCAATGCAACTAAAGCCAGATTCCTCACCGCCGAAGGAGGAAGACCGTAAGAGCCCATGACGAGAGATGCTGCCGGGCACCAAATGTATGGCCACCATGACTTAGCAGAAGATTGCCTCGAAAATGCATCACCCATTGTTGCTGCCGAGGTCACCGTTTCTCCCAAGCTGTAGAGTATCTTCTCCGTCATATTCTGAGCTTGCTGCAGGAAATTGGTATGATCGTCGTATTTGTCTGATAGATTCTCCGAGATATGGACAAGGCGTTGCATCCCCTGAATCTATTTTCAGTGATGTTGCAGGTTCAGCAGAAGCGATGGTTTTCTTACCTGTTCCAGATTGCCTTGTCTATATTCAAGTTCCGCTGCTTGGAGACGAAACAGGTCCTAGAACAACATTGTCAAGGGAAATACCGCCGATATTGTGAAAGACTACTTACTATCTGGTTCTGCAGTATTGAGGCGGACGTAACAGCTGCAGCCATGGCCGTCATCACGCTTGACATTTCCGATTCTGCCTTGCGGCTCACCATTTCCAAGGACTGCTCGTGAAATTCGGCGGCTTCGGCGTTTGTAGCGAGGATGCTGCTCATCATGACCTCGAGCATTCTTTGCAAACTTGCAGCGTTTACGATACCCGAATTGACCGTATCAGTAGATCTCTACCCCAGGTCAGCTTATGCAGTCAAATCGACACGAAATAGGGGCGTACCCTGAGAGCTTGTGCCAAACTCCCCGATATGAGATCTTCCGCAGTCGTAATACCAGTTTTCAGACCATCTAGCTGCGGTGAAAGCCGGTCAAGACGGTCACTCATCATTTGAGCTCTCTTGTCTAAGTCGGTCATGCGCCTCTCGACTCTCTCGTCCATACCGTCTGCTAAGTTGCTCATGATCTTGGTAAGACGTTGGAAGAGCAGGATGTTTTGAGCTGTACACCATTAGCAACCTTCGATGGGAAATAGAAGAATGCAACGTGCTCTTCTCGTTGTCGGCTCGCGCAGCTTCGCAGAACCGCAATGCCTTGTGGCGGTAGCTGACCCAAGTATTCCACGCCGAGTCCGACGCACCCAGACCCGAAAGACAGCCATCGATTTCCTTGGATGTGACATGAAGTTGAGCTGTGTTTTGCAGTGCAAGATGCGTGATGATCGATTCCTGAAATTTCCCGCATTCTCTCGGGATCACGAAGCTCCCACGCTCAAGATCGCAGATGGCCAAGCTTGCTGCGTAGGCATCCACAAAGTCCCTGATCTGGCGCCCGCTGTCCGTAAGTATAGTTGCCTCATCCTTTCCTTCCAAAAGCTGGCAGTTATTCACCAGTAAAGTTGCCGCCGTACGATGACAGAGAGGCTCCGACTCTAGCTCCTGGAGCTCATTCAGGGCAATCTCATACGTAGAAGGAAGACGCGTAACCGTCTGTAGAAGGTGCGATGCACTGAGGCTTGGATCCAAACCCGTCCGATCGCCTTTGCCCGCTGCCCTGAGGCCCGAGTCACGCCGCCATGAGAAGCCGCAGACGACTTCACTGTGGGCTAATACGAACAATGCGACAAGTCGTATCCAAATCATCTTGTTGCTTTGCGTGATGATCATGCCTGCGCCGGTGCACGCATATCATGGCAAAGTAATGTGGATGATAGAGGAGGACTGGAGAATTATTGCAGAATACCTAATAAAAAAAAGGTGGACGGGGAGCAGCAATAATTCTTCCGATATGGACTTGCGATAACTGAATGAGTTGGGCAAAGTATCTATTTAAGCAGGCAAGAGCCCGCCTGCAGCTGAAAGGTGATGGCCAAGAACTTATCAAGGCAACCGCAAATTTGGTATACGCAAGACTCGACGACTCTTGAGATCCAGATGTACTTGGGAGTGATTGTCCCAATTGGAATTTACAGATTGTCCTTGCCAGCCACAGCGTAAAGCGTTTTTGAGGATACAATTGGGGATGATGCATCGAGTGCTTCAAAGCGATAGATTGATCCCAGAGGGAAGGTGCAATAAACCACAAATTCCATACAAAGTGTGCAGCTTCCAGATTTTTCAATCCAATGCACCTTATTTAATTCCAATATGGAGTTGAATAGTTGGGTAACCTACTTCCATCGAGGGAGAATGGAACATGGACATCAGCTTATGGAACATATTTAAGTAAGAATGGCTCATTTTTAGGCAATGAGCAAATAGAATTTGTTGAGAAATGCTTGCAAATATACAGGTAGGTTTCCAGATTATACCAATATCAATGACTGTCTGTCACACTGGGATATCGAGTTATCCCTACGCCAATAGACGTCTATTACCCCGGAATAATAGGTTAAGTACCGATATCCAAGTATTATGTCGATCTCATTCTTCACGCTGTTGATTATAGTCCAGCTGATAAACCCGTCAACTAAGAAAATGGGCATGTACTTGAACTCAAAGACTGCCACCGACTACAAGAAATAGATGGAGCCAACTCATACTGTGGACATCGCTTCGCTTCAACAAACACCATGAACCTGTTCCCAATGAATACCAATATTCTGACGGATGCTATTATTCATTAGAGCCTGGTAAATAACAACAATGAGAAAGTACACATTGAAAGAGGCAGACAGGGTGGGTGGTAAATATTCAAATTCCACGGCGGATTAGGTTCAGAATGAAGCGGCTGGTTTAAGAGATTCTTCGCTTGCCTGTCGAAATTTCGGTTTCGGGAGCTATTGCATTCACCGTTCTATACCACTGGTCTCGATGCGGGGAGCCCGGATCGAAGGAATAGTGCAGCCCATTATACTATGAATTGATCGTCATTTCCGCCAGAGGTTCAGAATCTTGCAAGTGAGCGCGACTTGAAAAGTGTGGGCCGGCGCCAACTGGTCGCCATATCACATGACCTGGAACCTGAACTATTTTCTGCCGGTACCCAGCAACTTGGGGCTTAACTCGGAAGCATCGCGACGGCAGCAATTGACTTCCACAAGCTGCCCAGCGGCCCCGATATCCAGCATGCTTGCTCCCAGCCGAGGTCCCGTCCTCGGAAAGGCGATATCGCAATCGTCTGCAGTCACGCTGCCGAGTTTCCTCGTGCCAGCTTTCCAGACATGCCCACCTCGACGGCAATTCTCCAACACGGCCAGCAAGCCCTCCAAACTAGGCCGCACGCCCATATCGATCCCACCCGGTGTTGAGCTTTCCATCGGCGATGCTAAAGTCAAGAGAGACCTCACGACGTACCTGCGTATCCCAAAACGAACCTTGACCATCTCCGGCCCCCTGGGCAAGCTCGAACTCGAAATTCCGCCCTACCTGACCATCAACCACGATGAGACAACGCGGAAGGCGCTGTTGAGCATTGAGGATAGAAATCAGAAGAAACAGATGGAGATGTGGGGTAAGGGCACACCTCATGACGACATTTAGACAGGCTGTCGGAGCTAGGAACCACGGGGCTGACACAGGACACAGGCACAACATGGGCATACCTTCAACGCCACATAATCGGCGTTTCAGAGGGCCACACAGCAATCCTGCGTCTCGTCGGTGTCGGATACCGAGCGACGGTTGAGGAGCGCCCCAGCAAGGCAGAATATCCAGGCCAGAAATTCGTGTGTGTGAAGCTAGGGTTCACGCATCCTGTCGAGGAGCCCGTGCCATTCGGCATGAAGGCTAGCACGCCGCAACCGACCAGAATTCTGCTGGAGGGCATCAACAGGGAAGAGGTTATGTCGTTCGCTGCAAGGATACGCAGGTGGAGGCGGCCTGAACCCTACAAGGGGAAGGGTATCTTTGTCAACGATGAGACTATCAAGTTGAAGCAAAAGAAAATCAAATAGAGCATCTGCTGCAAGGGCGGATGGTTTGGGGCGAGGAAGTATGTTCGTCCATCATTATTGGACGGTGTATATACCTATGTACAATGTAGCCTATGTGTATGTGTCTGGAACCCTGCTGGTCGTTCTGAAAAAGGAGGTTGGGCCAGGATAGGCATAAGGCGGAGCACATGGTTGAACATCACATCATCCGTGCCTCATATTATGGCTATTGTGTCCGTGCCGTAGACAATGCGTCTGTTCTGTTGGGACAAACCCCTACCGGTGGATTGAAGGCTGAATACTAGGGCGGAACCAGTGGTAACATGTCCTTAAGGATTGCGACAATTCGAAAATGCCAAATTACTCATTCGGGTTTACATGGAGGAGTACTGCCAGAATATTGGAGCTGGCATGAATCAGGATAGGTAAGTTCTGCTAATTCTCAAATACATACTGCTTAACTACGTTATGATCGAACGAAAAACTGTGTGCCAGGTTGACTCTCAGGGTGGCTTTCTGTGGCTAACACGTGATACATCTAGCGAAATGGTATCCTATACCACTATAGGAACAGGCAGAGGAACGGAATATTCCAAGATTGATCTCGTCGTACGAAAGTATGTATTTATCTAAGTCACTCAGCGTTTGGACAGGATTATTTACGTAGTAGTGTTTCCCTACTTTCATAGCATCCATCATTATCCCAGAAGCAGACGGAAGTTGGTCGTCATTTTATACAACTGATGCTATAGATTCGCGCGTCCCGGTATCAGATGCGCATTCACAGGCGATATCGCCTTACCTGTCTGACTAAATTGCAAAATATTCTCTATACCAAGCCTCTCGAACCCAACATGCGAATCCAAAGACGCACCTGCGTTATGCGACAAGACTTCAACGCGCTTCATTCCAATGAGCTCTTGGCTCACGTGGGGCTCGTTAAAATGCACATCAAGTCCAGCAGCGGAAATCTGACCACTCTTCAACGCGGCAACCAGAGCATCCTCATCGACCAGCTTGCCGCGAGCAATGTTGACAAGTCTCGCGCCTTGCTTCATCTTTTGGATTTTCTCCGCGTTGAGCAACGTCCCACCCGCAAAGGGCGTGGCAACTAACACGCAGTCCGCCTCGGCTAACAGTGTGTCCATGTCCTTGTGGAAGGTTGCGTTGACGGGTGCTTCTACTTCACGTGGCATCTGCACAACATCGTTGTACAGGATTCTCATGTCGAATGCCGCGTGAGCCTTTTTGGCAATTCTCTGCCCAATTCGTCCGAACCCGATGATTCCGAGACTGAAGCCCGCATTGGGATTCCGTGAGACTGGTGCCAGGTTGCGGTTGGCGTCCATGAATTGTTCTGGGTCACCGGATCGGGCGGCGATGGCTGACCACGAGAAGAGCCGGAAGACGGACAGGATCAGCCAGATGGCTGCGTCTGCTACGGATTCGGTACAGGCTGCTGCAGCGTTGCAGTAGATAATTCCTACCCATGGACATTGGTACGAACTCGAAACCTGGCGTATGGCTGTGTTAAACTTACCTCTCCGCGCAAGGCACTCCGTGTCAACCCAGTCAAACCCTGCTCCAGCGCTAGCATATATCTTGCATGATTTGGGCAACAACGATATCAGCTCGTTGTCCCAGTTGCCCATCTCGCCGCCTGTGTTCCAGAAGGGGCGATACATGGCGTAGAAGTCGCCGAATGTTTTGTTTTTGAGAGCCTGGATGAATTCGGCGCGTGACATACTGTAGGACCTCCGAACCTCAAAATTGGATTCAAATTCCTTGTATAGGTCATGGTTCCATCGTATATCATCGCCCAGATGCAACACAATCGGCCGAGCCATTATAGTCAAGCTTGACCTTGAGAAGGTCTCCGCAGGTTTGGATTAACTGGAGAATGAGACCTTGATTGGATATGGAGAAATTAGACTTGGTAGGATAGTGACACAAGAAGTAGATTGGCTAGAGAAAGGACGTTGGGTACATGGGAGCTTGGCCGACTATATATGCTTCACTTGCAGACAATGGAATGGTCTGATCCGAATTTCATATGAAGCGAAAAGCACGCTTCTTACCCCAGTTCCCCGCAACACGCTTAGAAAACTGGAGCTCGGCATCTCCACCGCTGGATCTTGCTGTCCACATATGGCAAAAGTCCCCGAGCATGGCTCTGCCCTCGCCGCAAACGGGTCTTCTCGGCGGTCATGGTAAGCTGGGGCAATTCTGGGCAATCTGAGGACTTCTCATTAGACCGTGGCCTCGGTGGGTCAGGATTGGGACAATTACTGAATACCAATGCATATATAGTGCATAGCTAGTGAGCAACAGCCCAGAAGATGGCTTGAAACACTTCTACCAACTATACAGAACCCTGCATACTCCAAAATGTGTCATGTTCCGGTGAGAAGCACGTATAAATGGATTCCTGTATACGTCACAGACAATCCACCAATTTTAGCTACTGACAAGTTGGCAGCGATTAAGCAACAGAATGATTAAACAAATCTATGATACGTAGCATATAATTCACCTCATTCAATGTACACCCTAGGGTAAACTCATATCGTCAAACCATATTATTCAAGGCACCGTTGATCTCGTTTCTCTCTTTTTTCTTTCTGAATAACGTGGTTGATTTGTAAGATTCTGAGTAATTACTTCATATGCTCAACTTACTCGTAGGTGATATGATGTTAGGATCCATAGCAGCTCCACCTTGCAACTTATAGAGTTTAGACCTTCGGAGCTGTTACATATTCTGGAGAGAACAAACGGTATGTTGCTTTGGCGGCAGCACCGACTAGGCTGATATACAGCGGTACAGCCTGGGGAATAAATGCTATAGGCTTCATAAAACTGAATACTTATATTGTTTACTTTGTTGAGGGCTAAATCGAAAATGATCTCCGGCATCTCTCGTTGGTGTATTGATGTTTGCTCTCAGATTCATAATACTTTGCGCTCTCCTTGTGCAAACTCCTGAGGTCAGGATTCACGGTCGGAAAAAGAAGATGTTTCATCATAGTAGAACTTGCTACTGTATCGAGGAATGTAGTGAATACTGAATTGCAGTCTTTAGAAGGATCGACTTGCCACGCTCGAATAGTGAATGTTTTTACTGTCCAAGACCACAATTACAATTACGAACAAAGTTCCACTTTATTGTATTGCTAACCTGTCGCCCCACCGACCAGCACAGGCCCAAGCTTCTAAAACCAAATAAGGACCTGATTCGATGAGCAGAGAGCAGAGGGACAGGAAACTTCGAGTGGGCTTGCCGTCCCACGGTCTATAAACATTCGTCAGCACCTGACACTTCCAGCCAAACACAGCGACCGACCAAATCAGCACTTTTGGTCGCCTTACATCTGAAGACTTTCCACACCTGAGGCGTTGAGTATCTTCAAGCCGCCGTGTGACGAAATCTAGACCCCGGTCAGGCCGGTACTCGTCACAGTGATGAATGCCACCAAGCGGAAATTCAACGCCCTTATCCAAGGGATCGGCACGCGCTCATCACCCCAGGCACCAGATGGCGGCCATGAAAACATTACGAGGACGACCAGCCGCGATGCCGTCCTTGAATCGCCTTCCTTGAACCGCACCCAAGCCGAGACTACAAACTCGACAACGCCGACAAGACCGAACGATAAGTCGCCCATCCCAATGTCCTCGATAACTAGCGATTTCCTCAGCAAACGACGGCGCGTAGCCGCTCTGGGGTCGACGACTGGGAACGAGAGCCCCCTTGGGAGTACCAACATATCCGATGTGGTGCTGAAGAAAACAACAACTGCAACTCCTAGCAAGGATGCAAAAGTCGCGCCACCCAGGTATTGTCCCGGTGATCGAGACCAGCTGATTAGACGGCTGGGCACTTTTCAGGAACTCACCGAGTGGACGCCGAAGCCGGATAAGGTCAATGAGATCGAATGGGCGAAGCGAGGCTGGGTTTGTCAAGGGAAGGAGCGCGTACGGTGCACATTATGCAGCAAAGAATTGGTCGTCAAGACGAGCAAGAGGAATGTGGACGGCAAGGAGGTTCCGGTCACTGTGGGTTCCGACTTCGAACAAGCACTGGTAAAGAAGTTTGCGGAATTGATGGTCGAGGCGCATGAAGACGACTGTCCATGGAGGAGGCGTGGTTGTGATGGTGAGAGGCTTCATGGTCGATTTTTAACGCACTACCTTTACTGACTATTGACAGATTCGCTTCTTCGTCTTGTCCTTACAAGTCCATCGACAGCCCTTCCCTCCCTCCGACAGCGCTACGATGAACTTTGCGCCCGTCCAGCATTCCTCCCCTACCAATTTAATCTACGTCTTCCCCCGTCCTTCTCCCTCCAGGCAGTCAAAGCCCAATTGCCACCGAATTTCTTCACCGAGCCAACACCTTCGACTTCCTCGTCCGCGACACCAAACGATGTGGCCCTTGCCCTAGCACTGACCGGCTGGCAAGGGCTGAATAATCCGCGCATAGGCCCAGTCCCCAACTCGGCCGCCTGCGCAACGTGCCTGCGGCGCCTCGGCCTGTGGATGTTCAAGAGCAAGGAGGTTGATCCGGAAACAAACGAGATCTTAGTTCCAGCTCCAATGGACCATCTAGACCCGGTCCGCGAACACCGTTTCTTCTGCCCCTGGCGCAATGCAGGAGCCCAGCGCAACTCAGGAAGCCACGCGAGCGAGAAAGAAGACAAGACAGCTTGGGAAGTGTTGGCTGTCACGATTCGGAACGCCTCCCATTTACGTGGACAGACGGATCGAAGCGGCACCCCGAGCAAAGGAGTGCACGGGAGGAGCAAGAGTACCATCGTCCCCGGGAAGGGCGCAAATGCTGTCATGTCATCACCGACAACACCAGGTCGGGAAGACGGACGCCTGGTGATGCTCGGTCCGGATATGGTGGAAGATGAAGAAGACGAAAACGTAAAGGAAGTTAAGGACAAGGAGAGATGGGCGAGGCTGCGGAGAGTGAAGAGTCTCTTCAATACCAAAAACGGGAAGAGGTTACAGCGGTCGTTGAGCCGGCCGGGCACAGCGTCTAATAGACCTGATACTGCCAAGTCAACCGCTACTGGGAGCGAGACATAGGGGCATAACTCCCCGAGGTTTTCTTTTGGTTGGATTTTTTGTTTCATTCTTGAGTGTTTTTAGTAGTGTTGTCGAAAGCGAGGTGTAAGGGTGGGACAAGCTCGGAGTTTGGAGTATTTCAGAACTGGCTGGACCGAGCTGCGGCTGGTTGTGAGTTCACATAATAAGTACGTACTTGGGTTTGCTCTTATCTCGACCTGAGCAACTGGCGCCTCATCCAGGGTTCTAATATCAAGGTCTGTTCCACCTGTTATATCGCGGAGTTGATGTAACTAAATCGCCCTAGAGTTGGAAGTCCTTCTTTCCATTGCGACTTTCCACGTGTGCTCATTGTTGTCACAGTTTACAAGTGCACGTAAGGTTTTGAAATACATCCATGGCCAAACTTGGGTGCTCGTAAAACGTCGTCGGCCTTATGACCGCCTGCCTATTGGTTGGGTCCATCTATCCACTGATTCTCATGCGCCTACATCCTCTGGATAAGGCATTTCTGTTATGTTTGGAACCGTCCACCATCGTTGAATGCTCCTCATCCTTGGAAATCCTCCGCGTAAAGGATTGTCTTTACGGGTAAAATTTCCTTCTCACACATGCGTCGGAGATCGACCATCCTCCGTCCGCAAAACGAGGACTGGACTTCCTGTGAACCCAAGAACGTATGAACAGGTCGCGCCCTCCAGCTGCTCAGATTCGGGGCATGATGAGGAAGGCAATGGCATTACAACTGCAGATCATCTAAAGATAGTCGCTGCTATCCTTGCATATACGGGGCGAAAGCCGCTCTTGAGATCACTTGTATTTCTAGCTCTTAGGTGGAGCCAGACCTGGAAAGAAAAAAAAAGGCTAAGACGAGTTCACATAATTTACAGCACTGTTAAGATATTCCATAGCATACGAGAGGCACGGACATACTATATACTACTTCACTGGATTTTACAACTTACGAAGTAACGTATTACTCTAAAAAGAAACCGTTAAGCATCACTTGTGGATTAATAGTATTCCAGTACTATACCAGATTACTCCACGGGATATCTACATAAAGGTATTTATCCTATTCTATCCCATAGCATATCATGGGTAAGACACGCAGTTACTCCCTGGAACAAATATCTCAGGGGAATTCAAGTCCCTACACTACTAAGCCGAGCTCCAACCCTATAGCTGCCTCTAACCCAATACGCCTATGCCCCTATTTTAGTCTCCCTATATCCCAAGCCCGGAATTCCACTACGTAGCGCCAGACTGCTCAAAACCACGCTAATAGAGCTCATCGCCATAGCCAAACTGGCCCAGACTGGATCAAGCCTCACGTGACCCCTTGAAGGTGTTTCTATAGCGTAGAACGCGCCTGCCGCAACCGGAACTGCTAACAGGTTGTAGACCAGAGCCCAAGCAAAGTTGACCTTGATCCGACCGAACACCTTCCGACTCAGCTGTATAAGGGTGACGATGCCCCGGAGGTCGCACTTGACCAGCACGAAGTCAGCGGACCCGATCGCGACATCCGAACCAGATCCTATTGCGATTCCGACGTCTGCGACTGTCAAGGCAGGAGCGTCGTTCACCCCGTCGCCAACCATAGCCACGGTTGCTCTTTCCATAGACCTCTTAGCCTTCAGGGACGACTGCAACTCCTTGATCTTATTTGATTTCTCGTTAGGTTTGACCTCGGAGATGACGTTGTCCTCTGGAATGCCAATACGCAGGGCTACTGCTCTCGCCGTGGTTTGGTTGTCGCCGGAAAGCATCCAGACATCGATGTTCTGAGATCTGAGAGTGTGAATAACGGCAGAGGCCTCGGCGCGGACGGGGTCGGAAATGGACAGGGCAGCAGCAATGCTGAAAGAGCTACTTTCTTCGTCGTCGGAGCTGGTAGGCTTCATAGCGACAAGAGCGACGGATTTGGCTTGCGTCTTCCAACGTTGTAGGGTTGATGACAGACTTGCCGAAATGTGTGCACCGTATTCACGCATCAGGGCTTCGTTTCCGACGACAATCTCGAATCCGTCCAACTCTGGAACGAGGGCGTCGGATGTAGCTTTCAATCCTCTCCCAGGTGTTTCTTCAATGTCAACAACCTCTGCCCGTTGTTGTGTTTTGGAGCTGCAGAATGATACAATGGCTTTGGCAATAGGATGACTGCTGTTCTCCTCAACCGCTCGCACGACAGCCCAGAGAGCGCTTGAGTCCTCGTTGGTTTCCTCGCCTTGATCGTACAGCTGAAAATCGGTGATGGTAGGCTCTCCGCCCTCGGTCAGTGTCCCTGTTTTGTCAAAAACGACACAGTCGATACGACTGGCTATCTCAAAAGACTCCCCGCCACCTTTGACAAGAACTCCATACTTGGCTGCAAGCCCACCTCCAACGGATGTGGCAGTTGGAGCGGCAAGACCGATGCCACAGGGACAAGCGACGACGAAGACGGCAATGGCGAACTTGATGGAAAAAGCGAACCAGCCGCCCGATATTCCTTCGAGGTAACTTGCAGGCACAGCACCCGAATATCCCAGTATAGCCCAAATCAGGCAGGTCAGAATTGCCAGCAGTGTAATCCCGGGAACAAAATACGCTGTCAGACTGTCGGCAAATTGTTCGATCGGTGCTCGTTTCGCTTGGCCTTCCCGCACGATATCAATTATTTGATCTAGCAGCGATTGTCCGGGGGCACCGGTGATTTCGATAAGGATAGGAGCGCTTTTGTTCACTGTCCCAGAGAGCACTGTATCTCCGACAATCTTCTTGATGGGTCGTGATTCGCCGGTGACGCTCGATTCGTCGAAATTGGTCTCTCCCTCCACTAACTTCCCATCGCATGGAGGCGAGGAGCCGTATGGAATGCGGACGATGTCCCGGATCTCCAGTAAATCAGCCTCGACGACTGTGTCAATATTGTTGCCTTGGGCATCTTTCTCGACCAGAATGGCGGTTGTAGGGCGAAGCTTTCCAAGCATCTCGATGGCATTTCCCGTCATGGACTTGCTGTAGCCTTCGATGAGTTGACCTGTCAGGAGGAACAAGGTCAGAAAGACGACCGAGTCGAAGTACACATCCTCGTCGCTCATCCGCTCGGGTTGGGCCACGGCGGCTACGATGAGCTGGGCGACGGAGGACAGATAGGCGATGGTGGTTCCAAGGGACATGAGCATGTTCATGGAACCGAATCGATAGAAACGTTGCAATATCGGAGTTCGGCTTCCGCGCTTCCACAGACTTCGGAGCTCCTTCCACGCTTTCTTGTGGAAAATGTCGGCCCCAAAGACATAAACTAGAGATGCCATAATAAAGAGGGCAATCTGAGCTCTGTTAATGCCAGAAACCCAGGGTTCCATGAGTAATTTTCTGATGATAACGTCCTCGGACACAAACGACATGTAGACGATGCCAATGACGAAACAAGGAATCGCAATGACGAGGGTAAAGATGGCGCGCCACAACACCTGTCTTTGACGTATGGCATGCATCCGCTTCGAGATAGCGTCAGGGGACTCTGGATGATGGATAGACGCAGAGAGTTTGTCGTTCGCGTTGATTGCGGCTATGATGTTGCGGATCGAGAAGTCAGGTGACGGAGTGTATGTGATTTCGCACAAGGGCGACTTCTCGGTGGGTGCGGTAATCACTGTCAAGGCCCGAAAGCCATTGAGGCTCCTAAGAACGGATCCGGGGCACTTGGAACAGTGCATGCCGTCGACTTTAAGCTCCAGCGTTCGGGTTGGTCCGTTGCCTCGATCGGGGGATTCGACAGGTGCGAGGCGGCTCAAAGAGGCGTCGAATCCCATATCTTCGATGGTCTCAACGAGCTTTTCAGCCTTTGCTTCAGCTTGTTCTCTCGCAGTGGCGTCATCAGTCACAAGAAACTCGACTCTGGCGTTGCTTCCGAGTAGATTGACGTTGATGTCGGTGATCCATTCGTACTTGAGGCCTCTCATGATACTCTGTGTACACGTAGAACAGGTCATGCCCGAAATTGATATCGAGGCAGACCAGGAAGCTTTAGAAGCCATGCTGATGAATGGATGTCCTGAAATTGTAGTTGTTGAGGTTTGGTTGGTTTGGGGCGTCGGGATGAGCGTCAGGTAGTTTCAGTGTTCAGAAAGGTTGTTCCATGAAACAAGCGGTTTATCCCACTGGAACAACGCACACAAAAAAAAAGTGACGTGACGATGGTATCAACGTGTTGTTTCCACTGGAACCATAGCCGTTGGGTCAGTCTTGTATTGGTAGCTTTCAAATCTTTTGAAGCAGGCACGACACAAAATCTTTCTGCTGTCAGGTGTGTGATAGTTGCGCGATAGTTTACCAAAATTTGGTAAAAGTAAAAATGGTCCCGCTGTACCGAAAGGCAAAAATTTTGTAAATGGGCCAGAGCAGGTTTAAATAATGTCCTATTTGACAGGTTTGTTGCGTGGTCGGTGTTGTTGAATGAATGAACTTGAGGAAGAGTTGTATATCAAGTAATTTCAGACCTATAAGCGTGCTCGCTTCGCCTGGGCCCTTATTCCAAGTGAATCCAACACAATTATTCCACGTTCATCTTGTGGCGACCTCCGGGATCCCTTGGCCTTTAGTCAGCTGGAATTCACTGGAATCCTGGGATGCGCGTATTGTGCGTCCAACAGCAATCCTGAGTAAAGCACGGAATGACGGGGACTATTGGTCATGCTCGTGCACTAGTCTGCGGGTTTTGTGCCGTTCTCTTGGAAACTCGTGTCATTGGTGATTCATGTTCGATTTCGTGGGGCCAGAACCTGCATATCACGATGAACTCGACAAGTTGCAACAATGAAGATATATAACTTGCCCATACACAGATCCCTTGCGCGGCTATTGCGTGGTGATGTGTCAAATATCAAATCGAGGCGCATCTGCCGGTTAAGTGTTAGGCAAACGCAGGTGGACAACGAAGCGATGTCGCACGCACCCAATTGGCTTTTCTGGCTCTTGAGCTGGAAAAGTAACCAGAGCTAGGAATAGCCGATGTGAAATGTCATACAAACCTCCTGTTCGGCCTTCAATATCAACTTTGTTTGTCATTACCGGGTAATTCCTTTTTGTATTCATAGGAGTGAGTGGTCTGTCCGTTCGCGGGTTTGGCGGTCTGCATCTTCGCCGAATACAACGATTGTTTGGAGTTGGAGCGGCGGACCGCAATATGGCATAGACCCTGTGCACTAACAATTCTTGATGAACATGCGGAGAACATAGTCAAAGCAGTTCGGGTACACCTGGGAAACTGCCAAAAATATTAAATGAACACGAGAACACCGACCCGGTCGAGCTGCTGTAACGTAGAACAAGTCGGTTATTAGCCTATTGGGTTCTGTACTATCAAGGCGATGTAGTGTGTTCGTTCTTGATGCATGTTCCGCCACCTTTTCAATGTTAGTTATTCGGCCGATAAGACGACACAATCGTTGCTGCACTCACACAACTATGCATATATGTTTTTATTCTTGATTCTTGTGATTATAGCCAGTCGCAAACTAATTGCACAGGAGTTGGGAGTTTGCTGATCAAAACAGCTCGTCCAGCAACTGATCACCCAGGTCTACTTGGATATTTATATTTACCCGTCAAGCCCCTCCGGTCTATATCCCGATTGATATTAAACGGGAGGGCTGCTACCGTCTGACGCCTTCCGAGTGATCCGAGAAATCTGAGATGCCGTATATCCCGATTGATATTAAACGGGAGGGCTGCTACCGTCTGACGCCTTCCGAGTGATCCGAGAAATCTGAGATGCCGTATATCACGTCGGACTTCGGACTTAGTAGATATACCAACAGATAGATTGACAGTACAGTGCCTTCACGGTCACTACTTTATGAGGCTGAACAATATCTGTGTTCATAATTAGCAACACGCAAAGCTTGCATATTTAACGTGTTCTCTCCTTGGCGTATAAAGCCACTCCAAGACAATGAATCAAACAAATGAGGTTCCCAGCGCAATCACTGGCTTAATACCATCAGAAATGATCTACGCTAGAAAATCCAAGGCTACAAGAAGTAGAATATACTATGATGCTGATCTTCGATACAAAAGATTGACCCCAAGCAGCTTCTTCCAGCCGTATGGAAAGTTTGCGTTGAGACGTTAGTAAGAACGGACCAGTGTGACAGTATTTCAGTGCAACTCGAGGTTGATCCATAATTGAATTTGGGACGTAGAAGTTCTCTGAATTATCCCATACTAACCTGCGCACGAAACTATCTTACCCTAGTGTTACTCCACAACGTTTCGATTCTCTTATGGCACCTCTGGTGCAATTTCTCGTCAAGAAATATCCCGTAGTCACCTCACCTCTCCAATCAATACAATTCAACTTGACCCACACCCCTTTGCCACTTACCGGACTGATAAAAACCTATGGATACCCGCATAAAAGAGGTGTTGGATGTACACCTAACATTGACCCATCTCCAAAATAGGGGTTGGTCGATAAGTTATACTGAAGGAGTAGTCGTTCATTGTACCTGTTGCTCGCCAGCTCCAATCGATTTCAATTGAAACCATTGAAGAAATAGAATCCTTATGACATAGAAGAAGCTCCACATGGTATTCTAAGGCTTCTCCCCGACTAATTTCTAAATATTAACTAGTTTACTAAACGATGCCTACCTGTCTCGTGGCCAGCATCCTTAGTTGTTCTTCTTTGGCCTCTATGTATCTTTTCCCTGTGAAAGAGATTAAGAAACCTTCTTGCCCGTCTCACTTTGAAAATATAGATGACAAACTCGCATTGATCACTCCATCCAACGCCAGTTACTTCCATAGGAATCCCACCAGCACTGATTGAAAGATCAAATCCAATTATTTGTGCGCTTGCTTCTGTAGATAGAGTTTAAATGAGTTAGTGTCTCCTTACGAACTCAGTGAGCCAATGAATATCTCGTCTTAGCGATCTGAATAGGCCTTGTGCAACGCAGATGTGACCTGGAAACGATGCGGTGAATACTAAAACTCCGAAGTCAAAGATTTCTGCTATCAAAGTTTTTTTTGTGGTTTAACTATGTTCAGGGGTTCGCATGAGATTCTCTTGATATCAAGGATCGACACAAGCGTCATAATTTATTCTGGCCATTGGTTTAGCACATGCTTGCTGGCATGTGTGACAGTGTACAAACCCGGGAATCGTGCGCAAGCTTCCAGCACCCCAGGAAATCAACCTTTCAATGAAATCGTTTCTTTTGTAATTTCATGCCTGCCATACGGTAGTTCAGTTTATGCTATGTTTCTACTTTATCTGGAACACACTTTTATGTCCCTATGAGACAGGAACAACACACCACAAGTTAATTGCGAATCGATTCATACAGCTGTATTGCAGTTCAGAAAGAAACTTGATGTAATTATTGAGGGGATAAACACTATTATTATCTAGACTTCAGTCACTTCTGGTATTGCGAACATAACACCAGTATTCCTGGTATAACCATATGTGCTGATTAATAGTTGTATACCTTCACATTATGTACACGGTAGTTTCTACGTTAGAGTGGAGCTGAATTATCTTGTTAAATCGGAACAGAAGCGGTAACTTTCCTGTTTGGGCATAGCAGAAGGTGAAGCCATCAATATAGTCAACACACCTACATGTAATTCCACCGCACGGCACGCTTTACCAGTCCACAACTATGAAAAATTAGCGGGTAATCATTGCGGGAGCCTCTGTATTGACAACAGTAGGAAGAGGCAGAGCTTAAGCGCATCCTATTGGCTGAGCGATGTAAGGCAGTAGCGCTGTGTCCCCTTGGCACGTTCACCTCCAAAGTCTCAACAAGCAAGAAAGCTCAGCGAAGAATACATAACTCGGGAGTACAGGCTCGCGTGATCCTGGAAGCTAAGAGCATGCTGTCATCCCCATTCAAGCTACACTACGACGAGGCAATTGTCACTTGAGATGCGGGATTGTCCTTTCGGTGTGCTCCCCTCGTAGGCGCCGTCCAAGATCCACAGGCTGTAATTAAACCCGCGGCCTGGGCATGTCCCCTTTTGGAACAAACAATTGTTGGTGATCGACGCCCACGACAAAATCCTTGCACCAACAGTGCCAACACAAGCATTGTTTGCCTGGCCTTTGTTCAAATACACCGTCACACCCAGATCGCCCAGCTTCTTGTTCTCTTCCTTTTGTTTGTGTTCAGGCAATCGTCTTTTTCTCTCAAGTTCTCAACACTCTCTTGCACAACCTCACAGTTCGCGTCGAGAATGTCGGCTTACGCGCTCGAAGCAAACAGAACATCTAGACTCCACAGCATGCCCAGCGACAACGACGACCCCGTTCCCGTCCCCGGAATGGCGCCGGCTGCATATTGCTTCCGAAACGGAGCCCCATCGCAGACCTCTGGCAGCTGGAAGAAACCCGGCGACTGAGCATGTGAAATATTTTTGGTGTCCGCATGGTGATGTGAGTTGTGTCGCTATTGCTGTCGGCAAAACATGGGCGTATTCCTCAACATGTTCATAGATCTCATCTTAGACGTGCTGGGGTTCGTTTTCATGGTTTGGTGTCTGGCTCAAAGTGACGAGACTAAGGAGCAAAGTAGGGTGCTTGGCAAGTTGATGGTGAGTTCGAAAGTGCCCAACCATTCTTACGGGATTCGCGTATGCTAATTTGAGGTTTGTAGGATCGATGGTGTTTCAATCTATTCTGCTTTGCGTCGTGGTAATTATTATCATCATGTTCGCGGCTTGGTTTCGGGGGTTACCTGCTTGCATATTAGCGACCACTTGGTATGGTACATGGATTTCACTCTTCGCGGCTGCTTGAGTTGCTATGTGAGGGCCTGAGTATTTCTAGACCTACGTATAGTCACCATGATGCGAAGTTGGTGTTGCTATTCTACCTACGGCAAGCCGACTATTTGGTAAGTTCTCGGTGACCTCTGCGGGGACGGGATGCGTCTCTACTACACAACTACGGATCAGTCTCGGGACTGAATTTCTTTGGGTATCTTCGGAATTTTCCCGCAGTCTACTCCTCGACTTTGCATTAGAGAAGCATTAGAACGACAAAGAGGACCCCCGAGTTGTCTCTATAAGTTTAATGTGAAATGATAGTTGATTAACACGAATCTTGTATTTCGTCAGGCTGTGGGGTGGCACTGACACTACAAGCTTTCCATATATGCCCAATTTCATCTTCGAATGGCATGGAATTTGTCATACGTGACCATTGTTTTTCTTTAGTGGATTTTAATATTAACTATATAAGCTACACGCAAACATGATTATTCTTGTGGTGGGATACACAGGTATGCTGCTGATAGAGACGAATAGGGGGTTCGAATACTGGAGCGTCTTGCTAACGGCTCAGGATTGGTTTCGTAGCAGACGTGAACATGTGTTTCGTTGCCGCATCCCAACCTTTATTTACCCAAATAATAAAGTCTAGAGGCTCAGTTTGAGAGCTCGGGGATGTAACTACATTTGCTATCCCACTTTGTCTCAATCAAGATCGCAGACGATAACTTCGAGATCTGGGCGACTCCTGTTTGCCACCCATATTTCTCTTATATTGAAATATTTCTGGCTGGAGTTCACTGTGAAGAAATTTGGGGGGTGCTCAGGAGCAGGGAAATAGTGGCGGCTTATATGGTTATCAGTTGCGGAATAACTAGTCACCTACTTGGCAAGGTGTGTGGGCAGCTGAGCAGATTAAAGTCGTCATGTTCTCCGGGAGTTGATGCAGAGCCAAGACCACTCTGTCCAAGTCCCTGGAAATCATGTTGGAATTTTTGGATCGACAGCCAGCTACCATCATCATCGATTCTCTACGACGGCACGAGTTACTTGCCGTAATCAAGTCAACCATTCGTGAATATGTGAGCTTGGGCAAGGTCATGATCGCGAGCCGAGATGATGGGGAAATCCACTGCCATCTTGCAAGTGTCTCACATCCGAGCATACATCATTTATGTACGATAATGTGCGAGCAGATATGACCGATCACCCAGGGGAAAGGGCGATGCGTATGTTTCGCTGGGTCACCGTGCAGATTGACGACGTGTGCGACATCAGGAAAATCAATATTGAAACCGACGTTCAGAAGATTCTCCGCCTGCTCCGAACTTTGTGAGAGTTCTACCATCTAAAAAACCAGAGGGTTTTCCAGCTTGCTTGGGCTAGTCTCGTCATTGCCGGAAGGGCCTTGCTGTGCAGGCAGAAGCTCATAACGATCGATGATATCGCATCTACAGACACATTCGCATCGGAGAACTAGGTCTTCTACGCAGACAAAATCCTGCATATATGTTGCAATATCGTTGTCATACATGACTCTGTATATTTCGGGCTCGCACACTTATCAGTCCGCAAATATTTCTAAAGTCTCGACAAATACTCGACCGAGGTATATCATTCTTGCGTCCTTCACACGGTGTCTCGAATCGTGCATCAATACTTTTCTTCTGATTGGTGGTATAACAATTATAATGATGCCGACGTAAAAATCTCCCTACGCCATGTTGAACTGGCCACATCAATTTTGGGACGCAGGCCAACCCGAATATATATGGATACTGGTCCCACCTCTTCGACAGCGACGAGCCCAACAGCGTCTGAAAAGACTGGCTTGCCAACGTCACAAACCTTTCGCGGTATCCTGGATTGGTAGATTGCGATTTTTCGCTGCTGAACAAGTTCGAAACAATTACCAGGGCTTCATTTAGCCCCTGGTACTCGCCTGTTACTTCGACCCAATATGGATTCTGATGGTTTGACACGACTGGCCTTCATTCAACCAAAGCGAACAGTCAGATATCTATCTTGCTGTCGAGAAAGGAAAATGGCCAGCTAGAATCACAACTGGCTAGTAAGAATGATATGATGGAAGCTTAATATCTTGCTGTCGACGCCAGCCATCGCTCAGCAACCAATAGTCTCCTTCGTCACGGCGCCCATGGCCTCATTCCCACCAAGCAAGGCGATACGACTTCTACTTTTGCGCTCATCTTTGGGTACAGATGAGACATATGAGCCCATTCGCAGTGTAAATTCATGCGAACGCGTCTCTGATGACTTGCCAAGAAAGATGTTGGACCATGCTCAAGATTTGCTATGTGTCCGGCTCAACAGGTTCCCCCTGATTCCCAATCTGCATGACAATCATTTACAGGTATTACTAGTGAATTCTTCCGGTGCTCTTGCCATGGTAAAGCTTTCCACGTTCGAAATTCGACTTATATTGCTCGGCAAATCAGATTCTGGCTCGAAGGTCTTGATTTCTCCTCATACAGTCTCGACGATACCTTCAACGCAGATGAGGTTGAATGCGTAACATATCGGCGCTGCTTATCTCAGAGAAGCGTGGAACGACGGTTTCAGTGAGGATGATGTTGACACACTCAATCACTATAGCGCTCAATAATTCAGTGAAGGATGGACCCTGTGCTGGACACGTACTGCAACTCGCTGCGGTTCGTGTCACAATTCATCGACAGAAGTACGCCTGTTGATTTCCTGTCTGGTGAAGCAGTGACTTCATGAATTTTACCTGCGGAAGAAAGATGTAATAACGCTCTGAATCTTCTCCTGGGCCATGACGCTAAGTTGGATGCAGCGGACCAAAGGGGGCGCTCCGTTGTTTTTAAAGCCATTCAGGCATGTATTCCAGAGATGCTATCTATATCGCTAACCGATGCGCTAAGGCAGAGGATCCATGCGATGTCAATGGGTTGTTACCACGCCACACCGCTGTTACAAACTGCGCCCATTAGATTATAGCACTTTTGAGGCAGAAGGGTACCCGAATACTCGGGTTGTATCGACACAGCCACGACTTTTCTGTCCCATTTCTAGGGATTGATACATGCGGAGAGTGCCTGAAGCATGTTTTGGAGCACAATGCGTTGAAACCAGACGTGACAACGACATGGCGAAAACGGTCGAGCAGATTTGTCCCGATGCTGTCAACAGTGATAGCCACTCCATCGAAGATTAGTCTGGGTCCCATCCAGTGGTCGCTAGGAAGTCAAGGCATCCCTTGACCCGTTAACAGACCATCATGGCAACTATTATGTTATCAACATGCATTCTGCGGAGGATGGTCTCACGTCTCTTCACGTTTCGATTGCATGTAGCAATCTAAATTCGGTTCGTGCACTTGTTGAGGCTGGAGTCGATATAACGCAGCCGAGTATCATGGCTTCACGGCACTCCACTACAGTACCTCCTTTGACTTGACAATGGTCCGCCTGTTGCCCGACCTCAAGCGGACCCGCAGATCCAAGTTACCAGAGGATGCACACCGTTCCACTTAGCTGTCGGAGGATCAAGGCGATGGTCTCAGACCACTGACGAGAAACATAGCAAGAACGTGTCCCAGTTGGCGAATCCCCGCTACACGTTGCCGTACGAATGGACCACCTTGCATCCGTCAAGATGCTCGTTTCTGCAGGGGCTGACCCTTGCGTCGTGAACAGTGAGCAGTATGCGTTAGCCATGGCTGCGGAATTAGGTGTGACGTTTTTGAATTCACTATTGTATGTATGTGATGTATTTAGCGACGCCCATGTTGCCCTCTTGGGCCCTGTCTTGTCAGATATGAATGCTGCTAGTGCAGCCAAGACCTGCCATGGGATACCCAACTTGACCAAACTAGACAGGTGGAAGATGGAGCTGGCTGCTAGCAAAACACATACGGCTCAGCCAGTTGGTACCGTCACCCTCCAGTTGACTTCTACCGGTCCTACGGCGTACAGGAATGGTCGGGACTGTCAGGACCGGAACCAATACCCATACGGCCGTTGGTTTCGAAATATGTCTCTTCATACGCAAGGTGGTCTTTATCACCCGATGATGGACTACACCCCTATTCACAACCCGAAAAATCCTTCCGCCATCAACTCACTCACAGCACGTCCCCTCCATAACCGCCGATTGTTCCAACCGCCACGTCCAGTATCCCACCGCATGCCCCACCGAAAGCGCAACGAGAACCCACGCATTATACGTCATCGATATGAGCATGGCCATATACCCGTAGAATACTTGGACACCATATGATACCGCCCTGATGACATCAACGCGTGCCTGTATGGCGCTCCGGCGAGCCTTGGGCTGCGCCTCCATTTGCTTCTTGGCCCAGTTCTCGTATGCAGCGACGCGTGCCTTGAACAGCTCCAGCCCGGCGGCGATGAGGGTGATGGCGAGTAGCGAGAGAAGCAGCGAGGTGAAGCTGTCAGTGATGCGCCACTTGTCGGTGATGATGCAGATGTTGGTGGGGTTGAGGTTCCAGAGCATGTTCATGGTACACCCGCCTTCTGTTCCGCCATGGTGCATTTGGGAGTGATCCATGTGAGAGTGATCCATGTGAGAGTGGTCCATGTGAGAGTGGTCCATGTGAGAGTGGTCCATTTGAGAGTGATCCATCTCGGTTTGAAGATGGTTGAAGTTGATGGGTGAGATGAAGTGTTGGGAAGTGGAGGGTGGAATGAAATGGTGCTCTGCTCAGAGTGGATTTATTTTGAATAGCTCAGTCTTCTGAGGAGATAACTCAATGGGGAGATCGAAGCAGTTTATTCCATCCAGTAAGAACACATTGATCGTCGAGTTCGCAACTTCCAGGGTTGTGTGAATGATCGATATTGAAGGATGGACCCTGAGAACAAGGTGTTCAAAGTACCGAAGCAGGGGCCTCTCTCACACTGTGTCAAATGCGACTAGCATAGATGTACCTTGCCTACTGTTATGTGTGGCTTGGCACCTTGTGGCAGTTGTGTTACTGTAGTGCCCAACGTGCAATTCCGAACAAGTAGACAGCGCGACTTGGAGATCCAGCTTCGTCTTCGAGACATTCAGAGGGAACGCCACGTCAGATTTTCCCATTGCGGTCGGCATGGAATTTCCGGGTGGTTATGAATTTTTACTGTTTTATTTCTTCATCTATCAACGTGAAATCATCATCGGTCATTATTCCTCGAGGATTGAGCATGCAAAATGTCTTGGACTTCGTTTGGTCGTCCTAGCAATCCGGGGAGAGAAACATTGACCGCGGCTGTCTTTTCATCTACGAAGCTCGGCCACCTTGCCAAATCCTAGCCTGCGAGGGCTGTTGCTCACTGTCTGCTCATTACACCTGAAACGCCATAATCACTAAAAGGCATTGATTTACAGGATTGTCCCGAAGCTGAGTCATGTTAGCTATGTTGTCGTAGATCAAAATGGCCTTGCCCAGAGTGCTTACCCAAAGGTCTTCTTGATGCTTCGGACGTAGTATTCGCCCCAGTTCCGCTTGGTGACATCTTCTTGGCCGACGGGTACACCACTCCAGGTGACGCGCATCACAGTCACGGAATCGACGTCGTTCTGGTCAAACTCGATCTCCTGCTTGGAGAAATGTCCCGCGGGCCATTGGTCCAATCGCCAGGTTTGGACAATCTTGATTGGCTCCTTAAGCTCGACATACTCGCCTGAGACGTTTCCACCGAACAACTCGAACTTGCCGCCGACCTTCGCACCATCAAATCTCTTGGGTGGAGCGCGTGTGAAGGCAGCAAGTCTTTGGGGATCGGTGAAAGTCTGGTACAGTTGTTCGGCCGTAGTACGGAACTCTTCCTGGTCTGTTACCGTGGTGGTATTGACGACGGTGTCCTTGTTGCTCTGAGTGCTGGTTGAAGCTTCTGGCTTTGCGTTCGCACCCGTTTGAGCGTGGTACTTAGGAGTCGAGAAGCCGCTGGATGGATTGGATCCTGGCGCATGCTGGATATCCTTGCCATGTTCCGCAATGAGAGCGGGGGCGAGCTTGAGGAATTCCTTACGAAGCTGAGGTACCAACTTGGATCGGACAAGATCCTTTACGGGCTGCTTCTCCTTGGACTCCGCGTAGATATCAATGTCAAACTGTGGACCAGTTTAGTGCAAGCACCTCTTAGTCAACAATCACCGCAAACACCTACAACAAACTCGTCCTCCTCGGTGTCATGAGCGACCTCCGGAACAGTAATAGTTCCAGATACGTCCTCGGCATCAGGGGCGGCACCTACATGTCGTCAGACCTCGCCACAATTGTGCCTTCAGGTCGCGATCTACATACCCGAATATTCCAAGACGAGCTTCACATCAAATATAGTGATGACCTTGCCCTTGCGCTGGCTGACGTCGACATCCCCGTCCATGCTGACCACCTTGCTGATTTTGACATTGGCATCTCCATCCTCAGCGGAGACCTTAGGCAGGTTCTCGTCAAACCACGTCTTGGCCCAATCTCCGGCGTTCTTGCTGACCCAATGCCAGTTGTTTGGGTTGTGCAAAACCATCGTGAAGCCTGCGGAACTGGATCGTGTGGGGGCGGGGGATCTATGACGAGAAGCAGATTTGTCAGCTGAAGTTGAAAATAGTACGTTGCAGAAGCTAGAACGAAAAGTGGTTTGGGTGCGAGATCAGAGTTGGGTCTGAGACTACAGCATTTTGGTCATCAAAGGAGGGAGTACAAGTAACCCTATGACTGGTGCCAGCTGGTATATCATCATGTGAAGCGGGCCGTGGGGGGTAAATAGTGAGTGGTCTGGTGCGAAAGGAGTCTTACCGTTAAAATGTCAAGTCAAGGCCCAGATACATGGGCAGTTATCCAAGGGCTCTCAAGAGTTATTGACAGAGTGACAGAGAAGAAACTGGCAGGAGACAAAGACTTGAAGAGCCCGAGGGCCGCGACGAGAACAAGTGGAAATCTGAAAAGTCAGCGAAAGATCTAGAAGTTGCAGTAGGTCGGCGCCGACTCGGCGATGGGTCGGTCCGTGGTGCCCCGCTCTGCAGCCTACCTGAACCGTGCCAATTCAGCCTTGTTAGCAGTTTTCTTCCTCATCAAGGCTCAATTCGGGAATCAGGAACCAACGGCACACCGCCTTTTGTGTGACTATCAACGCTCGCATCTGGAAATATCTTATGAAGAACGACGCCTTGTCGTGAATTGACTGCCTTATTGTTCCGTATACTGCCGCTGCGGTAAATATTTTTTGACGAATCCAGCAACGTGTTTGCCCTGCTGACGGACAGCTTACCTTCGCTGAGGCTTCTGTTGGACTTGCTTTGCCTACTAACCTACTTTCACGTTATGTAGGTACTTATAGGCATCTGGAGATTCAACGTTATACACCTTACGGATCAGGTTGAGTGAGGATTGAATGAAGACGACCTATCCAACCTATTTCATCATCAACTATCCCGACCCGATGTTACTACCTGTCTATTTGGGTTGATGAAAGGCGAGCCTTTCAGGTCAATGAATCTCTACGGAATGTACTACGTGAAGGTGCAACAAATCCTCTCCCCCGCCCCCAAAGGTCGCTCGCTACCTCAGGCTCGGCCAGAGCTTTGCAGCTATCACCAATCCCCTAGCTGTGGTTTCAGTCATCGATGAGGCCCCGGCGTAATTGGTGGACCGCAAATAGCCTACTTACAAGCAGTGGTATATCTCGAACCAAGCATATGCATCCAACGCTGCCGCAGAGTAACGACCTCACAACCCTATGGTCATACTACGTACAACGAGGTGTAATTATGCGCTTCAATGGACCAGTTTGGCGGCATAAACATGTCTCGATGTACGCCAGATTGCATCGGATAAGTCGTGGCCCGAATCATCCGTTCCTGGCAGACCATGAAATGCACACCTCAAAGTGCGACCTCTGAGCTCCTCGCATTTAAGACAGCCTTCGATGACTGACAAATTTCCGTCTCTTCGTCTAAGCGCATCCAAAAAGGGTAGCTCGAAGCTATTTTCATCAACAATCCCTCGCCCACCTCTATTCCGGCCAAGGACATACCATTGGAATGATCCACAGCGGCTTTGTGACGGCTTCCCAATCGGTTTTGATCACAGTCTCTGATAGGGCCAGTGTTGGTCCACTGGCATTCTGGGGACGTGATGATCATGATACTATTTATATCACATTTACATCGTAGGGCCAACATTTACCTCATAAGATAAGATTCGACAGTGTCAGCTAGTCGGAAGTCTGGACAGCTGAGACTCGCTACTTGACGACTCACGTTCTTTTTCGATGGCGGAACAACCTTTTTCAGGTATTGACCGCTGGTTGACTACATATCTCGGCTTCTTAGCTGCTGATCAAGCCGCGACCACCGAACAAGCTACGAAATGATGTGTGACACTAGCAAACTTGGCTCTCTGGCTCTCTATCTAAGCCAAACCCTTCTGGAATGGATATGGTCAGTCCGAACGGCGAAATGTGCGAAAGTTTCACTTTGAATGCCGAGCCCGGACGTTCATGTCGGAACATAGGTTGCTCTCAACGTGGATCGTCGATGCGGGAGCCGATGGCGCCGGGAGACCAATGTATCAAAATATGTAGGTACAGACAAGGTTGATGGGCAAATCACGATGGCTGGCCTCCTTGTTTTGCCCAACTGCCTATTTCACAAGGTCTAGCAGGTTGGCCGTCAGTTGGAGAACAATCGAACGATGCCTTGGTTCGTTTTTTGCAGATTTCAACTTGGCCCTCCGGAGCGGGGTCTGATGGCGGGGGATATTCACGCAAAATTCAAAGGGCCAAATCATGTCGAAGGATTTCACCAGGATCTGTCGACTTCTAAGCGCCGACGAGCTTAATCGAGGCAAGGCACATGTCTTTCACCATATCAACCAATTACACGAGCCTCAGCGATTTAATATCCAAATATAGATTGTGTCCACTTTCCAACGGTCTAGCCAATGGACTACGCAGATCTGCCCATCAACTCTCCATCCAACCCACAACTCCCCCGGTCTCTTCCCGCGGCCCTCCGTCTGGCCCCTCATGCTCCTTCCTGCCCTCCGGAATGTACAGGAGGACACAAACCTGCAGGCAGCAGAAACATCGAACGAGTGAGAGCTCTCGTGGACTCCGATATTTGGTCCACTATGGACGGCACCTGCGTCTGGTGTGCGTTGTGCAGTAGCTGCACCTTGCCACTTGCTTGCTTGGCTTGTTCGCCTCGACGTGAAGGACATGTTGGGGGGAGCTGGAGCAAGGGACGTACCTCCCAATCAACAACCACGCGAGGCCAATCTGAGAAGGGATAGGCCGAGCTGCCCTTGATTGCAACAATACGACTCAGTACCACGGTCCACAGGGGATAGCCGGTTTGCTGATTCCCGTGTCTAAATGCAGTGTCACGAAGACGATAGTGCCAAGAGACTAGACCACTAGACCACCAGACCCTTGGTCTTTTCGACGTGATTGCCTAGCTATCCAGTTGTTTTATCTCTTTTATCTCGTGCATTTCCCTTGCACCAAACTCTTGAGCCGCTTTTGGCCTACCAATCTCAGGGTTTTACGACTTGCACCTATCTACCCCTTAACCACCGACTGGACATTGGGTTATGGGCATTCGAAGCTACTATTTTGCTTCGTGACTGTTCCTTTAAAGGGAGGGGTGAGAGCGAAGTGCGGCAAATAGAGGCCGACAATCACTTGGACAGGTCCGCCCTAAGGATTTCTCTACGCCGTTCACCAAAGGCCGTGATCCCTCATCAGGGCTTCGGATAACGATGACCACCGCGCGCGATTCGAATTCGCGGCTTCGTCAAACGCTGAACCCATTGCTGACAACATCACTGGGGGGGTCTTATAATAGCACTAATCTGCTGGACACACCATACTCTGCGGTGTCGGTATCGTCGCCGTATGGGTACTCATCCAGTCTCACACCAGCAAGTTCGATTCAGCCATACAACCCACGGGAATGGGGCCTTTCGCCGGCCCCAGTATCCGAGCGGAATCAGCAGTTCCCTTCCCCTTCGCCCTATCAGGATTCACAGGGTAATTGATCTCTCATGCATTTTTGTTGTCGTCCGGGACTTATTGTGTACTAACGTCGTCAAAGTTTCGCCTGTGCCGCCGCCGCCGCCGCCATACTCTCCGCCACGGAGTCAACGGCCTGTGAGCACGGCCTTTGAGACACCCCCAGCGAATATCTCTGCCGCACGGATACCCCCGACAAGTTCTCTCAGGCCGTCCCCTGAGCCTCAGAGTAACCAGAACTTCCCACCACCGCCCAATACCGGTGGACGTGGTGCCTCTCGCGAGCGGCGATTTGGACTGCCATCACTCGGGAGGCGGAGGGACGCAACAGAGTCTATGACTCCGCCTGATTCGCAGTCTCGTCCCTCAATATCTAGGCCTCAGACTCTAGCAATACAAATCCCAACGCCGTTACCACCCAACTCTAGAAGAGCTGCATCGGCCAGCGCAATTGACACGCCAGTTTCAGCTAGATCACGTTCAGCATCGCAAACGCAATGGGCGCCAGGGATGCCTCTGCCTCCTCCACCTCCAGGCCCTCCTCCGTCAAATTCCCGGTCTCAAAGTCTGAGTAGAACAACTGAACCGGTCGCATCTCCGCCAACAAGACGCCCACCCCCGGGCGGCGTGACGGCATTAGGGCCGGTTCCTCCAACACCTGCAGATTGGGTTGAAGAGGAACGTTATGAAAGAGGCAGATCACCTCAGTCCCTAACCATTGACACAACCAACGTTGCCAGCAGTAGCTCACATGCACCTCCGGAGTCTTCATCTGAGTCAGGGTCTGCTGGTGGAAATCTAACAAGAGCAGGGGCTTTAAGGATGGAGAAAACGCTACGCGAAAGGCGCACCGAGAGCCGAACACGGCACAGCAGGGTAGATTGTAATGCCGGCATTCAGCCTTTATCAGACATTCTCGTGCCTCAGGGCGGCGGCGGCTTGACGCGGCGGTTCTCTGTTCACAAGGGAACACCACGGAGTGCTGGTAGACCAGCTCCAGATTCACCGTGGTCGGGTGGCCAGCACCTTGATCCGAATCTGGATTCGAGGAACTCTACACCACGTCAGTCCTCGGGCTCTCACCCTGAGACGCCCACACCTCCCTTCTCCCCTCACCCACAGAAAGGATACCCTATAACGGAACATGGAATACCGATCGCTCCTAAATCACTACCCACGCCGCCACCCCAAAGTCGATCCGCTTCAAGCATGAGCATCTCGCGGACCGACATGCACAGCTCAACCGGTAGCCTGATGCCGGGGCCCCCTTCTTGCTCACCTATTACTAAACAGACCGTTATCAGCCAATCAGCCGAGCAGTTCTGCAAGGGCACTATCGAACGTCTCCAGTCATTCGCCAAGAAGGAAGCTGCAGCGTCGACGGATGCCGATCGTGTCAAGCTCTTTGCCGATTTCATTGTCAATGAGTCCAGGGTCCGGCGAGAGAGGTACAACTCAGCCATCGGCGCTATGGGCTCTGAGATCTTTGATCTTACACGAGACCTGTTCCGCCCGATGGCCGTGAGGCGAGATTCATCTACCTCGCAGGGTAGTGAGTGGACGCCACAAATGTCAGAGACAAAGTCGCATCGGAACTCGATCAGCTCAATCGTGGGCAGAGAGCCAATTCAGCAGTCCAACTCGGCGCCTGCATCAGCGGGCATTCCAGTGTCCCCTGTAGGCGGACCCCCAACCAACGTTAACTGGACATCAAATAACTACAAACCTGCCTTGTCACCAATTCTCAGCATGAGCGTCAGTGAACAGCCAGATGAAGCGGACTCTCGTGGTCGTCCGGCTAGTAGGTGGTGGGAAGCAGACTCGGCTGGAGAGGCGTCGACTCGATTGGAAAGATCAAAGCGGGAATCCAAGTACATGGGCGTACCCAAAGAGGCTCGAGAAGCACTACAGTGGAGGGACCCGCCGAACGGCAACGGCGCAGATGCCCAAGCCGCAAGTTCCAGCAGACGTGAGCCATCTGACGAATACCCGCCAGAAAAGGTTGGCTGGCACGAGTCGGAACCATCTATCACGCCCCAACTATTTCGAAATTCGCTGTTAACGTTACCTGCATCGACGCCGAATACGCCGAGTCCATCTCATCTGGATGTATCACGCTTAGTGACGCTGCCTCCACCATATCCACGGCACCACCCAGCCGTCAACAATAACCACCCAGAACTCACCGACATTCGAACCCTCGTAAGATCGATTAGCGACATGAGAGAGATCCAAGAGACCAAAGCACGGTTCACGCAAGAAAGCCAAAAAATGCGCGCCGAGGCCACAGAAGACTCGAGAGAACGTTGCCAAGCTCTTCGCGTCAACTTGCAGCAGGAAATCAGCTCCGGGGCCATGTCTTACGCGGAAGCGGCAACGATTGAAGCCGACTACCGCGAAAGCGAGAAAGCGCAATCCAAAGACTTGGAGAAGAAGGACTTTGAACGCTTCCAGAACGTCGTCGTGATGCCGCTGAACGATCTGCTAACCGGGCGTATATCCCAAGCCACATCCCTCTTCGACGAGCTGCGATCCCGTCTGTTTACTGAAACGCAAGCATCCAACCCCAACATGCCGCAGGAGGAAGGCGACGAGCAGCCCGAGCTCCTTGAGAAGCTCACCCTCCTGAAGTGGATCTTCGAGGCGCGCGAGATGCTTCACCGCGAGATCTACGACCTCCTCAGCGACCGCAACGATCGGTACAAGGAGATGGTGATCATGCCGTATCGACTGTCGGGTAACGAGGAGAAGATTCGCAACGCCGAGGGCTTCTTTGCCGAGGACGCCCAAAAACGACGTGCGGCGTTTGCCAACGAGGTGCTACAGCGCACGCGCGAGTTCCGCGGCGTCGTGGAGGAGAACGTCGAGCGCGGGGTTGACATGCAGCTCAATGCGTTTTGGGACATTGCCCCGCCGCTGAAGCGCCTGCTCGACAAGATCCCGCTCGATCTAGAGCGGTTTCGCATACATGTTCCCCCCGCCGAGTACGAGGAGAACCCGGATTACCACCAGCATCCGCTGCAGTACTTATTTTCGCTTCTGCTGCATGCTGAGAAGAGCACGTATCAGTTTATCGAGAGTCAGACGAACTTGTTGTGCTTGCTGCATGAGGTCAAGGAGGCGGTCATGGGGGCGCGGGCCAAGGTCAGCGAGGCCGAGGGCTGCGAATCAAGGATTGTGGAGGAGGAGCGGAAGAGGGAGCAGGACCGTTTGACGGATGATTTGAAGGAGAAAGTGAGGGTTGTGCAGGATCAGTGGGAGGGCGCATTGGGAGATGGGATGAGGGGGGTTAAGGAAAGGGTGGGGGAATGGTTATTGAGTACGGGTGGGTGGGATGAGAGCCTGGAGGATAGAGGTGTTGGTGGTGCTTGAGAGTGAGACTGCTGTGGGTGTAAGCTGTTGTTGATGATGTCGCGGGCCGAGTTTTCGCCTCGCTTGACTTGAGTGATACCCCTTGAACTTATGGTGGCGGTTCAACTACGATTCATACTTGGTACGTTGAAGAAGAAGACGAGGATTTATGGATCGATAGAGTTGAATATTTCGAAAAAACCAAATTCACATATAATACACCTTACAATAATCTCGTTTATGAGTATCTCAGTATTGGAAGACATGTATAGTTTGTTGTAGTTTGTTGACCACGTAATGCCAAGGACTTATTCGACTGGAGTCGTATCCACAGAGGGTTTGCTGAAAATTGGTGTCAATCAGTGAAAACCCCGGTGCTTCGTAGGGTAGCTCTCATTTTCTCGTTTGGGTTTCCCTGGACCATATTGGTCATTAATAGTTGCGATGTCAAATACTCCACCATACGTTTGTAGCCTTTTGCTCACTACTCGATGCCGTGGCCGTTGTATGTTGTCCCAGGGTATCATAAGTCGTCGGCTGTTGCACGTTGTTAAGCGTCATTGCACGTCTTGACATTGACACCGACCTGGTAGATGTAGTCCCTCACGCGTGTTCTCTCAAGCACATGAAGCCACATGCGATTTATATCGCAGTAGCACATTGCCATTGAAGGGGGATGCCCTTGTTGAAAGAGCTCAAACTATCTATGAGAGGGAAAATAATAATTTTACTCTAGAGATGGGGGCATCATCGCCAAGACCATAGGGACACCTGTTGGCTGTAAGGCTAGAGATACGACGCTCAGGGGGTGCCAGTACTAGAATACAAAGTATCGTGCCCTCAAATATTCTAATCTACAATCCCCCAAGTTTCACAAATCCTGACCACAACTAAAAACGCCTTGGTCATAATGGGGGACTGGATATGGTTTGCTTGCAGTCCTGTTGATTTACAGGTGGGTGGAAATCCGCAAGGTTCCATGTCGACTTGCAGAAAAGACAAACAAAGTCAAAAACCAGCTGAGATGACGATGGCCGGCCGAAACCTACGTCTGGGGCTAGGGTAGTATACAGGACAGCCCATTAGTGTGTGTTGGAAGATATTACTCGTCGAGAACAGCCAGCACCAGTAAGGCCTTCCTCGCAGCGTAATACCCACTCCGAAGACGTTTGCCAGCCGCTTGTCCCTCGCCCCTTCAAGTTGTTGCTACTGCTCAGGTAGTCAATGCTCATAAGATGGATTTTTCCCCCAAGTATGTTCTCAATGAAAACAACTCTCCGCAGTTCAGACATCTGCTCCAGTCATTTCTGAGCCCCTGCGTTGTCGGTTGTCCTCAACTCGTCATCCCCACCGAAAGATCCCTCCTCACCATTGTCGGCATCTGGCGCATGAGCCTCGCGCTTGAGATGAAAGGCGTCCTTGAAGGCGTCCAAGTCGAAAATGTATAAAATATCTCTATCGCGCAAAACTCCACCAAGCCGCCAAGCCCCCAGTTTCTTGGCTGCCTCGATATGTTCCTCGCTGTCCCGTTCAACCCATATAGTCTCCATCTGGTCATGGTCGTCGATATCTACAAGAACGATCCTCTGATGGAGAAATGCTTCGCCAGCTACTGTTCATTGACACCGTTCGACACAAAGCTCGACCCGAAAAGGCCAATTCACTTCAGAGACTAGGGATTTATCAGCTGGTCAATGATGGGGAAGAATATCTAATATTGAGCCACATCTTGGTGCAGGATAACATGCTGTGAACCGTCGACAGTCTGGACCACAAACCCCACGCCCCGGAGGGGCCCTTCGACAAAACCAGGCTGGGCGGGGCCAAAGAAGTCCGTGGTCTCGCATTTGACGTACAGACTGGCCCGGGCCGCATCGAACCACGGCCACATGGGGGAGTAATAGTCCTCGCCAACGGCCTCCTTGGTCGGCGGGGTCCTGAAACTATCTCCAAGGAGATCTCGAGCCTTGCGGAAAATTGCCAACGTTCGAGCCGCCGAAGGGCGTCCACCCAGCGAAGAATGTGTATTTCAGCTGCTGCCCGGCGGCGAGCTTCCAGATCATAATATGGAGCCCTGGGGGCAGGCGAACGAACGTGGCGCTCGGCGGACACTTGCGATCTAGGAAGGACTGCAAGTTGAGCAATTAGGAACTCGAGACCCAAGCTGTCGATACACACATATATATACATGCTTTGGTCTTATATTAAAGGTGAACTTCTCAGCTGCCCTATTCGTGATTATATGGGACTTCAGGTTTGGTGTTTTGTTGGAATGCTCAGCAGTCTCACCCATGTCAAGTTGACAGATGGTCGTATCAGGTTTGCCCCATTGCAGTATAGCGACTGATAACTGTGTCCCATAAACGGATGTGCTCCCTTGCTGTTGGGACTGTAAGTTGGGCTGATGCGCGAACACCCAGTATTCCGAGCGGATTAAGATCCAGCCCGGACCCATTTCCTGCCAATGTCTTGGTATGGCTAATTTAGCTCCGTCATGGGCCCATTCCACTTTTTGAGTATGGTTCTTCGTCATCTGCATTCAATCCTTCTGGCCATCCTCGGTGTACTCAACAGGTAGGTCCATGCCCACTCTCCGTGCTGTCAACCTAACTCGCTCTTCTTCGTCCATGCCCATGCCCGGGTTGTATCGCTCCAGCAATGTTGTGTACTGTCTTTGCGCCCTTAAGTATCGCACCAATTGATTGACTTCCTCAACGGCGCGTTCATTCGGCGCATCGCTCGAGAAGGTGTTTCGGAGACGGTTGTGTAGAGGTGATCGAGATTGCGACTTGGCTAAAGGCCGTGGCGGCAGTTCCCGCAGGAGAGAACGGTAGAGAGACCGTAGTCGGATTGGATTTGACATGTTGACGGAAGGGTTTCGTGAAAGACGTTGGCACTTGATGTGTTTCGGAGACAAGAAACCAGTAATGGAACGATTCGGGTCTATTGATCGTCAACCGATTGAGACTTGGACAAGAATTTAGAGCACGCGCCACAGCACCTCGGCGATAAGATTAGGAGTTGATACAAGCCACACCCAATTTTTTTGGTCAAGAACTTTAACCCCGATAGCTTCATAAGCTGTGTGAATAGCAGAGCAGCAGACCACGTCTACGTGCAGGTACTTTGTGCCGTGATGCGACAACGCCATGCTGGCCCAACTGACACTATGGTTCTCATATAACTGATCGAAATGATACAAAATTACGAAACTCCTCACTATGGCCCCGCGACACTTACCGACGCTGCTGGCGATGCCGGCCTCTTTACGGCCAATGCTACTTGCAGCTTTCACCCCAGCATCTCGTTCATGCTGGCTTCCGCAGCGAGGCTTCCATGCCTCATACCCGAACTTCGCGAAATACCGGCCTATGAGGCAGCCCCTCAAGGTCGGCGCCTTTACGATTCCTCACAGTCCAGCGCTGCCCATCTCGCAAGTGCCCCTCGAACAACTGCTCGAGTCGCCGAAACATAACGGATCTCTGATCGACGATTTGAGGACCTTGTTCACCAAGAACCCAGCCACCTTCTACCATGGAACCTCCGATTTCTATACCCTCAAGAAGAACACACGTGTTCCTGAGATCTGCGTTCTCGGGCGCTCCAATGTCGGCAAGTCCACTCTTGTTAACGCTATAGCGAATCGTCGCGAGAAGGAGCTGGCGCATACGAGCTCTAAGGCTGGGAGAACGAGGGCAATGAACGCTTTTGGTTTCGGGCCTGCGCCGACGATGAAGGAGCTTGCCGATACTTCCACCGAGGTCAAGAGGACAGAGGATCTGCCCAAGCACAGCCTGTTCATCGTCGATATGCCGGGATATGGTCACAGATCTCTGAAGGACTGGGGGCGCAATATCAACCTATACCTACATAAGAGGCAGTCTGTGAAAGGAGCTGTGGTGCTCATTGACGGCGAGGTTGGCCCCAAGAGTACCGACTTGGTGGCTCTGGATTTGCTGTGCGAAGCTGGCGTCAGAACTGCAATCGTGCTCACCAAAGCAGACAAGGCCAGGGATGAGGCGATGCTGCTCAATACTTGCCAAGAGTTGTGGAATACATTGCGCGACATTCAATTCAAACATCTTGAAAGCGGTTGGCAATGGGAAAAGGACATCTTTGTCACAGCTGTTGGCGCAACCAAGAAGGAAGTCGGCGCCGACACGGTAGATGTCGCTCGGCTGGTTATTGCTCGCTTGGCTGGTTTGGTCGACGAGAAGGTTCGACCTGAACAAGAGGCAGCCAAGAAATACAGCGGCAAGATCGTTTCGTTTGACGACTTACAGTATGCTCCAATCACCAAAATAACAACGAATGGGCCTACGTCAAGTAATATGACAACACCAGCGCCGTCGCCAACACCTGCGAGTAAAAAAAGCCATCCTGCTCCTCGTGCTGCGTCCCCATTCGACGCGCTTGAACGCGCCTCAGCGACAGGTCGAACACCCCCACGCAAGTATACGCCGGCTATTCCGAACTGGGGAAGTCACAATCGTGTGCAGACACGCGCCCTCCATACATCAGCGCCCAGGAACAGAAATTCAAAATCAGATCCGAATGAGATCAACGATATTCTCAAGGATTTCGTCTTTAGCCTCCAAGCCAACAGCAACTACGACCACCCTCCCAAACAGAAACGACATAATCATCACAAGATATTCAACCCCCTGCAGCGTGAACAAGAACGGCGCTGGAAGACCTCCATGAAGAAAGAGGCTGCGAACAAGGATAGGTTCCTCGACATATTCGATCGCCGTCTCGAGCGGGAAGAGACAAAGAAATATATCGCGGAAGAGCGAGCGAGGAAGAAAGCCGAAGAGGCTCTGCGCTGGCCGAACAGCGAGCCGAAGGAGAGGGATGAAGGAACTTTTGACGCACCTATGGACGCGGACGCGTTTGCTGAGGCTTTTGGCGACTTTGGCGAGCAAAGGGAATTGAAGGGCAAGAAGGCCAAGAAGGCCAAGAAGGAGGCTGCTAAGGCTACAAAAGGAAAGAATAAGAACAAGGGCCCTGAGAAGGAGCCGGATGAATTTGAGGCTAAGTTCGCGACGGCATTGAATAAGGTGCCTTGATAATGGACATGTCATTATCCTAGCGTATGGGATTGTACAGATAATGTACATATAAGGGGGACAGGGTGTATATGATATAATCGACGTATGTATGACCTGCATTTAGATAGTTAGATATGAATATCACCTAGAGCGCCAATGCTAGAAATAACTACTCTGTACATAGCTGCCGTCCCTGCCGCCTTGTGTGTAAAGAATTTGAGTGAACCACATGGAACAATAGTTTGGATGGATCTGATGTCAATTTCAGCATCCAGCTAGGTAAGGGGCTCTTCACACTTACAGTGGGCGAGCTGTTCTTTACTAGATTCGACATTCTAGATACAGACCCCCAGGATACTTCAGTTGAGTTTAAGGCGACTTACTTGTCTATGGCTGCAGATATCCCCTCATGGTTACGAGATGCTTTTAATTCTAAGTGACCCATGGCATACTAAGTGACAGCATCTATCACTTTGCTAGCCCTCGTCTCCTTCGACTTCTTGCTCCGTCTACCCCTTTCTTCGTCAGTAACTATCGCATCCCGGAAAGAATATCCCGGGACGAATACATCGACCATGTTGTCCCAAACCCCCAGGTCGTACAAATTTTCCACATCCTTCAAATTCCAAACACGCTCCCACTCCCCAATACCCGGCCCCTCGTTGTTAGGCGGCGGCCTGCCATCCTCCGTCCTCACTAGCGATTGCACAGACTCGACGGGCCATCTCGTCCACTGCGCCTCCCAGCGCGGGTCCTTAACCCTGTCGCTGGCCATGGCGCGCTTAAAAGCAAACCCGTCGTCCATCTCAGCCTTCCAATCCTGCCACTTCATGCTCTCGTTGGTGGTGGTCCCGCAGTAGATCAAATAGAGTTGATAACCCAATAATCCCCACACGAGCGGACTCGTCATCATTGCGAGCATTGATACGCTGCCTATACCCACGTCTTCCTGAATTCCGAACGTCAGGAGTACCAGGTAGTCGTGCCAGGTGAAGCTGCGTGGTTTCCAGAGCTTCCACCCCGGATGCCGGCCGTGGATCGTCTCGGAGATCAGGCTCAGGCCGAGTATGGCGCCGTAGGAGATCAGAACCGCGGTGGTGAATAGTAGAAGGATGAAGTGGGCGTGGTTGCCGTAGCCGACGCAGTTATTTATAAAGATGCAGTGGTGGTCCATCTTGGCGACGCAGCGGTTGCAGACGGCGCAGTGCTTGGACCGCGCCGGCTTGATGAGTTGGCAGGTGCGGCAGATCTGTCCTGGGTGGAACAGTGAGAAGTCGTACGGGTACTGGCTCATGTACTTGGAGTGGGAGGCGGTCGTGATGATGCCCGGGTCGCCGTAGGCCGACAAGTAGAGGAACCAGTAGGGCAACACAATAGAGACGCTGCCGGCGATCTTGTGGAAGAGTGAGAGCCGCGGCCAGGCGCCGGGCATGAAGAGGTATTCGCTCACTGAGAGTAGGAGGAAGAAGAAAATGAGCACCGTCGGGTGCCGACCGTACATAATCCTATTTCCGAAGCGGAAACATGAGGACGTGAGGCGGCCTGAGGTGAATCGCTGGTCTAGGGACAAGATGCCATTTGGTATATGGACCATGAGTACGCGATGAAGCCATGCTATCGGTGTGTGTCTGAATAGATATCAGTATGATGTTTGTGTTGCAGATATATAGTGGTGAGAACGGCTGGTATGCTCGCTGCAGCGTTCAACTTACCGTAGAGCAGGGACTCGACCAAAAAAGGCTATTACGGTCAACAAGGTAATAGCGAGCACGCCTATCGCGATCTGGGCAATCACGCCCATTTTTCGTAACTTAGAATAATGCAGGGAGCGACACTTCGTGTATTTGGTGTCGTGTTCAATCACGGAATTGTTTCGCGATATTGTCGAAGGTGCCAAAGCAGGTCCATCTGAGACAGCTCAGAGCGATGCGTCAAATAGCAAATTGTGAGGCACAGCGCTTATCCGCTGACTCGTCTGATGATCCGGGACATGGCAGCCTGCACTCGTTAAGTCATGAGGTTTCCGCGATGCATGTGTTGAGTGAGACGGGAGCTGATGACAGTGAGTGCGAGCTGAGGAAAATGAATGCAATGCCAACTGCAGAGCTCTTCGCAAACGGCACGCAACTAGCCAACTAGCGAGGTAAGGCCCACCACCATTCTAACCTAAGTAACTCTGAGGCTGCCCCCACTGTAGCAGTGCGACGTCATAATTTCATTCTAACGGGGTGCTCAGAAACCACCGGTTGCGGCCTCAATAGCCGCATAATTCTAACCCCACGTGGCAACCCTGGAAGTCAGTCGCAAATTCGGCCAGGTGCATCACGCGTCTGGACATCGCAGCAGGCTCAACCACAAGACACTGGCGCTGCCTGACCGATTACTCCGAACAATAAAAGGCTCCGCCCAAAGGCAAATAACTGAATCATGGACCACCTCATTGCCTTTCTTTGGAGTTAGGTGTGACAAGGAATCAAGCGCGAAGATCAGACCATAGAAGACGCGACGACAACAATCCTTACCAAGCGCCATATTCAGGACACCAGGCCTGCTGCATGTATTCGAGTCAGGAGCTCGTTTATATCCACAGGGTAGTTCTTGGACGTGTTTGAGCTGGCGCAATAGCCCAGACACTTGCAACTCAGACGCCCCATTCTGCAACCCCAGGGTTTGCTTAGGGTTAGCACGATGTCTGCTGGTATCGTATATCAAGGAATTCCCGGAGGCAGCGGGGGTACCTTGTTCAAGGGCAAAAGGTTTTGGGTCGCTCATCGCGTCCCGAATAGAGCCACGGTGATCCAAAACATCGAGGTATGTTTGTCGCTCACTCGATGAAAGCGAGTGGAACTTACATGTCGCAGAACAATGGAGGCGAGGTCGTCAAGCTGGAAAAAAATGCAGATCATCTGATTGCCGACCACGCAAGAACGGATGTACCCCCCGGCTCCTACTCCTGGCAATTCATCCAAGAGTCTGTTGAGAATGGACGCCTTCAAAATATTGAAGATTACCAAAATGTCCGACCAACTGCTGAACCAAGACCTGTGGGCTCCTCCCAGATCCCGCAGAAGGGGACCAGGACTCCATTCACCCCCGAGGATGACCGGATTTTGATGGAATGGGCAACGAGGCACGAAAAAGGGGGCAACGCCTTATCCGGACATGTCATATACAAGAAGCTAGCAGAAAAGGTGGGATGTGCAAGCTGCATTTTTCGACATTGCTAACTTGTATTAGTATCCCCACCATACCTATCAGTCTTGGCGAGACCGCTGGGTGAAGAAATTATCACACGTACCACGATCAAGTGTGCCGGATGATGAAGGTTCTCCGTCTGGGGGCGCACCCGCGGCGACGCCCGTTGCTGCACTTGGATCAGCTCCATCCCCGTCAGCGGGTCGCGCAACGCCCACTTCTTCCCAGCCAGGAACCCAAAATTCACGCCCCTCGGGTGGGCCAAGCCCAGGCAGTGCTCGCGCTACCAGGGCTAAATTCAGCGAGGAAGAAGATCAGCTACTTATTGATTATATCAGGGAATGTAAGGAAAATGGGAAGCGTCTTTCGGGAAACACAATCTACCAAGAATTGGCCGAAGATGTTGGTGCACTTTGTGTTGCTTCTCATTCTACCAATGCTAATGATAGCGCAGTTTCCTCAGCACACGGCGCACTCCTGGAGGGATCGGTATCTCAGACACTTGAAGCCTCGCGTGGAGCACGACGAAGAACCGCGGCTTGAGTTGTCCAGAGCCGAACAGCGGGCCGAGCAGTCTAGGAAAGCCGCCAAGACCAGAGTTTCTGCTCTACCAGCCATTCAAGAAGCGTTCCAGCGAGCACCAGCTGGTTCTTCGCGAATCAACACGGTTGGGCATGTCCAGCCCGCTCCTAAGTTACAGGTGGTCAATGTAGCAAAGGGGAGCTTCCATGTCAAGCAGGCAACCTCAGTTGAGACGTCTTCGAAAGGTGCCCATTTTACAAATTCGGCACAGAAAGCGATTGAGGACAATGAGCTGGACACCGATGGAGAAGAGGATCCAGATGAGCTCGATTCAGAAGGCGGCAAAGGGACACTAGATGGGCTAGATGAAAAGGGCCATAACGTGGCACTTGATGAGTCAGATCCCGAGGTTGAAGAGGGGGCACCAGATGGACCAGATGCAGAGGGTGACAACGCGGCACTATACGAACCAAATGCAGAGGGCGACAACATGGCGCTAGATGATTCAGACGCAGAGGCTGAAGAGGATCCCTCGATAGGAACATATCGTGCAAAACAACAACAACAACAGTCCAATGCAACACCCAGATCAAGGCCTTCACAGCAAATTACTCACCCGGCAGCTAGTTCCACTTTCCATACGGGATACAACCCAAATAAGGAGCAGTTCTACAAAGATCTCCAGGTCTACTTAGCAAACGACACCCAGGCACGATTGCAGAGTATTTGGCCGACGGTACGAGGGCGTACATTTGAATTATGGGATCTGTGGCAGGCAGTCATGTCTCAAAAGGTTGATCCTGCAGAACGCGATTGGCAACAAATATCGGAATTGTTGTATTACAATTGGGTTCAGTACCCAACAGTGCCGGACGAGATCCGGAATTGCTACGATGTACATCTTTCCGGATTTGAGGAAGCATTGATTGCCTTTGACGAGAACAGCGACGAAGAGGAAGATGAAGATGAAGATGAGGACACGGTCGTGCAGGAGCCAGCCGCTATCAATGAACACGAAGAGGAGACTGCAAACATGGCGTTGGCTTTCACCTCTTCCCCGCCAAAACAAGCATCGTTAAAGCGCAGCTTCAATGCTGTTGGGTCGTCTGATCATATCCACGCCGAAACGCCCCGCAAACACTTTAAGTTCACCAGGAGTAGTGTCATCCCGTCAACCCCCGATGCAGTGAACGGAACAGCTCGCCTACGCCCTTCGCTTAGCGCAGCGGTATCACCTGCAGATTCAAGACACACGTCACTACCTCGATCTTCGCGGTCAACTAAGAGCAACCGTAAGGGGAAGCAAGTTGCCACCGAAACAGACCGTGCAGAAGACAGCCGAGTATTACAATTGCCTAATAACGTACATACACGAAAGCCGGCACTTGAGCCAGAGACTCAAGATTTCCGATTCGAAGAGACACAAAATGTTGAATTCAACACACCAGTGGAAGAACAGTCGCAGACTGGCATCACGCCCTCGCAGCAGCTTCGATTAGAGTCTGATGCTCAACCATCAGAATATCAGCCTTCTCCTCATGTGACTAGAACTCAACTATCTCCTGGGCAGACCACTCCCACTCCCAAGAGAAAAGCCCAGCCGCCGTTTCTGCTGGATGAGAACGATGAAGAGAACGCAGTAACGCCAAAGCCTAGATTTGGCAAAGGCCCCAACCCTGCGCTATCAGTGACACAGTCCACAAAACCAAAGCGCCGCACTTTGCCAGCATCGTTCTCCCCACGTTATCAGACTAAGTTGGCACCGCTAACAGCGCAGACACAACTTGAGCACTCCTTTCCACCTAATTCCACAGCTGAGAGCTCACGCGCGGAGCAGTCAGATTCCAAACCATGTCCAACTCAAACCCCGAAGCAAACAAGTGTTCGTCCACATGAGAATATCACACCAGCGCCATCTTCTTCGGTCCCATCCAAGGGTGCTAAATTCATCGATATCGTGGAGTATTACATGTCTTTAGGCTATCCGCAACACATTGCACGTCGCAGCCTTGATGCCACGTCGTGGAATAGGGGCTTGGCTGGCGAGGTGATGGAGAATCTCAAGAAGGGAAATGGGCTGCCAACGAACTGGGAGGGTGTATGGACGGAACGCGACGACGAGAGCCTGAGATTGATCGACTCAGTTGAGCCCGCAAAAGATCAGAAAGAGGCGAAGAAACGACAGAAGGAGACTAAGCGATTACTTACCAAGCATGGTGAAGCGCATATTGCATTGAGGAGAAAATGGTTGAATACTGTAATTGACGAGCCGTGAGTGCTTGAGTTGGCATAGGAGATTGCGCAGGGTTGTCATTTGTAGGGTCACCTTGGGTTCAGGACGACGGTTTTTGTACCCACCAGCCAGCGCTGGCATGTTGGACTTGTTTTGGTAGATCACTTAGCTGAACATGGCCTTGGAAAACAATCCCTAGATTCTACAGTTGACAATAGTACGTGGACAATTCTTCACTCGTCCGGGGAGCGATCGCCATACTTGAACACCACCGCCTAGCCTTTTTGTCGCCGACTACAAGGGATTGTAATGAGACAAACGAGTACTCAAACAAGGCTGCGCATAGCAAACTGATCTCCATCAAAGAGGATTTTTTTGAAGGCGCCTATCAAATGTAGACATGCTCGAGTATTTTTACAGTCGCTATGCTTCCAGGGAAGTGAACTGAAAGAGAAAACCTAGCTAACATCGTGAAATATTATAGTCTAGGGGCCGAAAAGCAGAAATTATGAAATTCAAGTGTATTTTCTTGAAAACTGGCTAGAATTGGGTCTGAAAGATGTAAGAGTGGCCCTTGTTGAAGCTGACTAGATCCAGGGGATGCAACACTTGTGACAAAGTATTATTCAGCAAGTGGAACAGCCTCTAGCAAGGTAAACATCATTTAGGTACTTGCGTGATGTAATTCTCACCTCGATCTCACTAGAAAAGATAACCCGGAACATGGGTTGCCAGTAGCAAGATGACTGCACGATCTTAGCCACTCGACGTCATCTCATCACTGAGCTATCACTCCCTCAGGAGCCACTTGTTTTGGCCACCATCCCATAGAAAAGTCTTGTCCAGTGTCGACAGATCTGTAACCATACAGAGAGACCTATGGACCAGATTTGTTCTGTTCTGTGGATATTATTGATTCTGACCACACACCCAGTCTTTATTTCGGCCCCCTGGACCACATGTTGTCTGTCGTGTGGCACAATGAATCTTCGTCTGCGTTAGTCACCAGAACGATGAGCTCATTCCGGGATCGACTGCCCTCAGCGCCGTTCATTTGCGTTTGGCTATGTAGGGGATAGTTGAGGATAAAAATTGTTCTGGCTAACGGACCTGTGAGCAAACAGATTGAAACGCAGAGACTCGCATCCTGACCAATAGCACGCAAAGGGTTGCTTCAAGATCGAGTGATGAGCCCAGTGCGCCAACACTGTTGGTCGCGATATCTTGATCAGGTCGTGAACACAGTGAAGAGACACAAGGTGTGGATTGAATGAGTCAGTCATGTCTGCGTGGAGCAGTGTGAATTCCACTGCGAGACGAAGTCCAACAAGGCTGAGCATGGTGACGAGTCTCTTGGTGAGCACTGGCGCCAAAATTAATACTCATTGGTAACTCAAAGCATAAGTGAGGCGACAGGCTATGCATTCCTCGACTGTATTGTCCGTTGTGACTTGTCTCGATGCATGTGTAGTTGCCATACTGGCATGTGAGGCTGGGATACGTCCCCGCCAATGAAACCTCGGCCATCGAGTACCCTGTGCAACACGTCACGTTTCCTCCTTTTGAGTAAGCAGTGAGAAGTCTGGTGGGAATTTGAGATTTCGTCGTTCATTAAGCATGACACTGCTGCCTGTTAGGCTTCCCTGGACGAGATGGATGCTAGGCCCCATATCAATAGGGTCCCATCTACCAGCAGACTGCGCCCACGTACTTCAAATGATACCAGAAGGTAAAGTGTCGTCATCATGAATGAATGCCTGTTTGGGGCGAGAATAGTACTGCCCTTGCTTGCACCGGATAACAAGCCCAACCGAGCATATGAGTCACTCGCGACTCGATGTTGGGAGGCAAAAGATGCACTGATATTGACTCATTGCTTGGGTATCAAGTAGTCGTCGGGATGGGCCTCAACGTAATCATCGGTCCCCGCGGACGGACATGTGACCCAATATCACTGTGTTTTTCGCCCCCAAATCCTTTCCAACAGAGACGAGAAAAGAGGCGTGCGCTGCGGATGTTTGGTTATACGCAACGTGAACAGTGAGTGACATGGTCATCTTAAGAACCCTGGAAAGCATAATTTGTTACCCAAGCTAGAGAATTTGATGGAGCAAAAGAGCCGGTGTTCTAGAACACTGCCAGAAGTGGAACCTGGAGGTGGCGACACCGGCCGAGAATGGACCTTGATCGGATTTCCGGAACACAGCCACATCTTGAAGGAGGACGGTGACACGTTAACCCAACAAGTGGTCCCGAGGCATTGGCATTGGATCGCCATCGCGAAAACCACCAGTAATCCTCCAAACTCAAAGTGAAGCGACGCAGCAGAAGACCTAAGACTTTGTTGGAACGCAATGATGTACAAGCGGAACTTGTCAAGGCAATGCGTAACTTGACAGGTGGGATATTGAAGCACCCTCATTTCAGCTGCACGTATCACCAAAAATTGCCCCTCCCGCTCGTCAACGTAAGGCTGCGTTGCCTTCATGATGCGTTTCCACAGGCAAAGAAAAGCACGAAGAGGCCGCCTACCAGGTACTCGGCGACACTTTACTGGAATTGAATGGCCGATGAAAGGTAAATGGACAATGGCCTGCCGGACTGCTCCTTGGAGCGACGTGAATCGGTGATCTAGTGGCTAAAATCGCAATGCTGTAGACTATTGAGAAATGGTATTGTCGTAAAGGAGGGGCAGGTGAACGTAATGATGGTTAGGATAATAGGGTACCAGACAAAAGCTGCCAAACCAACTTGCCAGAACGTCAAATGACATCCAACCGATACAACTGTAGTACAAGTATCGGTATAAGGCCCGCGGGATAATGAATGGCTCGTGCCATTTCAGAAAAGTGTGTGGTTTGATAACGGGTGCTACCGCCACCAATAACCTGACTCGAACTAACTTGCCCAGCAGTCACAAAAGCAAACCCTTGCATCCGTCCGTCGGGAAAGGGATACCAATAACCTGCGCCATGTTTCAAGATGACAGCCACTTGCAAGTGCACATTTACTGTTCTGCCAGGTTTTCTTGTTCGCTTACGTGTGGTCCGAGGAGGGCGTTCATTTTCAGTGAATTTGCCCGTGGTTGCGCGCTCCCTACCTGCTGGGTCAGAGGGGTTGAGCCAGAATCACAGGCAGTTTAGTGAACCAAGCAATCCCGGTCGCATGTAAGGCGTGAACGTATGCACAGCCCTGAGATCCAAGCCGTTGCCATGGCATAGAGCTGCAGAAGAGTCGGTGAGGTCCCAAGGGGAGATCTGTTCTATTAAGTGTTGTAGACTTGTTGACCATCGATAACTGGAGGCCCTATTTTTGGTTGAAAGAGGCTTCTTGACAGCTGGAAAAGGCGGAGCTCTTGTAGATAAGTGGTGCAGATGGGTTAGGGATTTCCTTATCTGCCCGTTTCCGTAGCAGTCGGTGGGCCAGCAGGTCCTTCTGCGGCCAGGATCACTGTCTCCCCAATCGGAGGTTGAACTAGCATATGTTAGGGCCCTGATTGGGACAATGCAGGCCATGCCAGTGGCCATGCCAGACGCGGGCGACTGAATACACACATATTGGACAGCACTGCAGCAGTGCTACGACACCCAGGGCATCAGGATATACGCGCACATATGACGCTCACCTCTATGAGTCACTTGGACGATGCGATTGCGATGACGAAATCTTGACTCAAAACTCCTGCCATGCCGGAAAGTTGGCGCAAAGAAATGAGGACATGAAAAATTTTTCAAGGTTGAAATGAGAAGGTGGAAGATATGATGCCGCACTGACTAGTCGCAGGGTGGCTTGCCAGGGTACAGAAGTAACGGGAGGGCGGATAGCTGGAGCGGTTGGGGGCCCGGCAAGGTGGTGGATATGGCGGCTGGTGTTTGAGTCCACTTCGTAGTAACAAGACCTGACAAGGGCCTATCTGTCTGTGTGACACTACCAAACCATGGCTGCATGGATCAAATGGCCAACAGACAGACGGTGCCATGCTGGATTAACCCACGGCAGTGGATGTAATATCGGTCTAGGAGAATAACATCGTGAACTTGCAGCTGCACCCCGATGAGTCTCTCTATGATAGTCTAGGCTCTACTGTATGGGGCATCGCGTTTGGTGGTTGAAAACGCCATGAGAAATTTGCTTTGGAGGGTTTCGGCAGCCAGCGTTTGAGGCGCGGGATCCAACTCCCAAGTGGACAAGCGCGAGAGGACCCTAATGAATAACACCTCTTGGATCTGTGCTTGTCATCCACGCGTTTGCCCCGAGCACTAGATACTAAGAAGAATGCTTCGAGACGGCTAGAAACTATGACGCCAGCCAAACATGGCGCTAGTGTAAGCTCCAGAGGTTAAGAAGGACTTACTTAGCCAGGCCAGCTTTCAAAGTTTATCAACACCCATATCTCCCAGACAGGCCAGGTGGCAAATCATCGCGTGAACACGGTAAGTATGGAAACTTCATGTGGACAAGTGGCCACTATTATATCAAACCGCTTGGCCTTGATGAAGCGATGTCATCCAGGCAATTTCTTGCCTTCATATGAACTTGGCTGAGGCTGGTTGATGTCGGGAACAGGATTGGATTTGGTGGCTGGTCCGGTTCCAAGCTTGCCGAGGATGCCGTGTTGGTGGTACTATGGCGACTTCCTAGGGGCATAATCCGAGGTCGTGAAGTCAAAAGATGGAAAGAACTTTCAGATTGGCTTCGCGTGTTCCTAAATACTCATGGGCTGGCGATCAATGCAGGAGAGAGGAGATACGCGTCGCCAATGATTAAAGTTAGTCTGCAAGTCACACGCCAGATGCAGTGGTGTTCAACCCAAACTCGCCATAGTTGCAGTTTGTTAGAGCGTTCTGGGTGGATGAATATGCAGTCTAACGAGGTTACCCCGCAAATGCAGGTGCAGATGACCACCGTTGACGAACCATTTCCGCCTTGTGTGTTCGTGAGAATGATGCGATAAATGGCCTACGTGTGGCCGATTCCTGCACGATGGGCTAAATCAGTAGTGGTTGTCTTTTAGATAAAGTGATAGTGGCCACCAGTGTTACATGAGGTAACTAAAGGTGATGGTGTTCACAGGTGGAATTCGGCGCCTACCATCCTACCCCTTTTCAGCACGCTGAACCTGAACTGGAACTAGCATAGTTGTCACTTTTGTGTGGTTGGTGTTACACTCTCACACATGTGCAAGGGTCCAAGAGGCGACAGACATTCCGAATCCAGACCTTGCTGACTTGGATGTCCACGCAACCACGGGTCGGCCTCAGAAGGGTGGTGTGGTAAGGAAGATAATCACTCGAACTGGCCAGCCGAGATGGGTGATGTATGGCGGGGTGTTCCAGGTTATCTATGGTCATTGCACTTTCCGACTTTCTTTAAAGCATCAAACGCCTATGTGCTCCACCTACTGTCGCTTCCCCCGCCTTCTAATATCTAAGCAAGACCCGGATCCGTCATTGATCTTTGGTTACTGATACTTCGCACTTGTGCTCAATCGTTCAACTGCCTTCTTCCTTGGACTTGGATTTGGTCGTCCTTCGCTGCTCTGCTCTCGCGCCGATTCTACGATATCCTAGCTTGTCCGTAGCAAGCATTTCGAGAAGCCCAGGAAATCATTCTACAGCGTGTGCGCATCGCTTGTTGGAGTATCAATCAATCATCCTTCTGCGGCGTCCACGTCCGGGTCAGATCCAGCGCAACAAGCAGGTTGTCCCTTTCAGTCGTTGGCCTGGTTTGACATAGCAAAGCCAACCAACAAGCAAACATATATCAAATCCCAATACTGCTCACTAGTTGCTTTCTTCAATAAACGGAAGGGTCCCCGGCCGGCTTTGCGTTTCGCTAGGATTCGCTCTCGTATCCTGCGATTCCCAACCATCATCGACTTCCCTCTTTGGAGCCTTGCGCCTCGACCATCCTCCCAAGGACCCTTCTTGCAGTATCACCGATGAATCGTTGAAGGTCCCGCGAAAGACTCCAGCAACCTGGGGCCTGGTTATATTGGTAACAAGAGAAAATTTTTCTCCAACGCCGCCTCCAAGTCCTTAAGTGGTACCACTGGACCTGGAATCGTATCCGTTTGGCGCGAAGTTATTTCGGTTAGGCCCTGGCCAAATTTCCAGCGCAAAGTTCAGGACCCTGCCAGCCCTGCAAATCTGGGAATCCCTACCATTGTCCCTCACCAATATCGAAATCCCAGATTTATAATTTCGATCCTCGAAGATGGAAGGTTGTCGATATCAGTGACTCAAACGAACCTAGTCAATTGACGACAGCTAGTGGCCGTGGATTGCTACAATCAATTCGGTCACCTCTGCTGTCCACTATCCAGGACGACTTGGCTGGTGGGATTTGCCTCACTGCCCCTACTCTTGCTATTCCGAGCAATATTTGGAACCCGAGTTAGCAGTAAGCTGAGCTGAAGCGCAGTGTTACAACGGAAAGGTTAGGGAATCACAGCCTTTCGCTGCACGACCGAGTTCCAACAGGACCGGGCATTTGGACCACTGAGAGAGCAGTGCGCGCGCAGAAAAGGACTGTGTGGCTGGACAATTTTGGGGGTGTGACTAATCCTTGGAAGGGGTCATTCGAGAACACACACGCCCCCTCCATTAGCAAGTCAGGCCAAGAACACGCGGGAAAACGCAGTCCATTCCTGCGCCTGAACCCCCCTGATGCTAAATCCCTGTTTCGACTGCTCTGGCACCCCCCTGTTCCCCGAGGGTGCTTTCTTGCCCAAAGACACACATTTTTATTAGAAAAGCCGTCACCTAGCCCAACCTCTTCAGAATTTGGGCTTTTCTTCGCACCCTTTGGCTTTTGCCATTCAGTACCCACGATTACAAATATTCACGCGCTTGCATCCACCAACGAACATTCCCAGACGATTGTAGAATCGTGCAGCGTCATCCCGAAGTAATATCAAGTTCGTGGATTCTGCGACTTGATGCCCAATCTCTCCCCGGGGGATATCAACACCAAATCTTGACATGTACTCCAACAGAAGAAGATTTTTCTCTCCTCTTCCTACCGACCACATACCAAGGTGACGGGTGTCACTCCCTCCAGCGTCACGACACAGGCGCTATTCAAAACCAGAAAAACCACACACATTGTCGGCGACTGCGTTGCATAGGGGACGTTCGCGAGTCTGGAGTTAATCTGAAAAATTCGGATGTCAGTTGGATATCGCGAGAGTTGAGAAGATGGCGAGTTACGGATCTCCCATTTATGGGGGTACCCCCAACCCCTACTACGACTACTCTGGTAGTCCGTCGCCGACACCATCGCCGCGACACAACTATTTCTACGCGCAGCAGACTCCCCAACGGCCGGCGACGCGAGCTCACTTTCGCCATGGAAGCAGCGGCCAAACCGACCACAAGACCGCCTTCTCGCCCAGATACACCAGTACCGGCGAGTACGCCACTGGCCCGGGTCCCAAAGTGAGTTCGCGAAAGCAAAGTTTCTCAAAGGGGACGCCCTGTACGCCCAAGCGCGAGCGCCGCAGCAACTCCTATTCCTACTACCGGGCCTCTCATGGGGATTCCGACGAGGACGAGGTCTTCGAGGTTAACGGCGTCACCTACGTGTTGCCAGCCCAGTCGAGGAGCCCCAGGCACCGAGATTACAATTACACTGCTGCGGGATATGGCACTGATTACTACTACTACGAACAGGCTACTGTTTTCGAGGAGAGGCCAGCATATTACGAAGATCCTATTCAACGGTCGGCAACCCGGGTCGGGCATACACACACACACACGCGACGCCAATCCGGACCCATCCCCCAACGATCCGCCACCGCCCGCCCCACCAGCTCGCACCACAAGAAGGCGCCTTCGACGGCCAAGGCTACGGAGGCCGATGCGAAGAAGCACCGTATTCCCGCGGGCTACTCTTTGAAGAACTGGGACCCGACGGAGGAACCCATCGTGCTGCTGGGCAGTGTTTTTGACTCCAACTCTCTAGGGAAGTGGATCTACGATTGGACTGTCTTCCACCATGGACCAGCTACTCCCATATCGGACATGGCTGGTGAGCTTTGGCTTCTTCTCATCCAGCTTTCGGGCAAGGTCAAACGTTCTGAGGAATGTGTTCCCAGGATTCGGGCCCAGGATAACAAGGAGATGATCGAGGATTTCATTGAATCTGGCGAGCGCCTGACTGACAAGCTGCGAATGCTACTCAAGAGATGTGAGGCTCCCATGCTCAAGGTCAACAAGCGCAAGGACGCACCCCAGCTTGGGAAGGGGTCAGGCGTCGAATTCGTCGAGACCCTCTTTGGTCGCGAGCGCGAGCTCGAAAAGACGGAACGCTTCATGCAGTCGGTCCGCCTCTGGAATCTCCGTTTTGACGCCAACTGTGAGGAGATTCTCAAAAAGCCTACATTGTAAAGGACCAAGGACATCATCTCCTTTGGATTTTCTTTCAAGTCATCATCCGGGACTAAATGGGAGGGCCTTTGATGAAAACACAAAACCACACAAAAATAGATGGCAAACCCACCACTTGTATCAACAACGGATTTTCCTTTCGGTTCGGAGTCATCATTTCCGGATTGGCAATCGCATCGCACCGGGTATGCGTTCTGCGTTTTCCTTTTGGAGAAGTCACTCCACCATTTACAGACACCGGGGCAACCTACAAGACGCATCAACTTGGAGAAAGGCTTGGTCTTCCTATTGTCTTTTTTAAGATACCCATTCATATTGCGACTACTTTCAGCCATGTGCCACCAGGAGCACACGATATAGTTATGGGACGCAGAATCCCACAGCGGCGAGGATGGTAAAAAATTTGGGAATCTAAGGGGATCGCGCATTTCACTGCGCGCGCATGTTGGTTGAAATTATTGCTCAATCACTCGAATTAATGAATATTGGATATTGTTTACATGATAATCTTGGAGTGGCTTGTTTGGGCAGAGACATCGAGGGGCGTTCTGTCATTTATTCCCAAGGTCGCTGCGAACAGCTCGAATGCGCTGAGGCGACAGGGTCGACGAGTTGGATAAATATACCCTTAGTTAGAAATTGGAAAACATTGAAAAACAACGCAACCTGATACTTAGCGCGTAATGTTATGTGATAGATATTCAAGGCAAGACATTACCTGATTCCAACCTCCTTGAGTAAGTTCAGCACGTAGTCTGTACTTGTGGCCATCACTGGGCTTGCATTGGCAAAGCATGTGCGGGAAGGCAATGCTCTAAGGCTATCAATGACGTACGACATGCAAGGCTTCGATGAGTTCTGACACAACTGGCAGTGCCAAGACATTGAGGCTACAGCCAAAATTCGTGTGCTTCGTCAAGTACTCACTGTGGGGCCGAGTCCCATGGCACTTGCAGGCTCTAGCTGCGGGGCCCAACTGTCAATTATCAGTTTCACTCAAATCAATCAATTTGTTGTTTCCTGCCTCTGTCTGTTGTTCTCAGTTGTCTGTATTCACTGTGCCATTTTTCTCATGGACTGCTACCAGTTGGGTTGTTACATGGAGATGTTCTCATGATCGTAATTTCTCGTTTGGCCATTTAGGGCTTTGCAATTTTGCCCTGTGCTCCAACCTGTTCAGCTTGGAGATGATGGTTGCAATCTGTATGCCACCTCCCCTTCCTTTTTAGCGGCATGAGACAGTGGGTGACCAAATTAGGCAATGTGATTTCTTCTCTGGGAGGACAACTGCGACACGCATTTGTTTTTTTTATTTACTCATTATCTGATTAATCGTATTCAGTGCTGGGTCTTACTAAATTTCTGGCAGCAGACGCTTTCCCCCTGCTACAAGAGATCCCCTTCCTGCGCAGGCGCATCAGGGATTCCAGGGACTCGGCTGTGTTTGTTCCGCACACAGACGACAGTGGGACAAGGCAGGTCATCATCCAGGTCATGATAGTCCAGACCAGTCTGTTCTTTCTATTCGCCAATTGTCTCGTTACCATCTCAGGTGAGAACTCAAAAAGATGGGATGGATGCCTGAGCGGTATCTACCCACGAACATCCTGTGTGCGTTGTGCTTGATCATTTAAAGAAACTTTTTGCGCATCTGTTGTCGGACAGGGAGACGCGTCGGCTTGTGATGACAAGGTTGAGGTTTGGGGGGTTCCTTGATGGAAATTACTAATTACCAGGTGCTGTGAGTACCAGGCTGGCACAACAGCAGAGACAAAGCGGCTGATATTTGCCCAGTGATGGACATGGTCCGACATGAACCAAAAAGTCAACCCTCCTATACAATGTGACGGGTCGTCACAGACTGCCATACTGTGTGGTGTGGCTGGTAGGAGGGGTACGATCAAACAGTTCCGTACGAGGTATGCGAGCTAAGACCTTTCAATTTCGGCCTTCGTCTGCTCAGTGTTAAAAAGTTTCACGCTGGAACTAGATCCCTGACATGGACGTTGCAAGATTTCTATTCACGCAAACAATTATTTTGTGAGGCAGGCTCCTTCGGTTGCTGTTTGCTGCAAGGGCGGCATGTTTGGTTCTCGTTTTCGGCCTGCTGCTGTCTCTGGCCAGACTGTTACACAATATCTGGGAGAGGTTTTCGCTTTGTGACGGTGAACACCATGAGGCGCGACACCAGCGCGTACAAAGCATCACCACGCACAATCACAATCACAGTTCGCGATGAACCCCAACTCGGCGCAGCCAGCCAGCCCTGTGGGTTGGTGGTGTACATTCCCGCGGCTGTTCCCATCTTCCATCGCGCATCACAACCGCATGCCCAACGTCCCGAGGTGTATTTCGGGGCCCATTATGCGCCTACAACCCCAATCACAAGTGGCCCGGCAGTTCAGATCACTGTCTTTGGGGGCTAAAAACAGACCTCACATCAGAAAGTGCACTTGAGGCGAAGCATTCCATGCATAAGTATGTGCAGTAGCAGCTGCTAAAGATATCTATTGGTAGGCTGACATGCAGAGCCAATGTTATCGATTGGTGCGATAATCCTTTGTATGCATCTTCCTCCACCTGGCGAATGAAACACCATTCCACACAAGGCTATGGTGCAGGCAGCTCCTGCTTATACGCACTCCCCTCCATCACTCACTGACTGCCCCTCTATTTACCTACTCAAATCATTGCCTGTTCAGTGACTTCGTCTGACGATGATGGGTCGCCTGAAGGTTATCTGGATCTTCGAAGAGGAAATAAGCGAATTGCGTTGCAATTAGCCTGATGTTCGCATGCTTACCAATATTCCGCAACGGTGTGGCATCCACCAAGAGATGCTACACTGGTAAAGTCAAAGAGGAAAATCTTTGGATTGTGCAATGGATTTATTTGCGTATGCCGATCAACCTGGAAAGTTTGGAAGATTGACAATCTAGTCGCAGTCAATCTGATGAGATATGATGCATTTCAGAGTCAAGAAGCCCCATACTCTCACTATCAATCGCAGCTATCGATAAGCTAAGCGCTTACATGCAAGTCATTCACAAGGGTCACATTCTCGTCGCTTGTGGTGGAATTTCGGCCAATGACACGGCTGAATGCATCACACTGTGAAGCCATCATCACGGTTCTTGCGGCTAGCCTTATTACTCTCCAACGCAGTATTTTACTACTGACCGACTAGTCAACAGCAAGTAGTCAGCAATGAGCCTTACGAATCCTACATTCCCCTCCTCCCGGCCGGCCTCCTCCCTTCTTCGTTGGAGGCGGCCATCGCTGTCTTACGGGGCGGGGAGGAGGGGGGGAACACGATTCACTAGCTTACGGCACCAAACAGGCCACTTCTAATTCTGACACGCAGTCGGCGGGCCGAATGGCACATCTTATTTTTGATCGGTGTAACCTCCCGACCCCGAACTCAGTCCAATGCGTACCCACAGACACAGCACATGGGAACACGGGCTATGCAGACCAGGTCGTACAGCTTCCTCTTGGCTTGTACGTCGTACTCCCATCGATAGACAGAAAAAATAGCCACTTTAGGTTGGCGGGAGCCTGCGACGACTGTATGCAGTACACTGCTTGTCCGCGCCACCCAACACACGCAACTTTTGACGGTTATGCGGATGCTTGCAGTAGTTATACCAGATGGTTGAACTGCACTAAGCTCATGTTGAATGACCTTGCAGTAGCCTTCCCTACAGATCGGGGGCTGCGGCGGCGGTTTAAAGACCCTCCCGACATGGGAAGCATGTGAGATGATCTTGGGGTGTGATTGGCCATATTTTGCCAGTTGCTCATACGTCACATATCCATTAAAGCCTTATCGACTCTCGCTTCCAGAATCCTTTTCTACTACGTGGTGGAGTCACGACTTCAATTGGACCAGCTGCTCCAGGATAGGAGATGTGGTCTGTATCGAGCTTATCTCAATGCATACTTTCCATCCACCTGCCACCAACGTCGACCAACTCTATATTATCATATTATTTGCCGTGCAACGTAAATTACGTGTAAAAGAGAAGATCTATCGTCTTGAACCTGATCCCGTATCTTCCCATGCAGTTCACCGGCGGAGCTCGAGCAGTCCATTATAACTCCTCCTGAGTTGATCTCCTTGCTTTAAGTTGGCTTGATCTTCTCTTGATGGGATTCGTTAGCTGGTTCCAGATAGGCTGGTCAGGGTCCAACCCAACCAAACAGTTGACTGTCTCCGCTCCTTCGCCCGCGTCATTGATGGCAGTACCGACTGGGTTTCTCCACTGTCCGGTTAACTTGATGTAAGTGCCCAACGAATCAACCAGCGTCCGACCGACAATAAGGGCCTCGGAAGCCCGGGTGTGAGAGAAGAAAGTCAAAAGTTCCTGGGCGCTGGCGCGGTCCCCGGATGAAATTAGGAGAGACGCGCTCTTCTCGATCATGTTGATGGAGCTGCGCGAGCTGTTCTCAAGCCCGTTCAGGGTCTTTTGAACGATGGGTAGGTACGTGTCCGGAGCCGAGCAAGTAAAGTACAGAAGCTGCTTGAATATCCTGCCGGCGAACTGGCTCGCTTCTTGGAGTTGGAAGTCGGGGTTGAGAAAGCTGCTGGGAGACCCTTTCGTCAAGTACCGGTGCTGTCCGTACTCCGATGGCACGCTCCGTACGCCCAACCACCATGGGTTGAAGGGCGCCGTGACGGAGCCAGTTGGAGCGACCCAGATACGGAGGAGGTCGGCGTCGATATCCTCGCGCAGACTAACAACCTGTCCGTACCCGGCCTCGTCATCAGAGATGCGGAAGTCGCGGACACGCTCCATCAGCTTTTCTTCCGTCAAGGGAACCATGGCCAGAGTCGCGTTCTCGAGTGCCCCTTGGGACATGTATTTGAATCCTCCATCCCGCGCAGTATAGTTCTCGCCCTGCAATCCGTAGACGTTGAAGATGTTAAAGGGCTCGGTGCCATTCGGATCCCACCAGCCCTGCTCAACGGCGAAGGAAACCAGGTTAGGAGAGCCCAAGTAGTCGGTGCCGTTGGTGGCATAGTCGATAGGGAAATCCTCGATATAGCCCGGATACAGGACGCGAACCACGTCTGGCCCAAGTCGCTCTGCCGCCCACAACCCCTGGCCACCAGCAAACTCCCAGACCAGCCAGCCCTCGTCCTTGTCGGCGATGAGATGGGAGTTGCCGCCGTAGTCGGCATAACCGTACTTGGCCATCATGTCTCCAATGATTTCGACACCTTGACGCGCGCTCGTGGCTCGCTCCAGCACAACACGAGCAAGATCACTGTATTGCAGACCTCGCTGGGGCGTCGGAGTCATATCCCATAACTCGGTGCGTGTCTCAGCCCAGACGTCGCGCACAGCGACCCCGTACTCGTTGAGGCCGCCGTTGGTAAGAGGCGCGGGGAAGCCCTCGAAATCCGAGTACTCCATGGACAGATAACGGAAAGTGTGGTTTACTTGAGGGATTTCGATGAGCTCGCCGGGCAGGACCGCATCCTCCGTTACTCCCACGGTCATAGTGGCATTATAGGCATGGTCTTTCGCCGGGAAGATCTCCAGCCAGTGACTGGACACTTCCTCACCTGTTCCGCCAACCATGACACTGCCATCGGCTGTCAACGACTTGCCGACATAGAAGGCGTAACTTGCCCTCGCGGGCGAGGCCAGGAGGAGGGGGATGGCGATGATGGGAAACATGTTTGCGAGACTTTTCACAGCCAGAGGAATTGCCATACTCCGTCGGAAAGTAACACTACGAACTTGCCCAATTACGAGGGTGAAAGCCCCGTTTGTTGACTATATTGACAAGAAATTCTTCTGGCAGACCGAAGCATCTTTGGACATATCGCGGTTGCCAAGTCGATACTGCAAATGACGCGAACCGTGCCCCACCAATCCGCGAGGAGGTAACGGGAAAAGATGGTTCAGTTCTCTCTTGTTGTCAGAAAAGTGTGTTCATATTAGTTCTTCTGTGCTTCTGATCAGGCCGAGATTAATGTCTTATGGCCAAGTGCCACAGTGGCTTCAGGCAGTGGCTGTGTACACGCTAACTAGCTACGGGAGACTACAGTTAAGGTGACCATAGACCCCCCCGGTTGAGCCGACCATGACCTCACGTGATGTTAAATCACTGGGTCCAGGTGACTATAATGGGGTAGATAATCCCTCCGTTCTCATTAGTTGGAAAATATGTGAAAATTGGGTCTAGCTGACCATAGAATCGAAAAAGAATTCCGATTTCGATTCCATTCTACTTTCCCTAGTAATAACCCGTTATCCGCTACTTCTTCCTCGTAATTCGGCTAATCGTTCTACGTAACGATACAGTTATATAAGGATATAGTAATTATATGTCTAAATCGACTTCAAATCGATTTTGGGTTAATTCTTTTTTAGCCCTAATATTACTTCAGTGAAGGTCAACCCTCGCAGACTCACTACAACCAGGTGACTTACAGCTGGAACACCTGCCATGGCAGTGCCAGATGGGAAGCCAATCATAACCCCTGCAGGAGCCCCGCCAAGCGTGGACGACTTAGTCGCGCTCCCTCAAACCTAAGTTTGTGATCTTCTTTCCTTCGCTCCTTAGCGTAGAATCTTCGTCGATAGCACCTAATCGAGGTCTCTACCAATGCGATGCAACCCAGGTCGTGACAACTTCTACAAGGATCGTATTACCTACGCCGGAGTTAAACGACATAAGTACTTCTAAATCGGTTCTTAATCGATTCTAAACTAATTAAAAATCAATTTAGAACTAACTATAGAATAATTTTGTTATATTTAGGCTAGAGTTACTGCGGAAAATCTCTACGGATTTAAAAAGATAAGTGTGGTCGGCTTATATTAGGAGCGCCCCGTAAATATTTGATTGAAGTGGGGGGTTGGTCGGCTGAACTAGGGGGGTCTATGGTCGCCTTCACTACAACCACGGTAACGGGGCCTCAATCGGTCAGGTAGCCGCTGTTTGAAAGAAAAATTTACAGATACGCAAGCACAGGCTAACGATATAGATTATAGCGTTCGGATGATGCCGATATGCAAGAAACGACGTGCGCAATCTTCCACTTTTCAAGGACTTAGCGTCTCCACGGGAAAGACGCCGATATGGAGCTTATCTTTGAAATAACAGACCCCCGGTTTGCTGGGTATATCCCTGGGAACTATTTGGTAACTTGGGAGCGAGCTTAACATTGGTTAATGGCAGTGTGGGTACTGGTGCCGTGTGTGTTTGATAACCAGCTGACTAAGTAACTTGAGGGCTAAGATATGTAATTGGTGTCGCACTTACCTCCAATATTTATCCATCTGCCACCAATGCCCGACTTCGTAGTGAAGGCAGCTGTTCAACAGACCCCAGAATATAAGACAAACATCGGAAATACGGGCGCGATCCTTGCAGGTCCCTTTGCAAGATGTGTCAAACCCACGCGGGTCTAGCAGGGAATAAAAACCTGCCATCCTCTTCTTTCTGTCGGGTTCGCTGGGATCGTTCGGTGTGCACCCACCACCAAAAAAATCCTGACCAACTTCCTAAGTCGGTTGACATGGCATGCTGGCATTACATTACGTACTGCCCCACCAGTTTCTTTAACGTATGCCGTACGGAAAGAAACACGTTGCACTGAACATTCTAGGTGTGTTATCAGGCTCCTTGGGCTGCAGACGCGCGGGGTCGAATCGAATAAGAGTTGGGCCCCACGACGGGCCGCGATACTCGAGGTGTGGCTGCAGCGGGTTGGCAGGCGGTATGGTTCGGAGTTGATGGCTGAGGGCTTACGGCTCCACTTCGCCATGTTGCACACACAGTGTTCGCCGGTTACGTTGGGTCACTCTATTCTTCTTCCGGGACCAAATTCAACCTTCAGCGCTTTCTGTTTCTAGGATGAGAATGTTGAGGTCGCCTCAATGTGCAAAGGAGGCTTCGAGTCAGCAGAGCATGTTGTTATTGCTTGAACCTAGATGGGGCAGAGCATTATTGTATAGTTCTGTTATTTTGCTTCACCATATCAGTGTCGAGGAAGTTTGCCAAATGGCAGAGCATTGCATACACAGGTAAGAATGTCAGTCAAGTAAGTTTGAAGAAAACAAAGTAACCAAAGCTGCAATTTGTGCTATGCTCATCTTTCTTTCTGGGACAATACCCTTTCTTCCTCTGGATAGAAACTAAACCAAGGAACGTACTCAATAACCCCGTGTTCTACGTAGTAGACCTCCTTTTCGCACCGTACTGCCCATAAGCAATATTCTCTCCATGCTTTTCAGGAAAAACGGACGTGACACTGTCAAAATCTCCAGGGTAGACCATATAAACGAGTATCTGACATCATCTGGCGTTCAGGGGCCGCCGGAATACCCACTGGCTGGAACTGCCTTCGAGTTGTCTAGGCGGTAATCACACTGCGACTTGGCCCTCGGTACAATGAAATCTGCGGGTTAGTACTGGTAAGTGGTGTATTGGTGCTCGATCTGGTAAACCCCCAAAGTGTTGGTAGTTACCCATATTCACAAATGGCTTCAACTGAAGCATAATGAATAGCTTATATTACTTGACCCCAATCCTTGTTGATTGTCGCAATTCCTCCAGGATTAACCTTGTAGAAAGGAGCAACCTTTGCGGCGAAGTTCTGTCCAGCTGTCTCAAGCGGATTCAGTTGCAACGGCGGAGTCCTGACTGTAATTGGCTTGTCACATTGTGCTTTGGCTGAACGGCGCAGGAGCTACGTAAGTTAGCGCATGAGTGTCCAGCGAGTGGATATCTCGTGCGTCAGCCAGTGGTGTTTGAAAATCCCGTCGCCGAAAGCGATGTTGTCGGCCACAGACTCTGCCGCCTAATCAGGCGTGATGTCGGGCATTGCGAGGATGTGCCTAGCGTACTCTCGCATGCCAAGGGGCATGCTGCCGAAGATCTATGGTTTGGTGAGCTATGTAGACGAATAATGTGTAATCAAGGTTTATGGTTTATTTACATTGATCATGTGATCTTTGCTTGTGGTGGATTTCTTGTGACGGCACAGGATCCAGGGGTTATCACAGTCGGTGTAGGTCACGTTGTACACGTCAATTTCGAAATGCAAGTAGTTGTAACTTTCGGTCCTCTTCTTGCAATCCTCGGGTATCCAGCCTGGAGCCCGCGCTCGACTTTATCAAAATCAAAGGCTAAGCTGATCATTGGCTTCTTGGATGGTGCGTCTTGTGCAGCCGCAGTAGGAAGGTATGCTGACAAGGCGAACAGAAAAAGAGTGGCAAGATCATTGCTGCCGTTAGTGCCACTTTGAGGGAAGAGAGGGTTAAGGGCGGATATGTTCAGGAAGCTGTGGGGTATCTTGCTTTGAGAAAAGTAACTCGGGTGTGAAGAACGCTTGTTTTATACCTGACCTTCAGGTGAAACAGTGTCTTCTTCAAGACTGTCAATCGAATGTTAGTGCTTAGCATGGATTTGGGATAAAACTGCCAGGTATATCAAGAGCAACGGCACCAGACCGGGGAGGCAGGCAAGGGCAGCTTATTTGTTGAACTTCATCTTGATAAATTCGGCAAAATTTCAAGTATAGGAAGGGATGGAGAAGCTTTGCAATCGCACATATAATCTTTACTCGCCATTTTATAGCATGCTCCATTTAGTGTAGTAATGTTAGAACCAACATACTATATTTGAGCTACATTTACCCAACGCGGTGTTTATAGGGGCTTTTCAGACCTATCAGTAGTCCCAACTCTGGTGTTTACACACTTAAGCGTGCGGTCGTAGAATTAAGAGAGACTGGTTCTGCATTGTAAGGGGTAATTTGTACAGAAAATATAATTAGGCCCTCCAGTGATTTCATTCCCATTGCATGTGGGAGGCCTTCACTAAAGCGAGATTTCAGTGGAATATGAAGATAACACATCTCTTTAGCTGTTGCGAAATCCCTGGAATAATGCTAAACTAACGACAGGCTTCTTCCAGAGACAAGTCAGCGATGCTCACTACGAACCTCATGCCGTGTGTTCTATATAGACAACATATGGGTTTGTTGAATTTGTACTTCGAAATAAAATTGTGCAAGATTTTCATGTCTGATTAACAAAAGCCTATATTAAACATATGTCATTGTGTAAAGTGTAACGCCTGAAGTGTTCATCACAAAGCTATGGGAATGGTTAAAGACATCAAGGGAAGGTCCAAATACTTTGGGTCAAGGGAGGGTTTGGTATTCTCTCTTGTGAATGATTCAATAACGAGGCGATTACGATCTCCGCACTTGCTCCCATGCATATCTGCTTTCGCAACTTCGTGTTAAGCCTTACTTACTACACTTACCCTGTATCTTGAAATACTACAGCACATATTAAAGTGCGGTGTCTGACCCTTGGCTACTCTCCCACATCATCCATCTCGCCTATACATCAACAATTTCATCGATATTGACCCCTGCGGCTGCCCCTAAGAAAAGGGAGCGCCAGGTACCCACTGCTACGACTACAGCTGCCGCACCGCCATGCGCCGTTTCGTTAAAAGGGCTGTGCTATTGTTGGACCCTCAAGGCTACTACACCAAGACAGCCAAGTCAAAGAGAAAAGTATATGGCCGCAAACCGTACGATTATGGGCCAATATGACCTCTACTCATCGAACCACACAAGTCCTGGCTGTGGGACAGGCATCAGTCATTCCTGTCTATATAAGGCCCCTATGGCCGCCATTTACTTCTCTCAAGACTCCAGAGATCATGATACTTTCAATACAAGACGATTTGCCCACAATCCAACAGCTATTGAACGCAGAGACAAGCGGGCTAAGAATATCGGTTACAGCACAGAAATATATTGACAAGGTCAAGGGTATGCAGGTCAACTTTAAGGCCTATAGGATTTTGAAAGCCAGCAGCAAGGGACAGGGTAGGCTATGGAATATTTAATCCTCTGTTATAGATGCAAGAAGTTGATTGTTACACGATATAACGAGGAAAGTATTTTACGAGTCAGCTTCTCATGGCATGCCACAAACTGTCTTTACAGGTTGTTTATACCACTGTTATTACACGAAGCTGTCTGTGTTCAGACACCGATTAACAAGTCCAGACGCGAAATTTCAGTGACTAGTAAGACTAACGTAGTCCACGGTCCAATTGCACACTTCGGCAGATTTTCGTACGCTACCACTTTGACCTGCGGTTTTTCACCAGATAACTATGGTTGGTTCTTGGAATGAAAGTGATATTATTCTAGCGTTACATGCGCTTCAATCGAATACAAAATTAAGTGCACGTCGCGCTGGTCAGATCTATAACGTACCTTTTAGAACCCTTGCGTATCGACGCGACGGTAAAACCGCTCGAGCGATTACGCGATCGCCAACGCAAAAGTTGACTCCTTCCGAAGCCCAATCACAAAGCGATTATGTGAAAAATAGGATTGTACGACATCAAAATAGCTCACCAAGGTCAATTTTTGCTGGAATAGATCAGATTGCGCGAGGTACAACGAAGGTTATGCATCGGCTTGCCCTTTTAGAAGGTGAGGTCGAATCACTTCGAAAGGTAAATGAGACCTTAAGTCGACGTCGCCGTGCGAAGAAAAAACAGCTACAGAGTGGAGGGTCACTTCGTATACAAGCTGGACAGGACCTACAGTCTCAACGAGAGGTTGATGGGCAGTTACATGACGAATTTCGTCAAATTGGTGGTCGTACGAGGCGGCGAATTGCGCGTGTACGGCGCTGTAGAATCTGCGGCGAGCCCGGACATAATGCGCGCACTTGTGGAAATGATGTAGAGACGTCTGAAGATAACGATTCTGAGTAGTTTCAATTGATGATAGGCGTTGTGGTTGAATTAACTTATACATTGTCGTATAAGGTCTGCCAAAGTGTGCAATTGGACCGTGGACTACGTTAGTTACTATTAGAACTAGTTTTGTTGCACTCATGTGGGAAGCACCAAGAAGGCTACTGAGAATACATCATGGGAAATACATGACTTAGCTGCTGCATACAGACCTATGTCTGGTTTGTGTGGAAAGCAAATTCATCGAGTCTCACTTCAACCCTCCGACATCTTGCCATTCGTCGAGCGACTCAAATACCCCACCCTGAGCGCGGATTACCCCCCGACAGCGCCATGATGTACTCATCCGTGTTGATACCACCTATAGATTTATACGAAGGCCAAAGAGGATGTTTTTTCCCCTCTTCTCTGGTGGTTACTTCTGGTTTGAGGCGGGGTTTTGTAGGCCTTCGGCCCTGCACTTGGCCGTACCTTCCTATTTCCTATAAGCCCAGGACAATGGTCCATGCCACTGACACCCATATCGCAGTTACCGATGATCTGCTGGAGCATCGTTTCTACCCAACCGACAGTGAAGTCTCTGTGGGAACTATGCACTATCCTTTGCCCCGTTGGAAAGAATAGTCTGGCGTTCTGAAATGTTTCCGCTGGATGGATAGTGAGGGTATGTCCATCTGGCATCCACCTCTGGCAATAACAAATCCGGGTAGATCAAAACAGCCCACCATGGAGGCTTCGATCGCTCATAATGATCATGTCGAGAGGGATTGAGCTGTTCGTTTTAGAAGATGATTGTCTGGAACGCATCTCGAGCCAAGATCTGATCTGGACCAAATGGGAGGTGCTTTGAGTGAATCATAATGACTCACTATGGGGTCTGGAACGAGTCACTCCCCTATACACAAGTAGGCCAATTAAAGGCAATTGGAGGATTACATCAATTCGGTTCACGGAGCTGATAATGGAGCAGCACTGCGTAGCATGTCAGATGTAGTCCGTGCATGTCCACAACTACGTTCCCGCCCACCAGCACTAGCCTAGCCTCCCTAAATACACTTCTATCTCTGTGCACCAACATAGCATGAGACGAATTATCCAGACTTCGGGCTTGCAGATGGGAACGTATTTTTATGTATGATCCCGATATGATTAATTAGGCTCGGGGTATGATACGTTCGAATGGCTTCAAGAGCATGCATACTGCGTGCTCAAGCATACATCACGAGAAAGGGCACTGTGCCACTTACGTGGGATGATTCATCCTGGCTCATATGCTGTACAAGATGAGATTTTACAGAGAGAGCATCCTATTATGATATGGCTTTGAGCAGTATATATACTTGATAGGTACTTCCAAAGAGCTTGTTGGATCCTAGGGCAGTATGCTTGGCGACTATGAGTTGGTATGGAACCTTGGAAAGGACGGGATTAGTGCGCATAAGTTCAGTAAGTCACATGGTCCAGACACAAATCTATGACAGACCCAACACTTGATGACATGCCACGTTCCCTTTACCGACTTGAACAATCCGCTGCCTTGACAGCCGTGCTGAGTGAAAATACGAGCCGACATCGCCTGATGAAAAGATGAACCCGGAGTTTCCATTCACCACTATTACTTGGAACAGATCACTGACCTCACATATAAAACCTAGACTTATTTATAACATACTCCTTAGAGGAGCCATCTCGGCTTTTTATCAGGCAAGCTGAATTGTTAAGTCATCTCGCTCTTTCTTTATACTATCTTTGTCGCTGCAAAGGCCATGGGGCATCATTTCGGAATGGGCATAAAGAATTATGCGAGACAAACTACGAAGCAAAAAGAAAACAACAGTATGCATGCCTGCATGTGGTGCAAAGGGTTGTTCCTAAACCGACTAAGTAAAGCGGAGTGGAATGGTGTTGATCGCCAGGATGGGCGAGGGCAGCTTCTTCCGGGACTCGAGCCAAAGGAAGTGTCTCAGATGTCAATGTAGGAAATGCTTTTTACGTAACGGCATTTAAGAGATGCAGCCCCAGAGTCCTGTACGTGTACTCAAGCACCCTCCCCCGCCAGCCATAAATGCGATACAAATGGCTACGAGTCTCTTGGATAACTGGCATCTAGCACACGCTGTGGGATTGGGCGCCACAGTGGGACTGACCCTTTCTCCCTCATACATAGAGAGCACGAACGCTTCTACCAAGTAACGCAGCATAATGCGTAGAGCAGATACAGCAATCGATCGAGATCCACACAGAGTCATCGACCGAGGATTGAATCCCTCACACAGCATATTACTCTGACTTTGGTACCATAAAACGAAACTTACATTCTGCCGTGTTCTCTATTAACTACCTCATCCTCCAACGGCCTGGCGATTCTAGGCCCGAAGATGCATGCAAACACATAAAAAGCTCGGGTTTGAAATCTGCTGGCAAGCATAATGAAAATCACATTCAGTGGTGGCAATGTGGCTACCGGGCATAAGACTCAGTTATAATCCGGAGGAGTGCTGCGGGCACCAAATCTTCAGCTTCTGGTTGGTGTCACTACTGCTGGAGAGAGCTCGTATCTCGCAAGGTCGGGCAAAAAGCTGCAGTACGCCGCGGCCGTGAAACCGCACCCCTGATTACCGGCAGATCATTCCGAGGCAGAGGGGCTAGGAAAGATCTGGAAGCGCACAGGTTTGGTTCACCATGACGGTGGCTATTGGTTCCTGCAGGCAGGGCGTTGACTTAACCGGCACATATCAGTAAAACTATGTTGTGTGCCCAGATACACCGCCTGTGTGCTGGGTGCAGCGTTGGGGCCAATTGTCCATAGATAGCCCTTCCGTAGCCTATGGGACTTAGTCACATCATCATCGCCAATACAACACTCTTGCCTGTATTGCCAACAAACTATACATGCAAAACATTAGAAAATTATCGTTGATTACGATTATCGAGAATCTCAAGTCTTGCACCTAACACAGTGATTACGTGATGGACTAAACTCGGGTGTTTAAGAATTGGTAAACTCATCTTGCAAGACCCCGCCAGTCTCCTTTCATCTACCAACCTATACTGATGTTGCTACCTAAATTACGTTTCAATTCTATGAAACTACCTGAAGGTTTGACTAGTAGAGAGGGTTTCTTATTAGTGCGCGCTGCTCTTACAATTAACCCTGGTATCCAGCTATGACTATCCAGTTCAGAAAATTCAACCGATTATCCTTTTGTGAGTAGCATTTGGGACTATCAGGCGGTGACGTATCAGTTATTGTTGCATGGACCGGGCCGTGCCCAAGCCACTGCTCTGATAGTTATCCACATCGTCGTCACCATCAATACAGCACTCTGGCCTATATTGCCTACAGTTGTGTAATATAACTAGTATGGAAGGCCACATGTCCCGTTCGCACGCCGATGAAGTATCTTCAATCTCCATGAACGCAATGACACCAATGATCCCACATTGTGCTAGCATCCGCACAAGGACATGGACATGGGCAGTAATGATCCACTCTTCGTAGCTCCACGTGCGGGCACCAGTGGTCGTCTCGTCCAATGACTTGGTGGGCAGGGCAGGAACTTGCAGAGCCTTGTGGCCTCTGTGCATGTCTATCCTGCCTTCTTGGCTTGTTTTGTCTGCTGGGCCGGACGGTACTCGTGTTGGAAAAACTTGCCGGGATTACAGAAGGACCCACGGTGGTATCTGTGGTGGTGATAGGGGCTGGCTGGACTAGATCTCCCCCGGTTGCATCCATGTTGTTGAGGTGAACAGTGTCAAAGGGGCTGGCGGTTTGTGGTTGATCCATACTGAACTACGGAAGAGTCCTTCGAAATTTCAAAATTAATGTATCAAGTTTGTGGTGTGGCTCAGACTTGTGACTTGATCCCACCGGCTGCAACTATAGATTTCATATTGAAGTTTTAAGCGTCATCGGCTGCTTTGTACCCCTCAAAATGGTCAGGGTGGCCCTGACGGGCTTCCAAGCTATTCTTCCATACAACTGAAGAGAGTTTGGAGCTTTGTCTCTATTGTTTCTTATCGCTTTGAACTCGCTCGAAGTACCAAGGCTCGTGACACGTCATCGGTAGAAGACAAAAGAGAGTAGCTGTTATTGTGACGCTCTAGAATGCATTGTATTCTTTGAGATACCAAAGGCATCAAGCTTAAGATAGGGAATCTTTACGACTTCCTGAAAAAGGGGTTGTTGGACCTTCAAGGCTACTACATCAAGACTGCCAGTCTTGGAAGGACATATGGCCACACACCGTACGTTATGGGCCAATATGAGCACCACCCATTGAACCACACAAGTCCTGGCTGTGGGACAGGCATCAGTCATTACTGTCTATATAAGGCCCTTATGGCCGCCGTTCACTTCGTTCAGAACTCTCCAGAAATCATGACACTGTCAATACAAGACCATTTGCGCACAATCCAACAGGGGTTTCGGTTAGGGCAAAGTTTCATGGCTGCGCGTATGTTTGTGGACACAGAGAATGCGCTTCGAACATCGAACCCCAGTGTTTTGGTTAACTTACGTGCGTCTATACGACCAATCCGAGCTTGAAGGGCCGCTGAGTTAGGTTTCATAACGCTGATATCACAAGCGACAATGATAGTTTCATTTTATTGGGTCATTTTTATCAGACGTAACGAGATCCTGTACGTCCTGTAGCGGCTTGTAGGTTGACCCTGAAACATTGAATTCACATGAGATGGAAATGGCGAAATACTGTAGAAAATGTGTCCTCACAAACAAGTCCCAGCTACTCTGGTTTAACTAACTTGCGAAGTAGGTCTGAAATAGTACTGGACAAGCTCTAGAGTATAGTTCGTATTCTATCTGAGCTGGTGTCTTGTACTCATTCCTTATCATCCCTTTAAATTTTGGGTATTTCTCCAGTCAAATGATGAATGACCCACGATTCATCTGGCATAAACTCCTCGACCCCCAACAAAAACCAACTGACGTGCTCGTTATCTTCCAACATACCGTCTTCGAACCTGTTGAACAGCTGCTATTTCTCGACCTTCTATCCGTCCCAGATGAGCGGAATCGAAGTTATCGCACTGGTGTTGGGTGGTGTATCTGCTGCCTCGGCTAGTGAGTGAACGCCAGTTTGTTCCCCGGACATGGAAACTCCCAATGCCATTGAAGTGCTTTCCGCTATTACCCGGGACATTTCAAAGAGCAAGGAAGCCCAGTTACCAAGACACTGTCTATGTGAGTTGCGCCTCCTAAAACCCGGACGATGCAGCCGCTAAGTCGCGAACAGTGACACAGGACAAGAAACCGGCCACCAAGCTCGACATTGCCGCTGCTACGGTTGGCGATGATTATTCACACGCGAATATTAAGGCTGACGTTTTTGCTTGCTCCGGCCCAAGAGGAAGTGCCAGGGCAACTAATTTGTTCGACAAGCGGTATTGTTGAGTGTTGCCCGATTTTACAGCTGCTGTGAAGTCTTATCATGGCTAATTGTGAAGAGCAGTCATAATGACTTTAAAACAGTTCGACGAGATGATTTCACTATAAGTTGGTCATGTAGAGAGATACATACTCAGAAAACGCAAGAATAATGGCCCGTGGCTGTAATCGACAATCACGAAGCCTCAACTAACCATGATGCAGAAATCCAGCAAACGCACAACATACCCTGCTTCAGTAAGGCAAAGTTGTAGTGGAATAAAGCCATCCAGGGAGACCCAGACCAAGACACTATTGATAAAACCGGACATGAAAGAAGGTATAACAAATACATAGAAGGATGCCATGAATGTGTCGAACGGGCATATAGGCCAACAATATCCTTGGCCAGTGCTAGGATGGCTTCTCAGGGGTCGCGAATCAGGTTATTGAATTGCATTCCGCGCAGTAAGAACTCAGAAGCAAATTATGACACGCTGGATCCTGGTGTTGCACCTGACGAGTATCTGGGAACAAGCATTTTGAGTGCCAGTGTTTCCTATTTGTGCGACGCATTCGCATATGGTCGGACTACAAATAATTTGACCTGTTCGTAAGCCAGACAACTTGACTCGAGTCGCTGTTCGAAGTGCTGAAGTTCTTTAGGCACTTAAGCACTTATGATTGGCCAAGCAAAGCCGCACTTAGCCGCTCCAAAGACAACTCGGAGCCCACCAAACTTCAACTATGCCCCATCAGCATGCAGCACATCCAATACGTAATATCACATTCACAACTTAATCTCCATTTTCTTTCAGTTTTTCAACATTCATCAGGGCGTTTGGTCTAGGGGTATGATTTTCGTAAGTCAGCCACAGCAGATTCAAGATCAATACTCGCAGTCAATACTGACACATGCAGGCTTCGCACCACACAGCGCGCTTGTGAAAGGTCATGGGTTCAATTCCCATAACGTCCAGAACTTTTGGATTTTATCGCATTGCTCTTTTTGGCCTCTCTTGTAACATGAGTTTGCCTTCCCAACTTGCAGGGTTTGATAGCTCTACGCAAGTGGCACTGGTTCTAGTGACAAGTTCTGGGTTCGTTTCCGCCAAACGGCGGGCTACCTTTGATCCCTTGTACCTCAATGCTATCCAGCAAGTCTTCATCGTTGAGTACTTGAATTGGAATTGCGGCGCTCAAAAATGCCATTGAGTTAACATACCGTTGTTCATTCCGTTCTTTTGCATCTAAGAGTTGAGTAAAAGCTGGATGAAGGGGTTGAGGAGCGTTGTTGGTAACCATGCTAGCTAACCCCCCGGTAAGCGTTGTGCTTGAATGACGCAAGTCGCCGAATGGGAAAGACGGTTAGGCAACGCCCACAGTTTCTCGAAGTCGTCTACGACTCCTTTATCTTTTGCGCCGGCTTCGCGGTCCTGACAATCCCGAGTACCAGCACAGAAACAATCATAACTGCCTCTAACCCCAAAAGTCCAATCCAAAGTCCGTCCAGGATCGCAACCTCGTAACCACCCAGCATGCCCTCCATATTCCAAAGCAGGGGGCGGTACGTGACCTGTAACAGCATGAAAGCCGCGAAGACGTAGAAGGTGTACCAGTAGGGCCTTTTTGCATTGCGCTGTTAGTCAGTGATTTGTAAACCCGTTCCTTCCTCCTTTCCAATGCAGGGACCGGAAAGAAAACAGGAGGCGTCGTACGGAGTAAACTCACTTTTGTTCCTTATTCAACAAAGTCCATCTCGGTCGCGGATCAGCCACCGATTGCGATGCCTGTAGCGCGAGAACCAGCCCAGTGGCGATGAACAGCCAAATAAGCAGGAGGCGCTGGAAGAGCGACAGCTCGTACTGAGGTAGGTATGTGTCCAACAACATCTCTCCCTTTTCTATCCCTCCTCAATATGGGTGTAACGCTTTGAAAAGATGTGTCCTTACTGAAAACAGAAACACGACACGCTGTTCTTAGTCGGGGATCGCTGTGCGATATATTTAATGCAGATAAATTACGTTGGGCTTATTACACCACAGGCTGCGCGATTGCGGGGGAGAGTGTCTGGTGTAAGTGAGAAATTGGGCGGCGCAACGGTAATTAGAAGTCAATATGACACCCCCAATGAACACTTCGGAAGACGGAAAACAGTAAAGAAGGAAGGGAAACGGATCACTTAAAGGCAAGTTGACATCTTCAGAACAGCAGCCAGCTGACCAGTTGGCCTCATTTCGTTACCTTCATCTCGTCCGGCTGAGCGGTCCGAGTGACTGTTCAGGGTCCTCCCCGCATACACGCCTTGCCTCAATCGTGGAAAAATACAAGGGTTGGGAGTTTGACGGCCAAAACTCAGGTCTGGACTGCCCGGTCAATCAAATCGCAAGATGCATGAGACAAGTTACGAATTGAATCATGACTCGGATGTCTATGTACCGGTCTACTATAGCGTCTCATAGGAAGAGGGGATGTTGTATAATACAGGATCATCATGTTCATCGTGAACCGTTGCTACAGTTGCAATTGAAAAGCACTCCTCCAATCGGGTACCCCCAATACAGTTCCAAAGTCCCGACAGAAAGTATATGTACATACCCTAGAAAAGACCCCCAAGAACTCCAGCGCGCCGTGATGATCAATTCAGGGGTCCTCATGCCCTCCAAGATTTGCTGTTCTGCTCTATTTTCTCTTGCTCTCGAACGTCGCCGCCAGAAGCCTTCCACCATACGTCGCAGCCCCATCTCATAACTCGCTCGACTGCAGCGGTTGGTGTTACGGCAGGTCTGACATCGAGGAAGAATACAGGTTCGCCGGTCTCTTCAGGGGGGCCAGAATAGTAATCAATGATGTAGCGAACTTCCCTCTTCTGGCCATTGGTCTCTCGGGAAACGTACCAGTCATGGCGATCGAATGGCGGCTCGGTTCTATTTTTCAATTAGTGTCCAACGCTTTTAGCGCAATATGGGTCGTCTGCGAGGTCAACTTACGCGAACATAGCTGGATATATCCACCCCATGACTTGAATCATGGCGGCCTTGGGCGTCATGTCTTTTGGTCTGCCCTGGAACCTGACCAAACCTGGCGACAAATCCTCCACCTCCTCCTGATATCCATACTTCTTAGCCATGGCGTCGAAGTTGTGTTCGCCATGACTACACAACTGCCATCCTCGGTGTAAGCCGCCAGAAAAGCGCTTCTCCCATTCCATAATCTCGGCCCAGGCACCCTCGTTCAGGAAATTGTGCACGCTGACCATGCTCTCGACTGCTGTGACATCCGTGTCGGTGTAGCCTTTGCGAAGTAATGCATTATACATCTGCTGCGGAGACGGGTACTCCCAGTTGCCATCGCCATCACCTCTCGGGATTGTTGAAGGCTCGCGCGACGTCGGAAGATATTGTGTCTGGGTTGGCGCACGGTCTTGCGAGAGATCGCGGAACATATAGTTCAAGGGATTCAGTTTCGAAAAGGCGGACTGGGACTCAGGTGTGGGTGCACCATTTTTCGATCCATGTGGCACTGGACAGGCGGACGGAGGCGCTGTGGTCGCGGATACGTCGTGTTTAACAGGGCAGGTGCTCGGGGGAGCGGAGGTTATCACGTCGGCGGCGCCTTGGTGCTTATGCATTGGACATGCTGGCTACAATCGCGTTAGATCTGGAAGGCTGGTCGGTGAGGAAGACATGGCGACTTACAAGTGGTGATCGGGCACCGTCTTGAAGCATGGGAAAGTGAAGTGTTTGCGAGGTCCTGGTCTGCGGACCATCTGCCCAAAACCAACCCATTCTGGCTTGAGGATGTTGTGTAAAGAGCAGAAGAGACAAAATGATAAGAACAATACGTATAGGTCAAAGACGGTTGATCAGGCTCTGGCGCTGTTAGTGATGCAGTTTGCTGACCTTTGATATGGGACGGCTGTGATAAGCCCGTCAACTTTTTGCCATGCGACCGATCGATGACCGCTGACTATGAAAAGACGGAAAAGACGGAGCAAAACGGCCGCTCCCACATGTTTTACCGAAGTTGGGCCGATCATCATGTGCTCCTTTCTCGCAGATGAATACGTCATCATAGGTCGGGGATTGGAGATCGCGTACTCTGTATCACCGGCTTCGCGCTCGTCCTTCTAATTCGGCTCTAGGTTTGAGTGAGCGAACTTCCGGCGTGCTTGCTCCAAATGAACAATACCTTGGTGGGACTTACCAGTTCTCATCTCTTTATTGCGACAATGCGCATTCATTCGTTTCGAAGCCCTACTGTATTTCTGATGAGATGAGGCACGTTTTCTCTCTGGGTCGCTTCTGCGCTCGTCGGGCATTCCCACGGGCGCCGAAGCTACCAGGACTCATTCGACTACTGCACTCGACACATATGACAATACCAATCCGGCCGACGCAATGGCAACATTCGCGACCCGGCGGGAAAGTGCTCATAGCTGCTGCAAATGCTGCAGCTCTGGGAACAGCAGCCTTTGTGAAGCTGTCAGAAAAAGATAACGAAGGGACTGAGCAGACAGCTGAGGGTCGCATGCTCGAAGTTTCGAGGCAAGAGATAGACAAGAAGAAGGTTAAGGATGGCCGTGGCTTCTCCAAATTGGGACACAATGTCATCTACTATCTCGATGTGTATTTGTGGGAACCCCTGTGTACTGGCTTGCGTTTCCTCCATCTGGCAATTATCTTCGTTCCAGTCATTATCGCTGTCCCTGCGATATGGGTTGGCCGTCGACAACCAGATCGTCACAACGAGAGAAGCGGAACTCTTTGGTGGTATGGTTTCTTGGTCAAAGGCATGGAATGGGCAGGACCTGCTTTCATCAAGGTATGAGTTGATCGTGGAGTTGTACACAGTAGCCCCCAGCTAACAATGCATGAACAGTTGGGCCAATGGGCTGCTTCACGAACCGACATCTTCCCCAACGAGATGTGCGACATCATGTCGAAACTACACTCAAATGCCCCCGCACACCCCATGCATGCCACGAGGAAGACAATAGAAGCCGCCTTTGATGGGCGCCACTTTGATGAAATATTTGAGGAATTCGACGAGGAACCGCTTGGAGTCGGTGCCATTGCCCAGGTCTATAAAGCCAAGCTCAAGCCGGACCTAGCGGCACCAGCCGACATAGACGTCTTTGATTCCCCAGTCAACATCAGCAAACACGTCCGCCGAAGCGTGACCACTGTCCTTAAAAGCACGCCGAAGCGGGTTCCGTCCTCCTATGTAGCCATCAAGGTCTTGCACCCACGGGTGGAGAGGACAGTACGGCGCGATCTTCGCATTATGAACTTCTTCGCGTCAGCTCTGAACACAATTCCCACCATAGAGTGGCTGTCCCTCCCCGACGAGGTAGTCCAGTTCGGTGAAATGATGAGGCTGCAACTAGACTTGCGCATAGAAGCCGCTAATCTCGCCAAGTTCCGGAAGAACTTCAAAGATCGCACGACGGCTTGGTTTCCGTTTCCGTACCTCGAGTTCACAACTCGCAATGTTTTGATCGAAGAATTCGCTCAGGGAATTCCCCTGGCTGACTTCCTGGAGAATGGTGGGGGGGTCTTCCAAAAAGACATAGCCCAAGAGGGCCTCGATGCCTTCCTCCGTATGCTGCTCCTCGATAACTTTATTCATGCCGATCTGCACCCAGGGAACATTATGGTACGTTTTTATGAGACGCAGAAGCCTGACTTGCCACGTTTAAGTCGTCGCGATGCGGAAACATTACAACCGCAGGACCAACCTGATGTCACAGAGCAAGTTCTTGAACGGCTGCGGCCCTACCGCAAGCGCAGAGACAAATCTGCTTGGGAGGCTGAACTCAAGAAGATCGATGCCGAGGGTTACCGCCCACAGTTGGTCTTTATTGATACCGGTCTTGTAACTGAGCTCAACACTACTAACCGCCAGAACTTCCTCGAGTTATTCAAGGCGGTCGCCGAATTTGATGGGTACAAGGCGGGTCATTTAATGTGCGAACGCTGCCGACAACCTGATGCTGTATTGGATAAGGAGATATTCGCGCTCAAAATGCAGCATCTCGTCCTCAACGTCAAGAGCAGCACACTAGCGCTGGGAAATGTCAAGATTGGTGACATCCTGCAGCAAGTGCTCAGCATGGTGCGAGGGCATCACGTGAGAATTGAGGGCGACTTCGTCAACGTGGTTATCAGCATACTTTTACTCGAGGGCATTGGCCGAAGTCTCGATCCCGACGTCGACTTACTCAGTAGCAGTTTGCCCATACTGAGAGAGTTGGGTGCCAAAGGTGGCGCCTCCATGATGAAGAAGGGTGACTTCTCTATGCTGTTTGTGTGGGCTGGTTTGGAGGCGCGTCGGTTCATGCAAGCTAGCATTGAAGATGTAAGTATCTGGCGCGATAGCAAGTCGACGAATTTACTGAAAGTTTCACAGGTCGAGAGATGCGTCAAGTACGACTTATTGTCGCCGAATGTGTAAGCGCACCGTGGCTGTCATTGTGTGGATAGAACAGCATATTTGGCGTTGGAAGATGGCCCAGGCTTTCAACATGTAAAAGCATACAGGTCGGCGTTGTGTCGAAGCATATATAATTGTTACTCAGGATTATAAATCACTCTTTTTTACTTATTATTTTGTTTCTTTGGGTTTCATCTTGTCCATTGTTCATCGACGTTCGTCGGCTACGACGCTACGTTATATTAACCGGCTCGTTCCTAGAGTCGCATTGCCCATGTACAATTACCTCCACTCCGCTGACCGCAACTCAGCAATCCTTAAGACGTCTGCGTACCCAAAGCCGTAACCTGGTCCAGGAGGGCTTGGTCCTCTGAGGCAGCGTTCTTGGTGACCTTCTCGACAAGGTGGTCGACCTGTAGACCGGCGGCCGTGGGAGGGTTGCCCTGTGCGGTCTGGATACGGGAGATCTGCATCTCCAAGAAGAACTTGGGCACCTTGATTGCGAGACTGCCGGCGACACTTCGGATACCGGCCTCGGTGGCCAGGTAGACGTTCAGCTGGTCCTGGAAGGTCTGGAGATCGCTATCGGCGAGGTTGTCCTCCGTCGCGAAAGTAGACAAGGCGAATTCGAGGGGCGTCTGGGACGACTGCGAGAAGTCGATGTCACTGAACTTGACGTTCCCCGAGGTGACATCGGGCACGCCGCTGATAGTGGTGGTGGACGTGTCGCAGGTAATGGAGTTCTCAATGGCGGTGACGCTGTCGGCAACCTCCTCGGGCAACGTCGTCGAGCCGATGACGAAACAGGCGTTCTGGCGGGCCGTGACGACCGAGACGGGGCTCTTGCTCAGCTCGATAATGGGGTTCCCCGTAACGAAGGGGATGATGGGTCTCGGGGCCGCGGCGGCGAAGCCGGCCAGGAGGGTGAGGGCGGTGATTGAGTTGTACATTTTCGAGACTTTGAAATCTGAGAGAACGGCTGAAGCGAAGAGTTTCGGAAAGAAGCAATAGCAATATTAAGCGAGAGTAGCAAAACGAAAGAAACCCTGACCGGAGGGAAGTTAGAGAAGTGAAGATGGAAGATGTGGAAGGAATAAACGAGCAGATCAGATTACATGGAAACGGGAGTCGTCGTGCTTTTATGGGGGTTCGGCAACCTGTCAGGGAAAGGAGGATACTTCACGATGCTACCGCAAATATGAAGCGCCAAGCGCCAAGACGGGCGTCAAGCCGCCCTGGATGCTTTCGTCTCATGTCGGCGTGATGCGGTTTGACATGCGACCCAGAAAGGTCATCCAGGCGCATGAGTGGATGGCTCTAAGCTTGTTCTTAGTCGTATTGAGTATGAGCGAGTCGTTCTAGTGGCACCCCTGCCGAGATAGAGTCGCAGAGCCGCACGATTATTTCCAGGAGGGCCCTGTTTTGGAAGCTGCCGACTTCCGTGATAGGACAAGCGAGAGATTCTTGGGTTGTCAATCCCCAGAATATCCTTGATGGGTGCGGTTGTGATTCCATTCCAGGGGACTGCCGCATTCTGGGTTTCATGAGGGCGCAGGCCCAATCAGGAGGCGGACCGCTGCGTGATCTTCCTGATCCCGGTCCTATAGCATCCCCACTATTTGCTCGATCCCGTTATTTTACTTAGCAGACCGGGGGTATTTTATTATGTCCAGGGCTTTTTTTCATTTCACTTCTTGATGCGCCTTTGGATAATCACGAACTGAAGATTTGGGGCCGGTGCTCCAGGTCGATTTTCACCACCAATGGTCAGCGAGCATCAATGTGGGAAAGCATTATTCGTGAGATAACAACTCGTTCAACTCATCAGGCATATCTAGACTCTACTTCGCGACTCGTAACTCGTCGACCCGTTTTGTCCCCCTTGACTTGTCTGGCTGGCCTTTGAGATTTTATCCGGCGACAATGCTTGCTTTGGGTATGATAGCGAGTGAAGAAGCAGTGCAGTGTAAATCATTATAAGCATAAACAGGAAACGGATGATATTGCCCAGGACCTCATCAACCAACCATCACCCAACACCTGCTCCATTCAACTTCTCGATCGCTAGTGTATGGTCGGTACGTCTGACTCTGTGTGTGAGCAGCTTAAGACAAGCCGAGAAGGCCAAGGCCAACAGCGGCGAGCAGCTGGTTGACGATGCCGCCGACAGCGAAGAGCAGGCTACCGATGACGATATCGAGGGCCTTGATGAGACCGACGAGGGCGAGAACCAGGGGCTGCAGGTAGATCAAGACGCAGGCTTTTGATTTGGTCAGCGTTATCGGTTCACTATCCATTCTTTCTTTTGGTTTTCGGTAACTTACCAAGGCCGAGCTTGAAGATGAGGAACTTGACGAGACCGAGGATCTCCCAGATCAAGATGGTGATGACGCCGAAGATGCAAGTCTTGTCGCACTTCTCGGTGCGGGAGTCCACCACATCGCGCTTTGCCGAGTAAGAGGCGGTAGCGGTGTTCAAGAGAGCGGTGATGGCCTCCAGCTGGGGAGCAATCTCGGCAGCGAAGGCGTTGGCCTCGTCGTCGGTGGGGCTATCGGGGGCCGTGGCAACGGTCTTGTCTGTCTCCGAGTTAGAGGACTACCACGCATGTTTTCGCGTTGGAAGGCTCAGCTTACTGATGGCACCGGTCTGCTCCTGGATCTTGGCGAAGAGATCATTCAGGCTGGCTTCCTGGACACTGTAGTCTTCATCTTGGCGTTTCTGGAGACCGGTGGCGGTGCCGATGGGGTTGGCGATGGTGCTGGCGATGAGGCTGCCAAAGGCAAAGAGAGTGAAGAAGGCCTTCATTTTCAAAGATTGGAAAGCAAGTGCTGAGATGCTTAGGGCAAGTCTTGAGGAGCTAGGCTGTCGAGTTCGAGTCTGTTGATGATGCTGCTGAGGAAAGGAGAAAGGGTGATACTTGAGGGCCGAGTATCGTCTATTTATCCTTCTCTGAGGGCTTCGGTTCTTGGCATCTTGTCTTTCTTGAAGTTTTCACCTTGATCTGATCGAGCTCGTCTCCCCATCGCCTCTAGCTGTCGTACGACAAAGTTTTCTGGTATTGGGACCGGTAAATTGAGCCTAGACTCGTGATGATACCCGGCCATGCCGATCTTCTCCTCATTATTCATCTGAATGCCGATCTAACCAAGAGATCTTGATCTCGAGGTCATGGCTTCGCGCTGAGTTTATACCGGGCCAAGACTTTGGAGATAGGCGACATGAATCGCTTCGGTCGGATTAATGAAACGACAAGACAGGGTTGTCCAGCGACAGCCTATCGCTCTGCGATGAACCGAGAAACAGGCTGTTGGATACTATGTTGTCTTGTGAGGCTTTGTATCCGGACCTGATCATTGGCTGATGAAGGCGGTCGTGGTATCGTAAACGGATCAAGAGCCCGCCAGCCGAGCGTTTGCGCTGTGACAGTGGCGCTAGTATACGGAGTCACATAGGCGAAGACGACGTGGTATATTGATGTTTCTTTAAAGCCGACTGTGGCAACCTGTGGAAACCTCGTGATGGTGGTGGGGTGTATTTTACCATTGGCTTGGGCGTTCAGTCCCTGGATGGCGTTACGCCCCGAGGTTGCTGGTAGCATCGTTTCGACAGTCGGCTAGTGAATAGCGCTCTCCGATGCTACTCAATCGTGATATCAATATTACAGTGTGCCAACAAGACATTTTGATATACGCTTTGTGATGTCAGTGGCTTCGAGTGAGAGGGAAAGGGGGGCGGGGAGCTGTGCAACGATTGCATCGAGACAGATCTGGGCATGATCTCAAGATGGGACCTGACGATCACATATCCTTAGATTTAAGCTTCATTCTTACAGTGAAGATCAACGCTGATGAGGGAAAAAAAACTGCTGGGCTGTCGTATAGGTGCCCTGTCGCGTTGTTGCTGGTGTTGGTCCTCGGGATAATTAACAAATGCCGTGCGTACAGAGCACTGCTCTAGATTTTCCGGGTCCAATCTTTGCCACCAGCTAGCCACGACTCTTCATCCATATTAGTATGCTTCCATAGCTGGTTAGTTCCGGTACCCACTCATTATGATGACTCGTTTGGGGATTATAACGGGCTTGCCGTTGTCGATCAAGAGAACCAGACTCGGATGAGAAACTATTGAGGGTGGGCCAGCCATCTACAACCCGAATGCAACCCAATAGGGAGCTAAAAAAAAGGAGAAGCATCATTACCTGCCGTGGGCTGTATATTGCATTAACCCAATTTACCCAGCTGTTTTGCCATGCCCAAATTTGCGGGGAACCTGGATAATGGACGTTGGGCATCTGGATGCTCTGCTACACTAAAAGTGACATTTTATGAATATGCCAAGGCATTTGACCTCTCCTAATATAACCAACGCACATGAACGGCAATGCCGACCCTTAGCTAAACTACGTCTGAATTTTATAGCTACAATTATAAAATAATAGTGCGCGTGCTAGCCTTCATCTCTACGTACTACCGATGGCCCATAAGAAATATTTAAGGTCTATATTTACCTCAGACTATGCTAATTCGGTTAACCCGCGAGTATAGGCCTCGTTGGAGATACATATTTTTATAAATTAAGATAAAGTACTCCGTACATTTTACTCGTATAGAGCAGAGATATAGCTAATAGTCTTCTAGCTGCTCCTTCGAGTTCCCTGTAATATAAATAAATATATTATTATGTACAAAAGGTGCCCTAACTGTCAGACACTGAACGCAGGACACCGGTGGGGTGCCGGTGGGGTGTTTCGGACAAAAGCCTCCCGAGTCATGATTACAGTCTATGTGAAGTTTCGGGATGCCGAGAGTCAGGATTCCCGGCATCGCCAAACCTGCGGCTACGCCGGGTCCAAACAGCGGCCTAGCTATCTATATAAGGACCATCTCGAAGTAGGATAGGGAAGGAGTAGAGATCAATGCATCATCGTGGGCACCCCTACCTGAGACCGCCAGTGACCACCCGGTGCTATGTAGGAGGGACGCCCATTACTCCCCATCACTCTGTACTATTGCCTTCGGCCTAGCCGTACCCTGACACTAACCTAGTAGAGTAGAATAATGCCTTCTTCGAGGACTTAGTAGTATCGCTTTACTGACCCCGTATCTACAGCGACCGAATTCTCCTTATAAAAGATGATTCTTAATATGCTAGCTATAATAGAGATCTGGGTCTCTATATAAGTATAGTGGTCGATAAGGTTATTAAAGCGTTTAGTAGTCCTTCTTAACAAGGGACTAGCGCAGATTTAAAGAATAAATTTGGACCGTATACTTATGTATAAAGATACTATATATTAGCCCCTTTCTTATAGGTAGGGAATATTGTTTCTTTATAACAGTAAGCCTCTAGTTTATATTTACTCTCCTCCGATTTTACGTTTTAATGGTTTCCATTATTTTGGCGCGAGACACAATCTCGGTAATCATTTAGCGCCTTGGTATTACCGAACGCGTCTGTAAGAATCGTATACGATTTGCTGTAAGAAGTGGTGACTATGATAACCGCGCGAGCCTCGGAGGTAAATTCCCCGTCATTCCTTCGATTTATGGATAGTTCGTTTTTCGGCTATCATTTAAGGTTACAATGGGTTATGATTGATGTTATGTTGAAGGCCGGATTGGGAAATTGTGACACGGATATAAAATGACACATAATGTAGATGAGCTGAATGCTACGAGGCCAATTGGTCATCCATATCGGTTGAATACGTCAATCTAATGTCCAATTGGATTGTGCAGGTGAAATGCCCTCACCGGCTCACGGCAGGAAAGTGACCGTGTAACGTTGGAATTTTTTGAAAGCGTGGTATCTCGTTATGACTCGGCATTCCCTTGCTCCTGTTGGCAAATGACGCTGTTATTCCAGGCTGAGCTGCGAATATGAACCTGTGACAAGGCATTGATGTAGAATGCAACAATGTTGCTAGAAAGGAGGCAGGATCTTCCAAAGCACATTCGTGAAATTCAAATGTTGCTATAATTATACCTGCTGAAGCCCCCGCAACCTCAAGATAGTTGCTGTAAACAGCTGGACGCTCACCTTGATCACCGAGCATTGAGATGTAACGACGATTTTCTCTGGAATCAGTACGGCATGCAGTCCCGTTAGTTCAAGGCAAGCTACGAATAAAGGCGCAAGTCATCTGGCTTGTTTCTATTGCGGAGACTCCACCGAATACCAATATCTCATCGCTTACGATCCCCGGGTCCAGCTCGGCTGGATAATCTTTCCATATGTGCATGCTTATATGCAAGTTATTCTATATCTTAGGTTTTGTTGTTCAAATCAACTGACCTATCCAGATCTAGACGTACTGTCAGACCTTATAACTACCAAAAATACCTCATTCTACAGCGAGTGGGTCCCTCGTCTTTTGACGGTCAATTTGGACCAACACGTACAAGGTCCGGTCACATAAGTCTCCTTTCCTAATCCGCGTCTCCCTTCGCCGTGAGACCTGAAAAACAGCTCATTGAGGTCCGGAATACTCCGCAGTGAGGCCACATGATCACGTTATAGCTGGCACATACACTTATTATTGGAAACTGGTAGCTTTATGCTGGGTCACCGGATAAACCGCCCAGGTCAAGACGGGACTATACCGCAATCATGATCGATCTCAGTAGAATGATCTGTTCGACCTTGGAAACAAAACTTCACGTTTAGGTTATCATTCATTCTGTGCACTTGATTACCAAAATTACGCGCACTGGAAGAAGGCATCGTCCCTGTGCACTTATTATATATTCAACACTTCATACATTACTTAGTCAATTAATAGTAATTGATCTCAGCAGATGAGCTCAATATATCATCCATTATATTGATGTTTTGTTTTGTTGCCTTTCCGTTTTGATTTCAGTCACAAATTAGAGTGTGCATGCGGGTCGGCTGACAGCACTTTGTGATACTTGGGACGTGGCAATGCTTCCAACGGCGCCCACTCGTTTTGAGAAAGTTCTGCATAACTGGAGAGGGTGATCATATGCACATGGGTCGGCATTTCTCATTCGATAGCGTATATTGTAGAATTGCGCACCCGAAAGCTCCTTCGTGTTGGTGCCATTGAATCAACACAGTTTACATTGGTATAGCTACTGCGAACACGTTTCAATGGCGCTAGTCAGCTCCGCTACCACGTGTGTATGGAGCCACTGCGATCTTACGAGGAACCGTGCGTCTATATTATGACTATGCTACTTGCTTAAGTGTGTTCTCGCCGGAAACTAACTCCGTCCATTCCGCTTGATCATCACAATTGCCAGCTCGTTGCAACTACCCATAGAATATCCACCTAGGACGCAGTCGGCCTATAACGTCTCACACCTACATCCGGGACACCCCCACATGTGGAACGCCCTAAAAATGATGCTGTATATTATAACCATTAACTTCAACCTTTTTTACACTTATTCTGATGCGACTACAATACAGCTTTCACCGTCGCTAGGGTTTTCAGACTCGCTAGACTCATCTGTACTATCCTCAATTTCACCAGCCTCGATTTGAGCCTTCCGAATAGCCTTGATATTAGTAAACTTCGAATTAGGGCTCATTTTGACCTTCCTCCGCTTCCTAGCCCTACTAGCCTCAAGCTCTGCTGATGTCTTTAACGCCCAGTCCTGACTACTAGAGTGCGCTTTGCGAGTCTGACTAGGCTGTTTGATTGGTGCTGACGTATTCTCAAGGAGCAGGGGGCTCATAAGGGGTCTAGCTATGCTCGAAGGCCAGAGACCAGTAAATTTCCATCCACTGATAATGTTCTTAACGGTCAATGCTGCTAGACGTGCCTTTCTATAGCAGAGGAGAAAGTTTCTCTTCTCTACGACAGTAGTAGTATCCCATCGGTCAAGGTAACAAAGCTCCTTCTTATAGGCTGCCTTGAGGGGTCCAAAGACTGACTGATCGAGAGGCTGGAGAACGTGGGATGTGTGTGGCGGCAAGAAAAGCAAGTGTATCTTGTTTATGAAGCAGAGTGTCACAGCGCTGGCGATTACAGAGCCACATAGTGCTGTATATAGCAGTTAGTGGGACCAAATGTCAGTAACACTGACATTTCTAGATCTTTTGGTCTATTGGCCTAGGGGCTTGGTCCTCCTCTTGTGACATCCAGCTATGATGGAACCTAGATTATTACAATAGATTAAGTCTCTAAATAGAAACGTACCATTCGATGTATGCTTTGAAAATATAGTACTATATAACTACTAGTCCTTAGGTATAGATTTAGACTAGTGTTACGAACCGTTGGTTCTAACCTGGCCAAAACCAACCCGACAGGCCCTACAATAGGCCATGACGGAACCCCGCAGGAACAAAGCCCCATAAGGACGGAAAGGAACAACTAGGCCCCCGACTAAAGGAAAAGGTCACGTGATAGGGATCACCAGGAGCGACGTGATCCAAGTGATCCAACGAGATCAGTGAAGGAGAGATGGACACACAAGGGACAGGACTCCCAGGCATTTCATAGATAGACAGTCTCTACTTCAGTGATCAATCTAAGCATCAATCTAACCCATTGGTGAGGCAAACTGCCTTAACGACTCTATTCCTGATTACCCTACTTGAATACTTCAGTTACCCAAAGCACTCTACTCCATACGTCAAACCCCGATATTATTGCTTGAGGACTCCGCAGCAGGACTTACTTACTAGCACAAACCCTTACAGAATCTTTAGTGGTTTACGCAGCTAGACTATTAGATGTTTCGTTACAGCAGGTTTCAGGGGGACAGGACTTATTGAGTACGACCCGGAATATGTGATTTCACAGCTGGATATTAAGCTACATACGCCTACACCTCCTGGGAGCTCGTCTGGCGCCCCCTTAATATGGGAATCAAAGACTCCAAATAACCCAACTGTAACGAGGATAACACACGTCTCACAATATAATAGTCAGGTCGTGCAAAGGGTAGCTAGAAGTAGGCCAGTGTATGGGTGCGTATATTGCAAGACTGATTCTTGAAGAATCTAAACTAGGTGCGAGCGTCTCGAGTTCTCCTCTTAAGCTGGGCGGTTCCGGGGTTCTACCGGATCGGGGGCGAATCCCTCCCGACTCAGCTTGTCAGCTGAGACCGGCCCGCCACAACGGCTCTTTCCTTACACCAACCGAGGCGCAATCCCAGTCTGAATACGTTAAAAACAGAATCTTACAGCATCAGAATAGCTCCCCGACGACAATACTTACGGCTATTGACCAATTTTCACGTAGTGCGACGGCTGTTATGCATCGGTTAGTTTTACTTGAGGATGAGGTTACTACACTTCGGAAGGCCAATCAAGAGCTAAGCCGTCGTCGAAGGACTAAAAATCGACAGCTACAAGATAGAGGATCTCTTAGTTTACGAGACGCTCAGGACTTACAGTCTCAAAGGGATATTGAACAGCAGCTACAGGATGATATACGTGTAAGTCGTCGTCGTACGAGACCGGCCGAACCACGCCGACGGCGCTGTAGGATCTGCGGAGAGCCCGGACATAATGCTCGTACTTGTGAGAATGACAAAGATACGTACGAGTAAGAGGATTCCGATTAGTTTGAATTACTATTTTTTAGTTTAGTTAAGTTATTGAAGTTATTCATACGGTGCCAAGAAAAAGTGGCCAACTTGCTTGTGGGGTACGTTACCTCTAAAGGTAAATAAATCATTATTAAGTAAGAGTACACCTAAGGATTCCTCAAAGAAGAAAGACCTCAATAGGAGGATTATATCTTCGGTAGAGCTACCCGTTAGTAACGGAATACTAATTATAATCGAATTTATATCGCTACGTTATGCATAGTGACGACGGGCAGTATATGCCTGCAGGTTTAAGGTGAAGATGATGGAGACGGACAGCAAGATCCTTAACAAGATTATTTATCCAGGAGCGTAATAGAAAGATAAATGAAAACCATCCTGATTCTGTGCGATCTCGGCTCCGAGCGTGCAGACCTGAAGCCGAACAAGGCACCCAGAGAAAGATACACTTATCTGGATACTCTGTAGGGTGATGCCGAGTTCAATATCTAGCGGTGGAGGCGAAGCCTACTGGTGGAATGATGATGAAGGTCCAGAAGGTGCGGGATGCATGAGGGCGCTTGCTTTAGTTGATATTTCTTGCACAGCTGGGAAAGCAAGCCATTGTGGAATAGATACATACTCGCTCCACTCAAGAATTGTGGCAATGTTCAGAGCTTACAGTGCTAAATTGTTTATATACGACTGTTTACCTGAAGAGATCACAGCATCTTTTGTTACTGTCAATACTCACATAATTCGATTACGCGCTACAGACTTTGGTTTCACTGTGTGCTACTGTACAAACCTATACCTTTAGTGCGAATTTGGACAGGACCGTATAATGCGTCAAGCTAGTTGATTCCAAATAATAGTTGTTTGAGGCTTTCTATCTCAGTCCACCCAAATGCGGTTCCTTTCAAATCGCATCCAGTCCACATCAGCATTGAAGATGTATGGTTTTAGAGAATGATTTGGTATGCCACTATTTCGGTCGACAATAGAATTGAGCGCTGCCAGCCTTGTGATGCTTACAGTGGACCGACAAAAGTGTTACGAAGCTGAGCTGTAAAATATGAAACCCAAAGCTGGAACGACAAGGCTTTCAAACACCACCGGATTCCTAAAATACTTCATGCTGTCGATGATGATGACCCATTTCTCTAATAGAACCATGTTGATCCCTGATAATTGATGGCTTTTCGAAATAACGTGAGCCGAGATCCAGAAGAACACAAACCAAAAGGTTGAAACCGCTATTGACAGTGCTAGCAATATGGAAACCCAGCGCCATCAATGAGTGTCCAGCCTTATGCTATCGCAAGAAGGCTCCTCTTCTACGTCTTGAAGCAGATATATCCCCGCGCATCCGGTCCGAGGAACACATGACTCACTTGACGGTAGTGCAAATGGTAGAAAAGGTCGAGAACAAATTGCAACATTCGAACTTTAAATTCTGATTGGCTCCCTCGTGTGATTTATCAATCTATCATGCTGGGTCTGACAGGGGCATTACGTGCTCCACAGGAGAACCCTGGGGAAGAGCGGCCTTTTGGTCGGCCTGGACGAGCCGCTAATGACCGATGTTTGGATCCCAATAGTGCGGGTCTCAGCGCTTAGTCTTGGTTAGCTCTTGGTCGAGTGAATCGATAGGCGGGCTGGGCGGAGGGGTGTTCAACGCTAGGCCAATATGCGAGTTCATTCGCCGGAGCCCTGGTGTTTTCAACAGTTGGACAATATGGGCCCTGTGGGCCATGTGGGTCCTATACTTGCCACTATCGCCACCTAGAACGGCGACCATCCCCACATACCTCTATTACGAGAAATGTGGCGAGGATAGAACATTCCCTACTTATCTATATGCTTCTACAACTTGTCTGAATTAATCAGCAAGTCTACCATTCATTGACTATATAAGAACCCTTTTGTTTCCATACATAGACCCTCGAAGAGAGGACCAGAGTTAGCTACAATACATACAGGTTAGGCATATGTGCCCTCCTTTTGCTCCTTCAACGGGAACATAAAATCCAAGTTCAACCAATTGAGCCAGCCGGCCATGAGAAGAATGTGCGACCGACAAGAGTCCTTGACACAGGTCTTCGGCAAGCAGTTCGAGGTGCATGAGTCGCTCGTTCGTGTTTTCATTGTTGTTCTGTCGGTAATGCGATGACGCTTGTCTCGACATGTACGGTTATATCTCCTAGTGCCGCATGCGCGGCGGTGGCCATTTGGGCGGCGAGGTTGCTCGATCGGCCGCAGGGTTTCTATTTTCGGGCTTTGTAGGAATGATTAGCAGAGGCGGTACATCACCACCATGTTCCAGCTTGCGTTGCTGGGATGTCCATTTTCGCTATATCCTTTCGACCTCTCGCACTGCACTTTCTCAATTGCCTTGTTTCCCCCTTCCCCTCCTTGTCTCACCTTTCCGATGTCTGGGACCATTGATTGCTTAGTCACGGCATGATGAATACCGGAATTCAACTCGCCTGTGCCACGTGGGCCATGGTCGTCTTATCTTCTGTTTTGGTAGTTGCGAGGCTCTATACGCGGATCTATGTCGTCAAGTTCGTTGGCGCTGAAGATTACATGTACGCTTGGACTGGGGTAGGCTGTTGCCGGTGCAATGACTTTCAACGGATCGCATCTGACTTGATACAGCTTTTCCTACTATTCTTCGCCATCTTCATCCAGGTTGCAGTTCACTACGGTCTTGGTCAGAACTTTTGGGAACTGAGCATTGCTAGCTCTTCCGATGCCATATTCTGGTGGGTATAAAACCGCGCCTGGCTTGCCGTCATCAATGCAAATGCTGATCACTACATTTACAGGACCTACGTAGCGAATAGCTTTGCAATCACCGGCAACGCCATGGCCAAGTTATCGATGGGCCTGTTTCTTCTCCGCGTCGTCCAAGTGAGGTGGCACAAGACTGCGCTCTGGGTCGCAGTCATCTTAACGGTTACGACGTCAATTGCACTCACCATCATGCTCTGGAACCAGACTACTCCGGTGAAGGCAAGTTGGGATCCATTAAGAACACCAGGCGTGTGGCATTTCAAAATACAGGCCATGAGTGTCGGACTGGGAGGCAAGTCCTTTATCTCTCGCGTCCATCAGTGGATTGAATTTACTAACATGCTCCCAGTTTGGTCTAGCATCTGTGATTTTTTCTTCGCCGTGTTTCCATGGCTTTTCATATTTTCTCTCAATATGCCCCAACGAGACAAGTTTATGCTTGCGACCGGCATGAGTTTAGGTGTCATGTGAGTCGAATTTTGCACTGAGTGGCCTTGGTGTACGTAAGCTGACAAGTGTGCAGTGCTGGCGCGTGTGGTATCGTCAGGACCGTCGTTCTTTCCCGCTTGGATGTTTTCAATTACACTTGTGAGTACGCTTTGGAATTGGAACGTTGATACACTTGCTGATATATGCTTAGTAAACTTTGTACCATACTTTGCCTGGGCCGGGGCCGAAATCGCTGTTGCCATGGTTTGCATCGGCGTTCCTACCTTGCGACCTTTATACCTCATGACACGAGGAACGACCAATACCTACAGCAAGCAACCGGAACCAAATACGAACGAGTTACCACAGTTCACCATGTGCGACCAGAAGGTGGCCGGACCTTCCTCCCTACGTGATTCAGAAATTTCCCATTCCAAAATGGAGTCAGGCTTAGCAAAGCCGGCAAAGACACATACCAGGGGGCTCAGTAGCAGTGGCGAAGAGATGGTGGGGTCAAATTATAAACATACTGGAGTCATATGGGTGAGAAGCGAGATCAGTGTCCAGGAGCATGACTCGGCAGAATGGCCACTGAAGAGATGAAATGTGAAGCCCACGCAGATATACAGACAGACATAGATCTGATTTTCGACGCAAGTCACCTATCCGCGTTGACCACCATCTTTAATGAAACCCCATATTGAAGAGGCCTTAATAAGATGAGACAACTGCATTATTAACCTGACAAGCCAAACGAGTATTTCAGATGCCGGTTTCTTCTCTAGGCTTGTACGAGCCCTCTTTTTGGGTAACGGCTTTCTTAAGCGTTAATATCTAGCCATTACTAGGGCTATATTAGCCTTTTTCGCTTCCTACGCTTATCTTATACCTCTTTAATCGCTAATAATCTGACGCCTGCCATCTGAACGATGAGCAGGGACACCCCGGTATGGGCTGTGCCACCCTTATACACCCGTTCCCCTTATAATAGAAGAACGGAGACCTGTGCTTGTAACTTTATCTCTCTCTTTCTTCAGTTTACTATTCGTTAACAGAGGTAGACTGATATCGTAACCTTGATTCGTACTTGCAATATCTCTGCCTCGTCACAATCCACTTACTAAACACTTTATTTTAATTATGCTCAACTGCCTAGGAAATATCTAGGGCAATACTATTAAGTTCATTTCTTAAATATCGAGTTTAAACGTTCTATTAGGGATGCGAGTGCATATAGGGATAAAATGTGTGTATTAGGAAAGCTCGGTTAACCAGGCTCCGAAGGCTTCAACTTGATTGACAGGCCAAAGTACTGCTGCATCAATGTCGCCAGCTGCTGTAACGGGGCTACCGATACTGGTACCTTTGACTGCGTTCGGGGCAGTGCTCTTGTCGATGTATTCGCTTTGCCGCACTCAGTGCGGGGAATCGTACGATCGGAAGGCAACGACGATGGGCTGGATGAAAGGGATCGGGATCGAAGGGATCTGGACGACCGTTGGGTGCGGGTACCAAAGAGACGTGATGAAGGGGCTTTTGAAGGGGACCTTGACGGCCGGCGGCTGCGAGCACTTGACGTAGTGGATCGGCTGCGGTAGTGGGTGCCACTTGATCGAAAGTGGTGAAACAGCTGGTTTCTCGACTTAAAGGATTTTTGACAGCGATTATAGCGTCTTGGCGGGGGACTGGTTGGCGAGCTTTCGCGGACGGCTTCTTAAACTTGAAGCTAGGTCTTTGGCGTTGCGGCTGTGGGCTTGATTCCGCTGATGAGGTTATTCGCGATGGCTTGACCGGTGTGACTGGGGCTGTGGGTGGCGTTGATAAAGTTGGCGGCGCGGAATATGGGGCTGACAGACTTGAAGTGACCAAACTTCGGCTTGCAGATTGGCTACCTATTGGCGTAACTTCTGTATGTGTTGATGAAGCCGTTGATCTGGCTGTTATTGCCGTACCTGCTGTTAGGCGTGCATTAAAATACGGGCTTGGGAAGATTTTATTCAAGCAATTGAGCCAACACCTTAATTGGTGAGATCAAAAGTGAGTTTGAAAGCCCTTTGAGATATATGGCGGGCCTAATGGACTGAAGCTCTTTTGCAATTCTGCATTTGGAAAATTACTGCATCGACCGTGGTATTCACTTGATCCAGGGGTGAACTAATGGGCACTGGCCGTAACCGTAGTGTTTGCTAGACTAGCTCAAAGATCTGGTACATTTGGGCGCTAAAGACGAATCTGCATGCAGGTTGAGACACGATATACTATACCTTCTCAAGATCTTCATTCAAAGTTGCAGGGTGCGTTGGGGCAGTCAGACAAGAATGAAAGTCGTTCGAAAGGAGTCATATTAGTACAGATATGTAAAGAGAAGAAAAGGAAAAATACAAATGACTTGAAAACGTAATCAGTCCTCTGCAGAACATCCCGCACGGAGACAACCATCTGTCGAGTGCATGCTGCATTGAATGAATTCGTCCTTGGGTGTGAGAAGGCTAAGCAACCCGTATCGGCGCATTAGATGATGCGGAATGTTTTCTCCTATCGGCATCTCAGCCTTTTCAAGGCTAGAAAGTACAAGCTCTTTCAAAGTTTCAAGTCTGCACTCTACCCTAATCCGCCTAATCCTTTTAGGAGACCCAGAAGGATCAGTGTGCAAGAGAAGCAGAACACTGTGCTCCGAAAGACCCGATGCGTGGAAGACATCGCCCCCAAGCAAGACAACCTTGAACCTGTTGGTAAGAATGGCCGGTCTGTGCTGCTAAAAATCGAATAGAACACGTTGAGACTGACCGTAATTCGCCTGGGTTTACAGTTCTTCGAAGAAGCGATCTGTTGATCTAGCCCCCGAACTTGGAGAAAGCGTGGCAGAGAACCCGCACACCCGCCACTTGAATGTGAATCCGATGTAACGCAGGGTGAGCAGGTTGAGCGGCACGCAGGAAGACTAGAAAATGAGAGCTGTTGGCTTGATATGCTGTTTCCTGTGAGAGTCCGAAACAGTTCTCGATACTAAACAACTTAGCTACTCTTAAGTTCGAGTTTAATATCGTGAATGTGATTCAAATTCTGCAGTCGTACAACCTACTGGTCAAACCTGACGGCGCCTTCCCATTCGGCCCAACCCTATGATATAAATATATTGCGCCGCCGAGGTGGGCTGTCCTACCAGCAACTGGACGTGTGTTCCCAACCAAGAGCATACGTAAAGCTTGTCGTCCCAAGCTCAGCAACACATCGTGGCAAACAACGTGGATCTCAGCCGAGTATTTCCAACACCTCGAGCGAGACTAAGGGTATTCCCACGATATTGTCGATGCTTTCTTCGACTGCCCAATAGGGCTGAAAGTCGCCTGCCAGAGTATTGATAGCATCGCTATTGAAATGTAGAATTCTTCGGGTGTAAGCCTCGATGGCTTGAAGCAGTGTTTGATACTCGCTGTCGGCAGTTGCTCGCGGGTCAAGATCCAAGGAGCGGAAAATTGGAACCATTTAAGATTTCAGGATGATCATCTGGACTAGCTTCACATAGACGCATTTCCTCGCACTCAAAGTAGATTTGCTCTTCGGTAAAGACGAGGCGTCGTCGCTCGAGGATAGCTCCCTGGAAAGTCCAACCCCTGTTTACCCATTTAGGAGACAACACTTCGTTCTGGATGCTACTGTCATGGGTTTTCAAGGACAGAGTGAAGGACAAGAGTGCTAGAGAGAAGTCGGTTGCCAGTCACCAGGTAAGTACCAGCAGTGTAGTGTAGGGGATTCGATACCGACAAGTTAATCGCTGCCCCTCCTCGAGAGAGCGGGTCACAGAAGCCTATTTATACATTGTCGACTATAGAGGGTGTCTACGAGGGGACACCCCTGGCATCATCATGAAAGTTCTACCTGGAATGTCGTCACATACTTTATGAGTTGAGGTTCACGTCAGGTAAGTGATGCTCAGGTCGTAAAATGTCGACATAGAGTAAGCTTGGATTATATAGTCTCTTCGAAGCCCTACTTGAGGCGTTAATGGAATTTGGCAATGACATTGTAGCGCAAGTTCCATTGTGGTCAACAAGCATATTTCAAATGTGGCTGGGCAACACTGGCACCCAGAGGAGTGTAGAGGTGTGAAAGGAGAGCCTCAAGCTCTCACCCAGTAGCAAGTTTGGAAATATGAGCCGGCTCTAACCGTCACCGAAGGGTCATATGCCGGGTCTCTTCATTGGTTCTGGCCTAGGCAGTGTGGGTAGGTAAACTCGTGAGGCCAATATCGAATGGGCTGCGGTCTGAAACAGCTGCAATGATGGACTCGTGGATCTTATCTGATAATGCAGATCGACACTCTCAGAGATCATAAATAAAATCTGGCTTAGCTGCCGATATGAAAAGTCGCATTGGGCCTCACAGGCTCGGGTACGTGAACCGCATAGCGGCCTCGGGTTATTGCGAAGACTCAAGAGGTTCATCCTCTGGTGCTAGAGTAGGATTTGATTACGAGAAACTTGTTGACGAAATTACCCAGGCAAAATCAGGGCCTATATGGGCGATGACGAACGTTGTATTTGTTGGCGGGATTGCGAAGCCCCAACCCTGGAGTACCTGGTGAGGCAATTGACTCAGTTGTGGAAGCCTTTCTTCGAGACAGGCGAAGGCGAGCTGGGCACGCCAAAAAAATACCAACATAGAATTTCATGATAGACTTAGTACAATAGCTGGGCATGTGGGAATTTGTGGCCTCAGGTGTTCGGGGTACGAGACTGGCAGGCACGCGTTGTATATTTAGGGATGGTCACTTCGCTGGTAGATAAGTCCCGATTTGAGCCTCGCCCACTTGGGTCGGTGACGAGTCGCGGGTTCGAATCCTGCAGCTGACACACAAGGGGGTTTAGTCAACCCTTACGGCGCGCTGCCCACCTTGTTGACTTCGCCTACCTAGCGATAATAGGGAGATTGGTGCAGTTTAGGATTACGAGCATCCTAGCCAGTCGACCGTCAAGCACTACGTCGGCGGAATATAACTCGACAGCCGGTCCAGAATTCGAATCGTTAATCCGGCCCCTTATCGGACCTCGCCTATCCGATAACGCTCGTCGGCGAACCCGTCCCCTCACGATAGAAGGCGCGCAGCACGCCCCCTCGCCGCGATTCTTGCGAGCGTCTAGACCACGTTACGGTCTATCCACTTGAGCGTATGGTTGAGATGTATACGCTCGACGAGAACCCCAATTAGCAGATACTACGACTTGTCGCGACAAAAAATAGTCGAGCATCTTCTGCACATCAGCAGCATCCCACCCCTGAGGACGAATTTAAGTGCCACATTACCACACTTATCGGTAGTTCAGGCAGGGGTTGTAGCACAGACTTAGGGAGGGACAGGAGGTTTAGTAGTCGTTTGGCTACAAGTTTACCTGTATAACCGCCCGACGCGGCTTAAGGGCCCGCTATATCATCTATAGCCCCTTAAGGGAGTACTTGTAGAGGTACCGAGGGTTAACACCTACGGCGTATTTAATATTATTTTATTTAGGGATCCCTCAGGGCCAACTTGGAATTGGTCCCTTACGCACCATCATAGTACCAATACAGCCCCTCAGACTTGGATTCCGACAGTGCACCGCTAAACACAATTGCTTACTTGTGTAAAGTAGACCAGTACTCAGTTAAGCATAGGGCAATAGACTAACAAGATTTCACAATTAACGTCCCACACCTACATCCGGGACACCCCCACATGTGGGACGCCCTAAAAATGACACTGTATATTATAACCATTAACATGAATGTACACCGAGCTGGCCACCCTTACATAACCTCGCATAGAAATTTTACGATAGTAAAACCACAACGCCGTAAATCAATTGAAACTACTCTGAATCTTCCTCTCCAGAAGATGGCAATGCGATCTTACAAGTTCGCGCATTATGCCCAGTCCCGTTGCAAATACCACAGCGCCTCGGACGCGTTTTTACGCGTTTGGAGGGTGCTTCGGGGGACTTGGTACGTTTTTGCCGCTTGTCGGAGACTAAGTTTTTGGTCATTTTTGAGAGCTTGAAGGGCTAGCATTAAGTCTGCTTCGTTGTATGACTTTGCCATAATTGGTTGTTGAGAAAATCAAACATTAAGTTGGCCGGTCGCGTTGGCGCATGAAAGTGGCCAGCTCGGTGTACATTCACGTTAACTTCAACCTTTTTTTACACTTATTCTAATGCGACTACAATACAGCTTTCACCGTCACTAGGGTTTTCAGACTCGCTAGACTCATCTGTACTATCCTCAATTTCACCAGCATCGATTTAAGCCTTCCGAATAGCCTTGATATTAGTAAACTTCGAATTAGGGCTCATCTTGATCTTCCTCCGCTTCCTCGCCCTACTAGCCTCAAGCTCTGCCTCTATTGCCTCAATCTTTCGCTGTGCGACAGCTAATTGGTAGTCCTTCTCATTAAAGCCCTTTTAAACTTTCCGAAAGAGTAGCCGCTGGGTATTTGGATCACTATCAAGCTTGCTGAATAAACTGAGTTGACCTTGGAGCTCATCTCTCCTCTTAGGCGTTGACCAGGCTACTGCTGATGTCTCTACGCCCAGTCCTGACTACCCTTACTATCAGAGTACCCTTTGCAAGCCTGACTAGGCTGTCTGATTGGTGCTGACGTATTCTCAAGGAGAAGGGGGCTCATAAGGGGTCTAGCTATGCTCGAAGGCCAGAGACCAGTATATTTCCATCCACTGATAATGTTCTTAGCGGTCAATGCTGCTAGACGTGCCTTTCTATAGCAGAGGAGAAAGTTTCTCTTCCCTACGACAGTAGTAGTATCCCATCGGTCAAGGTAACCAAGCTCCTTCTTATAGGCTGCCTTTAGGGGTCCAAAGACCGACTGATCGAGAGGCTGGAGAACGTGGGATGTGTGTGGCGGCAAGAAAAGCAAGTGTATCTTGTTTATGAAGCAGAGGTACATAAACTCTGTCGTTTCGTGGCTACTATGCCCATCTAGGATAAGTAACCTAGGTTAGTCTCTTCAGGGTCCTCTGATTGAGTCAAAGGAATAAAGATCTTTTGTAGCTACTCAATAGCCGTAGAGTCTGACGTCCACCCATTCTCTGTTGCTGTAAACCTCCAGGCTTCGTATGGAGTCATGTCCAGAGGAAACCACTGCTGCTGGACAGACTTCCCCTTGTATATCACAAGTGGGGGTAGTGCAGTACCAGTCGCAGAGATACACTCTATAAGAGATGTCCAAGCTCGAGATCCAGGCTGTTTCTTCCGTATAGACCGAGTCTCAGATGATCCTAGAACAAGACCATTTGATTCTCTACCTTCTAGAATACCTGTCTCATCCATATTGTATCGATTCGAGGCCTTAATAGCTTTGATCTCAGGGATAGCGAGGTATTTGAACCATTGCCTGATCACATTAGCTGAGGCTCCATTAATACGCTGGGAATCGATAGCTCTGCTTCTCTGGACCTTGACTGAAGGGTTCCTCTTGATAAAAGCCTGGGCCCAGTTCTTTCCAAGTGGTTCGGTATCTCCGTGGATCTGTAGGATACGCTCGGCGAAGTCTTTGAGCTTTTGATGGGTTGTGGGAGGCCTAGGGCAGCCTGGATTCGAACCATTCAGCCAGATGAGATTCCTTGGCTGGAGAGAGCCTCTGGTAGTCAGCGAAGGCTATATCTCTTGACTGGGCTCCCTGAATCCGTCGTGAAAGAGTAGACCTTGGGACACCATGCTTGTGAAGGTCAACCCTCGCAGACTCACTACAACCAGGTGACTTACAGCTGGAACACCTGCCATGGCAGTGCCAGATGGGAAGCCAATCATAACCCTTGTAGGAGCCCCGCCAAGCGTGGACGACTTAGTCGCGCTCCCTCAAACCTAAGTTGTCATCTTCTTTCCTTCGCTCCTTAGAGTAGAATCTTCGTCGATAGCACCTAATCGAGGTCTCTACCAATGCGATGCAACCCAGGTCGTGACAATGCTCATATGCTGCTTTTCGGAGGCTTTGACCGGTAGCTATTGCTTGAAGAGCTCGATAAATATCATCTTCGGTATATTGACTCATATTAGTGTAAAGAAGACGTACGTAAAAATTTAGTAACGATTGAATCGATATTGGTAAAGAAAAAAGAGGTTGAAGTTAGAGGCTAGCTGTGTTAATGAGGCATTTTTGAGTGTCCCACATGTGGGTGTGTCCCGGATGTGGGTGTGGGACGTTAACCTTCAGGCACAAACTTGAATCCGATATGCTACTATAACTTTTCAGAGCTAGTATAAATACCAGATGATCGCTGCAAAGGCAATTACTATCCTACAATGATAATCCTTCAGCAATTAGTGAAGGGCAACAAGCCGTTTGGGTCTTCGCCTTGAATCTGCCATACTGTTTTCTTTCGAAATGCAAGGACCAGTCGTGTTGCGTCATTGGCCCGGCAAAGCTTCGGCAGGCGCATTAATAGAACTAACTCGACCTTGAAAATTGAACGCGCTCGGTTCCTCTTGCCAACTTCATATGCATATCACCAACAGCCACTCCTACTACCCAACTATTCCCCTTCTCGTCGCCGACACGCTGCCATGTCGCGTTATAGGCCGTCAGGCGGCCAACAGCCGCGAAACGGCAATGGATATCCAAGCTACGACTCGTACCAGTCGTATGGACCTCCGCCGCCGTCACCCCAGCAGTGGAACGATGGTCGCAATAGCGATCGCTACCTTCCAGAGCAGCGCGGTGATCACGGCTTTCGTGGACCCTTCTCTGACTTGCGTAGACAACAAACCCAAGACTATGGTCGCCGCGATAACCGTGATCAGCGCGACGACATTCGTCCTCCCCAGGGTGACTTCAACTTCCGCGTAGAGCGTCCCGCCGGAGTTGAAGGTAGCTACGAGTCCTACAGGCCATCTGGTCGAGGCGATCGTGGAGATCGATTTGACTCGTACCGACCCCAACAGCCACCGCACGGCAACGCTGGTCGCCATAATAGAGGTGGTTACCAAGGCTCGAACCCGCGTCGCGGTGGAGCGCGTGCACCTTACCGTCCTCCCAAGGCTGCCGACCGTGCCATCTTGCACCAGAAGCATGATGAAGAGGCAGAAGTGATGCTAGGGGACAGGACAGGAAAAGCCAGATATCGCGACGTTGATGACCTCTCAGATGATGCCGATGCTGCTATGGACATTAGTGGTGCCGATTCAGCATCAGACACTGCAGAGCCCGCAAACAAGCGTGTGCGTCTGACATCCAACACATCCAACCTTGATCAGCCGCCAAAGTGGTCAAATCCAGACCCGTACACTGCACTTCCTCCGCCTGATGAGACGACGCGTAAAAAGGTGGACGTCGTGCAGCTTATTCGCAAAGCGCGAGTCGAGCCAGAATCCAAGACTTCTGCTTCAAAGGAAGCTGCGGATTTTATTTCTTGCGATTTTTCTGACGAAGAAAGCCACATTCCTAAACACCAGGCAAGCAACAGCCTTGCTGTTTCTAACGCACCCACAGGACCCCGGGCTGGTTTATCCGCTCTTCCGCCACGTCCAGCTTTGTCTCATCAGAGCAAAATCAACACGCCCCTTGATGGCCCCAAATCTAACACCACCCAGGTTCACGATCTCAATTCTTCATCATCCAAGTTTCCGCCCGTGAAGAAGTCCGTCGACCTGACACCTTCCACTTCCCTCGGCAACCGAAAGCGCACCCACGACGATCAGATCAAACTTCCGCATGCGCTGCTTCCAAAAGTCAACAAGATGCCTGTTGGCGGTGCCATCGTGCCTATCTGGCGACCTCGGAAGGATGAGGACCCCTGTCCATGGGCTGAAAATGACCACTCTGAAGATCCTATTCCCGCTGTCCGGTGAGTTTAATCACATCCAGTTCACATCAGCCGACCAATACTGACCATCCCAGGTTGCACAAAGAACTCATTGACTTTCATGAGTATGTTCGACCTCGTGACTTTGAGCATCGAATGCGCCAAGAGATGGTTGACAATCTTAACGCCCTTGTCAAACGCAAATGGTCTGATGCTACTGTTCTCGCCTTTGGCTCGTTCATGTCTGACCTGTACCTGCCAACTGCTGATATGGATCTCGTGATTTGTTCCAGGCGATTCCTCAATGGAGGAAAGCCGGTGTTTGCAACTAAGAACCATATCTTCGCCTTGCGATCGTTCCTTCAAGGCTTCAAAGTAGCGTGGGAGAACCAGTTTGAATGCATCACAGGTGCCAAAGTTCCCTTGCTGAAGTATTGTGACTTAGGCACCGGGCTCAAGGTTGACATCTCTTTTGAGAACACCGATGGCGTGAGAGCCATACAGACATTCCTGAAGTGGAAGGAAATGTACCCAGCAATGCCAATTCTGGTTTCTGTCATCAAGCACTTTCTCTGCATGCGAGGGATGAACGAACCTGTTAATGGTGGCATTGGCGGATTCTCAGTCATCTGCTTGGTAGTTAACTTGCTCAATCAACTGCCAGAAGTGCAAAGCCGAACTATGGTACCCGAACACCACCTGGGTCAAATCCTGCTCCAGTTCTTCCACTACTACGGCAAGGAGTTTAGGTATGAGACGGTCGCCATACGCATGGAGCCTCCTGGTCAAGTCAATAAGGTACGTTGTCCATTTCCCGACTCCGTATCGATTTCTGCTAACAACAATAAGAACGACGTCGACAGTCTTGTATACAAGAACATGGATCGCCTGTCCATCATTGACCCCAATAATCCCCGGAACGATATCTCTGGTGGCTCGAAGAACTTCCCCAGCATCAGTGACAACTTCTCCAAGGCTTACGACACTCTGCAGCAAAGGATGAGCGAGCTCTCTCGCACGGAGAGGAAGGTCCACGGATATAACACAATCCTTGCCACTCTCTTCGCCGGGGATTACTCCACCTTCCGAACCCAACGAGAATACCTCCGGTCGCTTGACAGAGGCGCTGGGCTTCCCAGTCTGAGCCATAAGGGATCTTACTAGGACAGGATCATTTGGTAACGACTCGACACGGGAATCCCCGGCAGTAAGGTCCATCCTATGTTGGCAATAACAATGATGATGTTGCTGCCCTCCGGGGCACCAGGAGAATTCCGCTCCGCATGCGGTTTCAAGCCAAAAGCAAAAACCTTTGTTATCGCCCAATACCCAATAGCATGGGTGATGCTGGCGAAACGATTAGCCTCAACGAAATACACAACGGGACAAGAGTTATAAACGGAAAAGGACGGAAACGGCATCGAATGACCCACGGCGTTTTCGGACTGACGGACGGCATTCATCATGATACCCATTACGCTTGCTTACTCGCATTGTATTGCATTTTATTCCTGCCGCGTTTACATCTCGTGCACTGGCGGTCGCGTGTAGCATAGAAGGGAGACACCGTCATTGGCTTCTCCCTGGCATCTATTCCCCTTGCTCTGAGACGCCATGCGAAGTGTCGTGGCAACAGCCGAGTGGCAAGGGAATCAATCGAGACTTACTTTTACAGCCCTTCTCCTTGTTCAGCATCCATCTCCAGTGGAGTGGACACCCGTGACTGACTGATCGAGCTGACCCGATGGCTATAGATTACACATTTTCATGGTTACAGGTGGCACTCGCGTTCTCAAGAGGCGCTGAGTCGCACGTCCCCGCTAACATCATAGGACGGATATGCTTAATTGCTCATTCGATCGACTGCAATGTGTGGACTTGCAATTGCAAACCTGCTCGCAGTGAGTCAAGTCGCAGTCGCATCGTGTCTCCAAACACCACCGTTTTCTCACTGCATACTGGGATCTTCCTGGATGTAGAGAGGATATTAGAGTGGAGGGTTGCTTCCAGATCGACCGGTCGAGAACACAACGCACAGAATATTTACTGAACCACTATCTTGGGACCCTGACTGGGACATTAGCCTTTCGCACCGCATGCATCCCCATCTCACGTGCTAACATGTCAACAAACGTCTGCCAGCATGCGTTGTCCAGCTCGGAACCCCTGCCGTCGGGCGATTTGTCAACAGCGAGCGCATCGCCTACCGACGAATTAGGAGCGTCTCCTTGTTGTACAATGACCCTCAGCAGCAAGGCGTTCGGGAATGCGACTGGCCCAGACTCAGCATTGGACGTAACCAATTATTCCGTTCGTCACACCACTCTAATATTATGAATTTTTGTTTGTGCGACGTAATCCGACGGCCATGGCTACGAGCCGATCAAGCCGATTTTCGTGATCGCCGGGGATGTGCCTTTCCTGGCCATCTGCGTCTCTCTGACCTCTGTTTCACCATGATCCTATTCCTTGGACTCTGCTGCTGGCCACCAGTCTCATCAAGAATTTTCAAACGACATGTACCTCATACGAAATACACCTCCGACATCTCTAATTTTAGCGTGTGTACTGTCCCACAATACTAAGCCTCTTCTCCTACGTCCCACTGGTTTCGACGGACCAAAACCCTTCCACACAGGAACTCTGCACATTTAGCTACTTGATATCTTGCATATACTTATATGTCACGGTTGTTCTAGACGTGGGGCATTTCACAGGCTAACATTGGAGATGCCGGAAGAGGTGTACTCACATATAGCTCTCCACGACCATCAGATTCCGCACCCTTGTCCACTTTGGGGGCCGGTAGTGGAATTAAAGGTTGTAGGGGCTTGGGGTTTGTGGGTGCACCACCCGTCTGACCAAGGGTATTGTGCGGGGGAGCGAGCTAGCCAAATGCGCAGCGCAGTGATTGTGCCGATTTGATGATCCCCAAACCCCTTCAAATCATTCCCAGGCACGTACTTCACCGACCAACAAGACGACATCACATCTGACAGCTCACCCCATTCTAGAACCGTGAGACGGCGCTATTTCGGTCAAGTTTTGGTGCAGGATTCGAAAGTTCGTACAAATCCCATGTCGGATTGAACCAGCTTGTGGCTTCCGGCTCATGCGTGTTGCGTGTTGCGTGTCACGGCAGCTGACGGACGTCCTTCTACCTCAAATTGCATGCAGAGCCTTCAGGTCGGGCTAATTCACCGACCAAATTTCTCTGTAATTGAGCGCAGTTCACCCAAAACAATTGTACCGCATGTCTCTTGAAGTTCGAACTGGGAGTACCGTTGAAAAGCCGGAGCAGACGGACTGAAAGGAATAACAGCCCAGGTTGGAGCTCGATTAAAGCTGAATGCATCATGTGGCCCCCATAGAAATGCGCAGCAAGGTCTTCCCGGCAGAATCAATCAGGAAGAGTCGACGAACACTACCACGAAAGCTTTTGTGCCTTCATGGCAGGCCACGCCGTTGACTACCTGTCGTTCTGGCATGTATTGCTTCGGTACTGGGTGAGCAATACATAATATAAGCCGAACACCCCATTGGCTGCCTGTCCAAGCCCTCCATGCATTCGAGGCCTAGACGCGGTTGCTAAGGATCGAATAAGCTTCCAGGCAGAACTTACGGCATCTTTTGCTTCTGTCACCTGCGGAGGTCGCGCGCTATTTGGTGTTCGTACGGGGAAGTGGCTATCTGCGGTTGCACCGTCACTTGGGATGGTTGTGATACAAGCTTGTTTGTTTGAAACCAAATCCTATGGGAAGCACCAGCGCCCAACAGCTACGAGGAGAGGGAGGCGACCACTTTCCCGAAAAAGCAACACAAACCTCTCGGTCGATCGTTCCCAGCGAAAAAAAGACTACAAGCTTTAGAATTCCAGCTTGCAGACGCAGGCGTCCCACCAGCTTCCCATGAGGAGGTGGCCTGGCGAATAGGAAAACAACTCGCGTGGATTCGAGGAGCAAGACTCGTGATGGGAGCCAAGCCTACCTGCAAGGTCACCATCTGGGGTAACCAGCTAATAACCCCGCCGCGCCTTTTATATCCCTTCCTTCCTTGCTAGTCCAGTCAACCTGACAACCCCCCCTTGTCAAACCCTCACGCCGTACCATCGGGATCAGTCACATGCTGTACTACTTACCTTCTTATATCGACGGGAGAAGGGTACCGCGTGTGCGGCTATGTATTTACGTCTTGCTTTCCCACCCTCGCGGTCGCCGTCGAATTTGACTTTCTACTATCTGCATAGTCATCGGCTGCATGTGGCAGAGCGGATTCCCCACTTAGAACGGCTCGCTTGTGTGTTTACATTGAGGGTCAGACCCCTGATATAACCGTTGATCGTCTCCCTCCTGGGGGCCCAATACCGCGACAATGCCGTACACGGTTTCGAACATCTACTTGATTTGCGGGTTTGCCGCCATTGGTGAGCATCACGCTATCCTTTTCTTCTGATGGAAAATTCAGTGGTCATGGTAGCTAATCCATCTGAGGTGGCGGCCTGTTCGGTTTCGATATCAGCTCTATGAGCGGTGTCCTCGGGACTCAGGCTTATATCCGATACTTTGACAACCCTGTCTCATACCGTCAGGGAGGCATTACTGCCTCTATGCCTGCTGGTTCTCTTGTGGGTGAGTCGATGCGATTTGAGGGGGCCTTCGAGGCGCATTTATGTCCTGACATTTTCGCTTAGGATCACTTCTAAGCTCCTTCATTGCCGACAGGTGGTCTAGGAAGGTTGCCATTCAGGTTTCCTGTGTCATCTGGATCATCGGCTCTATGTACGTTGCTCTTCCCCGAAACTCGTTCGCAGGACTCCTCTGATGAAATGCAGTATCCAATGCGCCGCTCAAAATGTTGGCATGCTCTGTGCAGGCCGAGTCATTGCCGGACTCTGTGTCGGCATTGCTTCCGCCATCGTCCCCGTCTACCAGTCTGAGATCGCGCCCAAGGAAATTCGAGGCCGTGTGGTCTCTCTCCAGCAGTGGGCCATCACTTGGGGTATCCTGATTCAATTCTTCATCCAGTACGGTGCGGCTCAAGTGGGCGGCGGCTCCAACGATCCCAACCAGCCCACGTCGGCTTTCCGCATCCCCTGGGGTGTCCAGATGGTCCCCGCTTTCATTCTCCTGGTTGGTCTGTTCTTTTTCCCTTACAGCCCGCGCTGGCTGGCGTCCAAGGATCGGTGGGAGGATGCCATCAAGGTGCTTGCGCATTTGCATGGCAACGGCGATGTCAACCATCCCAAAGTGCTCGCCGAGTACCAGGAAATCGAAGACGCCCTGCGTTTCGAGCGTGAAGAAGCCGTTTCCAGTTTCGCGGCTCTCGTCAAGCCCCGCATCTTCAGGCGGGTTGTCCTAGGCATGAGTATCCAGATGTGGTCACAGCTTTGTGGTAGGTGATACCAGCCCCTGATTGTGTGCCATGTACGATGCTGATCGATTCGAACAACAGGGATGAACATTATGATGTTAGTCGACCCTTCGAGTTCATTGCTGCCCTATATGTTGTGTTTTAGGAGTTAAGACAGGACTCGTCTACTTACGAGAGAACACAACGAGGCTCCTTAGACGATCCAGGCGTAGTAATTGCTGATACGGAGTGTTGCAGGTACTACATTGTTTACATAATGCAAGGTGCGAACATCGCCTCGCCCCTCGCAACTGCATCGATCCAATACGTCATCAACGTTGTTCTTACTTTACCTGCCATCCTCTACCTCGACAAGTTTGGACGTCGCCCCGCCTTGATCGTCGGCTCCTTCTTAATGATGACTTTCCTGTTTATTTCAGGTTCGAGTTTACCCAAGAACTTTCTTCAAAATGCTCCATAACCACTAACACCAACCCCAGGTGCCCTTCAAGCCGTCCATGGCCAGCCCAACGTCCCGCCAATCAGGAATGAGGAGAACTCGGCCATCACCTGGATTGTGTACAACAAGAAGTCCGTTTCGTCGGGCATCGTGGCCTGCTCCTACCTCTTTGTTGCCACCTTCGCCACGACCTGGGGTCCCACCTCCTGGACTTATCCAGCCGAGATCTTCCCCAGTAAGGTACGAGCGAAGGCCGTCTCGCTCTCGACCGCGGCCAACTGGTTCTGGAACATGATTCTTGCATTTGGTGTCCCACCCCTGCTGTGGAACATCAACTGGAAAATGTACATGATCTTTGCCGCTTTCAACGGCGCCGCGTTCATTCACATGTCCCTGCTCGCTCCCGAGACCAAAGGGTACACTCTCGAGGAAATGGATGATGTGTTTGACTCTGGACGCCCCGCTTGGAAGACGCATAAGAAGGAGAGTCGACTCGATCAGCTGGCTAAGGATATCGAGGCGGGAAATGTTAAGATTGATGTGCCAGTTGGTGATCGCGGTGCGGCTGCTGCGGCTACCCCGGCGGCGACGACGTCCGAGAAGGAGATGGAGACGGAGACCAAGGCTCAGTAGGCAACTCGATGCACCATATCAGTTTATTTCAGGGGCAAGGGGCGGGGACGGGGAAGTGTTAAATTGTTGCAGTGTTTGGATCTTGGATAAGGCGCGCTCATGATACCACACTTTTCGATATGTTTGTTGAAGTTGACGTGTTCCCACTATATTCATGGCTTGCCACGTTCGTTTTAGGATATACCTGAAATTCCATATATCATCTGTCTTGAAAAGATTTATTCTGGATTTTCCTGTCAATGCCAAAGAGAATGCATTCTCATATTTACAGACATGATAGCCTGTCGCACTCCATAATGAGAACATTGATAGCGCTGTTCGCTTCCTTCAAACAATGGCAACCCAGACAGCCTTTAGCACGCCAACGATGGATTATGAAGTTGGAGACACTGCCGCCACTGCCAGGACCGTTGGTTCCCGGGACTTGGCTGCCTCCCACGGCGGTGTTGGCCCGGATGCGGGTCAGTTGGTCGCTGGCCCCGTCTAGACCTCCGTCGCGGCCCCGGGCCAAAGTACCCGTTTGGTCGTAGGCCGTGATGTTGCCCTTGGCTGTGGGCAGTCCGCCACAACCCTGCGCGCAGCGTCGACGGTTAAACCACGTGTCGGCTTCATGGGTATGATTGTGGTTGAAGACGCTATTATTGTTACTAGTGGATGGAGAAAGAAATTGATGACTGATGGTCTAAGTCCCAGACGGTCCAGACCATGAAGCAGGAAGAAGAATGCCCCGACGCAGAAACTCGAAATCTGTGCCCCGTATAAGTACCAAAGAAACCGTACAATTGCCAGTTTCCGAAGAGCCATTGTACACAACTGCACTTTTCACTTTGCCACATGCCTAAAGGGCAAAATAATTTGACAGCTGAAGGTGTTATCGGAGGAGCCTTCCTCGAGCCTGAGGTGGTGAAAGCAACAAGACACATTCACAAATGCATCAAGGAGAAGAAGGAAAAGGACGAAACGACAAAAATAGAAGAAAAGGAGACACTAGGAACCTCTGCCCCTATGAGGGGTGAAGACAGTCATTCTAGTCGTAACTTCACTCGCCTAGTGACAGCTCTGAGCTGAGCCCCAAACAGAACCCCAAGCATATTGCGTTTCATTTATGGGTTAGCTACGTGAGAAACATTTAGGCTTGGAAGTCATCTGTTTCCCATGTATGGATTTTCTCCGTTGTAAGTAAGCATGAACAGCTCGAAGTCCACACCTCGGCGGTATCACCGTGATATGAGCCAACTCCTATCGAGGTGCACTGGCGAAGTCGCCAATAGCAGTGATTCAGTTCTACAAGGGAAACCCATCTTCCTCCAAACCTTCATACGGAACCCCTGGCACCGTGACCCCAAAAGTATAGGATGCCATACCTCGATAAAGCTCCCGTGATCCACATGGCAAGTATGCCACTCACTATGATGCCCATGGTATGACCCCAAAGCAGATGCTGCGCACAAGGAAGCGACCCTAGAGCACATGCGGTTGAAGATGTGCTACTGGCATGGGGAATGGCTAAGTCACAGAGCATGTCGGTAGTTGAAAAATCCAGGTGTCAAGACCCAAAGCAAAACATCCATTGACGCCAAACCATGATGCGCAGGCTACAACTATTACAAAATATACCGCTATGCCATTCCAGAACTCAGATATAGAATTGAATCTGCACCCGCTTGCTTGCTGAGTAACTCCGTTTGTGCTGTCTGACCATTCCAATACGCTTTGTCATCGTGCCGCTTATCCATGCGATATTTGCAAGCATCTCGTCATCCATGCAAACCAGGCGAACAATCAAAAGCAAATATTGGTACAAGTTGAGCTCTCATGGAACACTCCATTGATCTGGCCACTCGATACCTGCGTGGTGTTCTTGGCCAGTCAGCAGAAATGACGCTGTTGTACGGAACTAATGGCCGTTGGGGACATTGTCTCCGTGTACGGCAGCGACGATGGAGTATTGTCCACCAGCACCAGCCCAAACAAGCTTGCGACCACGGACGGCAGTGTTGTCGATCAAAGTTGGAATTTCTATATCGTCAGTGGTACCTTGGCCTGTCTGGTAGTTGGCTGAGAAACCCCAGGAGTAGACCTTGCCATCGTCATCCAGAGCGAAGCTTGTGTCAGTGCCGGCGGCGATAAACATAGCTTTGATACCTGTGATAGAATTAGCATTATGATCAATAAGTGACAAAGCGTGAGAAAAAGAAATACCTTCTACAATAGTAGGCTCTGTGAGAATTCTAGGCTTGCCAGACTCGTCAAAGACAGCATTGTCCTCGGTGAACAGGTTTGATGCATGGCCGACTTGGTGACCGTCCACGCGACCCCAAGTAAGCAGCTCACCATCCTCAGTGGCAGCAACAGAGTGATGCTCACCGCCAGCAAGGCGAGCCACGCTCTTTTCGCGCAGCGAGTCGACAACCTTGGGCAGCAGGACCATGGCATCATCTTTGCCTGTATCGTCGGTGTGTCCGGTCTGCGAGTAGTTGTTGAGGCCCCAGGCCCAGACTTTGCCGTTATTGTCGAGGTAGAAGCTGTGGTAGGAACCGGCAGCAATGTCTACCGCATGGTGTCTTTTGGTGAAGCGACCGCAAGCTTCTGGCTTCAGACCAGCAAGAGGTCCTCCGTGACGTGAGATTGGCTTTCGGCCGAGTTGGTACTGGCCACCGCTGCCCCAAGTGAGCACCTTGCCATCCTTGTCCATGGCGAGAACGTGATTGGAGCCACACGCAAGACGGCTGATGTTCTTCAAATCGGGTATACGAATTGGCGTTGGCTGAACGCGAACCTCGTCGCTGAAGCCGATGATTCCATCGGAGCCCCTAAATGTGCCCCATCCGTACACATATCCATCTTCGGTGAGCACAAAGGAGGCCGAGTCGGTTGCGGCGACCTGTACAATCTTGGTGCCAGGGGTGAAGGATGTCATGTCAACTTCACCAGGTGTGCTCTCATGCGGATTCAGCCCGGAGTCATCGTCGTCATCATCAGAATCCTCGTCATCCACATCCCGGGTGCCGCCGTCCCAGGCGGTGTCACGGCCAAGGGCCTTGTCATCGTTGACGCCCCAGGTGAGAATTCGGTTGTCGTGAGTCAGCGCGATGGCGTGCATGCCGCCGCAGGCCACTTGGACGGCACCAACAGTCTCAGCGGCGAGATTGTGGTTGATTCGCGGTCGCTTGACGTCGATGGGTTTCTTGCCCTCGAACTTACTGCTTCCGAGACCAAGTTCTCCCGATGAGCCTTCCCCGAAGACAAAGACATCCAGCTTTTGGGTTGGGATCTCATTGATGGGGTTTCCAAGCTTGGGCCCAGCGGGCCCAGCAGTCTTCTTTGCAGCGGCCATGGCCCTTGGCTTTTTCGCAGGTCTTTCAATTTGCGCAGCTTCCAAGTCCTCGTCAGGAGACTCTTCAGGTGCCTTGCGCTTGGAACCATTGATCTTGGCGACCTGCTTCTTGGGCGCGCTCTTAGAAGGCTTTTTCGCCGCAACATCGCTTGTGTCGTCTTTAGTCGCGGCTGTGCCGTTAGTTATCGCAGCTTGTCTGGCCGATTTCTTGGGAGCCGGCGCGGCCTTCTTGGTAGCTGCTTTCGCCGCAGGCTTCTTAGTCTTGGGTGGTTCGACTTCATCAACTTCGTCGTCTTCTTCTACCTCGTCAAGCTCTTCAGGCGCATCATCCGAGTCGGCTTCCGGCTCTTTGGTGGCTGAAGCCTTCCGCGATTTGGATGCTCTCGAAGGGGCAGCTGTCTTCTTGGCTACTGCAGTCGACTTGGTCACACTGCTTTTGGAGGGCGGTTTCACGGTCGTGCCGGCCTTTGCGGCGGTGGTAGCTTTGCGAGGAGGCATTGTGTGTTGTGAGATGTCGCGACAACTCGACAACGTGTCTGATGATGGGGGAGAGTCAATTGATGTGATGAAGGGGCGTTTTAGCAAGTAGGTGGATGGTATTGTGTGGTTGATAGAAATCGCTGAAAGCGCGACAAAATGGTCCGTTGTAGGCTGATGCGTAGGTGAGCGCGACGTGATCTTGGGACAGGGTGCTGGTTTGGGTCTCGAAACAGGATTCGATCTCAGGCTTTGTAAGATTCGCAAACAATAGACGAGAACAGGTGGGTTGATTTCGCGATCAAGGTGACCCAATGAGGGAAGATGCAGGGTGAAAGAGGCGAGGGATGGAAATCTGCTGATTATTTTACGTGCGGAAAAAAAAATGGCTGCGCAAGTCGGGACGTGACGACAACAATGGTCAAGCGCGCCTCGGGGTGGTCAAGGATCATTCTCTAGAGGACTGCCGGATCAGCCAACCAATGTTGACGCCCCACAGGAGCTCGCGAGAGCTCCTACCGCCTAGATTACCCGGCAGTACGGCTAGGCGGTGAAAATCGTGATGCTGGCAGTGTGTCCATTTTCAAGTTGACAGATTTATGATTGTCACTTATTCTGAGTGGAGACCTCGGGCGCTCATGTGATCTGTCAAAACTGTCTCCAGTTGCTTATCAATCGCCTTGTTGCCAGCCTAGAAGCTGATTGACGGGGTCTGGCCATATTGCCGAGTGTCACGAGTCATACGACGATTTTCGCCAAACAAAACAGAAAGTGCTGTTGGTCACACTTTGCATCTGGATACGGTGATGATCAGGTTTCTAGAATGTTTCATTGTGACGCTGGTATCACCATGACTGTACGGGCCAAATCGCCCTAACTGCCCGACCCATGCTGACCGAAAGCATGATGCGTCTCACGGGCTATCGCTTCCCTTTTTTCTTCCCCTTGCACCGATTTTGCGTCTTCTCCTCTTTGCCCCGTTGACCATCAAATCGCACCGGGACGCTGGAGTCATCCATCCAACTGTCGTCTTGCTCAATTTCGGTGTGTTGCGTCTCATCATGTGGCTCGTTGTCATTGGCGTCGGTTGCAGGTTCCTCGATCTTTGGTTGGTTGAACGAGCCGCCTTTGTCACGAATCCAAGCCCAAACCCGAGTTGCAAGTCGTATGGTAGGAGGTATGACGAAGTTGTAGAGAGAATCAACAAACTCCATGAACGTCGGTGGATACGTCGTAGGTTGGTTATGAAAGTGTTGGCCCAAGTTCCAGAAGAGCGTCCATAACACCCAAACAAGCCACCGTATGGGGATGGTAAGCCAGTCCAAAATCTGTATCAACCAGCCCCAAAGTGGTACCTGCTGGCGCCCATTCTAGGGTGGACTGCAAATACGACCTTGACCATCTTTATTTCTTGGTTGTGAAGTCGATCTCGTTGGCATTGGAGCCAGAGGCGCTTCCTGCGCTGCCACAGGTGCAGGCTCCTGCTGGTCTTGCTCCACACTGGCATCGGGCTCCAGTGACATTGTTCTCAGTCTGTGCCTTGTCGCAGGTGCAGTTGAGTGCGGCTTGCTTTCCGCAGGAGCATTTGGCTTCCTTGGCTAATGATGAGCAAGAAATATTAGCTAAGATGATCCCAAAATGAATGACGATGGCACTGTGAACTGTGCGTGGACGGTGGAAGCTTACCGCAGACGCATTCCCCACCAGCAGCCTTGCCGCAGCAGGTAGAGGTTGCTTTGGTAACTTGGATTGCCATTGTTACTGGTGTGGAAGGTGCAAGTGTAGTGAGGAAGGGGTCGACTCGGGCGGAATGGTGGAATGATGGATGAGAAAGCAGAGGTGATTCTGAGTGGTCGCAGTGGTTATGCGATTTTGGTGTGGAATGCGAAGATGTGTTGTTATCTCTGGTCTTCGTGAGAAACGACGCGTTTTATGTAGGCAGGAACAGTAGCAAATTGACATCACCGTTGCCAGAGTCCAGGCCTTTGGAATGTCGTCCAGTTGTGGTCATCTGCATTGTCTGTCCTGTGATTGGTTGTGGGGAGAAGAGAGGCCAGGCACCGGCCAATCAAATCTAGTATGATTATGCAGTATATCGATCTACGGCAGGCATGGCACGGATCGATCCACCCAACCTGGGAAGTATATGAGAACAGCCGGCCCACGGCGACGAAAATCTGGTAATGCTGGCTCTCTCACTGGCTATTGGATCGTAATCATCGTACGATACAGTCGCCAACCGCAAATCGTCAGTCCAATGAGCTGTTATCACACGACCAAGTGCCGAAATCCTCTTCTGCTCCCACTTGATCTCGGGAAATCCTGCGTCAAGGGACCAAGTTCAGTTACTTACTTCTCAGGCCCTGCCAGGTCAGGGACCCAAACGAGCTTGACCTCCATACCTCACCTCTTGGACATCCATAGAATTGGTCATCCATAGAATTGGTCTAACCACACTCCTTTGCACGCTTGGAAATCCTCTTCAGAAACTTGAGCATCCTCATTCTCTTCCCTATTTAATCAATGTCACGATTGCGAATCCCTCGCATCTGGACACTAGCCATCCATGTCTCTGCAGTACACTCCTAGCTTATGCTGAATATATTTATTCCTTTGTCTGGGCAACAAACTCATTCAATTCGCCGCAGGTGAGACAGAAATCGAACCAATCCTGCTTACTTGTTGAACCATTCATATTTATTCTCATAATTTGTCTCATGATTAAGCTCGGCATAAATATATCGGCTCTGATCCATCGGAGACTTCTAGAGTACGGCCTTATCTAAAAAGCGGCCGGATCGGATTGATAAGGATCATTGCTTAAGACCTTCCCCATTGAGCTTTCAATAAGCTTGCACTGAGGAGCATATAGAGAACTTCAAAACCTATTCACATGTTGTCTTTCAATTTGCTATATGAACTCAGTGTTATAACTGTAATCAGCCTTGGCGAGTGAAATATGCTGTTTCTTGTTTCAATTTCACTCCTTGCAGGACTCAGCCATGCCCACGTGATCGTTTTTCCACCAGTCGCGGCTATTAGTCAACAGCACAGCCAGCAAGCAACATTCCGACTAGAAACTAGTGACGATGATGTGGACCTGACTACGGATGCCATGGGTGGACTGGTGTCCTTCGCCCACCTGCCTTACATTCCCTGCTTCTCATCCAAGACGGACGATGAAATCGACAAGTACGACATCGCTATCCTGGGGGCCCCTTTTGACACGGCAACAAGCTACAGACCGGGAGCTCGTTTTGGGCCCCACGGGATCCGTGATGGTTCTCGCAGAATCCGGGAAAAGCACAACTGGGATATCTACACGGGCCGGAACTCGCTTGAAGATTGGGCCAAGGTCGTTGATTGCGGTGATGCGCCGTTGACGTTTGTCGACAATACCATGGCCCTGAAACAGCTCGTCAAAGCCCACAAGGTCAGCTTTATGGAATTATTTCGTTAATTTAGACAGGTATTTGGCTGACGTTTGTCAAGATAACCTCTGGCCGTTTGGCCAACAATGCGTCCATCTCATCCACTCCAAGAATCTTGATGCTGGGTGGTGATCACACAGTCACCCTGGCAGCATTAAGATCCACTTACGAGCGATGGGGAGTAGTTAATGTGATTCATTTCGACTCGCACATCGACACATGGGACCCTACTGTCAAGGGCGGACGGATTACAGACTATGCTGCGGTTACCCACGGGACGTTTCTGCATATTGCTCACGAGGAGGGTCTTATATCGAACGACTCGTCTATCCATGTTGGGATACGCGCACCGCTGGGTACGCGGCGAAGGGATCTCGATAACGACGTGCATTGCGGGTTTGACATTGTCACTGCGAGAGATCTTGACGAATTTGGTACGAAGGGTATTATCAAGCGGCTGAAGGACAGAGTTGGAGATGGGAGGGTGTACATCACAGTAGATATTGATGTGTTGGATCCGGTAAGTTGTTCTGGCTTGTATGGCAAGCCAACCCCTGTTTGCTAACCCACAACCGTCTCTAGGCCTTCGCCCCCGCGACTGGTACCGCTCAGCCGGGTGGCTGGTCGACACGAGAGCTTCTCACAATAATTGATGGCCTGTCTGGGATGAAAGTTGTCGGTGCCGATGTCGTGGAAGTGGCCCCAGTGTACGATAATAATGGCGAGACCACATGCCTTGCTGCCGCTGATATAGCGCGCAGCTTGGTTATGTTGATGGTGGACGTCCCTGTTGTTGCCTGAAGGCCGCGGCTCTCATTGGTGATGTTGCAGAAAGTGTAGATAAAGACTTTATTTACAATGAGATAGATGTTTCCCAACGTGTATAGCGATAACGACAAGAACAAAGGAGCCTCCCTAATCTTGCTGTGGTTTTCCTCTTTCAACTACGCGTGTCTGTTACCCCCTGATATCCCTGTGATTATTATGTATCTCTTGTTATTCTTACCTCCAACTTCCACTGACAGTAACAGCAGTCTCACACCCCTCTGGCACATTAAACGACCTATTCGGATCACTCTCCCAAGTTGCGGTGCCAGATGAACCGACATTGATCAACTTGTACTCGAACGAAGTCCCCGCCGGCAATGTCACAGTGCCAGACCAGATCGGATTCGCCGCCATGTACTGCGCAGCCGACAGAGCCATAGCGGACCCTGTGTCCCAGTTACCCAGCTGATCAATGGATCCTACGACGTAGATGCTCTGGCCGTAGGTAGTGGTCACGGACTCGGTGAAAGTCACTGCAACGCTAGCGGCTGTAGTGCATATGCCCGTCGCTGTGCTAGTAGTGATACTTGTCGCTTTAGTAGTCGTCGAAGCTGGTTTCGTAGTAGATGAAGATCCACCGCCTCCGTTTCCTGAATCGCTGATGGCGATATCGGCACAAGTTAGATAGACCTGTTCGGTCTGGTAACTATTCCATCGCAGAGAAATCAAAGTATGGTTGGACACGTATTGCGGGATTTTGACTTGCTTCGTCACAGTGTAGCCCCCGGCGATGGTGGTGAAGCACGAGTTAAGCGGTGCGTTGTCGACGCCCTGACACCCGCAGCGCTCGTTGGCTTCGAAGGCGTTGCAGGTAAACCAGTCGTTTCGGTAGCAGGGCTGGTCCGAAGTGCAGTCGGGGCTGTAGTCGCATACTTGGCCTTCTATTTCGGTGCATGGAAGCAAGCCTTCTTCGAAACAGTCCTCAGCGTCTTGCTTCTCTTCCAGTGTGGGAGTATATCCCGGGGTCAGAAGCTTGTCGACGATGAATTGGTCTTGGCAGATGCGCCAGCTGAACATGCCTCCACTGCTTCCGTCAGCCAAAGCAAACTGCAGGGGTTGTTGGGTAGAGTTTCACATACTGATCACCGTTGTTGTCAACACACCACTCGACATCAACAATTTGACCAGGAGTGTACGTCACGACAGGCTCGTTTCCCCAATCGTTGGAGGGGAAGTTGTAATCAACGCTGACACGGGCATTATAGCCACAAGGGCCGCTTCTGTCGACGGTGGCCGCTTCAAGGTCCGGCCACGCCGAGACGGGCTCGCGGATTGTGCCTGTAATATATCAAATCAGCACTGGTCGGGAAGTCTTCAGGCGCTGAAGAGTCAGGAAGCCCCGTGCCAAACTTCCAAGATAACATCACGGGATTTAGGAGTTATCGAGAGCAGACACTAGCAAAACAGGAGAAAACGGACATTCAGGGCAAGTATCAATACCAGCCTGGTATTATATCAGTAAAGTTCAGCAGCAAAGACAGTGGTTCTTACTTCAGTCCCGAGCCGAGTTCGACTTGAAGGAATGGTCATGTATCCATGGCCGTGAACAAAGTTCGCAAGAGCAAGGACGCTGAGTGCTGAAACTAAAGCCATGTTTGCTAAGTATGGAACAGGGTGACACGCCAGTTCAAAGTCCGATAAAGACATACACTGTATTTGTTGCCTCTTCAGACCCGCGTATAGCTTCATCTTTATAAATAAAAGTCCATCGCTCATCCTCTTCGGAAGTCACCTGTTTGCGCCTAAACAAGCCATCGGCCATTTTTTGGAGATGAAGTATAGAAAGGCCCGACGAAGCCCCATCTAGCTATGTTCCGAGAAGACGATGGCAGGGCACTTCATGATGCAGGCGGTTCCGTTACTTGCAGCGTAGGGTACACTCCGCCCCTTTCAGCGTCCATTCCACCCATGTCTATAAACATGCCACATAGGTCAGCCCCGGTCTTTCGTCGGCCTATACAGCCCAGCCCATTCAACGCGGGGAACAAGAATGAAATAGGTAACCGGCCATATTATGCACCAGGACCCCTGAAGGATGTAACTGTGGGGAAACTTGACAGGGCAGACAACTAGCCTATTCTGGGAAATGCCCCAGATGCGGGTGATTCCGCAATACACGATAGAATTACCATGTCGGAGCGGCGGCGGAGTTGGAGAGCCACGATTGCTCTGTATCTGTATGCCAAGGCTTCGGTCAAATAACAGGCTGGTTAGGCCACCGTAGACGGCCGAGGAACGACCGTTGACTGTGGCTTTCGGAGGAATGCTGGGCTGCACGTGCGTCCTCATGCTTAGCTACACAACTGGAGGGTAAGTCATCCCGAATCACCACACCGTCTAATCTTCCCCGTGGGGTTATTAGGGGCTCGGCATGGGTGCTGCCGTTTGGAGGCTTGGAAAAATCCAGTGTTATTCGGTGCTTCGACTGGATTTCTGCATGGATTCTGAAGCGACGCTGTCCTGCCGCAAGTGTAGAGGCGATCGACAGCGTGATGCAGAGACTGGCATGATATCGAATGATCATCGATGCGTTAGACCAGTCAGACTTCCATGCCCGTTGAATTCTAAACCACCCCCTCCCCCCCCAAATCGAATGTTTCGGTCCCGGTGTCGCAAGCAGCACAACTAGGACATAGGACGACAACACTTTGGCTAACATCAACCCGAACAAGACAATGAAGATACCTAGGTATCCTCCGGATTGGCTACCACTGTACCAGCGGGAAGGCCTTGTGTGTGGAACCACTTGAAGCTATGGGAGCTTGGCAAAAAGAAAATTGGCATTTAGGTTGAAAAGTTCAGTCGTTAAACCCGAAACGCCGTGCGTTATTGTGGCCTTGTTGTGTCCACTCTATCATCCGTTTCCCAATCCAAACCCACCTGGAGTTTATGATCGCCATGTTGATGTTCGTAGCTGTCCCAGAAGCCATATCCAACCCGACTGCGCCCGAGTAAGCCTAAATCCCATCACAATCCTCTCCACCCGCGAACCCAACCCCAGAATCAAACCGCGAATGCGTAGGGCTCTTGATGCCATCCCGCTGATTGTCCAATATCCTCCTATACTTATCCTTATCAAACCGCCAGACCATATGCTCCTCACCCGCCTCCTCGTCCTTCCCCCTGGTTACCAGCTTCTTCACCAGATGATCCTCCTTCATCTCTGTAAAATACCTCTGATTCCAAACCACTCCCAACGCCTTCTCCTCCCTCCTCAACGCCCTCTGTGCATTTTCAATCTTGCTCTTCTCATGCCCCACAGCGAAAATGTCATTCTCATTAATCGCGTCCACAACCAGCTGCCACGCGCGCCTAGACTCTAGCGGGTGCTGCTTTTCCACAGGCGCCATTTGCAACGGCGTCCTCCTCAACTTGCCGAGGTCGACCGTCTGGAGTGTCTTGCCCCCCTTGTTCTTAATCGTGTACGAGCTGCTCCACTGGCCCTCCAGCACATAGAGGGGGTTCTTCTCGTCGCCGTCACGGTACAGCGTTGCAACAAAGGAATTGCTCTTTCCTCGCAGCCAGCCCTTGCAAGAGTAGTCGATGCGTGACGTGTAGCCCGATGAGCTGCGGATATAGGACGTGCCGCTGAGTTCGGGGGCGATTTGAAACGTCACAACGCCCTCGACATGAACTTTGGGCATCGAAATCAGGTGGTCTTCTTTATACTCGTCGATGTGCAGGATTCCGTAGCCTTTGCGCTCGATGTTGATAGCACCGTTGAACCATGCGCGCGGCGCAATGTGTCCTTCAAGCTGGAGGAAGAAAGCTGGGGTTAGCATCTTGTTCATGACCGAGGTGGCGCCTGCGAGTGGAAGTGGAAATGGAAGAACTTACCCTAACTCCGTGCGCATCGTTCCAGATGCTATACGCCGTCTTAGGAGGGTGGTGAGATACCTGCTCGCTCACCAGTTCCGTTGTACCTGACTCGTCGACCCATTTACCCAAGAAAATCTCTCCTAGGAACGGGTTGAGGGGCTTGGGCTTCTTCCGCTTGCCATTGTCGTCCTTACTCGCATGCTGGTGTTTCAATGTGCTCAAAAACCATTGCAGTACAAGCAATGCCCTCTTCTCTGCGTTCTTCTCCTTGGCCGGCGCAACCAGTAGGCTTGGATGTTCACTCCAATATGTGGCATACTCGACGATCGATTGAGGAGCGAGTAGAAATGGCGGGGCTGTTAAGGACGTGAGGTCGCCTTTGAATGTTGCGATGGACTGCAAGTGTGTGAAGTCAGTAAATTTTCCCGTCTTTCAGATGGGCGTTTCGGGTGGGCATACCTTGATGAATTGGAACCAGGCCGATTTGGTATTCTGCTCGTGGGCCTTCTCATCGCATCTGATAGCCGCTGGTGTTAGAGTTTTAACCGTCATCTTGCCAGCAAAATAATTCACTCAAAACGTTGGACTTCTCCCAAAAATTAAAGAAATTGTCCCCAAAATAACAAAAGGAACAGAAATGACACATGCATGTGCTCTGACTGCGAGGAGGAGACGGTATTAGTATTGAAACACAACCTACCAGTGGAATTTGCCGCTGAAGCTCGTGCAGTAGTGAAGCCTTAGCAGCCAGGAGGACCTTGATCTGTAACCATCCGACACCCGAGAAGCTTATTCACGGGTCCGGATCGTCTGATGTGGCTCTGACTGGCCAACTACCTGACCTTTCATCTGGATCCTGAGACGATACTTGCTTCATTTGCCAGAAGCGGGCATGTGAATGTGGAGTTGAAGAATGTTGGGGACCCCTGCCAGGTGGTGTTTCATCACTGATGAAACATTTGGGAGGATGAAATCACGTGATGGCATCTGCGTTTTCCTAGCTGACGAATTTCAGGAACCCAACTTTCATCGATCCCGAACGTCAGTGTAGCTCGAAGCTTGTTTCTCTTGTAGAGATTGCATTTACTCTGATCTCTGCTTGTGTGCATTGAGCACCTGTTCTTTCGACGTTTCCCCATCAAGAAACAAACCCTAATATCCCCCCTAGCTGCCAAGCGTCTGACCTCCCCCCAAGCGCTAACCAGGTTAAGCAAATGAGACGCCCGGCGTCAACCTTCGTTTGCTTCCATTTCCCCAGAACTTCAACGAAGAGTGCAACGGGCTGAATCTGCGGGACATGTTCAAGTCATGATTGAATGGCGGCCGAGTCGGTAACTTCTTTGCCATAGCACTTCGGGATATCAGCACCTGTGAATAATCCTGGGCCGGCGACATATCCAGCTGCTTCCACGAAATACTGGGTCATAGCCTACAGTCGCTCAAGGACATCCTGCGATAACATCAATTCACAGCTATGATGAGGTTCTGAAGGCCATTATAATCACTTAGTCCTACATTCTGCCTTGCATAATCGTAGATGATTGTTCCAGTAATATTGGTGCCGCCTCGGGTAGGATGGTGTGTCTTTGCTGAGCCCTTGCCGGATGCGGCTTACCTTTTCGATGTCCAACGTCTCGACAACGCCGAATCTTTGCGTCGAAGACAAAAGCCTATCGAAGATTGCCTTCTTCTTGTACGAATTCCGCGGCAGTCAATGTGGAAGCTGATGAGATAGCGTTCGTAGCTGGTGTAAAGTGCAGACTTCTTGCCACGTTTGAGAGCGGCGAAACCTGTCTTCTCAAAGTGGCCCTTTAATGAACATCCTGGAATGGAACGGCAATGCTGGCTGAGTCGCGCAATTTTGTGCTCAGAGTCGGCATTGCTCTTGTGTTACGATGTTGTATGACCTTCAGATTCTTGTCTTCGCAAATGCGACGTCGTTATGACATATAGTAGGAAGAAAATGAGTGATCTTCCTTGAGGTACTTGACTTGCTACAGTAAGAGCTTCGAATTCAGAAAATGGACGCACCTTCCAAGTTGCGCGATTGCGACGCGATGATCGTGCCGGCCTGACGAAATTTGTGCGAGGAACAGGAATCTTCTAGTATCATGCGGTACTTTTGACCTAAAGGCCAGAATCGAGTCAAATTTAATGCTAGTATTAAGGGGGCAGTCATCAGGCTGGTGAGTTCTGCTTTGAGAGGCGGTTGGTTTCATGGGACACAGGAGTTTCTCATCCAATAGGACTACCGTGAATGTAAAAGAAGACATTCGTTCCTGATTATAACGAAGGTTACGGGCGCGCATTTCCAGTAATTTGATTCTTACCAGAGCCACCAGCAAGTGTATTTCCGTGAGTATCCTGAATAATCGTGGCTTAATAGATGCGTGTCTACCCGTGAGCCACCCTGAGTAACCAGCGTACATGTGCCATTCTACACGTCAGCTTTCGTAGCCCCATTCGTCACTTTAGTTCAGGAGTCAGTCATCCTATGTTGGAACTCTGGCGCTGTAGGCCCAATTAATAGGGTTGAAATTACCCTCCCCGTATAAAATTGTGGCTTTTCTTGGGGTGAGATGCGAGAAGTCTTGCAAAGGCAACTTAGACTGCTTGGACTGCTTAGTCTCAATGATGTGCCATCTGTTTTTAATAAACTGCTGCTTGGACATTGAAATTCCCAGCTAGAAGGAGGTACACCTGAGGAAAGTCATCACCGGGTCTTTCACCATCACGCGGAGGCTTGAGTTTGCGGCCTTCCAAGTGAACAAGATCTCTACTGTTAATATGGCTTGGGCAGAAAATTTCATCCCCAAATAACCGAGGGGCCGGTACTACTATAGCCTAAGGGAAGAGATTGATAGCTGACGGGGCTCGAGATCGAATCTTTGTTCGAAAAGGCAAGATCGGAGTGGGTGACCCGAATCACTCCCCTTTAGTGGGGTGGAAGGTAGTCTGTTATGGAGGGCGGCATAGTAGCGCGGATCCTCCCTGGATCATGAGTCACAAATACAGCGGAGGGACTAATCGACAGATATTGATCATAATGTGGTGAAATTCAAATTACTGAGATGAGGAACTCCCCTGTTCATAAGAGCAAAACCCTTTTCAGGAGACTGTTTTCATCCATTGTTCGACCTGTGGTCCATTTTCATAGGGCCATGCAATGCCAAAAGCAATGACGAGAGCTTTCCACCCAGCTATAGATCTCTGTTTAAAGCCATAATTAATTATGCCTCCCTTAATGTCACAAGGTTCCTCCTAGGACGTTAGAAACGACAACCCTTTGTAAAGCCCTGCCTGCCCGACCATTCCCGACAGACGTTTGTTGCTTTTTACTTTGTTGATCTAAATTAAGATCAAACTGATATCCCCTTGCAAAACCATAACGGCATGACCTTCTCAGAGTTATAGGTGCTGTCTGCCTATTGAAATGGCAGAAGCGGAAACTGAAAGCGACATGCTTAACCATCTTCTACTGCTGGGCTCCTTGTTCCCACCAAGTCGGTGTCTTGGCTCTGTTGGCTTCGGCTAACATTTGCCAGGCTTGTCGCACCTGTTCTTGAGTCTCGGTCAAGGTCGCCGGGCTTGAAGTCGATTGTCTCGCCGTCTCTGTCTCGGGTTCAGGCGAATTCTCCATGCTCGAACCATGGCCCACCATGCTACTGTCCCCTACTTCTCCGCTGTCAGTATATTGGCGATGGTCGCGGTTAGCTGGGCTTATTCTGATTGGCGCGAAGTAGCAACCGGTAGCTTGTACTTGAGAGATGTTGCCTCCGGTTTGCAGCGGTCGGTTGGAGGGACTGGCGCCTAAAGCATCTGGCTTGAGCCAGCGGACCCAGCGCTTGACGGCGACGATTATGTCATCGACACTTTTCTTCTTGGAATAATTGCTCTCCGAGAGACGACCCTTGCATTGATGATCGATGATGACATTAGTTAGAACGATGAGGTCCTCGAACCCGACCAGGCGCGCCCAGTAGACATATCTTTGGACCAAGGTCCAAAAGCCCTGGCCGCCATTTTCGGAGTCCTTGTACCCAGAGCGGTTCTCGTACATACACTCAAAAAGAACCGAGATGCGTGTGTAGTCGTCTTCGTGGATCTCATCATTTTCCCACGCACTGCGGAGGCTTTCAGCGTTTTTTGCCGGCATCACTTGTCTCTGGGGCGAGCGATGGCGCACGCTGTCAACAACATCGACAAGCGAGTGGATTTGTGTCATCATCTTGCCACTTGCATGTTTTGATGGAACGGTACGGATTTTTCAAGTCGGAGAGTGATTAGGGTGCGAAATTGAAGGCAAGCTGATGCGTGTTGATTGATGTGTGGTAGATGCAGGTTTGCGAAGTGACACCCTTTGTTTATGGTGCCGGCCGGAGCCGGTGGAGCTCACTGATGGGGGAGACGGGACTAGGGGGTTTTACAGAGTCGCCGTACAGTTACATGTGTTCGTGCAGCTACCTTTGATCATGCACCGTGGCCTAGACTCACTCCTTCCAAAAGGAATACGGCCCTTTGAAGAATGGACAAGAATCTCGTTTTGAAAAGCCATCGTTAATAAGTGTTCATCAGTCCAGTTGTTATCTTGCACAAAATAGGGGTCTTTGTCCACATGCGATACACCAGGAATGATAACATGTGAAACGATACCATCCTCGTGGCCCATTGGTCAAAGACTATGAACCAAAAACTTGTGCCAGAGTTGGGGTGCAGGGGGTTGTGTGGTCTGGGGGTTTCATACGTGAACATGTATAATCTTTCAGATGCGGGGGTATTTCCGACTTGCAATATGGAAATACATTGCTTATAATGCAGAGTTAAATTTACACGTCTTCCACAATTTTCTCTTAGCCCTATCTAGTCCAATGTCCCAAAATCTTTCTATTTAGGTATACTCAACCGTGACGGTGTTATACCGATGTCCTGATTCTTTCAGTACTGGTTTTAGGTCACATAAATAGATAACATACCATTGTAGATCAATCCGTACTCAGTGGACGCCGAGTTATTTGTGAAGAGGTTAGCATGCCGGTCTTTCTACATAATTCCATTTGCCAAGCAGCCAGAGAGCTTGCATGTCACTCACAGGCTCGCTCGATCTCACACTCAATGCAGTAATATATGTTATCATCTTGCCCCTGTAACTTCTGAAACTGAGGCTCCAGAATTTATGACAGATCAACTTCCACTATGCATAGGACATTGACGTTATCGTTCATTGCCAAAGGGGCAACTGCTGATTCTTCGTCTGAGTAGACAACCATATTTACGATCCGAGGTTGGTCGATCGAGACTCTGGATATTGAGGAACGGTCTGGACTCGGACACGTTGTCGCCCTGATTAGGGAAGTAAAATCCGTACAGTACCTATACGCGTGACGGGTTTGCAATCTCGCACTCTTTTGATGAACTAATCCAGGTTTCAAATCGAAAACAACCATACAAGGGATCCCAATTCTTTTTTTTCCGAGCTCAGCATGTGTGAGGGGGTCGTAGATGACTGAGAGCTCTGTGCCGGAGTGCTTGCGAGCCTTTTTCTCTTTGACCCTTACCATAGCGTCCTTCTCCGGATGAATTTGCGTGAGACCCTTCAAAACGGCACCCTGGGCGACTGCCAACCAGCCGTTGCGTGGTTGTTCTATGCAAATATGTCTGGGTCGTCCAATCTCAGGCTCCAGTCTCTCCTTTAAATAAATGGATCAGCCGGATTTGCCGACAAGAAGGACGGCCTGGATCGGGACATTGGCAGCAACAATTTGTTCTTAGACGAGCTTGATGATCTGCAAGACTACAGGTTAAACGACCATATGGAAGTCTGAAGCCTTCATCGTGAGGCGATCAGATCGGATGTCAAGTTCTCTGATATTGTCTAGTCCAGAGACAGGGACACTGAACGCCATTCGGCATTGAGGACATTTGAAGCTGCCATTTGGTCTTGGCGTGTTAGTAAATTATTATCAACATAGGCCCTTGGTGCCTGAGATACATACCACTGTCTCAACTTGTGTCATGGTGACTTGAACAACCTCATCGTCGGAGTTGTCAGAACTCAGCTTTGCACGGATAAACTCCTCAAACTGATGGTTCACGAACACACCACCGCAAAAACTACCAGATCCCTCCACAACTTCTGAGACCTCAAGCGCAGGATGCAGAGACTCCACGCGAAGACTGAACACTCCAAATCGCAGGTACCGTGAGCACAAAGCGGAAGGAGCTCTCCTGGGCGCGACAGGAAGTCAACAGCAAGCTTGTCGACATCGTAGGCAGACAGGTTGACATTGAAGATATTGGCATCGGCTGGTATATCACTCTCTAAAGTCCACTTAATTATGTCAGCGATTATCCATGCATGATCAAAGCATTTATATTTGACACTATGGAGAAGGAGGCCCGGGGCTCCGAGTGGATGAGTGAGGAAAAGGAGGTCCCGGCTGCCCTCCTCGGCCACTGGAGGAAGAGATGGCTCACCGGAGCAGAGCATCACGATCGCCAGCGACGCGCCATCGCTGAGGAACCGGAGGGCCCTTCGATGCAGATACCGAAAGGGGGCAAGTATTTCGGCCTGAACCGACTGGAAGCGTCTACGCTGTGCCAGATCAGGACGGAAAAAATAGGACTAGCAGCCTTCTTATTCAAGACAGGGGCTTTTGGCGTGTACTCGCCGCTATGCCGCTGTGGCGACGCCCCTGAGACGGCAGAGCACGTAATCCTCTTTTGCGGGCTGTTGGAAGGACCGAGGGAACGATTACGGGCCGCTATCGCACCACGGCCACTATACTCTCGCAGAGACCTCGCAACGGCAACAGGAGAACCAGTAGTTAGTGGGACTATTGTAAGGTGGCTGCTAGGGACGGGTCGGACAGCTTCAAGGCCCAGATAGCATCGATCTTCTCAGGGGGGACTCTGTTGGTAGGTTGAGAACCAACGCAGTATGGTAGTGAACGCAACGCAGTCGCCAATAGGGCGAACCGACGACGCAGCGTATGTATTTAGTCCAGCCATTAGGGCACGGTTTGACATACGGGAGTACTAGTAGAGGTACCGGGGGCTTCGAGCCTACGGCGTATTTAATAATAATAATATATTTGACTCACAGCTCGAACTACTGGATGGTTTTATCAGGGTGTGCATCGGCGGAAATTTGAAATCCCCATTCAAAAATACTATCTACAGTGTAGCGAAGTTTGTTACGTGGGACAAGCCTGTGAATCAGTTCTATCGTGAGAAGACTTTTTTAAATGCGCTCTTCTATCCAGACACAGTGTATGTGGGCCAGCTTGATGCCGGTGGTCAGCAACAGCAGTCGGAAGGTTTGGAATGAGTCACAGGATCAAGCGAAGTTTGAAGAATGCTGGATTGGGAAAAGGTCTGAAATTGCAAGCCATTGGAAGTGAGTTACTGTTGATTTGTGACCAAAGAGGGCATCTCGGTACTTGCCATGTTTATGCTACTGACGACACGAATTTACCAACACAGCCTGTGCTATTATCGGACTTGATACTTCAACTTGGCTCACGCACTCAGGAAAAGAAATAACGTTAACGCCGCCTCGCACTTAAGTAGAATTCCACGACGAAGTTCTCATTTGCAGACAGCCTAGTAGGCATCAAGTTCGGAACGCAAATATGCCGAAACCTTGAGGATATATAGACAGTCCATTGGCAATAGCGGAGACAAAAGGCTGAACGGACCAGAGGGCTTGGTATTGCAGATCCGTTTCGGCTGAGATGTGAATGTTGCAGCCAAAGACGGTGAAGACGCCAAACCTTTAGCCAGAAAGCATGGCAGGGTTGAACCACAATGTCATCAGACCACGGATAGTCTTGGGTGCGATTTCAGCGATCGTCACAGGCTCCACAGCGGTGTAAGCCCCGGTCCTATCGTTAAGAAAGAAAGACAATAAGGCGCTGAAACCAGCACATATATGAACCAGAGAGACGAGTTGGCAATGACCTCTGTTTCGGCGTGGCCGACTTCGCTGGAAACATTGTATACCCTTTGGAATGATGTGAGTTGAGTGATGGATGCTGCCCAGCCTTCGTCCCAACGTGCAACAAGATAACGTTAGAATAGTATAGTTAGATAAGTGAATATAGAGCTACCAGGGGAGCACGTTACCTTATCAAATACCGCAGAGGGCAAACACAATCACCGCAAGAAAAAGATTGTGGTTGAAAATACCGCTAGGTAATGACCTTTTTCTATTGCTATATTTACCCAGAGGACTCTTTGATGGCGCCCATTTTAATGACTTCGGACCAGAGGCCAAATAACACAAGGTTGAAGATAGTGCTCTGATAAAACCCCAAGTACTATCTTTTCTGTCGTTTTTACTACTCATTTGTTTTTTATTTTTGCGAAATTGAAAGAATCTTACAAGCGAGCCATGACTAGTACCCCGCAGTCCGTACGCCCCCATAGTCTAAAGTGAGTCCTTAATCTGTAGCGCAGTGATGGAGATACCGCGACCGACGCGACATGCCATGTTGATTTCCCAGTCTCCCTGCTATGTTGGATCTGGGCCGGCCTCAGTTAGTCAGAACTTGGCGGGGAGCTTGACTTCAGTGCGTCGCATCGGGAGTATGCCGATGGTGTGGAAAGCATATGCTGGGGGGATTTGAGGAAACCGGTGGCCTTCCATAGTGGCCCAGTCGACTGGATCGGCACCTGAAGAGGAGTTTGGCATGCGAATCTCCTGTTCAGGGGTGATAACGACCTGGCTGTAAAAGCGTCATTGCTGTCACTGTAATGATAGTGCTTAGGTGCTGACGAGGGCTTACCGCCAACCGCTGTATCAGACTTTTGGCGGGCTGAATACCTAATTCCAACATTTGATTACAAACAAACGCCTTGTAGGGAAGAAATGTATCAGGTATGTATACCCGCTGCTCTGTCCCGTCATTGACTCTATGCATCTTCCCAAGTTCCATTCTACTCCAAATTGTTAATGCCCTTTCCCCTTACGCCCCATAGTGGCCTTGAATCGACAACTCCGCAATCCGCTGTAGCGCCGCGGGGAGTATAGTGGGGGTGGGGTCGTAAGCATTTAGGGACCATCCAATGGACTGCGCTTCATATTCTGGGTCATCGGATCGACGCGATTCTTACGGTTGACAGCTGAACAAGTTGAAAAACTGATACCCATCATCAAATTGGCAGTTCGATTTCGATATTGGTCAATCCTCATTTCATAACATTGATGATACTTCAGCTCATGCACAAAATGGCACGCGCATTATTTTCACCTATGGCGCGGAAGGCCACACTAGCGCTCCAGACTTTGCGATCACAATACCAATGCACAAGGTGGCTGGCGACGCAAGGGGCCAAAGTGCAGAGTCAGCACAGCATGCCCGCTGCCTACTACCGGGGGGGGCACATCTCGGGCCATCATGGTGCAGCCTAAGCATCTGCCCGAAGACAGAGCACAATGGGACAAAGTATTCCTTGGCGCGATTGGCAGTCCAGATCCCTACGGACGTCAACTCGACGGGCTGGGTGGTGGCATCTCAAGTCTTTCCAAGGTGTGCATCGTGGGGCCCTCAACCCGGCCCGAGGCAGACGTCAACTACACATTTGTCTCCATCGGAATTCGAGGTGGGAGCATTGACTATTCCAGTAACTGCGGCAACATGTCCGCCGCAGTGGGCCCCTACGCCATCGACTCCGGCATAGTCGACATCGCACCGCGGAATGAGGAGGGTGGGGATCTCGTCACAGTCCGTATTTTCAACACCAATACTGGGAAGATCATTAACTCTACCTTCCCCGTCGTTGAAGGCGAGGCTGCAGCTTCGGGCGATTTTACCATTGACGGCGTGGCCGGCACCGCGTCGCGTGTGCAACTCGATTTCATCAAGCCAGGTGGCTCGCGAACGGGGAAACTCCTGCCGTCTGGCAATGTAACCGATCAGATTGCTGGCGTTCAGGCAACCCTTATTGACGCTGGCAACCCGTGTTGTTTCGTCTCTGCGGCTGGCCTGGGCGTGGACGGGGTTCTTAGTTCACAGCAGATCGACGACAATGCCTCACTAAAGCAGAAGCTCGAGGAAATCCGTCGCGAGGCGGCGGTGAAGATGGGACTGGCTAATAGCATTGACGATGTCCCTGGGAGCGTACCCAAAATTGGCTTTGTTTCTGCGCCGAAGGACACTTCGGTAGGGAATGTGGTTGTGAGGGCCATGTCGGTTGGACAACCACACAAGGCTATTCCAGTGACTGTAGCGCTGGCCGTCGCAGCTGCGGCAAATGTGACGGGCAGTACGGTAGCTGAGTGCGTGGTTAAATCGAGTGAAGATGGCGAGCCAGGTATAGACATCAACCATGCTAGTGGTAAACTGACCGTGGGGGCTGAGTTTGATGAAGAAGGGCATTTACAGTTTGCGACTGTTTTTAGGACAGCCAGGAGGCTGATGGAAGGCAAAGTTTTCTGGAAAACATGATGAAATAGACAGGCTTGTGTTTTAGGCATCATATAAGCAAACATTATTCTTACACGACTCGGCTATCCGTGAAGGTCTTTTGCAAAATTATATTCTTTTTCTCACCCTGTTAAGGATCTTAGCGTTGCATTTTCATGCACTGTTCAGAACTCGGAGATCCATGTATGTCGCTTGTACGGCCCAATCAAGGAATCCATGACACATGTGCTAGGGTTATCAAAAGAATTTGATCTCTCGAGGAACAACAACAAAGCCTCAGGCTCTGGATCTGAATCAAATAACCTTTCCGCGCTATGTGTTACAAGTTGACAGCCTCTGAACTTCCTTCACCTCGCAGAGAATTAACTCCGCTGAATACAAAATCATGTCCAGATACATAGACCATATTCCAAGCCCAGCTCATTGTCGGCGAGTAAAGCTAATCGTCCTCAGTTTCAGCCGGTACGATACTTTACTCAATCGGTGGTGGTTTCGTTAATGAGACATATATAGCTCAGACACACTCGGGATCTACAATGCGTACAATATTCTTGGATATCGATCCTATCACATACTTGAGGCATTCAAAAACGGAATCCATCACATGAAGATCTTGAACGAAGCTTTGGAGTCAGGTCTGGCTAGGGAGGGCAAGCCTTTCAACAGAGAGGATTTCGACAAGTGGTTCCACGGATATGATGTAAGTGCGTTGCCCAAATATCAATTCGAAAGCATATTTACCGCTTACAGGTCATCACCGAGATACCCTGCTACATGGCACCCCAGTTTGTCGCTGCATATCCAGAAGCCAAATTCCTCCTCGTCGAGCGAAATCCTGGTGCTTTGGTGCGATCTTGGAAGTCAACGACCTTTCAGTTCACAGATGCTATGAACTCATTCCAACTTTCAATCTTGAAGTACTTCGACCCGATGCTGTACCAAGTTAGCAGATTCTGGGGCATAATCCTCCCTGTGGTGACGAGTGGAAAGGGGACCACGGATGAGGGAGAGAAAGCATTGTACCAGTATTATGTTGACTAGTAAGTGACAGTACCAATGATTGACTACAAAACTGATCATGAATTTGTTCTGACTTAGCGTAGTCTGGCGAAGGTGAAGGAAATTGTCCCTGCTGACAAGATCTACGTCGTCCGGCTTGAAGACGGGTTGGGATGGGAGCAACTATGTCCTATTCTGGAAAGAAACATTCCGAACGACCCATGGCCCATGAGACATAATGCAGATGAGTTTAAACAAGTAATGGGGAGACCACTGGGACCCGGGGCTACGCGAGCCATGTCCAGACTGGCAGCTGTGTTGGTTCCTGCGATGGGCGTTGGGGCATGGTATTTAGTCATGGAGGATTGTGATGTTGATTGAGCTAAGTTAACCTCCGTCAGGTGTAACGGTAAAATGTTACCTATCTAACTAGTGTACATTGTTACGGAGTAACTAGGGCTCCGCCAGTGGAATGTGTACCACTAGTCCTCTGTTATTTAGTGTCCAAATTCAGAAGAGTTGATTAAGTGCACATGAAGAGATATGGCGATAGGAGAATATTTCACTTCTATAACAATCGAGACATGTATTGCGAACAATTAGTTCTGGTTGGTCGTGAACCTGAAGAGTTGCATGGATATTATCTAGCCTCAATCTTGAAATGCTCCCCTTTCTGCATAAGATCCAATCCGAAAGCCTGCCACCTCTTAAGATATTCCCTTCCTGCTCACACGCATAGGTTCCGTAATGTTGGCCGGTATCTCAATGATTAAGAATTCGTCATCAACAATAGTTTCCCCCAGGCTGTCGCAGATCTCGCCTTGCTTCTTGACACAGGTGCGCCGAGTAACTGTAACAAGCGATTTATGAGAGCTCTTGGGCAGCGGGGGACTTTCCTTTGTTTTCCTCTCCATTGTCATGACGGAGATCATGATACAGTTTTGGAGTCATTGCTGTTTTAATATAGACTAACGTAGTCCACGATCCAATTGCACACTTCGGCAGATTTTCGTACGCTACCACTTTGACCTGCGGTTTTTCACCACATAACTATGGTTGGTTCTTGGAATGAAAGTGATATGATTCTAGCTTTACATGCGCTTCAATCTGATCCAAAATTAAGTGTACGTCGCGCTGGTCAGATCTATAACGTACCTTTTAGAACCTTTGCGTATCGACGCGACGGTAAAACCGCTCGAGCGATTATGCGATCGCCAACGCAAAAGTTGACTCCTTCCGAAGAAGAGGCCATCGTAAGACATATAAAAGACCTAGATTCGCGAGCATTTCCTCCCCGATTGAGTGGTGTTGAAGATATGGCCAACCGATTACTTCGAAGTCGCGACGTGGGACGCGTCGGCGTCAACTGGGCCTCGAGCTTCGTAAGACGACAAATAGACCTCTGGACGCGTTTAAATCGAAGGATCGACTATAAGAGAGTCCTATGCGAAGATCCCGATGCGTATCGCGCGTGGTTTGACCTGGTATGGAATACAATTGCGAAATATGCGATCTAGGAGGAGGATATCTACAACTTCGACGAGACCGGTTTTGTGATGGGCCAAATCTCGTCCGAAATGGTCGTGACGACTTCTGATCGGCGCGGAAGGCCTAGAGCAGCCCAGCAAGGAAATCGGGAAGGGGTTACAGTTATTCAAGGCGTTGGGTCGTCCGGTTATGCCCTCCCTCCGTACATCATTTTCGCCGGCAAAACCCACCTCTCGTCATCGTCATGGTACGAAAACAGTCCATTACCGCCTGATTGGGTTATCGCAGTTACTAAAAATGGCTGGACTACGAACGAGAGAGGCGAAGATTGGATAAAACACTTCGATCATCACACCAAGTCTCGTACGAAAGGTACTCATCGCCTATTGATCCTCGACGGTCACGAAAGCCATCACTCGACCGATTTCGAGGTATATTGCAAAGCTAACAATATCGTCACGCTTTGTATGCCTCCTCATTCGTCGCATAAGCTCCAGCCTCTTGATGTTGGTTGTTTTCGCGGGTTAAAAAGAGCGTACGGAAAAGAAATCGAAGATCTCATGCGAGCACATATAAGTCCTATCTCGAAAGAAGACTTTTTACCGGCGTTTTTAAACACGTACAAGGCAAATGAGACCTTAAGTCGACGTCGCCGTGCGAAGAAAAAACAGCTACAGAGTGGAGGGTCACTTCGTATACAAGCTGGACAGGACCTACAGTCTCAATGAGAGGTTGATGGGCAGTTACATGACGAATTTCGTCAAATTGGTGGTCGTACGAGGCGGCGAATTGCGCGTGTACGGCGCTGTAGAATCTGCGGCGAGCCCGGACATAATGCGCGCACTTGTGGAAATGATGTAGAGACGTCTGAAGATAACGATTTTGAGTAGTTTCAATTGATGATAGGCGTTGTGGTTGAATTAACTTATACATTGTCGTATAAGGTCTGCCAAAGTGTGCAATTGGACCGTGGACTACGTTAGTCTTTAACCTGAAAAAGAAGTGACAAGGGAAAACAACCAACGACCTGTATTGGTACCAACGGTGTTCTGTGTCGCATGAAATCTTCGTGACAACAAGAATATTTACTCACGGATCATGGCATTGATGCCGCACATTGGACTCAATTCAACATTGCATTTCGCTGTTTTGTAAAAATTATACATTGAAAATTACATTATCTAGAAGTGAACTATGTATAAGTATAACTTCCTCCAAACCAGCTGATAGAAGTCTCCCTCATGCATCTAGCATGCATATTTGCAACTCCAATTATTGTTGGAATTGAGTCGCCTGCCATCTCAGTATCCTTTCTTTCCACCCTTCTTGGCCCCCTTCTTGCCGTCGTTATCATTCTGTTTTCCAAACTTCTTACCCCACTTCTTATTGTTATCGTCATCGTGCTTGCCACCTTTGTTTTCATCATCATCGTCATGCTTTCCACCCTTCATGTAGTCATCATCGCCATGCTTTCCACCCTTCTTGTCATCATTGTCATCATCACCGCCGTGCTTTTCACCATTCTCGTCATCATCGCCGCCATGCTCTCCGCCCTTTTTGTCGTCATTATCCTTACTCTTCTTGCCACCGTACTTCGAATTCCAATATCAGTATATAATGCAAAGTGAACAGATTCGGGGATATAATGCGTAAGTTGGGGGAAAGCCGCTCGAATGCAAGTAAAACTACTCACTCCGCCCTTGTGACCCTTCTTGTCATCATCATCATCATCATCATTACCATCGTGGTGATGCTTGCCGCCCTTCTTCTTGTCGCCTTTGTGCTTGTGCTTATTGCGGACCTCAAGCTGGGGAACATCACGCTTGGTGAAGTCAACACCGTTGGCAGACTATCTCGTGTCAGCTTTCGAATCCGAACTTCGAGAGAGATGAGTTATCCTACGATCTTGACCGAGCGCTCAACGGCAACGACTTCGTTAGTGGAGGCAATGGGCGCAGCCAAGGCGTTTTGACCGACAAGGAGGGCAGCAAGGAAGATTTTGGAGAGCATCTTGAATTAGAGTAAATGTTGAAAATAGTAATTTTGTAGTAGTGTTGAAAGAAAGTGTTGAGATTGTGTTGAACGAAAGACTTAATTGTAGTGTATTGATATGGAGAGAAGGGTGTGGTTACATGATGGAAAAATACGGGTTTATATATTCATTTTTAATAGGCAGTGGTGCTACATCAAAGCCATGTCGTTACTGTTTACAAACGTGTGCCAAGGTCTTGTTCACCTCATTACCATGGCTAGTTGGACTACTCAATCGCGAGTTCAGTGCGAAATCATGATCAAAAACTCAAGGCTCAGACAGCTAATCTTTTCGATGTTAGCGCAATGTTTGCGTACCTCGAAACATGTCGGCTCAACCGTGCTGTTGCTAAAGCCCACTGGTGATAATCACCGAGGGTTGTTCGCCTAATCTACTTAATAATAGCTACTCGGCAGGACCCGTGTGGTCTAGAAGCCTCCCAGTTGACTTCATGGATTTTCACGACATTGCAATGGCATCTGGCGCTGTTCAGCCGCGGAGCTAGTGCTAAAATACGGGAGTAACTACGGGGTAGATCAGAGCTGCAACACAAGCATACGTAGAATAATTAAGATTAAAAGATTTGTTCTTGGACATCTAAGCGGCGGATAGCATGAGTTAGGCGTGGCACAGACAGCTTCCACAAGTTCCAGAAGGTGTTCCTCAAATGAGATCTTCAACGTACTAAGATCTTACCTACTCTGTTATTATCTAGTAAGATCCGTCTAATCTTTGGCTAGATGGCACATGTCAATTAATCCCAACATCTACCAGCACAAATCACAGTTATTAGGACGAACACGTTTTAGACAGCAGTAATGGTTTACTGCACCCGGTGAAAGAGCTCTCTATGGATTGAGGTGCAACAGCATTGGTGGGAGCGCTAGCCATCTGTGGGATCATTGGCCGGATCAACGATACTAGATGGGCAAATTGGTAGATTCGACCATTTCGACTCAAACAACCGTGATAGAAGGATGTATAATTAGTGCACAGGATGGTGTTCTCGGGCCGCGCACCAGTAAACCCTTTGTCACTGATCCAATTTCCCCAGAATGAGCTACCACAACCAAAAACTATCACCAATTCCAAGATTAAATTTCTCAGCCAGTGGCAATAAAACTTATCCAGACCACCTGCAATCCATATTCTATATGATAGCTGATATTGACTGTGTTAGCCTCTGGCCTTACGTATTGTGATAATACGACGCGGTAGGGACTTAATCAACCCCGCTATGTAGCCCTCAGCTCACGCCGCCTCGTTTAAGCCTCTCACGTCAGCGTTGTCAGCGATGTTACCTTTCAAATCGGCAAATCTGGGATTAACTTGGCGGAATTTCTGCTTGAAGACGTGTCAGACGTGCTCTGTAGGGTTTAAATCCGGGCTATGTGCCGACCAGTTGATCTTCCAGATACCGCATCTCTCCAGCAACTATGGTGTACTGCCCGTAAGGTATATTTTGGTGTTATACTCTAGGACGGGGCCGGATCTATAGTTGCGCCTCTCCCTCTCTGTCGCGAAACCAGATCATTAACCGCACCACAGTCAATATACGTGGCTTACTACAGCTCTTCTCGTCTATTATGTTGTTCTTCTACCTCTAATCTAACTACCAGATAACCCATTGGCCTGGTAAATCCGGTAGGTTCTACACGGTATACTCCTTACTAAAGAGTGTCATCATGAGCTCCTCTATGCCGCGGATGTGTATTTGTTGAGCCCGTGGTGGCGTAGAGCGCTAATTATATTAGGAATATAGGTATCCACACCTGCTCATATTTGTTGGAGAGGTAATGTTAATGATGGTGTTGAGTCTGTTAGTGTCAAACACGTTAGCGACCTCATGACAACTCTGGTCACATGCCCTCGGCGCCAGAGTTGTGGTAGGAGCCTCTCAACTGTACTTCCGGTCAGGCCCGCGATCACTGCTTATAGTGATACCTAATTGACGTAATTCTATTATGGTTGGGATGTACAATGTGTGGTTGAAGTCTAAGTGTTGTCTTATTGCTTTGATGTTCCCAATTTGGTAAGGCGCCCAACGGAGACTTATGGCCGATCGGTGTACCACTAGCCTCCAACTTGAGACTCGCATTTATTCACATGAGATATGAAGAAATGATGATTTGCGAGAGTCCGACCAATTCTTCGTTTGGATAAGTAGAGGGCAAAGTGCATGATTTTCTAGCTTACGCTGATCAAGCAGCGGATTCGCTATGAATCGCTCCCATAGCTCCGAAGTATTACTTCGGATGTTCGGAGACGGATGACTATGGCCAAGAGAAGGCACCAGGCAAGCATATTCTGTTCTCATCATATACGAACGTACGCAGCGTGCTGAGCATGCCAATATCGACCGAAAAAATGTGCACCACTTGAGCAGCGTCTATGAATCATGCTGGAGACAACCTCCCATGCCCAGTTTATTCATTTCTAGAGGTATTTGCTGGTGAGCCTAAGCCCGTCAGAGCGTTTCCAATGACGTCGTGAGGAGCATTATTTGACGATTGGCAATGACCGCATGATCATCCACAGTCATGGGTGTCCGTGTTTGTGTTCATCCTGACGTGGCGACGAGATGCACACGCCCACCAGACTGGATCCTGCCAAGCGCTCTTATTACAGGCTGCCTTTTCCACTTGGAGTTGGGGGTGGGTGCGATTTATCAGTATTGGGCCCAGTAGTGCGCGATACGGCCTGCGGTAGCTGAGGTCAGCCTCGATGAATGTTCCAGACAAGCACAAATTCACATTTTACATCTCAGTGGGAGAGAGGATCGGGAACTCACCTTCGTCATCATTCTTGTTGCCCCCTTTGTTATCGGCAGAGAATGAGCAGATCAGGGGATCCTTTACGCCGTTGATGTCCTCGTGAGTCCAGGCGCAGCGACTAAATGCCTCCTCATGGCAGCGATAACTCGGGTCGATTAACAGGGACACACCTTGGCCGAATCTTTAGCTTCAGAGCTACCAGTTACGCCGCTAAGCTTTGTTGGTAAACTTGAAAGGAGCAGACGACCCAGATTCCTCGAGGTAGAATGTCTGTGGCCTTACCTACTAGTTTGGGGCCGCTGCATTGGTGCTTGTCAGTATATTGCTCCAGACCACGAACTTTTAGAATCCTACCGAAGTTCGGCTTCAAGATCATTGGATTGAAATGAGGTGGACGGTTTGTACTTCCCTGGCTGTGGATAGCTGGATGAGCTTTCATCCCCGTTGACCAGGCAAGTATCTGTTCATGAGTGGTATTGCAGATACATCCGACACCCAAAATAATCCCTAGACCCTGCCAGAGTGTCGGTTTGATAAGAAACCAATCGTGACAAGCACGTATCACAAGGGATCTGATGTCAGAGCGCTGGGTCCATGGCACCGGTGGGGAGCCAGTGGGGAGCTGGCCTGTGAGTTTATGGGTGACGGCAATTATGGAAGTCTCGGAATACCGCTGAAACAGAGTGATCCTGGCATTGTAGTTCGGAACAGGGGCGTAACTGTCTATTTTAGGGAGGTGTATTGGAGGAGGAGAAGGGAAGGTCAGATATCAATAACTATTATGGGCATGACCAACAGCTGGAACGAATGATTCTCCCCTTCACTCTGTACTATTGCCTTGCGGCCTAGCCGTTCCTGACATTTGACGTACTATGAAGTGATTGGTCATTTCATTGTTCGTCGTGGATTCGCGCTGAAGATCCACGATCAATTGAATTAGGTCCTGTACTGGGCCTTTGCAATTATTGATTGTTGATGCTGTTCAGAATGAGCAATCCAGACCTGGGTGATCTGTAGATGTGACGGATTCCTTCGCGTCCAGATACTTGGTGTTAAATGCACACGATGATCTTGGCAGTGCCACCCCAAAATGTGTAACAAGTCAGTAGATTGGAAGGGGCATTGTGTATCCTGGTCGATCTGACCTCACAGGACTCAAGTCACGAATATCAGGATTGATTTCGTGCCAAGTCAGTTGTGTGGTTCAGATCTCTTTTGATGGTGTTTTTTCTAGAAAGCTCAGCTATTTCCGAAGCTATGAAATGTTGCTTAAGATCAACGATGTAGCCAATCAGATCCTCTGATTTGGATCCACAGCATGACACGTCAATTTTGTTGCTAACCTTCATAAATAAAACCAGTTGCGCCCAAATAAATCTGCATTGACTCGAATTGACTGAGCCACATAATGGACAATAGAATGACAATAGTATGACAAAAGAACCCCTGCTCAACTCATACTTCAGGTACTTATCGAGTCCATATCAAGTAACGTGGTTTAACACCGAGTCGCGCATATCACCGAGTCGCGCACTTTTTACCACACTATAATTTCAAGTTCAATTAAAAAGCCACAACAGACTAAAGTTCATTGAAATTTATTCAGAGCTATATACATCTGACAATTATAGTTCGACCTGACAAGTCTTTACATTATGTCCGGTCTTCTTACACTTACTACATCGTCGTACAGTCGACGGACCAGCCTTTTCTTTACCCCCCCTAGAGCGCTTGTCCTCCTTTACCTGGGCCTCCGCGTCCTTCCAGGCCAAAATGTCCAGGGCATCCTCGACAGTAAGTGCACCTCCTTGCTGGACACGCGATTTTTTTGCCCTCCGACGCTTGCTTAGTGCCTCATTTGCCTTGCGAAGGGTGGAGCACTCAGCCTTCAAGAGGGTATTCTCATGGGCTAATCGAGTTATACCCTTCGCAAGGTGGCCAACAGCATCAAAAGTTGGGGTCAGAGAGCTTCCCTGATGTCTGGAGATTCGGCGATTGACAAAATCGGACTGCGAGAGAGCCTCTGTCGGGTTATTTGGCGTTTGCGAAACCCAAGGGTCAGCATCTGGAAGAGAGGGGCTAACGGGTGTAGGCGACCGAATCCTAACATACAGATTCGAGATAATGGCTTCAGGGTCGTGGGGGACTAGGCCGGCCCCTGGAAATCCTGCCTTGATGTTTTTGTCGGTTATTGTCTTTAAATAAGCCTCCTTAAAGGCGATAAAGAACTCGACCTTAGTAATGTGGTTAATATGGGACTTGATAAATATATCAATCTCTCGACCGTATATACGTTTCAAGACCCCAAAGCACCCGACATCAAGTGGCTGGGTTAGATGAGACGAGTGCGGGGGCAGACTGATAGTAATAATGCCGTTAGACTTGCAATAAGACTTGAAATCGGCCGATGTATGACTCTCATGCCCGTCCAATACTAACAGCCGATACACGCCTCTTTTGGTCGAGATAGTGTGCTTGTTGAAATGTTTGATCCAGTCTAGACCAGTCTCGTTGTTCGTCCACCCGTTTTCGGTCGGTTTGACTACCCAATCGGCTGGTAGGTCCCCCTCAGTATACCAATTAGCAAGGTGATAATTCCCCTGAATTACCAGAAATGGCGGGATGTCGCGACCCTCCGAATTGACACAGGTAATCGCCGTGGCCCATTCCCGGTTACCTGGCTGGACCTTCTTGCCTCTACCATTACGTTCAGACGAGGTAACGACCATCGAGCGTTGAATAACGCCCATCATAAAGCCCGTCTCGTCGAAGTTCCACATATCGCAGTCCTGGATCCCGTATTTGGCCCTCATATTAGATACAAGCCGGAACCAGTCCTCAATAATCTTTGGATCCTCGCAGAGGGCCCTCTGGAAGTCATACGAGCGAGAAAAACGCGTCTATAACTCTGGGGTTCGCTTTACAAAGCGATGCGCCCAGAGCTTGCCGACGCGTCGGGTACCCCGCGTCGCAAGAATGGAATTGGCCATATCTTCCACACCCTCGAGCCGGGGAGGAAACCCTCTCAAATCTAGGTCAAGTACATGCTGAACAATAGCTCTTTCCTCTATCTTGGTGAGGACTCGGGTACACCGTATAGCTTTGCTGCTCGACGTTGGCTCATATTTTTGGTCGATCGGATAGCTTCGATGGCAAGGTTGATTTTGGCTTCTTGGGTTTGAACTGACATGGTGTTGTTGTTGTTGAGGAAATAAGTATTGAAGTCAAAAGGTTGGAAAAGTTGAAAAAGTCCGCGACTCGGTGTTACCATGTCCTCATTTGTCGGCATTTTTCCAAGGTCAATATACTTGACTGGAAATAAATCATGCACATTGATGGGGAATGACATCTGACGGCAGACACAATGAAGTAGGTTTGCATATGGGCACAAAATGGCAACACCCTGTTTAAATAAGCAAATGTTGCAAAAGAGAAATAGTGACGCTTTCAGATGGTAAATATATATGAAGAAACTGTAGAGCCACATACACTTTTATATAAACACCATCGTGGCTAGAAGAATAAATGCACATGAAGATAAATGAAGCTTGCGTTTTGTCTCGCAAAAACTGTCAAGCTCTCACTTGAAATGACCCGAAGTTGTTTTTCGAGACACTGGTTCCCCTCTTTCCAAAAACCATCCAAGTTCCTCAGCCATACCGCCTGCTCATGTAAAATCACACATCAGTTGGTCTGCTAAGAATGACTGGCGATTCTGTTCTTGTTATTCCTGAGACGGCAGGAGTCGCGGCCCTTGGACTTTTGGGTTGACGACGTCGAGGCACAGGCAGTGGTAGAAGTAGCCGGAACGGCTGTTGTTGTAGTCAGGCTGACGGGTGCGGACGAGGTAGACGCAGCAGGAGTCTCAGTTGTCTCTGGGACAGCGACTGCAGAGACAATGGATGTGGCAAAGGTCGAGGAGGCTGCGATAGAGGAGGCAGGGGTAGTGGCAACCTCCTCTACCTTGGTGACAGCAACGGAAGAGGACGCAGCACCGGCAGCAGTGGTGGGTAAGGGTGTGGTGGAACCAGTCCCATTAACACTCATGCAAGCGAAGGATATCTTGGTCGTGGTCACCGTTGGTCCACCGTACGGAACGGGAGTGCTCAAGTCCCAGTCCATACTCACGTACGGCCAGCAGATTCGGCCGTCGGGCATGTTGACCATGTCACCAGCGACGTAGGCATCAGTAGAAGAGATGGGCTCACCGACTTTAGTGCCGTCGGTGACCAGTTGAAAGTATGAGCCAGAGAAAGTGCCCTTGCAGCCCATGGCGATGAAAGGGCAGTCTGGGTTGGTGATTTCCTCCCAGGTGACCAGAGCCGAGGTACCGTCGAAGGCGGCGACATGGGCGTTGCTGCAATCCTTGGTGAGACCGTCATATGTAGTGATCCAGTTGACTTGGCTGTCACCCCCGGCACCGATAGTCGAGCTGGCCTCCTCTCCGACCAGAGTCTTCTTGTCACTGAAGGTAGCAATAGCAACGTTGCGACCGTTGGTGCGATTAAGGGCGTTGGTGTTACCACCACCGAGCCACTCGTTAGCGCTCAACGACTCGGCGCCGCGGGAAACCCAGGAGAGGATGTAAGAATCTTCGCCAATAAAGCGGGCCAGCGAACTGTAAGAACCGGACATGCCACCTAGCGATTCACCCGAGCCACCGTTGGTGGTGTTCTCATTGGACACCTTCACGCCGCTCATAGTCTGAGTTTCCGTATTGAGCCAGATGTCGCCCTGGTCTTCAGCACAGACACTGGCAAAAGGTGCAGCATCGGCGGCTTCAAAGGCAATACCCGTGTTGTGGCTGCATCCCCAGCTTGAGGATGCTCCTGAGATGGTGGTCAGGGTACCGTCAGGCTTCAGGTACTTGATGCTATCCCCATAGTGTCCTGATGCCTCCCCCGTGTAGGCAGTGATGACAGTGTAAGCTCCAAACAACTGAGCAGTTTCTGACCAGACTACAACAGAGCAAAGCAGTCAGTATAATTCGCCACGCCTCATTGAGATGGAATACTAACCGAGGTCACCATTGATGTCAGGTGAGGCAGCCAAACCAAAGTCGGCATCAACGCCAGGTCCACCGATGAATGTCTTCCAGGTCTGCGTGCCATCGGTGAATCTGTAAACCACAGGAACAGGAGTAGAATCCGCAGGTGCGTCGGTGGTGCCCGATGGCAGAGCCTCGTTGGTCAACAAAGCAAACCCATCATCCAGTGTGACGAGACCTCCAGCCTCCTTGCCGCCCGTCACAGTCACCGCAGACCCAACAGCCGCGAATGTAGAAGGGTCGACCTGCTGCACATGGACATCCGTCTCACTCGCGTCCAGGTACGCAAGGTAAGCCGAGTTGCCGTCGGGAGAGAGAGAAAAGGGAGTGCGGCGATGGTGGCGGTAGCCCGTCCAGTAGGACTCCTTGACGGGGTTGAATGTAAAGTCGAGAGCCAAGCTGTCGACGTGCGTCTCCAAGGCGCTGTCAGTAAGTCCAGCTGCCAGAATAGTAGCAGGGGCCAACAAGAAAGAAAAGAGTTTCAGTGATCTACACAACATGGTTGAGAAGAAACGGCTGGGCCGGCCCGCAAAAGAGTGTGGGTGTTTTGAAACGAAGGAACGTGTGTCTCAGAAGACTCGACTTGTATCCCAAAGGAAGACTACCAAAACAGCTTGCGAATGGCTTGCCTTAAGAATCAAAATTCGCCAATGCCGTTCATCGTATGTTGGGTTGGACGTTCGGCGCACAGAAAACTCCCTATTATGCCGTATTAAGACGGGGCTACCTGCATGGCACAGAGAAACTAAAGTTTGGCTTGTTTGGCTTATAGTGCTGGGCGTCCTTTCGATGCCGACGACTTGGCGCCACCCCATTGTATAAAATTAGAGTTGGGAGTCCCTGGCTTCCACTTGTCATTTCTTTGATGTGTTCTAGCCCTGCCGCGAACAAGGATGGGCCCCTGCGTGTTCATACACTTTTGGCCAGAGGCTCGTAATCCAGAAAGTTGTCACCATCAGTGCGTCCCGGCTGCAACGGTGCCACCTCGTTGGTGAGTCGAGGTTTGTTGGGATAGCATCAATGACCAAGACACACCTACTGATGGAATTCTAGTAGAGTCTTATATTCGAGCAAGTAGTGCATGACAGAAATGACCCAGTTTATGTTCCGGGTCTCCGCCATTGACAGGGCTCTTAGCGATCTGAAACGTGAAACTGGTTCCTCTCTAGCCGTAGCCGTACACATTGGTAACATCATCGCAGACAACACATTGCAAGGTGCTTAGGCCAATCCCAGCCCGAAATGTTTGACAGTGCTAAGCCCCCTGAAATGATCTCCCATAAAGCCCCGGGGCCCACAGGATGCGAAATCACGCCAAATTTCGCAAAAATATCAGTAGCGATTGCGTGAGATATCCACATGGCTGAAGGGGGCCCCTGCCAGTTCATAAATTTTGGGCTAGAGCCTTCGTATACGCCTCACCGTTCACGCGGATCCCAACAGGAAACAAAACAACTTTTCATCAATTGTTATTTAGATGAGAAGGTTAAGTGGTGCGGTCGAAATAGAGGACATCGACACCAGGCTGCGATTCAATTCACCACTGGATGTTAGCCCTCCATTTGACCACTTTCCTGAACCTCAAACGTCCCTTCACCGGCCTGAAAGTTACTAGATGCGGCCGAGGCAGGTACTCCAATGCGGCTTAACCTAGGGGTGTGATAACCTTCGTCTTTCATACGAAACGCACATACATGAAGCGCTATCTCTCTCTGTCTCTGCACGAGTAGATGATTGAATTTTACAGCGCCGTGGTCTGCTCACGCAGCGACGCGGCGTGTTGAGGGAATAGGACTACTGATGGTCATTTATAACCCCCCGGATACAGTACAGTTCATTTGTCAAAGACCCCGTTGTAATCATCACCAACACCTCACTCGCGGCCTTCATACTCTATTGACGCCAACCGAAGCAACGGGAAGTACGCAACTCACAACCTTCCAGCCCACACCCCAAGTGTTACAAAACCTTACCTTCTCACCTTTCTGTATGAGTTTTCTCTTCGGAATCCCTTCTTTGACAATGTCTTTTCAGTCGGTTCAGTCAGCGAGCACTACTCGAGTCTATGCCAAGATACATTCAGGTATGGTATAGTGAGTTCTTTCAGAAGCACTGTACTAATCAGCCTACTGGGACTGTATTGTGAACGAGCTAAACCCATGTTGTTTATGACATTAAATCTCTATGAAACATTGGTACACCCAAAGAACATATATAACCAAGAAGTCTAGTCGCGCCTAAACTTTCTCAGGGCTCCCCGTTTCTCTCGGGACCACGAAGTCTCCCCCCGATCCAGGTAGACTAGGCGGCATCTCCTCAACTCGCTCACTACCAACAACAACAGGCGTAGGCGATGCAACCATGGCCTCAGGCGGAGACGTGACGGGCAAGGCAGCTTCTTCGGCCTGGGTCCTCATCTTATTCACCACGGCCCTCAAAGCCTCCATCTCGCGCGTACACTTCTCATCACCACAGGCTTCAAAGCCTAGCTGCTCCCTCAGCTCCTCCGACGTAGCTACTCTCGTTGAGTTGACGTCCGCAACCACCAACCCGACACGGTCATCCACCCAGCGTTTCTGTGCCGGAATGGCATTGGGCCCTGCCTTGTAGACAGGCTGCAACGCCTTCTCTGCGGCATGGGTATCGAACCACGTGTCGTTGTTGAACAAGGCGTAGCCAGGATGCTTAGCGTCGTTGAATGTCGGCACGCACTCGTTGCTTTCGATACCGTCGTCGTCGTCCAAGTTTGGGAACTCCATGGTGAACGCCGTCCGAGTGAAAGCGATCTTGCTCATCTCCCATTCGGTTTCGATGCCATCCTTCACCTGGGTGTAGGTGCTGGTGTGGGCTACATCCCAGATGGGCGGTCGGCCGCACTTGTTGAATAGTGCGCCGGCCTTCATGTTCTCCTTAGCGTCTAGGTACCGCACCATCTGGCCCTGGGTGGCTGCGGGCTTGTCGCTCATATTGTCCTTGATGGCAGCCCAGTTGTAGGCCATGCTGGTCAGCATGCCCCAGCCATCATTGGGCACGACCATGACGGCGGGGGGGAACTCGTCTGGCGAACAATCCTGCGGTGCGTCGGTGATGTAGGGCGCCCAATCCTCACGTTTGCGCTGGGAGTCGAACTCACTTAATACGGGGCGAGCCGATTTGTCGACCTTTCGGTAGCCGCAGGTGATGGTGGCGTACTGGGGATAGGCATTGACAATGGACCGATAGTTGCGGCACGCCATCGGATAGTCCGAATTTCCGTCGCACACAATGGCCCCACGTTGGGCAAGGGCGCGAGCGAGATTTCCGTCGTGACTTTAGACATGGTCACGGTTCGCTTGCGTTTTCGGCAATCGTCCGCGGGAGCCCGTGGTGCGAGGGTGACGAAATCTCGTGCCTTATTGGCGCTGACAGGGCACGAAGACGTTTTGGCTGACTCGTGGGTGGACTTGGCTGGGCGCGATACTGTCTTGCTAGGCTTGTTGAACGTGACCGAGTGTTCCTTGCCAAATACTTTGAAAACGGCCTTGCCTTCCTTTTCGATGCCTTCGGTGCATAGCTGGATCAGCGCGGGCGTGGCGGCGATTTCGGCGATGTCGAGTATTTCCCCTGAGAACATGTTAGTAATATTGCGTCAGACAGCGGGGATTCAAACCTCACCAATAATAGGAATGGCAGCCTCAATTAATTCCAAAGGTGCCAACAAGGCGGGAATTGCAATCCTGCAGAAGGCCTTAGCTGCTATATCGAGGGCGGCCTGTTCTGCCGCTTCAACAGCCAGCTCCTCGGCCTTTTCTTTTGCTTCTTCTTCTAATTCCTCTTTGGTCGGCGCCGACTTGAAACCCTTGCAGCAATAACTCTGGATCCCGCCCGTACATGTTTGGTCACCGTTCTTGCTATGGTTATTGGTATCCTGCAGCACCTCGGTCTCGCCGTCGTCACAACCGCCCATGCAGCTCAAACCCAAACCGCGATATCCGCGCCACTTGCAAGTGCCCATGGTGGTGCCGTCGTCGCAGCACAGAGTGCGATATTCGTTGGCATCGCATTTGTCGGCCGTCGACAGTTTGCCTGGCTGCCCATTCATTTGCGTCACTTTGTTGGTTCCCTTTTTGCACGAGGCGCCGCAGTCAGTTGTGTAGCACGACACGCCTGCCGCCAGGTCCTGGCTCATTTGATTGGCGTCTTCTTGCTGGCCCGTCGTGACTCCCTTGGCTGGTGCAAGACCGTTGTCTTCGCCTTGGTCGCGCTGGTCCATGGCCCATACCTGTAATCATCCAGGGACGTTAGTAATCGCATGAATGAGAGATAATGGAATTGACATAAAGGCAACAGGGAGCTCTCACCATAGTCCCACCCAAGCATCGTGAATTCGCAAACTTGCGCTTCTGGTCAAATGTATCGTCATCGTCGTACGAAACCCACTGGTCGTCATTCCAAGTCACGTATTTAACCATTGCCTCCTTGTCCCACACCGGGGTAACACCATTGTAGCTGATCGTATCTTGTATCTCTTTCAGGGTCAGGATGCCGCTAGCGTTGGAGCACGACCCGGCTTCAGCGCCCCCTGAAAACTGGCACACACCGTTGGGCTTGCTGCAAGATGGGTCCGAGAGGGTGAAGCTGCGGCCATACCAACCGAGACCCATGACCACTTTCGCGGGCTTGACACCTGCACGCCAGAGAAGATCCATACCTAAGTCGATCTCTGTCACCTGTGAGCAACACGAGTTAGTCACTGAGTGCATGTCCACGACGCGATATACTACGGAGATATCACACGCCTAAAACAGAATACAAAGACTCCGGGCTCTTACGTTGGTGTGCGGTGCGATGTACGGACCGATGAACTGCGACTGAGCATCCCAGACTCCATGTAAATCATACGTCATGAAGTTGAACCAGTCGACATTGGGCTGGATATTCTCCAGATCAAAGTGTTGCAAATACCAATACGACGTCGGCAGCGTCATCGAGATGCCGTAGCGGCTTCCTGTTCATCCCCGCGGTCAGTTAGAACACTGATTTATTACGTCTCTGAATCAAGTGCGAATGACTTACCAAAAGCAGCCCTAAGCTCCTTGGTCAAAGCAACATAATTGGCCTTGTCTGCCGTGATGCCGCCCCGATCATCTGCCTGGGGGTATTCCCAATCGAGATCAACACCGTCGAAGCCGTAGTGCTCCATGAAGTTAATAAGGCCCGTGATGAACTTCTTTCGGTTGGCAGCCGTGCTCGTCATGTCGCTGAAGGCGGTCCGCGTGGGACCCGGGTCAGTGAAAGACCAACCCCCGACTGAGATCCATGCCTCGAGACCAGCATTATTCTCTTTCAGAGCCTGTTGTGGGTTAGGAAAGTTGAAGCGTAATAATTTGTGGGGAGTCGCAATTTCGCGACAGAGAGAAAAAGTTGCTATCAATAACGGATTGACTTACAGTAAAACGACTGTACAGCTTCCCACTGGCCGTATCCATAGGTGCGATGACAAAAGTAGTCGGATCAAAAAAGGCAAAGGCAAAGTTGATGTGCGAGAAGCCATTGAGATTCAAGTCTTCGGGTGATACGATGTCACAAGGGCGTGTGTTGGCCCAGGCCTCGTAGTACCCGATGGTGCGCTTCGTGATGGAATTACCAGAGCAGCTGGGTCTTTTGACGTCTCCACAACCGCCGTAGTCCTATATTTTCATTGAGAGTTAGTATGCGTGTGCCCCTGATGGTCCTTGTGGTGAATGATGGCCCTTTTACAGCTAACTCTGACGAGGAATAAGTTCATGAAATAAGTAAGTTATTGCAGACAACTATTTCCCTTGAGCTCAACTGTATCAATGTGTGATCGAAATAGGAATTGAAACCTGATGTCTTACCTTTTGGCAATTCTTGTCTTCATCACAAAAGTCACTAGTAGAACCGCAGAAACTAGTTACATCTCGTATGAGCCAAGCTACTCACTTCACATGGTATCATATTTTAATATCACATACCCGAATTGCGAGCAGCAAACTCCTAACGGACACTCCTGTGAGCCTTCCTTGCCATGCTGGCCACACTCGGCCTTGGCATCACAATTGGACGTGCAGTTGCCCGCACCACATTCAGTAGGTGAATACCCGCATAGCCCGTTCGTGCCACAGCAGGCAGCGTTGACACAGGGCGTATCAGCATTGCATGTCCCCGTGGGCAGGTCACGGCCAGACAGAAGAGAACGGGGTGAAAGAGTGTTGGGCGTCCAGTTGTGGGCTTCGGGTATGTCTCGAGACGCGGAGTCTGCTAGAGGAAATGCGAAAACGAGGGAGTCGATATTAATGAATGCGAGAGCTACGGCAAAGGCGCAGGCAGACGGGGAAAATGGTCGCATCTTAGGAAGAAGATGGGACTTATCACAACACTTGACGAGTTGGTGGCACCTGGGTGTAGCGCATCAAGGTAGCTGCGAAGGGATGAAGACTGTTATAACTGGAAGTTATCGCACCCGTAGATCCACCTCGGCTCTGGAGCATCTCTCTGAAGTCTGAACTCTACGAATACATCCTGGTATACATGACCCTGAATAGCATGAGATGCACACGCCGTACAATATCTCGGTCCCACATTCGAGGGATCCACATGTGGTCAGCGTTCTCCATCGATTCATGCATATGTCAGCCCTAGCCGGGATATAATACCATTATTGGATACTAATCTCTCGATCAGAGGTGAGTTCAATTGGGGCAATACGTCCGAATTAAGTAGCATCGCGTAACCAAAAATACGTTATTGCTGACCGGATTTCGAGCACCGTGATGGAAAAGGCAACTTAGTGATTCTTTGAGTAAGGGAATTTCTGCAGGCGAACCGTCTGGGCGTATTACTTGGTGCAGCATGTGCCGCTCGATAGCATCCGTTTGACCAATCAGACTATTTATAAGTATAGGGTGTCCCATGGATCAAATGCTTATGTTGGGTTGCGCGTCAGCGAGTTTACCACTTCTGGCAGGTGTTTGCCGTATCCTGGGAAAAAGGATCATCTCTCCAGGCTCACCTGCGGGTCATTCATGCCCAGGAAGCTTAGCTTAGGGCCTCAGCCGGTATTTCGTTGGCCCAAGAAAATTGGATGCGGCACAGCACTGCAGATACACATGCCTTTTGCTTATCGATTCTTCAAGCCTATGCCTTCTGACAAGATGGATAACGGGAGTCAATCTTTGGTACCTTGCAGTCTAACGCAGTTCCCATCGGAGCTGGCTTGGTGGCGCCGGCTTCTAGTGTAGATTGCCCGTCTCATGCATCGGAAGGATGCAATACTACTACGCACCACTAGACAATACTATATCAAGACATTCTTGTTTAAGTCAATTCAATTTTACTGAGTGGGGCTTTGAGATTATTAATGCAGCACGGAAATAATGTTGAGGGTTCTGGGCTGTACTATGCGATGTAGATACACGTATGATAGAATTATGGGATTGGGGAAAGGGGCCATTTGGAGAAGTCATATGTCGCGCGTCTTGCACTCGGTTTTCCCGGGATGGGTGCCGCCTCAACTTTTTCGTTTACCGGAACATTTGTCCCTGGGCACTTCTGCAACCATGGCCTTTCAGTTGCGTTACCTGTTGACCTCATGTCTTCTCATCCGAGCCAGTCTTGCATCGTTTAATCTGTATCCAGGTGTCAGCCCAGAAAAACTAGCTCTGTCGTTGAATATCACATCGGCATGTGTCCAAGCACTGTATGTATTAAATTCTATATGCCCTGGTGGAGTTGAGAGTGGCTAACAAGAGTTATCAGCAATCAAACGATCTCAGAATGCGATCAAACCCTACTACAAATGACGCAGTCGCTGGAGAATTACTGGTGGACTGACGATAATCTCACAGCGATCTGCACCCCCAACGATACGACAACGTTGACATGCGCAGATGCTGTATCCGAATGGAACGGAAATGCTGCCGCTGCATGCGATGAGCAGTACTTTGCAGCCTATGGCCAACTTGTTCCCATCTGGACTGTGACGGAGCGCTTCGTGGACAGTACCTCTTTTGCCTGTCTTGAGTCCTGGAGTGACAACTTCACATGGTGTCTGACAGAATCGCAAGAGTGGGTGGGAGCAGATGTGCTCCGGGCCGATTGTGACGTGGATCCCACTGATCCGACGTGTTCGGGGAATGTCACGTCTATCCCGGAGGAAAGCATTCGCCTGGCGAACTTTTATGAGGATGATATTGTACGTCTCTAAGCACACCGTCATTTGTGTGTAAACTGACTCGGAACCACAGCTGTGCAACAACTGCTTCATTAACCAGCTCTACGCCCGCGTGACATCGCAATTCCTCCCCAACTCGGACCACTCCGACTACCTAGTAGACCAGCTCTATGATGTACAAGACGTGTGCAATATCACTTTACCTGACTTCACCATCCGTCTGCCATACTGGTATGACACGGCGCCGCCCTTGACATCGTTAAACCTCGGTTCCAGCACGACGGCAACGGCAACAGCAACGTCCAGTGCGTCTTCCACTACTACTACGTGTTTTGGTCAACTCGTCGGTGGCAGCAGTAGTACCAAGGCGAAGAAGAGTTGGGCTGAGGTCTTCTCGCCAGGTAATGCAAAAGTGGAGGCAAGGCAGGACGCGGCGACTTGTGATGACTTGTCGCTGCAGTATGGAGTGAGCACCGGGGCCTTGCAGTGGTTTTCCGACAGTGATACTTGTGATGTTTCCAGTGGTATCTGTTTGCCCGCAGCTTGTAATCTGCAACAAGTTGTGGATGGCGACACTTGGTAAGTCTGACTTGATCCGCCCTTTTCTCTTTTCATCCATGCCTTGCCACTCAGCTAACACTCCGCCCGTTCACAGCGCAAGTTTAGCAGCCAGTGTCAGAGGTGATAACTCCACGACCTTGGTCCAGTTCATGAAGTGGAACCCGTATGTGCTGGGACTTTGCGATAGTCTCACTGCGGGGCAGTATGTCTGTATCAGGTAAATGCTTCACTGCTTATCGAAGACTGGCAAAACGTTAACGTGGACTGCAGCTCCCCTGGAACGAACGGGACTTTTACTTTACCCGATCCGCCACTGGGTACAGATGCCGACGCAGGAAATCAGCAACGAGGCGGAGCAGGAGGTGTTGTAACACCCACGACTACCATCACCACGACAGCCAACTCTGTTTCTGGAGGCTCTGCACCCAGCCCTACGCAGGATGGTCTTGTTTCCAATGTAAGCACCCACTTTCTCCATATTTTCGTTCTTAGTATCATTCTTCGTCTCTTTAATATCATAATTGTCGCTAACAATATCAACTCAGTGCAACAACTACGCTAGCGCCACAGTAGGCGAAGGCTGTTACGACTTCGCAACCTCTCATAATATTGAGCCCACTCAGCTCTACGCCTGGAACCCCGTCCTAGGGCTCAACGGTATCGACTGCACCACCGCTCTCTGGGCAAGCGAGTACTACTGCATCGGCACCCAGAAGTCCACAGCCACAACTCCCATCACCGCCCCGGGCCCCACGCAGTCGGGCATCGTGAGCAACTGCAACAAGTACGCCGCTGCCATCGCAAGTGACGGCTGCGACGTCTTTGCCGCGCGCAACGAGATCACGAACGCCGAGCTGTACACATGGAATCCTATTTTGGGTGTCAATGGGGAGAACTGTCTTTCTTCGCTCTGGGCTGACGAGTATTACTGTGTCGGGGTCGCACCTCTGGTTTCAGGAAGTGTGACGACTACCACGAGCTTGGTTTCAAGCAGTAAGACGACTGCTACGAGCACCACTTCAGTTACGGCGCCTGGACCGACGCAGACCGGCATTGTGGCGAGTTGTAACAAGTTTGCGGAGGCAACAGGGGGTATTGGGTGTTATGACTTTGCTGTTGCCAATGGTATCACAACGGCCCAGTTGTATGCGTGGAATGCAGTTCTGGGTGATAATGGGGAGAACTGCGGCACGCTGTTTTGGGCAGAGGAGTATTACTGTATTGGTGTCAGTAGTTAAATGGTGTACTCGAAGTCATTGAATATTTTCCAAAGAAAAATATATTTAAAATTCATTTCTTCTTAAAAACACTTAATTGCACTTTCACGAATTTAAGATACATAGGAAACTGTCTGGATGGGCACCAGTACTTGACTTCACCCACGAGGACACGCCGCTCATTCTCTATTCTTCCACCAATGTATAAGGGCTTGCCGGCACTCATCGCCGCGGTAACTGTCAGGCCATCCATGTTCGGTATAAATCCTTTTCATTGCCTAAGCGTACCCGCGTTAGCCCCAACCCCATCTTTACGTCTTTCCAATCGTCATTGAAAGCTTACCTCACATTCGTTCCACATGAACCCACCCCGCTCACCAGGATCGTTCAACACGCCCGGGAAATACATATTCCCCGGCATGCCCAGAAACTGCATACGCCGGTACTTCTCTTGCCATTCAGCCGCCAGCTGCTCGACCGGCTTCGTCCAATTATCGCACCACTCATCGCGCCACGCCCGCGGGTCGTCTTTGGCATAGCGGCCTCGCGCATCTGGGTATACAGGGCCTGTCACAACGTACTTAGTCACCGTGCCGTCCATGGTATCCAACATGAAATTTTCGGCCCCGCTGTCGTCGCCTGTCGACCATCAATTAGTAAACCCAATGTACTTCGCTGATGAAGTTCCCGTACAGTGTGTGAAAGAGTAGAAGGAAAAATAAAAAATACTTGCCCGTCGTAAGTTGCACAACCCACGGCGGAAACATATCCTCCTCCCCGTCGGACTTGTTTAGTTCCCACACAAAAGGAATACCTTTGGCGTTACTCACGACGAAGCGGTAGTCGACGGGGTAGGCATAGGGCGCGATCCAGCAACGTTTGGGCCCGTCGATGTATGGCAGGTGCCGAAGCAGCTCAACCGCCTCTGGAGTCTTGCGCAGGCCGCGGGCGGCGACCGATTCAATGGTAATCTGGGGCCATCCTTCAGAGGGCGCACGATGAACATGCGAGGGCTCAATGTGAGGCAGGTTCTCGTACAGCTGGACGAGGGCTGCGACGACGGTATCCTGGGAGGAAGTGGTCGGGGTTCGAAGACGTGGGTCGGGTGGTAATTGGCGGGGATCTGGCGTTTTCGTTGACATTTTAGCTGCAGTTTTGCTTATTCGTGATGAGTTTCTGTTGATTCCGAAAAAATGCTGATATAGATGTAGATAGGGACTACTTAAGTACCTATGAGAGTAATATAGTGGAAGGATTGCATGCATATGCAACCATTCGGCCGTATTACCTCACCTGGACTAGCGTTAGCGAATTACCTGCGGGAACTAAAGAGGCAGATAATATATCGGTTAACGTAGTCCACGGTCCAATTGCATACACGGTCCAATTGCACACTTTGGCAGACCTTATACGACAATGTGTAAGTTAATTCAACCACAACACCTATCATCAATTGAAACTACTCAGAATCGTTATCTTCAGACGTCTCTACATCATTTCCACAAGTGCGCGCATTATGTCCGGGCTCGCCGCAGATTCTACAGCGCCGTACACGCGCAATTCGCCGCCTCGTACGACCACCAATTTGACGAAATTCGTCATGTAACTGCCCATCAACCTCTCATTGAGACTGTAGGTCCTGTCCAGCTTGTATACGAAGTGACCCTCCACTCTGTAGCTGTTTTTTCTTCGCACGGCGACGTCGACTTAAGGTCTCATTTGCCTTGTACGTGTTTAAAAACGCCGGTAAAAAGTCTTCTTTCGAGATAGGACTTATATGTGCTCGCATGAGATCTTCGATTTCTTTTCCGTACGCTCTTTTTAACCCGCGAAAACAACCAACATCAAGAGGCTGGAGCTTATGCGACGAATGAGGAGGCATACAAAGCGTGACGATATTGTTAGCTTTGCAATATACCTCGAAATCGGTCGAGTGATGGCTTTCGTGACCGTCGAGGATCAATAGGCGATGAGTACCTTTCGTACGAGACTTGGTGTGATGATCGAAGTGTTTTATCCAATCTTCGCCTCTCTCGTTCGTAGTCCAGCCATTTTTAGTAACTGCGATAACCCAATCAGGCGGTAATGGACTGTTTTCGTACCATGACGATGACGAGAGGTGGGTTTTGCCGGCGAAAATGATGTACGGAGGGAGGGCATAACCGGACGACCCAACGCCTTGAATAACTGTAACCCCTTCCCGATTTCCTTGCTGGGCTGCTCTAGGCCTTCCGCGCCGATCAGAAGTCGTCACGACCATTTCGGACGAGATTTGGCCCATCACAAAACCGGTCTCGTCGAAGTTGTAGATATCCTCCTCCTGGATCGCGTATTTCGCAATTGTATTCCGTTAGTTGTCGTTTGGCTACAAGTTTACCTGTATAACCGCCCGACGCGGCTTAAGGGCCCGCTATATCATCTATAGCCCCTTAAGGGAGTACTTGTAGAGGTACCGAGGGTTAACACCTACGGCGTATTTAATATTTTTTTATTACTTACTAGAACAAACCCTTACAGACTCTTTAGTGGTTTACGCAGCTAGACTATTAGAGGTTTCGTTACAATTGATTGCTCGCCGATATCTAATATCATTCGGTGGACCTGTAGCTTTCTCGTACCCTTGAAGCGCCCTGTGACAGGCTGTGCCTGATATGGGATCCGGAGCTGCAAGGACCGTGCGTCCGGATCCACCAAAGGAACCATCGAGGGCATACAAAACATAGTCCGTGTTCCCGGGACAACTCGCATATTTTACTTTCCTCCTCAGTTAGATAATTAACAGTATTTGGCCATGTTGTTACACGCAAAGGTGGTCAAAGATTTGTGAGGTTGTAAAAGCATGACATTCTATCTAGTCCTATGGAGCACGAAGGTTGGACTTAGTCCCGAAGGGCTAAGTCACGTGGTAACCTTGGTGGTCTTGGCAAAGCCCACCAAGGTTGCCTAACACATGTTGAGCTGTATAGTTTCGCACTGAGCCCGTCACACGCCCGCAGATACATGTCCTCCGCCTCTTGCAGCTTGCCTTGGTCGGCCGCGCAGAGTGACCAATCGATCGATATCGATCAACATTATATTCATCCGATCGGTACCGGTACAGATTACTAAGCAACCGATATCGATCGGTATCGATCACATGTAACCGGTCCGGTCAGATAGAGGTCGGATCGATCAATAGCGGTTGTACGGAGTTGTTTATTATTAACGGTTTTGTGTTACGAATCTACGATTCTAACCAATGCAACAGGCCCGATGGCAGGCCCAGTGGATACAGGACAAAGAAGGAGGGGAAAGTCACACAGGAGTGGCTAGCTGCAGGAGGAGCTAGCTAGTACAAGGATCACAAGTCACGTGACTTACAAGGGTGGATCATTTGGATATGAAATGATCCAACATATCCAGCCAGTTAGGACCAATAGTATCCATGAAGGATCTAATGGCCCCAGTTATCAGTGAAGGAGGGAATGGATATATAAGGGACAGGACTCCCAGGCATTTCATAGACAGTCTCTACTTCAGTGATCAATCTAAGCATCAATCTAACCCATTGGTGAGGCAAACTGCCTTGACGACTCTATTCCCAGTTACCCTACTTGAATACTTCAGTTACCCCAAAGCACTATACTCCATACGTCAAACCCCGATATTATTGCTTGAGGACTCCGCAGCAGGACTTACTTACTAGCACAAACCCTTACAGACTCTTTAGTGGTTTACGAAGCTAGACTATTAGAGGTTTCGTTACATTTTGCGCCCAATTAGCTAATTCACGTGAAACCTCACCATCCAATTCAACGCTTGATACCTTGTCAAGCAGATGGAGTGGCAACTCAGCCTGATAAACGCCTGCTAAACTCCATGACCTGATACATTGTGATGCCCCAATAACGTGGCGTTTTAGGCGAGATCTTCGTGCTGATACCATCTGTCCTACGCTGTTAAACTGGCGTTCTGTTTCTGCTTGCGCTGAAGGTATCGTAAGGAAGTCAACAGCCATATAAGACAGTTTGGTGAAACGTTTTGCGCCAATATCACGCCACCAAGCTACTGGGTCCTTTAAATATTGGTCCACGTTAACCACAGGTTCTGCCAGGTAGAGGTCAAGCTCGTCTTGTTGTGATTCTTCCTGCCTAATCGGCACCGGCTTGGTGTTTCTGCCCTTTCCTTTCCTTCTCTTTGCTATTGGCTGTGTATCTTGTGTACTTTGCGAATCAACGACCTCGGAGTCGGCGTCGCCCATATAAAAACGCTTGCGGCGTTGAAGCATCGTAAGGACTGGCTGGTTCTCAGCTTCAGATAAAGGGTTGGTCTCAGGAAGGGGCCTAGACGAGGGTCAGTTAGAGATGAACAGTTATCTAGATATTATACTTACCTATTTTTATAGTCACCCTCCCAACGCTTCCTCAACCTAGCCATATAATACTCACGCCAACTCAGCTCTTGGCGTATAGGTTCAGCATCAAAAATGGCTTGCAACCCACTCATTTTCATGGTCGGGTTGAAGATCACGGCAGCGGCGTACGCCAGATTCGTCAGCTTATCATAATACTGCTGCAGCTTCCACAGGCCAACCTTGATGTGAACCTTTAGGGATCGGCGCCGTTGATCATCAAGATCCTTGAAAATCTCGAGGTTTTCTTGAATAGGAGGACCAGCAGGATTATCTGGGTTATCGCGTTCAAGATAACAGTTGCCCTGGGCACAAGATTCGAGATGAAGAAGTAGGTACTCCATCTGAGGAAAATACTGATCAAGTGCGCCTTTAGGGCCGTTGCCCTGAAGCTGTTTTGAGGCGTACTTGAAAGGGGCAAGAACCTTCTGAATTACCTCAACCACACGCCATTCCTGAGGACCTAGTCGAAATTCAAGAATAGGTGGTTTATTCCCCGGTTTAGAACCAGCCGATTCCCACTGGTCCTGGAGGTTTTGGTGCAAACGCTGAAGCGGCCGTTGTAGCTGCAAGGCGCACGCCGCCATGGCTTCGTCGCTTTGCCAGCGCGTTGCGTTGTTATGAACCCATTCTTTCACGGCTGCTTCAGGGTCAACCTCTATCTGGGCATCGTGAAGGGCGCCGACGAGCTGACTGCTCCTGTGGAAGGAATTGCCGTGGTTATGAAGCTTGCCAAGAGGGCCACGTTTTTGATACCTCGCCATCGTCTGCCTGTTGATCTGATCAGGAGCATGATAATCAAAAGATTGCAAAACAACGCTAATCTGGGCTTCGGAAACCTCGTCTTCATCATCACCATCCTCGCTGCCGCTGGAAAATGGGTTAAGACCTGATAAGTTATCAAGGTTTTCATCCTCGTCGTCTGATTCTTGCTGACTTGGCTCGTCCTGCAGGTTATCACGAAGCCCATCAAACGCAGCATCTAGTGCTTGATCATCTTCCTCCTCATCTGCGAAGCTCTGTTGACCCCAAGTTGCCAGTACGTTATCTAACGGCAGCCGTTTGCAACCATCACCATATAATAAGGCACGAACGGCGAGTTGCAAGGCGTGAGGAGCACACTTAATTTGCCTCTCCTCGCCATCAAACCCGAGCTGTTGGCCAATAACCACCATAGTAGTCCCATTCTTCGACTCGTTATCCAAGGTACAATAACCAACAAGATCCTCAATTTCGAAAAAGCGCAAAATTGCCAATACCTCGTCGGCTACGTCAGATCCTGTATGGCGCTTGATCAAGGCAGGAAGGCCTAGAAGGATAGACCACCTCTTGAAGTCCTTGTCGATAAAATGGGCGTGGATTCCTACAAACGAGGTGAATCTCCTTGAGGTCAGCCGTCGAACGTTATATGAATCATCCCACGTGCTGTACGAAGCAACAACCTTACCGGCGTCACGGCTCGTCTATATTCGGCCAAAAGGAGGTGGATCATCGATTCGGAGTGGGGTAGGTCGGCCTCTTGAATTATTACGTTGTTGTACAACTGCTGACGCCGCCATCGAGGATTATCAAGGATTCTAAAGGATAGATTCGAGGTGGCCAGCCAATCCATAATTAGGAGGTTGTTTAACTGTTTATTAAACCGCAAAGAAACGCGAGAGTGGAGGGCTTGTTGTTGTGGTTGATTTACGTCGACCATCGAATCTAAGGTACGTTGGGTGCCAGCTTGGTGTCTCGATGCTAATAAGGACATGATTTGAGGGCTCTATACGAAAGAATTGGTAGTTAGGCCCTCATTCTTCGTCTATTTGGCTATAACACGTACCTCGATCTGATGCTTGGCTTTTAGGTGCTGCTCAATTGATCTGCTCGTTGAAGAAACATATTTGCAATGCCCAGGAGGGTAATTAGCAAGAAAGCAAAGCTCACATACCCAATAAATCCCATGCTTCTTGGATTTATTAGGGTCTTTTAGTCGATACCGGTGGCAGTTTGCGCCACCGGTATCGATCTAATGAACAAAATGTGCTACCGATCGATTGGTTACTCTGGGTCGGCGTAAAGGAGACCTAGGTTGTTAACCGTGTCTAGTGTTGACGTATGATCGGGTTCCCACGCCTTCTCCTTCCCTTGAAGCGCCCGCAGATACATGTCCTCCGCCTCTTGCAGCTTGCCTTGGTCGGCGTAAAGGAGACCCAGGTTGTTAACCATGTCTAGTGTTGACATATGATCGGGTCCCCACGCCTTCTCGTACCCTTGAAGCGCCCGCAGATACATGTCCTCCGCCTCTTGCAGCTTGCCTTGGTCGGCGTAAAGGAGACCTAGGTTGTTAACCGTGTCTAGTGTTGACGTATGATCGGGTCCCCATGCCTTCTCGTACCCTTGAAGCGCCCGCAGATACATGCCCTCCGCCTCTTGCAGCTTGCCTTGGTCGGCGTAAAGGTTCCCTAGGTTGTTAACCGTAGAGAGTGTTGACGTATGATCGGGTCCCCACGCCTTCTCCTTCCCTTGAAGCGCCCGCAGATACATGTCCTCCGCCTCTTGCAGCTTGCCTTGGTCGGCGTAAAGGAGACCTAGGTTGTTAACCGTAGAGAGTGTTGACCTATGATCGGGTCCCCACACCTTCTCGTACCCTTGAAGCGCCCGCAGGTACATGTCCTCCGCCTCTTGCAGCTTGCCTTGGTTTTTGTAAAGGATCCCTAGGTTGTTAACCGTGTCTAGTGTTGACGTATGATCGGGTCCCCACGCCTTCTCGTACCCTTGAAGCGCCCGCAGATACATGTCCTCCGCCTCTTGCAGCTTGCCTTGGTCGGCGTAAAGGTTCCCTAGGTTGTTAACCGTGTCTAGTGTTGACGTATGATCGGGTCCCCATGCCTTCTCGTACCCTTGAAGCGCCCGCAGATACATGCCCTCCGCCTCTTGCAGCTTGCCTTGGTCGGCGTAAAGGTTCCCTAGGTTGTTAACCGTAGAGAGTGTTGACGTATGATCGGGTCCCCACGCCTTCTCCTTCCCTTGAAGCGCCCGCAGATACATGTCCTCCGCCTCTTGCAGCTTGCCTTGGTCGGCGTAAAGGAGACCTAGGTTGTTAACCGTAGAGAGTGTTGACCTATGATCGGGTCCCCACACCTTCTCGTACCCTTGAAGCGCCCGCAGGTACATGTCCTCCGCCTCTTGCAGCTTGCCTTGGTTTTTGTAAAGGATCCCTAGGTTGTTAACCGTGTCTAGTGTTGACGTATGATCGGGTCCCCACGCCTTCTCGTACCCTTGAAGCGCCCGCAGATACATGTCCTCCGCCTCTTGCAGCTTGCCTTGGTCGGCGTAAAGGTTCCCTAGGTTGTTAACCGTGTCTAGTGTTGACGTATGATCGGGTCCCCACGCCTTCTCGTACCCTTGAAGCGCCCGCAGATACATGTCCTCCGCTTCTTGCAGCTTGCCTTGGTCGGCGTAAAGGTTCCCTAGGTTGTTAACCGTGTCTAGTGTTGACGTATGATCGGGTCCCCACGCCTTCTCCTTCCCTTGAAGTGCCCGCAGGTACATGTCCTCCGCCTCTTGCAGCTTGCCTTGGTCGGCGTAAAGGTTCCCTAGGTTGTTAACCGTGTCTAGTGTTGACGTATGATCGGGTCCCCACGCCTTCTCCTTCCCTTGAAGCGCCCGCAGATACATGTCCTCCGCCTCTTGCAGCTTGCCTTGGTCGGCGTAAAGGAGACCTAGATTGTGAAAAGCCCAATATAAGTCTTGATCGCTGTCTTGAATTGTGGCGCAACACTTTGTCGCATGTGATAGAAGTCGCCTTTGAAGCAGCCAGAACTGAGGCTCGTCTTGTGATGGGACGCGTGCAGCTATGCAGTCTAACGCAAGCTTAGCTAAACTGATGTCCCAATATTCATTCAATGCGTGGATGGTCCAAGTGTGTACGCAGGTGTGAATGCTGTATCCCCGTGATCCGAATAGGTCTTGTGTCAACATGTGCATTTCGGCAAGCCCATAGTCATGCAGTGTGCCTATAGCGCAATTAAATTGCAATTCATCAGCCAACTCGTATATCCACGGCGGACCATCTTCATCGTTGGGCTGGAGAAGTTCGAACCATATGTCATCGTTGTCAAAATATGCCCACCATCGGAGTAAATGGGCTGCGAGTGGGTTTTGTTCCTGGACTTGCTCGTATGAGAGCTGCCACGCTGAGCAAAGTGTGCGATCTTGGTAAGAACCCAGGCTTGGGGTACTTGTATGAAGTCTTGCCCATGATTCTCTATAAAGGCGAAGATAGTCACCGAAGCCGATTGGAACGCGCCTTAGGTATGCTCCAGCCGTGGCAAGGGCAAGAGGAAGCCCGTCAAGTTCCTCCACAAGCTTTCTAACATCTATATCTGTGGCAATGATTAGGGGAGATGTGCTTAGCTGTGAGAATCTTACCATGTTGCAAGCTGGATCGACCTGAAGTCGTCGAGAGGATTTCCAGGCTGTCCTCTATTGACTCAAGCTTTCTCGTTCGAATCGAATGACCTAGACTGATCTGCGACGATCGTGATATGATGATGATCGAGCCTTGGTACGCTTCGGGAAGATAGCGGTGGATATCAATTGCAGCATTATCCGTGGGGTGGGCTATTTTCGGGTTGTCATAATTGTCGTATACAATAAGCCACCTAGTGTTGCCTGGCAGGCTGAGCCAGGTCTTGACAGCATCGGCTACCTCTTCGTGATTCTGCTGTAGGTTTGGAGCACATAAACGGCTAGCATCGGGATGTTGCTGCAAGATTTGCCGCGCAACTTTGCTGAAGCTTGTTGGATAGAGGCTTCGTCCTTAATGTTTAACCAGAATATAGCGGAATATTCATCTCGGTACCGCTTTGTGTATGCGACGGCGAGCTGTGTCTTACCAATGCCACCAAGACCGTGGAGAACAACGACCCGACGGCTTCCATTCGAGTTTAGTGTTCTGTGCATCTCTGCCAACTCCCTCTCTCTTGCGACGAAATGTTGGACCTCAGGAACTCCGGACAGACTGAAGGTAACGGAGAAGTCGTTCGTGAGGATTCCTAACGCTGTTAGTCTCCAAGCTGCCCTGCTTTGAGACTTTGGAACGGTGTTCACCCTTCACAGCTTTGTGGACCTCTTCTCGCAGCCGCCTTCGTGCTTTCTCTCTCCCTTCGCCGTAAATCAGCGGCATGTGAACGTCGAATAACCCGAGGAGCGAGTATGCCATGTCCTCTTCGTATTTGGTCTGACGATTACGGACCCATGCCTCTCGTTCCAAGACGGGGAAGTCGGACAAAGGATCACCGCGGAGAGCACCCGTAGGGACGTCGGTGATATTGCGTATCTGAGACTCTAATGATCGTTTGTTACCTAGCCAGGATCCTTCCTTCGAATAGAATTCCACTGACTTCGGGGCGATGAGCTCTTGAAGTGTCCACCCACGAGTGAACCATCTGCTGTTTCGAAAGGCCAGCTCCCAAGCGGTCGCGCTATACTGTTCACCGAACGCTGCAGTGCTGGAGACATCTGATAGATAAACGTAGCATCTCTCCGCATCCCGATACCACCGGAACATGCTATTGATTGCAGTTTGGAGCTCGATACTGTCGGACTTATCTATACAGCAGGTGTCGACCCAGAAGTATCGCAACCCGTGCTGTCTCGCTTGTTCAGCACAAAACTTGATCTTTTCGTAGCCAGCTTTGTGCTGCCAATGATCTTCTGCCTTCGCTAGGTCAGCGAAGACCACCTCGTCTGGTCCCCACGTGTGGGAAAGGATCGCGTAAGAAGGAACATCGTCGGAAAGCGAGGTCCGGGGTAAGGCTGTACCTGCCAGCGTCGTCGCGTTGTAATAACCGCATCGTAAGGCCTAAGATTCATGCAACTCAGCGCTCTGTTAACATATAACAGACGATTTCTGGCTGGAGGACGTTGCTTTCCGGATTGAAGCTAGCATCATTTCCGTCGTCGCAGATCAGTCAGAATTGTAAGGCTGCAAATGCGGGGTATGGGCCAGTCGACTTAGCCGCAAGCCCGTGGACAACATAGGATAAAGATCGAGGCTCGTTTACGCGTCTGATTTTGTACTTGCTGTTACAGAGTGATGCGCACTGAGGCCGTTCCTCTTATGCTGTTGTGAGAATTGTAAGGTTGTAAACAACAATAAGTGCAAAGAGAACAGCACAGTTCGCGAGCGCTGGGAGTAGGATGTTACAGCTCCACTTGGCAGCCCACCCGCCCACTACTACAAAGTGTGCGTCGTCCACCCTGATTTCCTCCCGTCCTTTTCTGTCCTTGCCTAACCTACTATCAATCTTTCCCGGCTATGTACACAACCATGGCGCCCTAACTGCATCCTGTGTAGCGTGATTACATCAAGTCGATGATAAAACTAGGTCTTGAAAACAAGGTTATCGCGTCCAAGGCCTTATGTAGCATTCGCGCCGTCCAGAGAATCCGGCTCGAAAAAGAACCACCCGAAATGTCCAGTGAGAACAGAGCCTCCATCGATCCCCATAGCTATATCACAATCCATGCGGAAAGCTTTATGTGACATACTAACCGAACGTCCGGACATGTATTGAAGCGAACTCGTAAACTTTGGGAATGATGTATTTGGGAAGGTAGTATCCGAAAGATCAGCCAGTCGGGCCTTACAATCAATAGGTTGGACGAGAACGATGATCCGTCGTATCGCCTAGTAAGGTAACGAAGACCTTCGAAATCTCTATCTTCAAACGGTCTCGAAATATAAATCTTACCATCTTTTCTTTGTTGATGAATTTGGTTATGATAGAAGGACTGGATATCGACGCTAGGGTTGGTCATCAAATTTGGTTGTGGAAAAAGATGGCATATGCCGCGCAAGACGGCATCACACTAAGGCGAGTGTATCAAGGGTCTACAGACAGTGAATTGTTCAAAGACTTCGTTACGCAGCTACTTCATCACTTCTACAGATACCCAGAGCCTACATCTGTGATGGTTATGGACAATGCTTCCTGGCATCATTCGGCGAAGATTTAAGAGATGTGCAAAGAGGCTAGTGTAGTAGTCCTATTTATTTCACTCTACTCGTCAGACTTCAACTCTATAGAGATGCATTTTAGAGAGCTTAAGAATTTTATTAAGAAAAACTGGTTCGAGAACGAACATTTCATCAAGAGAGAGTTCAAAATGTACTTGGAGTGGTGCGTCGACGTGGTCGGTAACGATGCAAGCATTGCAGAGAATCATTTCTATTATATAGAAATATTAACCACGCAGGCCCCCCAGCTAGAAGCAAAGACCCTAAATCTAGAGACTTGAATATTACAGTAAAGCAGAATGCCACAGTACGGCAGATAGCACCAGTCAAACATCTCCACTTTCTGTGTTCTGTGACTCTTTCTACCACTTCTCCATGTTAGTCTTGCTCACAAATTGCAACGCAACTCCAGATTTCACTTCGCTTTTATCAATAAGTCAGTAGCGGCCTTTGGGTACTGTAGAATAGAGTTCGGCTTTAGGAAGTCATCCATTACACACTGATTCCCTACTTCCAGCTCCGCGCCCCATCTCATATCCTTTGTTTGCGCCAGTGTCCAATTACAATACTCCCTAAAGCTTCTATGCTCTATCCCATCTAATACTTATAGAAGTATCGGCAGTATAGGCAGGTCCGCAGTGATTAGATACATGGCTCTTAAAAGAGCGGCAACTACTGGGGTCGCTGTTCCCTTCCGCTTCCGGCTCTTAGCTAAGACATATTTGAGTATCTTGGAAGGGATCTCGATACCGGCATTGAAGTTATATTATTT